GCTGGGCGCATACGTTATGTTACCGCAGCTTCCCGTCAGACAGCACTACCTGTTAACGACTTGCCGTTAAACCCGTTCATCAGCCGCAACTGGGCCGTCACCACTAAGGACATGCAGCGCCACATGAACAACATCAGCACGGCGACAGATCGCCTTTAGGATCAACGCAGCAACCTTCCGAATAACTACGACGCACTGGGAACGGAGTACGAGATTGAGCAGCTGAAGAGTATGTTCTCGTATTTGGAAGGTCAGAGTAAACAAACTAACAGTAACAAATTCGTGACGTTCCCAGAACCACTGGCTACGTTTCTTGGCTACTTCTACCAGCAATCCTGGCGTTTCGACTATTTTGCCAGCGGAACCTGGAGAAAATGTGCAGCCGAGGACGGGACCTGGCGATATGAACACCGTTCTAGTTTTGTGTATCGCTATATCAGTAACTCACACCGTCAAGGTTTTGAAATGGTAGAGCAGTATCCGCGCTATTTCAATCCGCTCCGCTATTTTCCGATTAACATGCCGTTTCGGCCAGGCAAAATTACCTGGGATGAATCCTACACGAAAGAGACGCGTATGCAAATCAGTAATTATATGGTTGAAATCGAGGAGTATAAAGCAATTAAGGGCACCAATAATGACAAAGACATACAGTATCCCTTCGTCGAAATGTCAGACATGTGGGCTGGAGAGTATTAACAACTTGATTTGGGCAAGATTATTGCAAAAACCGGCATTCGTGGATATGCACCGGAAGAGCGGGGCCATCAGTCCACCGTGCGGGACGATAAACTAACCATTGCGCAGCTAAATGCTCAAATTCGCAAGGCTGAAGAGCATCTCGGACAGCCGCGCCAAGGTAACCAGCAGCAGGGACAATACCAGCCATACCCGCAGCAACACGGACAGCAGCAGCCGGAGCAGCCGCAGCGCCAGCATGTTCATCAACCGCCGCGCCAGAACGGAAAGCAGCACCGGCGTCAGAATGGAGAACAGCAGCGCCGCCAGTACCAGCCACGCCGTTGAATCGCCTGACCGGAAACCGAAGAAAGCGACACAGCAACACGTGGGAGCAGCAACCCCGCCATCCGCATTCCCACGATCAGTAACGTTTTTACAGTAACTCTCGTTGTTATTTGCTCAATATATCTGTGTTACTTTTCTGCCTTAATTTCCATTCCTGACTTTACCGGATCTCTCTTGATAAGACATGTATAGAGATATCTTATCGCTACCATGCAGGATGTAGCCGTACAAATAAGATCGGCAGTGTTACAGTAATGATGATGAGGATTTCATTGGTGCTAGATGAAGCAGAAACATCTGAATGTGTACTCGTACGAATGTTCACTTTTATCATGGATTTCTAGACTGGTTTGCGAAATGTCTAACTGATCTAAAATTATTCTTGCTCTTGCCCTTATCTTGCTCTTCCCTCATGATTTTCTGCTGATTAAAATGTGTGCGTGCGCGTTGACAAAGTGTTCCGTTGCCGGCTTTCGTTAAGAGTTACTTGCAAAATCGATCTTAAAGTAATTCGTTAACACCACCAGCACTTCCGATCGTAGTACGGGTGTGTAACCCACTCCACTAAGGACAGCTTAGAAATTGTCATTATAGTACAGTCAGTACAGTACAGTACAGTACAGTATGTTGCAACAGGCATTCGCAACATGAACTGTAAAATTTATCTAATATCTATATAAATTTTTTTTTATTTTACTGTGTTTCCCGTTATGAGACCACCACTTTGCATCGCGCAAAGCAAGGGTGCACCAACTGTACATAGTACCAGACCTGGGCAGTTAATTTTAACTATTTAACTTAACGCGAGTTTTTTTCGAGTTAACGAGTTATAACTTAACTCTGAAGCTTAACTCGCGAGGACGAAAACTTAACTCTAGCGCAACTCAAAAATAATATAGCGCAACTCGAGTTTAGCGTAACTCTGCAGATTTCAGTTGATGTTAAAAATGAAACTGAGTTTCAGAAATATCATCAGAAAGAATATTATTCTAACCGTGTATCGCATAAATTTTCGAAATTATAAAAGCATCTATGTTCAAAACTGTTCGTGCCAACGAACAGTACGACCGCCCAAGGCATTGGCTAGATGAATATAAGGGGGGAAAACCACTACACTCGAACCGTCTCCCTGTACTGCTGCCGTTACCTGGCTGGAGTTTCTACGTTGTAGGCTGTAGCTAAACACGGCACTTCTTTAGTGCGCCAGATTTAATCAGATGTACTGCGGTAACGCATCACTATCCAGGCGGGTGACAGCAGCAATAGAGGGGAAACAGTCCGAGCAAAACGCTTCTCTTCTTCTACGTAAGTATTGTGGAGTGCGAGTGCAATCAGTGCATTCTGACTGTGATTGTAGTCTTTTACATCATTTGAGCTTTAATTAACATAATGCAGTAACACGTCCAGGCTCTAGCAGCGTGCAGAGAACAGACGGGGAGTTTTTTAGAGAACAAACTTTGGTCAACGGTAGGAGGACGCCAATGTTCTGCAGCAAAACCACAAGGGAATTTGTTGTCTGTGTGTTTCTGCTACTTGTCCATTGGGAAAACAGTCCGAGCCGTGTAACGCCATGTTTGGCAGCCATGTACAGAGAACCATACTAATACACCATAGTGTAAAAGTCCAGCGTTGCCGGCGCTTCCCTGGGTCCCAGACGAGCTAATTGCACTGATGCGAGTTCTGAAAACACTTGCTCGAAAAATTTTAATTCTGAAATGTGTTTCAAATCTGGTAATAGTGATACTAGTACGCATAAGAGATTAGTTGAAAATGGTTAATAAAGTGCAGAATTTTTTTATTGAAAAGCGATTTTTTTTATTTTAACGCGAGTTAACTCGAGTTATTGTCGCTAACTCAACTCGTAACTTAACTCGCGAGCTGCGATTAACTATTAACTCTAACTATGAGTCCAAATTCCATAACTGCCCAGGTCTGGTACATACATATTATTACAATGCAAATTCACGATCCACCACTTCCGTACGTAATGAAAGGGGCGACTATAAGCGCTTTTTAATTTGCTTGAAAACTGGAGGTCCCAAGAGCCGGTCGACCCAAAATGAAAATAATAATTACCATGGTAAATGCCAATAATACTTATTGAAATTGTTAAATATTTGTTTAGCAACGCCAGACCATTAACCTTTGCAGGTGAGTCCCCGCCCCCTTTCAGTACTTTAAATGCGCTCCCCCCCCCCGGCGGTCAAAAATCCGCAAAAGGGGGGTGCCCGCCGGTGCGCCCCCTCCCCTTTCTGGCGGGCCTGCAGGTGACAATACTTTTAATATACCACAATATTCTACATTCCTACAAAAACTTAGATTTTCTGAATTTGGAGACGGAGATTGTGCTCTGATTAGTTTTACTTTCATCAAATCAATTTTCAATAAATTAAGAAAGCCTGCAAAATTCACACCGCGGTTAAAAAAGCAATATTACCTACGACTAAACAGTAAGTAAACACTGCACATCCGCTTCTGCTTTCTCGCAGATTATGTGCAGTGAATAAGGCAACTTCAATAAGCACTGCTCACAAGTCAGTGCTCACTTCGTACTGCGAGCACTAAAATATTACAGGACGCTCAGGTATGTATAAATGATTTATCGATTTTGCAGTTCAATCGAAGATATAATAGTAGCAAATAAAGTAAGTTTTGTTGAAAAACTAAAATGAAGTTCTCTTTTCATTTGCATATGTGTGATACGCACTTAGTGCCACTTACATACGCAGTGTCTAACATGGACTTTCTAAAATTTTAATACACTACATACTCCACTGACCACTCTCACGTAAAGATGTCTGTATCCGCATTCCGCAGCAGCAAGAAATGGATGCCATTATTCCATAGCTGCGCTGCGTGCGCCTATGAGTGTTGAGATAAAGCGCTCTGCAAACAGGCAGAGCGCTTTATCTAACGCATTTTGATCGCTAATTCCATCCATGATTCTGCAGTTTAACGTTTACAGTACAGTAACTAATCAGTCTGAAGTTTATAACTTCAACTAAATATATGCATTGAGCTTAAGGTCGTGTGACTCTAGGTTAGAAGGAAGTTCATTTCGTTCTGTTCTGTTCTGTTTGCTTGTTCGTTCGGTTTGGTGAATTTGGTGAATAACCATTTGGGAAGGTACCTGAGTTTTCTGTTTCGGTAGCTTTCGTTAGACACGGCCGGCAATCCGCTTGTACCTAACGGAAGTAGGTTCGCGTACCACTTACGGAGTCCAGAGCATATTCCCACTCTACCGATTGAGTAGGTTTGGTCAAAAAGTGCGGATGTTGCGGTGCGACTTCCGCATAGCATGTCAGAGCAAAAGAAAACCACACGCGAAACTGTAAAAAGACCAGGAAAACATGCGCGCGGCGACACGATCCGGCAAAAAATCAAAATAATTGTATCTAAGATGCAGACCAGCCGCTTATAAGAAGTAAGTAAGTACTAAACTGATCAATAGATGTGCTTGGCATGGGACGTCACTGGTGTGGACACGGTTGCGCCTTCCCACGTCAGGTCTACGGCAGCAAACGCAGGTGCAGCGGCATTGGAAGCGGAAGAGAAGAAGTTCCGGCTTTATTTGTATCTAAGCGGCAGATACATCTTCACACCGATAGCTTTCGAAACCATGGGCCCTTGGGGACCGTCCGCTATGGCCATTATCAAAGCACTGGGTAAACGACTCGAGCAACACACAGGCGAAGCCCGTTCTCATGAATTTTTACGCCAAAGATTGTCACTGGAGATACAGCGCGGCAACGCGGCATCGGTTAATTATGGGAACGATGGAAGGAGCAGAAAAGTTTAATGAAATTTTGATGTTATAAGGAAATGTCGATGTTTTCAATTATTATAAAATTAAGTTGTACTACAGGTGAAATAAAATAACAACAGCAGTTTTTGGCCAAAGCCCAGCAACCTGTAGCAGTGTAGCCAGCTTGGGCTGCAATCCTCCTTGTGCGCTGACACGGTTCTCGAGCACGCAGGCTTTTTGCTACCTGGCATGTATGCCGTATACCTATGTACATTCTACAGTACTTGTATTTCGTTTTTTCACTTTGCATTTCACTTTGTTTTTTCACTTTGTAGGCTTGCAGCTATACTATTATAGTACTTAGTTAATTACTGTAGTTATAGTACGTTTCGTGATCGAAGTGATTTCATATGGTTATACGGTGCATTCTTCTTTGTGCAGACAAGGTTTTCTTGTCTAAATTCCCGAGCCTATGTCGAGTCGAGGTGGATGGTTGCTTCGCTGTTGATGGCGATTTATTGAGGAAGTAATCCGAAGTGCGTGTAAGTGGTAACGACTCAGAATCACCGGAATCGGTAAACAAAGATAATTCTGTTGTAGATGTTGCATCAAAACGCAGCATGTTATTACGTTTTGTTTTTATGTAGTTCGTTGTTACGGTAGTTTGAAAATCAGGACTAAAACACATCCTTCTTGTTGCATGTTTCACATTACCAGGAGGAATGGATTCTCTGGCTTGTCCCAAATGTCAGCATCGTTTCACCTATTTGGAGCGGGAGGAACACAGTGGTCATTTCCCGCTGGTGTTAAACTGTGGCCACGGTCTGTGTTACTCATGTGTGTGGGAAACGCTTTCACACGAAATAAGCAGTGGGAAAAGTCAGCATAGCGCGCATCTTTCTTGTGCCCTTTGTGGTCAAAATCAGCCACCTGTTGAAAGTTTGGAACGTCAGGATGTCGTGCGAAGATTTCCTGTTGATTTTGTTACTGTTGGCGTTTTGGTCGCTTTGGACAGCTTTGGCCCGAATATTTTTCAGTTCAATAGCAAAATCCTTCCCCTGCCATCTGCCTTGCGCTCATCTCTCGAAGAGAAGCTGAAGAGTGCAGGTAACATTTTAATTGGTTTTTGTTTTAAAAAGTTTATCGCTAATAGTGCTTGTAGTTAGGTAATCGCCTAACAGCCAGTAACTGGTACTTATTTGCAAGATGCTCGTACAAAATAATTATGATGGAAATTGGAATACATGTTTTGATCTTTGATTGCCACGAAGTTATTTTACAGTTATCTGGATGCTTTACATTCAAGTCTCTTCTTTTCTCTGTTGTCATATTTTTTTATAAAATATGATTGCCATGGTCTTTATAACCATAGGTTCTGTTTAACAAAAGAGGTAGGAAAATATTTGATTTTGATTCCAGATCGGGAGCGAGAGGAAATCTTTCTCGAACGGCCGGATTCTTGCTGTCTGTGCGCCAGCATCCACTGTGGATGGAAATGTCTGACATGCAAGCTAGCCTTTTGTATGGATTGTTGGCCGCAGCACCAACAATCGTGCCCCGACGTCGTTTTATCGACTGCGGTCCCGTTTGACTGCCACGGAAATCCTATGGAACCATTTCGTTCTTGTGCCGAGCATAACAGACTGCAACAGTGGCACTGCAATGTCCACGATGAACACAAAAACAGTTTTCTGTGTGTGCTGGATGCCGATGGTCGGCAGAAGAAGCGCCTGTTTGACTGTTCGTTTACTACAAAGGCGGAGAAAAATGAAGATGCTGTGCCCAGTTTCCTGGATCTTCATCCTCGTATAATTGCTTTAGCGAAACGGTCCGGCGAAAGTTTAAAAGCTATTCGTCGAGCAAAGCGCCAACTGGAAGAACTGAATATCAACGACCAGCTCAAAATTCGCCGGCTTTTTCATCGTTTGACGGCTTCAGCAGTTTTTAGTTGCAATAACTTGATACTGCTGCAGGAGAACTTCAGTGGAATAGCTCTCGCTTTTCTGGAAGATGTTGGATGTCTTATGAACAAGCAATCAAAATGGACAACCTTCCTGTTGGAGCGGTGGAATTTTATAGTTACCAATGTCGCGACTCTGCCCATCAAGCTATACATGGAGAATACCGCACTCGAAGAGAATCTGCTCCGCTGCCAACTATGGTGTCCGGACCGAATGAGAGAAATTTGTCTACACGATGCACCATATATTTCCGAGAGTGTCTGGAACGACGGGCTACCTAAAGGGTTGCGGATGATTTTCATGAAGACAATCGGTCAGCTAAAATCTGCCGAAGATTTACTGCCCACTGTCTTCGGGTTGTCCAGTGTACGTGATCTGGTTAAGGTGGTCCACAAGCATGGTCACTCCCCCAAATATGATCTCCAATATGATTTGGGTATTCTGACAGAAAGATCAGTTGTTTTGCCCGTAACATCGTTAGCAACTGAATTCCAGAAATTAAAGAATACCGTTTTCAACGTGCAAGGAATGATCCCACGGCAGTGGAATGCTGATCACTTGGAAATCATCGACGCCAATCCTGCTGTATGTCGTGTTACGCATGTGGAGAATGATCAGTTAGAATTCTGGATTAGGAATTCTTCATACGATGGAAAACACAAGGAGCTCCATAAGGCGTTGAATATTTTTTGTTGTAAAGCAGTGAATTTGGAAAGCATTGCGGTTGACGGGATTTACGGTGTTCAAGTGGAAGAATCTTTTGGAAGATTGTCTGGATTCAAAAAGTGGGTAAAATCGTTTTTTACTAGCTGGATGTGAAGTATTCACCTACAGAGGCTCTGTAGGTCGGTAATGCAGCATCTGAACTATGGGTAGAAAGATGCGGGGGATAAGGGACGTCTGGAAGTATTTGTTTTATACCGTTTATGTTGAATTAAGCAGTCAGTTCAAGGCGGGATTCACATTTCACATACAGAATCTTAAAGTTGCTCTTTTCCAGGGGTTACCCTCAACACTACGGATGGTAAGAATCTTTTCTCCTCTAAATAGGAAATTTAGCTCGGTTTCCCCCGCAATAAAAAATGATTGCAGGATGCGTGTACGGATTACTAAGGTGGATGCCAACGGGGATCAGTGTCAAGGTCATCTGTTGGACCACGGTAAACAACTGTAAAATTGCAGGGTTGTATATGGTGTATGCAAGTACTGTAACGCCGGTTCAGGGGTATCTGACCAGTGTGTGAGTTACATTTACCTGTTCTTCTTGCATCAATTAACAATTAATTTAACCAAGGTATAATTTGATTTTGTTAATTTAATTTGTGAATTTGCTTACATAGTTTTGTTTTGTAATTTAAATTAATCTGACTGCTTTGATTAAGGTGCTACTGGGGCTTGGAAGTTGACCGATTTACGAGAAATTCCACAGTCACTGCAGCGGGAAGACCCCTTTGCCATTCGTGCCCAACTGAGTAGTTTCGTCCCATCTTACAAGGTTAACAAATGTTGGCCGAATATCGGAAAATTTGTGCTCCAGTGGCTTTCGTTTTGCGGCTCTCCCTTCGTCTTACTGGATGATTATGTGACAGAAACAGGATTGTTGCTGGTGGATGTGTGGAGCGACTCTCGAACTCCGTCCCTTCGGGAGTACCTTGTGTGGTGTGGTGCTGGTGAACTAAAGGTCATGAGTGACGCTCGAAAACTTTATCAGGACCAAGAAAAACGCTGAAGGGCGTTACTAGCTACCTGATTAAAGTGGAAGGAGTTCCCGCTGCAAACTTCCGGCATGATAAAAAGTAGAGTACTGTACCGGTTTCGTGTTTTAGAGATAGCTTTCGTTAAATATTGTTTAGTGACATCGTACATATTTTGACCTTTCTTTACTTACGGTTTGACCCGGAAATGTTTAAGTACCGGTACTGGCAGTACAGTACTGTATATGTAGTTGTTCAGTTTTGACCATTGTTGTTAACCATAAAATCATTTTGTAATTTTTGTGTTTGTGTCTCGCTGAATGTAGAGAAGTGAAAGTTGTTGGTGGTCGATATGCATTGCGAACTGCTCTACTATTGCATGCTTTGACTACGCCCATATTTCTTACTTTACAGCATTCATGGGCGAAAGCAGAAATAGAATCATAGCATTGCCCGTTGAGAACCTTCGTTTCAAACCACTTGTATTCTTGTTCTTCTCATTTTGACAAAGAGAAAAAATACCGAACCTAGTAATAAAATGTTTTGCTCATTGCAGCTTGAGCGTTGTGTACTCGTAATCGTATTATGACCATGGTCCATGTGATAATTATAAAATGATGTTGGGGGAAGGTTTTCGGTTTTCTTTATTCTAACCGCTCACTTTACCAACTCCTTTCACCCCGGGCAGGCAGTTACGCACAAAGCCACTGAAAATCACATTTTGACTTTTTGCGATTTTATTTGTCTATTTTGGTTTTGAATTTTCACACGTACGTAGAAGTACCAAAATATTCAGTGAGACGATTGCGGAGACTCACTTTAATTGGTTTTAGGTTTAGCTTACTGATCCAGTTTTCTTTCTGTTACGTCTGTTTCAGTACTGATTTGGTATAACCAAAAGGAGAATCAACCACACGATGTCGGGAATTGCTTATCGCAAGCCTGATTTGGAGCCGCAGGGAGATCAGATTCGGGGGAAAAAAGGGAAGAAAGCGAAGGCGAAAGATAGTGCTCATTCCAGTGCTAATACAGCTGCTATCCCATCCGGCAACGATCCTTTCTCAGGAATTTTCGCTCCCACAATGCCCCATGGGAATCCTGCAAATACAGCGAACCATTCTACCCTGGCACTAAACAACGCAGACCCGGTGGTCGAACAAGCAAAGGGAAAGCAGAAGAAGAAGGAATTCATTAATATGCTACAAGTACACGAAGGAAGCCTGGAAATCATCCTTCCCGGTCGTCATCCATGTCAGTGCCTTTGCACTAAACATGACTTGATCAATAATTGTCTTAGTTGTGGAAGAATCGTGTGCGTTCAAGAGGGGTCTGGGCCGTGTTTTACTTGTGGACAAATTGTGGGTAAGAGTTAAGACGGTTTATGGCAGTAATTTTTTTGTTTCACTTATTTACGTACGAAAGTGAAATTTGGTGTCTTTCCTGGGCCATTTCCATGGCTGCCCGCGTTGTCGACTTGTCATTTCCGGATGTAGTGTTACAATAGTAACAATACTGTGTTAGTTCTCTGTACGAATTGTTTGTACGTGGCTTTGATTAAGTGTGTGCATTGACATTTTATCATTTTTACCTCTAGGTACGGACGAAGAAATTGCAGTATTAATGCGTGGCGGCTTAGACGCTGAAAAGCTGCAGAGAAAAATGTTCGGCAGTGAGCAGCTTACCCTGGACTTTGAGAAAATGATAAAACTGGATGCGAATAAATCGGATACTTTAATGAAAGCCGAAGCGCAGCGTGATAAACTACTGGAATATGATCGCACCGCGGCGCAACGGACGAGAATCATCGATGATCAGGCAGACTACTATAGCGAACACGCATTCATGACGAAAGAGGAACGAGAAGCCATCCGAAAAAAGGAAGCTGAACTAAGAAGTCAGCGATTTCGGTCGGTTCTTGAGAGAAAGCACAATATGAGTTTGGATTTCGCAGGTATGATAAAAATTTTAAAATTGCTACAAGTAAAATCGAAATTTCCACTTCGAATTCTTGAAGAGAAGTTCGAAAATAGTTAATTTAGTAATATGGAAGGCATGGATTTCCAATATTGTTCTGATGTGTTTGATATGTTTGTATCTGTAGGTCGACAAGTGTCCTTCCAGAAGGAAGATCGCGGTCCGGACAATATGTATGCCGATCCGGTCGATGCGGAACCATTGCGTATTCCCGAGACCGTTCCGAACTTTTCATTGTCTCGTGATCCTGATCAGTGGCAGAAGTTGTTCACTAGTTCCGTCGACCGAATGCCCGCCCATGCTTTGATTCGCACTGAACGAACTTCTGCATGCCGCGTGCAGGACCGCGAACTGTTGGAAATGTGCGACAACGGTATGGCGTTATCCGTTCGGCAGCCTTGGGCCAGTTTCATTACCATGGGTTTAAAACTGCATGAAGGTCGTGACTGGTATACTGCGCATCGAGGCAAGCTATGGATCGCCTCTGGCTCAAAGCTTCCTCCTCCCAATGAAATTATAGAAGAAGAGAATTTAGTTAAAGCTGTCACGGGGAATGCGTTTATTGTCTTTCCTGAGCAGTATCTGACGGGATTCCTCTTGGGTAGCGTGGATGTTGTTGATTGCATTACGCAAGAAGAATATCAGAAACGTTTTCCAGGGGGACTCCTGATGCATCCTTATATATTGTTATTAGAAAACCCGCTTGAACTGACACAGAAGTTTCCGATAGAAGGAAAGAGCAAGATATTCAAAATGGACATCAAACTGCATCAGTTTGCGAAAGCTTAGCCACACATTCCGCCTAAATTTGTGTATAAACCAAAACCATATGGCGATAACGATGAAGTAGGCTGACTGTAAAATTTAGTGTTTTAAGGGTGTTTTGTATTTTATACTCACAGTGATTGCGCCTGTGATGATGGTGTCTCGAATTCCGTTGAAATGAAATGTGAATATTTTGCTCTTTATTACCTACCGGCTATCGAGCAGCTACTGTATAAGCCAAACAAGAATATTGTAAACTGCCAACTGATTCACTTATGCAGCTGGTATTCCGCTTCCGCTCTCGATTTATGGCATGTTCAACTGCCTGTCATTTTGATGCCAAATTACACTTATACCAATTTTTTGCCTTATGTTCTTCCTTCATGTTGAACATGATTAATTTAATTTCCATTCTAATCCAACTTCACTATTCACGTTTAATGGACCGGTAGTAAAAAAGCTTGAAACAAATGTGCCGGCCTACGAAATTACGAAACCAGTTTTGGAAAAATATGTACATAGTACCGGTCTGTGAATGCCAACCCAGCAATGGAAACAAGCAGTATAATTGTAGCGATAAGTATAAAAGTTCGAATCACAAGAGAAAGTCAAAGCAGAAACGGCTGCAATTCTGTATTAATTTTATTACGAGTCCTCACTTGTTTCTATTAACTAAAGTTGATTTAAAATGAAGCACACAGATGGCGCCATCTTGATTGTGGTTCTACTGGGTATCTTTTGCATCTCCTTCACCACTTCCCAGGGGCAAGGAGCAGCCCGGCTAACAAATACGTTACATCGTAAGCCAGCGTCTACTGCCGATTCAGATGTTCTATCCTCTAACTTTTGGCGAAATGCCAAGGAAAAAGATTTCGACAGGTAAGGACATTTGTTTTCAAAAATATTTGTAATTAAAGCAGATGAAAGGTGAGGGACGTATCTTTGCTTGTAAGGACCAGTCTGCTCTGACCTTAATTTAGCTACCGTAATACTATTACGATAATAAGATACTGTGCTTTTTGTAATATTAAGCTTCATTTCTTATACGAGTACTACGAGCACTGAAAACCTTAGATAAAGTGCATACTGCAGGCCGTGTACAGAATGTGGAATACTTGAGAATTTTTGTGGAAAACATTCCATTGATTTGGCGAAGCTTCTGGGAAACGAATCGCAGCACCCTAACGCTTATGCATACTTGCATATGCAGATGTTTCTTTTTAAGAAAATTTTTAAAATTTTTATTTGCCTAATTTTACACGTTTTATTAAACCGCGATTCAGCTGCGCTGCACTAGGGCACGAATTTTTATTATTTTACATAATTTTTGAGTTTTTTTAGAGTATTCCTTCCTCATGGACTAAGCTTCGACGATCTCAGCCCCGCTCAACAAAAAAAAGTGTGGTATCTGATGTTCAAGAAAGCGATCAAAGCTAGGCAAAATCCAGGAATGGTTCGACCAGCAATAACGTTCAAAGAATCATCGCCAACAAACACAGATTACGCCGGAAACGAAATTTCCCGATCATAAAATGTGCGATTTGTTGATATTGCTCGGATAATACTTCTTGGCTCAGGAGTTCAGCTTCTTTGATGGCTTTTATATGAAGAACGAGCGCAATGTCGTAACCTGGACCAGTTGACTGGAAATAAATTAAGTAAAATTGATTCGCTATAACTCTATTTTTATGAGGGAAGACTAAAATGAACTGAACCGAGGTTTTCTGGAATAAAGTGATTAAAATAAACAATCGTTACGAACGAAATAATTATTGATTAATGCCCTGACCCTTCTCTGCGCTTAATGGCCCTGACTTATGAATTGTGGGCAGAACGCACCAGTACTTGTACTAATTTTATCAACTTTCCATATTCGTTACACGCAACATACAAAGCACATTTTTTCCAACAGTTTCAAAAAAATCACTTATTGAAGTTTTTCCTCAGCACCAACGATACACGCGGTCTAATTACAGAAAACACAGTGTCTTAAATTTGCTCCCATCGGCGCCGTTTCCAGGACAGATACCTCACTGCCTTGTTGTGCGATGCTGATACTTTATTTACCATTGGATCGGGTGGAGATGATCCGTAGCCCTTTTTCGCCGGTTGAATTCGGTCGAATCTTCTGTCTCCGTTGTCGAGGTTGGGTCAAGAAAGTATTTCATATAGTTGTTCAGCGTAATTCCATACCCCGAGTAAAACAACTTGCAAAAAAAAACGTTAACTTAACGTTAGGAAACGGCTAAAATTGACACACATCCGTTCACCTAGCGGTACTTAAAATGTTAAACTAACGTTTTTCCTACAAGCTGTTTTACTCGGGTACTTCTACATATCTATATAAATAAATATAGAATACTATTATTGCAGTACAAGACATACCGTGTATCATATTCATTTCAATGCAGTGACAATGAGAACCGGCCTACACCTACGGAGGATATTTAATATCAACGTGATGAATAGTATGCACTATATAAGAACTCCAACAGCTACAACCAACAACAACCTTCTCTAGTTTTCCGTCTGTTACCAACTTATCACTTTCCAATTGTAAAATTTTGTTGATAAATGAATGAATTTAATATTGTTGTTTCTCACGCTTTCGGCTTTTCAGATCTTCCATTACTTCTACGTATCACAATTTTTTGACTGCTTTTTACAGCATAATCTGCATAGCGGCGCGGGTTAATGGAATGACAGATGCAATAATTTTCGCAGGTTTTCGTACAAGAAAGCGTGTATTGTACAATTGGAGTACGCTGCAGTAGAGCAAGAAATTTGCCTCTGAAGCTGTAGTTTGCAAGAAATTTGTATAGAAGTATGCTAAATTATTCTTTAGTTGCAGCACGGTACCGTGGTTGCAGTATTACCTATGAAAAACTAATGCTGCACCATGCACAATTAATTTTACGTTTTATTTCGTATTATTATTATACAAACTTAGTTTACACTTTATACTTAGTGACCTGTCACATATGCACATACAGCCGCCACTTTCCACACTTGTTACACAAAACTATTCAAATATCATTCCGCGTAGAAGGGTGACTTTCCCAAGCTTACGATGCTATAAAGGCAACTTGAGATTAGATTCTCAAGTGGTTGACAAAACATCCCTCAAAAAGTCTCAGTCTGAAGTTGAAACCATCCATGATATGCAATAGCTGGATTCGCTGAAATTTGTACATTCTTAGTACACCTGTATCATGGCAGATCAAGTGTAGTGTAATGCCTTGCCTGTATGAGTAACGATGGAAGTGACCAGTCTCACTAGGAAGTACAAACAGGTGATTCATGCTTTCCTCGCTGGTCAGCAGATTCTGGAGGGTTTGGTTTAGTGTACTCAGTACTGTATATACACTGTACAGCAAGTGCTGTCACTGCAGTAATACATAGCGGTAAATAACAATACAGTACAACAACTGACAGTCTGCACGAATTTTGTACGTACATTAAACAGGATATGCACTCATAAACACTGGGTGTGCTAATAAAGTACCCATGTAAACCGTGCAAAGGTAAAGGAACAGCCGTTATAAGCCAGCAGCCAAAACCGACTGTGGTTAGTGCGGCTACTTTTAGCGATCAAGTATTTTATTGTGGTTTGAACTGGTGATTTTATTTGTTGACGATTTTCATGCTTCTGTATTTCCTGGCCTAAAAAAAATGGCCTTCCTACACTTTTTGTGTGTCTGTTCGATTTCTTCCCTGGCGTTTGCTGGATTGATTGACCGTGGTCAGGACGCCGCAGACGCGCTGAAGTACAGCAAGATGGAGGGATTTTTCCGTGTGGAGGTTTTCGTGGATAAACTGGACACCCAAGGAAAATCACATACTGGATTGTCGTGCGATATCTTTGACAAATGTGATCCTAAAGTTATGTGCTTTATCGATACGTAAGTACAGCTTTTTCCCATTGAATTGTACTTGTTTTATTAAATTGCATAGAATATGGCTTACCCTATTAAGTAATTGTTGTCCACAATTTGATATGTATTAGTAACTGCTGCAATACAACTCTGCAATGCTTCTGTTGTCTATATTTAGGGAAAAACCAAACAACGATTTTGGTGGCGATTCTGTTCCGTACAGCAATTATGTGACTTTATTTGATGGCAATAACGTCGACATTCCTCAAATTTCTCAGTCGATCTCTCGCGATGTATGTGGCAAAGCTCCGCGAAAAATTGCCATCCGATGCCGTGCTATTGATAAAGGTCCGTGTTGTAGTTTGCCATTGGCAATAAGGCATAATTAACATTTAGTCCAGAAAGGTCATATCTAGTTTTTTCACTTACCGTTTCTTTCGTTTTTTGTTTTGTGCGTTTTGGTTAATTTTGGGGTTAATGGCCGTTTTACGTATTTGTTTAAGCATTGAAAAATATATGTACTCGGTTCAAGTGCCCTGTTCTGTCTGTGCAAGTTTGCATAAATTTAGATTGCAAAGATTGGTACAGACCAGTGTTATGTAATAAGTTCCCCAAATCTTAAAATCAGTCGCTTTTAATTTGATTCGAGATATTTTCTGAGCAGTGCTAATTCTACATGTGCATTATATTCTTGCAGATGGCATCAACGATGATAAAATTGATAACTACAAATGGCATTTGACCAGTGACAAGTATAAGGTTGCCCAAAACGAGCAGGCTTCGGAGTGGTCGGCCGAAATTGCTATTCCCGGAGAAGACCGGCCTAGTTCCAAGTACGTATACAACTAGAAAAGCATTTGTTGGTTACTAACTTACTATTTATTTGTTTGACGATTTATGCATGTCTTTAAAATTGAGTGCAACTTGTGTAAAACATCATTTGGCTAACGTTCGTGTGGTTGTTAATTGCAGGATTTATGTCAAAGCCCGGATGTACTCTATTCCGGAAACGCAGTGCAGGCCTTCGACCAACGGTCAAGGATTATTTAGTGGTCTGTTTTCTAAGTAATCCGCAGCTTTCGATATTTGTTTAAGTACTATTTATCCGCCATTGATTGCATGGTATAGCCAGCCTGCTGGAAACGAACCGTGATAGTAGCGATCGCAGTTATTCTTTTAGTTTTGTACACGACTGCTATTGTTATTTGTGGATCGTTTTAGATCGCCAAGTGACACTGTTGATTGTTTATTTTACGAGCGTTTAATGCTTTGAAACTTGCGGCTGAATCAAATTGTTTGCTCAATATGCAAAAGAGAAATCAAGAAGAAACAGTACGAAAAGAAAGAGCCAATTTTCTGTAGTTTTACGTGACGAACTGTTAATTTAAAGCCTGAGCATCGGATTTTATCAGAATCTTTGTGTTTATTTTAAGAACAACAACAACCAAGGGGATTATTACAGTTATCACAATTTAAAAAAGTTCTGTATTATACTAATTGTAATAAAGAGGTTGGCAGTCACTAGTCAGTGGAGCCTGCTTTGACACCTTTACGCAGTGCACTAGCATGGTTCGGCAAAAAAGAAAATGGCACAGAATTATATTACATTTACACTATCATATGGTAGTGATATTTACACAATTAAGATATATATATAATTGTTTCGATTACCCTATCACTTCTCAGTAATATCGGGTGCGTGCAAGAAGAATTCGCACATATGCATCCGACTTGCAGGCAGCAAACTGTAAGTCCTGAATTCTAAAGATTAGACCATTCTTTAATTCTTGGGATGCTAAGAAAACTGGCAGGTCTTGGAAAGTTGGCTATCCGATTGGACTTTAGATCAAGATTTCCATCTTTCACCAGTCGACGCGTTCAGCAGCCAGTGACAGTGTTATACATGATCGACAAGTCCACCCACCTTGCGAGATCTGCAGAAAAAGTGAATCTATGATTTTCATTATCATATGTCGTTCGCTTTTTTCAGCTAAATTGTGAGAAGCTGCAAACTGCGAACACAATCATGTGGACTGCAGCATCCGTGTTTCTGGGAGTATTTGTAGCTTTGGCTTCTGCCGGCTTGGTGGATCGCGCTCAAGATGCGGTGGATGCGGCGCGTTATCCTTTGGTTAAAGGGCCGTTGCGCATTGAACTATACATCTCTAGACTGGACACTAACGGGAAGTCACACACTGGTTTGTCTTGCGACATCACCGACAAGTGTGATCCCACAGTGATTGCCTTCATCGATACGTAAGTGCTTTGCCGACATTGGCATTTGTAATTTTTAATAGCTCATGGATTATTAATTTGACTTGTTTGCAAATTGACCTTACAGACCAAATAAAATGTGCGTGTTGCAGTGAACGACCAAACCATGACTTTGGAGGCGATTCAGTGCCATATTCTAGCTACATTACAATTTTTGATGGTCGAGAGGTCAGCGTGAGATAGTCAGTAAAGAGCTGCATACTTACGAAGATTTTAGAGCGCGTTTACGATTTCTAATTCTTCGAAAAGCGCCAAATAAAGTTACCTAAAACTTTGGTATTCCTGTGCGCGGTCTGAGTATAAAACCGATATACTGATTTAATTTTTTGAATTTATATTCATACATTCGGGATTGGCTACCCGTTTAGTTCACCGCGATTTTAAACGCAGTGCGATTATGATAACAGAAACCTGGTTTATACCCGACAAGAAGTGAAGCAATATAATATTATTTGTGCACAGGTGGATGTTCCTCAAATTGATAAAACCATTTCGCGAGATGTTTGCACTGGAAAGTCCGTGCGAGTAAGTATTACATGCCGGACAATTATTCGTGCGGTCGCTGCAATAATGTTGCTTTTCTTTCTGTTTCAGAAAGTGGCTTTGAGAGTAAGCAATATTTCTGCAACATTTTCTTATTGATCTTGTGCAGCAGAATTCAGAATCATATTGTAGGTGCGAGCAATCGATAAGGACACCTTTAACGACGATAAAATTGACAATTATAAATGCTTCATAACCGGCGATCATACACCGGCAGAAAATGAACGGGCGGCTGAATGGAGCGAAGAAATCGCCTGCTCGGGAGAAGATCGAAAACAATCCAAGTATAAGCGCCTATGTTGCTTTCCGCTTCCGGGTTGCATTTTGGTACAGATTTTTACTTTTTTAGAGTGTACTTGAAATACCGTTGGTATTACATTCCTGACACACAATGCCGGCCTTCCAGCAATGGTCGCACCATTTTCTCAGGGATGTTTTCCAAGTAACCCGACGATCGCCTGTTAGCAAAGAGAAAGTTGCTGTCTTGAGTTAATAGATTCTTATTGAGTACGAATTTCACTGCTATTATGTTAATTTCTGCGGGTTGCAGTAACGGATTAGCTTGTGCAAGTAATTCTGCTTGCATTCTGAGTGATATTACCTAATACCGTTCATGTTGTTCTGATGATGGCTTCGTATTTGTTTCACGGAAAATACCGAGAAAACATTATAAGCTGCTCTACGGCTTCGTTACTAATACAATACATGGTATCGATATCACGATTACTATAATGGGTTCACCGTAGTGGTTAGCAATAGCAGTACAGACATACTCGTATTAGTATTAGAATACGGCGTGGTTTCGAATTTCAAGTGCGGTTGCGCGGTGGTCTTGTAGACTTTGACCGGAAACACCTTTTCTGTGGATAGTGAGTGTGGTTTTGTTTCTTGAACAGATTGCTATCAGCTACAGATTACTGCCAGTGTGCATGGATGATTCCTATATGCTATCGCACTAGAAAAGTCTGAGTCTCCACCTTATGCATAAGCACTGATATATAATTCACAGCATTCCGGTTTTAGAACGGCTACCTTTTAAACGATTTATAAACACTCAACAATATCTTGAACGTTTTATGTTAAGAGTAATTTATTTCTGATAAGCTAGGAGCAACATTAAAAGATTTTGCCGGAAATTCGGTACACGATGGCGACTACCTTCGTCCAATTTTTATTGCTGGCATTGCTAGCCGCGTTTACTTCCGGTGGACTGATTGACAGAGCCCAGGATTTGGTGGATACCAGATACCCTCTACGACAAGGACCGATTCGCATTGAAATGCACGTTATCCGCTTGGATACGAGAGGAAAATCCCATACTGGACTTTGGTGTGATATTACCGACAAATGCGATCCCACCGGTAAACTATAGCTAATTTCTGCACCTCTGCTAATACTAATACCCTAATATAAAACCTTGCAATGAATTCTTCAGATTTAATTAATATGTCACACAGACATATCTGTACACTGATCAATAACTCATGCGCGTAATAATGCTAAATTTTATTTTGCAGTGATTGCCTTTATTGACACGTAAGTGTGACCTCAGGCTGTTCTGGGCGGTCACATAATTACCGTACTGTGTACTTACGACCCTAATTTTAGGGAACGACCGAACCACGATTTTGGAGGTGATTCAGTTCCGTACTCTAACTACATAACTCTGTTTGATGGGAACAATGTAAGTTAGCGGCAACGCAAACTCTTTAATATTCAATGTATGCGCGGGCACTGTTAACTTTTTTTTAATCAGGTTGACGTGCCGGAAATCGGAAAAACTATTTCTCGGGATATTTGTGGCAAAGGTGTGAGGGTGAGTGAAAGGACAAACACCGCGTTATACTGGCGCACAATTCCATATCCGCACCAAAAACATATATGAGAAATATCGCGCTGTAATAAAACAGCCTTGTATTTGCAGAAAGTTTCACTAAGAATTCGAGCTATCGACAAGGACACCTTTAATGATGATAAAATCGACAATTACAAATGCCACATAACGGGCGAAAGCACACCCGCCGAGAACGAGCAGTCATCCGACTGGTCACCGGAAGTGGCCTGCAAAGGCGAAGACAGACCCACATCCAAGTAAGAAGATAAAAAACTATGCATTCCAAATTTATTTGCCCCAGGGATAAAACTGGCTTTTCTTTGGTTTTAGAGTATTCATCAAGTGGCGATGGTACTACATTCCAGAAACCGAATGTCGTCCCTCATCAAATGGACGAACATTTTTCTCCGGAATGTTTTCTTAGCATCGTGATAGTTTGTGCTCAGATAACTTATTTGTCTAATCCGAATCGTTTTGCTGTTTCTTTGTTATTGTGTGCAAGAGCTTTTTTATAATTCTGATCAATGAAGTAGTGTTGAGATCGATTGACCGAACGTTCTGTTTATCAAATACTGTATTATCACGTGACATGTTTCGGTGCTAAGAAATGGGACAGAACTGATGGCTTTATAAGGTTTCGCAGCTTCATCAACCAGTGCTATTAAAATTTTAACATATTATGTACAATTTGATGTCAGATGTATCTACGGAAAAGTCAACCGGAAAATTACCAGCAAGAGTGCAAGACTAATTTTAACCACTTGGCTGTGGGACTCCTTCATCTTATATTCGTACAACTCGTACCAAAATTAACACCAATATCGGCCTGTGATAAAGTCCAATTTGAGAAACAGGACAACGTACATACTCTGTATATAAGCTCTGACGGTGAATGTACTCGTGCAGATAGATTTAAAATGATGGTTGAACAAACTTGACACCACAAGGCACAAGCTGACATATTGTTATACGAAATCTTTTGCTACAGTGCTTGCGGATATTAATTTTCCTTTTGAATGCACGATCATTTTATCTGAAACTGTAAAATTTGTTCCAAAGGAAGACTTGTTGCATAGACCAAGACCATGTATGGCCCGTTGTTCTTCTTTGTTATTTATCTGACCTTCCACTGCGCGCGGTCTGGAATTATCGATCGCTTTCAAGATTCACAAGATGCTGCTACACTCCCCTTAATCGAAGGATACTTTCGTATCGAAGTACACATCAAGCGATTAGAAAACAATCGAGGAATATCCCATACCGGTTTACCCTGTGACATAACGGACACCTGCGATACACAATTTACCGGCATTATTGATACGTAAGTAGGCGAATGCAGTATTCTCGAGGTACTAATCTCAGTGTACTAATTCTACAGTTATTACTCGTGCGCCTAAAGATGTTCTAATGAATTGATTCAAATGAACTGGCTGTGGCATTTACATTTAATGTTACAAATAATTTTTAATGCACAGAGAGAAACCCAATCATGACTTCGGCGGAGACTCCGCTCCGTACAGGAACTGGGAGGCTCTGTTCCAGGGCTCCAATGTAAACTCCCCAGATATCAATAAAGTATTGGTTAAGGATAATTGTGGTAAAGGCATCAGGAAAGCCCATGTCCGATTGCGGGCTATCGATAAAGGTAGTGTCGAGCATACTCTGTAATTACAATGTACTATGAAAATGCATGGACTTGTTATGCATTTTCGTTCTGTAACGCGGACTAAAAATAGAATTTATCGAATTTTCCTCATACGAGCCTTCCATATTTTTCAGACACCGTTAACGACGATAAAATTGACAACTTCAGGTAAATATTTTTGCAGATGAGATTCAAAGATCAAACTGTTTCACAGTAGCGCTAGCTGGATGATCGTAATTTAGGTGATCGGTTTGATTTTCGCATGACCTTTAAGTTTTGTACGATTGTAGTTACTACATAACCGGAAACGGACCTAATGGAATGCCGGCCGAAACCAAGCAGTCAGCTCGATGGTCTGAAGAACTGTGGGCCAAAGGCCTAGATAAACCCGAAATCAAGTGAGTTACAATTTACAGCGAAAACAAATCTGGAATTACCAGTCGTTGATTGTTATGTACTACTGTTGAAAACGTTTCTGACAATCGAACGGCTGTACCTTATAAACTAGCAATTTACAAGCAGCTGTTGAACTGTTTTAGGGTGTCGCTGCGATATCGATGGTACAAAGTTTCACAGGCAGACTGTCATCCAGTCAAAACTAGCGGAATTCCCTTTATAGATGGAATGTTTTCTTAAGTACTCCGATACAGTAAATATCATGCAATGGAAACCTCGTAAAACGTCGCTTTTCGATTTTTTAGCCCTAGAATAACAGCGATTATTAAACCGCTTCTGGACATACTGTACAATTGTCCTTAAATTCATCGGTTATGCGATTTTCTACTGACTGAATCAAACCGTGCTAAAATACGGTGAATAGGATTTTGGTTAGCCGGGGACTTTGACTTGTTAATAAAAAAATACGGGCATAGAAGTAGATCAAAACTTGATATGTAGTAGTCAGTAGTACTGTTTACTTTTCGCTAACTATATAAAATCGTTCTGTCCACTCCTGTAGGTGTAGAAGCCCAACCCAGTCTGATGTGTAATATGAACAGGGACGAAATCGCAGTAAAAGTCGTAGTTTTGTTCACCACACATGTATCAATCTTTAGATGAATCTGCAGGCACATCATACGTATTATACTCGGCAGTTGCAACAAAGAGTCAATCCAATCAAAATCACTTAAATACAATCACAAAATTTTCAGTCACATAATCGTGAAGAACAGGACATAAGTAGCAAAATTAATAAAAATCAATTCAAAACGCATACTGTTGCCGAACAATGAGAATGAGCCAAAATCGATCACATCAACGGCTGCTGTCTTTACCATATTTCACGTCCATAATGAGCCCAGCAAAAACCAACAAAGTTGCCATCCACTGCAAACCCGACATAGAATTGTTGAAAAATATCACAGAGGCCAGAATCGTGAAAAATTTTCGCGTTGTAGTGATGATAGAACAAGGCAACGAGCCGAAATGTGCCACTGTCCGGAATATGAAATACTACACGACAGAAAAACAAAACAGTAGAGGACAACGCACAAGTCGTTTCTATCCTAAAAGTATCAAGATACCGCACCAGATGAAACATATTATAATCGGCTTAACAATCAACCAGAAAAAATCTGGCAAATTACCTGACCAACAGCGCTGCACATAGTAAAGGTTAAAAGATGCTCCATAACGAAAGGATACTCGATGATGAATGCCATAACCAACGCCAGTTCACCGGTATATAAGATTGCTAGGAAAAAAATAAGAAGAATATAATATTACGATTTATAGGAAATTCAATACTGATACATAACCAATGCCGCGCTCTAGGGAAAAATGAGAATTCGTTCTTTACTACAAAACCCGGCACTTGGTCACCGACACAATCTATGCTATTGTTTACCAAACAGGACTATTAAAGATGAGAACAAATTCATCCACATCATCATGGAATTCGGGCACATCACATAAACCGACTGCATTCGATCCTGCACAGCACCAGTAACTCCATCCATAAACAAAGACAGCAGCTATAAAATAAGGTATTCATAGGTAAATCAAGTGCGCGACTACTGTGTCCGAAAATCGTACCAGTAAAACTTCACCAAAACCAAGTTCCGTCTGCTTTTGAGAATCTTTCTTCCCGTTCTCGTAGAAAAACAAACATACACCGACGACGATGGCCATGACAAACATGTACTTTCTAAGAGGATACCGGCGTTGCGCAAAAAGGGCACCGAACACCATAACCGGAATGGGTTTGCACGATTTACCCAGTACCTGTTCCAATTAAAAATGTGTTCATGCTCCTTACAGCAACAAGCACTACATACAGCATAATCTCCCATTGGCCATTACTAACTAGATAACTAATTTTTTTACTTAATATAATTTTTCTGACTGGAAATTTTATCATTTTGATCTTACATTCTTACTTATCGGGTTCGAAATGTGGTGTTATACTACGAATGCAGAAGTCTGCGACGAAGAAACAGACTACGTTTTCCAAAATTTTGATGTGATCGCACCTGCGTGGGATAGCTGACGTACTGCAGCGCCAAATTGGATGACAACATCGCGACCAGATAGGACAGCGAGCAACAGCAATACATGGAACGGGGAGTACTGTCGCGGGCCTCACGGCTCAAATCCATCACTAACCCAGATTAAATACCGATAAAAACCCCAGGAAATGCATTTTAGACCTCAACACGCTACCGAATTTGGCAAAGATGGCATTGACGATGCACTGCAGGAAGACCAGTGTTAGCGTGTAGTGGAAGTGATCATTCTCGCCATACACACCACGTGTGCTGCACAAAAAAAATAAATTATCGTTATAATAATTCATGAAAGAACTTTCTAAATTTGTTACAATGATGGAATGATGAGGAGCACTGCTCGTTTAATCGGATCACAAGGGTAACGTCACTTCCGTGTAACACGTACATGCGCTCCTGGAGAAAACCGTAGACAAAGAACGAAACGAAGATTCCAACAGCGCAGACGAACAACTTGAATGAGCTTCCGCGAAAATGGGCCCGTGAAACGGTGGGAATGGGAGCGCCATTCGTTAACTTTCTGCCGACCACCGACGAGCGCGTCTGAAATTTCGTAATCGACGCATCCCCTCTTCCTGATTCATGGTATTCCAGAGGGCTACCAGAATCCATCAGATTTTCGTAAAACGGTAATATTAAGATACGATAATATGAATTCCACTTTTCGACCAACGCGGTCCGCACAGTCAGATTTTTGCAAATTCCGGCCAACAGATTATACGGCCAAAAAATGATGCAAAACTCCAATCTTACTGCGTAAAGACGATAAAGTGATTCAATTTCAAAAAGTGAAGAAATTTTTTTTTCTTGCATGGGAGTGCCCAGTGATTCGAAATCTAAATACTCAAAACACTTTGGGAAGACGAACCGAATACAGAGTGTTCTCATTGGCCAGTTTATAAACCACCCAGCACAAAAAAGCGCCAGTTCTTTTGACTTGAATCTTGGCTTTTCCGGAGTTCCATTCATTTTTGACACATGTTTGCTAAGTACTTATATTTATAATCTGCGTCACTAAACTTGACATCGATAACTCTTTTTATTTCATGCCCTATGTAATCTACATTAAAATCTACAATCTAATGTACAAAAAAATGTTAGGAGAGTGTTCTAGATGTTCTAAATTAATATTCAATATTCTACATCACTAGGTAAGTACGAGCACTTCTACTGCTTTTGCACAATCTGTTCAACAATCAACAAAAGCGACAACTGATGGTGAGCCCTAACCATTAAGCTGAATTATTACGTACAGCAATAATCAACATGCACTGTAAATCAACTACCAAATATTCAAAACCCAGAAATATGAATTTTCGACAGTTTATTCGTACTTCTGTAAACCGAAAAGATAACACTTTAAAATGTAAACGTATTGCCGATAACCTTGGCTAAGTCTCAACCAAAAAATTAAAAACTCATCAAAATCACAAAAATTAATACAGATCCTTTTCAAAATCGATACAGAGAAAAAATCATCGTTAAGCCTCTTTATCCAGATTCGAGGAGCGAGAACCGCGTGGTGTAGCCGGGCAAATAGTAATCACTGGAAATGCCGGATGCTGAGAAGCTTCTTCGTTTTCTTCCGAAATCTGCACATGCTTTGCGGCCCGTGAGAAAATTGATTTTTTCGATGTCCCTAACAGTGCTTGCTCAACATGTGGATCTTTCTTTTTATCGGAACGTGACCACCTTCAAATAACAAACACCCTAATTAAACCGGATCGGTACCATCGCAGCCGGACTAAAATTAGCGCTCGGCGCTAGCTACTACATACGAGTAGTGTTTAAGCGTACGTACTCCAAGACACTAATTAAAACATCACACTGCGCAGTGTGCACACTCATGTTACACCGAACTACCAAACTGCAGAATCTTTGACAAGCACCACTACCGGGCAGAAAATGCATGATACTATCAGGAAATAACTAAAGAATCGCCGTATTAGTACATGCTATACCTTTTTGATTGCGAGGGACTTTTCTCTTCTCTTTTTCCACCAGGGGTTTCTGGTGATGCCGGAGATGTCGGACGAGAGCGTTCATTGGCCTCCTCCGGGATAGACACGGGAATCTTCATAATATGCCCATTAGGCAAAGGTACCGACACGTGACCAGTTGATTCCGATTCCGTTAGGCCGGGTTTGTGCTCGACTTCCTCCAGCACCTTCTGGGCGTCTTCTTTCTTTCTTCGCGTTATTTCCGGCATAATATCATCCAGCAATACCAATTCCTTTTGACGAAACACGAAATCCATCAGCTTCCGAACTCCCACAAGAGCCAACACCTAAAACGCCGATTACAATTAAATTCCGCACACAAAACAACAACAAAAAGCGGCGTACCATTAAAGGAAACAATATTGCAGACTCGTCGAAGCTCTTTAATACCCACAAAAGCGCCAAGCAGACTGTTTGAATAAAGGTGAACAAGTGAATCCGCTTAATTGGCACATGACGAAGATAAGCGTAGTCGGGCTGATATTTCATCGGCATCAATAGCAGTACCAAACGATCCACAAACTGCGCACATGTACAAAAATTTATGACTGCATTACAATATGAACTTAAGCATTTTTTAACCTTGGGCTTATCTCAGCCTCAGATCGAGTTTGGTTTATTTCTAATAAGGCTCTTTCGATTTTTTGAGTTGAAAATCTACGTACATATATTAGACTGTAAATGTTATATTTTAAAGCACTTGCTAGAAAAATGTAAACCATAATACGTTAGCCCAATTAGTTATACCTGAAGTCCACCTAGCGCGGATACGCCCATAAACAGAAAGACACCGTATAATACTGGCATCGGGATCCTCTGAAGAAACAACATTGTTCGTTATATCATACCATTAGGTATCATTGAGAATAAAACGTTAGCATTTCTACTGAAATACCGATAATAAAGGGGTCATGAATACTGATGCGCCAATAAAGAGATAAATACAAAGTGTTGTTAAGCGATTCTCTCGGACACTTTCGAACTGTGTAGCTTCTCCTGGCACTTTGACATCCGACTCTTGCTTCAAACTGCTGACATGATTGATCGACAACACTGTGGCCGCTACCATCCACGGCAATCCCATAACCGCACAGAAAACGACCGACACCGTCAACACCAACAGATCCAAATGATAACCACATCCCTTTTTGAGCTTATTCTCCGGACGATTGACAATAACGGCGGTTATTTGTTGATCCATAAAAATCAATATCACAGCAAAAATCGCCGGTATGATGGCCGCCACACTGGTCCAGTAGGGGTTCCGCCCGAATGGATGCACCAGCCAGGAACGCTCCTGATTCGTCGGCGTCAAACCGGATGGCACAATTAATTTAGGGGTGTCCAAGCCCAAAATGAAATCCACCAGGGACATTAGGATAATGGCCAGTGTCACGCTGAAGTCACTAACAATTTGTCGCACCTATTCCAGAGATAATACTAACCACAGTCTTCCCATTTGCTGAATTATGGTCTACGCTTGTGGTGTACTTAGCATCCCGCGTACAACAGTCTATAACTACATTCTCAACACATTAGCTTTTCACCGCATTATCATAATATTATCGGCTACTTGACATCGGCACTTTTATGCGTATTTCCAAAGTGGAGATTAATGCAACGTTATAATGAAAACGACTGATTGAGTACTGAGTAACAATCGGTACATGCTCTCACTGTTATCCTACTGATCCTACCTTTGTTGGAAAGTATGGTTCACTTCGAAATGCCTTCAACTTGTTGGCCAGTACAAACGTTCCAAAAAATAATATCACAGACAGGAAAAGGACATCGGGCACATATGAGCATCCAGATCCAGTTAACGTCCCGTTATTAACTTTGCAGTTACGCCTATCCAATCCATCCTCTCCGATTTTGCTTAATCCTTGCGTCATATTGCACCAACATTCCTCGTACACTGCCGGGCACGCTAGTGGATACGTACAAACATTCCTAGTCTTCCGCACGGCGATGAGATTCTCAAAGGATTCCACGATGAAAATAAATGATATAAGTGCGGCAAATCCCTCTTCGGTAAAGCGAGTTATGTAGCGCACCAAATAAGAGGCATCGGTGGCCACCATAATTAAAAGAAACAGTCCCGTCCACATTCCGATCCAAAATCGAACAGCCAAGTAGTCCAAGTCGTACGACCTAACAAAAGAAAAACGTGCTTATTGAACTGTAATCTAAAAAGCATCAATACTATAATAAACTAAATATCCATAAACCATTCCACGGTGGCCGCCCCACGTAAAAAAATGTTTTTCTTAACTCACGCGCAAGTTTTAGTGACGATTGTCTCGAAAATGAGCACAGGTCCGGTACTACCCATAATGATCAACTGTAACGATACGAGCAAAATTATTAGCAAAGATAATACTTAAATGAACAACAACAATTATAACATGTAGCATTATAACATATTATGTAACACTAAAAAATGTGTATTTGGTTACAACATAATACGGCGATCAAAAACTTGTTGTTTGTAACAGTTTCTTCAGAAGCACATAGCTAGTGTACATTACAGATGATTCCACGCATATAATACAACCAATATACAGATATGGTTGCTTTAAGTGTACCATATCTGTATATTGGTTGTATTATATGCGTGGAATCATCTCTAATGTACACTAGCTATGTGCTTCTGAAGAAATTATTATAGTGGGATATAGTCCATCAATTTACCGGTTGTCCGGAAAAGAACGCCCAAAGTATACCAACAATAGCCGCGGATAATAAGCTTTCCATGGCAGCCTAAAAATATCATTGCAGTGGTAATTTCATTAAGGATAGTAGGGCATTAATTATAACACGAAGTATCCTCAATCCCTCATCACCGACCTCTCTACAAACCGTATAACAAGAATTTAAAAAAACAGTTCTTTACCATATCATTTCCGGTACGCATTCCCAGCACGGCTCCAAAGGCCACAACCGGCGTAAGGGTTGCGAAGTACAAAAATATTGTGGCTGCGATGCTTTGTAAAGCAATGCCATCGCGAAAATCACTGGCATAAAAACGCGATTTTCGTTTAATATCTTCCACTAATCCACCAAAGAATCTGCAATAAAAGCTATCATCAATTATTTAAATCTTGACAGTAAGTACTTACTTACAGCATGTAATGCACAATATGGTACATTATGTACCATACGTACTGTGCATTATTGTACATGCTTATGTCGAGAAAATTTTATATCATATTCACCTTCCTGTCCGAGTGACCTGAACTTCCTCTTTCTTTTCTTCTACAGGCGACGATACGGCAAGTGACCCTTCAGCAGACCGTTTTCGATTTGGCTGAAAAAGACAGACTGACCAACAAGCATAAGGTCAACTAAACAAAACAACGGTACCTGAGATGGGAGCTTTTTGGGAGGCTCAATCCGAATCTGCAAAATTTGCAAAATGAAGCGTTATGGAACTTCTTCCACGTCGCAACGAACCACATTTGAGGTAGTGGTAAAATTTACATTATCCGGGTTACAATGCATATACGAGTACATCGAACTTCCAGAAATTGTGTTATGTTTTCATATGGCGAAATCATAAGTAACACACACAAATTATTTTTTTACAAAAGCAATGTGCATTTATCGTAGAGACCAATACGGCTGCACGTGAAGGATGCATTTTACTCTGTAAGTACCGAGCGTTAATTGTTCAGATACCTGCGGATCCCATTCTCCAGGCGGCAATACAGTTACTTCCCCGAGGAATTCATCAAGGCCATCAATAATTTCTTTCTTATTCTTTGCTCGATAGAGACACTGTTGAAATACCTGGAATCATGCACAAATCCATAGCAGGCTACCATAGAACCATCTGTGGGAGTACATGTTCTGCTTAATTTATTAATTTGTCTGATTCAAACGTACCAGGATTCAATTATTTGAAACATAATATTCTGAAGTACTATCTATATAACTACCGGTATCTCAATGCTTAGGCCGGTATGAACTGGTATTGCACTGTGATGTATACTAACTTCATCAGAGCAAAGAGCACCCATAGCCCGTCCGATCTCATGAAATCTGGCAGCGTAACCGAGCGGTCCCAGCAACAAGAATACAAATCGTGTAGGAACATTAACTTCACTGAGATTTCCCACGCAAATATCGTTGTGTATCCGCACGAAGCCACAAATCGGTCGAGGAACAAATTCCACTTCACCCACCAAAATCGTGAAACTCTCTGTGTTCGGTGGTAGCTTCCTTGTGAAGTGCAGATTACCCTAAATACATTAATTAATCTTTCTTTCAGCCTGTCGCGATACATCTTTTCGGAATTATTTTTAAATTTTCAGCTCAAAAGGTACTGAAATAATAAAAAAAATACAAATTATTAGACTTGAATAGTACTTACCTTTACAATTCGTGGGCAATTTTAAACGAACAAGGCATGCATGTGCAACTTAAACTGTGCAAGATAAGGGCTCCCAGGCTAAATGCATAACTGCGATAATTATGTTTTTGCGAAAATTGTGCAAAATTAATGGATGTTCTGATGTTCGCTAAAACTTTATGAAAAATTTATTTCATAATTACAAAGTCAGCCGCGCATGAAATACTGCCGTATATATTAAACTGACCCGACTGGCATTCCGGATAAGTACACCGTCGGAGCCATCTGTGCTGATCATGGACGCGGCGGACATCACGTTAGGAACATTATCACGGCGGAGATTATTAGGGAATTTTTCACTGAAATCACCGGGTCGACCTAATGGTCCCGCTGTTGCAGGAGGCACCCCTGCGGCGGCATCTGACATGTGTGTCATGCTAAAGATGCCCTGAGAAATGCTCCTTTTCAGGCCCGACAATTGTCGCATGGCGTATGACGTCCTGTAATCACCGCAGCCTTCAAACTGGTGCCGGTGCCGGCGTAGAAGTACATCTCGCACTTGATCGCGATGATAATCTTGCAGCATCCCTTTGTGGATCCACTCGTTTATGATAAGGTCACACAGCACCGGCAATGCCTGTATTCGAATTAATAATGCCAAAAAAGTCTTCCAGTAAAGTGTAAACCAAAGAACTGAGTAGCAGTATTTCAAATTTGAAAGGCAAATGCAATACTTTTTAACAAAGAGCACTTTAGAGACTAATGCGTTAAACGAATAGAGATTAGTATAAATTAGTATAGCGTTAAACGAGATTAGTATAAAAAAAAATGACTAACGCTTCAAAGTATTAAGAAAGATAGCCATAAAAACAGAATCACGTTTTTGGTAAAACCGCAAAACGTATATTCCTGATAAAATCCAAAAACAAAAAAGCAATTTAGTGAATACAGTAAAATCATTTTATTTAAAAAATTATTTTGAACTGTGTTGTCACAAGCGTTTGATCTAAAGACAACAACGTACCACAACGTCGGCTTCGAGTAACATGGCACTCTGACAAATAAACGAGCGTAATTCCAGCAGATGATGAAGCGAACCGGTAGCGACAAATGGCTTCGACCTGACAAGAAAGGTTTCAGATGGTGGTTTGTAACAGAACACAAGGGCACTTAGTCATTACAGAAAGCACCAAATATAGTACAAAACCCATTACCATCTGTTTCCGCCCTCCTCTACGTCTTCCTCGAATTTAATCCACCTATGAAAAGGCCAAATACGTGCGTGCATAATATGCTTCAATCATATTCATCAGGCACATAATCCGTTAATAATCAAAACCAACCTTGCGGTTTCTTTCCACTCCAAAGACCCGTCCTTGGCCGGACGTAATTCCTCCATTTCGCAAAACAAGGGATGACTGCTCGTGCCGTTCTGCGGCGTTTCTTCCACCATCTCATCTCCATCACCCAATGTGAACTGGATGCCAAATTGTGACGGTGCTATAATATAACAATTCAGTAATTTGCAATCTGGTTAAAAGGCTCTAACAATAACATAAAAAGGTCAATCTTAGCATTATTGCATATGTGGAGCACATGTGGTAAAAGTCCATATAGCTTACTAATTTGCTTGCAAGAAATTATCACTTTAAAATAGGTGAAATTGTGGGCGATTTTAAAAAGCTAGCCCAAGAGACAATAGCAAGCAGAGACGACCTAGTTGTTTATTTAAAAAACCTGCCAATAAACCAAGATATTTCAAACTGTCTGAAGTGCCGTGCAGAAAATTAAACCTTACCTATCGCCAGATTTAAATTTATCGACAAAGAAACTGCAGAATTATGATGTTATAATAACGACTAATTTTTTAGGATTTATTTGAATGATCATAAGCAAATCAACATGGCATTTGGAAAACTGTAAACTAAAAAAATATAAAACTGTTTATATAACTGTTTATTTTGGAGGTTAATTTGGTAGCCAATTGCAGTCGGTATCTGGTACAAGTACTGATGGTACCCGGTGAGAGCAAGCGTTTTTAGGACGTTATGCCGGAATACTGCATCTGATCATGATCGAACAAACATATAATAACGATACACAAGAGCCCACGACGGCAGTAAGCGCTTACTTACCATGGTTAGCGTTAATTGCATAATAAACTACTTATTAACAGTCAGCAGTGCTTAAAATAACACTTTCCACCGTGTGTTGGAGGGAAAATATACCCTGACAAGAGAAAATACACATGAATAATACCACGCACGTGTGTACACTTGTCTGCAACGTCAACTCTTCAACCGGCATAAAATATTAGCATTCAGAAAGTTGAATGAATGCCTGCCGAACCGATGCCCATAAAGGAAGTACTCATCCAAATTATAAACAGTTTGAAAATGCTTTATCATCGCGCAAAAGAACACAATAGAAATCAACCAAAAGTATTTTCGCTGGCTTCCGACTGGTTCTGGTAAATTTTCTGCACAAACATTTTTTCACATTGAATCACGAAGTCACAGTTCACCGTCAGTACAAGATTAACCAAAAACTACTTATGACCAAGCAGAAACAGTTGCGAACGTTAAGTAAAACATTATTCACTGAATCAATTATCGGAAATAAGAAATCAGGTTCGGTTAATTTACAGCCGATATCAACAATCAATCGATTTTATGTAAAGTAAAAAACAGCTTTACTGTGTTAGCGTGTCGTACAGGAAAAAGTTTTTCCGATGTTTAAATTTTGTTTCGGTTTCACCACTTCCAGTCAATTACCAGTACGTAACAGCATGTCTGAATTTCGACAACCTAATTATAAACAGTGCCAAACTAACGTTAAAAGTCTTTTATATGTAATACAAACGTTCATTGACGGATTAATGTCAAATCCGCTCTAATAATGTTTTTAAGTACTGGACGAAAAAATAAATTTAGGTGCTTGTTACATTTTATCCATACGCATCATATGGCCTACAGACGGGTACCGTAAATAAGCAGACACACACACGGGTTATGATTAGCTAAGGAGCTTACACGCCGCGGTTTCATCCGCCGAATGTAATCCCTTCCTCGATCCTCCTCGCTGACGGCGACTAATATGTTGAATATCGCCCACCGCTGATGAATAATAACTTGCACCATGCGCAGCATTGGCGGCATCAGTCGGTATCCCTAAATACAGGGCGACAGTGTAAAAATATTGTGCAACACACTGCAACAACAAGGTACACAGGAAAACATTACGGGATGATGGATTATGCGGTGCCGACGATGTTGCAGCCTTCCGACTGCCAGAGCCGGAAACCGTACTGGCGACGTTGGCCGTTTCCATGTTGATCTCCACAGAATCCCGCACCTTCATTATGCTATCGTGTGTCCAAGTTTTGGCATAAAATTTTTGGATGAAAAAGCAATAACTAAACGTAGTCACAACGGATTTTCCTGAGCAAGTGTTGCATTTCGGATACTCTGATGCAGATGCAGTCGAACGGCGAGTTACTTTGACACCAGTGGGACGCAAATTAATGACTGGTTATGCTGCAGCGGCAAGTATGTGCTGTATAATGAACAATTCATTCCGTCGTAGGTTTCTTTGAAAAAACATTTCGAAGTACGAAGCTAGTAAAATGCATATCAAAACTTACGAAGCCAGACTAGTCTAATAACGCCAGATCACCGAACTGGTAAGTAATCATTCTTGTCTTTTTCTCAAAAGCGTCAATATGGTAGCCGCCACAGCGTAGTACTGTAGTCGCTGTAAAATACTGTGACGAACGCATTCGAGTACGTACCGGCAAAGATATGTGCGGGGAACGGGCCGAGCGGCTCTACGTTGCATTGTACCGTACGTACTGCCTACTCTATGACCATCTGTCTATTTCGCCGATCGATGGGCTTGCTTTGCTTGTTTATTGTCGTTCACGCAATCGATAATCCCGGCCAGCTTCTTCGGCTACGCTATTCAGATCTTTAGAATTACAAAATGTTGCACTCTGCGCTTGGAGAGTCATCGGATGGTAGAAAACAAATGCAGCGTACAGCACTATATTACAGCGTCTGCGTGGCGATTATCGCGTGTCCTCCCAATCTTTTGTAAGGCTTTTCTTAACAATTTTACGACTAAAGGACTACCAACACAGTAGGCTACACACTACGCTACCAGATTAAAACAGTTTTAAAATAAAAAATTAAACCGTAAGCCAACATTATTTAATACGAAAGCAACAAATCCGCCAAATCGCACACTGAAATTACGTTTCCCAAACAGTATAATCTCGGAATACCTGAAATGTTTTCTTTCGCAAAACATAGTACGGATGAATATCAGTGCTGCCAAGTTTTCAACACCCTAAGTATAAAAGGTCATGTATACCGGCTACTGTCTAGTGTCATACACCCGTACATGTTTCTTTCTTTATAATTACTGCTCCCCAACATCCTAAACACAGTACCTCTGAAACCGACAGCTCGCACGCTATCATCAAAATCAAAGACCAAGTGCGCAAAAGACGGAAATTCTGAACAATTATTCCTGTTCGTTAATGACAGCCTTCTTCCGCTCAGGAACATATGGCACAGCTCCAGGTTTACTGTGCGCTCGCCGGTTGGCTTCCTTCCGTTTCTTACTGAACCGACTCTCCTGGTTCTGTTTCTTGGCATTGTAGACGTGCTTGGGTAAGTGGCGGTGACGTAAAATGCGTTTGACTTGCGGATGATGACCGTATTTCTCCTTTAGCTTCTCACTGTAGCGAAATGCAGCGGTTTCTCTGGGAGCCAGCTACAACAGCCGACAACCAATCATTCTCATGGCATGTACAGTGCTATCGCGTCAATTTATCTGAATAAATTCTGCACACCCAGTGTATACATTTCTGACAATAACTATGGATTAAATAGGGCGCGAGTTCTAAATTTAATACTGTACACAAAAACCCGATATTGACCTGCAGCAACTATGGGATATTTACTTTGATATGTGTGTAAAAAGGATTTCTACGCCCGAATACTAGCCAGATAATCAAACCGCATTGAGAAAAAATTCGAATTTAATTATATCAACGATACGCGTGTACAGAGTTATAGACCCAGTCCTAACCACCAGCGAGGCTCATCCAGAACTACTGAATACATTAATGCAGTCCGCATAATTTCATATTCCCAACAGCGCTAGCATAAGCTAATAAGAGCATCGGTACAGTATGAACAAATCAATAATTAGAACGAAAATCTGAAACACTCACAATAACTAAAATAATAATCTCATCTTTCAGGTAAAGCAATAGCTGCCTGTACATTTATAGATAATTTCAAATTGCTACGCAAAGAAATGTCAGGACTTACGTAACCAAGTTTCTCCGAAGCGTGAGATTTCCATAGACGGATATTCATTTCATCCGATCCCGAAATAATGAAACGATTATCGCGACTATATCGGATGCTAGTGACACGCTGCATTCTCTTAGTGTGATAGATCTCCCTGTGGTTAGAGTTGACGTCATCAGACCATAAATGACACCAAACACCCAATTTTCCATTATATCGTGACAAAACAATTTCTTACCGACTATGGCCTTTTTCGACGGGAAAAATACGTATGGTCTTATCGTAACTGGCTGTCACGAACTCTTTTCCGGTTGGGGAATAATCCAGATCCAGTACTGCCAAAGAAAACGGTGCAGAATGACAGCTGAATCTCATACGAATTGCAACCCAATAACGCGTCTTCGGTGAACAAAACCATATCACAGATACAGTTAGTTAAAAAATTGCTAATTGCTGCTCATTTCAACCCCACAACGGTCACCTTGGCTAAAAAAATTAAGCCATCTCACCTGCTGAAACATGGTCGGAATAAACCATAGTGGGAGTCGAGAGGTTTCTCATATCAAAAGAATAACAGTTGTAGTCTTCGTTGGCTGCGGTAAAGATATATGCTTCCATGGGATTCCAGCAAAGCGTGTTGGTTTTCATAGCGAGCGTAACCTGGCCAGAACAATTTCTATCCATACGGTTTTCATGTAACAACGAATATAATCAAAAAATATGTAATAACAACTAAAAAGACACTACTTTAACTTACCTTGCGCAACGGATTTGCCTGCCGAATATCATGCAGCACTATGCTTCGATCCGCAGAACAACTGGCGATAATATTGGTCTACAACGCCATCAATAACGGTCACGCGCGTTATAAGAATATCAATTCTTCAACCAACGATATCGCAATACGAACCTCAATGCAATTAAATTTCGCAGCATGAACAGAATCCGCTCCCCATGAGTACGAGCGGATAGGGTGAGAGCGCGCTTCATCCCAAATTTCCACAGCTTCACCACAAGTTGCATATTTGGAGTCGCTGTAATGATGGTCAATCGACAAAAGATTTGTCTGCAAAAAATAAAATTTCAAACAATATATCTTATCCGAAGGCAAAACTGAATGTCAACAAATAAAAATCTCCGGACACGAGAAATTTTATTAAGAAAAAATACTACCCAAATCATCCGTGCTCAGCATTTTTTTTAGATTACTACATACTTTTTGGTACATTCCTTTCAGCAGCAATAAATGTCATAATAAAAAAAAACAAAGGAGAATGAATAAGTACTTCACTTAGCGAAGAAAACAGCCATCCAAAAGTTTCTAACTCCAAAAGTCTTTCAGTACCTTGCTCATGAGCGTCCCAACGGGCTCAGCCAGATCCACCAAATCCCACTGTTTAATATTCTGGTCATCTCCCACCGAAAACACGAATTTGCCGTCGCTGCTAAAACACAGACCCCGCACAATGCCGCGATGCGCCTGGACACTTCGCAGACACCGCCGGTCCGCCAAATTCCACACACGGATCTAATCAACAAATAATCAAAAAAATACTGGAACGCCGCCAAGGGCTTCTCGCTCTTTGAACCTACTTCTCCATCGTACGCTCCACTAACAAGGGTCGACAAGCTCTGAGGATGACAAATAAGGCACTGGACACCGTCACGATGTCCGTCCAACGATCCGATAAATGGTTTTGCAAACAGTCGCTCTAACTTGGCTGAATTCACAGCACGAACGTATTCTCTGGCCGCTTCGAATGGATGTTGGGAAGGATCATAATTACGGGAAACTTAATAATCAACAGGAAAACCACCATCAGCAAAAGAAAGTTCAGAAGTTTCGAGTGATTTGCAGTTACCTTTTGGAATATCCCGTTTTGTTTCCGGCAAATACTGGTCTGGATTCCTACTGAGAATTTTTACCTTCATGACTGGATCAATTAGATGCTTCAGTTCTTCGAGCAATCATGCAGAAAAATTGTTGAATGACAGAATCACAAAATCAAAAAAACCATCATTTACTGATTAAAAACAGAAGGTGGTCTGCAGCAGTGAAGCAATTTTATAGATCACAAATTAAAATCTCAAATGCACTAAAAATGCCAGTGGACCTGTACAGGCTTTACTTGTTAATCATTAAGGTTTAACAGAAGAATAGAAACTGGCAGTATTCAACACACACTATAAAAAAGACACATACGTTTCACCTTGGGAAGAACCCTTAATTAACAGTAGATTAGAATCATTAGACAGCCATGAACTTGGGAACTTCAAAAAATGGGAAGCGAAACCGGAAATGCTGTTTGATTTAAGCATGGTGCCAAACACGTTCGGGTGGCGGTGGCGAGCTCGTCGAAGTTTTTGAATTTCGATACAACCATCTCGCCGGACCTCTTCGATCATCAGAAATGCCGCTCGAAATAATTCATTTTGTAAAAAATTTCATCTGCTGTCTGCTGGCCGTTTAAAATGAGGAATTAAAGGCGGCAGATAGTTTTAATTTCAATTATGACAAATTCTTAAAATAATTTCCTGTGCTGGTCTTTGCAAGAAGAGCAATCAATTAAATAGGAAATTTTTAAATCGCCTACGTAGTAGTAAGTATTTCTTCGGCGAAAGCACAAGAAGTGTTCGATCTGACTCCAGCCCTTTATTATCGTCACATGACTTGGCCCGGACCGTTGCGGAGCCGCTCTAAAATATCGCACTTTTGCTTTTTTCAGTGAATAAAAGCATGTTTGTAACTTGTAGCTCCATATTCAGTACTTACTGTATGTAGTTGGTACTTTTCGAGCGTACTTTTCGAGCGTACTTTTCGCTCGCAACACACGTACTTTTCGAGCGTTGTTGTTTGAAATTATTGATCGAAAACTTTTCATTTTCCAATGAGCAAAACAGTAAATGAAACTGCTAGTTTGTTTTGCGTTTTTATAGTTAAGCCAGTAAATGTTCCGTTTCCATGTGAGTTTGTTACTTGAACAAGAAACCACATCAAGTGTGGATTTTCCCTCTATTTCCTTGGTGTTTGGGTATGAGCAGTGATCGTATGAGCTCAAGAAGTTGTAGCAGATTGTTTGTTACATTTTACTTGTCAGAATGGTTTCTTCGATGAATCAGTTTGATATTCATGTGAAAGAGTTGTTGTGGCACAAAGAGAAATGGGAAAGTAATTTTCAAAAAGCCTCCCAAGCTGCTAACAGCCTGGACGATGTGGAAACTCTTAAGAACAATCTGGTATGCGTTCGCAGCGAACAATTGTCAAATTTCGTCTCTAAATGACCGGGCTTTTGTGATTTATATAGAGGCGAATGAGGGCTGTGTTGGATAACTGTGAGAATTCTTTGTTATTTGAATCGTAAGTATCGTACCTTTAACCCGATCGTTGTTGCATTATTGGTAAATGCTGCGGTGACGCAGGCTGGCTGTGACACTAATCTATTTTTCATGACACGAACCTTTACCTACTTCATCAATACTTTTTCCCCTAACAGGGGCCAACAATGGGATCAAAGTGCTGTTAGGAAGGCCTCCATAAAGTCTATATCAGATATAAATGGAAGCGGGACACTTCTGACATCCAATTCATCCAGCGAACGTTCATCGAATGGGTCTCCGTTCCAGTTTGCAAGTGGAGATGGTTTGATGGGGTCTGGCGCTTATTCATCTGCGTCCTTAGGGAACGACGACTTCTACGATCCTTTAAACACTATTTCGGATATTTTAACGGAGAATCATGATGTCCTTGAACCCACTAGCTCCATGTATTCGCTTTCGGAAAGCACAAGTTCTCTTAATTTTGGCGCGCCAGTCAATGGAACTAATCAGACTGCTAGTTATTGGTAAGTCGTTTGCACAACAAACATTTGCCTTTTCCGATATATGTGGAAGAGTTGCTTTACGTGATCGAATTGTGACATTATATTCCCTTTTTTGTGTACAAGCACCCGTTGTGAATTACGTAGTTAGCTGAAAAGGTAATACACTGCAGAAAGATTTCAAAGGTGTTTGGAGCATCCAGTTTTATGAGCTTGCTTGCAGGCCATCGACTTCTGCTTGGTCGACTAGCTCGTCCACTCCTCTGGATATGTTTTCTGCCTTTTCATCAAGTCCAAAACCATCTTTCGCTGCCGTAGCACAGTTGCCCGCGGTGACATTGCCAGATACAGCGGCGCAGATTCGGAAAAGTAGTGATGCCTCGTCTCCACCGACAGTAGCGAAGAGTGGACCAGTAATTGCTGAAACTCCTCTGTATATGAATCTTCAGAAACCACATTTGGCAAAGTGAGATAAACTGTTGGTCACGACAACCTGCATTTAGATTAGTGACAATGTGTTGCCCTTTTATCGCAGGATCATTTATGTTTTTCCTTTGAATTATAAAATGGATGAGTCAGTATTGGAGAAATATTTTTCCCAATTTGGCAAAGTGGCAAAGACTAAAATTTTTCGTTACCCCAATGGTGCCTCAAAAACCGCGGGAATTGTGGAATTTGAAGACGCTTCTTCTGCATTAATGGCTTTAAAAAAGAAGTACCATCACGTAGATGGATGCCAGATTGAGTCCAAGCCGTTTGAGGTTAGTTGATAAACTCGCGCGATCGTTGTGCTGATCACTGATAACGACTGTTATGTACATAACCTTATTTTTTGCAGCCGAAAACCAGTGATTTGGCGAATACAACAACTACACAAGGGCTGGTTTCCCGTAGTAGCCATTTCGTCAATAATACTGAATTTCAGGTGTTTGTTGGTGGTATCCCAGCTACTGCAACGGATGAAGACATCGAAAAAGCGATCACTGTTTTTGGAAAAGTAGGAATTCATAGTTGCAGACTTCCTATGGTACATTTTAAATAATTCGGTACGTATACTTTACTTGTTTTTATGTAGGTTAAAAAAATCCAAGTCAATCCGAATGGAACCTTTGCTTTCGTCAGCTTTGCCACTGAATCAGATGCATCGAAAATTGTTGGTGTGCATAGCATCAACATCGGGGGAAAGCTGGTAAGTCATAAGTGCGACCATGATTACAAACATTCGCTATACCGTGCTTGATGTTTTATACATGTAAATGATTGTATCGATCATCGTTTCATTCACTGGTGACGTATGGCACGATATTAATATTGTCGGATAAAGGAAGTTATAAATGAATGCCCCTAGGGAACGGTATACTCGTAAATGTCGAAACGTTTGTATTGCTTCATTCTATCGGGCGTGCAGTGCAGGCGGAGCACAAGAAGTGCGGATTGTTATGTAATCAAAAAAACGTTTTCAAGTTCACATTGCAGTTTAATGTTCTTCGACGTCCTTGAAAGTTCAACTTTTATGAGCGTGTTCTGAATTGAATTGTGGTGAAAATTTGTTTTCGGTTAAGCATGTTTAAAATTTATTGGCTTTCCAGCAGTTCATGTAAAGCACATTTGGATAAGCGGAAGACAAAAAGCTTAGTCGGGTTTTTAGTCGATTTCTTTAACCAGGTTGAATGTAAACGGAATCAACCACAAACTCAGCGCTCACGTGCCAACACGAGCGACAGCAATCCCCCGGCAAATATCGCCGTTTCTCCTCCGGCATGCCAGTTTTGCAAGAAGCCGAAAGTTAAAGCACTATTAACGTGTGATCATCGCGTGGATTGTTTCGAATGCGTGAAATCACAACGTGTTTGCCCGAAATGTGGCGGTAAACTGGATTTATCGAAAGAGCCAGCAAAACATTTGTCTAGCACGCCTTCGTGAAGATTTGTAAATATGAATTTTTTTACTTTTCCTTAAATCCTTGAAAATGAATTTTTTTGACGAGCATTGCTTATGAAAAAACTGCTATGAACAGCATCCATCATATAACGATCATTGTTATGGTTAACCAGCCAAATTCGCTCAGCTAGTATTAGAAAGCACTATAATTTTGTAGGAATCATTGAAAGTTCCTTTCTTTTTTATAAGGAATTATCTTTCGTAGCCTTGTTGTATGTTTGGAACATCAAAATGCCTGATGGGCATTTGGCTGGTTTCGCGGTTATCAAAAGTTGAAATATACAAATAAAGGGCCTCGCCACTTGCATTTCTTGAATGATTTAATCTATCAGTGATCAAACAAGAACAAAATTGAGACAAACCGTATAGAAACAAACATGTTCATTTTACCATATCTTTCGGGGCTTTGTACAGTACAATATTTGAATCAGCAGAAACGGAAACGAGCCGACTCGCCGATGGGTCAAAACCAACGTCCCACACCATTTTCTCGTGCACTTTATCGAATACTTGGATATTCTCGCGATTTGGCCGCCACACGCGAACGGTACAGTCTATCGAGGAGGATGCGATTCGCATATTGTCGGCGGCAAAATCGACTGAAGTCACCCAGGAACTGTGACCAGTTATTGTTGCAATAACGGGCCCTTCGCTTGGATTGAAAGTTCTAAAAAGGATTAATATCAATATATTAGGCAAGGTTATCTTCAAATGTCATGACTGGCATCCACTGATCCACACATCGAAGCATTTTTTGGATTGTTCATTTAATGGAAACACTAAAACTTCACAAATATCGCATTTAAAAACAGCGCATTTGATTACCTGATAGACCCATCTTCGCTGGCGGTAATCAGCAATTTGGAGTCGGGACTGAACATAACTGCACGAATTGGCCTGCCGTGCGCTTCGACAGCGTGGAGCAGCCGATTAGCCTGGAGATCAAAGATGTATAACATCCCTTCACTGCTGCCAGCCGCAGCGTATTTCCCATTAGGACTGAAGTGGATGCTGAATATAAACTTCTCTTTGGTCTGCAACACGTCCGTTTCCTTGCCCGAATTAACGTCGAACAGCCGAATTTTTCCTTGATGAGCGGCTGTACCAATGAGTGACGACTGTGGCCGAAACGCCAATCCCCAGCATTCCATTTTGCCACCTAGATCGCGGAAAAGAACAACATCTTTTGAAGTAAAACTTATGAGTTACGACATACATAACATTTTCTGCCGAAGGATATTCACCATAAATAAAGAAAACCTTGTAGCGCGAATCAAAAATACAAAAATACCGAGACACGATTCTTATTCCGAAGAGTCGGTTACGAACTTACGACTAAAGATAATATGTAATATGTTATTATATGTAATAATCTATGTAATATGTAATCAAATATTCCACATAATAACAATGGAACAGTTTGCTTGGAGTTAGAGTCCGTAACAATACAGGTAAGTTAAAGTAAGTACTTACATTCGATCGTGCGCAAAAACTCTCCAGTGTGCAAATCCCACAATCTAATCGAAGTGTCCAGCGCGGAGCTGGCTAACATCTGATTATCGGAATTAACATCCAAACGCAGAATACCCATCCGATGTCCTGTTAATTTCTTGGCTTCTTCCAGCTGATTCTCCGTGCAGCGCCACAACCGAATTGAGGTATCCAGCGAACCTAAAAATAAGCAAAGAACAAGTTGATTCTATGAAGCATGAGCAGATGCTACACGTTAGTTTTCAAGTCGTTTATGTTGATTCATTACGGAACGGCTGTCATTTTGTTTTGTTATGAATTTTGTTTTAGTACTCAGTATGTACAGTACTTGTATGTGATGCTTATTAAAAGTAAGACGCTTTTTAACGGAAAAGTAAACTTTCTAAGGTACCTGTGATTATAAGGTCCGAACTCGCTCCAGTAGAAGCCCATTTACATGCCCAAATTTCATCATCGTGTGCTTTTTTATAAGTGCTCAACACGGAATAAGCCATTTTTTGCCTGTTCAAGACTGCTGGTACTCCATCCAACAAACTGGATAAGGACGGTCCGACAACAAAACTCGGGCTTTGAAAAAAACATTTGGCCGTCATTTCGTTGGACCGTGGAGTAGCGTGTATAGCATATAAAAATATAATAAACAGATGCTTAGCGCGGTTAGCACGGTGCTGTCAACTCGGCGCGCTACGCTCTGATGGTTGTTTGGATTTTGGAAGCAAACAGCTGATTCAGTCGGTGCATCAATTTTCTTTCGCAAAAGCCAAAAGCTGACGCATCTTCGTCTTTAGTTCAGTTGCGTTTTTTTGTTTTCAGTTTGCTTTGAATTAGTTCGAATACGGTTGCTTTTAATGAGTTGGTTAACTTTGTTTCTGATTGCATCTTGGCTGGAGATAATTAAAAAGTTATAAGTGGACCTGTAACTTGTTGGACTTGTGTTGGTTGGTGTTGGACTGTTTTCAGCGGTTCAAGGACTTCAGTGGTGAGCTGTATGCGCCGTCTTTCCGTTTCATGGAACCACGTTAATTCTCCTTACTTGCAGAGCCCTGTGGAACTATAGCGATCATATTGCAGCTTGTGGATGTGTACAACGGTACAACCAATGTGTACAAGCAATGGCTGCGATGCTTCTTAGTTTACGGTGTGTGAAGAAAAGCTCAGCAGTCAACTGAGTCAGCAGGCCCAAACCTTCTTGACACGCTATCTGCAATTCATCTACGGTGATGAGGTGATCGCAGAGATTTGAAATTTTATCATGTCGCGACGGTTAAAGAACGGCAAAGCTAGTGTGTGCTCCGACTCAAATGTTGGCTCGCAAAGCACTAAGGAACGGGGTCCTGTCCATGATGCGTCTGTCAGCAGTGATGGGGACCGGGAGAGAAGCATCAAACAGCTTACCGCCGTGTGCGGGGAATGTATTTCCACCCTTAACGGGAGCGTGAGCGATTATGGAAGAACTTCGCTGGCGAATCTAAAATCTTATTATTCACACCAAAAAAGATTATATCATCGGCGAATTATTGCTTTTATATTTTTATGTCTGGTTCTATCTTTCGGATGTTTCTGGATGCTTCTCTATACTCAGTTTGGTGGTGCGATATTCAGGATATTTTTAATTAAGGTACAACTTTCCTCAAGTCGGGTATAGTACTGTTCGCAGTGAACCTGGTTAATGCTAACGGAAATGATGGGCTCAGTTTTTTATTTGCATTTGAAATTTAGATGCAACCTTTGTGGGATTGGTCTAACCTGCATGATCCACCTTGTGTATTGGAAAATTACTCGATGGATAATGAACCCGTATCGAATGCCCATTGCGTGGTCAGTGTGTGGTTTTTGATGAGATTATATATGGTCAGAAGTCGCTTCCAGAAAGTGCTCAGGAAAATCTGCGGTTGTTTTATGTTAGATCTGTGAAGATTTGAACAAACTGCCTGAAAGAGAAAAGGGAAGAATCTCAGCCTTCCAAATTGGAGAAGATTTCTTGGTCGAAGATCTTCCACTTGTAATTCGAAATGGTGAATATAAGTCAGTCTTTCGTTGTATTTGGCAGACTGATCTGTTTAGCGCGTACGGCTTCGAAATTCTGTTTGTAAGTTCCATTAACTAAAATTTTGTTGTACAGAGCAGCTACTGCAAAACATGCTCTATCTAGCCTTATGGAAAGAGAGAGGAGTGTACCTCTAAAAATTGCAATCGGCGCTCACTTTTGGTGTTACAAGATGAGGGGTCGAATTGTTCGGTGGCTTTATTGCCGTTTCGATTTTGTTTTTTTATCTTGGATTGTAGGAGCCGATTTAAAGAGTGGACCACTTGACCTGACCGTTAAAGCAGTTTTGGACCATCATCGTCAGGACAAAACACTTGTGCCATGCAAATTGCGGAGCAATTTGAAAACCAAAACCGCCTTTAACTTCGACGCCGTATTGCGTAAAGTGTTGAGGACGGACATGGACCTTCCGTGGTTTGCCTTTTGGTGAGCACCCTGTTCGAGAGCATTGTGATTGAGGTATTTTAATCATTTATGAATGATTACTTTTTAAAGGGAACTTTGCAGACATCATAATGTCCGAGAAGCCCGTGCTGTGGTACCGCGTCCTGTAGAATTACCGCTTATGCTCGAAGTGGATGATTCTATATGGTTTTTTGCTGCGCGCAATTTTACAGCGTTGACTGCTAAGCATGTGGGTATTTCACTACATTTTCCTGCCAGTAATAATGAGTAATTATCTGATTATTTAATTATTTGGTAATTATTTTTCGCGTGATTATTTGAGTTAACTGTACTGTACTGTCTTTAAATTTTTAACGGCGTTTTGTTTACTTACTATATATGTAGACGTGCAGGTGGAAATGATTAGCCTTTGCTGCTCGTTTTTGGGCAATTTCATTTTTCCGCCTTTAAATATTCATTCTTATGTTAGTCGACGCTTTGTCTTTTGTAGGTTGAAATCTCCACACCGGTATTTTTCTTGAGCCAGTTTGTTGGCTCATCAAAAATTCGTTTAATACCACGGTCGCCTTGTGAAAACATATGCCACGAACTGGAGACTATCTTACAGCCAGGAGATTTCTGTAAGCATTAATTTTTAACGCCGGAAAAGTGAATGCTAACGCTTTTGACGTATTCTCGATAGTGCTTTTTACCAACGAGTTGTTTGATTTCGGATGGATGCCAGGGAATGAAACGGAAGTGCTGGCAGTTGGAGCGGGTGCTAAATAATTCTTAATTAACGCAAATCTCAGACATTTTGTTACGCTTGGTTTTTAGTTTGTGATGGATCATTCCTGTAAATATTGTGAGCTAATATAATATGTCCGAAAACATGTGTTCTGACAAGTTTAAAGCTTTTATCGGTTGACCTCTGGAAAATTTTTTATCTCGATAAGAGCCACAATAAACTTCAACCATAGCACGAATGAAGCTCTGTTATATTACATATATAGACAAGAGGTACGCTAAACACAAGAGAATTACTTAATTTAGCAATGTTGTCTTTAAATAGAAATGGGAACGCAGTTTTGCAGGTCATTGGTCATCTTGCAAGAAAAAGCTTTTAATTTTCCTAAATTTTGACCTTAATACAAGTATTGCGAGCAGTGCAACTGCCAACGAGTTACAAAAGTTACAAGTAAGGCGTATTAATCCGTTCTTCGTTTCTATTATTTGATCTTATCGGTTTGCCTGTATGCCGGTTTTTTGGTATTGCCATTAATGACAGCGTGCCTGTTAGAAACAATAAATGCCTGTGTAATTTTCCAGCTGGATTCCATAATTAACAGCATTGGTATGATTAACCAGAACGAGTTCATGGTGACAAAATAGCCGTAGAAATAGAGCGGATGGAAGGGTGGGCCGTGCATAAATCCGTCAAACCATTCCGTTAGCATGTACAATATGTCGCCATAAAACTGCGCAGTTGATACAAGAATCTGGAGGACATGAACATAAGGTTTATTGCGGATGTAGGCATACACCGTCCACAAACACAAGGGACCATCGACGGCGGCGGTGAAAGTTTCCATTACGACCGTAAATGCATCCGAACTAGAACGATTACGAAACGCATTATGTAAACTGATATCTAAAGTAAAGTACGTTCACAAATTTTGCATATGTTGTGTATTATTAATTTATTATACGATAAAAGTCGGTTTTGTACAAAACTGTACAGACATGGTCTCCCAGTATATCCATCCATTCTTTATTCTCTCTTACCTGATATACCGGCTGTCGCCTTTTGCATATTCTTTCCCTAAAAATGCAACGCATCATCTGGTCAATTGCATCTTCTTTCTCTTTCTATCGCTGCTTTAAATTTTCTTTCACTGAGGCATGGATAATTAATTTAAGCAGTGTCACTATTACAAAATTCGGTAATATTATTGTATTTGTGGATAATAATGTGGTTGGTGGTTACTGCGGTTGTAATTTCCAGTCCGGCCAGTCTAGATTAGTACGGTCAGACTTAGAAAATTTGGATTTTACAGCAAGTACTTACAGATCTGCGCAAGTATGTGGTCACTTCCGGCCAGTGTGCCATGAAAACTAGCAAAGTATCCTTCTATGACCAAGTGAATCAGACCGGAAACGCTAAACCAACAGATTTTAGCTTTTTCAAGAGCCGAAAAGTCAGATCTCCATCTTCCAACCAAGTTCCACACAGAGTATAGTATGATTGTCGTAACTCCAGCAAAAAGCCCTAACAAAACTTCGACGCCAAAAGTGTTGTCCGTAAAATGAGGCAGATGTAATGTGGATGGAATGTAAGGATGCAGGGAAAAATTGGAACTGACGGGAAGCATTTTCGTTTTGCAACTTTAACTCAAACGTCACGCTTAATACCCGAGTGGTCTTATCATATAACACTTAATTTGATGCACTTTTTCATACGTACTGTATAAACAGTGATAGACCTAGAAATAATGTTGCCGACAATGCTATGTTGCCGATCACGGCGACTATCATTGCATGGCGCTCGATCTAACGTAATCGAAAATAACCTGCAAAACGTGTGAAACACTAAAAAGCTAGCAGACCACCGCAACTACTGCCATCCATCGTATACTATCGTGCATCGAAATGACGAGAAAAATATCGGATGATGTCCAGAGTTCATATCAAACGTAGATAATTTATTAGCTGAATTCACGACACTTTTGCGAGGCTTTTAAAGCTACATATTTCTTAATACTAATGGAACCGAACTTATATGAATATTTCCAGTTTTTACCAATTACCAAATAGTTAAGTTGGATAGAGAGCAGGTATGCATTAACAGAAGCCGAATAGCAATTTAAACCAGCTTGCGAGTTCTGCTTTGATCATACTGTGGTAAGAATTGCTAGCTATTTGCATTTGACTCGAAGCCGTTACCGGTCATGTAGCGAAGATGCAATAAACAGTAAAACTGTTAAAAATTATTAATAAAAACAGTTGAAAAGATTACTTATGTATATCCATTTGATACTGATAATAGTCAGGTTTGTCGCGCGCCGTCTGTTAAGTATTGTGCAATTCTTGAAGACGTTGCTTGCTATTCCTGCGTTTGTTTCATGATGTTGAATCAAAACGTTAGTTGTATAATTGTGAATCATAACAGCACTTTTTGCATATCGTTCGGCCCCTGGTTCGAACCTCAAAGGTGGAGCGGTCACTTTTGCTATTCACCTGGTCAGAGATGAATGCAGCTTTGTCGTAAACGAAATAAGGCTATTGTCAGACAGTGTCATTACCCATTGCTTCCTGATCAAAACAAGGTAATTTGATTAGTCTGGCACCACTAAGCTAACAGTAATTAGGACCGCTACTACCACAGAGCGTAGATATCGCTTGCTTATATATATGTACTAGTACAATACTCACGCGTCACGACTACCAAGCACACCGTACCAAATGATATCATAACCGCTTCATGTAATAAGACGTATTCTGTTTACTGTAAATATCAGGGAAGCCAGGAAAGTGTGACAGGTTTTATACGGTTATTGTATATACCTTAGCCGTACGTAAATTTAATTACTGCGCGATACTTCTAGTGCAAATTGCCTATGCGAACTACAAACTTATTACGCCTTGCTTCATATCATTTTGCATAAAATTAATACGTTTCTCATGTGCTTCTTTAGGCAATTAAGATGAATTTTGAAAAGACAGCAGTTATCATAAAAAAACTGCATATTAATTTCCAGCTCATTGGTTATCTTGCGCAACGCAATGCATTCATTTTTTTGTATGATAATCACACCGCTAAGTGATTGCTGTCTTTTTAAGCGTCAAAGACCATGGGCATGCGCCCTGAGCTGGTTCAAAATGAGCGAGTGCTACGAATTTACGATATTATTGTTATTTTAAGCATTTTAAAACACTGTTCACAACGATATAGCATCACTATTTGCAAGCGCACATAAGAATTAAGAAGTTATGGCGCACAGGACAGAATATTCCAAACTGTGAAAGCAAACTTTGTGGGCTGGAATCATCAAGAACTAACGGAGTTTTATGATTTCCTGCCTTTTGCTGTAACCCCTCCAGGCACGCAAATAAACCCGCTATTACCGTTGGCGCGTGAAAACTAACAAATGAGACCGACAAAGCCCGTGAACAAACTAATGACACCTTTTAGTCAATTTATCCGGAGCAGTATCCTCAAATTTAATCATCATAAGCAAGACTCAGAGGGGCCGATACACTAGACCATACGCAGCGTGACAAGCTGCGTATCCAGCCAATACCACACCGTCAACCGTTTGTAACAACCGGCTGTAAAAATTACGGCCACAAACGATCAGCTTTGGTATGTATGGGAGCCTGCAACAAGCGATAATTTGCATCTATCAACTGCTCAGTTCTTATCCGAAGTATATTAATCAGCCATAATCAGTCATTTACAGAAACCTGCCACGATGAACTTTGCTCGTTGTTTCTTCCACTTCCAGAAATAGTGTGTAATTTTATTTTCTCCAGGTCGTGCGGCGTCGATACATATAGAAGTAGTTTAAATATTGCGATAATACATCTTTTCAGTTACTTATTGCATGAAATCGATTATCGATTTTCTGTTGTCAGATAAAATCTTATTTTTGTGGTAAGAACACCACTACGAAAACAAATATATCACAGAAACACTATTTCGTACACAGATAACTTTGTTTATTAAGCGATGGCAAAAATAATTCACCAAGAGACCTGGTGACCTTTTGATTCGACAAAGGGAAAGTACGAGGTTACGCTCACCGTGAACTCGTCATGTTCAAACGCAGCGGTAATATACAAATGCGCATCTTTGTCTTCCTCGTACGAGTATTATACCTGGTAAAAACTGTAAAATCGCAACGCAAATTATTGAATCTTGTCGGCCATATGAAAGCATGCAGCTGTATGCCAGAATAAAATTCATCTTCGTTGCCCCCTCAAATGTTCACACGAAAATATTCAACCGAAGCATAACCGAAAGGCGTAGTAAATTGTTAACCATCCAGTTTCTTCTTCTCGGCTTTTATTAAGAACATTAAAATTCCCAGCATCGAACAGCCCAAGTTCTACACGAATTATGCATGTATCATACTATTTACTATGGTATCTGTCCCCCGTCAAATTTTTATTCGTTAAAAAGAGTGGCAAGCAGGATGCGCATGGATAACTATTACAGATGGGCCAAACAGCAGCATAAAGGTATTTCGCATATTGACAGTATTAATCATTGCCGGTTGGTATACATCGAATGTGATGACCCTGTGTCGAATCAGCGTGCTGCTGCCCAGTCGACACGCTTGACGTATCCTGCGTCGATCAAACATGGCGAACAAAATGTCATAAAATCATCGCCTTGGCCAGTGCCGGGTACAATCGGCTCTTTCCAACAGTTGAAATCCTGTCCGATTGACAACACTAATTTTCCGCCAGTTTACAATCACTTTTCCCACACAAATGTAGCAAACGGCATAGCTTTATCCGGTATCTGACCGCTGTTCGGTCGCTGGACAAATGAATTTCTCTTGTGTGACTTTTATGCCGATGCTGTGGATAATTACGGGATTTCTCGATGGATCCACGGCAATCAAATGGCTGTAAGTGTACTTGTACATTTGTACGAGAACGTTTTTATTACTCGTGTTACAGACAATGCAGACAAATTGATTTGCTTTAGCCGTTACGTTACGTCATACACTCGCAAAATACTGGTTACCTAAGTACTGTGACACAAACAAACAATTAATTTTAATGAACAGCGATTAAGATGTTCATGCAAAAAGGTCAAGTATTAATGTTTCAATTTCTCATGAAATTATGCTGTTCGAGCTCTTGGCAGGTGGCAGATGTAATAAATTTAGTTCATTGTATTGTAATCTTCGACTGATCGAAATGAAACAACTTCGCGTTGTTGTGTAAGTAATTATTAACAACTGTTATCAGAAAAATTGCGTACTTGGATTCTGATGCAGTCCGGATAAACTAAAGTGAATCCTGACAAAATTTTTTACGTGTTTTGATCTGTTTCTGTCCTTTTTTGGATAATATGAATTTGATCATGTTTTGCTTCGTGTAAAATATCAACATGGATGGTGATGCATACATTTTCTACAACTTCATGTCTACAGATTTACACTTTGTTAATCTGTCCAGACTGATTAATTAACAAAATATGAATCCGTATAAATCTGCGTACTGACAGCAGCAGTACTGTAGCAGCCAGTAGGTTTAGATTATGACATCTGTTGTGTATATTCAAAGCACGACGACATGTCTGAAATGCTTCTAGCCCGCGTGACGTTTAAAATTATTTCCTATCGAACATTCTGGATTATTATGTATAACTTTTACTTCCGTAGTTCGCTCCATAAGCTGAATATTTCATGGAGCTCTGGATATAACTATTATTTATGCCATCAAGCATTCAAGTTCCGCGCTCTGGATAAAGGTCAAAAGTATTACTGCAAGCGCTATTTCGAAACTATGCCGTACATTGTCTCATCAGCAAAAGATACAAGCACCGCCTGCCAGCGCCAATTTTTTTATCAGCGCTGGAACTGTTCATCAGTCGAGAAAGCACCCAACTACCGCAATGATCTGAAATTGGGTACGAAAAATACAATACATTACAGGCTACAACTATTATTGCAACAATGGACGGAGGTTATATTACTGCAACTGTCCCAACCATTTTGCAGGAACCAGAGAGCAAGCATATTTATCGGCGTTGTCGGCGGCGACGGTCGTTCATACGATTGCCAAAGCGTGCGCAGCCGGGTTTTTACAGAACTGCAATTGTGGACCTATGCCAAATGAGCCACCGGCTACTGATTTCAAATGGGGCGGTTGTGGAGACGACGTAAGTGGAGACAATTCGAAGATGCAGATAACAATAATTAACAGTAGGTTGAAAAAAGATTTTGTGATTTTATAATGGAAAATCTGTTTATTGTGGATGTTGAGCAACAACAGTTGTCTTGTTAAAAAATTTGGATCAGTTTTGTATGGGTAGTCAGTGACTCAGTGGCTCCCATGGTTAAAATTGTTCTGCACAGTTCCCTGTTTACGTACACGACACGATTAAGTTATTAATATATTATATCTTTATTGACAAATTGTACAAGCTAAAAGCAATTTACACTTGAACTTGATAAACCAATTAAGTTATTTACCCTGGTTATAGCAGAAGCTTCTTTAGTAGTATTATTAAAATGATTTACAGATTATGGAAAGAGAATAATCGGTAAAGTTGCTAGCTAAGCCGGTGCATTACTCGTAGAGTTATTACTAGTAATAAAGAAGCTTTTAACATTAGTTAGAGATATTATTGGTTATAGGTGTCGTACGGAATGAAAGTGGGAAGATTTTTCACTGATATTCCTTACAACCAGAACTTCCAGCTAAGCCGGAGCAGCAAACAGCTCAAACAATTGTGGAAAAAGAATCGACTGACCAGAGCCGCTTTAAGCTTACATAATCAACACACCGGAAGGAGGATGGTGGCCGATAGTCTGACCCGGCATTGCAAATGTCACGGAGTATCAGGATCATGTCAAATTCGTACCTGTTGGAAAAGTTTGCCGCCTATGAAAGAAATTAGCCATCGATTATTCAGGAATTATAAACGTGCCGTCGAGGTGAGTGACAGAACTGCTCATATGCTGACCAGGCAAAACAATCACTCGATAGACGAAAAGTAACAAACGAATCTTTGTTGCACGCCGACAAAAAGGCAGTCTGTGCACATATTTTCCTTGGTTTGAAATCTATATTTTGACGTATGCGCAGGGTACTGTGCAAGTAATTATCCGTCAGGTAGTATACGAAACTTAGCGCAGTGCAATGGTGGACCAGGCTTTCATTCGTGTAGTTATCAGCGTGTTCAGAAATGACTTGAATGAAGCGCAAACACTCTAGCTCTGAATCAATCCATTTATGGAAATTACTATTAAGCTTGATTTTCGTAACCAAATTATAATTTATGAATAGTACCTGTATAACGCAATACATTTGCATGAGTCTACTCTTATTCATCCTACTTGTCGGTACGAACGACGTTCCTCAAACGTTCGTGCAATATTGCGTTAATGCGTTTTCTTCTACTCACATTCGCATTCACGGTCATTAAAATTAAGTAGTGATATGAGCGAACCGTTACTAAGACGAGTAAAAATGGTGAAAGTACAACAAAATAACGTCATTAGATCACACTCAGCAAGATGTTATTCTCTACAACACAGTATTTTTCAAAAAGTATTGTTCCGTTTCAGGTTCGTTATCAGAGCAACAGCGCCAGTTTTGAGCCTTTATTCCCACTCATATCCGCACCGACATCTGATACTCTACTGTACACAGCCAAATCGCCAGATTACTGCAATGCAGACGACCGATTCGGGTCTATGGGCACCAAAAATCGACTCTGCAATGCCACCAGCAGCGGTCCAGAGAGCTGTAAAACCATGTGTTGCGGACGCGGCCATTACAGTTATATGATGCACGTTCCAGTCACTTGCAACTGCAAGTATATCTGGTGTTGTCGTGTTGAATGTAATACATGTCAGCAGTGGGTCCATGTAACACGATGTAAATAATAAAACAAACAAGAATGAATCTGAATTCCTATTCATTCTTGGACGTTTTGCTCCGCACCAGCTCACGAAACTGCGACAAAATCTTATTCTCACGCTTTTGACGTTCTTCTTTGTCGAACATTTCCAAAGCGCGCTTTTCATCAGCACTGTAAATTTGGTTCTCTTTTCGTAAACGCACCGCTTCCATTCGGCGATGTCTGCAATACAAACGAGGATAGAGTAAAGGATTTACAATTACAGCAATGCGAACTACGAGCAGCAAATTAAAATGAGCAGCAACGTTGACCGAACTGAGTTTGCTTTTAAAAACCTACAATAGCATTAAATTCGAAAAAATAGTTTAAATCAGCAATAATACATATATCTAAACAATATTATATATCCGAAAAACTACAATTTTAACGGAAGGTAATTTTACAAGTTTAAATCACGAGCAAACCATCATCTGAAAATCTATTTTAACATATTTTACAAAAGAGAATATCACAGTATAGTGCACTTAAAATATTATCCGGACGCATGATCATAATTAGGTACTTATGTCAACACCCATTGCGACATAAATCATTCACCTGCTGCCACTCATGACATATCCCACATTTTCGTATGAGGTTATCTCGTCACTTGTCAACCCTATTTCACCACGGCGCGGAATTCTTTTTCCTTCAGCCACGAAGGCCGCCATAGCAGCGCCTTCACCCGGCAAGAGAGCTTTGCCAAAACTAAAAAACTGACAATGTCATGTTTCGCACGGAGCATACTACAGATATACGCAACGTACGCCCGAGGATCGGAAGCAAGAAGGTTGGGGCGCGGAGCAGGTCCAATATCGTCTGGTTCCACAAAAGCCATGGCCAATGGATCCGGTGCTTCCGCTTCTGGCTTGGCAACCCATGCCGGTCCAATATCGGTATCCGACTGTTCGGAGTCCTTTTCCTTGTTTTTCTTCTTGGATTTTTTATGCTTTCCGTGTTTATGCTTCTTTTTCTTTTTTCTTTCTGTGGACAGACTTCTCGTGCGGATTTTTCTTTTGCTGGCGCTTTTGAGTGCAGCTAATGACTCGTCGTCCGAACTAAAACATAATCAGTCGTTTTCAGCGACTGTTACGAAATTCTTATTTTAATGTACAACACGGTTTGATAAAACAAAACACTTCCAGTAATTAAAGCCAAACCGCGTCAAAGGTTGACCATTTTGCCAAATTCACAAAATACTTTACAAACTAGCAACTTCACCATATAGTGAACCGGTCTTCTTGAAATATTATGAGCGGAAATATGAATTACTGAAATCCACAAACAACCTGCACGCATTTCTGACAAAGTCTCATTCGATATTCTTATATGCTCGTAAATAAAAAGCGATCTGTCGAATACTTGGATACATACTCTTTCGGCGGAACCGGAGACGAAGCCCACAGAAACTGTGCACCAGTAGTCCCAATCTCGTCTCGCATTTGTCTGCGTCTGTAAAAATGATAGTTTAAATAAATGACAATTTTCTCCCCTAACGCTGCGCAGTACGCACTACTCGTTAACTCTTAGGTATGCAATCTAAAACGAGAAACGTCGTGGGAATAAACCAAACTCTCCTAAGAAATCACAAAATTACTCAGCGAGAACATGAAATAAACAAAAACCTAAAAATGTTCCAGAAATTTCAGAAAGTAAAAAGCGGTTCCAAAGGAATGAAATGTATTAATACCTGCAGTTTAAACCATCACAGTGAGAAAACCACTGGTACTTATAACTTATTTTCGATGAGAGCTTCTCGATATTCTCGAAAGAGGTTGGTATAGCTTTATACTGGTTTATTAGAGCTGTAATTGAAGATAAATTACATCACCAAATAAAAAGTGTAAAAGCAAACCTTAGATGCAAAAGGGCGCGACGCAACTGAGAAACAGGGAAAACATGTGCTACCTGAATTTCTGACCGCGAGGATGCAAACTACTTAAACTTTCTCTGTGTTTTCTCAGATAAAAAACGAAACGCGAACGAACCTGATCCAGTACTCTTCGGAAACATTTTTCGATCGACGTGAACACTGCCGATCTCCGGAACCGTGATGCTGATCAGATGGAGATTTTCTGGAGCAAAAATTTTCTTGTTAGAATTAACACATTACACGCTAGACTTAAATATTTGCACCTTGCGTCGATCGGCGGCAGACAATATACACAATTCTGACAATTGTCGAGTTTGTCTCACTGCTTTTCAAAAAATGACTGCCTCCCAGATAAATTTCATAAAGACGAGGAAACACGGTTTCCGGGAACTAATAATCCTCGCAAGGTAAAACCTTCCGATGCAACATTTGTTCAAACATTTTTTACTGAAACTGGAACGCTCCCGACATTTAAAGAGTTTTTAAAAACACACCTGGACCATCGATCATTTCTGCCAGAATCCACTGGATTCCGACGTTCTCGCTCATAACGGAGACGGTCCTCTTCTTCACTATCAGGAGACGATGACCGCGAAGAAGGCCGTCGCGATCTCTCCGGGGACCTGGATAATCTGGAGTTTTTGGGAATCCTTGGAGGAACCCAACCCCGTGGGGGAGTTCGACTTCGTCGTCGAGCAGGAGCGTCGCGTCTTGGCGGCCGCTCGTCTGATGAGCTGCGGTTCCGTCGTGACCGAGAAGATCCGTGGCGATAATCTGGGGAAGATCTCTCCCGCCGTGAGGAAGAATGAGGCGATATTGCCATCATTAAGGAAGACAAATTAACTGTAATCGGTTCTTGCTTGCTTTATTGAGAAGCCTGGCCCGTCAACGGGCACTTTCACGAATACCATGGAATTTGCTAAGGCTCTCTAGTTAGAGTGCTACACAAGAGGGTATCTTCAGAATTACTTACGATCACATAGCATGAGCAGACTGTTACAACACCATAATTGATGACAATTTTAGTATTTCCTGCTCACAGGAACCTATTCTGCTATAAAGAAGATAACAAAAGCAGCCACGGCCGATGGAAAATTTAAAAAAATCTGATAAATTTCGTTTGTCGAAATAAAACAGGAAGGACCCAGAGCAACGAGCAATTTACTGAATTCACAATGGCAAAAGGCTAAAAGCTGTCCAAACGCAAACACAAACACTCGTTGGAAAAGCGTCGCTGACGTCAGTGCAAGTTGTTAAGTGCTAAATGGAGAGAGGGCTGGGTAAATGCAAGACGGTGACCTTCGGTACTCACCTTCTTTCGGAAGCTTTTAAATAAAACGAGAAGCAACAAAAAATAAAAGAAAATCAAAAATGGCAAGTCAAAAACGGAATGCAGTATTTTGATTATTAATTAATTCCAGTTTTGTTACCAAAGCGGTTCCCTTAAAAGCCACCGTTCATTTGGGGACGCTGCGCGGAGCGCTGGCGATGAGTAACGCACAAAAGCAGGCTCTGTCGTAGACCTTGTACGCATCATGCGGGCATACGGAATTCGGAGATTTTTTACTTTGTGTCTTTGATCTTTTTGGTCTTATCCTTTTTCTAACTGTTTCATAATTTCTGCCAGTTTCTCCCACGCAAGTGAAACTTACAAGTCTTTTATTTGATAACCCACTAAACTGCTGCTGTTTTTTTGTTGAGACTTGAGATGGTAACGACTCAATTGTGAGAGGACGATTTGCCAGGAAACACAACAAATGGACAAACGGCTGGAGATCAGTGAGATCATCTGGCCTGACTGCCTCGAGTCTTCTACATCTTCCATCCCTTTTAATCATATTAGCCATTCGCCACAGATAGTCCCGATACCTCGTATGCGCAATAAAAAAGGGGAAGTGTCTGGAAAGGTTGATATGAAAACTTATTCGGATACCAAGGGTGAGTCCTGCATAGTGTTTGTCGATCACAATGAAATGAATTTGGCTGAGGCCTCCTGATTTGTTATTGTCCTTCTCTGTCTTATAACGCTAACATTGGTTTTCCGGTTGGGTAGCAGCGATTGTGCTAAGCATTGCTCGAAAGAGAGATTTGTTAACTCGATTGCGCACTTGCAGTTGTTAAAGATGTTCAGGCTGGACTTGTTGTGTCATCCTCGCGAACCGAAAGGTATAACAATCTTTTCTGCTACTGACTGCTAACAGATTTCTCTGTCGCTTGTTCGCTGGTTGCAGCTAATTGTGTAGTCTGATAAATTAACTTGAATGTTTACCGAGTAACCCAATTGTACAAGTGTAGTCGAGAAAGATATCAGTAAACGACGGATTATAGGTACGGGTCATTGTAAAGGTGAAACACTGACAACGACCAGAAACATGCAAAAGCGTTTAATTAAGGTTTATCCTGGTGTACCGGTGACATACATACCGTAACATACGCTTCGTGTTTTCGTAGCTCTGATAGTCTGGGGTCAACTCGGATATTGGGAATTTTTTTCTCTATGATTCGCTGAAGATCCGATAAACTTTTATACTGTTGAACAGGTCATCTCGTCGTGAAGTGGATGGGTTGAATGATGCGCTTAGCCAGTTCTACACACCGCTTGGTCCGCGACGGAAGCGTCGCCCGGGAGGATATTTGGCGCTCTCGCTGGGACTGGGCAGTCCTGAGCACCACACAGGATATTTTGAAGAAATTCACCAAAAGTTGCCGCCAGATCATCCGCTCGATGGGCAAACCACCTCGCCAAGATTACCTCAGGAATTACGAACGAAGTCCAGGAACACGTCGCGCAAGTTCAAAGCCAAGATTAAGGAAGAAACTGGGGCGTTCATAAAGAAAGAAACGGAACTGGACTTGGACAAGCCCGGTATATGCTTTGAATGTAGTAATTGTTGACAATATAGAACGGATAAGAATAGACTTATGCTGTTGAGCCGATTTTTATACTGCAAATAATTCACACGTTTATTTATCTTTTCTGAATTCTGATAATAGCATAATGAGTATTGTTTGTCGTTTGCAGAATTGCACAGTACGAGCGTGAAAATCAGTTCATTACCCGAAAGGATTTATTGTACTTGGTCATTGTAGTTTCAGATGAATCCACATCGGATGTCCAGAAAGGAACTATCCTTTTCCAGTGTCTTACAAATGATTTGGAGGAAACTGTAGCTCGCGTCGAAGAGGAAGCAGATTTTGTAAGAAATAATTGGACTTTGCGTATGCTTATGTTTTACCATAATCTCATTGCATCTTCATTAGTGTTGTGATATCCGTTAAAGTGCTTGTCTTGTTTCAGGCAGTTACGACGACGAGCGATATACCTTCGGTCTCGATTTTGCCTCCGGTCCCGGCCACCAGAAGTCCTGCTAAATCTTTTGGCCCGGACGAATTAGCGAAGTAAGCCATACTGCAAATGACACTGAATGTCTGTAATCTCGCCGGTATTGCATGCCGAAGTCAAATCAAAAAGTCCCGGTAGGAGTGCAGGGAATTTAAAATGCAAAACCTTTAGCGTAACACATAATGCTGTATTTTGATTTTCTATTATGCGCCCTTAAAAATGCCGCCCTTTTTCAACACCGAAAAGTCGAATTGGTTTCTTGAAAACGTCTTGAGCTTCACCCGAAACCGGATGGGACAAAAATTAAGAGTAGACGTTGCTTTTGGTATTAGATGGTTATTGGTAGTACCCGTATAGTTTCTAATTGCGGAATATAGTTCGAGTGGTTCTAGTCTCGTGTACAAATCTTCTTGTCCTTTGCGTTAGTTACCCGGCTGCAGGGCACGGTGTACTTTGTATCAAGAAACTTCCTGCTAAAATCTGAATGCATGCCATAGCATCGGAATAATACGATGAATTTGAACTTTTTTCAACTTCTGCATTAGCTTAAAAATTTGGAAACTTAGTGAGAATTCCTGTGAAAATCGTGTTGCCAGTAGTTGCACGACTTCATATGACTTTTTTGCCAGGGGCGGTCAGAAATTCGATAAATTTATGATGGACGCCGCGTGCCTTCGTCTTACTACTACGGATTATCCTACTATCCCTGCAGGTTGGTAACATTGGAAGCAATTCCATATACTACAGCTGACATTTGGTGATGGCGTCAGTTATTGTGTCATCGTCAACTGTAACTTCATATATGAGTACATACGCATTTGTCCCAGACTCTACGGTGCTTATTGATGATGTGTTGGAAACCCTATTCGCATGCTGATACTAACTGGTTTCAGTCTCTGCATTCATGGCGCCGATGTTTTATCCACCTTATCGGTTTGGCCGCATGGAGCAACCCAACCAGGGTTCTACGGGGGAGCCTCTCAATAACGGCGGGCAACCTTGGATTTCTACCACTGCCGGGAATCAGGAACCGCCACGAACGACTGGAAGTGGCTTGATAGATCCGATACCGAACACTTCCATCATCTGTCAACCGAGCAAGCATATGAATATCATTGCTCCGCCTCCGTATTTCGCCATTGGAGCAGGGAGGCAGTGCGCCCTGCCTCCCGCTTCGTCATTTCTGCCGAAATGTCCTGCGACTCCGACATGGATGTCACCCGTGAAATGTCCACCGAGTGTGCTGCAGATATCTACGAACTATCCTGCGAAGATGGAGGGTTACTGCTTCGTGGATAATTACTATATGGAAAATGCCGGGGCTGTTCAAAGACCAGTAATCATTGAAGACACTTTTGGCTTGAATGCCGGTTCTGAACCCAGTGAATATACCGAACTAATGCCACGCGCGAAAAGTTCGTGTGAAGGAAACAGGGAATATGCGAACTAACTTAAATATGGACCTGCCGACGGACCGGTTTTTTGGGGAAATTTGAGTATCTGCAACCTGTTAATGGGAAGCGTATGCGAGGATTTAATTTTTCTTGTCTGCGCGTCAGTGATTTCCATTAATTTCTTCTGTATGATATTTCTTTCGTAGCATTTCTGGATGGCGGTTAACTTTAGTTAATATTTAGTTTGTACTTCAAGTAGCATATATACGAGGAATTCTGGATTTTAATTCCCAAGGCATTTAGGTTTTATGTCTGTTAAACTCTTAATTTCTATCTATCCCACAATTTTATTCGGGTAGGTTTCGTCCGTTTCGGTATCGCGCAGTTCACTGTTAGTGCTGTCTGTACGGTGACCACATACAACTTCCTCAGTTTGGTTGTTGCATTTACCGTTGGATGTGTATTGTTTTGTTTGTCGAATGGTGTAAATTTCGGTGCAAGAAACAGTGAACATGCATATCCATACAATAGTACATATTCTATAAAGAACCGGGCTGGAATTCACAAATCAACATATTATTACTTATCTAAATTGTTCAAGTAATTAATTATAGCTCTTTGCATAGAAGTATGTCTATTGTACCGTAAATCTATACAAGTATTTACAGATACTGTATGACTATTCACTGCTCACCGGTCAGTAGAGGACCTAGCGGTAGTATCAAAGATCTGGTAGTATGATGTGCTTATGGTTAGCATGGGATGTGTCCTGTGTGGACACTAGCCTCAGTAGCCTGTGAAGTCCACTTCCGTTACCGCGGGTTCCGCCGCAGCCCAGGCCGAAGACAATTAAGAAAACCAGACTATACGCGTATCTCAGGGCAGATACATTTCTGCTCCACTAGCTTTTGAAACCCTCGGGCCATGGGGAAAGTCGGCTTCAGCCTTGGTGAGGAAAATCGGGAAGCGGCTACAACAGGACACATGCGAACGGTGGACTTCACTCACCCACTCTGATTTCTGCGCCAACGCCTATCGCAACGGGGCAATGTGGCTCCCGTACTCGGGACCATGCATGGATGGAATGGAAAATTTAAAAGAAATAAGATTGTTGTAACTTACTCTGTTTTGTTGCGAAGTTTAATTGGTGTGACTGGTTTGTGCTAATAAAGACTACTCGGTAGTATGATTACCTACATACGGTACTCTGTCTGCTCGTATTATCGTTTCGTTTGATAATAAACGATATATTACAAAATTTGGTCTCATAGTCGTCTATAAATGTTCTTGCCCTTTGCAAGGACAGAATAATTACACGCTTTAATACTGCTTTATTTAGAACTGGGAACGTAAAAAAACTATAGAACAGGACAGTCAACAGTTAACAGGTATCACTGTTTACAATGAAAGTTGAAATCTTATTAAGTAATCCTTAATCTATGTACTACGGCTACAAACCCACAAGTAACAAGGGCCGCTGCGTGAGCGGTAGGCTGTCACGCACAAAAGCTGGTCCGGTATGCACAACATAGATCAAGCGGGCACGAAGAAGTACTCGCACGATAAGAGCGCACACTGCACGGCGCTGTACGCCATGCTGCAGCCTGCAAGTTTGGAATTCAACTTCTTTCAAATCTAGATTCTAGCAATAAGTTTCTAGATTTCTTGAGTTTTGACTTGAACAATAAAACTGTTGTTTTATATTTTTTGTACAAATTTTTATAGAAACATGTGTATTTCACGAAATTATCATCCCTAAAAGCTGGATAGTCTTGTGAAACTGTATCCTTAGCGCACAGCGATGGAATGACACATCGTCAACAACAAATGATGGACTCGACAAATACAAATCATGGGTTCGAAGTGGTCTGTCCTGGATCAGTGGAGTCCTCGACATCTTCCACGTCGTTCGACTTTGATTATCTGGCATCCGTACATAGCGCTGCTCCTGGCACCGATACTGCAGGAAATGTGGACCCGAATGCAGATGCAAATCGTAGCGGTAAGTCGCAAGTCTTTAGGATCTCACCGTGCCCAAGGAATTTAGCTCCTGCAGTCGCATGTGACGGCATGTCGGAATTGGTTTTCGTCGATGGTGTAACGAGAAATGCCTTTTTTCAGTTGAAAATTGTAGTGTTGGAACCGTTATGGTCACTACGCCAGCTGAAAAGATCGGAAGGTAACTGTGAATAAATTGCTGTCTTTACTGGCTTATGAACAAAGGCATATGCTGTAATCTGATAAGCGGGAATGCGACATCAGTGTTATCCCCTGCGTACCTGGCGCAGTGTTACGTAGTTTTCTGCGCCAAATTGAACTCGATCATCGAACTCTGCTGCCAGTATTGTACAAGGTCAGGGTGTTTGTCAAGATGGTCGCTGCTGGTCCACACCGGCCAGAGGCCCAGACGTAAGACGTACATTTTCGCAAATGAAGGGTGTGACCAAGAATGCCTAAAATGGCCTGACTCTTGATGTTTCTTATTTGGCATTTTCTTTTGAATCGAATAGTACGGGACAGTGATAATAAGGAACATCAGGCATCAGGTCATTTTGCGCATTCCTGGTCATATCCCTACCGAGATATGAGATATCCCTTTTTGCTTATTGATGGTCATACAGTCAGCCACATACGAGCCACAGCCTCGTATTTATATTATTCATGCGTATTTCGGATTGGTGGTAGTGTCCCATATTCCGTGATATTTGTATGTACATACATGACAATAAATCCTGGGTTGCTGCCTTTTTCATCTGCCATGTTTACTATAGAAAACAAGTAGTTGTTATTCGTATTCTAAATTTTACACTATTTTATGTAGAAACTGATATTGCTTATTGGGCAACTTTGATATTGTTAATCGATTAGTTTTTCTTGAAGCGTGATAAAATCCTTGGCAATTCTTGTGTTATAGTCTGGTTACAGAATTATGAAATATGCTCTCGTTTCTATGGTTTTATAAAGTACTGTACGTAAATTGTTTTTTTTATTGAAATTAGATACGATGTTAAGCAAGTAGGCACAAGACGCACGTCGCACAACCGCGACGTGCGTCTTGTGCCTACTTGCTTAACATTTCCTTTTACAACAGCTACGGTAGGCTTAATCTCTGCTTTCTCTCTTTATTGTGTATCGCATAATCTTTAAATTTTAACTTAATATCGTTTTTATGTAGTGTAAAGTTCGAACCACAGAGTTTGAAATTAATAACACGGGTGCGCTCGATCTGAATAATTGTATTAAGTACTTAAGATACGACAGATAGTCATAATCATGGCGAATTAGCACAATATAATTATTGCGAAGCTCGCACACAAACACCTTAAAAGTGCTGTAAAGACCTATGCACAACTTGAAGTGCATTTTGTTTTCAAGATTTACTTTTCGAAATTTACATCCGCTCATAGTTTGCGACTTCGCGCGTTTATGAACGTTTGTTATCGGAAGTCAAGGGTTCCTCTTACTTATAGAACACTTTAAAATTTGAATATGTTGGGAGGTTTCTTATTAAACCAAAATCGCACTTTAATTTAAATTCGCTTTGAGAGTGCGCGGCAGACTGGGCAGAGGCACTAATATAATTCTGGCGAAACTCGAAAGTGCACAAGTTGCAACAAGAGTAGCTTCTTAAAACGATTTAGATTTTCGCTTGCCATTTTTCATTATCAGCAAAATTCTGTTCTTCAATTATCCGTTGGATCGATTTACACTTTACAATGACCTTCCTTGATATGTAAAAATGTGGTCATGAAATAGGTCACATCGGGATTTAGATGGTTTGACTGATGCCCTCACGCGATTCTACACCCCGCTTGGGCCTCGACGAAAGCGCGGCCGCGGAGAGTATTTGGATTTATCGTTGGGACGTACGTGTTCTGGGCCTTCTGCGAAATTTCCAGATTTAATGCCCAAACATGCGGCCTTAGCATCGACGGATGGCCGCAGCAAGACGCCTGTAACGACCTTACCTGATCCGGAATTTCGAACTCCTCGTAACTTGGCTATCAGCAGCGAAAAAGATATCGAATCGAAATTTGATGATCACGATGGTAAGTAAATATTTGCGAAGGTTTGAGATATTTCTGTCAGTCAAGAATTTTAATCAGTTGCATGTTGGTTGAGTTCTTTTTGGTAAAACTGTATGTCAAAACCCTGTAGCAAGTGAAAGTAGTGCATAGTTGAACCAGTTTTCTATAATTTCGCAAACAGAAGCCATTATGCATATAGTTGAATTATTTCAGGGTTATTTGACTCGTCTTACAAACTACGGTCCAATGATCGAAAGCGGAAATTTGTCGTGCCGGATAGTATCCCAAAAGACTTGGAGGATATCTTCGTTTCTGCTCGAATCGAAGCAGCTTCGGTAAGAATTCAGTTGACTTCTAGTGAGCGTCTCCTAAGAGACCATTTTTGTGATTGCTTTGCAGAGCTTACAAATTGTGGATGAATCGTTCACGGGACATCTGCCTCCTTGCGTACGATTAGGTAGACATGTTATCCGAACCCTTTGTAAATCGTTCTATCCGGAGGAATTCGCAAAGTAAGCAGCAGGGGCGGGTAACTGGCAACACACCGGCTGGTAGCGACGTGAAAGTAATTAATAAATCTCGCTAAATTTAGGCGTAATTCGAAACTATGGCAGGAATATTTAATTACTGAATTTTAATGGTCAGTGGAGGGAGGATGTTTTTTAAATCGTAACAAAGTTTGTGTGACTTATGGTGTGCCACTGTGCAGTGCACCCTCGTATGTTGCAGATAATAAAGTTTTATTTTTTCCCATCTTACAAGTGACACTTTTCAGCTGTATTTTTGCATGACTTTGACTTTTGTTTGCTCTTTTTTTTCTGTATTACTGATTTGATTTTTCGTTCAGTTGCTGATATTATTTATATAATTTCATGACTTATTTTATTTTTTGTTTCAGGTGCGAATGTCTATATATTTGTGAATTTTGTTTGACATACATGAAGACCCTGGATTTGCTGAAAACGCACTATGTATGATATACTGTAATATAATATTGCATTATCTTACAAAATCGTTTATGCTTTTATGTTTCAAACGTAATGTGTGTGTGATAATGATCTGTGTAGTGATAATAATAAGAAGTTACACTCGAATATCAAGTTTGCAGTTTAAAATCGTGGTTGTAGCAGTTTGCTGCTTACGTTGAATATTGTTGCCCTGAATATTCATTTTAAGGAACGCTGTGCTTGGCACTGTCCACCCGGAAAGGAAATTTATAAGGATGCCGTGGAAATCTCGCTGAATCATTGCCAGTCAACATCAGTGCATGATTTAATTGTTTATGAGATCGATGGAGCGAAATATACCTATTACTGCCAGAATCTTTGCCGTTTGAGCACGTTGTATTTGGACACCAAAGTGGTGGTATATGATGTCGAAGGATTTATCTTTTATGTCTTATGCTATCGCGATGAACTAGGTGACCATATTGTGGGCTACTTTTCAAAGGTTAGAGGCTTACCCTAGCGTAGATTTTGTTAAGTACTTATGAGAAGCAAATATTTTAATGCAAATTTCTTCTTACCGGTTAGGACAAATCGTTTGGGAAAAAATGCAATAATCTCAGCTGCTTCTTGATTTTGCCACCCTATCAGAAGAATGGATTTGGTCGTTTCTTGGTTGGCTTCAGTAAGTTATTGTTTCATGTTTCAAAGCTCTTAAAGGTTTTCCAAAGACTGGTTTACTCTGTACATGCTGGATGTGTGCTTAACATATGGTAGTTACCACCTGGTTATTTTATTTCATCTGCCTGTCCTACTCTACAGTAGGTTTTGTGCTGCAGGCTATTTGCTGTCCAGAGTCCACAACATGCCTGGCACTCCGGAACGACCGTTGTCGACTTCTGGCGAAAAGACGTACCGTGCGTACTGGCGGTCAGTACTCGTGGAATATTTGTGCGAGGTCCAAAGAAACAGCGACATTGTTTCCCTTAAAAGTAGGTACCATCATAACATTATCGTTTAATGCCGTATTGTAACTAAGGTATCTATCTTTATTTCGATTCGTAGTTATGACAGTATTAACCAGACACTAATGCTACAAAATTAGGTACTGCCGAAACATCCGATACCACCATTAGCTTTATTGTAAATCGTAAATGTGTTGTTAATTGTCTTGTTACGTGTAACTTATAGTGATTTCCGAAGAGACAGGAATGTGGGCACAGGATATTGCCGGCATGCTGCAGGAACTGAAGTGCCTTCGCTACAATGGGCGATCGAGAAAATGGGAACTGCGTTTGCACCCGGAAACTTACATTGCTTTTGAAGAAGAATCGGCATCGCGATCTTATCAGTATTTGCCAGTACGCTCAGAAAAACTGCAAACTACGCCATTTCGTCAGTTTTTGAATATTCCACCGGAAAATTTGTAAAGTTTTGGTTAGTTTTGAGTTTTTCAGTAGGCAGTGTACAGCAGTATGTTGTGCAATTTACTATATATATATATAACTGTTTTTAAATTTGATCTTACCAGTGTAAAACACTAACAGAAGAATCTTCAGAGCCTTTCTATTGCTGTACTCTGTATTTGATGAAGTGTACAGTTGTGGTCACGATCTGTTGTTTAGCTGACTGTTCCAAAACACTATCCGATATAAAATTTTACGCAAGAGGGACGCAAGTAGTTGGTATTCGTATCATTATACGTAAAGTCCGGTGATCCTAACTGCAGTCCGTATGGACATGTTTCAAAGTGTTGATCTTAGAAAAGTTTGTTTGAAGCTTGAGCTCATGAACCTTGCAATCGACTTTATTTTATCCGCTAATTTTGAAAGTTTTGAACGTTTTTTCGAGGTGAAATTGTTCTACCGTTAGATTACTTATAAGTTGCTTTAATTAACTGGAGAAACACCTAAAAAACTATTAGCAGCCAGCAACTCTTGAGAACCATAACCGGTAATCGATATTTCGCGCCGAGCATTAGTGAATTTGGCGATGTACCTTTAGCATACGATTTGTGAATCCGTATCATACACTAGGGTCTAGGAATAATATAAATCGGAGCGTTTAAAATTTGAACACATCGCTACCGCGACGTTCTGGGTGGGAAAAGTTCAAACAGGTGGAGAAACTGACAATGAGAACAGAAATCGTTTATAGATACTTCGGGCAGGTTATCCGTAATAGTCGGTTAGGCTGATACTTGATACCTGGCTAGTTTCGGATCGACATCTGAGTATGCTTCAAGCCTTCAACACGCCGCCTCCGTGCTCGGGACAATGGAGGGAGCGGCAGCATTTATAAATGAAATTTTGTTGTTTTGAATTATTGTTTTGAGACAGTGATGTTACCGCATTTTGTGAAATAAAACCACATAAGCGTTTATTTAGTTCAGAACTGAACTACTCGATAGTAACGAATTGATAATAATGTGACAGCATCATCTGCGGCACAGAGGCATAATATAAGGTCACGGAATATCGCAACAAGAGCAACAACGCCCAGCTGTCTTTTGTGTCTTTTAGGTACTAATATGTATTTCTGAACCGTAGGGCAGTCATACGGAACTTAAACAAGAAAAAATCGAACACGAAACTGGTCAAGTACCAGTAGCCAAATTGCAGCAACCAAAAATCCAGTGATGAAACGCTGTAGTCTGTTTCGTACCACCGATGCGATGGTAAATTACTCGTGTGGTTCTGCACGCTAATGCTGTGTGATAGTCACTGCAGCTTTTGCAGCCTTTTAGTTTTCAGTTTTACTACGTAGCTGGCACTTCACCAAAATTTAATTATTTTATTATGTTAGTGTGGGCATGGACGCCAGCGGGACAATGGTAATTTGTAACCTGTCATTGCCGTGAAAATTTAAATGCATCAAGTTGAGCGGTACCGGTACGAACATCATCATTCACCGAGCGCGCGATTATACAAGTACTCGTATGATTAGTCAGAGAATATCTATATTTCAGTTTGAGCTGGAATCTTCGGTACTTTTTCTTTTATCTACATTCTGGAATCTGAATGCCTGCTGTAGTTGATGGACTCGCAGCATTAGCCAAATCAAAGCATACTGATGCAATGTTTATGATTTATATTTTATCATCACGAAAGTGAGTGTCTCGGACTGTCTCTAAATTTTCTACTATGCAGGCCTCGCAGAAACATTGTGTCGCGATGGACCGAACTGCCAGTTCCCTCCTCAGCGTGCAGCTTGGTCGCCATTCCTTCGATGCCGCGTACTCGTCGCCGTTCGTAGTGGACTTTGCGTAAGGACTGGAATACTGACGTTTCACATGTTTAGCGAGAACCTGTTATCCTGCTGGCGCTGGGCCGCTGATGGCATTTTCACTGAAACACCACGCTAATGTGAGCCCTTACTTGCAGTTATCCGTGGCTGTACGTGTGCGAATACTGCCTGGATTACACTTCGCATTACGACGACTGGGACGATCACTGTGTGAGTAGCTAGGCTGCACTGGGCTTCGGCGTAATCATTTTTTCACGCTTTCCACCGCGTTGCAGAACGGGAAATCCCCCTGCACCGTGGTTACGCCGCCCGGGAGGCTGGTGTACCTGGACGAGATCAGCCGCGGACAGCATCCGTACGGCCGCAGCGAAACGCTGGTGGTGTACGAAGTGAACGGCTCACTGTACCCCTATTACTGCCAGAAATTGTCCCTCCTGGGCAAACTCTTCCTGGAGAATAAACTGAAAACCTACGATGTGGACGACTTGGTGTTCTATGTGCTGTGCGTGAGGGGATGCTCAGGGGACCACATCGTCGGGTACTTCTCGAAGGTAAGGCATGCGTTGGCTTCTGATTAAGCTGAACGTAATCCGTGGTTGCGTTCTTCAACAGCTGAAGGAAGTACAAACCATTACCTACAATCTCCACAAGTTGGTCATCTTTCCTCCTTTCCGGCGCCGTGGTTACGGGAGTTTTCTTATTGGATTCAGTAAGTGTAGCATCCTAATGGTTTGTACTTTGAAGCATAATTTAAATTCTTCGTTGAATTTTTTTTGTGGGCGTGGGCATGCGCCGGTGGTTATAAATTTGTGCCGTACTTAGCCGTCGTTTTGGCTTCTGAAAATCAGTGTGAGAGATTATAGTTTTGCTTATGGTTAGGTTACTTTCTTTCGCGACTGGACGGATCTCCCGGACGTCCAGAACTTCCATTATCTGTCGCCGGGCAAGAAGCGTACAGAGTGTACTGCCGAAAGGCAATATTCGCTTACATGCGGGCGCGCGACCCTAACAGTCCTGTTGATCTCACGATCGAAGGTATGTAGATTTTATCTTAAGGCGACTGCTGACTCATCCGTGGAGAATTCGTTACGATTTGAAACGTGGAACTTCTTTCGGCATCGTTGCAGAGATCTGTAGTTGGACCGGAATCTGCGGCGACGATGTTAGTCAGGTGTTTCTTTGGCTGAAATCGTTTGCGTTCGATGCGGAGCAGGGAAAGTATGTGCCACGAATGATTGCCAAAGATTACAATCGTTTTGCTAAACTTATGCGCGATTCTACTCCGTTGATCTCTGTTTTGACCGACAAGTGTGTCCAACTTCCGTTGTCGCAAACGAAGAAGTTAGCCGGCTGAATGGAAGTGCAGTGAAGCTCGAGCGTGGAGGCGAATTTGTGGCTCTTTTCAGTTTCGCAATGCCTGCGGTGTGCGGTCAGATGGAATTCCTTCTGGTGATATTAATTGCTCGTTTGGCCGTTCTCCTGTAGTGACCACAGTTGGCAGTTTTTGTTATTCCGTTTTTGTTTGGGATTGTTCGGATTGTTGTTTAGAGACTGGTTAAGTTGTTATGTTTGTCTCTTCATTCCTCTCGAATGTTAGTTTAATTTTATATAATTTTTTTGTCTTCTGACTTTCTTGCTGCATCCCTAATTTTTTTGTTTTGTACAGTTCTTAATCCTTTCCGGTTTCCAGTTCTTCGGTAGGCTGCCCTTTGCAGGGACATTTTATGTTATTAGGTGTTGTGTATGTACACTTTTTTGTATATATTTTGCGCACCCCCCACTGCCAAAGACTCATTTTTTGCGGTCAATACCAAAATGATTCCTTACAATTTACATGGAAATATTTTACTGTTTGTGTGTTTCACATTTTGACTGACTGTGAAGCAGTGTGAGTCATTTCTCTGAAAGATAACGGAATAACATACATTTACCGGAAACAAATACGATAGCGATACAATTGGGAGGATTTTTTAAGTTTTCTCGGCGTTTTCACTTCGGAGTTACGTAGCAGTTTTTACTTTCTTTGATGTTTAACTTCACATTTTGGATGAATTATTATGAACCGTACTTTTGCTGTACAGGCAGTACAGCTTCAGTACAACGAGTTATCGTTGAGGTTAGTTTATGAAAACCGAAATACAGGTTTGCTTGTTTTGCTTCTCGGTTTTGCTTTTCAGCTCCGGGTTGATTGGCTGCCCTTGGCGGTAGCTATTGCAACGCAAGCCAGTTTACCGTTTGCGTGCTGGTTGCCGGTTTCCTCAACTTTCCTGCGCTGATGCAGCTGACTGCGGATAACTCTTTAAAATTTAATGGCAAGAAAAATTTTACACATGTAGAGAAGCTGTGGTTTGGGACTTCCTTTAAGCTACTTACACCAGTAATAAAATTTTCATCGTTTTTCCCGCATTTTAAATTGGTGACGTCGAAAGTGTCAAGCTTTCTTCCGTAGATTGTGGTAAACGTAGGGGATCCGGATCAAAATGCCCGGGGAACAACCACGCTATCCTCGTCGCGAAGAAGAAAATCAGCATCTCTGCTGCATCCTGACGCGAAATAAGCCAGCGGTATTTACAGATGTCGATTCGGTGCACCCCCTGATACCATTCGAGTTCTCCCATTATACTGAGCGCATGACTATTTGCATACATGCCATGCGAGAGCAGGGCCTGTTCTTGGAGTTTGATGTCTTCAATGTGGAACCCTTCGTCATAAACGCGCTGAGGCGCGCTCTCCTTGCTGAGGTTGGAATGCAGTTAGTTGTTTATTTCTAAAAAGCACTTTGTGAGAATTCCAGATTTTTCGGTAGGTTCCATCCATGGCACCGGCCGAAATCCGAATGCAGCAGAATAGCACGATTCTCTCCGACGATATGATTGGTCATCGTGTGGGAATGGTGCCGTTCCGCGCGGATCCGCGTTGTTTTAAATTCCGTCCCGCGGACAAGAAACCGGACAGCCTGGATTATGGTATATTATTTGAACTGCAAGTGGAACCGAAAAAAGTCGCACGCTCGACCCGTCATGTGCCCGTTAATCCGAAAGTTGATATGGTGAAACTCTACAGCACGGATTTCAAATTTCCCCGCGAATCATCGTATCCGCAGGATCTCATGGAAAAAGTGGGCCCGGTGCACAACACTGTGGAGGATCGTATCTTAGTTGCTACCCTGCATCCTGCTCAGGAGCTGGAGTTTCGCGTATTCGTGGCTAAAGGTATCGGGAAGGATCACGCCAAGTTCTCTCCTGTGTCAACGGCATTTTACCGAGCAAAACCGGAGATTCGTCTTTTGCGGGACGTTAATGGAGAAGAAGCGCACCGGCTGCGCGAGTGTTTTGTGAACAACAAGGGCGATAAGGCAATTATCGAAGTGGTGAAAGATCAGTCAGGTATTTATGTTTAGTCGAGTAGTTGCATAGGACGAGTTTATCTTGCACGAGGATGAGGTCGAGGACGTTGTAAGGACGAGTTTATCTTGCACTGGATCTTTAAATAACGTCATTTTTGAATACCGTTACAGTCCGGCTCGTTAATAGTTTCTATTGTAATTGTTAAAAATTCTTTACAAAATGATATACTTAAAATATATGTAGTGCGTGATTAAATAAGTAGCACTTTGTCTTTGATAATCATTTTAATGACCGTACTTGTCATTTCGAATGTTTTGTTGCAGGACGCGAGAGTGCTGTGGTGAAAAATGACCGTTTGTACACCGGATGTCGAAAAGTTTTATGCGACTCTACCTTGAGCGATGCCGTAAAAATTGGATTTCGAAAGAACGAATTTATTTTCGAAGTGGAATCTGTTGGCGCCCTACCGTCAACTGTGTTGGTTAAAGAAGCATTGACTATTCTGAAAAACCGCTGCGAATATCATTTGCTCAAACTGGCTCGATTTAGAGCGCCTATACCGTCTGTCGTCAAAATGGAAGAGCACTCGTAAAAATAGAACAGTCGTTTTAATTGTGATTGTATTAATTGTAATCGTATTAATTGTAATCTCTTTTAATTTCAGTTTACTTTGTACAAAAGAACAGAAAAAGGCTACAAGCTTTATTGCGACGCAGCCTCTGCGCAAAATATTAGAACCAATTAAAAGGTCAAAACTGAACTTACGGTTAGAATCACAGAAAGTCCACAGAAACCCATGTAAAAAAAAGTCAGCGCAAATTTTACAAGAATGTGTCAATTTGAGCAGCTTTTTTCCGAATATCTTCCACAGGATGACTTTTTAACCGGGCCACAGTGCCGGGAATTCCGGATCGCAGAATCACACTAGCAAATTTCTGTGCACGGCTCAGATATTCAACAATTTGTAAACCTAAAAGCACGCCATCTGTCGACAGTCTGCCATCTTGTAAGCAAGTATTCAAAGCACTTAAAAATTCCTGATGGTCAGCATCTTCCAAAAACATTCGAACTGCATCTTGTTGTTGGAAAAACAAGGCAATCGCGCCTAACCCACTCATCACAACTGCGGCGGCTTTTTCGATTAGTTGGTCCGACAGCAGCTTCACCATCCCATGCCGCAAGAAGCAATTCATCACATTACATGAGTAATTCGAAGTTTTTACAGTGGTCACGACGGCTAAAAGGGAGTAATTCGTTACAGTCGGTTCTGTAACCCACGAAAACATCTGCTTGACCACAACGTCCGAAGTTCCAAACAACACTGCCGTATCCTGATCGAGAGAGATAAACATGCGTAGAAGTGCCAGAAATTTACTAACAACAGGTGACCGAATCGGCCCGCAAGTGAATTGCCCCAGCTTCACAACAGCCAAAATCAGTACCTCAGCGAAATTTAAATCAAGGAATACCCGTCGGCGAACGGTTTCGTTAACCACCAAATTTTTCAAAGCAGACACAACCGCATACTGAAGTTGCAAAACCTGCTTCCGCTGAGAGATAAGTAAACAATTTGGACAATCTTCCGGTTGGATATCTGTGTAATTGTCGTCTTCTTGCAATTTTTGTGAAAGACGACTTGACGATTTAATGCACTGATTACACCGGCCAGTGTCAGTTCTGAAATCATCGGAAGCCAAAATCTTATCCGCTAAGTCCAAGGACTGAATAAAAACATTCTTCAAAATTTCCGCTACAGTATTTCCGTCGGAAAGCCGGTGACTAATAAAGGCCAAACAGCTCTGTTCATCACGCATCAGATTCCCAATAAATAAAGCGGCTGTTATGCGTTTTGAAATTCGATTCCAATCTGCAACAACATTTTACTGTTTCACACTTCGAACACAACACAACCGGGTCTCACAACTATCATGTATGCATTATCATGCATATGAAGTGCAATCTTCAAAATTTCTCTTCGAGTACTTCTTTTACTGCACGGCGTGCACGCGAACATGTTATGAGTACAAGTAAATCCATTCTGAAACTGTAAGCAGCTAACATGAGTTAATAAGATATATTCACGACTCAAAAAGATTATGGCAAATGAGGCAAGGTTACATAAATTTGAAAACCGAGTTAGAATTAACTGGAAATACGAATGTCAAAATTCATAAAATGCATAACAAAAGTGTTAAGCACAGTAGGTGAAAAAGATTTGCATTAAAGGCCTAATCGGATTGTCTGAGCTGTAAGCCGCATTTCGCCACGAAATCTGACAATTAAACTTGCTGTAGTCTGTACAAAAAATACGAATCATTCAACCTAAAAAGAATCTATCTTTTGCCCTTTATAAAAAATGCAGATATAAATTCTTACACAATGACATTTCCACTAATAGTAACAATGATGTGCAAATTCGCTGTACTCATACCATTGTCGACCAGCCATTTCGCGGCCATTTCAGCTTCAAAGCAGATCCCATTCTCGTTGTGATTATGCGGCAACGCGCAACCCACAGATAATTCCACAAGCAAACTGGAGCACTGGTCTTGCAATTCACTGTTCAGATTATTTCGCTCTAACACTTCTAGAAGAATGGAAATTGCGTTGGCTTGCCTAACAGCAAGTTTTCCCTCCTCCGAGTCGGAAATTTTAACCAGAAGGTCCAGCGAATTTTCCACAAGGTTGTCATTATCTGCCTGCAGGAATTCTAATAACAACGATATTAGCTGTGGATCTCCCAGCGATTCCAACGTTTCTACGTGCTCGGCCAAAATCACAAAAGCAGCTAAAATTGTGGCATGTAACTCAGTATAAAAATCATCACACAGCAAACGTCGCAAAAGAACGAAAACTCCACTACTAATTGCAGCTTTCTGGCACGCAGCATTGGAATCAATGACATTGCATAAACATCCGACAGCCGTTTTCGTGAGTTTCAGTACTTCCTTCGGTTCGCTCTGCGCCCAACTTACAGCTAAATTCATGGCAGACAGTAGTTTCGCGAATCCCTTAGCATCCAGGAAAATCTGTCTTCCTGAATCATTTTCATAACAGATGTTCCCAGTGGCTCGCAGACAATCATAAACCACATCGAATCGAAATGATTCACTCAAACTTGCACGTTCCAAAAAATCAGTGAGAGCAACCAAGAAGGGTTCCAGTGCATGTCGCACGCTTTCACATTTGGCTAATTCCGATATCAATATTATGCATTTATGCAGTCCTTCCTGACTGTGGAGAAAAGTCGTAGATGTCAGCTTGAATATCGTCCTTAAGGTGTCCAGAAATCTCGGCGAGCACACGAACCGGCACTTCCCATCGAATTCATCTTTCGAGCTGGCACTGATTTCGGCGGTTATATCTGTTAAAATTGATTGCTGTTCCAAGAAATCTGACGTAGAATATAAACAATTCAACAGTCTGTCTAGTGATGCCATGATTCCGTTTTCCACTGTAGACCGAACGACGACGTTGTTTGCTGTTACCAGTTAGCACACTGTACGTTGATGAAGATTTGCAAAACGGTAGTGCTACCTAACACTAGGGTAGTAACGTATTTAAAATTCAAGGAGGTAAACAAGTACCCTAACAACTAAAACGAAAAAACTCCAGTGATTCATCAGTTTTTTCAAGGGAGGAAAAAGAAAAGAGGAAATTATCAGTTTAGAATTTTGGATTCTAAAATCTAAACTTCTGAACTTTTACGTGCGCACCTTCAACTTTAGAAACCGAAGACATATTCAGTGCGTGCTGCGTCCCCTTGGTGGACGTCACAGAGTAGGTTGACCGCCACTGCCTCCACCCAACGCCGACTGCTGTACGACGGCTCGAAAAAGATTGTTTCTCGATATTTAATCATTTCAATGGTAAAACTTGATTTCTGTATTATTTACTGTAATTTATTTTGTATTTTTGCCCAGATTGGGCTTTTTGTTTTTCACTTGTCAGGTGTCATTCTGCACCGTTGCTGACTTGAGAGGCAGTTATAAGCGTCATTGCTGTGGACGGGGAAGTGGAAGCTGATGGTTTTGCTTCACCATGGAAGCTTGGAAATTGAAAGGCAAAGCCGCAGAGGACTCGAAGCAACGCAGGCTTAACAATTCTCCCGTCCAGCGCTCAGGTGATGGTACTACCACCGATCGCGAAGAAGATTTGGCTACAACGGTATACGATCCATTCCAAATAGGAAATATTAACGGGATTAAAGGAAATGCTCTTCACGACCGGGGCCTGTGGAGAGCTTTACAGGTGTGTATTTGTGTTTGATGTTATTCTGACTTTTTTCTGTCAACAATATGTGCGACTCATTGTACGTTACATTGTTACGTTTTTAGTCGAAGTACAAGCCAGATCGGCTGATGGCTGGTACACCATTATGTACTGTATTTGTGGGAAGATTGAATCCCTCCACTACGGAGACAACGCTACAGACCGTATTCTCGGAGTTCGGCAAAGTGAAATCCTTGCGCTTGATACGAAATTATGTGACGGGGCTGTCGCAGCGCTATGCGTTCATTGAGTACTATAAAGAGTGTGATGCACAAAACGCTGTGCGGAATGCGAGGCGGATGAGCTTGGAAGGACAGAAAATTCTAGTCGACATGGAATGTGAACGTGTGCTTTCAGGGTGGAAACCGAGACGTTTAGGTACTTTGTTACTGGCACTTCGGATATACAACACTACATTACCCAAGCACTACGACGGGGCAGCCTGTCCATAGATTATTAAGCACTGGCGGCATTGCAGGCAGTCAGAATCTTTCTTATGAGATTTTTATTGTACTCTTGTTTAATGAAAAATGCACCGTTTTCAGGAGGTGGATTTGGGGGTAAAAAAGAATCTGGGCAGCTGAGGTTTGGTTGTCGAGATAAACCTTGGAGAAAACAGTCTCGTGGCTGGCAAAAACCATCCTGAAGGCGCTGATAAGTGGCAGGTGGTGATGACAAAGCGAAATCCTAGTCATACCATGAAAACGGTAAGAATTACTTATTAGGCTTTGACAGTGTTAACAGCGTTACCTCGGAAAGTGTCGTAGATTGTCATTTGGATGGCTGCTAGTACAAGTACATGATGATCAGTACATCTATCCAATGTGTTTCAATAGTCAATTTTCAGTAGTGTGTACACTATTTTTTGTGCAGTTAAGTTGTGCGTTGACGGTGTGTGCCTTGTGTGTAATGCTAGTTCGCGATTCTGCGCGTTTTGATGTATAGCTGTATCGGTACGAATTAGGAAGATCTAGGCCGTGCGCTGGGGGGCTTACAGAACAAACTTCCGGTCGGTGTTGTTATTAGGCTAGCGAATGTGGCCGAGAAAAATGTAGTTCGAAGAACAAGGCGCAGCCCAGAGCTGCAGAATGATGATCTTGCGCTGCTTTCACTTTCGGCAGCAAATTTTTGCCGCATGAGGGATACCTAGATGATGTTTGCTTGCAGTTTGGCATTTATTTTTTGATTTCAAAAGTTGTGTTCCGTGTGTATGCCAAGACACCTTTTTCTCTTTTACTGTGGTAATTGTATGTTTTTAATTTACAAAATTCTACTGCAGAATATATACTGGAAAATTGTACTGTTTTCCTGCGCTGTGCTTGCGGTTTGCGTTTGTGGAGTTTAACGGGGCAGGTGGAAATCTTCTTCATTCCGTTATTCGAAAAATCTTCGAAATGCAGTCTCTTGCTCAGTTCTATCAGTACCTTAAAAGCATAACTTTGTTGTCGCTATTATGGAAAAGTTGTAAGTCTGGCAGATCCTTTGGATTATGTTTCGTAAAATTGTTTCGAGACTTGCAGTATGGTTTTATTTACATGTGAAAATTCATTTTCAGGCACAGTTCTTGCTCAAGAAGGCACGGAAAATATTGGACCTGCTGTTGGACCAGCTATTGTAGAAACACAACCTGCATACGGTATAGTTGTTTATATTCCGCCGGTTTCGCGCCATTGGACTTATCCTGGGCCCCTGCCATTGCCCGGAATTAGGTAAGCCAGCGTTGTGTAGCTCTGCTTATAGGTACCAGCAAGGGGGATAGGGTACCCTATCGGCCTATCCACCTTGGTACAAGTACGGTAAAATTACCAGTGAGGTCTGTCCACTTTTTTGAAAAGGCAGCTTGAAGGAGAGACGTGTGTTTTAATGCTGAATATGTATTAACTCGTAAAGATTTTCATGATACGGTATACAACTATACATTTCGCAGCTGACGGTTTGACTTCTTTTTGTGCTGGGTTGCGTCGTTTGATTTTGTGGACATTCGGTACCGCATCGGAACTCACGACGGACTGCTGCTTTGATTTCGCGCAGTTACCTATCATGTTGATTTCTGCCTATGCTCGCTAGCTTTATTTAGCTACTGTTATGTTCAGTGTACTATGTTTTTGAATAACGACTTTTAATGCACGGTTATGTACAGATAATAATTTTGATTGGCTTGCAGCTGGCCCATAATCGGATCTGCAGGAATTGGTTACCAAGCTGAAGGTCGCTTTCCCTACACTGGTTATGTTGGAAACAGGGCACCCTTTTTAAAAAATGTCCTGGGAATTCCGACACCGTCACCGCAGACCCAATCACCTCTTGATATGCAACATCTTGATGGAGAAACGGGAAGGTTTTTTTGAAAAGAAGTTAGTATTCTGTTTGCACACTTCTATTGCAAATGAGCACTGACCGTGGCATTGTTTTCAAATACTCAGACTGATAAGTAATTCCGAGTATACGGTGCGTAGCCGTGCGTTGTGGCTTGACTCTTAAGCACTATCTGGGCGCAGTGTTTGTTAACAAAAGACTTAATGGATATGACCACGAATTTTGATCCTTTTATTACAGATACCTCGGCAAAAAAAGTATAAAGCTTCGCAGTAAAAAATTACACAATTTCAAACTTCAAAACAAATTTGTACACTCGGGATTAGTTCTCACTTTCACTGGGTTAGAAGACAATTTCAAATCACACATGACCGTTAAATTAATAACACTAAGGCACTACGCTTTGGTTGTGCCACGAGGCTTAATAAATTCTGAGATCTGCCATAGCTGTTCCTCTGGTAGAAAATTATCAAAATTATTAAAAAACTGCACAATAGTTTCGTTCCGCAGAAATGGGTATTGGCACTTCTTCTGGAAGAACCTTAACAGATCCAATATCTGATGCTGCTGCCATCGTTTCCCAAAATTCACCACATGCTTGTTTTCATCGAGCCAATCGGGATTTTCGTTAACGAAAGTCAAATCTTGCAAAGCGATCCCGATATACGGTATGCAGGGTGGTTCGATGCCTGCCAATACCGAGCGATATATTCGAAACGACTGCGAGCTATCAATCAATGCGCTAAATTCTTTCACAACTTCTGTGTGCGCTTTGGAACAATCCAGGCGACGAATTGGAGCCGAATCTACAGCGGCCAGCAGAGCGAGATACGAGTTGAAATTCTGGATTTTTCGCAAGTGCTTCATGATCTTCAAAAATTTCACGAAGTACTTCTCCCTGTCACGGTTATCGGTCTGCTCCAAAATCCGAGTTCGTGCCCAGAAACTAATTTTATTAAAATGCTCGGTGAAAACTGATAAATTCTGTCCAGATTCTTCAGACTGTTCTTTAGTCCACAGGAGAATTTCTCTGGTATCGATACGCGTAAATAGTTCAGCATCCAACAAAGTCATTTGCTCAGCAATCTCTACAGATTTGAAATCCAACAAATATCCTATTCGTCGGCTTCGCCTTGGTGTAGAGAGCAACAACAACGATGTACTCCGGGATTTCTGTAAGCAATCATGCTTATCTAACAGCTTCCTTCGTAATCCACGGGCCATAGCTAGATCGCCTTCTAACACTAACTGGTACACAAACGCCAGCAGCGTGTGGATAATGGGCGATTTGAAGAGTTCCGGTAAGCACAGCTCATCAACTATTCGTAAAAGCAAAAAAAACGTCGTGCGAGCAGTGTTCTTTTCGTTCACTCCGGACTTGGAGGACACTGCCGCATATCGCCGCAGAATATTTTTGACTAAATCTTCTGCCGAAATGAACGTCCGGTACGTGCCGAGGAATGCTTCTTGAAATAAGAAATCCTTTTTCGTTGATTTAGTTGCCTCCGTAATAAGGGCATCTACGGTGCCACCCTTCACTTCGTTTTTCCCTAGCGCATTAGTGCAGAAAATCAAATTATCAGCGTGATCCAACTCGGGTATCGAGGAGGCACTTCCATTCAAACGATTTGCAAAGAGGTCACCATATGGAATAGGCGAACATCTCGGTGACGAATTACCTGGGAATGCACGAAAATCTTTGGTCATTATATCTGCATAAAATGAGTAAAATTACTCTCTGGCGAAATTTATTAATCTGCTTTAGTAAACTGGTCATTCATCTAGAGTGGAAATACGCGTCAAAAATAATATCAATTTCACTCATAGTAAACTTACTCCCATTTCGTGGGCTAATAGGCGGTTTTGAGCCGAAACTCGGGTTGATAGGTGATACCGGACTTGAACTCATCGGAGAGATCCCATAATAATGGCATTTTTCATTCTGCTTAAAAGCATTAATCTCCTGGGCGAGCAATCCCGACGGAGCGCTGGGTCGTCGCGTACTTGTTGCAAAAGAATCATGGCCGAATACCTCGATGTAAGACTGAACATTCCGCTGCTTTTTAGGCGGAAGCGGAGGTCCTCGCTGGCTCTCGACTTCACAGTAGATGTGCTCATAGTGATTGTGGGTTCTTCCATTATCTTCGTCCAAGGAAGTCCTACGCGGCGACGGGGACAATGGTGACTGCGCTAAGGGCAGAAACTGCAGCGGTTGGGAGGAGCTGGGGCGTGTGGCCACACCCAGTCCATTCTCATGGAAGAAGTGCTGCTCGATGAAGGGATTGTTTGTGCGTTTCACTTCGTAAACAAAGACGCCCGGGCGCTGGCCATTCAGCGATGTTGTACTCTTAGCGGGCGATGCCGGCGGCTTAGAGAAATTATCGCTCGCCACATTCACGTCGGAGCGCGCCATCTTCCGAGCAAAGGTACTCAATCCAGGCTGATTTCGCGGAGAGTCAATACATGCAGGCCCATCCAGTGAAATTCCAGAATCAGTAGCTGTTTTCTCGAACACCTCTAACTGGGGGCTGGGACTTCGACTATGTAGCGAATAGGAAGACGTGCTGTGATGACTCTGACGTGCGTCACCGCGACTCATGGGACTGAAGGTGTGTAACTGAGCCAGTGACCCTAAATCAACAAATTAGGCAAAAATAAGCAAATAGTATGGATTACGTCATATCCTTATCGAATTCTCACCTGCACCGTCTATTTCATCTCGACCAGTCGAAACTGTAGACGATTGCCTGGAGAGCTTCCGAGCGAACAACGATTCCGTGGAGGCACTGGGTTTAAGTTTTATAAAAGGCTTAACACCATCGTCAGTCTCCTTCGTATTAGAATAGTATATCTCGACAGCATTATGCACATGTCTCCGGAGAGCGTAAATTGCGGGCACGACATTGGGATGGCGTCGCATAGGCGTGGAGCGGTCCGTTTTCCATATAAGCACTTCATCGGACCAACGAACCAGGACAGCTAAATACCGATGCATCTCGATTAATTCGGAGCGAAGAGTGGCACTTGAAGGGTTTTGTTCATGGAATAAACTCTGAAGCTTGTTATCCAAAACGAAGATGTTCTCAATCACAACAGTCGTTGAGCCGGCTAGTAATTCAAGAGTGTTCTTTTCTACCACATCCTGGAAGTACCGAAGAGCAAAAAACACTTCTTTTTCCAAATGTGATACTTCCTCTTCGTCCTGCAATATAAAAGCCATTGTTACAAAAATGATGGTAGTAAAAGGTTTCTTCATGCTTGCGCTACCTGGCTCAAAGATGGCATACTGCAGAACAGTCTTTTAAAACAGTCTTTCATCATAAAAATACTACACTCAGTCCACTATACACCAAAACAACGATAAGTCGTAATAATTTCGTACCGGTAAGTGAACAAATATTACACGCGGCACTATAAGAAATTTTCATTTCGGGGAAAAAAAATGAAAGTTTAAAAGCAAAACCATTAAGTTCGGTAAGCGCAGAATGATGAGTTATACTGAACTTCACAGGAATCGCTGACGAAGGCAATAACAACAGTTTTCACCGGTTTAAATGTACGAACTACGGCGCATGAATCTGATATGAGCAGAACGCTGCGAATACAGTAAACATACTTGTATTGCTCTGAGCCTACTCCTCCGCACCCTGGTAATTAACATTGTTAATCACTGTAATAACATTTTTCTAGTTTATTCAATTTTTTACTACGGATGGTGTGCTCACTGCCAGCGAAGCATTCCATTACGATACGAGTATTAATGCACAAACAACTAGTATAAATCCAACAATTACAAAATGCGTCCGACGTGCCATCCATTTTAGTTATTTTGCAAAACTACTGAGCAATACAAATATTTATTAACCACTGCCCATTAGACTTGTAATTTTAGACTTGTAATTTGAGACTCACAATTAGCAAGTTTCGAAATTAAAATTTTATATGGTTACAGATTTGATGACTGATTAAGACGTTACCAGAAGAGGTCATCAAAACAAAGCAATAAAGCTTCTGTACATAGTACTACATACTGTATAGCATAAACTAGTAATGGTTTCGGCGACTCGGGCAATATTCACAGCACTACAGTATACAGACGTCAGCTGATAAGGACTTTCGAAACATACCGTAATTACATTCTGGCTGCAATTATCCAAACTACGTCGCAGTTCATTTCCCGCTTTCCATCCCATAGCTTGACCGGCATTGCTCTTGGAACCCAACAATGCCGAAGCAGATTTTCCTTTTCCAGTGGATGATTTAAAATGAAATATGTTGGGATAACGAGACGCTGATGCAGCTCTCATCCTGCAAACTTTCAGATAGCACACCCGATATCCACGGAATGAATTCTGAATTGTCGGATGTCGTCACAGCAGGCCATAACAAACCAATAGCAGCTCATTCCTGAAAGAAAACCCTTTAGGCTGGTGATATCCAAATAGAGGCTGCCACTGGCTAGAACCTCGATAAACACCAAAGAGATAAAATTTCTGAGAACAGCTAGATGTAATCAAATCGTCATTCTTTGCATCATAAAATGCGTAAAATCGACATCTGAATATGACATTTGTTTTGCTGGAACAGATGCCTTCGATTGCTGATAAGCTGAGATATCGGCATAGATAGAACTATATAGCATATTTTACCTAGAAACATCTGGTTATCGGTTTAATGCGAATATATCAAAAGGGTGGGAACATTACGGTAGTAAGTTGACAAATGGGTGCATCGTCTATCTGTATGTTATTTTGCAGCTAAATGCAGGTTCAAATGAACTAAAATCAGACAAATCATGTTTTTCGTAAGTACAAACTTGAAGTGTAACTACGGAAAACTTTCACCACTTTGAAATACCCGCCAAACCGTTCGCAAAAAAAGTAGGTACTTAATTAAAAAAAGTGGGTAGTTAAAAAAAGTAGGTAGTTAACTGCTCTTACTCTAGCAATTGAATAATTTTAAGATGGGAATCCGTCTCTCAGAATCTCAAATCTGAACGTTATTGCTGCTTAATGCTTAGTTAGTAAAATGCAAACCATCTGCTCTAAACAGACAAGAGGAACCACCACCAAAAGAAAAACTGCAAAAGCCACGGATTTACTTTTCGTGCGCTTGAAATTCCGTACGTTTAATTATTTGGATCTTTTATCGATTTTATGAGTTACCATGATCGTGAAAAGTTCGACAACCAGTACAGCTTACATTACGTATTAAAAGTACAGTAACTGTAAATTTCAAAAACACAAAATCCAACGTCGGATATCAGAGCAGTGCTACATGCTCGGTGGCACAGCCACACACTTGCTAATTAAATTGCTAGTTTTTTCTTACCAACCACAATGCCTTGCCAACCAGAAGATGCACGGGAGCTCGTTCCAGACTAGAGCTATGTCGACACTACACACACCTTCGGTGGGAACTATCAAATGTCGAAATCCACGTCGAGTATTTCAGCTGCACAGAATAAACTGTTTCTATGAAAAATTCTGAGTGCCAAAATCCGCGGGTCGTTCGTATGCCAAGAGAATGTAGAAACCATAACAATAGCTTACTGCTAGCTACGTTGTGAAACCAAGAACACTTCCAACTTCTTCCGCATTTTCTCAGAAAATGCATACGATACAACGATCATGGAGCATCTGTTTACATCCATTTAAGAATACGAGCCACGGGAATCTCCTCCAGTTACCGCAGCGCAATTTTGCACTCTTTCCATGCGTAACTTTTGAGTTTAAGTTACTTTTCGGCTTGCTGTTAGCATGTGCAACAGCATAAATAAGCGAGAATAACGACAATATTGCGGATGAAATGTGCTGCAAGACAGCAAGAGGCGCGGGTTTCGAGGCAGAAGCAGCGAAGCTATTTTAAACTCAAAATGCTGTAGTATAAACGGATAAACGAATGCGCAATGGTGGGCTTTCTAGCGCAAGCACTTGCACCAGCTAGCAAAAGGCACAAAACAGCGTGCAAAACAATTCATAAAGCAGAACTTAAAAGGTGTAACGTGCACACGTGACAAGTAGATGATAATCAAAAACCAAACCCAAAAACTAGAAACGATAATAAAAATGGAAGAATAAGAAGATGCAAAAGTTTCTTAAACGTTTATCATTTTATGAATCCAGATTGTTGTGCTTGCGATAATCTCCATGCCCTGTCGAGCGCACCGCTGCGTTCCGTCGTTCCGTGCTACTTTACACCGTAATCCAGATGCGAACTGCAGTAGTGCAGACTTGAGCTTCCCCAAGGTCGGTGCGATTATATTCACTGATTACTGCCCTCAGCCCTTAGTAAATCAGAATAAAATGTCGACTCATCATCCGTTCTTGGAACGAAGATGTACTTATCATGACCGACTGACGGATTTAATTAGTTCTACATTTGCTGGATAAGTCATAAGCGGGCCATAGTTTCCGAAGTCTTCTTTATTTACTCGTATAGTTGGACATTTCATACAGTCGTTTGCTCGTTAATAATCTGAAGCAGATTTCCCAACAGCCACCGCTTAAAATGCAGGTTACTTGTCGGCTTCTCAATCAGGAAACTTTCACCATAGACGCCGAGCCATCCACAACCGTGAGTATTTCCATTGACGTTCTTCATTACTGACTTGGCTTTCGTTGTCTTAGTGAGATTGTGTGGTTGCAGGTCGGTGAATTGAAGAAAAAAATCGAAGAGCTCAAAGGAGACGAGTTCAAGTCGGACACCCTCAAACTGATTCATTCAGGTTTGATTCTTGCTTTGGCAGAATCTGAGAATAAGGAGTTTTTGTCCTCACTACCGTCTTTTTTAGGGAAGATATGGGATCGCAATGAAGCCACATTAGAGAGCGAAAACTACAAGGAAGCTGGATTTGTTGTGGTGATGGCTCGTAAAGCCTCAGTGAAGCCCGCAGAGACTCCCAAAGCTCCAACAGAATCAAAAGCCCAACCACAAACTGCCAGGTAAATCTGACGGAAAAAATGTCGATTTATTATACTATTCATATTCGTTTAATGTTTAGCCCAGGTTTATTTATTCTGAAATATTTGAAATGGTTTGAATAGAATCAGGGTTAGGAATGTGTGTTGTTCATAGACGAAAGGATGACGAATTGTTAGGAATTTTCCATTTTTTCTTTATATTTTCTGCTCTTGGAATTTAATTAAATTTTCTTACGTGGCTTGTCAGTCCAGATACGTACATCAAGTTCTTCTGGTGAGTCATCGACGAAATAAATTTTTATTGATTCTTTTATATATTTCCAAGTCGTTAGTCATGCTTTTTAACTTAGGAAAGCGAATACTAATTGTAGGCATACGATAATGATAAATCGCAGTTGATGGCGAATTTTAACCAAAGTTTTCTCTTTTCTGTTAGTCAACCTGCGCAGCTACCTACGCCTCCCGTCGTAGCGAACCCTGCTCCGGCGGCTGCCCTTGCTGGTCCACCTCAGAATGTCGGATTTGGAATCTCCCCGGACAAATACAATGAAATGGTAGAGGCCATTGTCCAGATGGGCTATCCGAAATCCGAAGTGGAAAGCGCTTTGCGCGCTTCCTATTTCAATCCCGAACGGGCTGTGGAATATTTGATCTCGGTATGTTAATGCCTTCTGGATTCTCTGCATCGTGAAACCGTTGACATTTTACGTTTTTTTTCGTAGGGACTGCCACCTGTCAGTGGCGGCATTCCCCCAGCCGTTCTATCCGGAAATCCCGCAGGTGCAGCGCAGCGACCAGCACAGGCTGCGCAGCCGGTTGCAGAAGCTGGAGCCGCCGCCGGAGGTGAGGATTCTCATTTCTGTTGCGTTCGTATTAATAGAAGTGAATTTGTCAGATTGTTATAATTGCGCTTTATTGTCATACTTTATTGGGACAATTTCCCTGTATTTTTGATTTAAAATGGCGGTGTACTGAAACTCAATATTGTCATTCCATAGGTGCGGATCCGTTGGCTTTTTTCCGTGATAGCCCACAATTTGCACAGATGCGACAAATGATACAACAAGATCCACAGCTTCTTCGTAATTTCATGCAGGATATTAGTCAAGCTAATCCACAACTGATGCAGGTATTATAATCTGACTGGTTTTTTCGGGAAATTATTCCTCAGTGCTGGTTTTGTAAGAGGTGCTGATTTACTGCTTGTTGTTTATGGTAATCGTACATTGTGCAAAACTGCAAATACTGTTTTACACTATATTATAGTGCTCTCTCGAAGGCTTTTTTGTTGCTTAAGCACTAAAAAGTTATCGCCGAATGAAGTTCACACTAAGTTTTATTGTAAACGTGTACAGTAAACGTTTATTTTTGCCTCAGGCCATTCGGGATCATGAAGAAGAATTTCTGGCTATGTTGAACACAGAAGCAGCCGAGGGAGATGAAGAATATCCCGAAGGACTGGAAGGTCTTCAGGCTGCGCTTGGTGGACTTGCTAATGCCGGAGGAGCTCCTCCACCAGGTGTTCATTACGTGAACGTGACACCGGAAGAGAATGCTGCCATTGAGAGAGTACGTTATCTGCTTTTTTTATTTTGTTGGAATATGTGCGAAAGAGATTCTGTAAAGCATTATTTGACATTGCTTGTTGCTGCAGCTGAAAGCAATGGGATTTCCGGAGCAGATGGTGATAGAAGCATTCTTTGCTTGCGACAAGAATGAGGAAATGGCCGCCAACTTTTTGTTATCAAATCTGGATGAATTGGATCCTGGAAGAGGGCTGTAGATGTCGTGAAGATGGACGAAGATGGTTTTAGCCGAATATTTCTGTTCCGACGTGACATGATTTTCTTCGTTTACCGGAAATCGGTTTTTCCTGGGATAGCTTTCATTATCAATAACTCGATTCGATTTGAACCGCCATGGATGATTTTGTTTGGCAGATGGGTTTAGCCGTTTTGGTTTGCTTGTCAAATATTTATTACCACGCTTTGCGTATTTACACAGTTTCCCATGCAACCTGGAACTCGCCATTCAGTTTCAGTTTTCGCAAAATTCAAAATCACATTTTTGGTGTTCGTACTTTTTTGTGGTGACTTAAAGCGATATGCTCATGCGAATTCTGCTGTGTCCGCGTTACCTGCGTTCATAACGCGCTTTTTTACTTCCTCCGAATTTTATTAAAACAGTACGAAATCTGCTATTTCCATGCAAGAATGTTATATATGCTGTCCAGCAGCAAGCGAGCATAAGAAAGATATCAGCAGTTGTGAGACGGTTCATGTTGTAAAAATAAATACGATCATTAAGCAACAACCATTATTCACTGAATAGTGGGCAAAGAAATCAGTTGCCCAGTTCCGCTTCCAGTAGAACTTCGGGAAGTTAACATTCCAGCGGCACTTCGCGACTGCACAGAAGGATGCCGCATAGTGTAATCTACAATAATTACGAAATTTAAAAGTATGCAGTTGATCACAGGGGCCTTATTGTGAGAGTTACAAGGCATGCTAACTAGTCAATGTAACCGCTACTTCATTGTTATGAATTTTATCAAGCATACTATGTCCAGATTATAATTAATAAGAGTACTGTACAACCGTCATTTACGACACGATTAGTAGCGTGCTTACTTTTCATTGCGGAAGTCAGTTTATCCTGAAGGCCTGGTACACGGACGGTTCTGCCGGACGGTAACTGAAAAGATTCTGATGCTGATCCACTCTGCGTTATGGAAAGTTTTGACTGCTGGGCGGCACAGTAATTGTTCAAAAGAATGACAAACGCAACAAAAATGATGGCAGCAGTGATACGTCCAAATGCGTCCATGGCTATTGTACTTTGTCGACTTGAGCGCAAGAGTGACCTTTTAACTAGCTGATATATAAAAGATATGCCGCAGGCTTGCAATTATAGGCAGCTTGATAGGACTTCGTAATATCACTCTCGTACAATTTGCAAAACTGATGCTGCAAATTATACTAAATCGAATTCGTATTCGTATTGCAGAGTTATGATGCGACCTTGTCAGAATCTTCCACAAGTACAGTATGCAGTAGGCAACGACTCCAAAAAAGTCTTAAGGCTCGTGACATGCAAGTCAGAAGATTTCTGTAGCAGCGATTTATATCACCAAAAGACCCCGTTTTCTTTTGCTTAGATTGTACAAAAGGCCGTGATTTTTCTCGCCACTGAATCATCAAGTTCCTGGTGTACGTAGTCAAAATTTAATTGACTAGGCAGATATCTGTTATAAGTACATGGGCAGGTTATTTATGCAACTTTTTATATGCCGTTCGTACGTTTGTGGACGGTCTTTCTGCCTTCGCCAGCACACCCATGTTTTTCCGAGCATCAGACTCATTTCTTTGCTAAAAGGACCCAGAAAAATAATACACCAAAGAATTTCAATCTTAAATGTAAAGACACCACGTCGAAAAAAGTGCCGATGCCAGCAAGTTAGTAGTCTAGCTGCCTACTGCACTTCTAGTACAGTAAGTCGAAGGTTCGTTATTAATGTTACGATTAATACCAGGTTATTAGTCACTTATTAACAGTACTTCATGATCAAGTTACAAATAGAAAATGTGCCGGTGTATACGTGCATACTTAAAGCAACAATTACATATATTTTTATTCAAATCGTGACGTGTTCATTTTCAAAACGATAAAAATCATTGCATAAAAACAGTTCAGTGTCTGCAGTTCTAATGAAATACCAAATATGTATGCACAATAATGCAGCATTGTATCTTAAGGGTATTTATTTAAAATCAATCCAGGGAACAAAGACAAACATTACGCGGCTTCTGGTGACATTTTTATAATCAGAATCAGATGAAATTCCTATCGCGCCGTTATATGCTAACATATTTAATATAACACCCGTACTGATGCTTTTAATAAGCTAGTCTGCTAGTTCTAAACGATTGCTTTACAATTGCACTCATTGTCTCACAGCAAATAATATTTTTTTCCTGCAGATATACGGATGTATTTTCATTCTTTTGCGATTTGTTCGAATCCATTCCAGGGTACAAGTTCCCACTTCAAGACGCGTATAGTGTTTGCTTGCAAACTGACGGAAAAGCACAAGCATTGTCTGCTCAGGAATTTTATTACGCAATTAATTTCATTTTTTTCTGATAAACAGATAAAATAACAATAATTAATATCTAACACAAATCATCAATGAACTAATTAATTACACATTTACTTAACTGTAACTTTCATATTAAAATTCTAGCAGTTTAAGCAGCAATCCATTCGATCCCTCCAGAACCTAGACAACTTCAATAATCCCATCCAAATTAGTCCGCTCACATTACTGCGTAGCCAAATAAGCTGCGGACAGAAGGGACAGCGCAAGCACTACATAGCCAGTTTTATACAAGTCCGGCAGCGCGAATCCTTTGCCCATATCCCAGGCTAAATGACGAATCCCGTTGAAGTAATGGTACATTAGCAACCAACCAACACCAAACTTCCCGACGAAAACCAGTATGTCATTCATCTGCCAACTCCGGATGACTTCCACGTAATAATCAAAATGCTGCGGCGCAAGAAGAATTCCTAGAGACACCACCCCCAACTGCAATCCTAAAATCAAACCCGTGGCACGATGAGTACCGGACATCATCATGGGTAACTGTGTCTGATAGATGGTCAAATGGGGAGACAGGGGCCGATTAAGCTTCTTGTTACGGTCGAAGAAGTCATCCCCGGAACGTGGCACACCCGAACCAGCTGATTCACGGAAATCCGATGGAGTGTACTTTTCGCCTTTATCCGTGTCCGGAGGTGATTTAGGAGTCCCGCGGAATTTTTCCGTCAAAATCGTGGAAGAAGTGCGCATACTCCGCAAACTGGACCACAAAACAGACTGCGATCGCAGTGCACTGTTTGCTAGAGCAAGCATCGTCTTCAGCTTTAGAAGAGCTGCAGAAAAAAAAATAGTTTTACAAGCCAAGCATACACAAACTCTAGAACAGTCAAAGAATCTCGTAGCCTTGCAAACTCTGTAAATAATAAAATCCGGTTTATGTGGTCTTGCTTCGCAAAGTAAATTTTTTAGGTACTATTATTTTAAAAAGTAATGTTTTTCGTAAAATTTAAAACGCTGGAAATGTTTGTGTCAGCAGTAGCATGCGCACAGCTAGATTACTGTAGACAGCCCACTCTGCTAGCGCCAGAGCCCCAGAACGGGCCAGGAGTAAAATCATTTGTTTACATTTCGTGACAATCGGCCAGATTTCCCGTCTGTGACTCTTTGGCACAATTTTTTTATTTCCTCCTTATTGTGTTGCAGAGAGCGAAGCTCTTCCGCTGATTTAGAAGAAGAGAGGCTAATCCAGAACTGCTTTTAAATTAAACTGCAATTCTAGATCGGATAATAATGATTAGGATATCCTCCCTGTCAAGCGTACTTAAACTCCCGAACACTTCCAGTCCACGTCCTGTAATTGTGGGATGCACTAGGTATATCTCGGGAGGATACAACGAGGACGCCACGGAACAGGTATATTGTGAATTTGGCGTTACTACGGAGTGATCGTTTAGTATAAAAATCGTGAATCTCTCGGTCTGCTCGTCTTATATGACTATGACGTGTGTTTGCAGGGCTCTGTGGTTAGTGGCCCGAACCCCAAAGAGAGATACTCTCCTGCCCATGCTGTAGGTCGCGCTTATCGAAAAAGTATCCCTGGCATTGGTGAAGTCATTGACTACGAAAAGGATGAATATGCCTGTACGTACTCCTTTTGTGGCTGGAAACATTTTATGGGCTTACAGTAAAACTTTTTAGCTTGCCTGGAACTAGGAATAGGTACGAAATTAAGTACTCGTACCTGTAACTAGCCGTAGCGCTTCTGATGGCACAACAGATTTAAGAGTGCAGCCAGTTTTATTTTTTGTTTGGTGTTGGATGCCTTTTTTTAAATCTTGTTGTTGTGAGGCGCTCTGAGAGCGTTTACTAGCTGTGTGGTTTTCTGAGGATTTATTCATATTATTGATGCAGTTTTTCCTTTCGGCAGATTTCAAAGTACGGCCTCCTGCCGCTGAGCCTGTGCTTCGACCAAAAAGGGACGTTGAGCGCTTGCACACAGAAAGTTTTGCCTTTCAGGAATGGGGCGAAGCGCGCGACGAGGTAATGCGCGACTACAAAACTCGCACGGGTATTTTAGCCCACAAATGGGATGTATCCGATGAAGAAATGAACTACACCTGGCGAGCAAATCCCGGCGGGCGCGAACCCGCCTTCCGCCAACCTTACAGTCCCCCGGAGGAATTTAACCCCAAACCGTTGCCGCCTAGCGATCCCTATGTAGTCCGCGTGCCGTATCCCCTACATCGTCGTGCCGAGATGAAACCTCTGCAACGTGGTACTACTTGGCGACTGGATCCCATGCCGTTAGTGCAAAAATACGCATCGTGGGCGGATTATGCGGATGATTATGACAGCAGTCTGGACGCTGGCGAAAAGAAGGACATGGAGCCCAGTAAAGAAGAAACACAGCTGCAGCGTGCGAAATAGTTTGTCTTCAGGTGCTGTTCATCCATGGTGTTGTGCTATTGAAGTAAATTCTGAATTTCAGAATTTTGTCACTAGACTGTATTACGAAGTGTAATCATAATAATGTCAGGGGTCTGTCGTATCCCGGATCGCGTAAAATGCAGTTGCTCGCACTTGTGTACTTATCTTCATTAACTGAGTAGTTTTCATTGGCTCGTTGTGAATTGAACCTGAAGTGTTAAAGATAATAAACATCTATTGATTACGAAAACCAAACCGTGTACATGCTAGGGGCGAAGGCGCTCTCGTAGGGTAGATCACACAACAAAGTGCAAAAACTTACCATTAGCTGCAAGCTATATCGTCTATGCCGAGTGTTGCTGGATGCGCAACAAGACCATTAGCACAAACCTATTCAAACTATGCTTCAAATGTAATTAAAAACTTTGCCGACGTGAAATGTAAATTATGTAATATAAGCATTCGGATTTTCATGGTGTCGCCATGATTTTTTCAAGTTTCTGCGGCCTAAAGCTCAAACAATTGCCTGTCTTTGTGGAAAGCATTTGTCCTTTGCTACAGGTGTTTGCTCCAGCTTGCTTTTTTATTAAGTATAAATTGATTCTAACACGTAGTTTCTGCATGCGGAATTAACTGATGACTTACTAGCCTACCCGTACCTATTTTATGCCATACTACATCCATTCGCCATATTAAACACACACATAGCACCTCTGACCATTGGTCATCTTGTAACAGCAGCGCGAATGTCTCATATTGCTTTGTGGCTTTCTGATCTGGATTTTCTGTCTCGTGTTTTTCCAGATAGAGTGTACGTTAACGTTTACGTCATCTGGCAGAAATTTACATGCGCAATGTACAGATATGAAGCATTTGCAATACGAGTACAACAGCGATCAAACTGCACAGCCATGCAAATGCGCGCATGTTTTTTATCTTCCAGTTGTGTTCATAAAACCACCCTACCACAAAATTCTTTAAGCGTTTTTTATATTTTCATTTTTCGTCCGTTTATTTGGACAGCACCGGCGTTGTGTCCACAACCAAGTAGGCGCTGGAAAGCACAACAAATTTGCTGTTTTTCCATTACGCCTGCGTGAATGGGCGATCAGTGCTGTGCGGGACCTCCGTGGCGTGACAACATGGGTGGACTACTAAGTATAACGCACTCCCCCAGGGAAGCTGCTTTGATCCATTAACTTGCATAACAGCTAGAAAATTACAAGTCTTATCGGCATCGACCCGATGATGATATAGCTTCCAGTAATTATAGAAGAATTCCACACACTGGCACTGCTGCAGCACACTGCAAATCCAGGCCAGACCACCAGTGAACGGTTTAGATATGGATGGGAATATTACCAACAGGTCAGTCCAACAGTGTCGTGGTTTGCCGCTGGGCACCTTTCAATGAGTGGTGCCGGGCGTATAATGGGACTCCCGTGTATGCGCGCGTAGCACGGCTCAGAACGGGGGAATCAAACGCTGCTCGTTATAACTCCGTGGTTTTGTCTCTAATTCGAGTAATTTTTCAAAAATGGGGGTAAGCCCCGGCATCGTGAAAGAGAAAACAGTGATTGGTGTCAAGAGCGCTGTCGGAAATCGTCATACACTGATATTTGCCTTGTGTTGTATCATTTTGGTAGTTGGGTAACAGCAGCCTCGAAACGTCGACAGAGCAAGCCAGTGCAAAGGCGCGGCAGATGGGAATGTTTTTTTAAGAGATGCAGGTTTGCAAATCACGCTGCGGTCGCAATGGAAATCTCTTGAGCTAAGTGCACAAGCAGAAATGCCCCTGTTTTGCATACACATGGGTAAAAGCAATAAATCAATGCCGTAAAATACCCACCTGTGTTTCAGTGCAAAAAAATCATGTAATACGAAACTACAAATTGCGCTTGCGTTGAGAACTGCGTAATACAATTGCAAACGTCCTACCAACGGAGAAGTTTAACTGAAACAACGAAACGGTTGATAATAATATGGTGCACTATAGATATCTATATAACATCAAAATATTACAGCCGTAACTAGCTAATTTGGTTATGAACTATGTGCATACATACTCTTTTAAATCTATATTGCTTTTAGAATAGTAAAAAATATGTAACATCTAAACTAAATAGCTGTTTCAAAAGGCGGCCACTCACTCGTTCCATATTTTATAGCTTGTTGTTTGTCATATTCACCGTTTTTCCATACCATCGGCCACATTAATCATAATGTCATCCGTTCTGATTTGGTGATCTACAGCATTTACTTAGCTTTTCTCACATTTCTGCGCAATAAAGCCATTAATCATCGGTGTCAGAGAAGTATTCCTGTTTGCCGTATAGCACTACTTGTCAAAAATAAGCCGAAAGCTTTGCATCAAAAGGATATTGCGTATCATAATTGGGTGAAGGGTATTCAGAATCTGTTCGACGACTACTGGACCTTTGATGAGCAAACCAGTTATCTCTAGCCGGCAACAGTTCAAAGGAAGGAAAGCAAAAAATTTGTTTTACTTGAAATAGTTTCATGCAAAATCGCACAATCATTCGTTTTCGATCATTCGTTTTCGATCAATCATCAAACTGGCAAGTAATTTAAATGAAGGTCGAATCACGCTTTCTGCTCTAGACTTTTCGTTGCGCACTCTATACTTCTAAGAATGTATGTGAATGTTGAAACTAAAATACGATATTTATATCTATATTAGCTTGGTAGTTTGGTTTATTTATATCAGATGCAGCGCAAATTCCGTGTTGTTATTATTGGAAGTTTTTCCTTTGTCTGCGTTGAATTTTAGCGAGTTATAGCAATTTTCACTCTAAGAAAACATCAGTCAGGCAATGATCTTCGGATCATCGATTATTTTCTCGGGATCCAAAGTGCCAATTAACGTTGACAAATCGTTTTTATCTGTCTTCGTGATCCGCGAAAGAGTACCACTGATATCCTAGCCGCTGTAGTTTTTATCCATCGCACGTAAAAATAAAACTCATCCATAAACCTGGGAATAAACCAAATACAATAAACTCACCAGTCACCAAATTATGACTAATAATTTTTGTAAATGTTATTCGAATAAAATAACTTACACTTTATTGCAAATCGCAATGTACACACACACTGACGAATTCTGTTGTCTGCTGGTGTGCGGGTGTACGTGAATGGAACTTGTTTGGATGCAGCTTGTCGCTCGCTCCGGCTTTCCGGCTGTGTGGAAGTCGCGTAGACTTGCTTCAGTGCGACTGCGGAATGGAAGCCAGAAAGCATCATCAGCTAGTTTCAATTTCCTGATGGACTTATTCCATTCATTTTAAGAAATCTCATTTCCCGTATTCTACTCTTATTTTGTGGCGGAGTGCAGTATTGCTCAAACTGATCGGGATATGCGGTGTACACAATAATTATTAAAAGAGTTACTGTACTTACATTACGTGGTGTGCGGTAGGGTTGTAGAGGAGATACCAATAGTGCCGGTAAGTACTAGATTTTCTGCAATCATACCACTGCATTTTAACAAGAAGCACAATGTAACTGCAATACAACTTACTATACGTATGTATCACAATCATGATAGAGTAATTAAAAGGTGTAATATACGCCATGAACATACAAAAGTGGGCAAATAACGCATAAGTTTTAGTCGAAGCATTTTTCATGCAAATTCTGTTTGATATGGGGAACATCAAGACAGGAATTCTAAATTCTGTATTATGTGATGCCACGTGTTCATGCGTAGCAAGGACAACAAATATTTCTTAAAATCGTTTTCAAACCACACAGAGACCGACAAATATCAGATTTAGCTACCACTACTGCAACGGGGTTAAATAGTACGTACGTAGTGAAATGTTTGTAACCTTTTTGTTCAAGTTCAAGCAAGTAGCTTAAAAGAACTCAAACAAATTCAGCGAATATTAACTGCTGAAAACCAGGTTCCCATAATTATTTACCACTGTGCTATATGCATTCTTAGGCGGAGCCTTTCCCGTAATAACCATCCTCTAGCTAATCTAAAATATTTACGAAGAATTGTAAGTGGTCATTACACCGCACCGTAGTTGGACGTCCTCCCGCGGTGATGCACAGTCAGTGTACAACCATGTTATTATCGAATCCATATTATTACTACGTAGAGACGAAAGTGTTGGCAAACGCGAGAAAGTCGCCAGGGAAATAAATTCGAGAGTTGATATTGGCAACGAAGTGAAAAGCTGCATATGAGCATTGGGTACGAGATATCTCTGTCTTATACAGATACAAATCGGTGCGACAAGTAATAATTTTTAATTTCAAAATGAGTTCTAGCACTGCCAGGTATTAAAAATGTACAATGCATTATATGAAACCCATAGCGCTCGCTAACCCGTAAGCACTTAATTTCCTGTTACATGTATCGTTATTTTTATTTAGAAAATCAGTTTTCGTTGTGATTGATACCTTACATAAGATTTAGCAAAAATTAATTGCTTGGAGGAAACACAATTGTAAATCATAGGATAAACATCCTTCGGTTTTTAGGATATGCGGCAGCTATAGATAATTCAGTTTTGTAAACCTGGTCACAGAATACATACAAGGGTGGTAAATGCGAAATAAGTAGAAGCCGCACAATCTATTTAATTTGGGTAATACGAACCAATTGTCAGTCGTATTATGGAGCATTGCCCTTGGGCGCCGAAGGAACCACTGCTATAGCCCCGCCTCCCCACCGGCAACCTCAAAGCGTCTATCCTGCCTGCATCTTTTCAATTTCTCTCAGCTTGGATAGTTTTAGTATGTGTACAGTAGAGTGTCTACTGTGTAATAGATCCAAGCTCCTGGTTGCATTTATTATACTGGGAACAACTGATCTCTAAACCCTGTCCGGAATCTCTGTTACAGATATAAACGCGCAGTAGCTGGCGCAAACGCAAAGCGAAAGTCATTTGCGCACTCAGTGGGCAATGATCATGGATATGATGCGCTGTCAGTTCGGCCAAGCGATTATCCATTATTGCCGCATCCTTTTGGCCGGAGCCTAGTCTCGTGCATCTGTCGCTTCCGCTGCCAGCCGAACAATAAATGCCGTTGTAAAAGTCCTTTTTAAAAACACGGACCAGCTTACGACGCCCGTACGACATTGCGCCTGGATATTAGCCTTAGTGTCGGATAAGTGGGGAAAGTGAACAATCTCTCAAAGTCAAGCCGGTGCTAACGTCATATGTATAAAGCATGTATGCGGACATCTACACACTATGATTAAGCCGCTTTTTTTCATCCCCATGCAGCGCCAATATTAACCGGCGTCCAGCTGATGAGAAGCTGTAATCTGTCTCCTGTATATACATCGCCGAGCTGGTTGTGTTAGATTACTCGTGCATTCAATTCCAGGATTTGGCACATGGATTTCGACATTGATCCAGTGCGCATATAGCGGTGACAATTGATTCATCTTGGCTCAATCTGCAGCGCGGTTTAAGAGGGAATTCGCACCCAACTTCCGGTTGCGCTTGCCGCAAAGTGCCAACCAGTCTGATGACCTTTGTATAGTGTGACAATGGCCATCTTGGCCTGAATGATTTTTGCCACTGAAAAATGTTTTATCAACATTTCAAGCGTTTTGTTATTCCGTAAAACCCGATCCCTTATATAACATAGGAAAGCGTGCCAACTGTTTTTATTTGCTGTATAACAGGAAAGCTGGAATGTGCTCGCCGTTGTATGGCTCATACCATGGATGAAATTAATTGCAACGGTGGATATTGTAAATTATTTTGAGGAGAATGTTGCCAGAAGGATTTTTTAATCATCCCTGCTTGATAATTTTTGCTTTGGTACAAAGTGTAATGCCGTTCAGTGAGCGAGAACGCATTTCCCGGTACAAGATTCCCAAGTATCCCCCGGTTATATGGTTTCCGGAATTCCCTATGTAAGTCATAAGTGTACAGTCTGCACAGTTGGCTAAACTGATCTACATTGCAAAATTTGACTAACTTGTGGCATGAAAGTGAAGTATTATAGAGAAATCTATAACTAAGCTGTCAAAATATCAATATTTGCTCGCCAATAGCTGACCAGTGAAAATATTTAGTTTGCTATTAATGCACATATTCCTGATTTTGGGGTAAGAGCTTGCATATCTGGCATGGACGAAACGTACGTATCCCTTACGCAGAAATGTAGGTTAATTTATTGAAGGATTGTTTGCATAAAATCTCAATAGCTTTCCTGCAGTATACATGTACCTGATCCCAAAATGGCATCTGCTATTGGTGTTAGTATTCGCGAAGGTTTTGGAATATTTGATTAAATTAATCTACAGTGACCAATCTCCATGAGATTTTCGTGGGAACTTGGTTAGCGGTGTCGGCAGTACAATAATGCCGGTCATATATAAGGGAAGTATGAGTGTGTATACAGGAATGAATAGGTAAAATTGATGAGACGACGGCTATTGAGGATTCGGCCATTTATCCTTATGTACTCTTCCTTTCCACCTTATTGCTCATCTAAGATGGCCGGATACATACTTATGCTTGGGCACAGAAAATATTTTGACAATACTCATGCATGAATTAGCCTTTTTGCGGATATTGTGGTCGGACGCAAATAGTTATTAAACACACATGTTCCATTCAGCCGGTCACATAAGCAATATTTTTCCTCTTTCGTCGATAAATGTATGTGCAGCTGAGCTGTATTCCAGTCAGACCACTACTTTTGCGCACGGTCAAACGACCGGCACAACCGACTTGTATGTGCAGACAGGGCTTGTATTGAAAAATGGATTTGAAAAGACTTAGTAAAGTAAATCATCGTCGCTTTCATGACCACAAAGAATTTTAACCAAGAGTGTTCCGCTTGAAGCACGCCCGAATCCGCTACTTCGTTAAGTATTTAGCTTTCTTCACGTTTCTTGCCCGCGAGTATGACACACTTATTTGCAGCACAGGACTGCCGCGACTAAATAACACAGATAGTTTCACAACAGTACGAAATAAAAAGTCGGTTTTTGAAAAATGCAGCAAACTGTGTATAGGAAAAAATGACGTCAGGTGAAACGTGTCACCGTAAAAATATTCGGGATATACAGCTGCACTGCAATGTACGTATTTGACCAGACTGGAAAAATATAATGGTGTGAACATGCAAAAAAATCATAATCTTCTTCTTTTAAAAATCACCAAAGCCAGACTGAAGTACCACAGCAAGATTTTTCCGTTGGTACGCATATTATACAAATTTGTAAAAATATCTACAATTGCTGTTTTTGTATACCATCTGATCGGTTTGTGTAGGAGTATATTTAAATGATTATTTATTTTGCGTCATGCACGTAATAGGCTTTAAAAGCATTTTATCATTATGGGCTTCACTGCTGTATAATTCTGCGCACAAGCCGTCATTACCATTTTAAAACCAATGTGGATGGAGGCCGGGTGATAAATTGTACGCACATAATATACGAGCGGTGGCCGGCATTTACATTCGTAATATGGCCAAACGGGCAACTGTAACACTTGCCAATGGGCGCGAAGAGGGCAAGAAACAGGAGTATGGGGGGTATCAATTTCCAGTATCGAATATTTCTAGTGGACTGTTTACAGTCAGTGATGGATGGAATGGTTTGGACATTTTAACGTTTGGGGTGTTATGTTTACGAACAGGGGCGAGAGATGACCAACGTGGGACGACTTAATTGTTGCCAGTGCGAGGGAATACTGCCACGCGACCACAGCGCGCCGTCATATCTGCAGTATAAGAGTGTTAGTCATCAAACGATGGCTTATCAGAGTAGAGGATCCTTAAGGTCAGATTAGGGACGTGTGGGAGCCGGTCAGGGGAGGACAAGGGCCGGCTGGTAGCCTTCACATTAGTCCAAAGTAAATATCATATAATGCGAATATGCTGCAGCAACTTGTCCATATCATCTCTATTAAAATCCCCGTAATGACAGTGCGCTTCGAGAATGATGTGAAATTGGCCGCTGTACAATATTAGCACAGTATGCATATATATTGCATGCATATACGGTTGATCCGTACAAGCTGCGCACACTCAAATGTGCTGCTGATCAAATTCACGGCTCCGTAATGCACCGGAAAAATACTGGAGTGCATCCAAGGGAATAGAGATAGTCCAGGATGTTGCTCATGTGATTGATATCGTCTGTTGATCTTCCTCTTTCCAATCAAATTCCTTCCTGACAGAATGCATCTGTCAACAGAAGAGACTTACATGTTGTTTTAAGCTGACTAATGTTGTCGGCTTTGTTTTCTACTGAGGATTTGAGCAGTTTGTGCTCGACAAGCGTGTCGCCGAGTTTTAAGAAGGAGAAAAAAATTTAGCATCGATCAATAGTTGAAAACTTATTTTAGCCTTGTTGAAGGAACAAAGTAATAAAGATTCGATAATGTTTAACATGAATACAATGACCGTGAATATCCGTACTTCTATAGCACAAATAAACAGCGTAACGCGTCACTGAAGCCATCTTCCTTTTTTTGCTATTATTTACTATTTTGTTTAACGACGCATGTTACTAAAGACCCGTTTATTACAAGATTGTTTTACATGAGTATAAATGCTCGTAAACTGACCAGCCGGAGTGTGAAATCGGTATAAATTTCAAAATGACAAATTTGCTGAAAATTAGTGTATCAAGTCGAAGTCCAGATCAAATGATCTATTTCTTTGCAACTACTAATTGGCAGTGAGAATAACGGAAGGAGGAGTAACCGATGATCGATTTTATTATTGTGTGTATATTGCATCACACTTCGCAGCTTGTCAATATGGCACAAAGCAGAGGGTTTTCATTTGCTTACCGCTGATAATTTTTAGGTACACACCAGAAAACTGCTGCACATTTAGTCGGGCGTCTATTCTGTTGATAAACAGGAATGTTTGAACAAGCGGTCATCGTTAAGTAGGAATAGTGTAAAGTGGGTGCTTCGGGTGCTTGTGGACTATTGTGGTAATTAGGCCAAACCAGCTCTGCAGCTTCCCCGTGCATTCTTACAGATAAATATGCCAAGAGTGACTTTTCATAAATTATTAGCCCATGCGCACAAAGTGGACTGGACTAATTGCTTTTCTTAACCACTTGGCCGCGGCTTGTTGATGCCTTAATGTCGCCTGCCGAGCTAATTAACTATTCATTGAATTATTCATCCATTAAAAATCTCATAAACCCTCTCTCCGTCTGACCACTGACCGCTGAGTGGACAGTGGGCAAAATGCATGTTATTTATTGACGTACATGAGCAATTTAAATTATTCAAAGTATGAAGATGCCCTGTAGGCTTTTTTAACTTAGAGTATGCATTTTTCCGGTTATCGGTGTGTATACCGTGCATATTTAAGTCCTAATTGGCTTTTACTCTTGTCAAATGATCAGCGAATGTGGGTATAAAGTTTTTGATGACCATCGCCGAATTGTCAGAAGGATTTTACATCATTCGGCGCGAGAACGATGCTATCAGTTTGACAGGCATCATCATGACGGCTCGGGATGGTCATTTTCTTGTCTTATCTTGTTATAGGTTTAATAATCGAACGAATCCCGCCAGGATCGTCGTGCAAATGCATGACTCGTTGGATTTCTTCTGTCCGGATTATATTAATTCACAATACCAAAGCTTTACGGGATCAAAGAAGCATGCCAGTCCCAGTGATTTTTACGGTGCCGAAGAAATTTATATGGTATGTACAAGTACAACGCATGTACAATGCACAGTAAGTAATTAAACTTCTGCCTGCATCCATAGAAGTACTGTATTGGTATACCTTTTACGGTGTAAAAGCATTTTCCATGGTATACACTGAAAAGTTTTAAATTTTAAAAATTAATGTGGTTATGATTGTCATAATAATTACTGCCCTCTTTTAAACAGCTCTAGTTGAAATAAGTGTATACTTGGAAGAGCTTCGAAGATTTGAAAATTACTCGAAATCCAGCTTTGTAATTTTAGCTCTCTGGGCATACAGGCGTTGCGTGTATGACCGGTCGATTGTTTTTTATGATCAATGTCCTTTAACCCCGGCAGTTAATACGATTTAGCATCATAAAAATGGAAATTGCTGTTTGTTTATTAGTGTCACCAAACGAGCTACTTGTTGGGGTTCTCCCCTAAGAGATTTGCTGACCACTTAACTTTTTTTCCAAAAAACTTTCGCTTCCAGTCGGCGCGTTCCTGTGCCATTAATTGTTGAATAAGATGGTTTATGGCTATTTTGCTGTACAGTGGCTACACACTGCAAGTGTGAGAAAGAATAGCAACACATCCTAAAGCCGCTTCGATCTGTTTGTCGGGTGACTGTGGTGTGGCCGGCATAGCAGCCGCGCGGACACTGGGCCGGTTTGGCACAATCCAAATTAATCCTTCTTGAGCGTAAATTCGTCTGATTTAAAACATTTTTCAAGAGGATCAGCCCTGACCCCAGAAAGCCCTTTACAGGCCAGGGGTCATTCTGATCACAGATTCAAATCCTGGGTGCTCCAATTTCCTTAACGCATGCGGCGCATGCACATGCCCACGCTCTATATAAAGGAAAATTGGACGCTGAGCGTTTAGGCTGGTGGAAATAATATGCCGCATTTTAATTCTGTCATCCAATATTTTACAGGTGGATGGCTCCGACTATCAATCCTGCTTCAGTGCGCTGACGGGGGGTCGACTGTCCCGTAAGCACGTCCGCTTATTATTGCGGTGTCCAGGGAAAACGGCGGAGACCGGGATAAAAGCCAAATACCAGTACACTGTCTCGTTCCGGATGTTTTCGCCAGTGCCTAAAGGCCCGGAATTCAACTGTAATCAGGAATATTATTTCCTGGGTGAGTTTTAATCAAACTGGACAGATGTGTAGCATCATCACTGGAAGGAGCGAAATGGATCGTAAACAGGCCACCTCATCTATATAATTACTCTTGCATGGGTTGTTAGGGAGAATAACATACTGAATTTTTTATGTGATCCTAGCGCGTTTCTCTTGTGCTCCACTGTGTGCATGGCTGGCCGTTCGATTAGGTTGATATGGTTTACAGGAGCCCAGTGACACAGCAGGCCCTAATTCAGATTAGATCTTCAGTATTTAAAATCTCCCACCGGTGCTTAAGTTGATAATCTGGCAACCGGCAAATTTCTACGATTGTTTATCTTGTTCCTGCACACAAATGCGGGACTGGTCAACACATTCGAAAATTGGGCGTCTTTCTAATTGCTATAATGGCGCCACCTGACTTACGTTTCAGAATCCGTTAAAAATCATTTTAAAAAGCAATATGCGCAAGCGCTTAATGACTGTTTCTGGTTCAGGGAATTTTCAAAATTAAAATGAGTGTCTCGTGCGTTTTATTACAACGAAAAGTAAATGACTGTACGAGAAAGAGATCGTTTTAATTATGGAGGAGTTTTAATCTTTTCGTCGTCACATCGAAAAATGTTTGACTGTAGCTGTGTGTTAATATCGGGGCGTGGAATTAAATCTCGACAATTGAGCCTCTCGTTGGCCAAAATCAAATTAGACACCCAGAAGAGAATGCGGTCATTTTCAATCAGGCGCATTCACGGCTGGAAGATGACCACAACCCGCAAAACGCATTATATCCAGCGCCGGGGAAAATTGTCAGCGTAACGAATTTGCAAGCCCATCGAAATATCAGATGGCGCAGCGCATATCGACAGAAGTGTTCATTATCGCCTGAGTGACTTTTTAAAACCCAACCGCCTGCAACACATTTTCTCTGGCTACTGAAAAGTGAACCGGCTTCTGCGCTCGCGAACAGTGCAAAGGGATATAACGGACACACTGGCACAGTACTGTCCATTCGCTGAGCGCTCTTGTTCCTTTTCGGTCCAGTGCACCGGGAACATCTGACCCGCTTTGTATACACTCCGTGCACTGGCTGCACTGGATGCAACGGGCGCGCGCACCGCCCCGATAATACAGTCGGTCTCCTTAACTTTCTGACTTTCGGGAATGGCATTGTTAACACACACACAGATGTACCACCCTCTACGAAACGCGATCTCTGACTGCACGGATAATTAATCAACCGGAAGAGAGCTAGCGAAAACGATGCTTATTTGATGCAGTTGGTCCAGGCAAAAGGGACACACAGCATTAATAACCTATTTTCCCCTTGCATGTCCACCGATACAGACCCCTTTTGTGCGAGCTGCGGCCAGCATCGAATACACTGGCCGCAACTAATCAATTACCTCCGCTACTGCACACAACGAATCCCTTCCAAATTCTCCGGCTGACTAAGCGAACTAATAGATTAAGATTAACATGTTTACCCGTTGAGCCTTTTCAAAGAGATAATCATGGACGCAGAATATTTTAATTACCCACTGCACTCCATCCATTAATAATACCGTATAGTGCGTATAATATCAATACTTCTGCACAATATCCACTAGCATCTGTTTTATCCAGCAGTTGCCTTCCTGCTGATAAAAAGCCCTCATGGTGATTGTTGGCTTATTACAGGTACTCTGCCGGGACACAATCATGATGAGGAAATGATGGAAAAAGCTTTGTGCTCGACACAGGCGCTGCGTCTGCAGATTTTCGTATCGTGTTCAGGTATACACAACCAATAAGGCATAAATAATATGGACACCGCTATGTTATATTAACCTTAAGCGGATTACGAAAGAATAATCAATGTGAGAATTGTGGCTTAACATGACGGGAGCTGGTCAAGCAAGACTAGGATGAATTTACAGCTCACTGAGAAGACTAGCGTATAATTCACACAGATAACTCAAATTAACAAAGCAATCTTATCAAGCGAAGTTGATTTTTATTGTTTTTTACAGCTCTGCTGCATCTGACAGCACTGTTTTTTGAATAATGCCAGTTTATTAGAATTAAGTTATTAATGTGCTATTTGAATGAACTGAAAAGTTTTCCTTGTCCGCCGAATGCGTTACGCTACAGAAGCACATCTGTTACGACTATTTTTACACAGATATTCCAAGTCGGCATCTGTTGGACTCGTTCTCCTCACCCAACGTAATTCAGCTCGACAGGCCCGCTCAACCTTTAGAACTGCAAAGTGATGCATCAACAGCGTCGTCAAAAATTCCGTCATCATCATTTAAACCGGATCTATCCGTCCGTGTAACAACAACATCCACCGCCGTCGCTGCAGCAGCATCCAGTCCAGATGAAAAATCCCAACCACCACGCCCAGCTGATCATGTTCCTTCCCATAGAAAATCTCATTCCCGTGGATCGTCCACCAAATCTCCTCCCGGAAATGGCGGTCTTTTTATTGCCGCCAGCGATAAAAAGATCATGCGCAGTGAAGGGAACAATAACCGGCATTCCACATTGCGACGGCAGCAGCAGCAGCAACGTCACTCCACAACAGTGAAGCCAGCGGCGGTGTTCACAATCAGAAGTTCCCCAGTTGACGATAGTGATCAGGATGATGATTTTCTCAGTGCCACCACAGTGGCCAATATCCCGATACAGACAACGTTGAAATCAAAACCGTCCATCAAAGCGCCGGCTGCGTTTTTTGGCAGCTCATCTAACAGCGCTTTACGACCGCGTTCCGTTTTGTTAATATTATGTGACGCAAAGTATTGTATAAATCCTTTATTCGCACTTATAATATTTTTTATATGGCTCAACCGAGTATGACTAGAAGTACTTCTAGTGCGGTTTAAATATTTTATTTGTTGTTTCTGACATTTTCCGCTCAAAAATATTGCACGACTGCCGCTGTATCTCATCATGTTAAGGTTACGATGGACTTTTAATGGCGAATGTAAAAACTGATAAAAAGAGTAAATGGAACTATATCCTATTTCTTTGTAAGAAAATTGTAAGTAAATTCTGCGCGTCACATAATGACATGCATAAACTTCCGCCGCAATAATAAGTAATAATTTACCCGTACTTCTGAACATCAACCAGCAGATTTCACTGAATTTGTTTACTTCAAATTGCTGTTTGCGTAAAGGATTTTGTAATGAAAACAAGTACAGCATTATAAGACAGCTGGCGCAAGAGGAAGTTTACACATATTGTTTTAAAAAGCAGTATTAATTAATGTTGATTTGTAAAACATAAATTCGACTTTAAAACAAAAAGTTTTTTTCTTTGCTGTAAAATTGCAACGCACATCCGCTTTAGGTTGTAACGTACGAGAGTGCGAAATCTGATATTAGCCAAAGCGAAAGTTGTGATGGGTTGTTTATTAATCAAGTAGAAGCACAACGAAAACAACTGCAATATTCATCTTGCTGATTAGTTAGCCCAATCAATACGTACGGTACTGTACAACCTATATGCTGCATAAGCTTTTATTTCCGTGTATGGATTTCTAACGAGATTGCGATCGATCATGGATACTGTAGCTGCTTCGAAAACGTTTAACTGAATAACAGGATCAAGTAATTTTGGTAAATAATTTGCAAGACACACCACATACGTATTCCTCAAAAGTCTGCTCAGTTTCTCCAGTTCTCTTGTTTTTCAATCCACAAAATTAAAATTTGTGGCGCCCGATTGCGTTTGTATAGTGATTATGAATTCCTTTCGTCCAGATGATACAAGATCTCAACCAAAATTTATGTATATCACATAAAATGAAGAATTGGGTAAAAATAAAGAATGAAATGAATATTTGAGTATGTGAGTCTCATTATTTGCAACGAAAAACTTCAGGATGAAGCGTTTTTGTTTCGCAAAAAACGGTTCTTGCAGAAAGGAAACAACAGAGAGGAGTGTAGCATCTGCATGAACCGTGCAGCGTGCAGTATGCATGGGTCAGTAAAATAAGATTTTGCATGAAACAACATTATACATTTCGACGGAATAGTACTCTGTAGGTGAATCGTTTGAGCAATTGATTCTATGAACATTGTATAAACAAATACACAAAGTAATTTCTTGTTTTACTACTCGCACTCAGAAATATGTATCAAATCGAACAAACTTACATGCTCTGATAAACTGTTAAAATTTTTTGAAAGCTCACAGCGCAAGCAACATATGCGTCATCTACAGTACATAACGGAAGATATGTATACGTATATCTGCAGTATATCCAAACCATCCTTGTCCAACGCCATTGAAAACCAACCTAAAAACCTTCACAATCGCAATTATGGTACGCTCAAGTGCATAATGCAAGGCAAAACAACGTGAGTGAATAATGTAGGACAACCGGGTACTTGCAACTGTCAAAAACATGTAGCCATTAAAGGTCACATACAGGTGAAAAGAGGACGCTGTCATAAAAATGACAATTGTCGATATCAAGCGCGACCGGTGCTCATTTCCGGTCCACAAACAGCAACGCGTGCAGCAAATCAGCGATTATGTCTAATATTTCAAATCAGTAGATCCCAGTCTGGTGCTTGACTGAGCGGAATGTCCTCGCCATTCTCCTCCGGGGAGGTCTTCTGGTCGGCATCCGTGTGCTCAACATGACCACTGCTTTCTTCCTCCGTCGCCGGGTGATCGTTACCATTGGTCAATTGCTCACCGTTATGGTGATGATTTTCCGGCATTTCGGGCTCATCTTCCGACAATTCATTTTCATGTGCACTGCTGCGCTCATGCTGGTCGGATGTCGAATCATGATGCTCCGTCTCTTCGTCCAGCGAGTCATCGCTGCGAATCACTCTCTCCTCCTCCGCCACGTGATAATGTCCATTGTGTTTCAGTGGCATGCTTTCCACTTCATGAATTCCTGAGTCTTCATTTACACTGTTCTTAAATTCATCATGGTTTTCCTGTACAGTTTCGTATTGTTCTTCATGCGCTTCCATGAAGGGATCTTGGCGGAAACGGTTGGGTCGCACGACCTTTTCATAGCTGACACCGGATTCGTTCTGGACGTCGGCGGTGCGATTATTGCCATTCGGTGTACCACCTTCAGCCAGAAATAATTCCTTAGCCTTCGCTGCGCGCTCGGGGTCGTATTCTCCATGCTCCGACGTCATTATGTTGGACCGGAAAGCCCCGATTTGTGGACGGGAGATGCGTAGCTGCTCACGCATTTCTCTCGACAGACTACGAGCAGTCAGACTGGCGTGGATCTTCGGCCGGGGTAGTGCCCGATTAGCCGCCACATTCTCCTGGAATTTGGCCTTATTGAACACCGGCAACGGCTTGCGGTCTTTGTCGGGACTGGGCGTGATGGCGCTGTCCGAACTTTCTTCGGAAAACGCTCCACCTATACAAACAGATAAATGAAATTTGAAAGGTTTGTGTGGGTAAAACGCAACAGTGTATATACTATTACAGTACAAAATATCATTTCAGATGTCTGTCTTTGTAATCTACTCGTAAGCAGCAACTCCGAAATTCCAAATGAATAGTTTAACGTGTTCGCTCATGCGAAATTTGCGAAAAGGGAATATTAATGCCAGTTATCGTCGGTAACAGATAACGAAGAAAAATTGTTACAGTTTAGTTAATTTACATATCGAGCAACATCACGCTCTAGCCGGTTGAACGTGTACAGTACAGTTGTAGATGGATGGCCTTTCCGCTTGATTGGTAAAATCAGACTGCTTAATTAGCAGATCAATGTTCGATTACGCATGAGAAGTTCAACGAGGTATGAAACACGAGATAGACCTTCGTCTACCGGTAGTCAGCTTCCGGATACCGCGAGACAAAACGCGGTCGCCCAATCATAACACATATGGAGGAAACTGAGCGATACAACCAATTAAAGCCTAACATGGAAGCGGTAATAAAAATATATAGAAAATATTTAACACTTAGTAACATAAAAGTACACATATGTCTTATAACAAATTAAGTACGTCGCCGTAGAAAAATCTTTAGTGATGATTGCAAGGCTCGGATACAAAGAAATGTACAAACGAAAGATTATCTTGACTGTGAAAATCTTTATTAGATTCCTTGTGGGAATACGTATTGAAAAACAATGCTTCAGATGCAGACAGTACCGAAAACAGCAGACGATGTAATCTCGTTAATTAGAATTAAGTCTATAGATTTATAAACGCCCAAGTTCTGCTAGAACCACATATACGCATCAAACTAAAAGGTATGCGCGCAAGGTATGCTTATATCACTCAACTTTAATTTACAATTAACAAGTTTATTAACTACTCGTACATGTACCGATGTACGTACCCGGCTATATTGTAATTATGCCTACAGACGACTTACTCAAGCGGCGTGGCTGACCATTTTCGCTTGGCTTGGGCTTGTCATTCTGAAAACGTGACATCAGTGATTTAACGGATGGTCCATCCTGCGGGAAGTCTTGGGGTGTGGAAGTCATATTGGCATATGTAACCACGGTTGACTGCTGAACAACAGGAAGGGATATTCCAGAAGCCGGGAGCGAGGTGGGCTTTCTGCTATCGGGCGATACTAAAGGACGTTGTGGGATGAAATCCTGCTGGACGTACAATCGAGTCACTAACGATTCGACCTGCTTAGTCTAAAACAACAGACAAAACACTGATTTGTAATACTTCCACACATGGCTGCAGCCGACAAGGAATGCCGCCTGCTGGGTCTAAAAAGTCATAGTGCGCCTAACTGATAGAGGAAGCACATTGTCTGAACAAAGTGGACAACAGTTGAAATTACACGCCAACACATCAAAACATCAGCAACAAACTCGCACTGGTAACATCCTCACGATAAGGTCGACCCCCAAACCTGAACAAGCCCGGCCCGGCGTCTACATCTGCTCCGATTTCACGGTCAGCAACCTCGGTTTACATATATTACTGCTGAGATGACCGCTCATTATTTCGGGCAGCTTAACTGTTTTATCACCTGTTTAGCTAGCGCTTAATTGGATGAAATACTAAAAAACGATTTCTGCTAGACAATAAACTAGATCGCGTTGTATACCAGCTCAGATGCATTTGTTTCTCTAATTAGTCCTGATCAATCGCCAAGCAGATTTACAAAACGTGTACAAATTGTAACAAGAGCCGGTTTCGATATAGTTTATTAGTGCCGATATTAACATTTAAAAATTAATTTTCTTGGGCATGGAATATTTTTGGTAAACAGGTTTTTATTGCACTACAAATATTTGGACGTTGAATCGAGTAAAACTAGGGCAAAACGTCATCAGAGTTAGTTATTAAAATTTAATTTACTTAGTTATTTAATTGTTCAGTTACTGGAATGCTGCACGACCCGATTAGTGTGTTCGGGAGAACCGTAGAATAAATACTCAGCAGCTGAATGGAGCTATCAAAATGTTTCCGTGCAGTAATAAAACACTGTTGGTGCTCAGAAAGCTAATAAACTAAAACTAAATAATTACTTACAAATACAAAACAAAGCTCCATGAGGGAAACTACGTTACGGTTTTGACTGCACTTTCACCAACAAAAAAGCAAAAAAGCAGTGACTCCTCAAAACTTTTTCGAAAAACTCACCGATCGTTCAGTGGCATGGATTTCCGATGCTGTTAGGATAACGGCAGACTCTAGCCGTTTTAAATCGCTTGGAGTGCACTGCTGAACCTCCTTTAGTTCCCTGCTTAAAATATCAATACGGCTGTCCAACTGTTGTAGCCGGTCGGCTGTGCGATTTACCTGTTCGAGACAAATAATTATCTATTCAGAAATATCATGTTCGCTAACAATCGCCACTGTATTAATCCCGCCGTATGAAGGTCAAAACGATAATAGTAAAGTATAATCTCATCATATCGAAATGATAGCATATAAATTCACTACAACGGTTTTTATATTCCTTCGTCACGAGCGCATAGAATTCGTATCGTATGCTGAATTGCGCTTATCTTTCTGCGAGTAATTTGTGCGCGTAATTGTAATTGTACACACAAATTTAAATCTGACATGAATCGATGGCAGCAATATAGGTGAAAAATGCCGCACAAGCTTACAGGCTGCAGGCTTTAAGTGCCTCCCGTTCTATCCGCAAAGTGCGGTAAAAGAATTTAATTTTTGTGCAATAAAAATTAAAACAGCAAGAGCAGTCAGCATATGCTGCATCAAATACAAATACCTCATATATTCGCATAATAACTAAAAAATTAAGATTTCGGGTTTCCGTTTCCATAAAGCAACAAAAATGCATTGACTTCCGTTTATGTTGCCATTTCATGTGAGCGCAAGAATTAGATTCACCGAAAACGTGTAAGGTGATAAATTTAATGTTATCGTGTACACTTTACTTTTCTTTAGCAATAATAATAGCGCGTTTTCTACCGGTACTTCACCATGCTGCAGCACAGGGACGATTAAATACAATTACATTCTTATAGGTCTGCCTTAAAATGTAACTGAACGTACAAAAAAACCGTACAAACCTTTGAGCGCGATAACACCAAGCAAAATAATCAAAATATCTATTCAAATGTTATAAACGACGACTAAAAACACGAACCAGTATATAAATATTTATCCGGCATTTAACGCAATGCGATTCCTAGTCCCCAGATGTAAGTTCGGTGTATCGTGTATGCAAGGCAGTTATAAGTTCCCATAAGCAACCATTAGGCAGATGAACTGCCTCTGGATTGGCAAATTATGCGCACTGCGATTAAGTAATTTCCAATCAGTAATTAATTGACAATAAAAAACGTTGTTTATGGCCTTAAACGTATGCGTTATTTTAGGTGGTCAACAGTTAGTGGAACGGCACATGGTCAAATGTACACGCACATCCTTAGCAGCCACCTGCGAGCGCACTGTACAGTGTACACAACACGCGTACTAAAATGCCTGATAATTTCGTTAATGAAGCAAGTCCGTAGCACAGATAATTCTTCCCAAACAAGTTGACGTCTTTCGTTGTGCGCAGACACAACAGTAAACAAGGCAGCGAACTAGACTAAACGCTCAGTGTTGTCAGTTGTTGTTTTTCAATTCAACTGAACTGTTTATGCCATTTCGGACATATTCGTACACATGGGCTACCGCCTGATAAACATCGATATCGATATTTTACTTATTGTTAGAACAACTCACAATGCTTTTAAATGCATTTTGATTCTAATCATCAATGAACAGCGGCGGTGTACATATCTACAGTTACATTTGAGATGTTAAGATGGATCTTGCACGACGGGCACACAGTAAAATTAAATTACTTATTCAACGCATTTCGAATACAAACTTTGGACAGTACTTTTTTGAATATTTAATGTTAATGACACCGAACACCGCAAAAATCATACCTTCCGCGATCCAGATACATTACGGAATGTTCTTTAAGATTTCTGTGCGTATGTGCTGTTCTTAAACTCGGATTCTTAACAATGCCGCAGTTTCTTCTAAACACTGTACATCGTTTAAAAAATCGTGCGTGCAAAAGCGGCAAAGCCTGTTATTAACTTATAGACTACGAGTACATATTTGCAAAGGCTGGTCAACGGGGAAACGCGACATCCATCCTGGGAACGGCACCAGCCTCGGCTAATTAATTTAGATCAAATGTTTTCTGTAATTCGGCCGCCTGTTTCCGCTGTTTGTTAAATTTGTAATGTAATGTTTCTTTTGTGGCTGTTAGATATGTTTGTATTCGCTCATCAATAAAAACCAACATAGCGAAAAAAAGGCTGGTATACAATAAGTTTTTCATAGATTTTATTCGCTACACTGATCACACTGCTTTGCGGCTACCGCGCCTACCACCGAATTTAAAATTAGCTGAACTAGTGTACTGATTAGAGTATCTAAACTAATATACTAACAAAATACAGTAATTATTATGTTGACTATTTCATACTTGGTAAACATCTTGCAGCAAAAACAGTCAGTAGTATATTAGAACAAAGTTATTTCATGAATCCAGCGCAGATATTACATCTATTACAAGTTAACTTATTGGTGCCAAAAAACTTTGATACTTTAGCCAGTGAAGCACAGATCGAAGCTGCCCGACACAATAAGTTTCCTCAGGAAACTGCAAGCCACCAAAACGAGCAGTCACAGGGTACATACCTTTTCGTCAATGACACTGCTTGGTGGGACAAGCGCGTTTCCGGATCGTCCCGTCAATACACTTCTGCTACTCTCATTGGCTGTAGCATAGGTAATATTCCCATTATAGTACGCTCCTTTCCCCAAATATTCATTTGTTGCAACACCGGGATCTTCTTCAGAAAAATCTCTTAATCCATTTGCCAATACGGCATCGAGCGTCCTCGACCGGTTGTCCAAGCGGCGGCTCAAATTGACGCCCGAATACGGATTATTATTTTCATCCATCACAATAGCTTTTGTCCATTTGGTCTTCTCCCGGCTAGCAACTGATTCTCGGCACTCCACATCAGTCGTCGGTGGCGACGGCGGCTTCGGACAGTACGTATCAAAACTAATAGTTTCCGGTTGATAACTGTTTTCACTATCCGACTGGCCGAATGATTTTTTAAACACCACGTTGATTTTTTCCGAATTGATTTGTCTGGACAGGACGGTGATGCTAACCGAGTGTCGATTAGGAGGATTATCATCCGTACGGCATTCACTTGGACACGGATAAGATGTTCGTTGCGGCGTGTGCTGCTGTGGCGAAGTGTCAGGATACGATACCTCAATAACACTCAAATGTGCGGGACTCCCCACCGGTGCCGCACGGGGATTACTGTCCACTCGAGTGAATTTACTTTTTCGAAATTTGCTTTCGATACGGTCAAGATATTCATCGACGATGGCTAGCTGCCGCTCAAGCGACGACATCTGTAAAATATACTAGCGACATTATATTATGGAAATGGAGATATAAAAAATGTACGGATTATCTCAAGGCACCACTTGCGCGTTCGTTGAGGGGGAGGATAAAATGCTAATTTCGGCTAAATACCTGTGTAGCATTATTCAGCATCTCTTCAGCGTTATTCAATATCTGCTCCTTAGTGTGGGCCAGCTTTCTATCGAGATTTTTCAATCTTCCATCCACTGACAAGCGATTGTTGGCTAATTCATTAGACGACAGGACAATGACGGATGCTGAACATGTCGTTTCACCCAATGGATTTGTGGCCAAACAGCGGATATTGCAGGAGCTGAGCAGGCGACTTCCGTCAATAAGCAGCAACCATTCTTCGTTGCCAATATGCTCTGTGAATGAAATTAAGCTGTTGGTGATCGAATTCGATTTACGTGAAACAAAACCGCAGAAGACTTGCGCTTTACGCCTGTTTTATTACAACATAGCATTTATGAATGACCTATCTCAAAACCAGAATCCATAGGGGATATTTTTCGGCCATCCACGAAAAATGTTAGGATAGGAACCGGATGTCCACGCACGCGACAACTCAGTTCGGCGTCGTCTCCACGGATAATCTCCAATGGTTCGAGGCAGAAAACGAATTCAGGAGATCTGGGATGCAGACGAGATTCTAAATTGACAAAACCAAGGAACTTTTATTTCGACTAAACGATAATTAATGTAATACTACTTGGTACATACATATTTAACCTTTTATAAGCAACCTCACGATAACTGATTATGTATTAATATTCGACCTGATAACTATGTCTAGCAAGGTGCAATTAAGCTTGTGCGGACATTTGTATGTATAGATCTATCATACATTGTGCAACACAAGCAGATAGTAAAACAATACCGGTATGTAGTACATTTACATTACACTGCCGCAAAATGCTATGGAGTCTTAGAAACAAAAGCATATAAACAAAACATAAGAATTCTTTCACAACATAAACCCACATCCAAAAGATTTACTGTTACAAATGCCACTTTCGACAAAACAGCGGTTTGACGCAATGAAATCGATGTCAATAGCTTGCATAAAATTTTAACAGGGTTTGCCAGGGTGTTACAAGATTACAATTAGTTCATTAGCTTCGCTTTCTACGATCCATTTTTTACGTTACTGTGAATGGTTGAGCGCGATTTTACAGCGCCTCTTTGTTTAAAATGATAAACCTCAGCCTCTTGCGTTTACAAGCATAAAACTTCCAGTCTCGTTGAATTAGATTATAAGAGTAACCCAACAGATACTGTGATACATTAGCTGATCCGTCCTGCATGCAGGACGGCATTTCTTCTAGACTTGCGCAAGTCTAGAAGAAATGCTAGGCATTTAATTAATGTAAGCGTATGCCAAACTTAACAATAGAATATTTACTATACCGGCGCTGATTATTATCAGTTATTTCTTTTAAAAATTTGCTTTAAGCTCGTTTTTCCCCGTGTGCGAGTTCTAAATGCAAATGTAAACGCACACGTTTATAATTTCTCTGCATATTTATAATTATATGCAGAGTAGTGTATGTTTTATTCTTTGCAGCAAGTACAGGCAATCTTAAACCTACAATTAAAAAAACTTTTAATTTTTCTTTTATCATTTGTTTTACCACACTGTAAGATGGTCCAAGGTTGGTTTAAATATTTTGATCAACCAAACGGTTTTAGTATTTAATCGATTTTATTTGCCTTTTCATTATTTTTAAATGAACGCGACCAGGATTATACCCGATGTCCATTCAGTTCTGCATGTTGCGATGATGTTGGGTTACGCTACATATATGCATTTGTTTATCTCTAACACAGACGTCATTTTAACATACCTCGCACCCGTAGCTGGGCTCTACTTTCCGTAACCACATCTTCGGTGTAGGCAACACAGCGGACGGTAGCTGAATCAGCGAACGAGGTGAAGTAAATTTCCAGAGTGTGCTTGGTTCCCTGTCGGTATGTCCGATAGCGACCGGTATTGTCCACACTTTTTTTCCCATGAAACCAGGATACTGCTAAGGCACTTCGTCCCATCAATTGACAACTGAAGCGAGCCACTTTCCCAACACCAACCGTACAGTCGGTCAGTTCCATAAGAAAGGCAAGCTCATGGAGGGCCATGTTTTCGGAATGACAAATCAGGCTTGACTCGGAAGATACTATGGAACATCCATCAGAGAGATCCGACATTGCGTCCATATCCCTACAGAATAATCCCTTACATTATTTTACGAAACAATACTTTTGAAAAATCCTAAACAAAAAACTCGATGCCAGTAACTGTAATAATAAGTACTCGTACTGATGCTCATGCTATTCACCTTACACTTTATTTTTCTTTCATTTGCTATGTTTATTAACGAAACAAAAGAAAAATTTTAGTACTCTGTAGAAGCCGTCTAATATTTTTCTCCTTTCTTTTAATTTTTCCCGTTTTATATTAATTTTAATTCCACATACTGTAAAGCTATCGCAGGAAGAAATTAGAAGTACTGACTCAGGTAATCACGCTGATATTACGGTATGCTTTCCCTTCAAGTTGCATGTGAATCGTATCTCTCCTCCGCCTAACAATAAGGTAGTTATCGAGCCAGGAACGATGTGAATATGTTTTCTATGACCATTCCAATGTGTGGGAATCATAATTTTACTGCAGTTTTTTCGTAGCAGAACATAAAGTTGCACGATAAGTTGCTATCTGCCTAGCTGTAATAGCAGGTTCACATGTAGCGGAAATCAGATAGCAACGTTATAATCATGGTTTGTCGCTCGTATTGATAGGTATTTCTTTTTTTGGCAATATGTAATAATGCCCGTATAATCCGGACAGTTACTTTGTAGCAAAAAACTGCGTGCATGCAAATTGCAAATACTGCGCTTCTAATTGTATGGCGCAGCCGAGACACTTACCGATAGCCAAGGCGTGGCTTCATGGGAACGCTTGGTACTGGTATAACCATTGGAACCCGATTGACGTGCACATTCCGGATATTAGGTCCCCACAGCCAGTTGTCATATTCCCACTGATTTTCCTGATCCTTGCTGTGATGTGTTTCTTCTTTTGAAAGACAGTCACTCACGTCGTTATATCTCAGAAAGTCGTTGTCTGGATCCGATGCACTGTCCGGATTCGGTGTACAGCAATCCACGAGTCGAGAAAACAAGTCAATTGGTTCTTCAGAACGACTGCCCTCCGGACTGAAGTCATCCGAATGGAAAGCTGAATCTGTCGGACTTTCTTCGAGTTTAGTGGATTTTTTTACACGACCATCGACAACCGTGTCGCCGTTAATACTGTCCACTTCCCCGTCAGAATACTGATCGAGCGGTAGTTGTAATGCCAAACGTCCATTAGGATTACGCTGACTGGACAGCCAAAGATCCGCGGCACCGCAAACTGGGTTCAACTAAACAGACAAAGAAATAAAAATCTGTTTGACCAGGCCGGATTAAGAGCCGGTACTGTTAGGTTAAGCTCATAATTTTCCAATATCCAAATTTACTAAATTCTACCTGTTGAGCCAGTTCGTCTAATGAGGCGGAATTAGCATCCCGACAGGCAACCACGATTTCTGACCGCAAGAGAGCCATACTGGTGATCAAATTTCATCTATTCCATTCATCGGTAGGACTTAATTCTGCAATCACGATAATGTTTCCGGTTTGTGGGCAATATTCGAAATCTGCCTTTGTTAATACAAAGTCTAATTGTTAATACAAAATAGCTTTGTCCTATGTATTGTACGAGTATTCCAGGCATATGCGAAGCAAGCACAGTTCGTTGATTCAATTAATTAACAATACCGAAATACGCACTATGAATAACTAACTTGCGGTTTAACAGTGATCTCAGCTAAATTTATCGTAGTAAACAACTTTTATGGAGATCCATTAACCTTATGAATAACTTATATAGAATACACAGAAGGCACGATAAAATTACACTTCGCAAATGCCGACTGACAACAACAGATTGAGGATAGCACTCAAAGGAACATGAGTATCTGCGAAACACCGAACAAAAAAACCATCTTAGTAAATGTCAAGAACCAGTAAGCGATTTCATGTATCGCACCACCTAATTCATACCTTTATGACACCTGGAGATTAAAATGATCGAAACTTATTAGGATATTGAATAGGCATCAAACTGCGCGATTAAGCATACAAGTAGGGCATGGCGTGAGCCGATATACAGTATATGTTCTCACATCTGCCGAAAAACACTTTACTCACTGCACCGGAACTACGGAAACATCCATAAATTACAAAATTCACTTACCGCTCACTCTTACAACTACGATTCAGACACTGAAAATGCACACCATAACTCTAACGAACTCAATAGTAATAAAATATTCAGGATATCGTGAGAGCGCGGAGGGAGAATCGTCATAGTTAATATTGTCGAAATCGATCTATATAAAAACAGATACCATAATGATTCGTGATAGGAGCACAATGTTTTTATATTTCGCCGACAGATTTCCAATACATATTGCGAGATGCAGAAAAATGCAATACGAACCTAGCTAGCTACGCAGAAAGTGAATGCAAGGATCAGATTGTTATGCAATAAGTCCGATATATAAAAACTCCATAAAAATGAAATATTTTATTTTGTTATCTCTTAACTTCCGTAGTGATGTCAAAATGCCAACGAGCGCGGTATTATCAAAAGCATCTTAAAGTCAGGTAGTGGGTTATGATGGATACGGCACCAGAGTGATTACTTTGTCAACACTCCAAATGATCAGCGCGTACTAAACTACGAACTGTGAATACACTAAAAAGGTACCGGCGGTAAACTTGACCGTCAAAAATATTTATCCGAGTCGTACAGCTGCCTAATGAGAAATGCTAAAAAGATGACTTTGGGCAAGAAGATTCTGAAAAGAGGTGCTGCCTGCTATTAATAAAGCAATACCAAAGTATACCAATGAAGTGCCGCTTTTTCCGTCTTTTATGAAGTGTCAGTTAATAGCTTGGTCATTTGTTAAAGCTGCCGTAAGCATAACCGCATACTCGAAGCACACCGCGATTCGAGCAGTCAGTTGCAATAAGCAAATAAAAACGATCAGACGATGAAAACTTAAAAAAATTGGTACCTTCGACATACCATTTTAATGGAAGGTCGCAGATTGCTGTGACTGCTGCGAAGCGGTGTATTGCTGACCACTTTTTCATGTCGTCACTTCAGTCACTCAGGTACTTTATAGCTAGGTACTCACTCTTTCTCGTCAAACAGTGTTTTATGATTATGCCTGTAACTCTTATTGACAATAACAAAAAACCATGACAAAACATTATCAGGAAAGAGTTTTCAGGACTGCAATACATATAAAACCATCAGTTATTTATTCATAGCATTTTGTATAGCAAAGTGTGTAATTGTTGTGTGACATTCAGCGTGCCAAAACATAATCTTTAGATGTACGTGTCAATGCAATTTAAGCAAATTTTTTGTGTCTTCGCTTGAAAACATTTATTATTTTTATTTTATCGAGTTTTTTTCAAAAACGTTGTTGCGTTATAACGGCGAAAAATTTTACACTCAACAAATAGGGTAGTTGCGGAGTTGTAATTAATGTTTAGGCAAAGAGCGGAGCATGAGAAGCTCGAGCAAACTAGATCAAAGAAAAAATAGAGCAGAAAACTTCCCAAAATTGACTATTCTGCTTAATGTAACTACGAAAGACTGCAATGGGCGTACGTCGTGCTGGCATCATATGCTTAATGTAATGCATTGGCATTAAATCAAAGATAAGAAAAAAACAGAGCTAGGAAAGAGCTCCCATAAAAGTTTGGATTTTTTATTATATTAAAGACATGCGATCCCGCAAGTACTTATTTTTTTATTAGACATTTTTTAAAAAGGAAGGAAATAGAAAAACGCACAAATCGCGCATTATTTTTCAAATGCCTTTGTGGCAGTGTTGGTGTCGTTTAATAATACCCCACGTACAGAGTACAACAGGCGTATATCAACAACCACGAAATGTCGAGCATTGGCATTATCCAACCAAAAACAGTAGTAAGTCCATCTGCGAAACTTTTGCATGACGCACACTTGAAAGGCCTTGGACAACCCTTTTAATTACTCTAAACCGGACTGTTATGGCGGACAACAGCACTGGCGACGCTTTATACTGGAAATAAGCTAATAAAGGTTGCAACACCGCGTCTCTTGTAAGGAAATAACGTTTCATGTTGCCGGACTTTGCCGTCGAACATTACGAGATGTATGGAAATGCTAATAAATTTATGCGACGTACCGGAAACTGTTCTTGACAGCAGAAACATGCGTACCGTGCATACGACTTGCATGCATGGAAAACACCGTAGATGTACCGTATCCTAATGCATACCGCGCACAAATGGCAACGAGATAAATTTAAGTACTTATCGTATTCGTAGTTTCGTACATAATTACTGTATTCGTACATGTTATTGCTTATGGTATAATTCGCGTAACTGTAGTGCAAAGACACGGATATTATATTTTTAAAATGGTGCAAGATAGTCCATTCCTCTAACGATAAGCAAACGTCAAGCCATTTCCAGTTTAAAATGTTTTACAAAAATGTTTAATCAAAAATTAACAAGATGTACTGCATATAGCTATGTACATGTACACCAAGAGCAGAACTATATACTCGTTAATGCAATAGTACATGTAGGAGTACGTCAAAATTTATTTAGATTTCTCTATAGAGTTATAACTCCATAATACGGATAGGCATAACCGTTATACGACATACATACACTCAAAGCAACGATCTCGGTTCACACATGCAGAAGAACGCTTGCGACATTAGTAGAACAAGTCGAAATAAACTTCAGGACTTCCAGAAAATCAAATTTTATTCGAACTATATGCTTAAAACATTTGACATTTCTTTACCTGGATGAACTGAGATCGCGTAATTAAACGCTTTCGTCGAAGGAGATGCGAGATAAAAACTGCAGAATTCAAGCGAAGCAGCATATGGAACCGGCAGTCAGCGTATAAGGTTTTCAAATATAAGGGTCGAAAAACTCGCGTTCTGCATTTAAACATCCAAACACTTGAAAGAAGAGCCCAAGGAACTAGAAAACCCAGACAAGAGAGCGATTTTCGTTGGGTACACACTTGTACCCATTTAAAGTACAGCCGGAACGTAACGGTCGTAACCGGCGGGCAGAACTTGACATGGTTGGTTTGCTGATATTGTTGATTGGGGGGAAAACAGGAGAGATAATCATTCCAGCTCACGCAGGAAGGGTCCGCAAAGTTCAAAAGCTCTCAGGCATTGATCCCGGCTGCCTGAGGCCGCGTCCAGGCAATCGATGACGCTATACAAAACGAAGTTGCCAAAAAAGAAAAGCGACTGTAATTTGCCGTCTACGTATATAACGCAAACGCACAGCCGGACTGCATCACTGCTGCCATCAGCGCAGCAGACAATCTAGCCACGCACCGGATCGACACTATCTGAACAATCAAACGGAAAAGCTCCGGAAAAATCACTGCAAATCGCTACCCATCATAAATCAGAGGAAAGATCCCTCTTAATCCAACACACACTGACTCGCTCAAATTTGATAGAATATAAACGCTGCAGCCCGGGCCAGAAGCAGTTCTCTTCCCGTGGGAACCATTACGCCCAGGCAACGCCCGTCGTCGCTGGTTTAAATTTGTTGCTGAAGGGAAATGAGATTGCAGGCCTATATCGGACCATCCAGTGTTTGTTCGCTATGGTAATTTTATCTAACCATGCCAACATGTCATCCGGTAGTTACAATAATAGCCATTCCCGAATGCGATAACTGACAGAAAACTGTATCCATTACCATCAAATATCGTGTTGTCACTGCAAACAATGTTGTCACCTAAACAAACCCAACCATTTCTCCCATTTTTTTGGATTTCATATTTCCTTGTTTCTACTTTCCTCGACATTCTTATACAGCCAGCTTCTATTTGATATGTAAATATTTTTGTTTTTCTCATCACAAATTTAAAGCACAGACTATGTAGCGACACTGACCCTTTCGAAGTTCGAACCCCCACCAACGTCAGATAGCGAACTTTTTTGGGCAAAAGATGTCATTATGCTGTACGTCTTTTCGCATTCAAATTTATCAAAACGAAATACAAGCATCATTTAAAAAAGCGAATGAAGGACATTCCTAGAAAAGGTTCAAGTAAACTGCAGCAGTCTTTCTAAATCATGTAAATGAAAGAGGCATAATGGCACAGAAAAAGACTGGACACCAATAAAATCGATATTCAAGCAATTTATAACTATACAGCTCAAACTGGACGAATTAAAAATTCAAAGGCGGATTTCAACGATTTTGTAGTTTCGATTTCGGAAACAAGGCAGCAGAAAACCCGGACAAATTAATAAAACGTTTGTATCACTATATAGTATGCAGTTGCCACTGAAAGTAATTTCCAAGGAGAAATCACTGCTTTTGCTTGGAATTAACGGTCGGTGGTGCACCATGCGGCGAATACTGCAAAAAGAAAATTAAACCTTTAGAATAACAGCTTTGGGTAAAAAGTAAGTTACGTAACCAACAAATGTTTTGAAGAGAAGCCCCGAAAAAAATTGATTTAAAAACGCTAAACGCACTCAACCGACGCTTCAATTCTGCACCAGAGTTACGGCCTGGTGAGTTATCCCTTAATAAACATAAAAAATAAATCATCGTATTATCATAAAACAGGAACCGCATAGGCGCATACATACTGAAGCTCAGTTTGAGTGATTTTATTTGAACTACAAAATTTTAGCTGCATACAAATCTGTCAAAAGAGGTTTCATCCAAAACAATGGCAACAGCCATCAATCAGCGTTCCAATAGGACCATGAACATTCGATAACCTTTTAGTCCAAAGATTACTTTAAACCATGCCCAGCTGGATCTCGATTAGCTCTCACGTCAGCAGCAAAATCACTATAATTATGATCCTCATCTGGAAAAATTACCCCTTATGTCTACGTACTATCAAGCGGATGGCGAAATAGGCATCCTTATCGCCTGGTCGCGTAGCGAGAGCAGACTTCAGTGCTCCATTCACGGTCACTCCCACTGTGTTATTCTTCTCCTGAACCGACTCCAGGCTGACGTACTTATCCGACGGTTCATGCAGACGTAAACGACAATGCTGCAACATGGCGTTATAAGGAAGCCCAGCAGAATGAACAAAATAATAATTTTAAACTTACCAAAGTAACGTGGCCTTGTTCCGCCTGTTAAAAAAAGTTGAAGTTAAAGTAACCAGTTTGAAAATAAACAAATCAGTCACAGGTATGGTCTATCATTATTTAAGCGATGCTTCTCCACATCATACTCACACTAAATCACGAAAGTCAAAATTACAAAATCCAAAATACGAAAAAACACCCATCTTGCATGTTGGCAGTTACAATTAACCAGCAAGGAACATACGCAAGTACGTTATCAATCATGAATCCAGTTAGATGAAAACCAGCAAATGGTAAATCTCAGTTTAAAAAAAAGAGAAAATAGAACAATTATCGACTGCGTTCAGTACTATTGCCCAGACAAAAAAACGCGAACACATTTAATGGTTGGTGCATACAATGATACAGATACATGTATTGTACTTACAGCTCGGTGTATAGTGGTATATCCGTTGACAATGGCAATATAGTTGTAGTTGTTATGCAGCGTGACAATATTGTCGGCTTCTCGGTTCACGATGAAATGCGCTAAGGCAAACCAAAATTTTATCAAGGAGCTCGACTCAAACTTCCACAAGTATTTAAACAAGAAAGTACACACTATGAAACGCTTGAGGATCGTCAGGCCCATTGGAATCCAGCACTAGCTGCCCGTTAGGGGCCTGAAGAATCTCCAGTGTTCGGCCAGTAGTTTTGGATATAAGCTGCACAACATTTCCTGTTTGGAACAGATTCTGAAATGCAAAACATGCAATGATGTTGGTTATCGGCCGCTAAGGAATGCCCATCCATGCACTACTGCGCGCGACAAAACAATGTGACAGAATAGTTTTAAAATCTACGAAATTTTACAATCACGCGTTTATTACGCCAAAAATAAAATTAAAATCCAAAAATCAGGAACAGTCATGGGCTAGAGCAACATTACTGTATCAAAATCTGGAGAAGCAAAATTTCGGTATCCAGACTCCGAGCACGAAATAATTTGAAGAATAACCACCAACCGCAACAATCTAAACCACGAAATGCAAAACAGTACGAGTGCTTACCATAACGGCACTGCCTCCGTAATGTTTCTGGATAGTTTCATCCAGTTTCCCAGCCACGAAGTCTACAGCTTTATTTGTGGCGACCAGTCCCTTCGCCACTAAATCCGAGCCAACTTTTGAAATGGATCCAAACAGTTTCCCGCTTCCCTATGGTACAACAAGAAATCAATATTATCATTGTCCCATTATTTTCAGAATCTCTGCACGTTAAACACGTTTCACAACAACCCTCATACAAATGTCCTTTCAGCAGTGAGCACAACCTCAGCACAAGTGCACATTAAGAATACAGTCAGCATAACGAAGCGTTACCGTTTTAGACTGTTTGGATCCGGACCCCTCGACGACGGTAGTCTTCTCATAAGTATACGAATTCTTCGAATCCGGAGGAGCGTGAACGTGCTGGGTATGCTGAACCTGAACGTGTCCTGGAGGAAACGGCGCTATGGTGGCTGGAGATGAAGGATAATGATAGGATTCAAAAACAGGGCGAGCATCGGGTTCGGGAGGAGCATGAGGATGTTTCGCAGCGTCCATGGTTAACAAAACTTATACTATATAGACAGAATTTCAAACCAGGTAAAGTACTGCGTTTTCGTCCGTTCTAAGATTTCGTGCACAGCAGCAGCCCGTATCCAGTTCGTGCGCGAAAAGGCTTTTAGACGAAAAGGAATCAAATCAACGAAAGACAAGAACGATTTTGAAATTATTCACTGCGATTATCAGAATTTCAGTTCGTCTTGAGAACTAAAAAATTAATGATCATCCAAGCGAAACCACAATAGCACTGACTTGTGAGCTGCGGTTTAAACGCCACAATCAGTGTTATCATTTCTTTCGGATTACACATACTGTACCTGTAAGCTGTTATTACGTAAATCAGGTGACGCATACAGTATCGGCAATCGGCATAATCCCATAGAAAAGGTACACCGGTCTAGTACATAATTATTAACGATTTTTGTACGAGTGTTGACTGTTGAGAAGAAAGAATACCTATGTATTGTACATTGTACAGACACAGTACAGTATCTGTACATTACAGCACTCGCAGACGAATCATAATCGCATCTCATACGAAAATTTTGTAAATTAATGCAAAATGAGTACTGTACTGCAATAATTATTTTGATGCATTGTAAAATTAATTGTAACTAAAGTTTCACGGTAACTCTCTAATGCAATAAGGTAAATCAGATAATAACTGATTTTTTCAGTTACCAATTTGAAAATGTTCTACAATTGCGAACCACACAGAATATTTCTTCTGGCCAGGGGCGTCAAAGGGGGGGTGTCAACCGGCAAATTTTCGGAGTTTGACTCCCCCTGTTTTTCGAAACCGGTTGCCCCCCGTCAATTTTTTAGATGTTCTGGAAGCCAGTTGCCCCCCTGTCAAGTTTTGACTCCCCTGTCAAATCATTTTGCTTCAGCTGCTGCTATTTAATTTTCTAAATTACGATAAGAAATTTACAAATTTACAGTACGACTAGGAAGCAACCGTGCTCAAATCTAAGTACTGAATCAAAAACTTTTAGGCGTCGTCTAGAATTCGAAGCAATCTCGTTATGGTACGGTTGCTCAACCGCACGAGGTAGCTGTACCCAGTGGCCACTCCTACAGATACGGTACGCGAAGCCACCTCGCGAGGTGGAGTTGCTGTATCGCAACAATCTTCGCTGTGAACGCGGGACGAGGCCTTATTAATCAGTAAACAATCACAAGACAGGACAGATTTAAGTCGATTTCTCGTGAACATTTAATCACTTTAATGTTTAATGCATTTCCGTACCAAAAAAAACTAAAATGTACAGTAAAATTTTGAAAATTTCAAACTTCAAAAGCACATTATTGTGTGCTCACAAGTCACAAATATTCAAAATTTCAATTACTATTCATACACACTAACACTGTCCACTGATAATCTCATTACTGAAAATCACAGTCTGCTACACTTCAAACGAGTTCTGGCTATAAGTAGCTTATCATAAATTAGTAATGGAACTAAATTTTTTTCAGACAGAAGATTATCAGTTTTTATTTTAATTATGTTGACCTGGGATGCTGACCTGGGATGCTACATGTGTGTGCACAGTAGCCTTGTCGCACATCGTGGCAACATCGAAACAAGCGGGAGCAGCCGCGGCGCGCGCAGAGCAGGATAAAGTGGCGAAGTATCGTGACATCACACAGGACTACATGTTCCGTGCAGTAGGCGTCGAAACACTCGGACCTTTGGGACCAGACGCTTCTCGCATGGTCACCGAACTCGGACAGATGATACGCGCAGAAACGGGCGAGATACGGGCGATTGAGTATCTGCGCCAGAGGTTCAGCATTGAAATTCAACGCGGGAATGCGGCCTCCGTCATGGGAACAGCACCAGCATCGGCTAATTTAGATGAGATGTTCAGTATAATCAGACCGTCTATCTCTGTTGTCGGTTGAGACTGTAGATTACATCTTTATTATGAAAGATTACAGTGTATTATGTGTTGAAGTGATGTAGTTGAACCAATGGATTAAAAGTTTTAATTATTGTATATACGCAACTTAATGGACCTTTAATAAGTATCACGTGAAAGTACAAACTAAGTACTAGAAAACAGAAGTTTGATTAAGTATGCAAACGAGACAGCGGCAACTACTGCTCCTTAGGGGTGAACTGCCATTCACGCACCCCGATGTTAGGGGGCCAGTTGTCTGCCGTGAACATTTTTTCAGACTCACTGGCGTAAGAACCAACACGTGCGAACAAACTATTCTTACGACCCTTTTTAGCAGAATAAATTGAGACGAATCTGACAGAGATCCCGATGGATTCGATGGTTGCCTTCAAATCCCTACTGTAGTCGTCAGGGGTCTGGTGCTCAGTTTACTCCAGCGGGGGGATGCCGTGTAGACAGAAATCCTTTTTCTCTCTTTCCTTGTCGGTTTTAGAGGCACGCTTAAGCTGTAGGGTCGACATGATGATGTCATTTGAAGCGTTAGAAGCCTTCTCGCGAGTACCGCGAACCACTTTTCCTTTTTTAACGATGGTTGTCGCAACTTAATTATTGTATATACGCCATTATATATAATATGTGTCTATAACTAGAGAATCCCGGATTTGAGGATTTTCAATGATTTTCATTACCACCAGTACTCGCATCGTGAAATTGATCAAGTAAGTATCACAAAAGTAGTATGAAAATTAAGAAGAAGTTCTACCGTGTTCGCTATCTGAGCGGTAGAATCGCTTGCGCGCAATGCGGGAAACGCTGATAACAAAACCGATGCAATTAATAACAAAAAAAATGGTTATACTACACAATTCAATGAAAGAAAAAAATTGTTTGTATGGTTTAAGCGAAAAAACTGCGGTTATTCACTATGATTTTTTAAACCGTTATAAAAAATTTCATTGCTTTCAAAAAAATTTAATTTTAACGCAAAAGCAGCGTACACGGGAATAGGAAAAACTTTGTGAAGAGCTTTTTCAATAAAGTTTAAAATGCGTTTAAAATTTGCATTTTTTTACACCCAATGACACTTTCATTTTTATGTACGGGGTTGGGAGACAATAATCTATAAAAACGCTCCACAAAGTTGTTAGCAAATGTTTTTTTCACGTACTGATCAAAGCTGGGAATTTTCTTAGGTTTTCTAAATTAGCTATAGATTTTACAGATTAAATTTATGAAATTGCTCAGTATTCGGCGAAGAACTTTCTTTGTTCTACACTTTCGCGGAATGCTTCAGTTTTGCGCCTGCAGTGCCGCCACAGTTATATGAGCGGAGAATGACCACTGGCGCTCACAGAACAGTGTTAGGCCTATCCCTTTGTCTCGCGGGAGATGTTATGGCTTGGTGTCCTCACTGAGTACACAAGATTTTGGTCTGCTTCCTATTACACTTGCCATTCGACTGTTATTCTAGACGCCATTCTCCTTGTTATATTGCCAGTTATGGTCATTCATTCGACTGTGCGCTTTTGGCCACAGGTGGCCGCAGAAAAGAAAGATCGCCAGTCCGCCAAAAGAATAAGCGCAGCTATCACAAAAAATTTTATATCATTTTAAGTTGCAATTTTGATTAACCGAACTTTCGTCTGGAGGTAGGCCAGACCATGTTGATTGCAGTTACAAAAGTTTCGAAAATTAAAATTTTGGTAACCCAACATGGTAGAACCTCTTCTTAATAATAGACCATGCAGTAGTTCTTGAAGTACTTACAGAAAAAAACTTTACAGAAAAATGCCTGTCGCGTTTTGCAAATGACATAACATCGAGAATCCAACAAAATGCCGCGAAGTGAAGCAGCAGTCATATTAGAGTAAATTTGATGTTGTTTATTCAAAAGGTTAAACGCAACTGCCCTTTCTTAGTTTGTAAAAATGTATTGCATTTATGCAGCCATTTCAGTTTAAAGACGTGCAACCGACAACCTGAAATTTTGTCAATTTATTTAAAAGCTGTGTCCATGGCCTATCCACACCAAACATACGAAACTCTTGTACCTTGTTTGCACTGTTATGCACCGCAAGCAACATTGATAATAAATGAAGATCAGCACTGCAAAGTTTTTAAGCATATTCAGCAATTACAGTACAATAATCATCAATTAATAATTAAAACACTAGTAACTCCACACTGACCAGACAAAAAAGAATACAAACAGCGAAGGTTGATCAACCAAGACGACGTTTTTGACCGACAAACCAAGACGACGTTTTTGACCAACTATTCGCAATCGATAGAAGTATCATTAATGCTAAATCTTTAAACTTCACTGATGACCTTTTCAGTGATGAAACACCATATCCCGATGACCAGAATGACCTTTATGTATTCGTTCTGTAGTAAAAGAAGATTTTATACTATTCTGCCGTGCATAAAATCATTTGATTTTGCTGAAACCTTGGAACACGTTAATTATGCTTTCGGTACCTTTTATTCGGAACAGGTGTCATTTCGCTTCGTGGACAGTTGCAGTACGTTCATCAGACACCTTCCAGGTAGACGATTCAGGCAATTGAACGCTACCCCATCCAGTCTCGCCATTCAGTTCTCCATACGAGCGCAAATGACTTGTTGCTCGTGAAAAAGCTGCCCCGGCACCCTTTTTAAATGTTGGATTGGCTGCTTCCAAGAATTCGTCCACGCAGGTCATGAAGGGACTGTCAGGATTATCCGTAACATCGCTTCCGGTTAAACTCTGAAGCAATGTTAGGCATGCAGCGTAATCCTGCTGGATCAGCATACTAACCAGTACAATACGAAGAGTCAGACATCTTTCTCTGTTAGCTGGTATACGGCCAGTGCAGCGCATCATGGTGCACAAGTTATGATTCATAGAGATAAGAACGGGTATGTTAAAAACGGAGCTGTGCAGCGCGGTATCTTGAATACGTGCGGTATAGGTGCTTTGACCATTCAGAGCGTAGATAAGCTCCGGATCGTGATGAGTCACGATACCAGTCGTTTCTACCGCGCATAATGCACAAAAAACCTACATAGGCGTTGGAAGATACCCGAATGTCTGAATCTGAGCAATAATTTATTTGTTTTTCCCAAAACACCAGCCGAAAAATGAATAAAAAAAATATACATTACCGATTTTGAACTTTTTCGACGATTGTTTCCCAAATTTTTCTTTTGGATAGTCACACCTTGCACTGCTAGACGGAAATCTACGCCCGAGCCTTTTTCCAAACTGCTTAATAATTCTGAAAAAAAAAGTTATTTATAATCTGTCAGTAATCGACCAACCACCGTTGATCGACCAACCACCGTTACAAATACTTCTGCGCTATCAGCGTTAAATTTACATAGCAATATTCGTATTCGAGATGCTATCACATCCTCCCGGAAAAAAAGGGGCTATAAATTTAAGTAAAACTTGTTCTAATTACGCGACATGGCATTAGGGGAAGATAGACAGTGTCAGTACCTGGATCTCTCATGCTTCGCTTTATTAGTTCCAAGTTCTTTGCATGCCATTTTAAAACGTCTTCGTTCAGCTTGGCATAACGATCCGGATTTATAGCCCAGCGACAAGCCGTTCTCGCCTACAACAGTACCTACTATAAGTATGAAACTTTTTTAAGTAGGAAAATTCCTGTTGTTATGGATTATAATAAAGGTGATGGTGTACGAGACTTATCTGAAAGTCGTCTTAGAATTCTGTAGGCAATATGGCAATAGATGATTACTGGTTCTTCCTGAAACAGGCAACAATACGACCTCCTCACCTTTGCTGGACCGCTTTCCGTAAAAATTTTTAGAAATCCTGGATTCAAGGACAAATTGTGTCGTACAGAATTCTGCAAAACAATTTCTCGTGCAGCAATGAAGGGGATATATATATATATATATATAAGTTGTAACTAGACCCATCCAGTTGCAAAATTCTAGATCGTTTATTTTATAAAGTGAATACAAACCTTCCAGCCAGCCGATGCGGTTCTGAAGTACGGATAATGTTTGCTGCAAAAAGACATTTTCATTAATGCAATATGTAAACAAGTTTCCCAAAAACTTTGATTTCCAAGAATATGTGAAACGTAAATATATATGCCACATTCCACAGCCACTTACAGAAATTTAAGAATGCGCATGTGATAAGTATTGTGAGTTGCAAGAAGTAAGAGGCAATTACCACATAAAATTATAGATGTCTCGCACTGTCATCCTTCCGTTTTTACTATTTTTCAACGCAATAGTGACCATCGCACTGTACGAATATGGCGGCTTGGGATAATCGCGGTCTTTTTCATCGTCATCCATTGCGTCTAACTCAGGAAATTCCATGTCCATTTCTTCACAGTCACCATTGTAGTCTTCCTCAGTGATTCTAGTAATTTTAGCAGAAGATATGCTGGTGAAAGGAAGATCACAGTGTCCTTTTTGCAGTTTAACGAACGGCAGATTCTCTTTCTCTTTAGGCATAGTACGACCTTTCTCGTTGACCAGCAATATTGGACCCGAATGGGTTCCGTGTTTTGGTGGACGACCGCGGCGGGGTGCGGTTATGTGCAGCGTTCGCGGTATGGTCCGTTCCGTGGGGCCCGGTCCGGACGGATGATCAACCACATTTAACATTTCGGCAGGGCATGGTATGCTCGAGTATTTGGATTCCGAATGATCAATCTTGGGTTCCGTATAGGGCATGGCGTATTCGTTGACGTTTTCGGCTGGCGACTGAAATACCGGCAGCCCTGACTGCGTATAGACCATCATGTATTCAGGATAAACAAGTTGGTCGGTATGGGGAAAGGTCGGTATCGTTAACTGGTTGAGCAACGGATACGTGGGAACACCGGTAAAGTCCCGTTCAACAGGATGATAAACCGGACGAAAATTTGCCATAGTGGACACGAGGGCGGGAAGCATTGTTTCGCCCGTTGGATTCTCCACCATATTGAATGACTCTTCCGTTACATCACTTAACTCATACATTTCGCATAATGCCCGCACTTCATCCATCGTTGCGTGACTAGAATCGCTACGAATAGAATACCAAGATAAAGAAAAACCGATGAGAAAAGTACTGCCCGGGATGATCAAATTAATGCAGTATCCGCACTACAACTCCAGGCGACTCCATCTAAAACAGGATCAAAAAGCAGTTGTAAGTAACAAAGGCGCTTTCAAACTGCTAAAGCAACATTTTGAAATTATATACCGTATAGTGTTGACCAGTTAGCTCACATGATGTATTGTACAATACATCATGAACAGTAATCCTGCAAAAATGCTCATTTTACGTGCCCTTTTCGTATTTATTTATTCACTTATCCAAATTTTCGGGGCACCATGTACTGTCAATTAATAATAAATCGGAGAACGATAGCATCACGTTATTCTTAAGCAGAATTAATTTTACCGATATCAGTAAAGAAACATGCTGTTACTCGATCGTTACAAAATTTCCCTTGCAGCGAGTAATTATCATAAACTTAACAGAAGTAAATTCTGATCCATGGCATAAAATGTGGACGTTAATGTACCTGTTTTACTTACTGAATTTCTCTGCTTAATTTGAGAATATAGGAAACGCAAACGTGTAGCCATGAAGTCAAATGCCCATAAGTATCGGACTGATAACACAAAGTTTCATGTCGATCCAGACTGATATTTTAATATTAAAACCGTTAACAGTGCGAAAAATTATAAATATTATGGATATAGCAAAAATAATATGTGTTCCTATTTTGCTGTAGCCGTTGCAACGCCTATGGAAGTGAATCCACATAGTCTGGACACGATCAGGCCAGGCACCACTCGCCACCTGGTTGGTTTATCACGTTGCGGACAGCGAATGCATGCTTTACTGTGCTAGTCAAAACGAATAGGAGAAAACAGGGATGTCTCTATCAAGGACCAAGGGACAACGAAAGTGGGCCGTGTGTAACGCCCTGTCAGCCATACATAAAGAGTAACAAAGTTTTCTTTAATATTAAACATACATTTCTTTGGTTTCATGCATCAGCTACTCGTGCCTATTCAGATAATTACAAAAAGTAGTTAAATACTTAAATATTTAAATAAAAATTGCAGATGTAAGTGCTTATTCTAATTATAAATTCTAAATGGGAAGGCAGAAGTGTTCTTGCTATGCTACTGTACGCATATTTACAGGTTTTAAGTTTTATATTTTTGCAATGCATCAGGTTATTTTTGGCAGCATCTTGGTACCAGTGTTTGGACGGCTAGCTACCCGTATAGTCGCTTAAGTGAAACACTATGTTAAGTGAATAGGCGATGGTCGTTTAAGTGAAACACCCGAAATATTTTATTCCACAAACCGATTTCCTTCTGGTTTTCTTCTTTACCCGATAGAGCTAGGCGTGCTCTTCACATAGTACTTGAAATTATTTAAAAAACTTGAATCGTTTTCTTGCAATTGCGTCGGTAAAAAAACAGTGACGAAACGCTTAAGCCACGCCACCCGAGCCACTGCACTACGCCATGATAATTACAGTCACTACCTCACATGTGCGGCTGCGCTATTTAGTTCAGATTTGTTTGTTTCTAATGCGAGTTATTTCTTTATTTCTTAAAATTATGCTTTCTGGAGTGTGATACTGAATGATAAACAGTAATATGGATAAACGTTTAATATCAGCTTGTTCTGACGTGAAAGAAAAAGGGCTTTCGCTTTCGCTGTCCGAAAGAGCCAAGAAGAAAAAAGCAGCACCAAAATCCAAACCAAAGAAGTCCCGTTAATCACCGCCCGCCGTCTTTCCCTGTTATGAATTTTTAGCCTGTGTTCACTAACCTGTGATTTTTAATATTAACCTGCGATCCAACTAACCGGTGATTTGTTTTACTCGCAGAAGTTTTTTTGTTGCCGTTGATTCAGGATTTTATAAGTACAATAAAAATTTTATTGAATTAGCTGCTCTGGCGCAACACTGTCTTCGTATTTAAGTATTGTGTACATATGCAGTCTTCATAAGGGTGGCGCAGCCGCACGTGTGAGGCAGTGACTGTAATTATCATGGCGTAGTGCAGTGGCTCGGGTGGCGTGGCTTAAGCGTTTCGTCACTGTTTTTTTACCGACGCAATTGCAAGAAAACAATTCAAGTTTTTTAAATAATTTCAAGTACTATGTGAAGAGCACGCCTAGCTCTATCGGGTAAAGAAGAAAACCAGAAGGAAATCGGTTTGTGGAATGAAATATTTCGGGTGTTTCACTTAAACGACCATCGCCCATTCACTTAACATAGTGTTTCACTTAAGCGACCATACGGGTAGGCCTCACCGAAGCATAGTAGGATCGCGGTACAGTAAAATGATAAAAAAATAAATAGATTATCGCTGATGGTAATACGATTACAACTACACTATTTTGTTTGCTTCAGAGCAACATAAGTTTTAAAACTAGATGGGGCAAGTACAACAGGTGTATAATGATTTCTTTACGGTCACACCCCATGGTGCTCCAAAGTCGACAGGAAATTTGAATTGAATACGCGCCACATTTACAGAATGACCATGGTCCAGCCTACTAACTGCAACAGCTTTTAATTCTGGCATTTAAAGATCGAAGGATACGGCGCACTATTCGCGCATCCACAAAAGCATAAACCGATCAGGAGATTAAATTTTGAGATGGACTTACAAGTCTTACATTAGTACTAATTTTTCCCGTTTATTTCTGCACAAATTGTAAATTAATGGGATCAAATGGAGATTCGTGTAAGATCCGCGGAATATTGCGTACACTTCATTAGCCGTATATAGAAAGATGTTCACGAGCGTTCTTAAAAACAGCAGTGCATTTTACCGTGCCCGACCGTTTCGACATTGCAACATATTTAATGATTAACCAAATGGAATACAGGTTTTCAACAAAAAATTCGCAGACAGCAAATCTACCAATCCTGAAAACATGACAAACGAGATAAGCAGCAGTCTAAAAGACAGATTCCCCACATGTTGCACAAACTAGGTCACTGGTTATAACATTTCGTAATAATTATAAGATGTTCTCCCTGTGCCGAAATAGCTGCGTACCGCTCTTCCAGTTTTGGGCGCTTTGGTACGGGTTAATTAGGACCTTTTTGCAGCGTAAATTAGTTACTGCTTTGTAACCGATTTTCAGCATCAGCTCAGCCTAGTAAAGGTAAACGGCACCATGTATAAAATAATATTTTTCAGCACGTCGGTCGATCGTATTGCATAAGTAATAAATCGCTGCTTGATTGCATTGTTTTATTTGGCAGGGTCGTCAACTATGCCGGTAGACGGTAGTCGGTACTTTAATAGTGCGAATTCATAATTCGTTACATCTTGTACTTTTAAAGGTAAAGTCTTATACCAGCACCGCTCTCAAGGAGTACAGAAGGAATGAATCAGCATTCCTTAATGACTGTGGGCATACTTTAATTCTATAGCGAATTTTAGATTTCACAAAACAAGTTCCGTCCAGTTCGACTTGCGGGTAGAAGTTGGCGTTACGGGTCGATTTACGTCCGTTCGCGACGTAAGGCGCCGTAACCTAACGTCGTTGGCTGACGCGTAAAAACTATCTGCCTTGCGTGGATCTGTGCAACGGCTCAGCCGTATGGCTGAGCCACAAGCCAGCGCATGCTGCCTGTGGATCTTTTTTATGTGCTCTAACCGCCTCCCCGAGAGCAGGTTGGTCACGCTCTGGGCACTCTCGACTCAATTTATTTTTCAGCTGTACGTTACTGCAAGTGTGCATCCGTACAAGCATTTTAAACGCTATTCAATCTGGTAACGTACTGTTTATGTGACGCAGTAGTTTCTAGTGGACGGAGCCTGAACCATGTGAAATCTAAAATTCCCTTATAATCTAGAGCCTACGTACGGGTAGGGGATTTTTGGAAAGTATGGTTCTGAGCGGACATTTGGGATTGCAGTCGACGTCAAACAAGTATCGCAGCGAGAAAATCAAAGCTCCCGGGCCAGCAAGTGACTTACAATCGCTGTTCCTATTGTACTAACAACGCAGCCTGCGCCTTAATATGCCTTACGTAATCCTAATCGACAACCGGAAGTAGCGGAGAGTCTGGCCGGCTTCACGAGCAGTTCTCACACGCATGCAGCATGGCCACCGCCTTCCCCGTGTCTGCTTAGAGGCTTTATGTACACAGTTCTTGCACAATATGATACATTTAGTAGAGCTATAAAATAACTGACTGTGGAAGTTTACTATCGTAAGAACAGGGATCGAACGCGAGCATGGATGAAATATATGTACAGTGTACCAGCCCCACGGCGCACAGGAGCAGTGAATTGAGTGAAGTACGTACAGCAGCGCAGTGCCATCTGACGCGCTAGCGCGCTTTATGTTCGCTAGACATGGACACACACGGTCAATAAAGTCTGATTGGGAAGTAGGGATAATCGATTCGCACCAAACACGGGGCACAAGAAGAAGCCGCAATGCGGACGGAAAGTAATTCCCGGTACAGAAAGGGATGAGGGAGAACGCACTGACAGCGATATTCAGTGTGTTCAGAGTCCAGGCAGTTCACTACTGTCTAGTCAGCAGCTGTCAGCAACACGGCCATACAGGGTATTACAGTGTCACCGACGTTTTTGCAAAAAATGGTCAAGATTAGGAATAGCCGATAGCGCCCGTGGATTCATCGCCTCATAGAAAGAAGCAAAATTTTGTTTTTATTTCGGCCACCTTGAGGACAGAGCGTCACTAGGTACATCACAAGATTGCGCTCCATAGGAAGCAAACTAGCTTAAATTATTTACGGTTAGACTCGTTTGTATTTTTTTCATAATGCTTCTTTGCATTACGGCAAAACCGAGCGGAAATTTGCACTTACACTGTACACTACTGTACAGCGGCTATGGCCACATCCGCTTTACTTTAAATTATTTTGCCTTTGCCTCAATCATAAGTGTTCTGCAGCGCCTTCGTTTCATTTCCCAGCTGTCAAAGACATTACTTGAAAGTTGAATAATATATTTCAAATCTCGTTCCTAGTGATTTTATCATCCTGGACACAAATCAAAACTTTTTTGGTTTCTTCTTGTATTTTTCTGTGGGAAATCAGTTGCTCTGACTGCTGCAGTGAAGTTGAGGTGCCATACTTTTGTCAACGATAATTGAAAAGGATTAAAAGCGCGAGAAAGGCAGAAGAAAAAGGAGAGCCCCTAGGATTTCGCTGGTGTTTGGAGAAAGGTACGCACCATGATCCAAGACCTTGAAGCAAACCATTGATTTAAGGAAAATGGGTTGACAAATATGTAGATCATTTGCGAAATTTACAATTTTGGAAGTCTGTCCCTGTTGTATCTGAACACCGCACGGTAATGGTTGACGACAGTGCTTTACCAAAACGCACTGATACGTTTAAATAAGAGGCTTAACTCACAAGTTCTTCTGTCATCTGGAAGTTTTTGTATTATGGTCGGCTGTTTTTGTTTTATTGGGTAACCGCCACTGTTAGTCTGGCTGATTGCTGACTGTGATTTATCCATGAAATTGTTTCGGAAAATCTACAGTAAATTCATATGTAGCAATGTACATATGAATTTACTGTGTAGAGAAATATGAAAGGTGTGTGTATAACTCATCATATGTGTTATTTCGGATTGTGAATTGGGCGTCGTTTTTCACTATTTTTGTTAAGTAATATAATTTGTTTTGCAATGGTAGTAAGCGTTTGTTGAACGATGACAAACCAAGGAAATAATACTGCACTTCAAATAGCTGCACTCGCGCTATACACTCGTACCTAATAATGTGATCAGGTACGGAGCATTTTTTTGTGGATTTTCGCGGTATTATTTGCCGTATTAAGCGCCGGTGTTACCAGTTTATCGCAAGCTCTCCGCATAAAAAATTTATGAATTTTTTCTTGAAGAGTACTTCCGATTAGTCAGCGTAAAGCGGTCCGTGTTAGTCATTCTGGTCTGCAGTTTTGTCTGGCGCACTTCTGCTGCAGCCAACTTCATCGAATGACGAAGTGATATCGATATTTTAATTTGCTTTCCTTTCCGATTTTGTCATTCAGAACCAAAAGGGCCTAACTATGCCGGTTGTACACGGTAGTGGCGTGGCATTTAAGCAAACTTTAAGCTCTGCCGTAGAAGATGCTGTTGTCAGCAGCTGTGTTGTCGTTTGATGCAAGCAGAGCGGCGCAGTAGTTGCTTTCGCTTTCATTTATAAACCGGTTACGACGATGGATAGCAGATATATAATTTTCCAAAGCAGCGCCGGGTATACTGTATAGTGTATACTACCGTCACCACTCATGAATTCCGTCTAATTTTTGCTAGACGACCTGATGCCGCAGGACTGAAATGAAACATTAAGCAGACCGATCGCGAGTGTGTACTGTGTGCATTCTATTCTGTTCCTAGATCCAGCGTGATCAGCCTGCGCGCTTCGCGAAGGCAAATCTGTTCGTGACACGGGGGAAAAGCCGAGTACGCAAATCGTTTTATCGTGTGGAAAGTCGGATTTTTGTTATTGAGCAATTTTGTCAGGAACGAACCGGAATGACCTAGTTGGTAAGTTTTGTAAATGATATGATTTCACCAAATATGTCAATAATCTTTCACGAAAACGTGTGAGGATGATGTATGTATTTTGTGACCTGTTTACGGGGATTCCAAAATCATAATGATAAAAACCAGTATTAAAAATGTTTGAAAAAGTGAACCCAGCACTTGGGTTTTATTTTCAACATTCAGAATAATAAATTCTAGAACGCGCAAGTCTACTTAATTTTGCTGTAAACTGTTAACGTTTTGAGTTGTTGTACTGTAGCCGCCCGCACAAGTTGCCCCACAGAGTGAGGTATACGGATATTTGGCCTCACATTGCTCGCTGTTCAGCGCAGTGTGTGCAGGGAGAAGGCAGCGGCCGGATCTGCCAATGGAGCAACTTGTGCGGGCGGCTACAGTAATAAAGATATAACTTTGAGTTGCAACTTGCAGGGTATTTAAGTTATATTATATCGCTGAAATATTGCCACACGATTGTTCGTTTTGATACTGCAGTTTATACTGGTGTTGCGTAATTATATTAGATAATCACGATTCTTTAGCATAACATGAATAAAGAATTTTCCCCTTTGTACTCTGTTATGTAACTGTTGATAAGATATTATAGCAGGTCCCATGCAGAGTACTCGTATTGCGGATACTATAGTATTCGTAGTACAGTAACTACAAGTACAACTGTAACAGTAGTTTACATTATGGCGTGTGCATTCAACCAGTTTATTCATTTGAGCTCTTGTTTTCTCCGGTTACTTGGAGTAATTACAATCAATATTATTGCTGAATCCGCTGTTGTTCAAAACTCGTAAAAGAAACTTTAATTTGTGAACCGAGCTTAAAATACAAATAATATGGTAGAGGTGCTACCTTCGTTGCATTATGGCTTGCTATCTTCGTTAAATTTGCTCTTATATAGATATTTGATCTTTAGAATAGGTTGCAAAAATTTTGCGTAACCAGAATGAGTACATGCGTGATAACTCCAAATCATTTTAGCGTGCGTTACCAAAGAAGAAATGAATAGCAGCTTAGCATTGATGCAGTTCTTTACCCACCAGATATTGATATGGAGAAAGCACCTTGTTTACTTGGTACAATCAATTGTTTTGTAGGGTTTTGTGTTGTGGTCCATTTGGCAGACATTCATTTATGTCCCACCAATGTAATCACTTTCCCTTGATCTTTCGTTCCAGTCTGTGATTCCTTTGAAAGGACGTCAGCTACATATCAGCACATTTTGTTTTGGCAAGGAAGAACCATTTAACTACATATTTGATCTCCGTCTTTATCGCTGCATTTCACATCGTTTTCCAAGCCCCAGCGATAACCATTATTATGTCCACCTTCAGTATCCATCACGTTGGTGGTAAGTGAAGCCACAAAAATGCGTGTGCACGAAACTATGCACCGACACTTATTTGTTTGTTTGTCATAATTGTACGCACACACACATGTGACTGTTTGTGTGTTTGTCAGATGTGCAAGTTCGAGAGAACTTCATAACCGATCTAAACCAGTCGCGCTGGGATAACGAATCGCTCGATCCGTATTGTTCGGAATTTGTCGATTTGGCCAAAACATTTGAGAAGCCCGTAGCTGATCTGGGCATTGGCAATGGCTTCACAACGAAAAAGTTGCTGGAGACAGGCGCGCATGTGATTGCCAATGATTTGAAACCTGAACGCGTGGATCAACTGTATCGATCGGTGTCGGCACAGGAGCGCGAAAAGCTGACCTTGAAGCCCGGGGATGCCCTGCAGCTGGTAATAGGCACCGGCTCACTGGATGGCATACTGGCCACCCGGTGGATCAATGTGCTACGGCCCTACGAGTGCCGGCTATTGATGAATGATTTCTACCGGTGGTTGGCGCCCGGCGGAATTATGTGCATTACGGCACATACTCCCTACTCCAACACCACCAAAGGTAATTATAAATGTTGCAGTTCCAACAAAATTCTCGTAATTGTTTTGCAGTATTTGCCGTCATGAATAAGCTTATTTTCGGTTACTACTAAACTGGAATATTTCTCTCTGTGAGATGCCAGTATAGACGGAAAAATTTCTTCTCCGTTTATCCGATTACCAAAACATTTCTGGTATTTTGAGAAGTTGCTGGTAAAGGGGTCAGCTGTGGGCCGTGGCGTTCAGTAAAGAAAATTGCAAGCGCCTTGACAGGAATCCGATAAAGTTTTTTGTGCAAAATATAAAGTATGGAAGAATGTGCTTAGTGCGTGAGCAACTATGAAAAAATTTTATTTACCGCTTAATGTTACTCTGGTCTTTAGTTGTACAATTTTCATCTTCAATTTTCGGAGTTTTGGATTTTTGTTGTAACTGATGGTACCTCTAATGGCAAGCGACAGACCGAAGATTTTGCATTACTGTACTCAAGTTTTGTGCTATCTCAGAAGTCAAATACAACCGTAGTAATACAACCATGTTGAACATGAGCATTTCTGAATCACTATTTTGATCGAAGCACATTTGCGGCGATTTGCCTAACGGAATTGTTTTAGTCCAATTTTGTGTTTGATTTAATAATTGTCTATCACTCAAATGCATAATGCCAAGAAGTTTAATTTGTTCCCGTCACAACACTATTAGCGCACTCCAGCCATCTAAACAATATAGTTGGTGGCCGGCTGGCAGCTAATAAGCCATATGACAAGTCCGTTTGTAAACTGACCCCCGGAGGGCTTTTTTCTACATTGTTGAGTACGACTGTTTGATTAGTCTATATACGGTGTGTTTTATTCGTTGATCAAACAGAAGCGGTCGACACATACCATCACCGGAAGTACATTGGCGATGAATGGCCGGGAGTTGTGACAGAGGATATGTTTGTTGATGCACGCCGAGGTCGGCTGTGGGCCAACGACTGGATTTACGGCTACGACCCTGACATTCTGGCCCGTGAAGCCATCTTAGCCGGTTTTAAGGTAAAGCGTTGCTCCTTCTATGGGACACCCTACATGAACTCGGAGGAAGATTTGGATGAGGCCTGTAATCTCGTGGGAATCATTGCGAAGAAGTAGAAGGGTTGATGGCGGGAGAATTCGGGACGTCGTGTGTTAAAAGAAAAAATGGCTGTAACTAATTCGTAAGGTTTGCTGTGGATTTCATCACTGCCCGCTCGTATGCCGCATTCAACCCCACAGCTACATAAGCGTGATGCTGGTCTTGTTGCATTTTACGTGTGGTGTAAGAACATAAATTAAATGTATAAATATTATCTGAGTTGCACTTTTTTTATTTTGTTCTCTTTTCCGTTGAATGCATCTCTTTCTCTTCCGCTCTACACACATACTGTAATCATTTGCTACATTCATTGTTGCGTAAATCAGTGGTATAATTTTTTGGTCAGAATTTCTCGCGCGCGAATCTTTTCCGTTTCTACTGCGCACATTGTTGTGGTCAGTGGAGACCTCTCAGTATCCATGTTTGGCTTCTTTACTTTACTTTCTGCTAAGTGTGCGGGAATTCGAATGAATCGTGCAATTACGAAGTCTTACGGAAAATGTAATCTGAGTATTTTACGCCCGAGTAGTGTTCGTGTATACGATTCCGTTTCCTCTTAACGATATCCAGATGGAACAATAAATACAATTTAAGTAGTTGGTCTTGAATTACATTGGTGCGTCGTGCGAGTACCGGTCGTGTTGAAGTGCAAGAAAGTTAACAAGATGCTGTATTTAGAAAGCGGTAAGTAGCAAGTACGGTACGTGGTAGAGTATACGTAGGCTACAAATAGTAGTCCAGGTATACTTACTTCTACTGACAATTAATCAAGCACTCATAAATATGATGCAATTAATTTTAAGTACATCCACATTTTCCCATCCCCGAAAAAAGCGCTATTTATTTCAATGGCTTTCAGTTATATCACGTACCAGCAAAACTATATAACCCGAAAATTTGTCGACATGAATATGCAGCGCGGGGCAATTATAAGTTTTAAAACTACTAACGATGGACAGTTCTATAAACTCAAGTTTTGTTGTATAGTATGTATTTAATATATGGGTCCCGCTTCCCGTAATACAATGGTAAAAATGTTTTTTAAAATACAAGTTTTAATCACATAGAAGATATGTTTCTTTCAATCTTACCATTTTTAGTTGTAGCTCATACTGTACTTGTGAAGTAGCTACAAGCAAGGTTGAACTTGCAGTATAAAGCCAACATGTGTAGCGTGCAAATTTGCTATAAAATTTTAAAGTATCTAGATCAGATGCTCGGGATCGAGCAGACATAAGCCGAATCATTAATTTTCTTGCGCCGTCCATGCAACTCATGCTAACCAGTAAGCTCGAAAAAGAAGCGTTTTATTTATAGATTTTAGGACCGCTCTGTCTTACCACACCCGAGCCTGGGTACATACGTAATCTTCTGAAAATTGACTTCGTTTCCGTTCTGGCACATGCCCTGCACACGTGTCTGGTGCAAAAGTTCTGAAATCGGATCGGAAGAATTTGGCTATATTTCGGTAACACATTTCTACCACACGACACCGTAATATACTTAGGTTAGATGGGTGCACACGTTCGCGATCAATCAGCAGTTTCAGAAAGTTACGAAATCAAACGCGTTCAGTGATTTAATTAGGCATTACATAAACATTTTCGGCACAATTAAACGTACTCTGGCATGCGAGCTCCAGTGTGCATAAGGTAATATAGCGCGAAACTCCCAAAGACAGATATGCTACAGTGTAGCTACAGTATTGATACTGCAAAGTGGAATATTCTGATATATCTACGCAACTACTTATCATTTAATTTTTCAAATCAAGTAGATTTTTTGGTGCGTATTGCTGCAGCGCCATACAAAGATTTGATTCAAAAGACGTCAAAAGGTCACGACGTGCGACGATGTGAAAAAAGATGCGAATATTATTGAGTAGTCGCAAGCTACCCTACTTACCTTAGAAAGTTAGAGTAGTACGTTAACAGAACTCCACTGTGAATTCATGGGCAGACAATTTTAGTGCGTATGGTTTGTAATTGGTCTGTAAATATACGGTATAGCATCCGTATCCCTTCTACGATCACCAGGAAGTTTCTTAGTGCCAATGTTTAAATTTTTAACTGCGAATTAGTGTGCCCGCGCTTGCAATTATTGTTACTTTGATGACTGTTGCCTATTTAAACAATTTTTATGTGCTAATTTAACATTTAATTTTATATGCACAGTATTTAGTATTTTGTACGAAAAGTTTCCGTGTCGCTAGTAGATTCATTTAGTTAGTTATATTGCTTACACTCAAATGTGCTATCTGCCAATGCCAAAGCATATAAAGCATTTTTATATTTGAGTAACTCCGTAATAATAAGCAGAACCGAATAATAAAGACATCCTTAGTGAGACTATCTGAAAACAAAGATCAAAGCAATCGCGAAACCCACGATGGCACCTAGTGAATATTTATAGCTGCGATAGGTTAATAGTTTTAACCTATCGACATAGAACAGTTACAGAGAACTTATTTATATCCAGTGTCAGAAACATTTTTATTTTCATTTTAAACTCCATGACTAGCAACGGATCGGACAATCTAGCGCACCGCACAGCAACGATGTTTTGACTAAGGCCTCTCCACTCATGTGTCTTCATAGAAAAATTTTTGATTCTAGTTCAACCATCTGGATGTTGACAGCCGCCGATCACCAGTTCGATTATTTTCGGTTGTGCGGTGCTGTACAATATACGTAAATAGCAACTGGTGTGGAACTCCTTGAACCCAGCCGAGATCGACTGACGTTGATAAACCAATCAGTTCTTTGTGTAAATTCTCCTTCATTACATATAAGTATATGGAAATACAATATATGTGTGCACACGTATACTGGAAGCCGGAACAAGAATTTCACGTCAAGCGTCCACTAAAGTAAGCACGATAGGGAAAGTACTGGTTTGTATGTATGCAGATCACCGAGTTTCCTGTATACAACGGTTCCAGACACTTGCCGAAGTTCGGTTCTTCGATATTTAGCTGTCGCGTCGCATACGAATCCTGACCTTATACTGCATTACCGTGAAAAAAATCGCGCCAACTGCTGGATAGATGCTTCTGTTCCCTTAATTATTATATCGTGAAGACTGGAACGCTATGACTGATAAATGTATTAGATCCCGATCCGCCTTCCTTAATACTTTATGTGGCACGGGATACAGTTGTTGGGTATCCAGAAAATTAGATCCGGCATGTATTATTGTTAAGTGATCGTCCTGCGTGGAACACGTTGGCGAAAGGCACTGTCTGCCTTTATTTCTGTTTTCTGTTTATTCTCGTCACATTCCTTTGAGTATTGCCCATTACTCAGACGGCGCTAATTCACTGGGACATATTCACCCAACCACAGCAGCTGCGCCTACGTCGAACGAACCCTGTCCATTTGCAACATCCAGACCTCATCATATAATCATTAAGCAGAGCGGCCATAGGAAGCGCTACATTTTCTGGACGTGGTAAGGCCTTGCTAATCATTTTGCAGTTTTTTTTTTATCAGGACGAAAAACTGGAATGCCTTTCAAGAAAAAGCGAAAATTCGAAAGGTCATGTTATGCGTGTGCGATATATATGGCGTGCATACAGTGGCAAGAACAATTCAATTCTAATTTAAACTATTCGATAGCTGATGACAAACCAACAGACAAATGCATTCAATACAGATGAAGTCGTGTATAAAAATCAGATTTCTGTTGCGTGTGTTAACACTCCCTCCACCTCTTATCGTCAGAGATTGGCTAAATTAATGGTTGCACATCGTTAGCTAACAATAAGGGAATGAAGCCGCTAGGGAAGCTTTAGGAAAACCGTTAATACTAATCTGATACATTTTGACAGTATCGCTTTGATATTGACGTAATCGGGATGGGGAAATACAACTGGGAGTCACACGGATCCCCTCCTCGAAATTCAAGAACGATCTCAGTATTAATAATTGATTATGTACGGCCGGGTGAACTGGACTGGTATTGTCTGTATGTATACCGTTGTACGTATAATGATATGACCACCCTGGATTCAAAGGAGGAGCAGGAATTGTTGTACTTACATTGATGTAACCGAACAGTACTTAATAAGGGTACCATACTCTGGGCATGTGTCCCAGTATAAAATACGTAAGTGAGTTTTATGACATCGTATCTGTTTAAATACACAACGCCAGCTGCCGACATGCACACTGATTTGCATTGTATTGTTTCTTTTTCGTTTTTTCGTTATGTGATAAACCTCTTTCAAAAGTTGAGTACAGATTTTTGATACCTGGATGATAAGTGACTGCGATACATCTGGCGAGGAAAAACAGCACGAGACCAAGAGCGTTAACACTGCACTTACAAAGGGTGACCTTTAGCCCAGATCACCATCGTGGGACTGTGAGGGTACTGGGAAATCGCAAACTGAGGCCATTAGTAAAATACTGTCAATTCATTGCGTCGTACAACAAATACGGACTGATCAAGGCCACCTGACCTTTAAACCCACGTTACGCTTTGCTGCAATCGCTTGATCTATGTGTATTTTCGCAGAAATGCGGACGTCCATGTTCTCGCCGTCGACTTTATTTTTGCTGAGTTTTGCCGCCATTACCTTGGTTTATGCCGTTGCTGGAAAGTCCATTATTCGAGAACTGATCGAGAACACACCGCAGTTCATGCCCGATGGAAAACTAGCCTCCCGGCCTGGACGTCAGCCAGAGGATATTCCAATTGAAAATTGCCGCATTACTCAACACAACAAGGAACTTTCCGGCAAGCTAGACCGTCTGTGTGATGAATGTTTTCAGACATACCGTGTGGCCAATTTCTACGTCAGTTGCCGGTGAGTGTGTGACAAAACAAGAGCGTCGACAAATTGTACGAATATGCATGTTTGCGGTTTTACAACCCTGACTTCTTTGAACGCAACGATAAAATGTTAACGATGTGACAGGAAATTCAATATGACGGTCTGAGCCGGAAATCATATATAAAAGTTAAGCCGCTACAGCTTATGGCAGTGCTAGCAGATGTCGCTAGAAATAATAATTGCCTTCTGGCTTGGCTTTGATTTCCCTCCTGATTTTTTATTAGTTTGAAAACTACAGATAGCAAGTGCCACCTTTAGATTTTAAGCATATTTAATCTTCTCTGCTACCATACCTTAATGTTTACAATACAAAATTTTACTAGAATTAACATGAGATACTAATACATGTTTTCGACTGCTGTACAGGAATAGACAGATCTATATTTCTACAGATCTTATGTTTTACCGGCTTTTTGTTAACTTTAAGAATAAATGCGGCACGTTAAGTCAACTTTTTCATATAATTATTGTAACATGAGCCAGCAGCAAGATTACTGTATTTCTAACTTTTATATATTCGTTTTTTTATTATACGACAAGAAGTGTTTTCGTGTAAACACAAATATTGAATAAAGGTATTTGATGCTTTCGTTACCGGGAACATAATTCGCATTTCTTATACTTTCATATTTTTCATTGCAGTGCCGGGTGCTTCAACAACGACATCTTTCGCGGCTGCGCTATGGCTATGTTCCGGCAAGCGTTAGTGCAAGACCTGGAGAATTTCGTCAAAACGGAGGAGGCATCGGTAGCAAAAACCACCACACCAACCGGAAAGACTACAGCTAACTTCAAGAAGCTGGACAGCCTAATTCCATCCGAGAATGACTACAATCTTGTTGTTATGCGTCAATAAACCGTTTATCCCACTAGCTTTAAGCGAAAAGCGGAAACATGAATCTATCTATATACCTTAAGCAATGTTGCTTAATCCGAGCAATTAGGGCTTATCCTCGCTTCCGCAAAACCGATGATTGTAAGCAAACACGAATAATGTTGTACCACCGCCCTCTGCTGAATTACCCACAAAACGCTAAATCATCCTGTTTTTGATTTCTGATGGGGTCTGCTAGATTGGCAAGGATTCGCTTATACTGAATGCATCATGGTGCAAGGTGTGGCAGCTACTGCATACGCTACGTAATTTCCTAAATCCTGTCGTATTTATGGCGAGAAGACGCTGTAAAAAGAATCTCACAATAAAGCATTTGCATGCCAAGATAAACTTCACAATTTTTGACGCCAGACGATCTACATTTAATAGCGTTTTCACCCAATTGTTAAGCGAAATGGAAATTTATGGGGGTATGGGTGAAAACATCGTAGCTCATCACAGGAGACTAATATTATTATTATCAAATAGTGTGACTACTTGATAATAATACACCACAGGACTACCACCGTGCAACACTTGTACCGTACTTAAACAAAAAAGCGCCAATCTCTATTTTTGGAATTTATTTCTCAATATGTACAAAGTGAGCTTCGCTCAGCAGTTATAATCAAATGAAGAATTTGTCCCAATTAACGTGCGAAGGGACTGTGCACAACACACTCATAGCATTACCGCGCATAATCTCTATTATTACTCTCTAGTCACGACTCTATATATTAAACGAATTATACCTTTCCACGCTATAAAACAATCAAAGGAATTTAGTACGCAGACCGAGGCACTACATAACATCAAATTTAATTGAAATCTTTGACTTCTTTAAACTAACCGCTAAAGACCTTTTCAAAACATCTTTTTCTTTTACAAAGTGGAAGTCTTTTGCAGTATAATCAAAACAACGACTCGAAGATCTGAAGGTAACACTACCAAATAACAAAACCGCACTCCAACTATAACAACAACGAGACCAAATCGAACCATATCATGACTGAGCAAAATAAATACGTTCAACACAGAAGCACAAAAAGGCAGCAAACGATCACACAACAACATTGGAATTCTTCGCGAAACATTCTGGCGTGATAAACTGACCAGTGAATAATAATAATACTCTATGCTAAGTTTCCGTATCAAAATTGAACAACAACAGCTTTGTCTCTTGAACATCCGCTATCGACCGATCGCGACTACCCACGGCACATACCAACGTGCTATGATTAGCTGTGATCCGCCAAACAACACCGCCGATCTCGCGAGTCGGCAGCCGAACAATATCGCGGATAAACGAACCCGTCCGGCGATCCCATAACTTGCAGGTACCATCATCCGCCGAGCTAACTACATAGGTCTCATCCAAATACACGCTAGTGACACCACTGCTGTGCCGAGTCTCAACATCTGCAAAAAGTAATGGCAAAATTAGCAGTGTAACTCGCGGTCCAAACATATGAAGAATTCTGTAGAAGTATAGCATGAAGTCATCAGAACTACTATAATATCCAGAACTGCATCAATTTTACATTATTGCACATAATACTCACGAAAGTGATGCCTTAAACGCGTCTCCTTGCACAGAGTACTACTGCAGTGTAAACCAATAAAACGAATGGTAGATTACCACCACAAAACCGAATTACCACAAAACGTTTACATGACTACTTCTGTTGCGTTAAAACTGCCATACCAGATCCCATAGTTAGTATGCAAGCTCCCGTCTGAATGTTCCAGACATGGATTTCAGAATCCGGGGTGGCTGTAATCACCACATGTTCATCCTGACGGGCTTTACAACTAAGCATCTGATGTCCAACCAGCAAATGCTTCAATGCTCCGGTCTTGACATCCCAGATTCTGTGTACGAAAAATTTACTACCTATGAGAAAATTTAAAGTGGTTGTCCTTTCACCTGATCGTATTCCCCAGAGAGCCACTGACAATATGGACGCCGTCGAACTGAAAACAGAAACATTCAGCACCGAGACAAACAAATTATTAATAAACAGTTACGTTATACTATCATTATACCAGTACAATCCCGCTATTTCGGTGACCTTGCATCGCATCAACATCACGTGCCATTAGGTAATGAAACCAGCTCAGCTCAAATGAGCTGCGTTTTGACGAAATCAAACGCTACTCTAGCTGATTTCCTCAGTTATCAATTTATGCTCAACAACAAGATGCCACCTCGATTAAGCTATCAATTTCATTAGTATGCGGAGCGTAGAAAATCAGGCATTTAATTCAAGGTCATAATTCAATTTCTTCATTTAATGCCGCAAACAGGGCTAAAACACCCACGGCTGAAATACTGTATATACACCAAAAGATGCTGTAAAATCGTGAAATATATAGCGCTAATGCTACAGCTTACTATACTACCGTAACAAACCTGTAGGGCATATAGTCGTTCCGCGTGCCCAAGTAGTACCATAAGGCAAATAAATTCTTTTGGATGCCAAACACGGACATGAGTATCATAAGATCCGCTGACAATATAGATCCCATTATAACGGACACAGCGTATGGCTCGCGTATGTCCCATCAACACTCCTAAGCAGCCGTTCATACGCTTGTTGCTGGTCCAATCATTGCAGGCATCCAGACCGACATTCCAAACGCGCAATGTACAATCCCGAGATCCACTAACACATCTAAAGATATAACCCGTCGGACGAGAAAAACAAACTGACAACACAAACGGCACACGGCGAAGCAACATAGTGAACAACAACCTCAGAATTCAAATAACCGATACGTATCTTTAATGAAATCAGTTCGCGATTAAAATGCTATGGGGAACTGAATGAGAAAAACGAACGAGCTGAGAGGAAGCAAAAAAAAACAAGCGTATAATACAACGTGCAACATACATCCCATCTTTCAGCGCCAAACAGCGGACAGTTTGTGCATGGCCGACCATCACGGTATCCAATTCGCCAGTTTCCAAGTTCCATATCCGAACGGTACGGTCTACACTGGCACTAACAAGCAGAGATCCTTCGACTTCCATCGCCCAGATACCAGCTTCATGGCCGGGTAAGGTGTACAAACACTGAAATATATCAGAAAATCTGAAAAACTGAAACGCGAAAAAAGCTGAACTAAAAATTTAGAGCATAGACACATTACAATACCTGTCCGCGCTGAACGGACCACACTTTAATTATTCCATCGTCAGAGCCACTAACAATTCTGTTGTCATCTGTCAGTAACAAACAGGTTATCATGTGGCCTTGGTGCGCTGGTAGCTCCTAACAAAATGTTAGTACCTCATATTACTATTCAGAAAGATCTCAAAATGTTGCGTAAATTCCGCTAACGTACCTTGACTGGTCGAGTGGAACCGTATCTCCAATTGCGAGATACCACAAAATGCCGTGCAAAATTCACTTTCCACAAACTCCTGGTTAATCTACGCACTAAACTATGTTTCAGCAGCGGAAGGTCTGCACGTCGATCCGAGAATCCTTGCTGCCTGTTTTTATTTCGCCACAAAAGATCACTCTCTCCAAACCGACACCAAGAGAGACACACTTGCGACGCTCGACAAATGTCTTTGGCTTCCAAGTACGCAAAGATTCGAAGAGTCAACTACGACAATCCATTGACCAAAAACATATAACGGCAGAATCGGCAGAATTATCACAGCATATTAGTTTATTGTATTAAATTTCTGAACAACGAAATAAAAAATTATCATAATTAATTAAGTACAGAAACTGCTTCTATAGGTGACTACTCGTACCATAATTATCGTCACTATACAGTACTCGTACCGATTGAATTCTATTATTAGGTAGTATATTGTAAGTACTGCATATTTCAATTTTTCGAAATTTTTGCAGACTTAATTTAGACCAGAGCTTATCAAAACCAAAACAAGTCAGTAAAAAAATTATTTATTGATGACTTGTTTTGGCTTTTAATTTTTTAATTATTTATATATTTTATAAATTAGCATACATTAGTTTCTATATTTTAAACGCTTTAGTATTTTGTCAGCAGCATTCATGCACCAAGACCCTCATCACAAACAAAACCAATACGGACGAAACACGAACGCACATACCTCTTCAGGCAGCAAAGAGATCAGATCAAATGCTTCCAAAGCGTTCTCACAGGCGTCTTGTAAAATTGAAGTCGAAGCCTCTTCGGAATCACCAAACATTTCTCCAGAAGACTGTGCTTCGTCCATAATTTTCGAAGCACAAATCAACGACATACGCATTAAAAAACTGCCACTTTCCCCGTCCGTTGGGAGAATCCAAATGTTTAGTCGTTTCAGAAACACTCTGCTTAAACAATCTCCTAAAACAAGCACACCACCAGAAGGTCGTGGAATCCCAAGATAGGTCTGGTACTCTCCATTTTAAAGTAACATTCTAAGGAGGCAGCGCATCGCGGAAGGCAATCTTGGAACATCAACGTTCGCTGTCTTAGTTTCTGGATATCAAGCCGTCCGAAAGGGGAAACCGCAAAAGCGAAGCTGAGAGAGCCTAAAAAAATGGACAGCAAGACTGCAAGAGATAACTAAAAACCCGAAGACTGAAGAGCAATAAAACTCGTTGCTGAATAAACGGCGTCTACTTACTGAGATAGTAGCTTACTAGGTAACTAGTGCGATATTTTTATTTGCACAAAGTATGGTAATAATTATTGAACTTGCTTGCTCAACTCACCCTTTTGCTTGAGAGTGACAAGCCAGAATCCAGAATCCTGCCAGATCCATGAAAACGGAAGCCAACTTCCAAACTGAAGTTTTGAGTTCTGGACTTGATTCAAGTCATACTGATAGGTAAAACAACAAATAATATAACGCAACAAATAAAACAGGAAAGAACTCGACAGTATGAACTAAATATTCGATTTCACAAAATATTGCTGACGTTTTACTTGTTTAAAAGTTTAAAATACTAGTACTGGTAGAACTACACTTACTGTAAATTACTTTTTTACTTTGAAAAATACTTTTACGAGTAAGTTACTGTAAGTAATTTGATCTTTTTCAAATTGAAATATTTCGGGGTTCGGGCACGGGCAAAAATATAATCGATGCGCATTGGCGCATGCAATAAAACTGTGGGCATTTTGGAAATAAAAATAAATTCGATGCGCACGTATGATTGGCTGATGCTCATGCGACGACCATTCCCAGCTTTGGTACAGCCCATAATATGGCATTGCGGATCGTAGATACATTAGAGCACGAGATTTGTCCCAGAATACGCAAGGTCGGCACTCGGCACTCGGTAGTGGTAACTCGCAGTTCTCCGCACAGAAAATACCTTTGCAGTTTTGATGCAATATTAACCTGATTTTTTTATTCAGCTTGGCTAATTAAGCTAAGTTTAGTTTGTAAGTGAGGTTAATATCCATTTTCGCAGTTCTCTTGACATCTTATACTGCTATCGTTTTTCAAAGTAAGACTTTCGAACTTGAAAGCAGCGCCTTCTTGGCGCTTTTCGAAATAGATGTGATGCAGATCTTGACGGATATTTTCTCTTTTCAGTAAACCAAAATGGCACGATCTGGGAGTAATTTTCGTGGGCCGTGTCCGCTTGATTGCAAAGTGTATGTAGGTGATCTGGGAACCAATGGAGATCGGCGTGAGCTTGAAGATGCGTTCGGCCGTTACGGACCTCTGCGGAATGTGTGGGTTGCCCGTAATCCACCGGGTTTTGCCTTCGTCGAATTCGAGGATCCGCGCGATGCCGAAGACGCTTCCCGTGAATTGGATGGGCGAACGCTATGTGGGCGTCGTGTGCGCGTGGAAATGTCCAGTGGACGCAGCAAGCCGAAGCGTTTTGGAGAAGGTCGCCGCGATGATCGCGATCGTCGTGGCGGTCGGGATCGGGATGATCGTCGAGGAGGACGAAATGGTCGCGATCGTGATTCGCGCAGCCGCAGTCGGGACCGTGATCATCGACGTCGTTCGCGGAGTCCGCGCGATGCCAAACGTGAACGTTCCCGTTCGGGATCCCCGCGCAATGATGACAGTCGTCGCCGAGGACGAGCTGGATCGGAGGAGAAGAATGGCGTTAAAAGCGAAGATTAAGCCCTTCATTTTATCCAACACCAGCCGAATCAGTGGCGCGTGTTTGTCTTGTTTATTTGTTTTCGTTATTTTGTTTAGCATTCCATTCCACTTGGTTTTAATCCAGCGCTCTAATATGTAGGTCGCGTCTCATCTGTCATCGCAGACTGTTACTACTTGTCATCGGTACTACCGCTCTTCTGCTCTTCACGCACCTTTGTGTTTGAAAATTCATCCAGTTTTACTACGCTGCTCTTACTGTCACCGCGTCTTCATTTTCCAAGTGTGAATGATTCAGTGGCTCTTCTGTATCAACAGCCTCCCCCTCGTCAGTGTGTTCTTCTGTTCTCCTCACCTGTAGTACAGAATGATCGAAACTGACTGCAACACCATGCAAGGGCGACTAACGAACCTGTCTGCGATTGTCACACCGTTAACACAGAGCACCACTTCCGGCCGTGATGCTACCACCTCACAAAGCTACCATCAGCCAGTAGTAAAATCAACGCATCATGGTGTGCAGCGATCGCCAGCAGCTGTGCGATTAAACGTCTTAATTGCTGCCAAATCAGGTACTGATATGGTGAGGCATTAAATTGTAGAAATTTAATTTATTGCTGAAATTACAGGTTTGTTTTAAAATGTTTAGCTGTGCATGACAGTAGAGAGCCGAGAGTCAGGGACTAAAATCGACGAATGCGTCGCATTCGCCCGATCAGTCCTCGTATTTTCGATGCATAAAACCATAAGTAGCATCTGCTCTCCGGAGTATAAAACAGAAAGTGAAAAAGGGAAAACGAGACAAATCGTAAGGGGTATCCAGCTGATGCGATTTTTCGTTAGACTAATAGAGCTAGCCAGAAGATTCCTGACTGGTGAGTGGTGAGTTACAAAGCCTGCAGCGCAGACAGCTTCCGGTCGTGAAGGAGCGTTTATAATCAGATTCTCGTCGTTATCATTAGACGTGGGGTCGAGTCTGACTCAGCCGTTCAGACACTTAGTTTGTAAACTGCATCAGCAAAATTTTGCTATATAATTGGCTGATTTGATTGGTCTTAGTAGTATCGAAAAATTTTAAATTGGCTGAAATTCTTACCAGCTAAAAGAACCGGCAACTATTTAATCTTGTGGTTTTGTTATAAAATACAGACGATATATCAGTATTTGTGAATATTGCGACTTTTGCTGGATGTTTAAAAATTGCCTTTTAGCATTGTGGATCTTTTAACATCAGTTTTTTACCGAAAAGATCGGAAAATGCGGGAATTCCCCCGGCTCATTTTGCAGCATCAAAACGAGCAGCACGACATGGACACTGATTGGATAAAGCTGCAAAGTTGAAATAATTACGGAATACCAATTCTGAATTTTCTTACAGGACGAGCGTAGGCTTTATTTAGTGCAGTACAATTTTCATTTGGAAGATTTTGCAGTGTGCACGAACTTTTAGTAAGCGTCCTTACTTAATTGTCTTCATACGGTATGCAGTTTTTTCATACGGTATCTTTTTTTTGTTACTTATTGCTCACGATATGGTGGTGTTTGCCACTGTTTGGGTATCGTTTGCTGTTGTCGTTTACATTCATTACAAGTACTGGTGGTATGGGCGGTTTTCTGAGAATCAAATGCTTACTGTTAATGAGTTTTCTAATCTCCTGACATGTTGTTGTTTGGGATTTATAGTCGCTGGCCGACTCACTGCGAGACCAGACAAATAAAATATTACTGTCATATGTGTATCAGCTGAGACTTCTTTTGCATTTGTAGTACGCGTGTACTGTAATCCCGTGCAGTTTTACTTTAGGATCCTTTATACGAGCACAGATGGCCGTGCGTTATTTTTGCAATAAAATAAAGTTAAATTTGTACGAAAAAACCAGAAAAATGGATACTCATATCTTGCTTAAATGATTATGTCCGTAAGCAATACACGCAAACTCTCAGAGGGCGCGGCACATTGCTCATTGTCCAACTTACAGTTAAAAACCATACTTCACAATTATAAGAAATTTATTCGTATAAGAAAAACGTCAGCCTCAGTCGAAGGTATCACTTCTCATTGCTCCTTGCCTCCTTAGAAGACTTCTTTGGAGATTTTTTATGGCGCAAGGAATCCTTCTTTGAATGTTCTCTACTAGAAGCCGCCGCCAATCGCGCTTTCGTTCGGCTGGTGTCCAACTTCTTTCCCTCAAATTTCACATTGTGCAAGGCCCAATTGGCAATGACCAAGAAGGGATATTTATCCGCCTGCTGACGATCCAGGCCGTCCTTTTCCTCCTTCAGCTTATTAGTTTCTTCCCGAAGATTGTTGCGTGACTTGAGAAGTTCCTCGTAGGAAGGCAGTTTGCGGATACTGCTGGCCATATCGAGATACTCTTTAAATCGTGCCTCCGTCTTATTCGCCTGCTCCAGTTTCTTTTGTTGGTTGGCGATCTGGTTCTTCACGTCCTCGATGGCCAGCGCCAATTCATCGGGCAAACGAGCATCCGTCTCGGCGTTTCTCCGCACTGATTCAGCACAACAGGTGAGTCTAGTCAGTGTCAGCTCCTCACAGCGCAAAAACATCTGCACTTTCTCAAACAGCACTTCCAGTTCCCGGCGTGTCTGCTGCTCTCGCACGGCACTGACAAAGGCAAAAATATTCGCTGTTAATGTTTTGATGCCGCGATGACTGCTGGCAATGGGATTGCCCGCTTCAAACATGAGTTTGCGCCGAATGATTGCGTCGTCCGTGTTGGAAAGAGAGGTCTTCTTTGGCATGGTAGCAATAGCGAGCGGCGTCCATCGCGCCAACTCAGTATCGCGCACCGGCGGGCCTTTAGATTCTTCTTCTTTCGTAATGGTCGGGGGTTCTGCGGACGCAATAAGCAAAGGCTTGAGTGTTGCCAGAACAGGTTTACTACTGCTGGAGGAGTCTCGCAGGCTGGGAGATGGACGCACTGTTTCGGCAAGAGCAGGGAGAGGATCGACAATTTTCAGCTTGGGAGTATATGGGGCAATGGAGGATGAGGATGATTCTGAAGTATTCGATGGGGAACCGAGTTTGGGCTTTTTAGAAGGCGACGGGTTGACTATCTCTTGTTCCGAAGCACGTACTGGAGACACAGGCTCAAACAAATCCTTTTTCGATGACATAGTGTGAGGTGTAGGAGGAGAAGAACTTGTCAAAACCACAAGATTCAAAGATATCCAATCATCGCACATACAGAAAGCAAGTTGCTGCGTTGCAGTACTTCTATAATAAATTATTTTAATGCTGATAAGTGATAGATGATATTATTACTACTCTGAATCACGGTACGCACACCCGAATGCGGATTGTATGGAGGCACTGCTGTTATATTGCTATACTCGTAATACACTCACCTGAAGGCGGTGTCAGTCCCGGGGTCCGGCGCGCACTACCCGCACTGGTCCCGCAGCATGTCTTGGTAACAACGCCTTCCGTATTTGTGTTGCGGTGCGCCTGGGAGCACTAATCGTTACTCCCCACGTTTGGCGTTTGTGTTTGTGACGGGCTGGTGACGATCTGGGCCGGCACGGGCTTCGCTATTAACGTTCAGCCGGAAGATTGCCGCGACACGATGGTATCAGCAGGGAGTTTACCTGCGCCTGAAGGCGGCCGGTTTCCCAGCCAGAATGGAGCCCATAGGTCTGTCTGTGAAAGATCTCCAAATTCCGGCTGTGATTTCTCTTGTACTATGGAAGCGTGGAACGCCGCTGGCAGTGGATGTAACCTGCGTGGACACTGGATGCCTTGTACACTGGCCGTACGTACAGCTGTGATCGAAGAAACAGCAGCGGTGCACGCGGAAAGAGGATTAGTTAATCAAGCATCGTTGGCTGCAGCGAAGATGTTACTTTATACCTGAATTCTACGGACCATGGGGAGATGGAACTAAATAAAACGCTATAGTGGAGAAAGTTGGAAACGGCATAGCTACCGCCACAGTTAGCGACCAAGCAACGGGCAAAAGAGTTTTGTAAATTTGTTAAGCAGCGGCTGTCTTAATTACTGTTGTAATACGCATAAATACTGTAGTAATACGCCCTACGCTTAAATACCTGAACGCCATTGTGAAGCGCACCCTCGCATCGGCCGGCTTCGAAAGCGAACTAGAACCACAAGGTATCTTCCCTACAGACAGCAAGCGCCCAGACGGCGTTACCTTGACACCATGGGAGAGACCGAGAGAGGACGGATGTTGGCATGGGATGCCACTTGGGTCAACACAATGGCCATATCGCACATCGTCGCGACATCCGCACGAGCGGGAGCAGCAGCAGCACAGGCAGAGAGCAGGGCAAGATCGAGAAATATCGCGATATCGGCCAGGACTACCTATTCCGTGCTCTGGGTTTTGAGACGCTCGGACCGCCCGGACCGGAAGCTGTCCGCACAATAACGGAATTCGGACAGAAAATACGACAGGAAACCGGCGAAAAACGAGCCACGGAATATCTTCGCCAGCGGATCAGCATATAAATCCAACGAGGAAATGCGGCATCGATCATGGGGACGGCGCCGATGGGAGCTAATTTAGACCAACTTTTTTCTGTGATTAGGCCGCCTGTGTCGATTGATGCTTAATCAGTGATAGTTTCCGAAGCTTTTGTTAAAACTACTCGTGTTGTTAATGGTGATGACTTTAATAAATGACACTGTAGTAATTTCTTAGTAACAGAACGAGGAAATGCGATATAGAAGTATACCGTATGTGTGATGGGTACAATCCTTGAAAAGGAGAGCATAGACGTGTTTTGGTTAAGATATTGTTGTAGTACGGTTTGTACTTGCTTCAAGCCAGGCACAGTTTTTACACAGTTTGTATTTTAAGTGATACCCGGTCCTGGTGATACTTATTAAAACGTCAATATTTTTCTAAAAAACGTGAACACAAAAAACACTCTAATAAACTTATTGTTAGGTACTTCTACATCTAAATGACTGGGTAGATTATTTAGATTATTTAATGTAAGTAATAAGAATAAAGTTATTCGTTAATCGAGTACAGTACTGCCTGTACTGGGTATCGTAGTGGTTATAGCCGTTAAAATGAAAATGCTGATACATACTACGGTAGTACATAGGCTGAAACATAAACCCCGTGCAAGTTGCAACCCAGCTAATTTATCTTTTGCCGGGACTGGAACCCGTGCGGAATTCTGGGAAAATCTGCGGATCGCGGGAGTTTGTGAACTACAGTTTCTTATTGTTCAAGCACAACACGTATTTTTGAACCACTAAGAAACTAGCTGCACAATGCGCCTTTATTGTTTTTCAACTTTTGCCCGGCCTGGCAGTATCTATTAAAAATTGCTACTTAGTAATGGAAATAATCATCTAATTAGCACCCAGCTCCGATTCAGTCTATAATTTTGCTTTTCGCAATCACAGTGATCATTTGGAATGTTTTCGAGAATGTATAGAGAGGTTCCCGAAACAATGTACAAGTAATGTACTCGAGTACAAGGGCACCTCAAATTGTGCTCCAGGTTTTAATCGTCCACAATTAAGTTCCACTGGATGTTAACGGAAGCAGTACTCTTACCCTCGAGTTACGACCGTTTTTCCTCCTGTTACTGTTCTATCACTTCTATGTAACCAGCTTTAGCTGGTGCTCAACTGGTCGCCCGTTATGATTTCAACATAAACACCGTATCGTATAAGCACTATATCGATTTTTGGTTTTTGTTATCGTTTTTGCCGGGAAAACTTGTGAGCGCCATTTAATTACATTCGTGGTAAACATTCAGTGCATCTCAGGCATGAATGGAGCATCTGGCTGCACTTGAATTTATCGCAATCACAATGACCTTTTAACCACAGGGCTTCATTTAGCTGTTTTCAATTAATAATCGCAGCACTGAACAGTAATCTTAAGTGGGAGTAACAGAATGGCCATAAAATGAATCGGCACATTATGTGATCTGGAAGATTTGTTATAGTGATTTGTTATTGAACACGATCACGATGGTAATTGACGTAACGCAGCAATTCAAATTTTACAGCCACTAGCGGCATCGGCATTCGAAAGGTTAATTAAAGCCAAACTGGACGTGGCAGTTTGAGGTTGGTTAAAGGAATAACATGGCTTTTGACATCTTTGTTATAGCTGTTGGATACAAAAACTAATTGCGCAAAGGTGTTCTCGTTTTATCGACCTTTGTCCTTCAGAAGCCGAGGAAGACCGATCAGACTGAAAAAGGGAATCGCGTGAATCGGTGAACGGTTGAATGCGCGAATGCACGTGCTAATGATCGGGAAATTGTTGCGTACTAAGTCAGGTGAAGTTACCTGTTCAACACTTCGGCATTTCGTTTTTCGGTAGACAGATAATCGCTGTAGTCATTCGAGCTTGCGATCTTCAGGATGTAGGTAGCCAAACTGGCAATTGCCTATAACAATATTTCGAAAAAAACTGAAACGGGACAGGGCGTATTTGGTAATGGTCATCTTTTGTCGTTACGGTCATCTACAGTTACGCACTGCAAAGATTCTTTAATTTTTGCTACACCTGTAGAGTTCTCCAGTTTGAGTGCAATCTGGGCTTTGCTGAAGCCAACAAACATATGGAAATTTTCCATCGCAAAAGAAAATTACGACTTCCTTTGATGCTTATAAAATCTTTAATTATATACTTATGTTTTCGATTAGAGATCTTTATTCTGAATTACAAGTTTCACTATTTAACCGCTTTGTACTCAACCGAGAACAATTAACTTTCATTGAAAAGAGATTTCTAATCCAGCTGACGAAATTTATGCATTTGCATTTAATGTTGACACTAACCATTATAAACAACTTCGAACTTACACGAAGTAAGTTTACAAAACTCTAACGTTTCTATAATTGTTTCAAACTTTGGCCGGAAATTAATTAATTACACCTTGTTAGTACCTGGGCAATAATCAACACAAGTAACAGAACGATAGATAACACTAAAAATATTAAAAAGTGAAACAAACCGAAACAGCGACGTTTCGGAACATCAGGTACTATAATACTTCTAACAATATGTACTTATACCGAAAATCAGGTGCCCTACAGGCTACAGACAGTTAGTGTGGTGTCTAAATAGAGGTATTTCACTGGCTTGTGAAATGTACAAAATTACTGTACATTCATGTAAATATACAATAATTAGAATAACCAACATAGATACATGAAAAATAATTTCAAAATACGTTAAGCTGATACCTGTCGCTGGCTGGTAGAAAGGTCACCATTTCCATCTCCAACAGGCGACGCCGCAATCATTTGGGACGCCAGCACGCAAACAGCAACCAACGCAAAGAAAACAGCCTTCATGGTAATTGTTTTTTGATATTTCACCCTGCAAAATGCGCATGTTTATTTCTAACCGGTTATCAAGCAACATGAAAATGAATGACAAAGATCGACATAATCTATTTTGGGAAGATATTAATGCTACTGACACGATGAGCGAACAAAGTGATAGGAATCTGCCATTTCAAGCCGGAAGAGCATGGAGATGTAGAAATTAGCCACTTGCCACAGCAGATGGACAGAGAAATTAAATGGAAAACAAGCATCACTTACCCGTTAAAACTTGTCAGCGATTTCCGGCTTGTACAGGATGGAAGTAATAGTGAGAGTGTAATGTCACTATGACTATATCGTGTCTACGTCCCAAGTGAACGCGGTGGCGGTCTTTATATATTAAGTATTGGTCTGGTGCGATAATGGTTGTGATTTCGCTGTATTATGCATTAGAAATGTGACTGGGAATTAGCTGATGACGCTGATTTCCGGTGCGTCAGCCAGCCCAATTGTGGCATGGTTAATCTCTGGATGAGCAGGCTGCTGTCACTTTATACACTACACTAACTTTCTGTAGGGCTTCCACTTGGCTTTTCTTGATTCAATTCAGTCAGAATACTGAATTTACTAAGGTGGAAAAGTGAAACGCGTTTGGCGGTTGGCGTTCTCAGGGATAGGCTTGATTTTCAACATAGTTCGCTACCGGCACACTGCAACAGCACTTTCTGGGTTTGCGAATACTTTACAATGAATGACAGTAAAGAATATTGATTTGCATTTACTGTACTTAGAATTTACTATTTATTTGTAAATAATATGGAAATCATATGGAAATGAAAAACGAATTCGTAGTAAAATGGATGCCAAGATCATTTAACCGTTTTTTAAATCACAGTCACATTAAACCAGATTTTCTAGGGATAAATCAAACTAGTCCTGTCAAAAACTAATGCACTTAATAAGGATGAATCTACTCTATAACTATAATGCTCGCTATCGCCAGCCGCATACCTATCAGTTTCCGGTCAGAGTTTTCACATTTGCATTATTCTGCCGGTGCCTGAGAACTGACACAACGGTTCGCAAATATCTATGTTACGCAACTAAACCTGACCATTACAAATCAAGTTTTGGTTTTTCATGTCTTACTAAAAAGTCGCTTCACTTGGCAGTGTTTTTTGCAACGAAAAGACTCTGATCATGAATTCTTAGCCAAAGTACAGATATTTTATGTTATGTATTTCAGTTTTCTATGGATACCGATGCTGTTGAATTTTGGGTATTATACTGTAATTAAATTTTCATGGCATTGTACACACACAGACAGTCACCGCAAGCGTGTACTAGTACTATGCCCACTATATGTTTTTATTATTATTAGAAAATGTGTGACTTGTTAGGAGTTATACTAGCAAAACAATGGGAACTTTTTGGAGTGCAGCTAATATAACGAGGGAATGTAGGCCTTTTTAAGTGCTTTCAGCCGTTATTTTACTGGGAATCAGTTATTTTGACGCACAGCATCTTTTAGGGAATGTATAATAAAATATTACAGTTCGTGATAGGCAGAATTTTGGAAAAGGGCTTACAGTTCTTTTGTGATTTCGGTCATGCCGTCTCACGTGTTTATTCACAGGGTCAACTGAATCATGTTTTCTGATTTACAACAGACCACGCTACACGGTAAAGGGATACCACCATAATGGCTTCGGTTTCTTTGTGTCAGAATCGTATTATTTTACCAAACGATACAATGTCATACTGTGCCCTTTTAGGTGTGGTGGCATCCCACACCATTTTACGCGTGGTAGAGGAGTATTCCTGAGTGTGAGGGTGCCGATCATTGATTTCCGCCAGGGCAAATACATAATATATAGACACGAAGGACGTTGAAACACTGCTTTAATGTCCGTAACCTAAATATGTTCATGTAGCGAAGCTAATCTTAAAATATGAATATAGAAGGTATCTTCGGGTAAACTGTCATGCCATTCGTTTTTAAATAATTTGCATTCAGAATCAAACAGAGCTATTAATTTATTACAGTACTGAAACAAAAGATGACGAGCGTATATTCGATTACGCATGGCAGTACTAAATAATCTTTTTAGTACCGCCATGGATTACGACATTGCTAGTGCCATAGTTGCACAAGGCATCCAAAAAGTAATACTGTATTCAGTGTATTGTACTAATAAATATTGGAGATATACAAGTATGTACTGTATTTGATCGTGAGATCAATATGTACCAGCATGCTGAACCTGAACTCTTTGTTGACTAGCTAAACCATGGACATAATTTGCTCATGACCTTTGGTAGTCCCTACGGTTAACAATTCAGGACACGCGATAGTCAGCTGACGATGTATCCGCTGTCAGTGTTGCTGCATCTTCCGAATCGAGTATTGTTGCATTTATAGGACGTTACCCGTATGGCGCTTGAATGCACATGCACAACTGTAAAGTTCCTCCGGAAAAGGAATTAAGAATAATAATTCGCGCTGACACTGATAACCAGAGCTCTGGCATGATGACAGAAAAACTATAGTCACTTATACTTAGTCCTTTCACAAGCATACATTTCAAAAGTGCGGTTATGCATGTGCATTGTGCAGTTATGCGTTGCATTTTAAAGGTCAGGAAATTCATCAAAATTCCATGGCGTAAATAAGTCAACATCATATATACAGTGTACAAGTACTATATCAGTGTTATGCAGATGGATATGAAAACATTTTCATCGATTATTACGATTGTCTACATAAATTATTCAAAATGAGGATTGCTGTGATTATCTGATTTAATTGCTCGGGATTCTTGTATCGGTACGATTAATATTAGCGTTCTCTTGTTGAATAATTATTATGTATTTTCGTTTCTAAATGGGGATATTTCCGAGCATCCCAACAAGCGTTGCAATAGTTGAAGTATGCAAACAATAGAAGAAATACGTTCCGTGCTTTCTCTATAATAGAAAATCACTTTGGTATGGAAAGTGTACTGTGTTTCACAGTGTTACTGCTTCGACAGACGTTAAGCATATTTTAGCAAGCCGCTGTAACGTTTGCCGACTAAAACGGTCCGCAGGCAAAATATATTTTTGGACAAACCTTCAGGGTATACACGACAACAAGCCAGTCATTGTGAACTGCACTACCGAACAATTATCCTCGTTTGCCTTGCTATTACGTACTTCTTGGCCAGAAGTCGAGAGAAAAAGGCGCTGATAATACAGTCTCTGCTGCAGAATAACACAGCTTAATTAATTCACGCTAGAGACATGGGATCGTACACTAGAGTCTCGGAAACCCGTGAAGTCCGGACAACCGGACCCAATGCGGCCGGTCTACATGGTTCCGGACATGGATCCGGCCAGCATCGACCGAAGTGGCTGTGGGGATGGGTCGGTGTCTATGTTTTATTAGGCATTCTGGCGCTGGTCTTCATTGGCCTGTGGATCAGTGCCGATAACGGTGTACAATGGGAAAACCCGGCTGAGCCCCGACTGATGTTCAACTATCATCCGCTGTTCATGATTCTGGGGTTTCTCTTCATTTCTGGCATGAGTACGTACCGAATAGTTGATACTTATTAAGAAGAATTTATCAGACTGTCAGGAAAGTGATGTAGTAGGCATGTTGTTTAAATTTAACGTCTCTTGATTATAGCTAATCTAATCTACCGCATGTTTCCGGATGGCAATGTGACCGCTCTGAAAATAACTCATTCCCTTCTCCAGTTGACCGCCTTCATTCTGATGTGCTGCGGCGTGGTATGTGTGTTTTGTCGGGCAATAAAATTTGTTTTACACTGTTACCTAAACGATGGAAATAATTCTAATATAATATTCTGTGTGGTTTACTTGTAGTATGCAGTCGGATGGTCGAAAGATTATGGACACACCCCCCATGTAGGATCCTCTTGTTGTAATAACAAATTTAAATAAGCATGCTGAATTTTTTCTGCTCTCCATTGACGCTGTAGGTGCCCCGACATTTCACATCCGTTCACAGCTGGTGCGGTTTGACTGTCCTGATCATTATGGCACTGCAGGTAAAGTTTCCTTGTCCTAAATTCATGATAGTTAACCATTATTTATTTAGGAAAATGCCCATTTATGTGCCATATATTCTCCGTAATAGCGGAATTATTTAAAAGTTTCCTTGTTCGTTGTTGCGTATTCTTTTATTTTGCCGAGATTACTTCGTGGAGTCCTAACATCAGTGACATGGATATCGTTAACGATTCATCTCTTCATTTCAGTGGGTCTGTGGATTTTTCGGGCTGCTTGTGCCTGGATGCCGCGGTGAACGGTACGTTTAATATTATTAAGCCACCATCAGCCATATTTCAGAGAACATGGGTTTCTTTTTTTGAGCTTTTTAAATACTTTTTCTATTTACCAGTCGCCATCAGTACCGCACTACCCACATTTTTACCGGCAACTTGATCTTCCTGCTGGGAAGCGCGACTGTCTTGATCGGCATTGACTCACTCTCCAAAGCCGACAGCACACTGAACACCTTAGCATTAACCGTGATTGCTTACGCCATTCTGGGAGCGTGGTTTCTGTCCACGGGAGCCTTCAAACCAGGCCGTCCTGAACATGTAGATGCCACTACGGAAGAGCGAGCACCACTGACCTCCACTGATCGCGCATCTGCTGGATATCTGCCATAAAAAGATTGATTTATTAAACCGAGGGAATATTTTTGGTATAAGCCTGGTGTATTGGAACATTATATATGCTGCTTGCTTCGTAGATTGTTTTAGAAAATCAGTGAAGCGGTATAATTTGCTGTAGTATGAACAATTGGCGTTCTTTCTTCGATACGTGCCGTATACCTTAAAAATAAAACAGCATATCACATGTAACTGGCGCCGTAACCTTTAATTAATGGGATGTGTTGCAGTAATTTATAATTTTTCCATCTTCAAACTAGTACAGTACATGATGTGGCGTAAATGCACTGCTAAGAGTTCACTGCCAATTATAGTTGTGCACAGAGGATCATAATTACTATTACGAGTACTAATACAAAAAGCACAAAAGCAACAGTAAATTAGCGATGGAAAGACAAAATCGAAATTATAGTTAAGAAAAAGCCGCAGAGAACGAGTTCCTATAAGTTTAAAGTAAAGATGTTCACAACAACCTTTTTATCGCTAGGTTATTCAATTTTTGTCTTGCGGCACGCAAAGACACATTTAGCAACAAAACATTTTGCTGGAAGCCATTGCCCTTATAGTCTGGAAAGGAGCACACTAAACAGGGCGTTTGCTGAACTTCTGTACATATAGGAATTACGAAATCTACGACCAGAATTGAAAATATTGCATCTCATATTTAGTCTTAGCGAATATTACCCTTATAAAATAAAGTCAGATAGGTCGCGCTCTTGATGTTCCAATAGTACAAGTGTACAGTTGCCGCTCAAATACACCACCATCATCGCAGCCTTGCTGTAATAATAAACTGTACTTAGTGCAAACATATATATTTTTTCATACACTCAGTATAGCTATCGTCGTACATAATTATTTTTGTAAGTGCAGTTCTCCGGCTGACGGTTTTTTCATTCGTAGCAAAAGCGTAAACAAATTTCGTTTTAAATAAATCTAATTTCTGCGATTTCCGGGATGAATTTTTTTTGACTCGCTTGATTTAGAATCTTGGGAATTTATTTTTCAACAACAAAAACTTTTGGGGTTTGCCGTAACATCTAGAGATGAGCTGGCCCCAAGCTCTTAACGTGCCTCGGAGCAGTTAACAATATTTGCGAAGAAAAACGCCGTTGTCTGCAGCAGTGCCGCAAATCGGTGAAATTCAATGTGTATGTGTCCTAAGGCCATTGTGAACAAATAAGCCAGTCGAAAAAGAATTCAGCATTCTCGGCTTGCGAGTGTGTGTGTCAGGGCCCAGTTCCATACCGTTTTCCGCTACAGATTTCATTAGGGCGACAAGCGCCGCATTGATTTTCCACTTTGCTGTATAATGGCTCGCTCGCGGTTTTCCCATGAAGAAGTGGTCAGGGAACGGGTGGATGTCCGTGTCAATGATGAGGGACATGGCACACGTGGACCCGACAGCAGCTTCTATAAACGTCTGGTCTGGTGGTGCGCCACATACATTTTCTTGGCCCTGTTGGCGCTGATTCTCATTGTGGCCTGGTGTATCCGCTCCAACATGGGATATGCATGGAAGGACTTCGCCCATATGACCGGCTCCATCAACTACCATGGAACATTCATGATTGTCGCCTTTGTTACGCTGAACGGCATTGGTACGTGCAAAATATAACGAACTGACCTTTTTTCCAGAGCTGGATGATGTGTGTTATAACATCGATACTGTGTGTCTTGCAGCCGATGTGCTGTATCGAATGTGCCGCAATAGCAACAGGTTGTCGGTGAAGATTGCCCACGCTACCATCCAGACATTCGGTTTCTGCTTCATTGTCACCGCTCTGTGTGCTGTCTTCTGGTGGCACGACGCCAGGAATCGCCCGAATCTCCAGTCCACTCACAGCTGGATTGGTTTGCTGATCGTCCTGCTGTATGCGTTGCAGGTAAATGGTTACTGATTTCTACTACTGCAACACTATCTCTAGATGTTACGGCGAACCCCAAAACTTTTTGTTGTTGAAAAATTAATTCCAAAGACTTTTTAATTACTCAAGTTAAAAATTCTTATTTGTCTTCTGAACGTTTTAATAATTTTAGTGGGTTGTCGGCTTCTTCGGCCTTCTCTTCCCCGGCTTCCGCGCTCCTCTGCGTGCAAGTTACTTGCCTTATCACAAATTTACCGGTCGCAGCATCTTCTTGTTGGCGATGGCCAATACTTTAATTGGTCTGAACAAGGTCAGCGCCGGGTCGAGTTTGATTAACTGTTTAGCACTGATCATCATCCTGTACACCATTAATGGCGGCTACCTGTTGGGACGAGACGATTACGATATCAACTACGGAGCGCCACCGGGCTACAATGAGGACGAAGTGCGACGCTCATCCGGCGGAAGCCGACACAGTGGCGGACATGTCGTGACCAGCCCGGACGAAGCTAGTAAGTACTCTAGGTTCCAGAATTAGTTTAAGTTAATTAAATATATACAGACGCGTTGCAAAAAAGGTTGGCTGTTGTTATATATTATTTAATGCTGGCGTTAAATCTGCAGGCAATATGTACATCAATATTGCAGGAACGCAAGGCACCGGTCACTATCAGGCCATGGCAGAGGATCCAGCCATTAAAGTAAGCACGACTTTTTTAGTACAGTGATACTGGCATCAAACACTACCTGCATAATTGACATAAAAAAGAATTCAAATTTAAACGGAGTGAATACGGAACACGTAGTATCTTTTGGGTATGCGCGCTGCTGTTCATTGTATCGCATTTTTACGAATAAACTGCACGGAATTCTAAACCAATGCAGCATATGCATAAGTTACCGTACTGTGACCTTTACTGGCCGAAATTAGAGTAGAAAGATGAAATGCGTTATCTATATAAAACCGTTTCTTTTCTGATCGAGAATTGCTTTTCGGCTTTTTGTGAAAACGTTTTGCTGTTACAGGAAGCTATGGCTGTAGGCCGGGACACCTTCAGCAAATTCCATGATCGTTTGGAGCGCAAGAAAAATCTTGATTTGGATGAAGTTGTACACACCAAAACAGTGGTTACAGAGTAGAAATTTGTTTGAGAGTTCAACCATGGGTTTGTTAACAGTTTTTCGGGTAGCATGGTTGCTTTTGCATTTGGAATAATGGGTCAGTTTATCAGGTTTACTTAATAAAACGCCTGCTTTAGTAAAACATTGAAACCCCTTCAATTTTTGATGAATTGTGGTGTTGGTAGATTGTGTTTCGATGGCATTTGAGTTGTGGAAGATGTAACTCATACAACAAATTATAAGCACTGCAGATCGCCCGTCGCATCTATGTGTTCAGAAATAATTATTACAAAACCACTTCCGCAGAGATACACTGATACAGTTCCATGGAAATGCAGAGGCTGTAGGCTTTCTGATCTTTAAACCTCGCTTTTACAAGGGCGTAAGTAATTTTTCGAAAACGCAGTTTCCCTTTGCAATATAACATAACACGTTGCATAGTAATTCAGCTGCATTTTCACAAAATGGGTCTTCTTTTGCAGTACAGACGTACAAAATGTTTTTGTAGTACCTTAAAAAATTTCTGCATTAAATGTTCAAACATTTTAATCTCAACCACTGGGCATAATTGCGAAAACTATAAAGCACAAAGTCACAAACTATAAAGCACCGGCACCTGGCAAAATTGGAGTATATCAAATATTGATACTTTAGGATCACAGTCACATGTAACCGTCAGTTAAATTGGTCCAATGAAAACACGAGAGGGGAAAGACGGCCAAACGCCGCCACAAGTTTTTCGAGAATTTGAATTTTTTCGTCGCAGAGAACTTTCTACGTTGCTAACCCAAAGTCTGATAGTTTGTTGTTGTTTCTGTCACCAAAAGCCCGGCTTCCCTCTCCCTTCTTCGTCGCTTAATCTTGAGATAAACGACATAGACCACTCCCACCAAGATCAAGGCCGCAGGAACACCAAATCCGATACCAATGATCAGCTTAATTTTGCTGGTCGGTTGATCAACAGGCGCCTGGCCCAAACCAAGCTCACATGTCCTACGAAACAGAAAAAACAACCGTTTTTTTCACGTCGGTCTAAACTCAGCGTAGATATTTTTCCAGTAGTATTACTGCTAAAACATAATACACGAACTCTTAATTATAACTCAACAAGAACCTTCGTGAAATTAACTGCAAATATGCTCTACTGGGAAAAATCCAATTTTAGTAAATAAAACAAATCCGATTGTAATAGGAGCACTGCAACATTTCCTACCGTAACGTCTTTAAGATTGAGTATAAAGAAACTATAAACGTAATTCGTACCAGTCCTGATAAGCTGTAGAATTGTAGAACCCATCGTCCGTTTGACCAAGGCTAACGTTAAAACGTAGCAGAGTATTTCCAGGATCGGTGATGCCAGCCAAACCCAGTAACAAGGAATCGGGCACGTCCGAGAGACTTGCATTAAAAGACAATGTGGCGTTTCTTACACTTCCGGTCTGTGAGCGCGTCGAATCGCTGACACCAGGGTTCGCTGCAGTGTACACCACAGGTCGCCATTGCAAATACGTATCGGCACCGGAAATTTTTTCTGTCTGTGAAACAAAACTGTCTTACACAAGAAAAATCAGCAAACGAGACAAGAAAAAACGACAGCAAACGACAGGCTGCGGCAGCATGCGCATGAGAACTGACAAACACGGTTCTCACCGTAAATATTCCGGGGGAAAATTCATCACTGATAGACTTGTCAATGGAATGCACAGCTGGTCTTCTGGATGAATCATTGGAGGCGAAGATCATATCCAATGCAAATCGCGAATGATTGAAGTGGACGGCAGTCTGGTTGAGTATAATACGAGCAGTCACGGAGCTAGGCATAATTTGCATCCGAGGTGGCAATGCTGCACGAGATGGGTCAAGATGGGCTCTTAACTGCAATAAAAATCGAAATCAAGATTTCGCAGCTTCCAGGCGTTCAGTAAGCGTACCTCGATCGTAATATTGTTATCGCGAGGAGTCCTTCCGAAGGTTCCCACAAAGGTGGCCAAAAACACGCCATCCCCTTCCGTTTTGACGGAAGCATTGTACCAATGTGCCTCTGCAAATGGGTGAATAATGGTACTGGATTTATTGGTTAGCTGCCCGGTATTGTCGACATCATCCCATTCGATCAGCTGAAGATAGAAAGAAAAAATATGCGCGGACAGCATAATGCAGGTGCATGACATAATTACAAGCGAGTAGAAGACTTAATTTCCGAATTTTCTCACAAATAACATTCTGTCCAAAACTTACATTGGCCAGGGCAAAGCCGGCATATCGTTTGCTGTTCGGCACCAAAAAGGGGACTTCCGGTTTATTATCCTGTATGAACTCCGGCCATGCAATTCCTGGATCACTGGCATCGGTGTCGGGAGCGATTTCGGCGATCAGAACCGTGGGTGCATCAATCGTACTCCAGTAAATTTTGTACCGCGGATCCGTCGTGTTCGGCCGGGGATTGTAGGAAATCACATAGAGTAAGTTGTTGGAAAAAGGAGCAGGTGCGCCATCATGAGCGCATTCTTCCGGTCCGAGAGGACAACGCGGATTGAGGGCAATGTTAAGCTGAAAGCCATCAAAGTATTTTAATAACAGCACTTCTACTGCATTATTTTGGGCAGTGCATGCTGAACTATTCACAAAAGAGCGAGCTTTCACAGCAGCTAAATGAATCGCTAACCCATTTTCTCACGAATACCATTCAAATCTTGAAGGGCATGCTTCATGAACCGCCGTTTGTCTACCAACTAATTGTATAACTCACGGCATAAACATAATAAAATAATCTAATATGGAAAGAAGTGAAAGAGTTCCCGTGTTTTCTTTTGAAAATTATTTACGTACGTACGGTTCGATCGCTCGCATTCACCATCAGCACCACCGACGCAAAGCACAACAATCCTTTCCACGTCCAGCTCTCCATAGTGAAACAGCTTGCGGTTGATGACTTGATCCCTCCAGATGCACTGATCATATGCGAAAATGGATGGAATCCCCAAATTCCGATAATACGACTGATTACGCTAATGTGGGCAGACGATGACAGATTACATGACCATGATAATGTTCATTATCGTGCGTGCTATCGCTGACGTGCGATGCGAAGTGCTGCCACTAGCATGTGATTCATACATTCAAAACGCATTTGCAGGTAAAAGATGAATATTATTCGAACATTTATTATCGTGCCGAACGGAAACTGCGGTATACGATGCTTTAGAAGCGGCGGACGAGTTAGCAAATCAAATGCTTACCTAGTTTTGCAAGAATGAAACAGCTGATTGTCGGTTTGCTGGTTGTGTAAACAGACAAATCAGCCAACGCAAAATATTGCTGTGGTTCATCTATACGCCGCTACGGAAACGAAAAAACGGGCGTACAACTCAGACGAGTATACAGCCATACGCTTTTGCTAACACAGAGTATGCTTTGGATCACGCAAAAGCAGTTTTCCAAGCAAATACCGTACTTATTCTAACATTAAGCTGCGAGCCGTTGTTTTAAATAAAAATGTCTAGCGGAACTCCTGTGGCACTGGTAAGTACGTGATTCGATTGTCCAGCAAGATGAAAATTTAATGTCATTGCAGCTATTACCTTTAGATGATTAAAATATAATTTGTACTGAAAACGTGTTTACTTGTTTCCTTCAGAAACATACAGTATCTAACATCATGTTATATATTATTTTGTATACTTCCGTAGGTGACCGGCGCGAACAAAGGGATTGGATTCGGCATTGTGCGTGAACTTTGCCGTCAGACAAACGGAACAATTTATTTAGCAGGTAAAAGTTTAGAAGTATGTGGTTTTTAATCGATCGTTTAAAGCGCAATGCCTTCAAAAAAGGTATGGCAGCATCGATTTTTCACAAGCCCTTTTGTGGTTCATTTTAGCACGTGACCAGGCAAGAGGACAAGATGCTGTGCAGCTTCTGAAAGACGAAGGCTTAAACGCAAACTTTCTTCGGCTTGATGTTACCGATGTAAAAAGCATCGAGAGTGCGAGAGATTTCATAAAGAACAAACATGGAGGATTGGATATTCTTATCAACAATGCCGGTATATTTGTGGTGCGTAAGTTAAACCCCCAGTGAAGTGATTATAAGGAAATATGTTTTGCGCTAACGCACCGGATAAGTTACGTAATTGTGAAGTCAAATTGTTTAGGGTACTGTGGCGGACAAAGATCGCGTCCCATCTGCAGAAGCTGCGAAAACGACTTTGGCTACCAATTTTACCGGTCTTTTGGATGTATGCAATATTATGTTTCCGCTATTACGACCGCATGCCAGGTACAAAGCAGCTGTTAACGGCTAGAACGACACTAAAGATTATCCGAGTATTACGTTTAAGTACTTTATAATTGTTCACTGGAATAAATGTATAAGAGTACTTATATATTCTGTACATACATACCTACCCTGTATTTGTAACTGTTTGTAAAATATGTAAATGTTTTGTATATGCTTACTCTGTATAATTTTTGCAATAACGGAGCTTTTTTCTAGGGTTGTCAATGTCTCCAGCAGCTTGGGTAGTTTACGGTCTTTAAAAATTGATGCCCTTAAACAACGGCTGGTTGCGGATGACCTTACTATTCTGGAGCTGGAAAAGATGGTCCAAGATTATATTCGGTAAACGGGCAAATACTTGTGACCTGAGCGTTTTACAAGCACATCAAAGACCATTTGCACAGGATATCTCGAAAAATTATAAAACATAAAGACTGTACAGGACTGCCGAGGACAACAAATTGGAGAATTCGGGCTATCCTGGAGCTTTTGGTCCGTATGCGTTTTCCAAAATCCTAGTCACAGCGTTAACACGTGTCCAACAGAGAATGTTTGATCGACAAAACAAAAATCAAGACATCGTCGTTAATGCGGTAAGCTGCAGTTAAATAATGGCGAAGTGGGACTATGCACAACTGCGATTGTTGTGTTCTCGAAAATATGTTCAAACATCTTTGGGTATGTATCCGGATCAGGTGTGCCCTGGATTTGTCGCAACCGATATGAATCAACATCAAGGATTCAAAACCATTGAACAAGGAGCGGACTCACCGGTAATTGTCTGTTTATACTCGTATATTACTGGTTCCGCCAGAGATGGGACAGAGTGGCTGAAATTTGAATTTTACTAATTCTTGTTAATATGTAACCAGCCCTGATTGCCCACAGGTTTATCTCGCATTACTTCCGCCACAGCAAAACGATTTGGTGCATCCACGGGGACAACTGATTTCTGAGAGAATTGTGAAAAATTGGATCGAAGATCAAGTACAGTAATTTGAAAGATAAATAAAGTGTGCTTAAAAGTATAAATTCTATAAAATTAAATTAACATTTGCGGTTATTTTTATTTCAAATAACTGCAGTACAAATCTGTAACGACATCTGCATTTTCTACAGTGATACTGTGGCTGCCCGCCATCCTGCGTTTTCAAAAAGCATCCCACATCCAAATTTTCCCGGAAATAACGACAACCCGGAAATAACAGCATTCCCATACATGGACCCAAATCGTTCTTATTAAAGCAACTTTCATTAAATTCGTTCGGTTCGAGCCGTGCGTGACAGTATACTGACGTTTTAAACGTTCTTATGAGTGCGACTGCGACCAATTAAATAAGTATTATGCTGATATCAGCCACTGTTATGTAAAACAAATTCAGCCAAATTCTAATGTGACCCTTAATTCCACAATCAAATTTCTGATAAAACAAGAATGTACCGTACAGTTAATTCCACTAGGACTAATCAGCAAACTCTAATGGGATAGTATAGATATGTTATATCAAAATCCTATCAGATTAAGATCGACGGCCTGTCTGATTTTAAGTCCTATAATTATGCAACAACATCTTTTTTCACTTCGACCGTGCACCTTAGATCTTTTAAAATATCAAAGGAAATATTCTCCAAGGCACTTTTATGCAATACTGATTCCACGCATCGCCATATTTCTTTCGGCATGTTTGCTCATCGCGGATTTCTCGATGAATAAGGAGAGTAAACATATACACATAATAGACCATCGGGTACAAGCTTCCAAATCCTAAAATAAAAATGTAACGAACAACCTGAAAGGAGACCAAGCTGGTATACGTTCGTACCGCAAACTATGGTCCATCCAACAGTCATCAGCAAGTCACCGAGGTAATTCGGATGTCGAACAAAGCACCACCAACCGCCGCAAAGCAGATCCTTCCCAGGAACAGAGGTGGGAATCGTCCTAAATCCTGCATAAAAAGGAATTGCCCTGAATACTCGTACCGTTTGTGTTTTGTGCATGCATGCAGTTGATCTTGTCTCTTACAAGGCGCTTTCTTGCTAAATTAAGAATAAGCTAGAACTATCTGTACAGTATTTCATGCAAGTAGAAATAACTGGCGAGAGAAATACAAAAAGCGCACGGGAAAACGTCAGTTCTTATTAGATAACCTTACCGCAAATGCAAATCAATAAGCACGTTTTCAAATCATTCGGTAGATATCAACTTCAGATTAAATAAGCGCTATAAACAGCAACAATATGGAATGGTTACATCGCAGTCACCTTCCAATCGAACATCCTTTGGATTACCACGGAAAATATTTTTCTGTAAATTGCTTTGCCGGAAAATACGATATCCAACAACTGCAATGCATAACATCAAGAAATAAAAAAGTATAATGCTAATCATTACGCTTGTTTTCAAGAAGAATTGACGTACCATGAAACCCAATGGACAATAAGATAACCCATAGTGATACTTGGGGTCGAAGCCGGACCAAATACTGCGTCTGACTGGAGTAAAAAAACGGCACCCAAGCCAGATCACCAAAGGCCAACATGAAGCCGAAACCTTCTTCGATGATATCCTTGGTGGACAAAACGGCCGGCTTGTGATGAAAAAATCGTAAATCAGCACGTGAATATGGTTAAACGCGCAAAAAATTGCGAGTTAAACGTTTCATTACCTCAAACCACAGAGCATCACCAACATACCAAGCATGGTACACTGTGAGGATGACCGGTGCCAGTGAAACTGTTCCGCTGGTGTTGTATTCCCAGGCTAGCATACTGAGGTCCAGGATTACCTACAGTCCAGCTCGTATCTCATTATCACACACATTTTACTCACTTAATAATGGCTATACAAAAATACTGTGCATCAGAGGTCATTAAGTATTGCCATTATGAACGAACTACAAGCCAAATTCAGCTTCAAATACTCATAAAAAGCGGCAGGTCATTCTTTTACTTGCAAAATGCAATCAAAACTTAGTTTTACCTACCCACCCGATCAATCCCGGCCGCAATTCGCACACGAATTTCCAGTCGAAAAATCCACTTCGAGGGTTTAGCTCTCGTCCCATGAAGAAATCATACAGAGGATTTCCTGTGACAGATTGGCGTATAAGCGCAGTTCGTACAATAATAGGTAATCTGTGTTTAATCTATTAATGGCACTAACAATTGGAAGCCTTTCGTGTAAAAGGATTTTACAAACGACAACGCATTCGAAGGTTGAGAAATACCGGTTTATCATTACCTGAAGTCCCGTGTATGGACAGTTCAACATCTGCTTTCCCCAATGACCTTCGGTACAGATATAATGAAAGCAGTCCAACGCCAATTACCGTTGAAACGTACAACGGAATTATATTACTGAAGATTTCGTGCAGCGGAAAGGAATAGAACCAGCACAAGATGGCACTGACGATGATCGTAGCAATAAAAGCAATGAATGCTGCAATGATACAAATTTTGATAAATTGGTGTTAAATTGTAAATTAGTACAATGTAATATCGTAATAAATTGGGCAAATGCGTGCAATCACTGCAATGTAATTATAAGTCAAAGGTAATACACTATCACATAGTTCCAGAACAAATTTCTTAGGCTCTTACCGTTACACCGATACTGTAACTTTTTCCCCGTCTTGAGAGGAAGTCCATTCACGATTTTTCCAAAGGGAAGCAAGTAAAAAATTGCTTGAAACGCAAACCACCCGGCAACCCACAGTAAACTACGGAAACTAAATGCATTTCCCAAAATATCATGGACATCCGGCTGCAAATTACAAGTGTTCGATATGATATCAAGTCTGCAAAACTGACTTTTGGGAACATGTGCATGTTCAGCGACATACCGTAATGTATGTAATGAGGAATAAAACGAAAAGTGGAAGACCGACTATTATCCCGGTTACTCCAACCGGCCCTCCAAATGCATACTCGGGATTATTTTTTGATGTTTTAAGCGGTATAGCGTCCATCTTATCCTTCTGTGATCCAATAGGCGCAGTGTACCGTGTTACCACGCGAAAGCCAAATGCATTTGAGGATTGCAAAGCGAATTAAAAGTACTCGTAAAGGTAAAATATTTTAGAAGTCGAAAAACATTGTCAAATCCAGAATACCCTTTAGGTTGCTTAATGGACGAAATACTGTAATCATGTCGGCTTCACGTACTGTGCTGTACTCGTATTGCCAATTATTTGCAACCAATCTAGTAGTAGCTAATTAAAGTATTTAGTATTTACCTTACCGTAATGAACTGTCAGATACAGAAACCGGTGAAAAGTATGTTCAAACTTCAAAGGGCGCAGTGATCCAACGCGAGTATTCGTCTGCCAACGATCTGCCGATCTGACCTGACAAAAGTAATAGGTACAACTCAAAATGGAGATTAAAATCAACTAAAATTTATTCACCAGTTCACTTTCACAATAAAATATGATGTATCTGTTACGAAATACGTACAGTATTCACTGAAATCAAACTTTTTCAAATTAATTACTTTTTATTAATTTTACACTCAGTAGTTTCACAGTTTCTTCTGCTTACAGACATGTCGGACAAACAGTAAAACAAAGCTCCACAGGGATCTAGGCACAAAATTTGTCAACTGTCAAAAATAAGTACTCAAAGATTATGCTGAGTTGTCGACAAAATCCGGGGCGCGCTCTCTGTCGTCCCGAGCGAATAAAAACAGCAACAGCACTGATATGAGACGCTTAATTTGAGGAGTTCAAAATCGAAAGCAGCCAAAAACAAAACTACAAGACATACACCAACTTCCGGTTATGGTTTAGGCGACTCCGGTTCCGGCAGTTCCCTTCGGAAGAGCTTGTTTTTGAGAACAGTGAAGGTCGAAGGCGGTTTTTGATTTGCAGCCGCCAGCACGTGGGTAGAAACGATCATGGAACATCGTTCTCGCGATATGGCCATGCAGCCTGTCCGCCGTACTCGTTGAAACTTATTGCCGTGGTGGTTCGTGGCGATTCTCCGGAGGCTCTCGTAATAGGCATCACAAGTTGCACGGTCAGCTATTGGTGATGCGTCACCCATCCGGAAATATTCTCCCACCCTCTGGCGAATATGCGCCCCAAGGTCTCTTCCCGTTTTGCTGGGATCAAGCGGCCACATTTGGCAGATGGCGAGAAACCGCTTGTACATGCTCATAGTTGCAATCAAAGAACGCAAGCAGACGGCTGCGATATGGAAAAAAACTCTGCTGTGCTCAGTGCACCGGCGTATGATCGTCACGATCCCACGGATGAAAACGTTTACGGTATGTCGGAGAAGTCGCAAGAGTCGGCAAGGCTGTTAAGAATGCGAATCCATCCGAAGCAGAAGTAGCGTAACAAAAATGCAGCAACCAACCGCTTGTGATCTCATCCAAACAACTTACCGTATAATCCACGCTGTAGCAGTGTAGCATAAACAAAAACCACAAAGTTGTTCTGGCAAGCAGGCAACCAAATCAAGAGGGAACGCAAAAGTAAAAAAGGTACGAGTAGTCATTAGTCCTTACTCGTACATTCGTACTTAAAACGTAAATTTTTAATTGTTTTGTTAGATTTATTTTACAAAAATTTTACGCTAAAACTGTTTTGTAATTTTATAACTGTTGTGCAACGAACATTCCCCTGGGTGTCGACATCTACCGCTCGAGCTTCTGATATCTTTGCGGCAGTTAGGCACGGTAGCTTCGAAACGGAGCCTGGTCGAAAACCGAAATGTTTTTTTCGATTTTTTTCGGCTAACTTCTAACAGCTACTGCTGTAGACTGTAGTCAACATTTCGTTTCCGAATGTGATGCTATATTTTATTTTAATAGTAAATGCGCTTTTGGAAGATATTCTAAATGCTACGTTTCGATAGCATATGGGACTACCATGGAAGCGACGGTCCCTTCAGCATATCCGGTGAAAGTTGTCGGCGCCTTCGCGCAGGTTCGCCGTGTACTGGAGAAACTGCAGTCTCAGTAAACCATTTTTGGATGACGGCTATCCGCTATAAGAATAAAATATTTGACTCGATTTGTGTTAAGTATTTTTCTTCTCAGCCATAATGTGATAGTTTGAAATACGTAGGACACTTTGGACGTCATTCGTGCTGGGGCAGGTTTGTTCCATCTTCGTTTGCGGATCCGCGGTAACCAGTACATGGCTCACAACCAAAAAGAATGTCAACTGTCCCACAGGTACGACTTGTCTGTGTTGAGTCTGTTGACGTTTGTTTTTGTGTTGTCCTGATTTTTGGCTTTATTCATGAATTTCAATTTTAATAACTATATAACTCTTTCTTGTTACTGGTTTGCCCAATAATTTTTGCTGGTTTGCCATTTTGTAGCTCAAAGTTTCCTAAATTATGTGTTAATCGGACTTGTATATTCCATTTGTCTCCGCTGTCAGTCGAAGGGAGATGAATTACTGGAAGCGCTACGAAGAAGATGGTGGAAATACCTCATTCTCGCAGTAATCGATGTTGAAGCAAACTACTTGATGGTGAAGGCGTATCAATATACGACGCTAACTAGTGTGCAGGTGCGCAGTTTTTCCTCATGTTTTGCTGTTTGCAAAAATAATAAATTTAAATAAATATTTTTTATTTAGCTTTTAGATTGCTCAATTATACCGATCGTTTTGATCTTATCCTGTGTGGTGCTGCGTTATCGCTTCCACTGCTCGCACTACATCGGAGTATTGTTTTGCGTTGGCGGAGCGGTCTGCATGGTTTTGGGCGATGTTTTGGTGAAAAAATCTGAAAAAGAAGGTACTTGATTTGAGTTTTTTAAACAGCTTTTTAGGATCGTAAGTATCGTAACAGCACGATGCATCCGATTACGTTTATTTTTTTTTCAGCGGAGAATCGGTTGATTGGCGATTTAATGGTGTTCGGCGGGTCCGTTCTGTATGCTTTCTCCAATGTCTCGGAAGAGTATATTGTGAAAAAGTATTCCCGTCTGGAATTTCTATCCATGCTGGGGATTTTTGGAAGCGTTGTGAATGGTATTCAGTTGTAAGTATCTTCTGGAAAAATAGCAATTACATCAAGATAGCGCAATTTCAGCTTGCTGTTGATGCGGATTATTTTCCTTACCAGTAATGCCAGGATAGTGCCATATTCCTCAAAAATTGAGGCTTACATCACTCAATAGCATAAAATCTGTACTATTTGAATAAATTTTTTGTTTTCCGGTAAGTATTACCAGTTTTTTGTAAAAGTTGTGTAAAGTTAGTATGGGAAAGCGTTCTGTGACGTCTAGCCGCGCACATCAGAAATGCCGCCCATCGCGCATCCGAGATACCGATCTTCACTACCGCTGATCGCGGATATGCCGCAGCGCACGGTGGGAGATCATAATCCGGATTCAGTGCGAGTTGAAGTAAAGTGAGCTGCATCTACTGAGCATTGAGCGGCATACTTTTTGGTTCTTTTCTCATCAACCAAAAAAAATTGCAGTTCAAGGATTCCTAGACTCAAAAATTAATGAATATAATAATAATCCGTCGGCACTTTATGTGGATTGAAAATTACAGTTTTTAAAAACTTTCTTTTATCGCTAACCTATCTGCCGTCCTGGTAGGCCAGCGCTCAAGTTTGTAAGGAAGATTGGTATCTCAGATGCGAGTGGGCGGCATCTTTGATATGCGCGGGTAGACGTCACCGAACGTTTTCCCATACTTACTTTAAATGATTATTACAAGAAATTGGTAATACTTACCGGAAAACAAAAAATTTATTCAAGTAGTACAGATTTTATGCTATTCAGTGATGTAAGCCTCAATTTTTGAGGAATATGGCACTATCCTGGCATTACTGGTTAGGGTTGCATTGGAGCGGCATGAAGTGCAGTCGATAAAGTGGCAGGATTGGGAAATTGGTAAGTGTGCATCACTACGGTTTTAACTATCGATTTCCGAACCATGTCAATGTTTTATCTTTTACTATTATTTAGAGAAGCATGCTTTTATAGTGTTGTGCCTTCTCGCTTTTGCCGGATGCATGTTCGGACTGTACTCACTGGTGCCGTTATTGATGCGACGAACAGGAGCAACAGGTATTGTACTGGAGGGAGCTTCACGTGATTCCCTTTTCTCGGTTCCGTATGAAGAGTTGTGGAATAACTGTGAAATTTTTTGCTTCAGTTTTTAATATGTCCATCCTTTCTGCTGATTTCTATGCCTTAATCATCGGATTGACTTTGTTCTCTTACCAGGTAAACAAATAACTGTAATTGCAGTTTTCAAAAACAGGAGCTAGCTACATAAAGCGGAAATGGTTTTTAGTTCCACTACATTTATTTTATCGGATTCACTCTTGTTGTGACTGGCCTTGTGACCTATGCCGCGCACGAACCATCTACTAGATTCGACGATGAGAATAAACCGGATGAAACTACGGCACTTAGTCTGCAATCACCTGCGGATCAAACCATTGTTACTATGAGTTATCGCCCAATAAGTGATAGTTTTACGGAAACTGTAGCGTAAAATTAGAGCGTGATATGCATCTGTGATATTTTTCTGGTTTTTTTTTGTTACGTGTACAGTAAAATCGGGGTAAAAATCAAAAACAACAAACAAGATAAAATAAACTATATAATTATCACGACTTAGCAGCTTTGGTTCGCTTTTTAACACCGATCGGTCCACCAGCTAAATAATCTTCGAAAGATCCGTCTCCTGCTCCTTGTGGCAGTGGAGATGTGGATCGCTGAGGTTTTTTCCTGTCTTTTCCGGCTGTGGACTTTACCGCGGTTTTGGTGATTATGCTGACCACTTTATGGAAGGTGGGCAATATATTGCTGCGATTGAAATACGCAATCGTGCATACGATGACAAGCGGAACGATCCACATCGTCGCCGGCGTAATTTCTGGTTCGGAAAGGCGTCGCCTGGCCGTAAACGAGAGCACAAAATGACGGAATGTCGAATTAGCTGTCACATGGAGATCGGGGCTCGTGAAAACGTAGTCCTTTTGGGAAAGACTGGATTCAACTCGGATTATATAGTTACGGTTATCCAGAGGAACTGGACTGAACTGGAATAGTGGACTAATGGAAAATGACACACACTGAACAGATTCATCCGGTCGATCCGCTCGGTAAAGGCAGACCTGCAAAATTAGTTGCTGTGTGTGTATGCATGACTGCATTACGAATTTACGATGTCAGTTTCATTGTCTTACAGTAGCAGCAAAACTTAAAGTCAAAAACGGTTAATATTTTATATCAATCAACGAGAAACATTATAAAAATTCAACTGAGTTAACGGTAAGTTACCTGTCGGAAAAGTGCAAATACATGTTTATAATAGCGACCATTTAAAACTACGACTACTGAGTCAGATATCACAAGTTATTCACAACTGACTTGTGAATAATTTTTAAACAAACGCACTAACCTTAAGCTGATTCAAAAACTCTTTCGTGGCATCTAGTCTGCCCGTAAATTCAGCCTCGTTGAACCCTCTAAGCGTTCGAAATGTTAATCCGTGCGTATCATCCGTTCCCATTTGGACTACTCTGTTGGCTGGAGCGGTCCATTTTATATCCAAGCGCTCCAGCTCTCCCTCCTTTGGTCTGACTTCATAACCGCATCCAGCCTGTAAAAATGTTGATAATAATCAAACATTCCAGCCTAAAAGCATGTTTCTCACCTTCAGGCCGGAAATTCTGAAATGACCAGTGCTTCCGGTTATTGCTTCTTCCTGCATCTGCAGACAGGGCTCACGACTGACGGCTTCCATCGTGATCCCTTGCTCAGGCTCACCACCCAACGACGTAACAATTCCAAATGCGCTATAGGCTACCCGTATGCCGCGCCATTCCACGGAAGCCGTTTGGCCTTCCGTCAATGTTACAGATTTCGAGGCTGGATCGAATCGGAACTCTTTCACCATCGGACGAATAAGATAATCTCCTAATCCAATGTTAATAAAGGAGACAACGCCCGTCTGGTCGGTGAAGTTGTTAAACCTGTCAACGGATTTGCACTGAAGGAACACAACCACCCAAAGAAATATCGCCTACTGAACATTTCTAACATTGTAGGAATCTATGTAATTCGTACGGTTTAAAGTTTCTTAAGGAATTAATTATTTACCGTGATCCGGCCGAATTGCTAATTGAAACCAGAACGCCAGCAACCGGCTTTCCTTCGGCATCGTTAGTATGCACTCGGATTTCAGAAAGTTTGATCGCTTTGAGATCATGGCTGCTGGAATTCCATTCGAATTCGTAGCCACGCTTTTCTGCTGCAATGCTCTTTATAGCTGTTCGCGGCACCGGTCCAAGACTGTGAGACAAAACCACAATCAGTATCTACCGGAAAGACGGTACAAAATCACTGAACTCAATTTCGTAGCATCACCATGTACTGTAAAAGCAGCCAGAGTTGTGTCGTTGTAACTTTTTATATCACCTGTATCGTCCACTTTCGTCTGTTTTACCACGCAAGACATCGTTTTCCGTTGTGATAGTGATGTCGACATCCGGAACAGGAGGCAGTGTACCACCGGTGATAATAACGCCTTTGTTTCCGTTAAGTACAATGACGTTTTTGTCACATTGATCTAACCATAATAATTAAGAGTGATTTAAGACCAAGGACATTTGTAACGCAGCCTGCAATTAAGACGCCAATTTTGCGCCACTACAGTACCTGTGACGGCCAGCTCCATTTGGTTCGGTTTAAATAACAACGTTTCCGATGACGGAAACAAAACAAGGTTTTCTTCAGCAGGAAAGTACTCCAAAAAGCTATACTGAAACGTCTCTGGACTAATCAGCTTTGGTGGAGCGGAAGGAGTGAAAATCGAAGATGACCCATCGGATGTTCGTCTACAAACGAAACATAATCAGCAAGGTCTTTAAGTTGCAGCTGCATCATGACCGCAAAACGGGATTAAAAACATGCCAAATGCGGGACTAAAAACATTTTTCGAGTGAGACCATTTTACTTACTTAACGCGCAACTTAAAGAGACCTTTATCGTCGTCGGTGTTCACGGAGATGTTAGTCAGATGCCCAGTCGCGTGCAAACTCAAACGCACCGGAGAATCTGTGTTGAAAGTGTATGTGTCGTGTTCAAATTTGTGGCACGACTTTGGCTCGATGTCATATTCCCCTGCAAAAACCCAACTGCAATAATACTTATCAACACTATGCAAATAATATCTATATCAACCAGAAATTTGTCGGCATTTCTTTATTGATTTCGTGATGATAAGTGTCACATCGACTGCCGCTAGCAACGTATAATATATACTACTGTATTATGATGTTAACATTCACAGTACCGTACCTGCATCTGGTAAGCACAGCTCAGTAAACCCGGCCTTAAGGTTATCTTCTTTTCGCGCCTGCTTTCCTTTTACAGAGTATGCAATGGCCGTAGGATGGCTGCTCCAGATCTCAAACAGAAATCCAGTTTGTCTAAAACCGACAATAGCTGACGGCTTGCCGACTGTAAGTTCAATTGTCTTCTGAATTAAATCCCAACAATAGCGTTTGGACGGCTCGACCACTTTCACCAAATGCGTTCCCAAGTCCACATTATTAAATTTAAATTTTCCATCGTTATCAATTAGTGAAAACACTTCTCCATTGCTAGCCAGCAATGCCACTTTCAAATCACTCGGACAAGTGCTCAAGCAATGCACCGTTCCTGAAACACTGCCCAAAACTTGCGAAAACAGCAAATCAGTTATGGGATAGTCCGTTAATTTGATGATCTTTTCTGCTGGAGAAAACATCAGTCTTTGGCTTTTATCCTGAGGTGCATCGAAAATCGACAATTTGTATTCGCCGGCTTCCAATGTTGTACAAAAATGATCATCGCGAATGACAGTGTCCCGTGAGATCCCGGTTTTTGCCTCTACCGCTTCGAATGTGAGTATACGATTAACTGGACGCAGGGTTTTAATTTCCCCGCACACACTCATTCCGCGGGCTACAATCATGGGTACTTTCGGTTCAGTCGGGGTAATTTTCACATAGGATGTCGGAAAATCATAATGGCTCTTCTTAACTTCAATTTTATACCATCCGGTAACTGTCTTTTCCAAGCGGTAAATTCCCTTCGTGTCGGTTTTGGCAGCGAGAGTGCCGTTTAAATAGATTTCGGCGCTGGGAACACCCGATCCCTTTGATGACGTAAACACACTTCCAGTGGCGGTAAAGCCTTTAATCTCAAAGGTATTGCTGATGGTAAACAAATCCTGACCTAGTTGCACTTCCATATGAGACGGTTCTATGTCATATTTCGTATCGCCGCCTTTATACGTAGGCAAAATACTATAAATGCCGGGAACCAGGGACGCAAATATGAATTCTCCGAGTTTATCAGACTTCACTCCACAAAGCTGGCGACCATACTGGGGATGATCTTTTGCCAAGTCGCTGGCCATTTCTTTGTCACACCCGTCAATACCCTATAATAACAATCATAAGTCAAGCATTCGCAAACAGACGGATAACTTATAATGTTACACGTATAGTGTTATATGTAATAAATAATTACATACGAAATAATGACACGAGTACACATCCTCTAAGAAAACCATTTCATCAATTTTATTAACTTACAACTACAGCAATTACTTTAATGTCGCTGTAATTACAGGCAAATGAATCAAAAATATCTCGTACGCACCTTAGCGTCGATGGTTTTTGAATAGAGCAAAAATTTCACACCGGCAACCGGTTCCCCACTGCTCTTAACCGACCCTTTCACAGGATAGCCACGCACAACAAGTGAATTCTGTGGCAGTTGAAGCGTGGAATCTTTCAACGTGGCAGTCGATTCCGATTTATGCAGCCTGAAAACCGGATGACTTGCTCTGATGGTATATGTTCCCGGCAGAAGGTTAGGTAAGGCAAAACTGCAAAGAAAAATTCCGCCGATTCAGTTTTTTTGCAATGTACAGAAAAACCAGGCTGATAGATCGCACAGACTGCATTACTGAAACACTTCGGCAAAGGAATACGAAAAATAAGAAATGTAAACAAAACTCACTCTCCACCACTCTGCGTTGTCGTGGTAGACACTGCTTTGCCCGTCTGATCCAAAACCGAGATTGTAACACCAGCGGGCCCATCAGCACTGCTGATGCTGTTGACTTTACCAACCAAGGAGTACCCAATGAAACGGAAATTCAAATTCTGCTGCATAGAGCAAGGATCTGTCGTCCCGTCAATATTTACTGGAATTCTTGACGGCTCTGCAAGGATTTACAGTGTAGATTACAATCACGTCTTAAACGTCACGGGGACTTCCACGTCTTAAAGATGATTTTTACGCCAAAAAAAACGACCAAGCAATAAAAAAAACGGCCGCACCATTCTGAAACTAATCCATAGCTGTGCGAAAACAGACAACGAAATAAAACCGTAATTTCCTACCGAACGACAGTCCTTCCGGTCCAGCGACTGCAAGGATAAATTCGCCTTTTTTCCCAAAAACGGGCACTTCATAGTTCCCATTATTGACAGCACAAGGCGCCTGGTACTTCAGATTACCCGCTTTGTCGAGCAGCCGAACCTGCAATTGATGCCCAAAATCAATAATGGGTGAGAAAATGCACAACACAGAAACCTAGAATGAAGTTCAACACGATCTTCACTCCCCGGGTGAAGTCACTGGCATTTTACTGATGCCACGCACCCGGACTGCGGCGTTTTTGTCGGCTCAACAGCGGCCAAGTCCTTAATTCTTAATTGAATTTCGCACGAGACCAAGGCTCCCTTTGCAGTTAACACCTGCACCGCGATTTGGAAATCTGAGCATCGAAAGTCTTACCGCCGCTCTTCGCGGGGGGATCCGTTCTCACCTCAATTTTACTGTAATCCATCGGAAAATCAGACTGTACAAAACCTCCACAAATCACGGGATTTCCATTTCCGTATTCATTTGTCCGCACACAAGTCATAAGCTGTGCTACGGCCCAACAAAACCATGGCACAGAGAAAGGTATGTTCACCCAGGTCATTTTCAAAGCAAATATATATATCTGTTGGATAACAAATATTTCGTCTATCGGAGATCAAATTATTCAGCAACGTTTGGTGGTGGCAGATCGGATATACCGCGGCATCGGCCAAATAATGGTAGTAAGGCTAAGACCAAAATCCAAATCAAAACGTCTGTATTTTTAAGAAGCAGCCCGAAGGGTGCGAAGTTTCCGTCGCTTTTCATAAGATCGCACTATTTCAGGAGAAACTGTTAGCTCCGAAACCTGCAAAGGTACCAACCAAATCATAGATGCGATACTAAAGCACCATCAAATATAATTAGTTAAGCCGCAAGTACATTTGCAGCTTGCAACAAAAAACTTAAAATCCACTTCAACTGAATCCAAGTTTTAAAATTCTTTTGGCATTCAGTAGGCACTGGAGTAGGCAGTATGTAGGCTCAAACAAGTAAGCCGCACCCGGGATTAGGGTGACTGTAATAAAACTGAATACGGTGGTTTACTGACCGGAAGTCGTGATCCCGACGGAATTGATATTATGAATTCGCCCCGAACCCGGTCAGTAACTCCGAATCAAAAAAACACCGGCAACGGAGTAACTGCAGAAGCAGACCAGCATCGAAATCTGCCGCGGAAATGTCGGCAACAAATGTACTACTCTATAGGATGCACGCTGTCTGTTCTTTATGATATGTATTTTCAATGGAACAAAACGCAGACCAAACGAAACACAGGAGATCAGCATTGATGATCTATTGATTTCTATTCTAATTCAGCACACAGGAGTCCAACGAGGAAGCAAAGGATCTGCAGTATATCGGGAACAACGCCACCCGCGACGACGGGGTTAGAACTTACTAGTTATTAGACAATAATATCTTTTCGGTTACTCGACCGCCTGTAAAGTCTGGGGATGCTGCCCTGTAGTGTGTATCCCGCTAGTGAATATTACACTGCTGTATATACTCGCACCGCGCGGCCGTATTCTTTTTTAATGGCTTGTGCGACATTTTTGAAAATTTGTAACAAGAATTTACAGTTAGATTAAATTACCCAACGAATCCATTAGATTTAACATAGTGGTCCAGTGACTTCAGCGATACTCGTATTTATAGTATTTACGTGTTTATTTCTCGGCTTTTGCTACCAGTACCGGCATTACAACATTTATAATCAGTTTCTTTTGTGGTTTAAGATGTTTGTAGTGCCAGTTCTAGTCTAGCTGAAACGGCAAGTGGTCGATTTGCCTAGAACATTAATTAGATAAATATTAGAACTATTTAAATGCCTTCTTCAAGACTTATTGCTTTTAAGGCATTATGATGCGTGAGCTGGACATGTTTAGAAGTTTGGAATGTATTATTGTGTCCGTGATAAATGACCTTATTTGCAACTTTAAGAAAATTCACCCGGAAATTCAGCGAGAAAGTTACTGTAAATTTAAGAAAACATGTGATACATTAATGGGATGCCTGGTCCAGGCGGTGCGGGGCACACAGAACGAGCATTGAATTAGTTGTATTTGACCATTTCGGCATTTTTAGCCGACGCATGGCTTTCTTTCTTTCCCAGGCAGTACAGCAGTGTTTAGTGCAGTAACCTGGTAGAGCGTATAATCTGTTACGCATAGTCCATAGACGAGCGATACATACACGCTTTCATTTTCCGCCAGGCTTCTCTATTGGCCATGCTGCAGTGTTTAGGCTTGGTTTCTCATGTTCTACTGCTTGAACTGGAATCGGAAAGAGATAACCATTAGAGCTTCGTCATGATTACACACCAGCTCCTGGAAGTGATGACTGCTGAGTACGAAGTCCAATGAGATGATGATCAGCTGTTTTACTGCAACTGTACCACGGTATTATTAATACTACAAGTTGGTTTGTGATCACGTGGACTTGTACAAACATTTCCTTTCTTTGAAGTCTGAACCCTTGATGCGTGATTTATTTATGATGTGAATCAACATGGCGCTCCATCCAGACTGCACCAGCTTCGAAAAAACAGGATTACTTTCTGTAGAAGCGGAGGAAAATCGCACATTGCAGTCTCATGAGGAAGTTATACCAAAAATTATACAGGAAAGCGAATCGGAAGCGATTCCTGCATTCAGTGAATACACATCAGCCCTTCCGATCTCCCATGTAGAAAGTGCACATTGTGCAGACTGTAATGAAAATGTATCTCGCCTTTGGGTCTCAGAATATAAATTCTCAGGTAATGAAAGAAACCATATTTATTGGCTTTAGAGTTCAAACACAAATTTTTGTATAATTGTGCTATTGTTTGCAGAAAATGTGGAGCATTGGTATAAGGATCCGTCGTTGCATTTATACTGCGCCAAATTCTTCCAGTGCTTGGTAAGCTAATCAATATTTAATGCAGATGAATATCTCCGACAAGTGTTTCAATGGATACCAATTCAGGCTGTTGTTACCTAATTATTGCTACTTTTACTGTGAAAGCAAATATTATTTGTTTCTTAGTGAAAAACTAGTGTTAGACTTGTTTTTAATTATTTATATAGCCATGATAGATATAAGGATTATATCATTATAAGCAACTGTTTACGTAGTGCAGTTGTATATAATCCGTCGTCGGGTGACCTTATTTGAAATAATAGTTATATTATGCCTTGTGTCTTTCACTAATGCGTTTGAAAATATTATTATGATGGGTAAAAATGTTGCATTTGTTTGCAGGGAGATCGCATGTGGATTTATAGCGGTCCCCTTTTGCTCCTCTCTCTCCGCCCGGATACGTTGACGTTACCTGCATTATACGGGTTCATAACAGGGATATCGGCCATTATTTTTGGCCCGCTGTTTGGGGAATGGGTTGATGCGAAACCACGGATGCATGGTAATGAGTGCTTATAAAAGCGCACTTTCAGTTGATACAATGTTTTGCATTTCTTGGAAATCGTATTAAAACTATTTTGCTGGCTAATACTGGAACTGGTAGTTGTTGATTTGTTACTGTACTAACTACCTTAATCCTTTAGGGCACATCGCGGCACGCAACGTAATTCCATGACATTAACAGAATTTAGTGTTCCTTATAGACATTTTCAGGTGTTAGCAGTTACTAGTAACTCGTATTGATATTGTTAGATTTCACGTATGTATATATGTCTTGTTTTTTTTAGCGGCTATTGTGACAACTATAATGCAAAATGGCTTTTTGGCCATGGCAGCCTTACTACTGGGTTTCGCTGTCTTCATGCGGAATCAGATGGAGGAAATCAATCTTATGCTGTGTGTTGCCGGTCTGATTTTGTTCAGTTTTGTGGCCAACATTTTTTATGGGGTAAGAATGAGATTAGTGAAATATATCTTGGGAAATATATTTTGGCCAGTAAAACGCAAATAGTGTGACAGTGGCTGCGATCTTTATTACTGTGTTTGACTGGCTATTGGCCAGAAAAGATCATGGAGAACAGACCTTTTGGGAACGGTTCCATCCCATGTAAATTGGAATAGATTTTTCATTTGGATGGGATGAACGCAAGGCGTTGCCTTTTGTTCAGCATACTGAATAAAGTTGCTGAACATATTATTCTCTCGGTTGTGTAGTAGTGTCCCTATTCCCAACATTGTCCTTCATTTTTGACTTTTCGGAGACTGCCAGAGTAAAGTTTGTCAGAAAACTACTTTTTAAAGTTTGTCAGTTGTGTTGTAGTTGTAGAACCATGTATGAGTCCAAAAGTACAGATATGTTTTTAATGTTTGATTACGTTTTTGTTACAATGTATGGATTGCAAACGTAAAACTGATTTGCTAAAAAGTTGTTTTACAGACATCATTGGTGATAATCGAAAAAGACTGGGTTGCTGTCATAGCAGGAGACGATTCATCAAAATTAGCACGTAAGGGTTGTTTGACTTTTGTGTTCCGTAAACGGTGGTAGTATTAAATTGTCACGTTGTGAGTGAGGTATTCTTTATAATTTGTAGGTATGATTGCTGCTATCCGGAGAATTGAGTTGATAGTCCAAGTTTTGTGCCCTTTGGCCATGGCCCAACTGTTAACATACTGTGGCACCGGCGTAACAGCCGTCACAATTGGAGGATGGAGTCTTGCCACTATGAGTGTGGAGTATGCTTTCTTGCGACAAGCCTGGCGCTTGTCGCCTACTATGAAGGAAAAGGGACCAGCTCCTGGTCCTAAACCAGGAGAAAGGACTGAATCGGACACAGTATTAATGGTGAAAAAAGTGTTCCGCACTTGTTACTCGATCCACAATGGATGGACAATGTTCCGCCGCAATAAAGTCGGGACTGCCGCGTTGGCTATCTGTCTGCTGGAAGCCAATGTCATTGTTTTCAACGGCGTGACATGTGGTAAGTTTTGACTGATGATTGACTGGAAAAATCTGAGAAAAAACTGAAAACCGCAGTGTCATTAGCTGCACAACGTACAGATACTCAGCGTACTTACGGTTAGCTCCTTCGGTGGTTTGGATGATTGACTAGCCTTTTGGTGGTGGGTTATTAAATATTTCTAACGGTAGTGTGTTGTTAGTCTTACAAAAAAATAACTTGAACCTAAATTGAATACTTTCATATAATTTAGAGGAATTTAGAGAATGTCTGTGCAGGCACAGCCATTTGTAAACATACCGTAGTGATTGTGAGTAAAGTAGTATTTGTTACTTGAGTATCAGTTTTAGTCATTAAGTCTACTTTATAAAGTAGACTTAATGACTAAAACTGATACTCAAGCTAACAATCTACTTATATACTACTATATAATATACTATAATCATATAATATAAATAAATATAAATATATAAATATAAATAAATTTATATATATATTTATATATTTATATATTATATATTATATATTTATATATTATATATATTATATATTATATATTATATATTATATATTATATATTATATATTATATATTATATATTATATAATTATATTATATATTATATATTATATATTATATATTATATATTATATATTATATATATTATATGTTATATATTATATATTATATATTATATATTATATATTATATATTATATATTATATATTATATATTATATATTATATATTATATGTTATAATATAGTATATAGTATATGGTATATGGTATATAGTATATAATTATATAGTATATAGTATATGGTATATAGTATATAGTTAATATGTATGTATATAGTATATAGTATAGTATATAGTATATAGTATATAGTATATATTATATATTATATATTATATATTACGTTTTCTTGCAATTGCGTCGGTAAAAAAACAGTGACGACACGCTTAAGCCACGCCACCCAAGCCACTGCACTACACCATGATAATTACAGTCACTGCCTCACATGTGCGGCTGCGCCATCCCTTGTAGACGGCACATTTACACAATACTTAAATACTAAGACAGTGTTGCGCCAGAGCAGCTAATTCAATAAAATATTCATTGTACTTATAAAATCCTGAATCAACGGTAACAACAAAACTTTTGCGAGTAAAACAAATCACCGGTTAGTGGAATCACAGGTTAATATTAAAAATCATAGCATAAATCATAATATTAAAAATCACAGCGTGCACGTTAGCAGCTTCCCTCAGCGAAAGCCCTTTTTCTTTGACGTCAGTACAAGCTGATATTACACGTTTCTCCATATTACTGTTTATTCATTCAGTATCACACTCCAGAAAGCATAATTTTGAGAAATAAAGAAATAATTCACATTAAAAACAAACAAATCTGAACTGAATGGCGCAGCCGCACATGTGAGGTAGTGACTGTGATTATCATGGTGTAGTGCAGTGGCTCGGGTGGCGTGGCTTAAGCGTGTCGTCACTGTTTTTTTACCGACGCAATTGCAAGAAAACGATTCAAGTTTTTTAAATAATTTCAAGTACTATGTGAAGAGCACACCTAGCTCTATCGGGTAAAAAAAGAAAACCAGAAGGAAATCGGTTTGTGGAATGAAATATTTCGGGTGTTTCACTTAAACGACCATCGCCCATTCACTTAACATAGTGTTTCACTTAAACGACCATACGAGTACTATATAAATATAGCAAATATCTAATTAGATATTTGCAGTACTGCAGTGACACAGTAACGTCTTCATGTTAGTGCCACAAGTTTGTACCCAGAAAATAAGAATTGCGAATCTGTAATAGTTTGCAACTGTGGATGCGCGCTATTATATTATTTAATTTGCAGGATTCGCAGCGACGCAGGGATTTTCCAATACTGTCATCTCCTTGTTGGTTGCCGGTGATGCGCTGGCCGGTGTAGTTAGCACGTTCATTTTTCCTTTATTCAGGCGTCAATGTTCTCTTACCCGAATCGGCTTATGGGCTGCGTCCATACTGTGCCTTACTCATGCAGTTTGTGTTGTGTCCAACTGGCTACCCGGTAGTCCGTTCGATCTGTACAAAGCCTTAGATAATTCCCATTATCCACCGGAAGTGATCGCGGTGACCAATGATACTGAATATTACAACATCGGATTGGCCGTGATGGGTGTGGAGGAAGAAATCGTCTCACCACTTCCAACATCCACCACAGAATTACTAATTCACAATCCCTTGACCGCTATGATCGTTTTCTCTTCCTTTTTGACTGTAGGACGGTTTGCGTATGGCTTGATGGACTTAACCGGTTCGCAGTTGTTACTGGAAAATACCAGTGAAGAGGATCGGGGCGCGGTTTGCGCGGTGCAGTATTCGATTAAACAGATCTTTGTCCGTCTGACCTATCTGGCAGCCATTCTTCTCCCGTGGCCGCACACCTTTGGTCTCCTTGTGATACTGTCGTTTTGCTCTACTTTTATGTGCCTGGTGTTGTTCCTGTATTTTTCCTGGAGATGTGGTCAGAAAGATGAGCGATAGAATGACCCACGGAGTGCCTTACGTTGTATAATTTTGGATACCCTTCACATGACGTGCATTTATTTACTTTACTTTGTGATGCGGTGCTTCCCTTTTTTTCGAAATGATCTCAAGATCAACTTCTGTTGGATTGTGATCCTCTCTGTCGTTGTTTGAACGTCTGTTGTCCTTTCAGTTTATTTTAGCCTTTTTTGATTTTGTTTGACAAATGTTTAAATAATTAAACAAAACCACTTAATACTACGATTTTTAGAATTTAAAATTACTTAGGTAGATACGTTACCGTGACCGCCCGAAGCCTTGGAGCAGCCACGCCTTTAGAAGCGCATCACACCTTTCAAAATCTTTGACTTCTTTGTGGAGTGTCTCAGGCATGCTACCGCATTGTTGCCCCAGGGCCTGTCCGGCGAACATTGCATTTCTAAATTTTTTGACAGATTGTTGTAATTAATACGCACTTGTGAAACAGGGAACTATGTACACCAATATGACATTTAATTCGTTTACCGAAAATCGATAATGCCGTGTATGTGCCATTGCAGGTACGTGCAAATACCAAAGGCAAAATCGGGATACAATTAACCTATTCTTACACAGTTTATCTTAGGATCATCCACTTACCTCGAGCTTGCAACCGGCCCAAAATTGTTTCGAGTGTGCAGAAATTTTTATCTCTCCATAATTTACAAAGCTTTTAAATTTTTCCGATGCGCAATGGAATTCAATATTTGTGTTAGCGCCTTACTGTTACAGTTTCGACAGGTCAAAGCAATCGTGAAAGTAATAATTTTGGTTACCCCAAGTATAGTACATAACTTACATGTCAAATAAAATATTTACTTATATGGTAAATTTCACAAGTGTGTATCTTGTTGCAAGACAACATTAAATTTTTGTCTGATAGCATTAGTCCGGATTGACTAGAGCATGCGCTTCCTGATTCCTTTAATTTTCTACTTTGCGTGCAGTTATTAATACGTATCGAATAAGTACTTGTTTGATTCTTTGCGAGTGACTTCCTAATTGAAAACCGGCACACGCACACCGTTTCTAACTTTTTATATTTGATTAGTAAACTAACACGAACCTGCATGTAGGCCTAGGACAGCCGAAATGCATGATTGTGATTATGAGATTCGAATGGACCATTGAGCATCGTGCTATGGATGTGCTCTGCGTAAGCATGAAAACTGCCTAATAATTACGTAGAAAATTGTTAAGTACTATTCATAATTTATTCATATTGAGACGGTATAATTTTACGAATTAGAAGCTAGCAATGCCACATTCTGCTTCACTTTTGCCCGGAGGTGACGGCGCTTCCCGATTGCGGCAATCTATCAGTCTGCAATTATTAATTTCATCTCACGGTCATGCAAAGCAAAATTTCGAACAATAATGCAATCTTTTCATAATGTTTTCTTGACGGTTACCGAGAATAATAATCCAAACGTTTTTATAAATCATACATATACTTTAAGTTTACGCGTGTATTGGGTTGTAAAATTTTTTCTCCAAGCAGTATGCGTATTTGTTCAGGGAAAAATGAAACGTTTGGTTAGTCAAAAAAGGAAATAAATGCAGTGTTTGTTATTTAGCGTTAATACCACAGCTAGCTTCTCTATTATTTTTACTCAAAATCAAAATATTCTGGAACAGGACAGTAGCCGCCATCCCGCACTTGTAAACATATATCTATATGTGCAAATTGCAATCAAACAAGATAGCAGACAACTGAATCTGAATTTCATTAGCATAACTGTATACAACTGGACGTATATTGTGTGTTTCACAACAAATTATAATATTTGCAGTTCTTCCGATCCGTTTTATACATAAAACCGTTTCCCAATTTCTTACAACAACTTTTGCTGACACACACAACCTTTGTTTTCTTTTCAACGTGTTTCATCATAGCTTAACCTTTTACTAGGACTTGGTGTAAGAATGCATAGTTTTTGAATGCCGCGTTCAATGTTATCATACAGTTGAAAATGTCTATCTTGGCTAACAGTTAACCGTTAAGTTGGCTTATCCGTTCACCGACAATAATATATGTATGCATAACTGCAGCACAGGTTTTTTGGCATGCGTTCTTGTCACATAGAGCGATCGCCGACGTGGTTAAGAACAGAAGATTTTTGGTGCACCATTCTCTAAATATATTGTGTAAGGTAGTCATCGCAAATTTTATGCACGCGCTTATGTCTGTGTGTGTGACACACAATATATTGTGCTACCTTGATCGCATTAATGTGCACATAGTTAGTAATGAAATCCACAGGTAGCACAACAGTTTAGAAGCAGTTCCGGTTTTCCAGTATTCGTGCTGTCGCAAAAGGTGTCTTTTTGCCCATGTAGGTTAAATTATAATTTGATCATCACATTTCCCGGCGCTTCTTGCAACAGAAAAATCCAAAACATTTATTTATCATGGATGCGTCTCAGTGTATTCTTCCAAAGCCGCCCATTGTGCGGCGCAATTACACAGTCATCCCGGGCGAAGAATTAATGTAAAGCATTTCAGTAGTTCTTTCGCTGTATCGATTGTCAATTTATGATGTGATTATGGCTTTAGACTTCCGGCGCCATGCTGGAGACTAGGAACGCCCAATCTTGTTTGGATGTATTTTTTTCTGGGCATCGGCGTTCCACTTTTTGCACTGTTCCTGATAAATTTCAAAAAGATAAAAAATGTTTGCCTACTGAAAATTCGCAAGGGATTCACCTGTAAGCGCGCGACAGCCGACGCGGAAACGGAAGAGAAAGCCGAAATCGCCGAGGAGCTGAATATTGAAGCACCGGCTGTGGATCGGCTTGAACAGCTGGCACAGGCCCGAGCCAATAGATCCAAGCTCGACATATTTCTGGCCGAAGCATCGTCTCCTCAAGCACCACTCGGACAAGTTCTGGTTGGTATAAAAGTGCTGGTCAAGGGTTCACCGTGTACTTATTATTTTTTTATGCGGGCACAATGTAGACTTGATAGTTGATAACAACAGAATTTTTCAGTAGCAACATTTCTGTGGCATTCGTTTGCTGCAATATTCATGGCTGTAGCGCCTTAACGCATTACATAGGCTATTAATATAGTACTAAGTACATAATTAGCTACATCCAGGCTTGCAGTAATTCGGCGCCGAATACTGACAAATCATGTGCATATATGGTTGTAATTGCAGAAACATTGAATATTTTACCTGTAGTTAAACAATCAATCAATATTTTGCAGCATAACGCTGACATCTCCTGAACCGATTTCTTAACAAAGCCAGCGGAACTGGCATTAATAATTTTCCGCACATCTATGCTTGTAATGAATATTCTAATCGATAGTTGCTTCCGTCTAAAACTTTTTTTAAAAAACAACCAAACACTTTGATTCGTCGATTTAATATTACAATAACCAGGATACTGCGGGATACGTGAGGTGCACATGCATTAAGAGGTGGGAATAACCGAGCGTGCCCTTTCGACTCTTCGGTGCTACTACTTGAAAATTTTCGATATCAGTTTTAAGCATATGTAGATATAATATACATGGATTTGCATAGATATAGATTCCTCACGATTTATGTAGATTGTGTGAGAAATTGGTTGCTGTTGTGTGAAAAGTTTTGTTGGTCATAACGCAGATAAATAAAAAAGAAGCAATCGCAATATATTTACATGTATATTGATATGGGCAGTTGTAAATCAGTACAGATAAAGTACGCTCCGAGATTTTAAAAGGTTAATCAGATCAAGATATTAGAAGATTGTTAGCTGTTTGTAATAGAGCGCCAATGAAAAAAGATAAATGTACATTTCAAGCAGTTTAGTGCATTTTAGATGGGAATTGGCGTATTATGCAGCGCGGTCTCTTTGTCGATATACTTGGTGAAAGTGTCGAGGTAAAAAAGCAGTTGTCACATCTGTGTCAACTACATTCTGCAAGTTTGGAGCTACACTTTTTAACGTTTTTATTACTCCAGTAAGGTGGAAAGTTTAGAAATTTGTGGAACACTGCCGAACGCCTACCAAGTGATTGACTTGTGCGCCAATCTCTACATGCTTTGTTTCTTCGTTATACGGGTATAATATAATGGCTTTCTGCATGCAAGTCTGAAGATTAACCTCCGCATTCATGAATTGTATTCTTTTGCATTTTCACACAGCTAGCTGGGTCGGATCGGAAACAAAAAGTGATTACATCCATGTTTTCCGTCGTTGACTATTTTACAATACCCAGTGTTGTGCTGGGTGTCATTCTAAACCGGTATTTTACAGGTGAGCGCTCAATTCGTTATACGATTATTGTGATAATTGTTCATCCTGCTTACCATCGCATACAACATGTGGCGTGGCGATTGATTTGTTTTCTTGCCTTTAGGCTTTGCGTTTTTTCGCGCCTATAATTTTCAGTGGCTAGTGGAAATCCTTGCACATCGGCGCATTCTTCGATCGACAAATTCCGTTCGCTTGGCGAAACTAATTTTCCTTGTCTTTGCTATCATCATTATTGCCGGTGGATTTTTGCACGTGGTAAAGCGCACAATTACATTTTAAATCCATTGTTACTAGATAAGGTTTTTTCTAAATCTGGACTAGTTTAAGTAAAAATTCTGCTACGTACAATCAAACAAAAATAGAAAGCTAAATTACATTTTTTAATTTCTGTCAAGTTTTATTTTAAAGGATACTACAAAATAATACAAAGACTTCTTAGAGAACTAAAATCCAAACAAAAGCATAGAGCAATACAGTTGCAGAATTCGTGCGCTCTGTAGAATAATCACCACCGTCTTCATTGGCAAGAACCGCATTACCCGGCCATTGTTTTGCTACCGTTACAAAAACAACAGTTTATTCAGAATTCTAATAACGAATGTAGATGTGTTGCCAATGTATTAATTAATATCATTTTGTCATAGTGTGCATCAACACCAAAAAGCTGGCAATTATTACGGGATGTCAATCACAACACCTATCGATTACCGTTGACTTTTAGGCTATCTAGAAAAATGGTTTTCCTAATAGGGAGACAAATGCGGTTTCTTCTCAGAAGATATGTCTCGTAAATGTCTTCAGGCTACGATAACGATAATTTTGTTTACTGAATCATCCATTTTCTGGTTTGTTGAAAAGCAGAAACATGCAAATCTAAAGCACGAAATGGAAACATAAATATAAATTTTTATACATATATATATATATATATATATCAAGCACAATTATTAAAATTCTTTCATTTTTTTATATAAACCTTACATACAATTAATGAAATGTGTTTTGAAAATACAATTTTACTGGAACAAGGGTATGATTTTTTCCCGCAAAGGTCTGCATTCTTCGAGTACGATTTTTCTTCATATGGTTGGAAAAAATAAATATTTAGTTTATGCGGTATGTAGCAGTAAAGCTAATTATAAATAACGATAAGTGGATTTGTTCATTTGTTCCTATAACTTTGCCAAATGTACTTGTGTTGATAAGGTATGCGATTTTTCTTGAAGGCAGAAAACATGGGTGACCCTTGGCTGTACGATGTGGATAACGTGCCACTTTACAATGGTCAAGCCATTGTGTTCTTCCGGTGCTTTTTATATGTTTACGGAAGGATTACTCTTCTTGATCTGAGCGGAATGAGAATGTATACCATGCTTGGACGCGTTATCATTTACATCTTCCAAATTCTAGCTTTGGTAAGCTCGAATCCCCGGCATGTCATTAAAAATTTAATGTTTGATACATAGCTTGACGCAGGTATATTTAAGCAGCTATAGTCTTTATGCAATTGAAAAGCATACTATTCAAGTATGCATGCAAATAAATTGTTCGTGGTTCAGTGTTAACTTGTAAACCCAACAAATTTAGAGTTCACACTTTACGTATATGATAAGCACCTTTGGTTTTTATAGGGAATTGTGGCGCGAGCTATTCCACAGATTATTGAACGAGTTAAGCTCAAACCGGACTACGATAAAAAATATACGCCATCCCCTATGTTCTTGTAAGTAACTCGTCTTTCGGGCGTACATCGAATTGCGACGGTATAATTATTATACCTTTAATTTTGGCCATTAAAAACACTTATTTTACAAAAAACATTGTGGTACAACAATGTTGATTTGTAGGCATATAATTGTCTGCGGTCATGTGCGCGCCTCAGCCATGGAAGCGTTTCTTAAGGAATTTTATGTAAGATAGCTGTATGAAAAATACTTGACTTAATAAATGTTCGTTTGCGACAAAATAGTTGTGGGCCAGGAATATCATTATAATGACATTATTCTGCCGTAGTAAATTATGCATAGTGTATGACAGTTATATATATACTTGACAGGTAATGGTGCGTGTACTTACCCTTATAGTCGGTAATGGTGCGTGCCTTATAGTCGGTCGAAAACAGTAACGAACAAGTTAATCATTATAATTACGTACTCTAAAGTGCGGCGCTGTTGGTTCTTGCAAAGTTTATTGTTATCTGTTCACAGCATCCGGACCGGGATATCAGCGAATTTTTCAAAATTGTGATCTTATCCGAGTAAGAGATCATAAACTCGTGGGGTTCATAATTATCCATCTTGCCCAGTATCTCAGAACTCTGAAGAATACAAATGTTTGAAATTTTTGAGAGAAAAACCGGATGAAATTATGGAATCGCTGCAGGAGAGATATTTCAGTCGACTGGATTATCTACGGGGGACAGTTATGAGTCTGAAGGATTTAGCCCGTGTGAATTTGGTGGAAGCCAGAGCTGTATTGATTATTGCCGACCGGACAGCGGCTGACACGGATGCCGAAGACGCGGCTAATATTATGCGCGTAGTATCCATTAAAAATTATAAAGACGACGCACAAGTAATTGTCCAAATAACCCAATATCACAACAAGGTAAAGACGCTACTGTAATACCGCCGCAATCTCAAAAACCTTCCACACAATCACGTTATGTTCCGAAATGTCACGGCAGGCGTATCTGCAAAACATACCCAGCTGGAATCCGGAAAACGGCGACATATGCATTTGCTTAGCAGAACTGCGATTGGGATTGCTAGCACAAAGCTGTTTAGCACCTGGGTTTTCCACCTTGATGGCTAACTTTTTCACTTCAAGGACTTATGACCCAAATAAAAAGGTAATTCTTATAAAAAATAGAATTTATTGATTATTTATTTATTGTATAGTGAATAGAATTTATTGATTGACCTTTGCGGTTGTCACCCTAGAAGTGTTAACAATATTATTATTGATCATGTATCAGCAGGCAGACGCATAAATTGTACAATAATAAGATTCAGCCAGCGTACGGATGCTCAAAAATATAATAATTTTAGTTTTCAGTTTGATGAGGACTGGCAGCGGGATTACGTTCAAGGAACTGCGTTAGAATTATACTGCCGGCCATTTGGAGATGCTTTTGTGGGTATGCTGCTATACGACTGCAGAATCACATCCATAACAGCTGAACTGATTAATCGAACTCAACATTAACCAATTAGTAAAAAACCGAGTTACCTCAAAATCTACAATTCGAGTACACGTAAGAAAAACATCCAAAAAACAACGCAACTGGTGTTTTTATGCAGGTATGACCTTTGCACAGGCATGCGAATTTTGCTATGTAAGTGCACGTGCTCAAGCGAAGCACAAACTGTTCATCACACGCTGATGCTGCAGCGCTTTCGTTTCGATAGTTCACAGTTAAGGTGCCATATTTACTGACAGCATAACCTATCAATATATTCAACATTAAAATATCAGGTAAATTTGACACTGAATGTGATAATAATGTCGCTGCAGAGACGTCTAAAAATTGTCCTGCTGGCAATACAAGCTGATCCGTCAGACATAACAAGTATGCCGCAAATCAATCCGCTACCAACTACAATTATATTGCCGGGAACCTGTGGATATTTCATTGCTGCAGATACGCTAGAAGCCGACCGGTACACAAAGCACTAAAATAACCAGCTGAACGGTAGCTTTGTATTCCGTTGCTGACTATCGTAACATTAATTTAATAATTGTAGTGCGCAGTATTATTGCCCAAAATGTCATGTTGACGTGGAAGATGTCCAGCTGATAAAAAAGTGTAGCTGCAGATCGCTGGATGACCCTGGTAAATACCAGTCTGGTTACACGCATAATTGGCTGCATTTACCTCCTTTGCAATTGATTGCGTTCAACGCGGTAAAGCTATTTTTGAAAGTGTCGTTTTTTAGATCATGATTCTCTAAGAGAAGACGAAGAATCAGATGAACTACGAAAAATCGCGCATCAACAATCGGTTCTAGCGAAAACCGTAAACAAGCTCAATGCAACAGCCGTGGAATCGAAAATCTGGTCGTATATTTGTCGATATCCGGCAACGTGCGTATACTATATTGCGCCTATACTAAGATTTTTTAACAGTGAGATCATGTAATAATTTTATATGATCAGTCCTTCTGCGAGTTTAACGAACATCAGCAAAGCTGACGCGGAAGCGCCTCCAAAAGAGCATGTGATTCCCTGTCCGAAAAACGAAAACAACGAAAGCATGTACGACTCTACAGGTGCGTTACTAAGCTCAAGCAACAAGGAATGTTTTCGGAAATTTGAAGTCAAATAGACTTTACTGTTCAAAAACGAGCTTTTTCACTTTTTTGGCACTTCTCCTGAGTTCTGCATATCATACATTAATAATTATTCAGAAGGTTTCTGATCATTCGCTTCTATGACGTTGCACTAGTGCAAACGAAGCGATCTTTAAGGGGTATGTATATGTATTACGTATACTATATCTGTATAGATATTTTAATGCACTTCGACAATTACTGTAGATCTGACTTAGCTTTAATACGGCGTATATATACTACTCGTATGTTATCATTAACTGATTTACGGAGTTGCATGATATTTTTGCATAACAACTATAATTTTAGGGATGTTTCACTGGGTTCCTTTGCGGACCATGGGTTCTGCCACGGTGGTAAGTTAAGAAACAGCAAACAGAGACAATTTTTTTTGTTATATTACTGCAAACAAAACTAGAAGCCCATACAAATTACTGCATTATCTGGACAGAACAGGAAGAAAGCAGCAACGGCGACCTTTAAGCGCCACATTGTCGTGTGTGTCTTGTCGCAAGAAAAATCCCAGATAATCGGTCTCTCGAGCTTCATTTTTCCTTTACGATCCAGTGTAATCCCGGCTAAAGAGCTATTGGACATCGTGGTTTTGGGTGATCCAAAGTTTCTCGAAAAAGAGTGGAAATATCTGTATAATCTGCCGGGAATCTACATAGTCAAGGTATGCATATCACTGGGGTCTGGGCATGACCATTGTGATAAAAGTCTGAACGGCGACCGTTGTGAAGTCCGGGACCGGTTAGTAAAGCTATTCACGTTTTCGACGCAGGGCACGGCTTTGAATCGGTCTGACTTACGAGCGGTCAATCTAAATTCCTGCACCATGTGCGTCATCCTCGGTGCGCCTAACAGTGCGGAAAAGGTTGCCGATCCATCGATGCTGGACAAGGCCGTAGTGCTGGCCACACTGAATGTGCGGGCCATGAGATTCTCCAAAGACGAAGGACGACTAATCAGCGGAACGGACGAATCGGATACAACTCCAGATTTACCGGCTAAGCCGCTGCTGCAAAGGCAACCGGCACTTTCCACATCCAAAACTGTCAATTCCCTCCAGATTCCGCTCGATACGCGGCCATCACTAACAAGAAAAATTTCCCAACGGCCTTGTCCAAATAGGACGTCGGGATATGAAGTTCCCATCATTACAGATTTAGGTAAAACAAACAAGTTTCTGACGTTCTAGTACTGTTATTTCTTTCGCTTTTAACACGTATACGAAAGTTTCAGGCTGATATTCATGCGATCACCCAATTACTATAGTTGATTGGTGATATTTTGCAGTGCGTGATTCCAATGTAATGTTCTTGGACGAGGAAGACACTGATCTGCCGGGGACAGAATTCTACATGACTCAGCCTTATTGCTGCGGCCGCGCTTTTGCTGCCAGCGTTCTTGATCTCCTTATGATTACGTCCTTTTTTAACCCTACCCTGACGAAAGTTATTCATACGATAATATTCGGAGGCGCTTCTCTAGAGCTGGAACGGATTATGGCAGAAGGAGCGGGATTGATCGGTGGCGAGAATATATCTAAACCAGCGGATGTCACCAACCAAGTAACAAAAAATTAAAATACTTTTAGAAAACCATAAACTGAAATTTGCGCAACCTGTTTGCAAATCTTATAACAACAAGCTCCGGTGCGGCGCAACTTCATAAGATTGTACACAGATTATAGCGGCGCAATGAAAGACGACTGTTTTTATAACTATTTCTCCTCATTACTCAGGTTTCGGTCATTCAGGAGGAAATAAGAGAGGGCTCACTATCGTCACATGTGGTAAGCATAAAACCTTAACAGTCCGTCCGAGTGTTCGTTGGCACGGTACATGTAAAGCAAAGGTCACGTGTAACACTGTATGAATATGTGCATATGTCTAGGCACATACATAGGATCCAAGAGGAAATGGCGATTTCCTTTCATGTTGTAGTGACATAACATTGTTTCAGGGCTCAGCGTATGGCGGTCTGTTCGTGGATGCTTTAAACAGCATGGGTCTAGTGACACTGGGACTCTACCGGAAGCTGTCGCCTGATTCTCCGAAGCGTTATGTGATATGCAATCCACCTGAATCCTTCCCCGTGCAGGCGACAGATCAGATTTTCGCTTTAAAACGCGCCAACTGGCAGTGGCAACCACCGCTAAAACAGCTCCAAACCGCCGCATCATCGCGTAACCGCATCATCGACTTGGATGTGCGCCTACTAAAGGACAAGCTGAGTACAATCAGTCAGGATGTTCTGAATGTACAAGGCCAGTACGAAAACCTGATTGTGGACGACGATGGAGCGATGGTTTTCCGGAAAAGAACCACCACCGGGACCAGTTTTACGGTGCCGCTGGTGCTGTCGGAGAACGGTTCCATAATGATCGATGACAACAGCGACCCGGAAGGTTCGGATACGGACAAAAATACAGTCGAAGAAGATATTATATCTCTTGAGCATAAATTAGCAACCATGAAACGCGATGTACGTGCCATGGAAAACAGATATTTACGTTTAATACGAGGCAGCTTTTCGAAGTAACTTTTTGTAATATTTTCCTTTATTTTTCAAACGAAATGAATAAAACCCCTCACACTTCAAGACTGACAGATCACTAACTCAAAACTTGTTAACGCAGAGGTAGAAATAGTCTCTTTGTTGTAAAACATAAAACAAACGTAAATTACGGATGCGAGAATAGCAGAAAGAATCCGTCCAAAAGTCAAAGCAACGTAAAAGTCAACATCTATTGCTGTAGCGTTAAAGACAATCAATCTGTCTAATGTCTACTTAAATGGACTCGTGGCTGGGCTCTGCGACCAACGAGTAGAAAAAGGCAGTTTCTTCAGGGAATTTAAGTAAAATTCGTGTTTTGATTCTTCTGATTCAAAACAGTTATCGGGCAACTTAAGACGGAATCCTTCACTTCCACTCCCGCTATCGACACCACTACCGGAATCAGAGGACGGTTCCGACGACGCTATCTCGATCGCTTTCGCTGATTTCAGCGTCCGTTCTAGATTTTCAATAACACCCAATGCGATAGCATCTTGCTGCTGAAATCTTGTCAAGGCTTTCGCAATTTCCAAACTCAGATTGTGCTCGTAACATTCCAAATCAACCGAAGTAGAAATACGATTGCTCAAAGACGCCAACACTTCTTCGCGACCCGATAAGTCACTCTACAGTAAAGTAAGTCATGGATTTTGTCAGTATTATTCTCCTGCCGTTTCACAAAAGTTTTGAACTTAGAATTGTAAATCTGTCGTTTATGTGCAAAGCTTGTAGTTCGTTTTGCTATTGACAAGCGAATTAACTATTGAATTATTAATGAATTAACTATTGAATTACGATAACTTTTGAATCACTCTTTTACTACGTCTTATTGTATTGAATTTTCTGCTCTGAGACATCGAACCACAACTATGATCTTCCGAAAGCAAAACCTTTGGTACAAACTTTACACATGAACTGACCGTAGCTGCTCTAAGACACATATCAACCATGGACTTAAGAATAAGTACTGGGTGCCATAACCATACGTACCGGGAATTCATTTGTAACTATCCCAAATAAGCGGGTATCCTTTGAAAAACTGAAGTTCTCCGAGTTCTCCAACAATTTTTTCACCAGTACAACCAAACCGGTACTCGCGGCACAATAATCCTCAATCGCTTCGTTCAACGTTTCCCGCCTAAATTTGGTTGCTGCTAGATGGTAATCCGATATTTTCTGCATAAGATTTTTGAAGTACTGATGCTTTTGATAGCATGCAGTGACAAGAGTGTTCTGTAACGGAACATTTCCTGATGTATAACTTTTCTTTTTGTTCAAGAACTTCACTTACTAGTTGCAAATTCAACTGTATTTCGGAAAACTGGCAATAAGGGATTTCTAAGCCGGTTTCGGGATCAATTCGTGGCACCGGTACGATTGCCGACAGCTTTTCAATTTCCGCATTCAGTTCCGATAAAACCTTGATATAATACTTCTCTTGCGATACTGATACAATATTCTTGATCGCTTTATCCAAGCGCATCCTGAAAACGGGCCACGTAGTACAAAATCTGAGTTTTAGTAAAACCAAATAAGTAAATTAAAAAATCTTAAAAATAGTGATGTAATAATATGTACGAGTTGTCCCAGTGCACGTCTGAAAATTGCAGAACACCACTACCACAGAATGGACAGATATCCGCTGAGCTGGTTTTACTCACTTGAAGCTAATCTTTTGAATTTTGACAATCTGTTCTCTGTTGGAAACTACTTCATCGGTCAATCTGGTCATCACAGCATGGTTCTTCTGTTTTTCAATTTCGCATTTCTTGATTTGCTCCTTGAGATCGGAATAATGACTGAGAATTCTCTACAGTACAGTGCCAAACGTCAAATAAATAATATTCTATTTGTAGCTAAAGAGATCAAATTGTCACGCAGTACTAACCAGCACAACGTTTTCTCCATCATGAATCGAGGGGCGTACATCCCTAAAAAAAAGCACACAATTTTGACATCAAAACTCTCGGGAGCACAGTCAACGTAGAACACATACTGTAAGACATGATCCATCGCCAAAAGTGTGTTCTGCTGCTTCGCGTCGCCGAACGTTTGCTTGAATAGTTCCATAAAATCCCACAGCGAATGATAACCAGTCAATAATTTGTCGACGCGAAAATCAATTTTAGACTGAAGCATTCCGCTGCAACGCATCAGCCATTATGGTCAATATACGACATCCAATCACATAAGTGACAGAATTTTATACCGCTACTGACTCGAATTGATAGCAGAATTTATGGAGTACGAACTACGAACTGATTTTAACAATTTTTTTAACATATTTCTCACATATAACGGTCCTCTTGGCCAATGCTTTTACCGTCAGCCGACGTTTTCCCCTTTGTTTTATTTTCGCGTTCCATGACAGGTTCAGTAATATGACCGATCAACTCCATGCAGCGGGATGGAAGGCGCATTTGTTCGGAATCTTCCAACCTACCAGTTACAAACGACTGGAAACGTTACCGCAACAAAACTTAAATGTAATTTACGCTGCTCGTGGGTGTAGATATTCGCTGGTGGCTGCAAAATCCTTGACGCCATTGCCCATGCGATCAGCGGATGACGCAGCCAAATCCACAGCTTTGTCCATCAGCGCGATTTTGCTGGGACCACAAATGGCAGCACAATGAGCATCGAATCCTTCCATCTCTGTCAGCAGTTCATTAGTCAATATTTAGATGAAAATTCGACATACACGGTAATTATTTCCGCATAAATCTATGTGAGCAGACCTTTAGCTAGTAATTTCTGCTCTTTCTTGTCCAGATGCATTTTGATAACGTGCAAGACACTTTCAGTGAATGCCGTGAACTTGATTTCTTGGGTGAGCTGATCTTGCAATTCTTTCTTGGTGGGGGGTCGCGAGGGAAAATTAATTCTGGACGCAGCAGCTTCGTAACCCGTCCGCTTGCTGGGATGGTTTACCACATTCCGAATCACGGCCAGAATTTCCTGCCCGCATTCAAGTTCTGCAAGTCTATGGAGAAATCTGGTATGAGAGCAGCACACCAATTATGCAATCGTTTATTTACTTCGTCCAGAACGCTGAGCTTGTCGCACTTACTTCTCAATTTTAAGTCCCACATTGGAATCATGGATGTTCAGCTTTTTCTTGATATCGTTGGCCAGTTCGCGATCCATTTGAATGATTTGATTCAAACCAGTACTGTACACTTGGCCAGTCACAAAAAACGCAAAATAGCAAACGGCAGTGCTCTCAAGGAGTAAAATTATACGGATTTACTTATTAGAATCGCACTCGGTTACGATATTTTCTCACAACTCGAAACCCAAGGCAAAATTTATTCATGGTTAGACTATGGTTCTTAATAATATTAATGATCCGGATCAATCAGCAATTGATCCACTTCCAGCACTCCACTTTCAGCGGATTATGGCATTATGCTTCAGCGCCATAAAGCATCCAAACCAGAAATTAATATGATCATGTTGCACAAATGAATGCAGCCAAGTTGAGTCAACTGATTCACTTCTATGTCACTTCATGTAGAAAAAATCCCGGAAGATGCGTCTGCTATCGTTCAATCGTCAGATGTTCTACGATTAAAAATTTTCTTCATTTTTTGCATACCTAACTGGTAAGTAAAAAACTAAAACAGAAACAGTGAGAAACCAAGCAAGCGCAAGCGCAAGTCTTTACGCAAGCTGCTCATAATAGGTCGCCGGCGGGAAACAGTTCTTGAAAACGACGCATTAGCAACCCCCACGGTAGGCGCGTTATCAGCAAAGGAATCCTGTAGTAGAGAGTGAAACTCCACTCCACTACATAATTGTGGGTTTACCACTTTACCTTATGGTGAGTGGATCGATTAATAATATCATTTATTAGTCCACTATTTTTATAACGATAAATTACAAAGACTTAATAGAAATTGCAGAATTATGATATACTTATATATATCTACAAGTTAATTTATAACAAGTTGTATGCTAAAGCTAAAGCAGTACTCCTGTAATACGTTTGTCTCGGAGCTCTCTTGTGTTTACTCTCGATATGGAGCGGATAAGTTAAAGTACTTTATTTTTTTGAGCGTCTGTTCCCTTGTGTTATGGTTATGACTGCTTTCATACGCTCGAAGAAGCAAAATGCCCAAACCTCTTTCCCAAGATGCGGTGGATATCATCCGGTATATGGCGGAGGTGCGTGAACGTATTTTACGAAAACAACATTAACAATAACAAGTAGAAGGACTGATGAGTAATAATATAACTATATCTGTATTAAAATCTTGGTATTCCATTGTCTGTGTAACACATAGTACTCAGTAATAGTAATTTTAAGTTTTTAGTTACGAAGTAATTTTTTAACTTGTGAGCTGTAAGTTATCAGTTAACAAGTGTTGTCTTTTTCAGGAGAATAAGCTGGACTGTGCTACCATTGCTGCGTTGATTGGAAAACAGCGTTCGTTCATCCAAAGGATTCTCAAGCGCGTCGATCCTCTCACCGGAGAACTCACTGTCGCAAAGGCAGGACGGCACCAGAAAACGTCGGAATCAGAAAATGATCGAATCCGTCAAATGGCGCTTCAAAATCCATACATCGGTTGCGAAGTACTTGTGTACTCTGATATGCTAATTATTAATTAATAATGTTAATAATTTCTTCCCCAATTTCTGTTTAAGTTTTGTATATGTACAGTACACTGCACAGAGTACAGCGCAGATTGCTTGAGTATGGGATCGGTATATACTTAATTCACAGTAAATGTTAATCGCCACAGTGTTACAAATGGGATTTAAGTTTGCTTTTTTGCAGGCCTTGACATCCATGTACAATGAATTAGTTGCTCCCCCTGACAGAAGAATTTCGAAATCCAGCATCCACAGGCGATTGAAGAGTGTTGGCATTAAGGTAATTACGTAAGGAATTTACAGTAGAAGTGTAGAAAATATGGGATATCTTATAAAGATATGTCGATTTTTTTCGTGGCATAATTTTTGAAGAATTGTATATCGCAGTCTGACTGGGCCGGGGATTGCAAAATTCGGGAAGTGAGACACTTCAATTCAAACAGTGAAACATGTCAGATAATGAAGCGATTGGAAAATATGATTTCTTTGAGCGATGCTTTCCCTCATGCATGAATCCTCCTCAAGTAGCAACTTCACTGTCACTAGCAGCACCGGGATGATACAGTACTTGATGAAATGCTCATTGTTGAATGTTGTAGGTTGTTAAAATATCGGCCGCTGATCCAGAATTACACAAATTCAAACAGTTCCCTAATTCAAAACATATTTGGAAATTCGAAACAATAAACAAGAAAAACCGAGCAAGCAGACGGCAGCCCGAAGTGGAGCAAATCGAAATGGATACGGTTGAATCGATTTCCATAGAGTTTCCTCAACTGGTTTATCCGACCTTTGCTCTACCGATGCCGACATCCATTGTGCCTCCGGAAATAGCAGAATGCCAAGATACAGACAATATTGAGATTTTTGTGTATCCACCAGGGCGCCCAGCGATACAGCTGCAATGAGACTTGTACATGTTTTCGCTATTCATATTGCAGTTTATTGACAGACGTACAGACTGTATGATTTCCTTTTGTTTCACAAAGTCGGGTTTCAAAAATGCACAACAAAACGGGGAGTGTTGCACAACAGTGAGATCAAATAAACAATACCGAAAAATTTACCACTACAATAAAATTGGATCAAGGTCATGAAAAATTTGTTTTCCATATTAGAACTCTTTCGTCGCTGCCGGCAGAAGCAAAGAATTTCCCCGTAGGAGCAAATCTAATGAAAGAAACCGGGCCTTCGTGTCCGTATAGAGTGTATATTAGGTGTCCCTCAACAGCATCCATGATCTTCAAAGTCGAATCCGCGGACGAGGACAACAAGTGAGATCCCGACGGACTGAACGATACACAGGTAGTAGCGTCATCATGCACTGGAAAAAAAATTCCATTTGTCATACCAATTAGTTTCTATTTATATAAATTAGATATTACTACTCATCAATACACATGACGTCGCATGCAGTTTAATCACCACTAGTCTCAAATGCCAGCAACCCGTAACTCAAACAGCAAAGCTTCGCGACTGCCTTGTGGTAAACATTGTTAAAAATTCATTAAGAAGTGTAACTGCTTGACCGCTTAATACCTCGGTAAAGTTGCAACAGTTCATGCTTCCGGCAATCCCACACCTTAACGCAACCGTCTTCGATTGCCGCAGCAAAATAGTTACCGGATGGATGGTAAGCGACAGACCTGGTGGCACCACCGAAGGAATCATAAGACCGGATACAGCAGTTATCTTTTACACTCCAAGATTTTATCGTTCCATCGCTGCTACCGGATAACAGAATGGAATTATCGGGAGAGTAGCTGTAAAAAAAATTCTTTTTTCTGGCTGACGCTTCCACGCAAAAAATAATAATGTGATTTTTACCTGACAGCATTCACCCAATTGGAATGGCCGGTATAACTGGTTAAAAATGTGAAGCGTCTGGTATCCCAAATCTGTAACGTGGAAATGTACAAGTACATAAGTAATACTTACTTTACAGATGTACTATGTCAATTCATTGTCATTACAGCAGACATCTAAATAACCACCGTACTTTGATTGATTTATCATGGGAACAAGATACGAAGGATAATCCATCAGTGGAATAATCTATCGCCGAAACGCTTCCAGAATGTGCCGCCAGCATCATCGATTCAGCCCGTCTAAAGGTATAAACTCCCAACATGCATCGAACAATCCCCTCGAATACATATCAAAGCACTGACATACACTCCGGGGATCCATATCCTGATAGTTTTATCACGAGATCCAGACGCTAAAATATGACCTTCCTTAGCATACCGCACGCACAGCACAACCTCCTAGAACAGAAAGGCAAGCGGGTTGGCATGTTGAATCGATGGCAGGGCTAATTTAGCAGAGCAAAGAAAATATCCGAAGTGTTTCGCAATTTTGGAAAACGGAATAAATTTCGAAGAAACAAATTTCTCCAGCAACGACGCTGTGTTGCTACTACAAAATTCCGTTGAAAGTGAATACCAGATACGTATTTAATTGCGCTGACCAGTTCGATACCAAACAAAACTTCTGCAGTCTTCCAAATAAGCTACACGAGCTCATAAGGGCTTTTCATTTAGCACAAGTAGAATGTTGCTACCACTACATGATAAGTCTACACCCATCCCTAAATAAAAATTTTCTGCAACGTACCCTGTGACCGATGAGCCTGTGAGCGCGGGTATCCGGCTTAACGTTCCAGAGCCCAACAGAGCCGTCCGCATTGGCAGTAACTACAACAACTTGACATTACATAATTTTAGCAACTAAAAAACTCGCATCGTACGGAGAATGGTTGCTCGTAGTACGAGCCTAGTACTGCACAAGTTATTGTATGTCCCAATTTTCGAACATACAAAATGCGAGCGGAGAGTTTTTCAAGCGGACTTTAAAAGATAAGAATTATTATTACCAATCTGGTATTTCAACGGGTGGAAATCTAGAGCACTGATGATGGAGCGTTGTCCTTCCAGCACTCGCACTAGTTCTGGAGCGGATTCCGAATCTTCCATTACCTCCTTCTCTGCAGTATTTCCATTCGTTTTCCCAGCCTGCAGTTAGCACGAAATTCCCACAAACCGTTCAGCAATTTAATGATAGGTATTTCAGCGAACGCGCAAGTATTCGTCTTACCTCATACCTGGAACGTTTTTCGGGATTGATCCCAGTCCCAGGCGCACGGTACATCACGCGAAACTCAGCGAAGGACAGTATAAGTTTGCACCATGCAAATTTTAATAATTAAGATTTTGGATAATAAATTTTTCCAATTAAAAGCGCCTGGTGAGTCCCAGCTGAATTGTTGTGATTCTGTGAAATAATGCCAAATACAGCAGTATTAAAAAAATTTATCTAAATGTTTGTGACGTCACTGCGAGATAGCTCCGCCTTTTCTTCGCGCAAGCCCTGTTGAGAAATACCGCTCGCACAAAATGGTTTTTAAATTTTAATTTCCCCTTGCGATTTTTTAGGCTGTTTCTAACATAATTTTTGTGAGAACATAAGCAGCGAGTAAAGGATTCTTGATGTTAAGTGACGGTAGCCATTCCAATTCGAGCAATTTCTTGTAGCTGTGCCTCGCTTCTGGCTCTGGCTCCGCACAGATCCCATCGCATACGCGACTTTCAAAAAGGATGGATCGAGAACATCGACATCCGTTCTCAACAACACCAAGCATAAAGTCTGTATGCATTACGGTTATTCTGGTAAGTTATTCTGGTATTTTTTGTTAAAATGCCGGAATCTATTAAACGCTCTACCAGGGATTTCATTGTGTAGATCTGCCTGATCGTGTCGCTAATATTGTCCTGGCTGCCCGTTGTTGGTGCTGCGTCCCGCTCAGACAATGCCAAATCACACCACACCAATAACTGGGCTGTTATTGTTTGCACATCGCGTTTCTGGTTTAATTATCGACACGTTGCGAATGCTTTATCCATGTATCGGAGTGTTAAGCGCCTTGGCATACCTGACAGGTAATGCAGTTTTTAATTTTACCCATTTTTGGTACTTGGTGGCGATACATAAAATAACGTATAACTCATACGAATTTCATTGTTAAATCACTTAAATGTGCAGCTTTCTTTTCGCATGTGCTTGTAGCTGCCCTGAAAATAATGTTTTTCACTTGTGTGAATAATTTCATTGGTATTTCTGAAAATGCCCTTCTGGTTTTAGTCAGATCATTTTGATGTTGGCCGATGATATGCCATGCAATGCGCGAAACCCTCGCCCAGGTAATGCACGTATAGTACATATTCCTGATTATTTGGTCATGCATTAGGTGTTCGATACAGTCTGGTCAAACACCTTTCGTGAAATCCTTTTTGTTACCTAGTAGTTATTATGAGAGTAACGGTGCTGTTGAAATTAATGCTGCTTATTATTTTTATAATATGTTTTGCTTCGTATATTTTGGTTCGGGCGATATTCTTACTGGGGATTTATTTGCAGGTGCGGTATTCAATAACGCTCATCGCCACATTAATGTTTATGGTGACGATGTTGAAGTGGATTACCGTGGTTATGAGGTCCGTTTAGAATTTCATTTCGTTAAGCATTATTATGTATGTATCTGTTCATGAAACAATAATTTTTTCAGGTGACTGTAGAGAATTTCATTCGACTGCTGACAGGAAGACTGCCACCTGGTACACCTCGCAGCAAGCAGTTATTGACAGATGATGGTAGCAACATCTTCATTTATATGACCGGTGCGCATGTTTTTGTAATTTTTGACATCATGTGATAATGCCACTGGTGTCGATAGGTGTATTCTGCTCTACTTTAAGAGCTTCATCAGGCTGCAAGTTGCATTTTAGGTCACGGAGGCGATGGATTTTTAAAATTCCAAGACCATGAAGAGATTTCTGATATTGAGTTGGCGGATGCATTTCAGCAGATGCATGAGAAAAAACGTTATAACCAGATTCTATTCATGATCGATACCTGTCAAGCGGTCAGCATGTACAAAAAACATTACTCGCCCAATATTGTTAGCATTGCCAGCAGCCAAGTGGGTCAAGATTCTTATTCTGTGAGTTTAAATAACGGAAAAAGTTTTGAACATATTTCTATGACTTGATCATTATCATCGCTATGAATGTTTTTGTTGTGCGACATATTGCAGGATAAAAAATGTATCTCTGTTAGTTGATAAGGGAATTGTTAGTGACACTCTTCGTTAGCAGAAAATACGACGGCTGAACAGTTTTAATAGCGCCGTTGTTGTGTTATAGTTATTATTATAATAATTGTGGTTAACTATCATTATTGTTTCCAGCATCACCACGATACTGCAATCGGAGTATACGTGATTGACCGCTACACGTATTATGCATTGGAATTTCTGGAACGAGTTACACCTTCGAGTAAAAAAACTCTGTCTGACCTGGTACGTTTTTTACGGATTTTGAGTCCGATTTGGAATGGGATGCATGCTCCATAATTTCTTTCGCACCCGTTCATAAAAATATAATTTTGCTATTTAGTTCAAGGTGTGTCCACAAGAAACCTGTATTTCGACACCGGGTCATCGATGGGATTTATTGGAAAGGAAACCGGAAGAAATTCTTGTTACAGAATTTTTAGCAGGAAGCCGGGAAGTCAAACCATTGCAATTCAAGTTGGATCTGTTAAATATCACCATTGAATCTCTTCCCGAAGAAAGGTAGGAATTATAAATACATTTTATATGATATCCAATTGCTACCACGTCATTTTATGCATAACTGCAGCATAGATGTGCTGAAGTTTTAGAAATGTTCAGCATTGGTACATCTCTGAGACTGATGCATGTTACAGTACAACGTAACGGTGAATTGATGTGTAATTTCCGTGATTTAATCTTTAGATGCCTGTCCTGTGAAATTCCGAAAAGTGCAAAGTTATCCCTGACATTTGTGGATCCTTTCCAGCAGAGTTGAAAATATTATGAGCGAGCAGCTATCTGACGATTCTAACGTTATTGTCTCCGCGAGGGCAATGTATATTTTTGTACCGTAAGTTTGCGTGTGTTGTAAATTGTAATGTAAGCCTTATAGCCAGTGCCGTTTATTTCGGAATCCTGTGATATTACTTTTTTTGTTCACATCTTTGTTGTTTACTTTGCGACTTTATGTAACAACTTCAAGAATAATAAATATTAAACAGAACTAGAAGTGGTTAATTATTTGCATAAGTTAACAGAATTGCAAGGTTCAGAATAATTAAGATACAGCCTTCGCAAGCTGGTCGTTTAGAATGATCCCCGACGAACAGATAAGATTGCACACGGCTGATGCGACGATAGTAACTGAACTCGGCTATCTGTTTGTGAGCAGCTGATAATCATTCTGAATAAGCACTGTTACCTGGAACACGAGGTTACAATGTTTATTATGAAAAGTGTTTCTGCAGTTACATTCTTTGTAACTCGTGTCCGATGTAAGGATATTAAGCTGATAGACATTAAAGGCAGTTTAGGCACGGTTTGGGCATCAGGTACTTAATTGAGAGACGAACTGATCTTACAGTTTTGGTGGATATTTATTACACATCCTGACATCCATACTGTAAGTATACTTAAGGAAGCACGAGACACCACCATAATATTGAACTACTTCCACCGCTGGTTGGTCTTTTATCCATATACGATATGTCAGCAAAATGATCCAGCTTTTATCCATATTACTGCAGCCGTCGTTCTTGGTGTTGGTTGTAACGGCGTTCTGTGTGTGGTACTACTTGAAACACCGAAATCTTCCTCCTGGCCCGCGAGGTAGCTAATTAAGCTTCAGCTGACCATTCACGTACGCATTTCCTACAGTGGTTGCTTTTGTCTAGGTCTTCCTTTGCTTGGATACGGACCATATCTGGGCCCATCACCCCAGGATGCACTGTATGACTTGCGAAAACAATACGGGAATATTTTCAGTATGTACCTGGGTCCAAACTTGACCATTGTGCTGAATGATTACAAAGCCATTAAGGCGGCGTATATCGACCAAGCGGATATATTTTCCGGACGTGCTGATGGTTTTATCAGAACACACGCATCTGCGGGCTCGGATGGCGAAATTCACGGTAGAAGTATAACAAAATTCGGTTGATAACAGAAGCCGTTTTAGCATGTACTTTATTGGCAAATGTTTTGTTATCGCAGGTATTGCTACTTTGGAAGGAGAGTTATGGAAAATTAGCAGGCGGTTTATGCTGCAGACTTTCCGAAATTTAGGCATGGGCAAGAATCGCATTCAAGAGCAAATCTTGGAGGAGGCTGATTATATGCGTGACCTTTTCGCCAAGTCCACCGGCACTCCATTTTATCCCCGACCGATTATCAGCGCCATTGTCGCCAACGTCATATGTGTACTTTGCTACGGCAGACGTTTCGATCATAACGACCCCATCTTCCGGGAGATAATAAACGATAACGTAACCATTGCCGACACGTTCGCTCAAGCGGGCCCCATGCAGTCGTATCCCATTCTGCGTTTCCTTCCCGGGAAATTCCTGACAACCTGGCGGAAATACAAAGTCGCATGGAATCGTACCATTGGCTTCTGTGGCAAGGAAATTGAGACACACAAAAAGAATCTTCAGCAAAACGAAGAGGATGCGGACTATATCGATGCCTTCCTGAATCAGCAAAAGAAAGTTTCCGCTTCTGGCAGCGAAATTGAGCAAAAGGCTTTCCAGCGTACGTACAGATATGGGAAAATCGCAAACGAAACTTGAACTTATCAAAGGATCCTGAATTAAATTTTCACAAAGTTCCTGTCATACAGATGAGGATTTACTATTTAACGTGCGTGCCCTTTTTGGTGCTGGGACCGAAACCACAACAGCATCCATGTCCTGGGCCTTTCTCTACATGATGCACTATCCGGATGTGCAGAAGAAAATCCATGCAGAAATGGATGAAAACGTTGGCCGCGATCGTTTGATAACTGTCGATGACCGGGGTGTGTATTGTATCTATACGAGTACATGTACAAGTACATACTGTAAGAATATCGTATACGTGGTATGTACTAGTTATAATAATTAATATGAAAATTTAGTTCGGATACGGTACTGTAGAGTAGAATGAATTGTACATTGCGTAAAATACAAACCTCGCACCACATGAAGGAAACCACACAATCCGTTGACTGTTTGTCGTTAACGTAGTTAAACTCCCGTACACCGAAGCGGTTGTCCGCGAAATACAGCGTTTGGGTAACGTCGCACCATTTGGTGTACTGCGCTGTAATTTGGAGGAAACAACATTACTGGGCTATCGCATACCGAAGCGGTCGTTTATCCTGCCTAACTTTTTGGCCGTCAACATGGACCCGAAACTATGGGACAATCCAGAGTCTTTCCAGCCGGAACGTTTTCTTGACAAGCATGGAAAAGTGACGGAACCGCCTTATTTCATGCCGTTTTCCATTGGTCAGTCATTAAGTCTACGAGTATTGCGTTTCTACAGGTGGTTTCAGTTTTGTTAATGCTTTTGCAGGAAAACGAGCTTGTGTCGGAGAAGCACTAGCGCGAATGGAGATATTTCTCTTTTTTGCTAATATCTTGCAGAAATTCCGGCTAGAAGCGCCAAAAGACTATAAACTACCGGGAATCAATCAGAAAATCGTCAGAATTTCTTCAGAACCAGTACCCTTCAAGATACAGGTTTGTGTTCGTGATTAGAACAAGCATACAATTATAGTAATATCAATAAATTGTATGAGATCTTGGTGCAAACTTTGATTTTCTATTTTCTTGGGAGGAATCAGTTCAAAATAAGTTCCTTACATCTTTATAAAGTCTGTCTGTAACGTTTGTCTTGACACCAAGGGAATGTGTGCGTACAAAGAATATGTTTTCACGTTTTATCTGCACATCTTTATTTAATAGAAGTGCATCACATTCCCTGGTATCTTTCTAGAAATTTGTTGTAAATAAGAAACTGCGAAACTGCCAACATAATATTTCCAATTTCCAGGATTTCCTGTTTCCTTGAACTAATACGTTACAACAATAATTTTATTGTTGAGCGTATTTACTGCTTTGCGAATGATTTTTTACCGGTGACGTCGGTAGGACAGAACTGATTATTTACGGTAATTATTCCTGTCGTACTGATCTCTCCGTCACCGGTGGTCATCGCGGTTGCGGTAGCAGAGGCTACAGACGTGTTGCTAATAATTTCTATAATTACTATTATTATTGTGCAGGGCGTCGGCAAAAGTATCGAATAATCACCAATAACGAAAAACTCACTTGTTACCAGAAAAACTCAAATGTTACCAGTATTTTTTCTTTGAATCGATACTTTTTGTACCGGGTCCTAGAGCTATCACATTCAACAGACCACCAACAACCGTAATATTCAGAAAGAAACCGTATATGAGAATCTCCATAATCTCATTGTGCATCCAGCCAGATATGACTTTGTAAAAATTGAACAAAGTTAGCCAGCATGCTAAAACCGTGGCCGACAGTTTCGTCTTGTATCCAATTATAATTAAAATGGCTAAACTAAAGCCGACGATAAGTTTGATAATTTGCAGCGGTGTGATGCCAAATTCCACACTAAATGCCAAAAACACACGTCCTGCCAACTGCAGCCAGTTGGTCAGATTTTGCAGGTCAACATAGTGGTCAGCAGCTTTATACAGGATGGGCACCGCATTAGCATCGTTGCACGCTTCCGCCAGTAGTAGTAATACAGCACCAATACGAGCAAACTCATTGGGAATCATTTCGTCCCAGGCGATGTTATATATAAATCGCTGAAAAAATACCTCAAAAATCAGTGCCAGACATGCGACGTCCACGTATCTGCGAAACAGTATTAAACCAGCGGGAACCAGTTGGCAAAATACTGAGATCACGATTAGTGCACTGCTGACGAACAGTCCACATGCCCACACTCCGGCAATATACCGCCGCTGCATCTCAAATTGCGTAAGTATTCGCAGACCATCTTCCAAAAATGTGGCCACTAACAGCACGCGAGCAATATGGGGCAGGATGTTCTTATTTTTTCGATAAAATTCGTCGGATTTTTCTTCCAGACTGCCAATAAATACTGTCAATTGTGGGGAAGCGTTTTTATCGGCTGTCATTGTAGCTTTATAAAGTAAGGAGTAAAACAAAATGCATAAAGAGCCAAAGACGGAAAATCTCACAATCACATTGCGCGATGCAGCGGAGGAACTTGCGATACTTCGTACCAGAATTAGTAGTACGTATTTTTATTGCTGTGCTGTTTCTGAACACAATTTTGTTGTCAAGGTATTGCAAGGCAACTTGAAAGAAAGAAGTACGCATGCAAACAAAGAAACCGAAACGCACAGATTAAAAATCTTAGAAAAGTTTACCGATTGTACAAAGAGCAACGATACTGTATATGAACATTAAATCACCGGTATTTACCAAACCAAACATAATCATAGGGGCTTGTCCATTTGTTACACCCTTGCATGTTATTCTGGATTATGTATTTCATGGTAAATGGATTAGCATTCAGCTCCTCCTGTCGCTTTTCCTCCATCTTCTCGTCTTCCATCATTTGATGTGAAACTGCTTTGGCCCATACCGGTAGTCGCAACGCAACCTGGAACGAACACAAAGCCTAAGCTAATTTACAACAAATAAACCACCCTTGCTCACGTTGTTCAGCTTTTCAATGATTTCCGCTTCGTTGAATACCCCTCCGACTTCCAGGATGATACGGCCGGGTTTCACGGGCGTAACGAAGTGATGAATATTGCCTCTCCCGCCTCCCATACGCGAGCCTGGGCTCTTCTTAGTGACAGACATCCACGGAGCGTCCACGCGCCAAATTGCAAACATTCGCTTGGTGTCCAGAAGTTTGTTAATGGTATGCCGCATCATCTCGAAATGGGGATATTTCAACCTGCCACCCTGCAGCGCCTAAGGGAAAACAAGTTGAAGAGGTAAATAAACAAAAGCTTTCAACAATCATATTAAGTGCGAACGAAAAAACGCAAATCAAAAGCTCAGTATCGTCTGCAGAATTTAAGAGAAACTAACGATAGCAAACAGCCATTTGCGTAAACCGGTGAAAACTAGGATAAAATATGAAACTTACTACAATTCCAAGTTGCTTATGCAGCAAGGTATTGTGGACTTCTTCAGGACCGCGCATTAAATCAAAACCTTTACTCATGAACGGTGGCTTCATATTAGGGGGCGGTGGAGGAACCTTTGCCATGATGCGCAGCCTGTTGGGAGTCGTGCTATACAGGTCTTTAGGAGGGAACTCCACATCTGTCAAAGCCGTGTAGCCATAATTTATTGTGCGAACTACGCACGCTTTGCAAGTCTACAGTTTATCACATATGTTCCAATGTTCCACATCGTTCGCTTGCGACACCAGCCGGACGAGAGACAAAAACAGCAACCAGTGTATACTACATGCCTACTACATGCTTTGAGGTTGCATGTGATATTTAAAAAACCAGAAGTCCAAATCCCATAGAAACGATCCCTTCTGGTCCAGTCTAGACTTAATTTTATTTACCTTCATGGAGATCCGGAGGAGTAAGATCTATCATATGATGAACGCTTCTGACACACATTGCACTGCAGATGCCTTTCGGTCGCACAACTACAACACCACCAAAACCACATCGTCCATCGTCACATCAATAATGCCCTACCGAGAAGATTAGAATCCTAGAACAGGAAATCAAATAGCTTACCTGCACCAAATGTTCGGCAAGCTGGGAAGAATACCCTGATCATGATTATGCCAGGATTCAAACAATAAAGACTAAATATCGCAAAACCGCATGTGGGATCTGGAGTTAAAGAGAGTCATCGAGATTCAGTTCTGTCCGAAATTTAAATTGTTTCCGTTTTGCATACACAAACGCAATTCATATAAATGAACCAGGTCATGAATAACAGAAGATATGCTGAAAAATCAAGGTTTACGAATGCAAATACAGTTAAAAAGTAAAAGTTTTACTTTTTAACTGTATTCGTTGAGCGCGCTGGTGTTCGTTGCGACGTCGGCCAAGTGCAATGCGGGTGACGTCGACAAGGCATACTACCTCCGGATGTCGCAACACTGTAATAGCTTTACTGTGTTTCACTTTGCAGTCTCATAACTTATTTCTGATTTTTTAATCGAAAATAGTTAATTTTTAATACCATTGTCATTTGATCTAACAACAAGTCGATAATTCCAACTAATGCTAAATTCAGTAAATTAATGCTGTTCTGTAAATTGCTAATGTTGTTCACTACGCACTTGTACGTCAAAGTTTAATGTTATAATTCTACGCTTTTGTCGATTTCAATAGTTCACTTTGAAAATTTGTCGATTAAATTTTGTATTCATAAATTTTATAAAATCTCAAAAATATTAAAATAATTAGTGCACATTCAGAGCACTGTACTTTCGATCATACTGTGCTAAATTATTTGAACAAAACTTTTGCTGTTGTTTTGAGTGCTTATGAACAACCAACCTTTATTGAGTTCCGTATGCTGTTATGCGGCAAAAAATTCTTTAAGCTTTAAGAATAAATACTCACGCATGTAGTTAAGTTAATAGTGAATTTCTCGTTAAATAATTACAGTTCACGTATGTTACAGATTTTGAGAATTACAAAAAATTGCATTTTACAGGTACTGGAGCTGATTGCACTGTAATTAGACACTTACAAATTATGCAATAATGATAAATAAGTATAACTGTATAAGCACTTGTGCGCTACGATAACCTTTCTTTATCTCGTATATACACCAAAACATTTGGAGGGACGGCAAACAGACCGTTCGTTTCCGGCATGAATTTATGGCAGACCACAGTAAAATGTGAAAATAAAAATACTCGTGTAAAAAATACACAACGGCAACGGAGTCATTAGTTCGTATTTATCCTAGTCGTCCCGCATTGTTGTGCACCACGGTGTCCACAAATGCCGATAACTGTGCACCACAAAAGGATTCATAACTTTTCTGGAAATAATCATTTAGCGCATAGTGCTGGTGTGCTTGTGACTCCTATTGACCGGCATCATAATTTTATCCTGCGGCTGTTTATAACTTTTTTTATTCAAAACTAAATGTGTTGTTGCTGCAATATTAATTTTCATCTCACCTGCGGTATATTACGCAGATATAGTAATACCACATCTGGTATTATATGTATAACATTATATGTGGAATTATGTAAAATAACTTTAGCACTTGCACGAGTGCTACAGAGTAGTCGGCTTTCGGCCAGCACCTGATCAATGGTAATTGGCAAATAAAAAATAACCTAAATTACGTTTAGCCGCCTGATGTTGCGAGCCCATTTCTTTAAAAATTATATTCTTGGTAAGTACGTACGTGTAACTTACGAAGTATTATTTTTTGGTACTACTGATATTATTGGAAAATGTTAGACTGTGTGATTTTGTTATTGCTAGTGAAAAAAAGTTTTAGCTACAGTACTCTGGAAGCCGGCATCTGCCTACTTCGAAGTGCTTATTTTCGACCTACTAATTACAATTGAATGCAGTTATTGCAAAAGAATGATAAAAAAAATGCGGCAAAATCTTTAGCGTAGCAAAAATTTCACCCGACGAATGCAAGAAAACAGATATTTTAAATATTCTCGACCGACTTTTTAAAAAAATGGGGAGTCAGAAGGTGCATTTTTATGCTGGTGCCTCACTAAAATTTTATAAGTAATTCACCATTGCATTCCACAAAATTCGCCACAAGATTTTATAATTCACCGGTACATTCCACAAAAATCCAAAGGCGTCGCGAAATTACTTAAACGCACTATCAGCCAAAAATTATAAGAGCTTATTCCTTAAAATCTTAAACTAAAATTTCGTGGAATATTCCGGTGAATTATAAATTAACTTTGACATACGTAATGAACAGCATTAGCAATTTATTGAATTGGGCACTTATTGAGTATTGACTTATCGACTTATTGTTAGATCAAATGACAATGGTATTAAAAATTAACTATTTTCGATTAAAAAATCAGAAATAATTTATGAGACTGCAAAGTGAAACACAGTAAAGCTATTGCAGTGTTGCGACATCCGGAGGTAGTATGCCTTGTCGACGTCACCCGCATTGCACTTGGCCGACGTCGCAACGAACACCAGCGCGCTCAACGCATTGGCAGTGCAGTCGCATGTCCTTACCCGCATCTGTCTAACACCAAAAAGCCAAAACTCTACCGTACGGTGGTCCGTACCAGTACTCCAGTAGTCATACCAAATAACAATGACAAGCTGCCAACCCTTGGTGGTTGCAAGAGTTGAAAAATGGAACGTTTTGTTCGAAACCTACTGTACGAGTACGCAGTGTACAGTAGTGTACTGTAAAAATTATTTTTTCCAAGACAGCATAATAACAATTGTAAGGTTTATTTCAAATTGGTACAATACAAATAATTATATGATAATATATAATAATAAGATTTATTTCAAACTCAAACCTGTAATAATATTGTGTGGTTAAATTAATAACTAAAACAATTAGAGTAATAATTGAAATCGGCTTTTCTTCGACAAAGGATTAGTCTGGCTGCTCTGAAAGGAAATGGTGCATCGTATTTGACTATTTGGTACTTTGCCAGGAAAGAATAACTCTGTTGGTGGCGACAGAAATACGGGTAGTGTTTGTTATTAATTTAACCCACCGCAATCGACATCTGTACCTAATATAAGGGGAAAAATGTGTCCAGCCGAACCAGTCCCTTGTACTTCTGATGTAAGCCAGCTGGTGGTTTACGTTATGGCAGCACAGCGTTTTATGTAAAGCGCTGCTATTAAGGCTGTGCGGCATTGACGGTACATGTGGTATTAACTGCACCAGGCAGGTCTGGGCTATAACACAGTTTTAGCCTGTTTACCTGCAGTTGTACGAGTGCTGCTTACCTGTTATCAGTACCTGCAATCTTAATGGCAGCGCTTTACATAAAACACTGTCAAGCCACAACGTAAACCACCAGCTGGCTTACATCAGAAGTACAAGGGATTGGTTCGGCTAGACACATTTTTCCCCCTATACTCGTGTCGTAATTAATCGTACTTTTACTGTGGTACTTTTTTGCTGAGTGCTACATCATACATGTACAATACATCATCAGTACAACACATCATCAGCCAGCAGAACACGTAATAACTAATAAATATTTTTTAAATGCAGATTTTGTTCGCAAAATGGTTTCTTTTCAAATTTATTGCTTTTGGTTACATCTGACAGCCTACGAATATTTTATTTCAGCATAAGACTTCTCGAAAATTCTCCTAAAAATACACAGAAGGACGGCAACTACCAAGAACCCAGAACACCGTCGAAAAAATGTAAAAGCACCGCGACCCCAACGGCTTATTTTTGATTTTTGGAACCATGTGCTCGTTTCCCGTCGACTTTCGGAGTATGTACCGACCCAGGAAGACCTGACGACTGCAAAGTCTCTTCCGGGAAAGTGTTCCGGGAATTAAAAAGGTTTTCCCCCTTAGGAGTTCTTCGCTCCTTTGCTACATGGTTCTCTTTCTTCATTTTTTGCATTACTTCTGGCTCCGTTCGTTCAGCATCGGCCAGAAGGGGGTCAAGTTTCACTATTTGCTTACCATCTCCTTAAAGCAACAAAAACATCGAAATTAAGCACTAAGATTAATGGGTAATCTTTTAGCGCGATGTAGTTACATTAACGGGCGCAAAGTAAAGGAAATAGGGAAATGAAAACATATCTTACTTTCCACTCTAACTGGGATGAAATAAGTCTCCTCTACGTCAGGCTTGATAAAAGACGACAGCGTCATCATAGATGGAAACTCATATGGACTAATCAGCCTCCCACTCTCATCGCATAATTCTATACGATCTACCTCTGGCAAGCCTGCAATTAACGATACTCGCATTACAACAAACAGTAAGTACCTAACGTTTCTGAAAATCTTAGACGAACACTGAGCAGGTTATAATAGTGCTATCAGGTTATAATAGAGCAGGTAATATATTTACCTGACGATCGGAGAGCTTGTCTCACCAGTTCCATAACACCAGATAAGCCAGCGTTAGGATTTACGGCTAGACTCCTACTGTCTGCAATTAGGTACAATACTGTAAGACATGAACAACGAAACAGCACATAATTTTGGCAAACTCACATCCATACTTGACGAGTACCAGAGCACTGCTCGTCGGTCCGGGACTTATGTAACTGTCTTCGTTTTCCCCTTTGTACATTCTATTTCTATGGAGTTTGAATCAACGAGGATCTACCACCACGTTGCTGTCTGCGGAGTGGAAAATTATGCGGCCATTTCCAAGGAAACGGAACTGCATACTGAATGACCCTAGCCTTCACAGTAAACGCCCATCCGATGCTTTCTAAGAACCATAATCGTCAGTCCTTAACCCGCACATTCAATGCCGATATTTCGCAAACGGTAGACTTCTCAACCCCACCGATCCCAGACTGGTGGTCTCCTAAACTGGTGCCGTGTATCCACAAACAAACCGCCCACAGGAATATCAAAATTTATTCAATGAAGATGTTCAAGCTGTGACAGAATGCGAAATATCAAACAATCTGAAAAAGAAACCCAGTCAACCACCGATTTACAGCATGAATTTTTAACAGCGTTACCAAAATGACGGAAATCCTCCTCTCTGGCCAAACAAAATACGAACCAGCGGAAGATAGGGTCAACGTGGACAAAACAGTTATGTACATATAGCACGTGTGCAATAAAAGTGGTTAGGACTGGACAGTCTTATGAAGTTCCGCCCTCTAGGCTGATTTCTGCAAAGGAAACGTATATTGAAATAGATATCTATCGATAACATCGAGAAGAATGAACATTCGCCTTACGTTTGCTGAGGACTGGTACTCGTCCAATTCCATGTCCAGCTGCGCCTGAGTGACATCGGGCTTCGCACCGCGCCCTCGGCCACCACCACGCGCTCCACGTCGTCCTCGACCACCACGGGTGCTAGTGCCTCCGGCACTGTAACAGATACGTCGGTAAAAAAAATTCCTCGTTCACAACATTTGATCTAGAGGAAGCGAAGCGTATGCAATTTCTTACCGCGCACCACGGCCACGCACTGCACCCTGGCTCCCACCTCCCACACGTCCGGTACCTCGGCGTCGAGGGGCACCCGCACCATTAGCTGATGCGCCAACACCACTAGTAACCAGCTGAATATCCATAGGACGACCTTTAAAAACAAATTTTTTTTGAAAAAATAAATAAATTAAATGCATCGTTAGTTAAAGCATGAATATGCAGAGAGCTAAAATTTCAGAGCGGTTAAAACTACGACTGAATAATTTCACAATGTACCAGCCAAAAGTTAATACTGCTTACCATCCAATGGCACATCGTTGTAACGTTTCAGGGCAGAAACCGCGTCACTGGAACGAATATATATAACTTCCGCTGTCCCGATCGATCGGCCAGACCTGTCGTAGTGTACGGCAGCTCTCTTGATGGCACCGAACTCCTTAAACAAATCCTGAAAGAAATTTCCGAGTTTAATAACACGGTGACTGGGAGAAAGTTAATGCAGCGAAGAAGTACCTGCAGATACCATTATTATTGTCACAAAATAAGCAAGAATTTAAAATACCTGTTTATCGGTTACTATCCTAATAAAAATTTCAACATTAGTAGCTGATTACTGATATTTTTTAATCTTAATTACACAATTACTGTCATATTGAGTGCCACACAGCGTCAATTTTTGCCCGGAAACCCAGTCAGCGCTGTAAGCTGTTTATTCAGGCTGTAACTTGGTGAATTTACATCTCTTCGTTCCATGCAGCAGATGTCGTAATTTCCCAAGGACAATCCATTTAACACAGTGGACTGTTCACCCAGAAAATTCCACATTTATTATGGCAAGGTTCAGGAGGATAAACAGGCAAGCGTTTCCTGTCATCCGCTGTTACTTGCACGCTACCTTTGCGTAATTTATGGACATTAATTAGTCACTAACTGTGGAACCGTGACTGCTCGATTTTCTGACTTCGAAAAAGACGCGGTTTCATTTATCACAGCACTGGCTGCACGGCTTTAGCCGACCGTTCCCCGTCGATGATCTCATTGATTATGATGTCAGAGATTTCACAGCCAGTAAGTGCCGTAACTGAGTTTTCGTAATCTCCGTGGCCGCAACATCGCTTTTACGCTTACATGAATATCTTTATCGGAAACTGCGAAATCCAGATTGGAAATCAAGAGTTTTGTGCCAGCAGCTCCAGTTCGAGATCGCACACCACCAGCTCCTGCTCCGCCGTAAAGGTCGTGTTGCCAACGTTCTCCACCACCAACATTGGAACGCCCATACTGCAATTTAAGAGAACCCGTTCATCATCCATTCCACTCTGAATCAAGTTGGGAAACAGTCGATTAAGTGTCCGTATCTCACACTAGCAACTCCTTTGCGGGCTCCACGTGTGCCCTTGGTAATTCCACCCCGGGCGCCACGCAGACCCGTGGACTGCCGCGAAGTTCCTCGAGACTTTCCACCACGTCCACCAGCTGCACCTCCACGACCCCCTCGTCCGCTGCGCGTGATTCGCTTGGTTTTAATGTAATCATCCAAAGCAACGTCAGCCATTTTAACGGAGTAAACGGTAAGCCACGTAGTGTATTAACCCAATTACTCAGTACAGCACGCAGTTATTTTCAAGAGATAAAACCGTAAAACGACAACTAAGCCACGATGCACATTCGCCAAAAAATAAACTAATCGAAAAACCGATGCCAAGCAACGTCTGCAGAATATAAAAACTGTTCCTTTGGTTTGCAAAATCCGAAACCTACTGACTTAAAAGTTAAAACTTTGGAAACGATGAAGACACTAAAATGGCTGTGCAACTGCCACGGTATTAAAACTCGGTATCACGAGCGACGGTGGCGCCATCTGACCATCAACCGTACTGTATGAACGTACGTACGTGGTCGTCGTAGCCGTAGCCGTATCTCCTATCTCGTATATCCCCGAAGTTTTCATGCCAGTACCGCGGATTTCATCAATCTGGGATCTCTTTTCCCTCTTCAGTTCTATTCTGCCATTAAAAAACCAGCCTTTGACGGTGCAGCGTAACTTGCCAAGTAAACCCGAAAATGGCTAAACTTGTAGCCAAAATTGGACCTGCATTACAAAGTAAGGGAAAGAGAGATTTCTTTAGTCGCTGCTGCCGCCTTTTGACATTTCTGCGTTCTTAGCTGCAATGACAAATGCTCGCCCTGGGTTGAACACTGCATGGAAGTATGCCAGAAGCGAATTGCGACCCCCGACTCCCGGAGAAATTCCGCAAGGGATTGCTGGTATTTCGGGAGTAATTGCTGGTGTCGGCCGAAGAAGCTGGCGTAAACTTACCGTCAAAGTAAGGAAATCGTAATACACCGCCAACTGTTAGCATTCACAGTTATTGCTTTTTAGGAAGCTTGGCTGAACACACTTGTGGGTATTGAGATAGCATGCTGGTTTTTCGTCGGAGAAGTTATTGCAAGGCGTAATTTAATTGGATACGGACCTGGTTGGGGATACAAGGGTCATCATTAAGTTTCATGCAGTTATATACCTGTGTTCGGGACTCTGTGAAGTACAAAATTGAGTAGCGTGTTTGTGAATATGGCCTGAGAAATGCCAGGTACGGTTTATCGTTTATGACTTCAGTTACGAGTGTGTGTGCTGATAAATTTTTTTTATTTTAGCTGTTGTGTAGATTTGAATAAACGGCTTTTACTCTTACTGGTGTGGCTGTTTGTTACCGCTCTGCATTTATCAATAACAATATAATATTAGCAGTTGCGATGACATGAATTAGTCGATTAGCGTCTTTTCCGGGTAATAATCAAATAAGTAATGTTGATAGTAATTTTAAGTAGAATTTTTTGTTAGAAGTTGTGAAAAATTTCATGCAGTGCGACAGCTGTCAGGAATTTAGTCAGCTGTCAGGAATTTATTTAATCTACATTCTACTGGTAGTGTTTTTAACGTGCCAACCGTTTACTGTTTAATATCATATGTTACGTGGTATTTGAGCAGATAGTATTTCCTTGCACCATTTTTGTAGTCAGGTCTGCGGCTTGCGGTTTCGCTATGCTTTGGCATCTTTATTTATACGACTATTCTGTATATTTAAGAACTGATAATTAAATAATACATAGACCCTAATCACACAGTTATCTCGCAATCAAATGTATGATTTATCCAAATAATCCTTTCTTCTGCATAGAAGCAATAAGGGCGTCCCTGTACTGCAATGAATAAAATCATGTATAAAATTTTTCTGGCGTTGTACAATGTAAATGTCTGCAGAGTGCAGAGTATACTTCAGTATCACCTACGGTGACCTACCTCAATGTCATCTTGGTATCTGTCCCGTAAATTTGCGTACTTTATGGCTAGGGCGTACAACAACTGAAAGCATAAATTTACAGTTAATGAATATTTACTGTTAAGTATTTCTGAGCATAATTAATAAATGTTGGCGATTCTTGTACAGTACTTTTTTTTGTACGTTCTTGTACTATTTTGCATCTGTTTTATTTGTTATATAGATATGTAACAAATAGCTGTCGTTTCCGCTAGTTATACGATGAAGAATATATCGGCGATGTATGCTTTACATATTTTAATTGTGCATACCGTTTGGTCGTTATTTCCCCATCCGGAACCTCCCCATCCCCAGCCATGACCACCGTAGCCAGACTGGGAAGAACCTCCGTGGTACGCTTCGCCGCCGCTACTACCCCCTCCGTAACTGCCACCACTATAACTACCGCCGCCGTAGCTGTTCCCACCGTAACTGCCTCCACCTCCTCCGTAGTCATTCCCTCCCCATCCACTGTAGGCATTTTCTCCTGCTGCAGCAATATACCCCAGATTGTATCCGTCACCATAGTTGCCGTCCTCGCCGGCCGCTCCAGAAGTCGTACCACTCTGAGCGGTTTTGTAACTGGTTTGCACCGGCACGCTGGAATCGCTGTCCGTGTAGTCGTCCGCCCGGCTCTCGCGCTGACTTTTCGCCGTGATGATATCGTAAGACGATGGGCTTAGTAACCTCACCGGTGCCGGCGTTGCTCTCTGGATCTTCTTTGTTGTGTATCTTTTCGTGGTCGCTGTCGTGGCATAGATGATTGGCTTGTAATTGGCGTAAGTAATATTCAGGTCCGGAGATACATATGAATTTCGTTTACTGCTTCCGGTACCGGTTAATGCAACATTACTGATGCTGCTGGGGAGCTCCAAAAATCGGATCCCGGATGTGTCGGTTCCGTTGGACGATGTGGAACGTGTGCTACCATCGTCTTCCATTGAAGCAACAGCTGAATATTGGGAGTTAAGAAGATGCATGTTTTCGCTATCTGCCAAGTTGGCGCTTTTTTGAAGCGATAGCGCTGCCGTTGGCTTTGGCGTAGACGCGGCTAAAACTGCCGGTATACCGAATACATTTTTCAAAAGGTCAGCCTTTTTCGACGCTCCTGGCGAAGGTATAAATGCACTGTCGTATGTCTTAGAGAATTCCACCGATGAGACTGCCGTTTTGTTTTCGGGCTCGGCATTAGCAGCATGAGTTACCCGCAAAACAGATTGAGCTAGTATAAACAATAACACAATTGCAACAGTCAGTATTTCTGACGATCGGTTCCCGGGGGTCATTGTGTGTAATTAATAACAATCGGAATTAAATACACCGAACCTGGAACAGAACCGGGATGTCGCGATCATACATCACAACGACAAATACTGCAGTAGCTGAAATTATAGACTTCCAAAGGCAAAGTGATTGTTCATAATGTTTATACAAGTGGTCATGGACCAAAGTTACGCGACGAATTCTTATGTCATGACCAAGCATGTGAAATCAAAGTAAATGAAACAAGTTCAATTAATCTGATCAGATGTCGAAGCAAATCAAAATCAACGTAATTAATATGCAGACTGCAAGACCTATTTTCGACATGTTTACTGGAGCGCGAACATTTATTCACTATTAGTTGCAGCAGAGGGTCATGTATATTATGCAAACTGAAGCGGACCAGGTAATTTACTATGTCTTTTACTGGTTAACTATATCTAGATATGTACTTGATAATGTACTGTACATCGCCCGAACATTAGCTGGACAAAAGTAATCGATATCGAGAAGCACATCGCTTTTATATAATTAGTATGAATATTCCGATAATGCCCGTAAAGCAAATCAATCCAAAAATAAGAAAGGAAAAAAACAGCTGAAATGAATAATGATGATGTGATGGGAACAAGTAGCTACAGCAGTTGCCTGTTAAAATCGTATCTTTTCGATGATAATATTAATAGCCGATCAAACAATAGTCTAATACTGACGAACAAATTTACTCATACTTAAAGTTGTAAAAAACTAGATGTGCACAATATACGTAATAAACACCAATCCAAAGTCCAAACCCTAAATGCTTTAAACTTTATAAAGTAACTTTACATGTACATTGATGCTTTGGATCTGCAGTTCGGGAACGTACGACGATCGCATAAGAAATACTGCTACAGATAAGCATTAATTTTCAACTCCGTAGCCATAGTGTTCCGGAAGTGGTCAAATAATGCATATCAGGAATAAACTCCCAATATATTGAATATGGCCATCCTCGTTCATAGTTATCATCCGAACAAATTCCCCAGTAGTGGTAACAGCTGCAAAGAAACAATGAAACATTAATTCGAATAACCACAGACCCGTATAATTATGGCGACGAGTGCGACCTGTATAATTATGGTGGCGGCGAATAAGTATATTCCTCAATATGTAACGAGTATCTTTAAAGCACATCCTCAAGGTTTTTATAGTAGGCATCCGCTACGCTGTTACAATTTCTTAGTGAGCAAGTTTTGAGTTGTCACAATTTTTTTGCGTTGCTACTCGTGTTCAGTTGGTTACAGCATAAAGGTTTCAAACCCCAAGCTAGACTGTCGCTCTAGCCAGACATGAGACGCCTGCTCGGATGCGAATTAAATTATATAGAAGTTGCGCTTACCAGAGGAAACAGACGCTGTAATGGAAAACCGCCGTTGTTGTCGTTGTTGTTGTTAAGTATTTGTTCTCTCTCCTGTTAAAAGTTATAACATAATTAATTTTACTGTATGGAAAACGGTTATACTGCGCCTCAGAAATATTGATACCGAATAATAGAAGCTAATATTAATGGTATAAAGATATCTTAATGGCAGTCCACACATTCAAAGAACTATCTAATGTTACCGCATAACAGCTGTCTGAATTGTGGTACGTGGCACCATCCACAGACGTGCTCGGAACTAAACAAGTATTATTATGGCACGGGGCCATAAGAAATTACGACTGTACTACGAGTCGAACAGTGCGGTGATATCAATTTCTGAAAATTAACTCAAACGGTACCCGTATTCTGTGCAATTCTTCCCGTCTTCTTAGGAGCAGCAACAGAAGCAGTAGCTGCAAAATACAGCACGTGACCTTTAAGTTACAACAAAACCGGGGATGTATTTCCAATACGCACATTGTTATCAGAGCCCCCATAGGGTGCAAACCCATATCCAAGGAACGGTGGTGGAGGCGGATAGAAGGGTCGTGAGCCATAATATCCCCCGTAGCCAGGACGCTGGTAGTACCCACCGCCATACGCGCCAGCCCCATACCCTCCACCACCGTAGGCCGGACCGTACCGGCCATAGTTATTCCAGCCCTGATATCCGTTGTAGGTCATCGCATAAGGATTATCGTTGTAATATCCTGCTGTACTCGGATACGGTCGGTAGTTGGGAGAATAGCCAGAATCATCTTTTTCATCGAAAAATTCCCTTCGTGGCCCGTATGAGTGGTATGACCTTGATGAATAATCATTATCTTCGTGGCTATAGGAATCAGAGTAATCGCGTTTGGAGCCCCATCCATTATTTCCGGTGTAGGTATCGTGCCGGTCACCGTAGACGCCGTCTCCGTAATAAATTCGCGCAGTTCTGTTATTTACGAGAGCTGATGCCGCAGCCACGACATTGTCCACTGTTAGATTCCCGAGAATAGCGAAGTTATTTTCCTTTGGGATATCAGGCTGAATTGTGATGCTATCATTATTATCATTAACAGCGGAACAAAGACAAAAAATCCACCAATGCCACCACAGAATAACTGAAACCTGAAATTAAATAAAACCGATCATGCTGTATAGTAGAATAATAAAACTAAAATGCGGCTTAAACACACTACTGCAACAAAGATACTACGTTTTCCTACCATGTTAAATGCATATATCGCCATTTTGCTATCGTTTTCCGTCCACCGAGCGTTTGCGGTTCGCTTATGAGTAGCATCGCTTTTCACGATAAATTAATTGGATCAATAGAGCATCAAAAAAAGGAGAGGTGGTCAGGTGGACTATGCGGAAAAGATCGTAAAGCACTTTCACTTCTCTATTTCTAGAGTATTAAGCAATCTTCTTCCTACACACAGTACAGCTGAGCTTTGCTGGTGCTAACAAGAGCGGAACAACGTAAACTGTCACAACGACCAGTATTATTGAACGTTTGCGAACACAACGGCGTAATGCAATTGGTCGGAAAATATCACAGAATTGCTGCCCGCAAACGACGAAACAACACGTTTTAAAACTTGATGGAAAAACAACAAAATAGTGCATTAAAGTAACACAAACAGTAAGTACCTCCATATGAAAATATCAATAAAATCGTTTGCGTCTGTCCTGCTTGCTATACTGATACAAGAATATACCACCAAAAATCACAATTATGCAAATGATTATGATCAAAATGACGTATCCAAAAACTTTCAACCCGGAACCGGCAACTTTCGCTACTGTAGATGGTGGAACATCTTCTATGTGAGCTGAAAAAACAATTGTCAAGGATTAAAAACATTCTGCAATGCAGGTACGTATTTCGAAACTTACGCCTCTGCGGTTCAGCGTTAGACGCAGAAGGAATGATACGAGATCGAGCCATTGCAGTATTCTGCAAAATTTAATAAACAAAAAAAAATTACCATCTTCAATCCAATACCGCATAATCACAAACAAAAATGTTGGGAGCGCTTACATAATCCGCATTTTCATCCAAATTGTAAAATTTCAACGATATTATGTCGTGATTATCTGCGAAAACTCAGAATTCATTATCACATTCTCAGTTATGCTAGCGGTAAAGATGTGTAACCTGATAAATCCCCAGTAGCAGCTGATACTCCGAAAAAGTAGCCTGTCGGCAACTGCACTCCTTCCACTTTAAAACATTCTTTCCATGTATTTTCCCCATCAATGTCCATGGACACCTACAATCAAAACGAAAAATGCCAAAACGTAAAATTAGAAAGGCAATTACATAAGTTTATTTTTAAAACCTTCAGAACTGGAGGATCATATCGAATTGCGACGTGAGTGGGCGTATTTTTCCCTCTGAATTTTGAAGTGCATCCCGCCAGTTGGGTATGTGTACCGTCCCGATCGTGATCGTACCCAATCGACCCATTGCTGACCATGGACGAGACAAAAGGGTGCTCGTGCTACGATACACATTAGTTTTTTCTGGGAATTTAAGCGAGGGCAATGTATGTGTATGTCGTAAGCCATAACTCACATTATGGGCTCCGTTATGGTTATTATACCTAAAAAGATCCAAACAAACACACCCCAGACTCACAGTAACGATTACAGCTCGTAGAACAATGCCGATATACATATTTTACTCACGTGTCCATAAAGATAGCTAATCCCGAAAAGAAGTCCTTATTTCCAAAAACCGGCCCTGCAGAGAAGGCATGGTAGAAAAAAACTGCACAGTCAACAAAATTTACAAGTATCACTGAAAACGTGGGCAACGTTAAAGAATACTGTCAATGATCATATTTTTGTAGTGCCATGCTGGCAATACCGGTCTGGCACATGGCTTAGGCCCATCAATTAGATATTAGCGAAAATCTCTCCCGGTACTTTTACAATTATAAGTACTATCACATACAGTGTACTTTTTCATCAGGCTAGTCATTTCTTGCCATGTATGTAAATTCCTAATTTTTATCCAGTGTAACTTCTCGCTGTACAATTAACGACAAAACGCCGCGAAAAGAAAACTTACCCAGCTGCATCCTGTCTTTGGTGTACCAAATTGTAAAACCATCTCCATACAAATCTTTTCCGTGTCCGTGAACATGAAACTGAACTTGAAATTCCCATTTTGTCCAGAAAACCGGCTAAAAATATCCAGTATGGTATCACTGCTACGCGTTAGCTGCATCGGTCAAAAATATTGTGCAACATATCGCAAAGAAATCATGTTGCGGAATACAGTCAAGTTCGTACCACATTGTTCCATATAGCACCCTGTTTGCTCTGCTGATCCGGTGTCAAACGAATGAAATTGTTCGTCACCATCGTCGCGCCGATAAAGTCCCACTGTGGTATACTCATTCCAGAACCTGAAAAATCATTTTCTACTACTGCTCGTTTCATAATTCTTGTAACAAGCGAGTACACAAACCTGCAAATGGTTGTAACATAAACTACGACAATATGCAGTGCAAAAAACAGTAACAAAGTACTAGAGTAGTAAAAAGGATACATGCAACAAAACATACACCACGACAATCGAAAACACCGCAAAAACGTTCAGTATTTAATGGATTGTGGTAGTAGCATCACGGACAAACCTTGGTACGGCTTCACGAGTGAATGCTCCCTCTTTAAGCTGTCCATCGTATTTAAAGCAAACGAACCGCTAACCAGCATAAAGATCCAGTGCCAAATTAAAGATAAAATATTCCGGAGCTCCATTTTTTCGGAATCCGCCCAGCAGATAAACAGACTTCCAACCCGTTTCGCAAGACTGCGATTCAGTCAACTCACAAAGTTCAGTTTGTAAACTGTATCACAAGCCTCTTGCTAAATTGCAGAACTTGTTACTAACTTGTGTTATTGTATTATTACTCGCCTTTAAACTGCAACGACATCTAATTTCATCTATCAAATTTATCGAATGAAAATTTTCATCGACTGCAGCATTATGCACGTTTTAGAAAAATTTGAAAAAATCAGTGTTTACATACAGCGCTGACGTTGCGCGGTTAACTGTGTTGTGGATTGAAGTACGGTATGGTTTCGAATGACGTCGGTGCTCGGTATCCATTTGCCGTTTGCCAGCGGATCGGCTGGATGTGCACGGCGGCTGCACTCAGTGCACTGCACGCCTGTATTAGCATTTGACTGTAGCCACTGTGCTACGGCTTTGAGTTAGGCTATCCTGATCAATAAGAATAAATATTTTATTATACAAAATACTGTTTTGCAAGTTCATTTTGATTTATTAATGTGAAGATGATATTACTTTATCTCTGTTTTAATTCTACAAGCTTCGTGGTCGATGCAATAGATTTGCGGCCATACATACGAAATTACGAGTACAGAACATAGGCTAACATACCATACACGTACTGTACGTATTAAAATTAATGGTTTTGCCAACTTTTCGGTTTTGTTGTTTATGCCCTACCCCCACGAGTGGCTGTTGTAAGGTAAAGGCAAAATTACCAAAATCCGCGACTTTTATTTTGTATTTGCCGTTTGCGTAAAGACTTTTGAATTTTCGTTCTGTTTTCTCATTACTTCCTCGAAGTTAAGTTACTTCTGTTTTCACCATTTTTGTTGTTAGAAATTTCGCATATCTTTTCTGGGTGGAGCCTTGTTGATGGAGTGATGACACTGCGACCCAAGTATTGGAAAACAATAAACTCGATAACACTGGAATCGAAGATAATCTGCAGTGGGACGTGATGGCTTTATGTATCGTGCGTTCCAGCTTTATGCTGGTTTAAATACTGTTCCAGCTTTCAGTTTCCTCATTGTGGTCATACATCTTGAAGACTCTAGACAATCATATTGCGAACATAACTTGTGAAAAACATTTTCATCATGGCTGAAGCGTCCACGCTTGCGAGCGAAGGAACGGAAACTATCACCGTTGCGGAGAATCCAGCTGTTCCAGCGCAATCAGTGAGTTGATTTTTGAAGACGATCGACCGATGGCCTAGGTTTTAATTGTTCTTCGTATTATTTGTACTTGGTCAAGAATTCAGTGAATTGGCTTGATGATTACAGAATCAACCAACATTAACACTGCGTTTGAAAAAACCGAGGACGTCACGGGAGGTACACTGGGCTGAAGACACGGTTGACAACGAGGGACTGAATAAAAAATCGTCGAAATGTAAGCATGCACAGATTTTTAGAATGGAGTCGACAGGATATACATATACAAAATATTGACGGGGCACACTTTAGGCTGCTGCATTTACACTAAGCCGAAGACATTTGAAGAGAGAGAGAGTTCCTCGTCGGAGAGTGATGACGATTGTGAACATTGCCGTGGTCATGTGGAAAAGAAGAAGAAACGTTTGAAGCCATCCGACGAAGGCGACGATGTTAGTTCTCCTCATAGTCCAAATGCAGGACATCCTGTGCCGGCAGAATCGTAGTTTCCCTCAGACTGATTTCCAAAGTCTGCGTGCTGGAAATTTGCTTGGATATTATGATAATTACCCTGACGGATGTATAGTGCTTAAATGTTTGATGGCGTGATGATCATGGTAAGAAATCGCTTTCTGGCAGGCTTATAATAATACCGTGGATTTTCAGACTTGGCGCTGGTGCAATCTTGGCTGGTGTTAGGTGAAGCGTGCCATCGCGGTACGCCTTGCTGTGTTTCGGTTTTACCCTTCAGCATGTACATTTCACGCATTGTGCAGTTGGAAAATTTTGTATCTACCTTATTGAAAGTGTTTGCAAACTTCTCAGACGAGCTAAGTACGGTAGCGCACGGTTGTGTTCAGCTTGCTAAATAAAACTTGATATATGCTTTGTATAAATCCTGACTGGTGAGCTGTTGTTGCCGTTAATGCCAATAAACGGAATCAGGCATAAATGCCCGTACAAATTAGCGCAAACAAAAATGCGGTTTGCAGACAAGCAACCTCAGTGTAGACCGCAGCAGTATGCGGTAACTAATTTTGACTTTCTAGGCACTGTAATATGAGCGCTAAACGTAGTACCACAATTACCAAATTAAATCGCACAACAGTTAATTTTATGAGCTTGCGACTTTAGCTTTTAGTCTTGTACAAATATGCGTCTGTCCTATAGACTCTATAACATTGGTCTAGTAGTAAAATCTGTCGCTGGATGGAACGCCCGAGGGTCCGGGTCTGTCCGTAGGTCGACGCGGTGCCACCATTTCGGCTCGGGCTGCTTGTGACCGCGGGTAACCGCGAGGTTGTGGAGGACGCGACCTTTCGATATGCTGGGCCACTGCGGTTCTTTTGGAGGGAACATCAGACAAGCTCATCTCTCCAGCAGGTCGTCCGCCAGGCTTGGATGAACTGCTGGACAACGCTTTCAGTGCGTAGTATCCATCTGCACTGATCAGCACCAATAGCAACGCTCCCAGTCCCGTTACCAGTGAGATAAAGAGTGCATTGTTAACGCAAACGAGGTCTGAAACCGGTCGTTCGTCCGCTGCAACGTAGCGACATTTAATAAAAAATTGTGTCCGCATGTTACTACGTACTAAAATCGAAAGATCTGCAGAAATTCTCGCAAAGCAAACTTGCTTACCGGCTTGTCGTTTAGTGCGCTGCACTAGAGCACTTTTCTCTGTCAAGGTGCGAGTTAAACGAGTGCTTTGGGAGACACTGCCGAAATTTGTGCTGCGCAGGTCACAGCTTGCGCGATCTTGAGAAAGTCCGAAGCATAATTTTACCGCGCAGCGGATACTCAAGTCCATTTTTTCAGCGGCAGAGTTGATATTAATCGAATTGATATCCATGAAAAAAGATGTTGGATTGCCTTCGCTATCCACAATGGAATCACTGCTGCTAACGATACCCGTTTGGTCCAGGATTTTACTGCATCGCAAAGAGCGAACGGATTTAATTCTGGCAAACAACATGCTGAATCCGTGTCGGAAGTACTGACCTTTCGTGTACAATGCGCACCATCACACGCGATCCCGTGGGAAGCTCTTGTGCTATCAAGTCACATTCTTTTGGCAGAATGCTAGAGTATCCTACAGCGTACAATAAGGAAACACTACAGGTTAGCACTTCGCAGTGAAAAGAAGTTTTCTATTACTCCTCTTGGACGCGTCAGAAAGCTCCATTACGAACCGCACAGTTTGATTGTGAAACAATGGCGGACCATTAAGGGCGAAAGCCATTTGTGAGCCCGGATCGGTGAAATATGTTCTGATGATTTCAAACTGATCGTTTGGACTGTCAGTGGCTGACAGGATGCAATCTGCCGCATTTTCCGCTTTTGCTTCTACAAATGTAACTGTAAAACACCTGTTACCACTTGAAATACGCCGTATGACTTAAAGTTTTCATTTACTGTAACTTGTATTTTACAAGTTTACAGTGAACAACCTGTTTTGTAACAAAATACGGAATTTACTATAAACCTGCGCAGTAAGTGCCAAGACAGGAAAACAGTATTCCAGCCAAGATACATAACCGATAGTCGGGATGTAGATGAAAGCGACGGGATATTCTGCTAATATCCATTGGTTTAGTAGAGTAGTGCTTTTCTCAGATCCACATAACAGCAAAAGAATAACACTGTGGACAGTACTGTGCACTACAAAAAAGCGCTAGAAGTTAAAAAATCTTCTGGATCACTTAAATACCGATCAACCAGCGGAAGATGAAAAAAGATGTTAACCAGCGGAAGATGAAAACCACGGTAAAGTACAGCGGAACTGAATAATCAATGATATACGATTTACGTCGGTACCTACTGAACAAGCACAACAATGCAATGCATCGAAGTTTTGAGCATTCAAGCGTAATGAGATAATAAAATACATTGCTGTGATAGGGATTTACTGTAATGGCCATATAATTAGATAAACCCATTCACTGATTACTCTCAAAGATTGCTACAGGTCGAAAAGGAAAAGCGAGAAACTTATGGTAAACATAATCTGTTAGAGATAAGAAAACATTATCCAAGCAAACCATGATACGAGTACAACATATACAGGAAGTTTCATTGGTACACCATTGAGCAAATTAATTTGCAAAGACAGCGCGCACAAAATGTACCGGAAGAGGGGATTTTACGGCTTCTTGACAACTTCTCCTAGCCACTGCATGTACGGCGGGTTCCCTTGGATTATCTATTAAGCAAGATGAATCGTATTTCATATCTCTGTTACAACAGTGCAAACCAGACAAAAAGTTACTGTTCTTTGTAATAAACTTGTAATTACCGGAGTTGAAATAACCTCGCAGACGTCGTACGGATGATTATCACGGATAAACGTTGTCATCTCTTCGAGAATGCTTTTTCTTGACTTGATGATCTACCCATAAGAACATCGCATATGGACATGAGTTCAAAATTTTCGGCGTAATTAATCTTCTTCAAAGCCTGTCTTTTGTTTGAGACCACAGTGTATACCATTACCATAAGGACCTCGGAATCTTCTTGCGTTTCATTCTGCAAAAACTGGCCTTTATTAGCCAGAAGTGGAGACACGGAAACTGAACTTCAATTTTGCTAGTATCTGATCGCACCTTCCAGGTGTAAATGGAAACAATTCCCGGCACAACATTCACGCAAGCTGCGAGTTTCTTTTCCACCAGTCCTCTAAATAGTAAATACAATGCATCGAACTTTTTTAAATTACAAATAGCATGCTTTATTGTGATATCACTTAATACCGTACTATATGAAAAATTTCTATTATGTTTATTGTTTACCTAGCAATGTGCTTTGCAACCGTATCATTGGGCGCCGTCACATACGAAACGGTAAAACTTTCTTCCGCTGTGAAAGAGCTCATGGCCACAGTCCGCACAATACTTCGAGAAAGACTGAAACTCGTCACGAGCAGGCTCTGAAGTCCACCGAAGATCGGCATGCAGGAAGGAACCGCAGCGAACAAAAAGAAAAGCACCTGAAAAACAATGTGTGACCGACAACAACTTGTTTTTGAAACAAGACTTCTAGTCATTAATAGTACGCTCTACCAGAGCAGAATCGCTAGCATACAATCTATGATCCATAACATCTCTACTGCAGGGCAGCAAACATCACAATCTTGTCATTACCCAAAATTTCAGAGCGAACTTCAATAACTGCAGCATATCGCTTGCATTTCTCTCGTTCTTTGTGAAGCGCAGCCTTACTGTCTAAATCGTTCCCTAAAATTTTAAAACGAAAAAATGAACGGCACGTAATTTTTCTAAGTCGAAATGCAAATTAAGCCAGTGTGTTGTCTACTGCCAGTGCTTGTGTTATGCGCAGCCGCATTCTGATGGCAGCAAGACAAACAGTAATGTAAGCATAATAAATTCTGTAAAAATTAAAATCTTCAAATTTTGCTACGTTCCTGAATCTTGCTTAAGTTTATGCTAGCTGGTTTGTACTACAATGGCCTTTTACCTGTTGATATCAATGTTCGTTGGAATGCTGGTTATTTATAAATGCATAAGCTGGCAAACTCAGATTCCAGAGAGGAAACGGAAGCTAAAACAAAGCGAACGATTGTTGGTGGTGATAGCACACCCAGATGACGAGTGCATGTTTTTCGGGCCGTTAATCGTAACAGCCGTACGGAAATGGTGTTTGGAAGATGTCTTTGTTTTATGCTGTTCCATAGGTAAGCTGTTAGAGACTCTAAGATGAGAGGTAAAAATATATACATCGAAAGTAATTCACAATCGTCAGGACTCCAGTTGGCAGTGTCTACTGACTACTGAGTCACTACTCTAGCAAGTACCATGGAAGTACTCTTACTCTGTACGGTCCATAATTCGTTCCTAGCATACGGTATCCAATTAATTTGCGAGAATGATCCGTGTTCTTGCATCGTCATTCTTACATGTTCTAAGACTTTCTTTGTGCTTTTCTACAAGTTCAGTGCTCGTATGTTTTTTAGAGCATATCTTCGGCACATAAATTAATTGCACATAGATGTATTTACCATTGTACCTGGATGGTTTAGGAAATCATTACGGCATGGGGGACATACGAAAGCGAGAGCTCGTGGAAGCTTGTGAAATTCTGGGTGTGCATCGAGACAATATAAAGTGCATTGACGATCCGTAAGCTGTTAACAATAAGACGTACTAGTCGAGTCCCTCCTAAATTAGAAACCGAGGGGCTTTATTGCGAGAGTACGAAGATTTAACTTTGAGTAATATTTAATAACAATCAGAAGTAAATATTTGGAGGAAAACACTACTCTAGGGGAAAACCGTTTCTGATGAGATGACACTATAAAAACAGCTTAATTGCAGTGCACTTCCGGATGATCCTGAGGTTGACTGGAGTCAGTTACGACTTCGATCTTTGATCACTGATACCATTTCGGAATGGAATCCAAGCGTGGTACGGAGAATAATAAGTTTTTGTAAACCTACCACAGTCATCAGAGCATTGCGCTGTCGGCTGATAGTCTGCCAGTTTTTGAGTTTTTTATGATACCTTATTAATAGATAGCGACATTTGACGAGAGCGGCGTGAGTGAACATCGAAACCATCGAGATTTATCCCGGTGCTTAACTGCGATGCAGAAAAATGCTGCGTACTGCATGAAAGGTGAAAAAGCAATCGCGATCTATCGTGGCTTGGATTTCTTGCAGTCCCTTCTGGACAACATAATTTTAGTCTTCGTATTTACTTCTCTAATTACTATCGTAGCCAGTTTTTTTGCTTTTTAATAGGACGCCGATTGTTAGTTCTGGATACTGTGAATTCTGTCAGGAAGTATTTGCAATACATTGATATTCCAATCACGTTGTATGGCGACTGGGATTTGATAACTATTGTGAGCAGAGATCACACCGGGAGAATACAAGTAAGAAGATAATGTATGAATAAATACGACTCTTGCGGTTTTGCTTTAGGGCATATTTTTTTGTTTGTACTGTATCAATAACAATATGGTTACCTCATGTGCGGTTCAATCTGTTTCAAGCACATGCAAAAAATATTTGGAAATGTTTCTTAGAGACGAAAGGTCAAAGTCAGTCTTATAAGGCACTTCTTGACCTTTCCATGGTTAACCTCGTAAACTCCACGTCATTGCTTTTGTGTGGCATTTCAGAGGGCTATGCGATGTCACGCATCACAAATGGTTTGGTTTCGGTGGCTATATATTGTCTTTAGTCGCTACATGGTGGTAAACACGTTCCGGGAGATTTCAAAACAAAATGCTTGACTTCACCAGACACGCAGGACCGGACTTAACATTTTTGTCTGGATAATGCTCTGCAAAAACGGATAATTACCTTTCCAGATTACCAGTTAAATATCGCTGTCAGTATTGCTGTCAGATGGATCGCCTTTAGCACGTTTATCTAATGGATGTACGGGAGTTTCAGCGCATTTGGGCATTCCAGGAAAATCGCACGCATCACGCGCTTGGTGAAAAATGCAAGGAATCTACAGTTCTAAAAAACCAGATTAAAAGCGAGATCGACTTTTGGCGTAGGTACAGAACATCCGCTACGAGTATAGCTGAGAACTTCTCGCCATTTATTTTCATACGAGTTTTTTTTAACGGGATCGTCTGACCAAAGTTTTTTGAAGGTGATATATTAAGAAATCTGCAGCTTTTGCACAACAGAACTCGAAATGCTTTATATTGGACCCAGCTACCATTGGAAATCAATCATGAAATCGTCAGTTTATTGGTTAAAGCGGTCCAGGACATCCCGGATTTCCTTATGGCGGCAATTAAAGATGTAGATGCAACTTGTGCACAGAATGATTTTATGAAAATGTCTAAATGTGTCCTTGGACATTTTATGTGATTTCTGGTTTGTACGAATGGAGAAATCGTTTTTGTTTGACAGGAAGCCAACGCAATAATCCAGCGAAGTGAAGAAATGTTGAAAATGCAGGGAGATGTGCGACAAAAAGAGATGTATGGTAAAATCGCACGAGATGGGAATTGATAATCAGAAGCTGAAAATTATTTTTGTAGAGAAGCTAATCACATCCGATCGCAGTTGGAGGGCTTTTGGAATGATAAGACACTGGCGCTGGACGTGGACGTGATAGCTCATAACGTGTCCGTTGATTCCCGTTTCATCACGTACAAGCCACTGGCAGAGGGTGCAAATTTAGCTGTCTCCCACAATAAGTAGGCAGCGGAAATACTACTAGTTGTTCCATAGGGATAATGTTTACTTATAGGAATTGAATTATTCTGCAAGCGATAGTATTCGCTTACTAACAAACCTTACCGTTTTAGGGAAGGTGAAAGTTTCTACCGGACAACCGATACAATCAAACGCTCACAAATTCTGCGTGATCTGCAACATAAATTCTTGAAGGACTGTGATCGGGGAATTGCATTTACGGCTACGGCAATCCAGAATGCCCGTGATAAAGTGATTTCGGCGTTGGCTGAAGGACATCACTTAGCACATCGAATGAAAGAATTGAATCAGGAACAGCTGTTATCAGCGAACGAAGAGAAAGAACGATTCAAAAAGGACTATCTGGATCTGCGAAATGCGGTGCACGATAACAACCGGTCGCTTATGCTGGCAGAAACCAGGCTTTTTACGAGAACACAAAAACCATCCACCGAACAAGAAGATGATGAGTCGAATAAAGCGTATGTGATGATGTGGCTTAAACATCTTCGTTTAAGTAACTATCTCTACGATTTTAAATAATAAATTGATCTTTACAGCCTGTTGGATCAGTTACAAACGATGCAGAAAGTCTACCGCGATAATGTCCTTCCAATGAAATCGCTTCAGAGAGGCGTTCAAGATCTTTTGGATAGTGAAATTGATATTTCTAGAAGTATTGAACTTGTCAATAATAAACTAATCACTGTCTATGGGCAATGTGCTGAGCGGGGTAGATTTTATCCAACATCACAGCAGCTGCTTGGATTAGGTAGTTCTTACTGAAGAACAATTCTCGGCCCAGACGTTTGATGACTGGAGCTAATTCTGATGGAAAAAAATTGTCGCTCGCGATTCCTGACTGCAGTACGACTGTACGAGTACCAGTATTTGCGGCAGAGAGTTTAACCAATTTTCGGTTACTTGCGCACTGCCGCTCTTCTTTTATTCTTGAATAGTTATATATTACTCCTATCTTTTAATCTGCACATGGGTCAGAAAAACATTCGGACAATGGTTTTCAGTTTTCGCATTATTTCGGTGATCTTGGCACAGACCACAGGCAGCAGGGTTAAGTGAGGTGAACCGTGAAATCATATAAACATCCAAGTCCTTCCTATAGTGCAGAATATACTTGTAGAACGTTCCTGGATATCATATTATATCATACAAAGTGTGAGATCAATTGCAAAATCATCAAGCGACACTGTGGCAGCAAAAATAAACAGGTACTGTACTGTACTTGAATATAAGCTACGAAAACCCATCTAACTGTGTGTCTGGATCAAATGCTGGGCGAGACGTTTTTCGATGAGCTGTTTTCGGCCTATCCTCTTCCAGAACAACATGGGGACTGATCTGCAGATACTGGACTAAAGCGGGTGACGATGAATCGGAATTAACATTCAGGATAGTGGTTGCATTTTCATTATCGGCCAGAGGACTGACTCCACTCTCCGCGTCGAAGATGGATAAAGTATGCAGCATATTAGTTTTGGTGAGAAAATTTCGTATTATCGTAACTGCTGCTCGCTCAGCTGGTGCTAAAGGCCCAGTGGCCAGCGTTGACTTGGTGAAAGGAAAATTGCTATCTTGGTTCCCCTCAAGCGCAAGATAAACTCCAGCGCGTAACTGCGCGCGCAAGCTCGCTAACTGACCGCTTGCATCCAAGGTCTGCATGATCATTTCCTTCAGTTCTGCATCCACGACAGTTTCCGTATTCTGTGACATCCTGAAATAATTTACAAAATTTAGCAAGAACCACGACTTCGGATTATCCATACTTCTAGTCGTAGGCTGACCATGAGATAAAGAGGCCTACGGCAATCCTTGCATTGTACACTTACAAATCAATGAATGCAAACGTACCTGCACGGCTTGAAAAAAACCTGCAGCACCTGCACAGTCCCGAAGTTCGCTTTCGAAAACTCTTATACGTTGAGCACCGCAACAAAATTTCGAATTGAACTAGGCTGGTAGCCAATGTGAATCACTGAATATAGAATCACTAGCGACTTTCTGGAAATACCAAAAATTGTCCAAAACGAAGCACAAAAAAACGAAAATAACGCAGCGAAGGAAGGATGATGAAGAGTTGAAGACCGCCTCGCTTCGCCACGTCTCACATGCATGTAGGGGCCTTACGTACTCACGGCAGCATGTCTTTACTACTGCGCACGCGAAAAAGTGCAGTATTATCAGGGCCACAGACTGGTCGCTGGTATTATTCTTTTTATCTTTTAGTTTGCCATTTCTTTTAGTTTCTACAAAAACTCTGAAGCTGCAACTTTCGTTGCTTGACTGTAAACTGTATTGCGGTTTTGTGCAAACTGCATATCGATTTTTCAGGTTGGTTTTGTAATCAAGAAGTTCTGAACTTGCAAAATTTTGCCGACCAACAGATAATGCTATGGAGCATAATGGAACGATGAGCATGGGTAAGATTGCCTGACTGTGAATTAGAACTGCAACAGCGTACCGTTGGTTTGGAGTTGACTGCTCTGGAACCCGAAGCTGAATCGTGGTCATTGTTTTCCTAGAAACCGACCATGCAGATAACACCGAAACGACCCAAGACATTGCGCACGGAGTGAAACGACCGCGAGATCCATCCCCCGTGAACGAAAATGACACTCACGAAACGCAAGTCGATGGAGAGAAGACATACGGAGTTGCACTGCGAACACTGGATATTCAGGGCTTTCGCAGTTTCGGTCCAGCTTTGGATGATGTCGGCCATATCGACTGGATGTCTCCAGTTACCCTGATTATCGGCCCCAATGGGACAGGAAAAACCGTACGTAGCTGCAAAATTATTATATAATATTTTTTTGCGAACGTCCTGTTTTTTGTAGACGATAATCGAATGCCTGAAATTTGTGCTGACGGGAGAAACCCCTCCGAATAGTAACAGGGGAACAGCTTTCATCCACGATCCCAAGGTTTGTAGAACATTTCGCTAACATTTTTTCCTTTTGAGTATTAATTTAACGCTCAAAATTGGATTGTTACTTTAGCTGAACGGAAATGCTGAAGTTCGTGGACAGATCTCATTGAAATTTTTTGGAGCCGATAATAAAGATTATGTTCTCACTCGTACCGCCCAAGGCAGCACAACAAAAAATGCGAAGGTAAATTCGATACTGCACGGTCTGTGTCCCTGCTGAATTTTGATCTGGTAGGGTCAAGTGGATGTGAAATTCAAGACGTTAGAAGCTTCGCTAAGCTACTTCGATGGTGGCAAAAAGGTTGCGGTAACGCATACGGTCGACCAAGCAGGCCAGACAGTGAGTTATGGTTTCCTTTTTTTGGTTTTCGTAAAAATATTTACAAATTCATTCCATTGTCCCCTAGATGCAAGCGATTGTTGGGGTGTCGAAACCGATCTTAAATAGCGTGATCTTCTGTCACCAGGAGGAATCCGACTGGTGAGTGTCTGATTGGTGATAATTTGTATTAAGCTTTCATATATATCTTACAGATCATTAGCCGTAAAAATTTCTGAAAATTTGTTACTTCAGTGAAATTTATGTAAATTTGAGATACAACTACACTACTGCAGTACGTAGTCTCGTACTTATTTTTAATTTCAATGTTGTCTGAGCCAATTTTTTTTATGGCCAGCTTTTGGATGGTTAGCTTACTGTCGGTTAGTTGCCCGTACCGACCTGCTGACTAACCGCTGCGGAGCCGCTTTGTGTTTGGCAGCGCATTTCAGAACCAGAATCTCACTACTAATAAATTGCTGGTTGTTTTGAAAAATCAAGAAGCGCCATAAATTTACTGAAGAAATTTTTTTGCTACTCTGGTCTCCATTTCTGTAAAGTTGTAAACTGTTTTAGCTTAAAATGTTTTATATTCCGCAGCACGCATGTGGTGATTTTGCTAATTATTCATCCCGATTCATTGTATTGTGTGTATTTACTTCTTGTTAGAAATGAATGCAGATGAACTGTGTCGTCGCCGTAAAAGTTTTGTGCCGATTTAATCGATTTTAAGCATTTGCCATTTTAGGCCACTTGATCAAGGTGCCAAACTGAAAGAGAAATTCGATGAGATCTTTTCAGCCACAAAATACATTAAAGCTTTGGAGGCTTTCCGGGATCTCAAGAAAACCGATGTTAGTAAATTTAAATGTTAGCACATTTTGTGATTGTGCAATCCGTGCTGACTTTGATACGTAATGTGTTGTTTAGAAGTTGGAACTGAAAGCAGCGGAAGTTGTACGCGATACTAAGCGTAATTATCGGAATGAAGCGGAAGTGGTAAGTCACCCCCCTCACCAAGCTTTGACGCCTGGGTCGACATTTTAGCGCTTTTTATGCGACCATTGCAGAAGCAAACAGAATTGGACGCTTATAAAACGGATTATGCGACGCTGAATACCTCTCTGGATGAGCAACAGAAAGTTTTCGCTGATCTAAAGGTCAGTAACTGATCTTGCCGTGATAGGCGTACTTTGCTTTTATATGGTGCCGGTTGCTGGCACTGAGAGTGATGCCAAAATGATAGCGTTAATGATAGTTCTAACTTCTAATCGATGATTGCAGGGATCGCACGATGTTCTGTTGGTCCGGGTCGAAAAAGTTACGAAATTGGAAAAGGATGGCGGTAAAGCACACTTCGACAGCTACTGTAGCGACTAAGTTGGGTGCAGTTTTATGATAATTGGTTCTGTTATTCTAGAAAAACTAAACTCGAAGATTCAGCAGTTAACGAGCCAGATCGCTGATCTTGAGAAGCGGTTGGGCGAAGAATATGCCGGAACTACGGAAGAACTGGAACGTGAAATGCAAGATTCTAAGAATGCCGAACAGGATAAAAAATTGCTGCTTGCCACGGTTTGTATGCACTTGATGCTAGATCAGTTAGTTTTCTAATATCCTCCAGTTTTTTCTCAGGAAAAGAAAAAGGGCACGGAACTGGACAAACGTTTGAACGAGTTGAGGAAGAACCATGGCAGATTTGTGCAGAACCTTGGAGCAATGAAAGCTGAAGCCGACATCAATTCCAAAACAATATCAGAACGAGACACAAAAATCAAGGATCTCGCTGTCGCGAACGAACTAAAAAGTGCGTACGAAATCACGGTTGTTTTTTTTTATTTCTGAGTCTACGGGAGTCGAATTTACAGTTTACACGGAAATCGAAGTGTTTTCGGCTGAACAAATTCAGGGCTTCGACAGTGACTATCAGCAGTTAATTAATGCCGAAGAGGACAAGCTGGAGCAGAGGAAGGTATCGTTGCTTTCGCTTTTAATCAGATTTGACGGTTAACTAACCTTGAGTGTGTTCCGGTGCGCGTATCACTGGTCGTGCGGATGTCAGCAAACTTACTGAGTTTATTTTGTCAATTTTAGAAAGACATCACCAATGAGCTAGACGAATTGACGAAGCGTGTTATTGAAAAGAAGTCTGAACAGGACACTTTAACCAAAACCGTCACTAAGTTGCGGAAGGAAATTGTACGTTCCTAAGTTGGCTTTTCATGCGTGAATTAAGGCTTTTAAGTTACTCTGTTCAATTTTAGCGAGAAAAAACTCAGCAGACGGAAGATGTTACGGATAAGTTGAATGATATGCAGACACAATCAGCTAAGTTAGACGCGCTTGGAATTAAAATTGATGAGCAGGTACAGTTCTTACTTATAACTTACAACTCCTTTGGGCTTGGGCTAATCTTAACCAAGTAATGCCGGCTCTCCAGCATCTTTTTTGTGCTCGTTTTGCAGAATGAACGTTTGAGCGAAGCCGAATCTGCGATGGATATTTCCCAACTCAAAGCTAAAATTTCCGAAGATATGCTGCAGAAAACGGCGCTAGGCGATCGCTTAAAGCCATTGAAGTACTGTACTTCCGTTGTAGTGTTTCAAGCTGTGACTTAGTCAAAATGTTCGAAATGTGGCTAATGTTATAGAGCTGCAGTGCAACAAAAAGAAAAGCAGATGACTTTGCACAGTCAAGTGGAGATCCTTCAGGCTCAGGTGACCGAGAAAAAGGAAAATTTGGAGAGGCTGTGAGTTTATCCCGGATTTAATTTAACGCTTGGAGCTTGAAAGTGATCTACTGTACTGTCTATTTGGAAAGGATACATATGTAGTGTTACAAGTGGTATTTATAGTGAATATCTTACGCTAGCGCATGTAGGCTGGAGGTTAAAAAGTAAAGTGTCTTTAAAAGTAATTGCTTTTTATACAAAATAAATGCTAGTAATGCAGTTACTGAGTTTCGATTTTGTAAAAACGATCCCTCCTTTTGTGCAGGAGAAACAAACTGCAATCTTTCGTGGATAAAATGGGCGGTGAGCTGCGAAGCGAGGAGATGAGGACGACGTTGGATACCAAATTGAAGTAAGTGCAGTAACCAATTTACTGAATCAATCCGGCATTCCGATAGTCGATTCCGGACGGCGTGGGAATGATGGCATTAATTTACATCTCTGTATGTATAACAGGGAAGCGACTCGCCTCTGTGACGGTACAAAGAAGTCCATCGGACGATTGGAAACAGAAATCGCTGTTAAAGAGCGGGACCGAACTAACGTCAAGTATTGCTGCTAACTTCAGTGCCTTAATGTAGTTGAAATATGCAGTCTTACAATTAGTACTTCTAATTGTTTCCGATTACAGGAACGACTTGGACGCCAATGCCGGCAAAATAAAAGGTATGTGTATGTAGTGTTGCACGAAAACTAGCGATGATGTTATAATTCGAAGAGAGCCGTTGCAGATTTTGAGAATGAACTCGAGCGATTGGCCGGAATCGAAAAAGATATTGATGCTGCACAGCAAAACATTGAAGAAGAAATGAAAAAGTGGCAGAGGTAAGTGTCCAATATAATTAGCGTGACATTCTTTGCGTGCCGTTTCTAGCGGCATACTGCAACATGAGTTAACAGTAATTTTGATAGCAAATTTATTTTACTTGTGTGTGATCATTACGCAGAATTGTTCAAGTATTCTGCGTTAATTTTACAGTGAATTAGCGGAATGGCAGGGGAAATCCGATGTCATCAAAAGCTTGAAAACAAGTCTGTTACGCCAACGCCAAGATGGAAAATCATGCTGCCCTACGTGCCACCGTGCGTTTTCCAGTCAATCGGAGGCTACTGATTTGTCCGAAGAAGTTTGTTGCTTACGGTTCGAAAAGATAATGTATTTGTTTAATGAGGGGTGTTCTGTAGTTCGAACATACTCTGCGCGATGTTCCCAATCAAATCTCGGCCAAACAAGCGAAGATTGCTGAATGCGTTGGCCGTCGCGATGCCATAATAGCTTTTTTGCCAGAGATCAAAAAGGTATTACGTGACTAGTTAAATCAACTTAAATGTCATGATCTATTAATCATCTGTTTTCAGATCGAGAAAGTGAAAAAGCAGTTAGCGGATCAGGAAGAAAAGCAGAAGAAGTTGACAAGTGATATCCTGAATCTGCAGAAGCAGAAGGCAGAGTTGGAAGCGACGCTGAGTGAAGCAATGGATTTGCACCAGTTTTGTACCAGCTCGCAACCAGATGTTTTGAAATTTGATAATTCGCTCACCGATTTCAAAAAGGTTGAACGAGAACTCAACGGTCTTCAATCGCAGTTGGACCAATTTGGAGGTCTGTTTTTCAGAACTGTTTCGAAGCGATGGAAATGCCGTACCTAATTTTTTCGTTAGCCGCTTCTTGTTTGTCAGTCTTATTTTTCTGTTTATGTTAATACGTCGATGCACTGAGTTTTTCAACTTCATATGACACATCGATTGATTTCTCAGATCCTCGATCCTTGGAGGAATTGAAAACTGAGCGTGACCAACTGGAAGCTGAACTGTAAGTTTTGGCTTTATATGTGCTACAGTACATACGGGACGTCGGGCAGCTCGACTCGTCCGCCTTTCAAAATAACTAGACAGAACACTATTCCGTTTCTGTCTGAAATGTACATCACTCAACAGGGATCGGATGGCGAAATCTGTGGACGATACTCGTGAATCTGTTGCGAAACAAGAAGCCGTTATCAACCAAATCCGCGATGAACTCAACACACTTCGTGAACAGAAAATGAAAATTACGGAAAAGCTGCAAGAGAAAGTTGCACTGGAGCAGAAACTGGCCGATTTGAAGACTGAAGTTGAGAAAGCTACCGCGGAAGCGGATGATCTGGTTCAAAAAGAGGCTCCTTTGAAAGTAAGTAGCATTTTTAAATGATCTTCGCTTTGCGAGGAAGGTGTGGTTGGGAAACTTCGATTATGATTTTGTGTTTATGAATCTGTTTGTGCAGGAACTAATTGTTACACTGGGCACCCAGAAAACGCAGGCTCGAGCTCGACTGAATGCAGAACTCAATGATAAGGAACAAATGGTAATTATAGTACACAGATGCACTGCGCTACGAGTAATTATGTCGGCAACTTGGCATATTATTATGAACTCCTGACTCCTTTAAAGCGCGCTAGTAGCACCAGCAAAAGAACCATGCCGAAATGTAAATGTCTTTTTTGCCATAGGTGACAGCGCTGAAAGATGGGCAAAAAGAACTGCAGAGGATGTATACCAAAATTAAAGAGTAGGGATTTGCTTTGTGTTACAGAATAATTTTCTATGTCTTTTGGTACTGAAAGCTGTTGTTTATAGTTACGAACGTAAAGGAAACACTGAGAAACTTCATACTCTACAAACTGATCTCGACAGTTTGAATGAAGAAATCAAAAATAAGGAACAAGAAAGAAATGAGCGAGCTGAGGATTTACGGAAAATCGAAAACGATTTGCAGGGAATGAAGGTACATTCTAAATACAAGCTTTGAAAGGGGGGAACGTCTTCGATTACGGTTACTGTTTCTGGAACGTCTGATTTCTTACAGACGCGCGATCAAACGTTGAAGGATAATAAAACGTTACGTGACAAACGGGAAGAAATCAAGACTCACCAAAACACGTACGTCGGCATTGAAGAACAGCTGAAAGTGGAAGAGCCAGTCACGCTTCGGGAAGAATTTAAGGAAGTCGTATCCAAGAAGACCGCTTGCAGTGATCAGGTGTGTGCTAGAATGAGGATTATTTTACTTTTATTGGTTGTTATCCTCTTGCCTTTTGTCGTTGCAGATTAATAATTTACAAGGACGAAAGACAGAACTGGAGCGCAGCATTCGTTCAAAAGAGAGGGAACTGGATGTGGATCACTATAAGAATGCCCGCAAACACTACGCTGAAGCTGTGGTTAAATGTCAGGTGACGAGGGGTCTTCGTGTATTACCGTATTTGTCGCATTACTGTAACTATAGGCAATTTTAAAGTTTGAACCGAGACGCTATTAAACTACGTCTAAATGAAGAAAGCGAACGGTACAGCAAATCAGAAAGAGCTGCTCTTAATATTGAATATATTCATGCTATTGCCTTTTGAGGGCTTGTAACTGCATTGATTTGAAGAGGTTGTTACTTACTTGTATGTTGTACTAGCTCGTTCGATGGTTTTCGCGGCAGTACTTGTGTCTTGCTAACTTGAAGCTGAGCTACTGGTTATGATGAATTATAAACCATCATCTTTATTATTGCAGGTCATTGATTTTGCTATGAAAGACGTAGAAAAATTTTACAAGGCGCTGGATTATAGCGTAATGAAGTTCCACTCAAACAAGATGGAAGAGATTAACCGGATCATACGGGAACTCTGGCAGAATACGTATCAGGGTCACGGTGAGAAAATAATTTATTTGGTTTTATATCCAGCCAGTTTATTTGCATTAACCGTTAAATTTTTTAGATATTGACTACATTGAGATTCGGTCGGACGCTGATGAAAATGGTATCGAAGGAGAAAAAGCCCGTCGAACGTACAATTATCGGGTACATAAAAATGGTCTGATAAAATAATGTGGTAGTGGATAATCCGTTGTGTACGGTACTTCTATGGATAGTCTTTTATTGCTTAGGTGGTGATGATCAAAGAAGATCATGCGTTGGATATGCGCGGACGCTGCAGTGCTGGGCAGCGGGTAAGGATATTTTGTGTACAGTGCAAATATTTACTCTTATCTAGTGTTGTTGTCTATCGGCTTACGATATTTCTGCACATTATGTTGCACGAAAACGGAAACAGAGTCTTTTTATGATTTTTTCTGCACGCGCGTTTGTTCCCTGTGTGTCCCGTTCATGATGAAGAACAGGTTCCTGGAATATTATGATGTGTCGTTTTCCTTACAGGTCTTGGCATGCTTGATCATTCGGTTGGCGTTAGCGGAAGCTTTTGCAATGAAATGTGGCGTTTTGGCACTGGATGAACCGACTACGAATTTGGACCGGGATAACATTGAACATTTGGCGAAATCTTTGTCGCTGTAAATACCTATCAGTTTTTAATGAATAATAACAGTTTTTATCATTTCGTCTCGAATTTGCAGCCTCATTCGTTCTCGGGAATATGCGCAGTTGCGCCATCGTTTCCAGCTGATTATCATTACTCATGATGCAGAATTTCTGAATGCATTGAATACAGCTGAAACTGGTATTTTGGTTGATCGCTATTACAAGATCTGGAAAGACAAGAAGTATGCACCTTTGCTAAGCAGTCTAATGTTGGTATGAAATTTTCTGATTGGTGTTATTTTGCAGTGGTCACAGTCGCTTGACGAATCTTCCCTACAATGGACACTTTTGAATCTGTTCAATTTAATGTATGTTTTCTATTTGTACATTAACCATCCATTCCCTTTAAAGCGTTGTGGTTTGATGTTTCGGTAGTCTGTTGGTAGTGGATGGCGAGTCAGTTTCAGGTTCCCATGTTATTTTGTGGATGTTTTCGCTATGGAATTCTGCTCACGCTTTGGCGTTTTCGACACTGTTTGTTGGACGTATTTTTAATTTGTTCTCGCAGTCGTTTTTTTCTGTTCTTATTTTGTTGTTTGCTGGTGTCTGATACTTGCGTAGTATTAGCAGGACGTCATACTATGTAAACGTGGATAAAAGTTGCACCACGCATGGCTTATAATATCAGAGGAATGTAGGAATCAGACTTCGCAGCCGAAATTTTTTTCTGTGTTTGATATGTTGCCTTTGATGTTCCAAGGCGTTTTATTCCCACTAATTCGAAGTCACATATCATCCACCTAAACCAACTACACTGCTTGGACAACACGAGTCAAAGAAACACAGATTGTTAAAACCGAATAATTTGAATGAATTGTTAAAACTGAATACAAATGGTGAAGCTTTGCTGAAACCACTTCTTCCATAATCGATGTCGCGATGGTGTTTTGGAATCTATTTTGACAGAAAATACCGCCACTGGTGTCAGTAGAAAAAGCAGCGCGTGTAAAATTCTCGATCGGAGCGAGTATTGTATGTAAGTCAGACGTTCTGGAATGGTGATACCATAGGTACGAACTACGAACAGGATGCCAAAAAAAGCTCCAGCACTCCCTAATTCAGCTGCGTTTCGAATCAATATCCGACCTTTGAAATATAAAGCCTGTGTAAAACGAAAAAAGCCTTGATTAATGTAATTTTATGTTGTCCGGAAGTACATAAGTTGTTGCTACATACTGCTCAGTTTTTCCAGGATAATCCTGATACTTCTGGATTATGAGCAGTATAGCCTCACAAACTACTAATATTCCATTATTTCAGCTACTGTGGATCAAGGACTTGCAGTCGTCTTATGGAGCTTGATAAGCAAAGGATAATGTAAATCCGGAATGTACGTATTGTTGGTGTTGCAGTACAGACGATGGCGATCAGACACCATGTCGTCGTACTTTTCCATAACTTGGACGATGAATTCGCTGGAAGCAGCTTGGATAAATGACTGCAATGCCGTGCCGCGCCGCGGAGAAAAAAGAAGAGCGTAACCCTACAACCGATAACTGAATTTAATGTGTTGTTAATAAGCAATTACTGTATCTGCCAAGTCTTTAGCATAACATAAAGTAACAGGTATTGATCGGCGTTTAATCACTTCCAATAATATTAAGACTAAGATTAGAATCGATAAGCCCGGAAAAATACCTTAATTAGAAAAATCAAAAATTCAAACTTTCTTAACCACCAAATCTTGATCACCCTTATTAAGGTACTGTTACAATCAGCGCCAAAAATATTCTATAACAACTTCTACGTACCTTATCGTTCAATAAATCATAAATGCACCGAACCAGTGCTTGGTGAAATTTTTCGACAAAAATACAGTCAGCGGCAATGACGAGATCAACGCTGTGCATTAAATCTTGATAATCTTCCAATGCATCCCAGCGTAAACACCTAAGGTAAACATGAAAAGACCAATCTCTGCCTATTACCAGTACTTTACAGATTTTGAGCCCAGAAGTAATTCTGCAGTGGTATTACTCACCTAACACATATGTTTTCCGCACTGTAAAGGCCCAAACTTTTATTACGCTTGACGATTTCTTCACAATCTGTCAACACTCAACAGGTTAAGTCTTCATAGTTCATATCAAAAAATGCGCAACATACGGACATGGTGTTTACTTTGAACACATTTAGCGTTGCCATCGGTCAGAATAACGTGACTCGTCTCCGAAGTAGCGGCAACCTACGAATTTACGAAAGAATCTATTTAGTGTTAATGGTATGCCGAAATGTGAAAAGAGTTTTCATAATCTTCCATACCATATTTGCAGCTAAGCAAGTCATTCCACCACCCAATTCACATATCCTCGCTCCGCTATAAATGTACGAAAAAAGATAGAAAAAAAAATTTCATAAAACTAACCAGAGCTTGTATTCACAACGTTCGATTTTTTCCAAAGCTCGAAATCTCGAAATATGACATTTTTGCTGCAGTTTGCTGAATTTAACGGCACTGCCAGTTATTGACCCTACCTGAATTCTTCCCAGTGCAGCAAACAGTAAAAGGCCAAAATTTCCTCCGCCGGCCAAATGCCTATACAGATGTTAGTCACGATCAGATTTGCCAATTACAGTAATTCGTTCCACACAAAATTTACAGATATTTCCAGTGTTGTCAAATCCAAATATATCCGATGTCGTCATCGCGGGACTGCATCTGCCAAACAGTTTACTTGAGTTTGATTTGGGGGAACATTTACAATTTCCTCCAATCAAGTCACGAAGCTCAAAATTCAAATATATTCGCATGCGCTTTAGAAAAAAATTTTGCAAAATCACTCTAGCAGCGCAGACTCGTACTTCAAGTATAGCTGCTTTTCGGGTGGACTGTCATCAGTTTGGCATCCAGAATGGCCATTCACTTCAGGGAGCGCCAAGGAGTTTGGCCGAGATTGAACGGAGCCACGATGCGGAACAGCAATTTTCATCCATTCGTCTCCGTTAATGGTTTCCTTTGTTTTCCGCAGAAGATCAAAACCGCAAAAATTTCTCGCAGATATTTGGCAGGCAGTGGCATCAGCTGGGTTAGAACATCTTTTACGAGCGCGAAGTGACTACAGCAGATAGCTGTTAAAAGAACTGGCAATAACAACATTTTATCATTTTAATGATTTTGATAATTTCTGAGTTTTGCGGCCCACAAGGCAGCTAACAAGGTACGTTCTGCTGCATTACAAATTTAATCCGTATCAGCATCATAAACTAACAGGCAAAATGCTACCAATGTTTCGTGAAGTCTTGCGAAACACGATACCAATGCGATGCTTTTCATGGTTTTCATGGTAGCTACCGGACTTACCTGAGACAGAAACTTCCAGCGAATTTGAGCGTTTGTATTTGCCGACATTTTCAAAGGCTCTCAACACTTACGCAGACAACGTCATTATCCAGCTTTCAGATTCCTTGAGCACATTTTACACTAACCTGACAAACAAATTTTTCACGGTCAGTCAAAAGGTTGCCAGCTACAAATAACAGCGAAAAAAAGGGAAATAAAATTATAAAGGAAACGTCCACAGTTTGTTTTGCTTTTGACGTTACCCACGTAACTGCCCCCTTAAAGCCGTTCACGCCTTTGATTTTCACACGATTTTTTGGGTCAAAAAATAGGGTTGACTTTAATTCATAATACATTTGTTTTTTGATTGATCGTAGTAATAGTTTATATAATTGATCTTGGCTTGAAGAGTTATTTGCCATTTAAAACTGTTATTTATTCTAAGGCGTCGAAACATCTTTCAAATTTGGAAAGCTTCGGAAGATCTGGCTGCATTAACCCAATGGCCCTTAACTGCCGGTTCTTTACGGCATACCGGATAGCAAGAGATCTTCGCTTTTCCTTGGCTCAGATAGGCAAGTCTGGGAATTGCGGGCTTGATGTAAATGTCACAATGGCTCCTTGTTTGCAGCCCCACGCAGATTCTACTCCCTGCTGCCATCTGCGTATCACTTGGACGATGTTTGGCGAACGCGCTTGGATACTCCGTTAATGCAGCAGCTCCGAGCAGGTGCGCTTATCATGCCGTCGGAGTTTGGAGGCAAAATTTCGTGATAGGTTGCATTTTGCTAAATGCATATCTCTTTTCAGAGGAATTTTACGTCGAACTGCGAAAACGCTTTGAGATTACCAAAGACGCCAGTCCACTCGATGTGGAAATTGTATGTGTGTTTTGTATTTTTATGCAGAATATTAGTCTTCAGTGTCGCGTTTGTTCTGCAGTTCGCCAATAAAGCATCGCGAAATGAAGAAGCAAAGCATTTGGTGGAGATCTTGGAATTGTAAGCCAGTCTTCAGTCTGAAATTTGATTATCATTGTTTATAACCTTATAGGTTTGAGATTTTTAAGTGGTTCTTGATAGCTTCCGCACGTCGAATGTGACAAGTGTGTTTCGCGAAGGAATGCACCATGCCTTTGTCAGGCTGTTTTTGGAATTGGGAAATTTGGATGAACTACTAAAGATTTTAGCGAATAAGCCCAAGTATGGATTATTTTTGGACCATTTCGCTGCCAGTCTCCTGATGGATAAGTTCTTACAGTTAAAAAGACCGCAAGGTGAGGTTAGCAAAATGCGCGGGAATTTCATTTCAAATGGTGATGAGGAAAGCAGTCAGCAAGTAGAAGAAAGTGGTTAATTGGTTAATCTGTTAATATACAATAAATGTTGATACGAAATTGCTGAAAAATGTTTGTCGGCCTTTGGTAATATTTCTGATACAAGAAAGTCTACAAACTACGAGTAGAGTATTGTTTTCTGTAGGCTCGCCCAAATGCGTAATCACAAAAAATTCCACAACTTCATAAATATAAATTTATCACGTTCTAAATTTTGCAGAGGAGAATCAGTGAATAGTAAAAACATCCTTAAAAGCCATTCCTCGGAATGTGCTACTGAGGGTTTTTGCATTACATCTAAGGTAGCCACTTTGCCGTGTTGTTGTAGATGCGGTGAGGATAGCTATTGACCAAATGCTTCAGGAGGACTTCCAGTCGCCGGTGACACGCGATTTGGCCCTGCATTGTTGTATATCGTTCCTTACAAGTGGCAGTCCCGATTGGAATCTACTTGCATCGCTAGTTGAGCCGGTTGTTGTTCCGGACACTGGAGAAGAAGTATGAATTCTGTTTCATTGTTGCCGTTTCCTATTTAATAACGTGCCGATAAGAAACCGTTTACTGTTGCCGTTTTAGTTTTCTCTAAAAATCTGTAATTGTTTTTCGCGACAGATTATCGTCTACGTTAGGAATATCAAGAATCCATTCTTTGACGATCATTTTGATACAGCCGACCCAAAGCATTTGTTTGGGAAAACTTTATACATGGCAGGCCGTGCACATAACGATCTTCTTGGACGAAGCTGTCAACTCATCGGTCTAGGTCTGTATGAGAAATGGGATAAGTCTGCGAAGCTTCTACAGATGTGCTTAGAGAAAGGACAGGAAGGGACACTCCTAAAAGAATCGGTATTTTAATCTTTGTCATCACTGACCATGATTCCAAGAGTGTATACATGCGCGTTTCGTAGATCACAGTTGTGTATATCGTATGTTGTAGCTTGAGATATTTATGGATATCCTGAAAAACACAGAAAAGACACCTGAAGGATTTCCTGTGAAGCCGTCGCCCTTTGAAACCCAACCAATTATTCCGGTAGTGGGTGGTATTACTCCACCGGCCCCGGTTGATCTTAACGCTCTTCTCAGAAAAGCGGAAGAAATAGGGCGTAGTATGAGCGCGAACAAATCTCTTGTTGATGGATCGCTTCCGCAGTTAGCCGAAAAACAGGTACGAATATCCGTTTCAATTGTGGAGATTAACGCAGTAATAAAATTTAATCTGTAACCAGGTAAAAGAGACCATTGAAAGAAACTGGCAGCACGATGCAGAGAAACAGTCGGCATTATATGCCTCCTGGACATCGAGTCGTGAGACCGAAGTGGATCGGCTGATGCGTAAATTTCAGATCGAAGAACGACTGAAAGAACTCCAGACGCAGAGAAATGCTCTAACAGCCGAAGAAGAAGTTTTGTTCTTTTTCGAGCGGAAGAACGAATGGGAAAAGCTACTAACGCCTACTGCACGGCAGAATATGCTGGATGCGGAAGCAGCTGATGGATCTTCATATGACTATCGCATTGAAGATCCACAATATGCCGTTCAACAGATCCCTGAACCGAGCACCTACAGGTTCGTCCGTTGGTGGAAGAGAGACCAAGCAGCATATGATGCAAAGCAAAAGGAATTAGATTATCATCGCTAGTAAACTCATCTGATTGCTATTTTGTTCGACTGGATTTTGGTGTACTAAAGTAATTAAAGTGTTACAGATATGACATTCAGAGGAAGCGATGCATTACATGTACAAATTATCGATTAAGATTTGCTACTGAGAGAAGCAGACATTTTCTCAATTATCTTGTCATAATTGTATCTTTTACGAGGAAGCAGCTGACCGCTAGCTTTCCACACGGCCACGCGCTGTCGGTAGTAGGTTTTATCTTTTGCGCGTTTCGCCATTCGCAATTCCCAGTAACGTCCGCGCACCGATTTCAGCAACATTTTCCGTTCGATTTCCTTCATAAGAACCACTTTATTCCAATATTCCATGGTCGTAGGGTCCAGTTCGCTTAGCGGGGGCGGTGGACCGGTGCGCAAATTCCACAGCCAGTCGGGATATTCGTTGTCGGGCTTTAACTTGATTTCTGGTCCCTCTTTCAAATACTGACCGCCACATAGGTAATTAACCAGTTTGTGAGGATCACTTTCTACTTCAATTTTCTTCTTTGTTACAGTCATTCCAGCCTTAAACGCTAAAAAGATGCAAAGTTAAGCAGTGAGTGCGGGTGGACGGATAGACGTTGTCACGCTGGCAGAGCCACAAATACACTAAATGCTTGCTAACCTCCTGTAGTCTTTTTTGGAGGAGGAGCACAAGTAGCAGCGTACACTTGAAATGCTCGCCTCTGTTGATGAGAGCCACAGTCTTTAAGCACGGTGGAAACCGTCGACGTTCTTGGGGTCTCCATTAACGGATGCGTCCATCGCGTACGTTTAAGCTGCTGTCCCAAAACAAGTAACCCTAATCGGATAATGTCATTCATTATCCTGTTTTCTATGAAAACGAGGACGAAATCCAAATCAGCAATCAAACTTGTACGTTGGACAGATAGCCATAAACGACCGTGAAGTGCCGTGAGAACAGACAAACATCTGAGATGAGTAACTAAAAAGCTAAATGCAAGGCACCACCAGTTTCTCTCTACGGGGAAGCAGTCGAAGTCTGCATGCTGCAACAACAATAGCAAATGGGGAAGAAACAAAGAAAGAATATATAAAGGTAAATAAAATAGTTGAGATTTAGATCGCAAAAACCAATATTCACTACAATTCTACATCGCACTTATAGCAGCCTGAAGTCCCTATATATCCAGGATAAACAGACGATTACAGGTTGTCAGGTCCCGGTGAGCGGAATGATGCGACACTGGCATTTGCACGTTACGAGTAGGTATCGGATTTACGATTAATTGTATAGAAGTAGTCGTAGTGATGTACAAATTGTACTTACTTACTGTACTCGTATCGATTTTACACAAGTACCGTAATGTGCTTAAATTCTGTCTAGATCCTTTTTCAGTTATCGACGTATCGCTGAAGAAAGAAGGGAAAGCCGAAAGCGAGCCCGTTTGCCCGAGTTGGGTATTAAAATTAAATTTAATGAAGTCGTTACAACTTACAAGCACATCTATACAGTACCTTCGGTGACCTTTTGAGTATTCGCCGGACCACACTGATCGTACTAATAATGCCTGACCTGCAGCATATTCAACAATATCTTTCTCTTTATCAAGACAGCAATGATGCATCTCAACCGAACTCTGGCAACAAAAAGCATTTTAACTTGAAGATTGGTGTGGTTGGACCGTCGCATGCAGGAAAAACTTCCATATGTGCTCAGATCGCTCATCAAGATTTCCCCCTAGCTTACCGTCCAACATATGGTGCCAGGTTTTACACGAAGAAAGTGCTGTTCGAACAGTTTACGGTGGATTTCCATTTCATCGAAGTTGGTGGTAAGGAAGAAAATCAAAACGATTTTAGGGACCTTTTGGGAGAAGTTCGCGTATTTGTTTTCGTCGTGGATCTGACCGATCAGTTATCCTTTGAGAGATTTCAATCACAGTGCGTCGACACATGGAAAAAGCAATGCGAAGACGGACTGCTTCTGGGGAACCGAAGCGATCTTGTTGCTCGAAGGCAAGTCACCACTGAAGCGGCAGAATACTTTGCTCGGGCTCTCGGAGTAGAATACCTGGAAATTTCAACCAAATCTGCAGTCCATGTGAAAGATGTGCAAAAACGCCTCGAACAGATCGCAAAAAAATTCGTTAACGTAGGATTCCGTGACAAAAGCCAAGAAAACACTGGAAAAGCAGAAGCGGTCAAACCGCATGCTCCTCCTAGAAGTCGCAAGCAACCGTCAGGGGATGTCACGGCACAAAATACACCTTCCAAAAAATCGAGTGATTTAAGGCTGAATAATGCAACGGACGACCCGGACGACGATTTTTGAACCAGGAGTCGGCTTGTATAACTTAGAAGACAAAAATTATTGTGCTTTGTGTCTCTTGTGTCTGTCATAGTGTGTGTGACTTACAATGCTTAATTATTAATCTCAGCTGTGCAATATTATACACTGACAACTATAAGCTGCAATTAACAACCCTGCGAGTACAGCACTCATACAAAAAAATTTACTATGATTCGCAACTTGCAGCACCAATGCAAATTGCAATAATTAACATTGTAAGTATGTTAGTTAGCTATCATGTTCTTAGCTTGTACCGGTATACGAGTATTTGAAACCATCTGCTCCGACTTAATTGTGTTCTGGCTGACTGTATGAAATGACAAAAAATTTATTCCTAAACGGCTAACCATGCAAAATATTACTGTATATAAGCCGTAAGCGATATCAGTAAGTAGTATCGGTTCCAGCTGCAATAATAATAATTTAATTAATTTTAACAGCTGTATAAAAAATATTTTAGAAGTACAACTGTATGTTTATGTGTACAATTGTGTTAATCAGCAGTATTGTAAGTACTTAAATTTTAATTCACCCATTCCATGGCGCGGAAAATAATGTAGTCAGACAGTTTAATTATTTTTTTTGATAATTTATATGTATCTCAGTATCTGTAAACTTTAGTGGAATGTGGATTATGAGAGTGAGGTTGCAACCAGGACATTGCCAGGCCCGGCACAAGGTTTCTGAAAAGGGGGTCCCATTGCATATCCAGTGTTCTTCCAGGCATTTCCGGTTCAATCATAGACGACAGCAGTCACAGCAGCCTGCGCCTGTTTTAAATGAAACGAATGAAATGAACCTGATTTGCTTCCTGTTCGCTAATCTTGTGTAACCAACTGATTGAATTCAGCGCACGCTGCTGTTGCCGGAATACATCGCTGTATCAGAGTTTGGACAACCGAAGCTAAAAATGTGGTGTGAAATGTGAATTCTGCAGCCTGAAGGCACTGACAGGGCAGTCAGGCACGGTATTAAAAATCCCATAAATTCCTTCCATCATACAGCAGTAAGACTGTAATAAGACTTAAGAGCACTGCTTCATTCTAAACTTTACGGCATTATTGTTTAAAGTTCACTTGTTCTAATCCGAGATACAACGAAGAATCTTCTATTTAAGTCTACAATTTATCTACTTACCGCCTTGTGTCTACAATCAACGCAATGGGATGCACTGTCATGCACATGAGTGAAGCTTTATGATTATTTTATCGGTGAAGGCAAAGTCGGTATCTGAACTATCTTCTGTGGTTTTCAAAGCTCTTCTTCGTGTTCTGTGCTGAGACTGTAAAACCTGCTGCAGTAAGTTAACCTTGTTTGCGAGATCCATTAAGGAGTTTCCCTTGCGAGAATACACCTTGCCGTGTGGCAATCATTCTGACGGTGATACAGCGCAGCAATCATGGGAAACGAAGCATCCCTGCAGCTGGAGATGTGCAGTACTTTTGACGCCGAGGAAATCCGACGTCTCGGGAAGCGTTTCAAAAAGCTGGATCTCGATAATAATGGTTCACTGAGTGTGGATGAATTTATGTCCCTGCCGGAGCTGCAGCAGAACCCTCTAGTCCAGAGAGTGATAGATATCTTCGATACGGATCTGAACGGTGAAGTGGACTTTAAGGAATTCATCCAGGGTGTCTCGCAGTTCAGCGTCAAAGGCGATAAGGAATCCAAACTGCGTTTCGCCTTCTCCATCTACGATATCGATCGTGATGGCTTCATCGCCAACGGGGAGCTCTTCCAAGTCCTCAAAATGATGGTGGGCAACAATCTGAAGGATCAGCAACTTCAGCAGATTGTCGACAAGACCATCATGTATGCCGATAAGGATGGGGATGGGAAGATCTCCTTCGAGGAGTTTTGTGCCGTAGTGGGGCACACGGATGTACACAAGAAGATGGTGGTGGATATCATTTAAGAAGGGTCCCGTTCGGGGAAGAGTAACGAAACAGGAAAGCATACTCCCCTGCCACCAATCATTACGTCACATTTCCCCTGGATACGAGCAAACCGGTTTCGACGGAGAAGGCTCAAATTATTTTTATGAAGCCTTTAAGTTCGACGTATACCATGTCGATTACTTTCAGATAGATAGAATAATAAATGAAAATATGATTGTGTCATATTAGTTTCCCGTGATTTAATTGGTCATAATCGGTTGATTTGTTTCAGACTGTAAAAACCTGTAACTCATTTTTCTGAGGGGAGTTGGTTAAATTTGTACGAGACGTTTTGATAGCTTTTAATCACTTCTTTTTATGTAAGTGTTTTTGTCTTAGTCCTTGGGCTTTGTCTGTCATATCTCGCTTGGGTTATTAGTGACTCGTAGATATTTGAGTTGTCTGTGGATGCTGAAAAAGTTTTCTTGTAACCACTAGCCAGCAAACAATTAAATTTTTAACAAGTACTGTAACCTTTCAGCCATACGTGTAATTTGGTAATCGAAATTATTTTGACGAGATGTAAATAAGCGTTCAGAAAGTACCGTAGTCAATCGTATAAAACATTGTGGTTACTGTAAAGGTTATGCTAACAGATATCGGAATGATGATGTATTCCATTAACCAAATTACTGGAATTAACGAAAAGCTGCCAGAGGTATCCACGCCGTTCCTAGCTGATTGGGAGCCAAAAATCCTTTGGCCGGCGGCAGAGAAATGGACTTGACCTCGGGATTCTCTTTCGATTCTGACTTCGGTGGTACTGCCATTTTTTCTGCGGCCATGTCGTCACTAATATTTCTCCTTTTGTTTACCAAACGAATGCGGGAAGGTTTGTTACTGGAGCTTTGAACTTTCGGAAAAGGGAAACGACTTCCTAAACCAATTTATGATATTATACTATAGTAATTACAATATTATGTAAATGGATGCGCTACCACGCCGGAATAGAACATTTCGGTAAATTATACGTATTTCGGCATACGCCATGCGACCATTTAGACTTTGTACCTACAGTGGAGGGTTTAGGTTAACTGTTTTTAAAAGTTTTAAAGGTTTTAAGACTTGGTCCACTATACTCTAGCTTAATATTAAAGATTAAATAGGGCCCACTATGTACGTACGGGTACCTAGTCCTACACTGGTTCAGACGGACATTTCGGCACTCAAATGTTTACTAATGGCAAGCAGTTTATGAAAATAAATGAAGTCTAAATACAATTTCAACACAACGTACGACACGATATCCCGGGCCAGAATCAGAGTGGAGAAGCTATAACGGCAATCGACGTCGAAAGTAAGGAATATCACGACTAAAAACTGGTATTAACGTTTTATGCCGAAATGCCAATACACGCCAAAATAACCGTATGGCGAAATGTCCGACTACGCTGTAAGCTGGTTGCCAATTAACATAAACGATTGTATGCGAGTAGTCATGAGTGATGTACCCTATTATTTGGCAAAAACTACATTGTAATTGCTTTAGAATTATTAGTACGAGTACGATCGCGAGTAAATAAAACAATTCGGCAGAATGATAAATGTACGACTACGTACCACTTCTTTCTGTCGAAAATGGACGGCTTGGAAGCTCAATACGATTTGGACTATTGTCGGCACCCACCCACTGCAGTAACGTGTTAACAGAATCACCCATTCCAAGATTGCTAGGAAAGGTTATGTCCAGATGTTCTGAGTTAGGGGATGACAGAAACTGATCCGCTGGAAAACGGTTGAAATTGAATAATTTATGCTTTGTCACCTTGGGAAACGCGAAAGATTCATCGGCTGCCATTTGAGGTAGATCGCTATTTGCACGGTTTCCTCCGGTAAACGACTGACTGGAAATTTTGGAATTATAAGCGAGTCATGCATATGTAATTCGGATTCAGAACACACAACCTTCTTAATTAAAATTTCCATAAACTGTTAACATCTGTACGATATTGAACACCGTATCTGCAAGTTAAAAATCAAAATTACAGTACCGTATATCATATGTTGATTTTGTGATGTGGTGCGACTCGTAAATCGCATGAATCTCAATAAAGCCTACAGCTACAGAGTAGTAATCTGACTTGCGGTGTCTGCATGCTAAAAAATATGATAATAATGTCAAAAAGATTTCTAGAAAAGGTAACAACACAATAACAGCGTTCTGACTTCTGAGCAGGTGGTCAGTGAGTGCTGGTTTGTGAAAGAACCGGTACTGTACTTAATTGTTGTACAGAGTTAGCACTTATACTAGAAGTAATTACTCGTAGATCGCGGCAATTAGCACCTCTGTCAGCTCATTATACTGCAGGCAGTAATATTATTATTGACTTATACATTTACATGCAACCCGTAAGGCATTTAAATTTAAATTTAATGCAATGCGTCACGATACCTTGGACAGCGCACGTTAAACCAATAATCACAGCTCTGCGATACTTGGTCGAATACCTAAAAAAGATAATAATTGCATACCGATCAAATATCGCTTGGAAATTTTGACTGCTCGTTTTATTTCTCGCTAGGTAGTCCGGTATTAAAGTTGTATCATGTACTTCGAAGTATTGATGTACTTCGAACCCGATTTCATGCCTATAAACTAATTTCAAGCCTTCATGCCTATTTCATGCCTATAAGACAGTTGCGATTAGTCCTCATTGCAGGTTACAGGACACTGGGCACTCAGCAACTTGCGATTAAATAATGTTGATCACTACATACAACAAATACATAGTACGTCTTTTTAACCAAAGAGCATAACTACAGAAATGCTTCTGCTCTCTAAAAATACATTCACATGTATGTACTGTAGTTCACAACTCCATATTACAGCATTCCGACACCACTTCCATGCACAACGATTTAAATAATTATTTTAGTTCATTATCTGTATTGTACATTAAGTTAAGTATATATCAGCACGTAGTTTTAATTAGCATACGAGTACTTACTGTGACATTTGGACAGATGTAGGAAAACATAAAATTTTCTATGGTACATCGACGAATTACTTGGCACCCGGTTTCAGCATCAGCATAGAAACCTGGTTGTTTTACATTGCTGCATGAAAAACTAGTTTGTGGTGGAGGATAACCGAAAGTTGGGAAGGGAAGATTCCCATCGGTCCGCAACTGGACCATATCGTCGGCTCTTCCGGAAGCAGCCAAGGCGCGATTGCTTAATTTTTCTTGCGCCAATCTAGAGATCGACTGATCACAGAATGCATACAGGGCAAAAAAAATCAAAGATATCAACACGTAAAATCGTGAGAATGTCATTATATTCATTTCTTCATTGAGGACAGAATTTCAGATTCCAATGATTTCAAGTTCAAACGGAAAGTGTAAACTCTATGGATAGAAGTATCAAATGTGGAAACTGGCTTAATTAAGTCACACCATACTATACTTATACGTATACCTGCGATCCAAATGGACACCCAACAGAAAAATGAGAGCGAGATATGTAAAAAACAATGAAGAAACCATCTCAAGCCGGCAGGCACGAATCAAAAAATATTGGTGAACGATACCGCACAATACCTTTGCGAATTGAAAGAAAACAGTGCGCCTGCTATGTCAATATGGAAACCGGTGCCTTTACGTCTACTTTTAACAGCTTCCCACCTAATGATCGTTCTCTTTCCGTATAAAGTGGTCACTCATTTCAAACAATTTCATTACCATTCGGCAATTGTAAGTACTCAAATAAATGACCTTCGTCAATACGAAACGTTCGTTTACAGGCACAGCTACGAATACGCTACTGTAGACTGCCAAAGCCCCAGGAAACGTTTCTCCAGTTTATTTGACATCAAACAAAACCATTAAGGCAGAAAAAAAAGAAAATCGTAGCACGGTACAAAATACTTTGTACCGAGCTCGGAGATTGAGGCAATGTGTCGCCAATTACTCGCCCAACGCCGTTTGAAATTTTATAATTCAAAATGGATATGTGATACGGCTGCTCTGTGTCCGGCAATACCGTCAAAATGGATTACAAAATAAGAAACTATTATTCTGTACAAAAACAAATCCAACGACCAGATCTCCGACCGAAAGCCATTCCAATCTGAAAACCAAATACGATCAGATATTGACATTAACAACAAACACAACGTTATCCAGGAAAAGCAGCGATGTAGGTTACATGACAATGCCGTAAAAATATAAATAAAACCTTAATAAGCGATAGTTACTCGTACTACTCGTACAGATAGGAGACAATAATTATATAGACATGTATTAAATTACTCCCTTAATACTGTACATGTGTACCAGCATAATACAGAACTAACCATGAGCGATACTTGGCACATTACTCACAACGTAAAGCCAGCTTCCACTGTTCTGTACTAATTTCACAGAAACAGGCGTTCAGTTTGTATGGAGCGAAAACTGGAGATCGAGTTATAGATTTGCGATAAATGTACGAGATGCCGAAGACATGAATTAAGCGGCCCTACCTCTTTTCTGGCACTGTCAGCAACTGAACTGATGCAGTCAATCCTGAAGCAGCAAAATGAATGTTCACAAAAGCTTAGATATCGAAAAAATTTCTAATTTACCTCTTTCGAATAATATACCTCCACTCCGTTTTCAATTACTCCCTGTAAAATAAAAGCCAAAGTCTGCTAAATTTACTTAACACAATCCGGTTAGTAACGAAATCGATGGGCATCAAAAGCATCTATAAACCAGATCGGTCAACTGACTGTTTATCATTACTGAAATTAGTCTCGAAAAAATATGAAAGTTTTGCCTCGAATGCAATGACATACTGAGATCACGTCAGCAGTACTTCTGCCAGATTTTACACACCTCGTCCTCTTCTGACTGCGAATCCACATCATGCGTTTTAAACTTCCTGCTCTTCTCGAGCTTATTCAATTTCTCCCTAGAAATAACAAACTGCGTGTAAGTATGGAACTGGGTTTCAAGACAAAAAACCATACAATGTTTTTGGAAAATACTGATGCATGTCTTCTTGGCTGAAAGCTTGATAGTCCTTGGGACTGTCCTCTTGCACGCATATATAGCAATTCAGCTTGTGCACAATCGATGTCATTCGTCCAATCACCGTCACGCGTTCTTCAGGGTCCGCAATCGTTGCACTATTGTATTCCAGTTTACGGTGGCCTAGGTGTTCCGGATTGAATTTCATGGCTTTGCATCTTGTAATGACAGGACCATGCATCAGGCGAACCATCAACACTGTAAGAAATCGGAATATATAATACGTTAGTTAATCTCATTACATGGTATGGAATTGATTCCGGCCAGTAATAATTTCAGTACAACAGAATAAAGATTACTAAATTAAAAAATGTCTGAAGTTTCCAAAATTTGCAGAGCTCGGTAGATGCTTGATTCCTTCTTAGTTTCATTCACCAGACCCGTAAGAAATAGCCTAATCAACTGTATTCTCATCGCTGCGTTAACTAAAATGATTATAGCAAATCACGTGCCAATGTCACCTTTAGTGTATTCTTTCTGGTTCACTCCATCACCTTCTTCTTGCTCTTCAATTTCTGGCGTGAGTGCTCTTTTCCCACGCTTTTTCGCAGGCGTTCCAGCGCTCTTCCTCGAGGATGTCACCTCTTTAGTCGACCTGGCTGGTTTGCCCGTTTTACCCGATGAGCCGGCCACACCGCTGGACGATGGGCGACCAGGCCAGTCCTCCAGATAATCACCCAGTGCTTCTACAGGAGATGGGTCTGGCTCATTTCTGACCCCACGCGCTGGGCGCGATTTACTCGGTGTTGCCGTATTTCCTGGACGCCGTCGACGAGTGCCGGTTTTACGGTTGTTTCGAGGTTGTTCTTCCGGATCATCCTGGTCACGGGACGGACTTGACTGGTCAGCAGTCTGCATGTCTTCCAGATCGTTCCCACTCGATCGCCGTGTAGGATAAGCGGAAGTGACACGCTTCTTTGCCGTAGATGCACTTCCTTTGGCTTTAGGTGTTTTGACTGGATGCTCCCGATTGTACCGCTCCAATAGTTCCGTACAGTTTAGGTTCTTTTGCGGCTCCCACGTATTCTCACTCTCGGAGCAGTCCTTCCATTTGATTTTATATTCATAGTAACGCCCTCGTTTACGGCGATCCACAATAGCTTCCACTTCCCATTGGTTTTCGTCAGATCCACTTTCAGCTGAAGGCACCGCGTCCATGTCTTCGTCCTCTACAGAATTAGCGGAATTTTAAAAAAAAACTATATTTTATCATTAATATTTTTATGCTTGGCTTATCTAATCAAATTTTATTCGCAGTTACCGAGTTATTTGTTTGGTATGTTTTCATAACAATTCTACAGGACTACATACAGGTGGTTTCGTTCTCAAATACTGTAATCAAGTGCCGCGGTAATTACCAGTCTCCATGCCACGCTCGTTGAATTCTTTGATCAGATCCTCGCAGTGCATATCGGATTCGTGAACCCAGTTGAACTCATGTTCGTCACTTTTGTCTCCGTTCCAGTTTTTCCACACCACTTTGTAATAGACTCCAGGCTTCGAACCATTTTTAACCTTACGTTTTTTCTCGATCTTCTCGATTTCGTGTTCTTCGGGAGAATCATCTGCACAAAAACAGAATTTGTCGAATCTCAAAAACGCTTTCGATTCTGGTTCAATGGCATAGCCGCATATGATATAAGTTTATCATGCGGCCATGCCTACTAGGAGGTACTCGGGCCACTCAAGTGATATGTGTGTTTATCAAAAGGCGACACATTATCAGTGATTTCCTGATTTCCAGTTTTGCTTCCACTACTAACCTTCAGGCTCGGTTCCTGCTATCTGTTCTTCGTCATCCTCCTCCGCTGCGATTTTCTTCTTAGCGATACCTTTCCCCATGATTGGATATTCACTAAATGCATTAAGAAATCAAGCGTAAAATCTCTGATTAAGAGAAGTCGACAGACGTGAGCTAATCAAACAAGCGGCCCGTTACAAGCCGGAACAGTCGAGAGCTAACAATGAGTCCGTACTCATACGCAAATCAATCCCAGCCAAACCAGGGGTGGTTGTTAGTTTTTACTTTATAGTCATCAAATCATCATCAGTTTTGCATGGCTAACAGACCAAAATAAAAGGGGATGACCCACCAGCAACCGCGATGCATCAAAATTTCACGAAAACTATAGAAGTGCTACGCGTTTCCGAAAAGAATGCCTGCGGCTCTCGGTATCTGTGGTTTCCAAATTCCAGATGACTTCCTTACCCCAAATCGGAAATTATTGTTCAAAGAAGTAGACCGGATCTCACACGCCCAACGAGAAAATGCAACAAGAACAGCTAACTTATGGAAAAAATTAAAACGTTCCTTGTCAGAAGACAAAGACACCACAAAGCAAGAGCACAAAAGTTAAAACTTGTCTTCGGTATTAAAGAGACTTAAATAAAGACTGAAATCATATAAAGAAGAAAGTCGAACCGAAACTCGCCGGAGCTTTGAACGGTTTCGGAACCGCAAAATTTGAATTTGTAGACTGTACAAGATTCCCTAGTAGTATTTAACCAGCCGGTTCGCTGCACCGGTACGTGTGTACGGTTAGCCTGGTCCAGCCAAGGAACTGGACCAGGCTAACCGTACGTTGCCCAGCCGGCCCGCGAGGAACCGCCCAGTTGGCCTTTCGTCCTGTTCGATTCAGCTGCGCGTGCTTCCCGCAGCTTACGTGCTGAAAGTGGTACCGTGAAACATGTTTTAAATTTATTTATAATACGCTTTTTGGCCCGGCTTCCTTTAAATTGGTGTTTTAATTTAAAGTACATTGTTGAAGACAGTAATCGTTCCCGTTTGATTCAATTATTTTCAGCCTTAAATTATGGCATCCTTTCGACTTCCTGTTTTGGAAGGTAATCCGGATGGTTGGGGTCCCACTAAGGTCCCTGAGCAGCTAATCAAGGTTCCATATCAGCAGTTTTCAAAGTCTGAACCACTTGGAAGAGTAGGTTATCCGCTATCAACTGCCATTAACGCTTTGTAAGAGGTACCACCATGAATTTTTTGATTCCAGATCACAGACTGGACAGGCGCCCTGCGCTTCCAAGGACGCTTCAGTCAAGGTGCGGTACCTGCGGGAGACCAGTACGCATATGTTCACGAGGAGGATGAAGCCACGTTTCAGCTGGTGGACTCTTCGCGACCTGCACGCTCGTACTTCAGTCGAGGAGTTGGTCGCCTGCGCAGCAACCAGGTAGGCAGTGGACATGGGCATACAGTTTCATAATAACGCATAAGTTTGTTCTTGTAGGCCTTCCGTCGACAGCGTAATAAGGATTTCCGTAATCTTGCGGACAACCAGCGTGATGGCCGCACGTAGGTTTGGTTGCGGCAACAAGTATCTTTATCCGGTCCCTATCGTCGTTTTGTTAACAGACAGAATCAAGGGCAGAATCGCCGTGGTGGCCTTCAGCGGACTGGTCGACAAGATTATAACCGTAATCGCGTAAGTTTGTGATGCATTTTGCATTAGATGACGAGCATGACGCTTTTGTATTATATTTGATTTAATGTAAGTTAGATTTTAGACTTGTATAGTGTGTGTCACTTGTGAAAAGACTGGCTTTACTGAGTTTCGCTTGTCTAGCAATTTAACAAGCAACGGGAACCTTCGGTCCCAATCAAAGCAGAATATGTGGTGATTGAGGATATGGAATTCCATCGAATGGCCAAATTGAGTTATCCCATGAAACCCAAAGCATCTGGGGACCGTGAAGTGGATGACAAGGGAAAAATTGATGTTGGTGAGGACATCGTGTCCTGTGGCGCTCTGGATTGGTACGATAAATCTTATGACCGAGTGACCGTGAAGAGCGAGAAACCGTTGCTGCGAACGGACAAACCTTTGCTGAAACACGTTTCTACGACTGACGATCCAGTTATTCGACGTGTAAGTTTTTTCTTCTTGGATTGACCACGGTGGTTGTTTTGCTGTTGTTTTTGTTTTTGTTTGATAATTGTGTTCGTGCGTTTTCCAGCTTACTAAAAACGAGGAATATAACGTTTTTGGGACCGATGCCATAATTTCCACGCTGATGGCTGCTTCACGGTCCGTGTATCCATGGGATATTATCGTGCAACGCGTTCAGAACAAACTGTTTTTCGATAAGCGGAGCAAATCGGATTTGGGTAGGTCCTTCTGGTTGTTTACCCTGTATTTTTCATTATTGATTTATTCGATCTTGCTGGCAATATATTTAACCGCTACCTAATACTGCATTCTTTTTATTTTAAGATTTCTTAACGGTCAACGAAACTGCTAATGAACAGCCAACCGAAGACGGACCAGCTGTGAACACACCAAAGAATCTTTCGCTGGAAGCCACTTTAGTTAATCACACATTTTTGCAGCAAGTTTTGAAAAAGGTATTTTGTAGGCGTGTTTGTGTTACTAGACATTCATTAATCATTTTTTGAACATTTTCAGTCTTCCGAAAGCGAGCCGCGATATAAATTCAAGGAACCGAACCCTTTTGTCAGCGCGGACGATTTGGATAAAAATGTGTGCAATGGATATAAGTATCGTAAATTCCAGATCGCCGACGGAATTACAATGGTTGTACGTTGCACGATCGACGCAGTAACGTCTGGGCCGTCTGGTGAATTGAATCTTTTAAACGTTAAAGCCTTGAATGAATGGGATCCACGGGTAAGAAACGGTTTTTAATGCAGTTAAGTATTTGTTTTTGACAACCGCATTGGCTGCTTCTCTTTAGTTTGCCGGTGTTGATTGGCGTTCGAAATTGGATACCCAACCGGGAGCAGTGTTGGCAACAGAAATGAAGAACAACAGTCTCAAACTAGCTCGCTGGACACTGTCTGCTCTTTTGGCGGGTGCTGATACACTGAAAGTTGGGTAAGCTGCAACGGAAGCTTCTGGAAGATTTTTTGCGCAAGTTGTGCAGCTTCGGGGTCTTGAGTAATGTGAGCAAATGGATTATGGATTAATAAGTCAATATTTTACAGATTTGTATCACGGGCTAACCCAAGAGATCCATCGCAACACGCCATTCTGGGCACGCAACAGTATCGGCCACAGGAATTCGCCAACAATATTAATTTAAATCTGGATAATGCCTGGGGTGTTTTATATTATATTATTCGCGTTTGTATGGATTTAGAGGAAGGAAAATATCTGATTATGAAAGACCCTAACAAGGTACGCATTGTATTGCGTCACGCATTGTATTGCGTCACGCATTGTGTTATATTAACAACTTACATAGTAATAACTTAATATTAAGAATTGTTTATGCAGTTTTTATATGGACTTACTCATGTGAAAATACATTTGAGTTATTTAAGTTCGAGTTTAATAATTTGAGTTTGCAAATAACGAATGAGCATTCAAAAACAAATTTGTTTTATTGTGCCATGGTGCTTGACAACCTACCATTGTTGAATTGATTTGCAAACAGTGTCATTTTTACCGAGTTCGTGCATTTGCAGCCAATTTTGCGCTTGTATGACATACCCGACGAATCATTCGAATCTGAAAATGAGGAGGAGAGTGACCAAGAGACGGAAAAAACAGGTTTGTAGAGCTTTTCTTTTGTAATATTTGTCGTCAAACAGCAAGCAGCCTCGACCTTACGGTGCTTTGTGTTGCAGCTAAATGAGAGAACAAAATTCTCCCTGGAGGACCGCGGTTAATTTAATTTACTGTAGAAGGAAAGAAATGGTTTTCTAATTTTTGTTTTATTTATCTGATTCTGCAGTGATTTAACACAAAGGGAGGCAATTGGCGACACTCGACAGTAAATGAGCTACAAAAAAATCATTCTGTTTCATTGATCGGCACTGGTGAACCATTAAATTGTCTGGCTCGACTAACAAGAATATTCCATGCGAAATAGTTCAGAGGTTGTTGTTCCGGGATTGCGAGGCCCTGAAATCTGTACAGTCTTCCAATCCCATGGCAATCAATAGGGTACACAGCGGTAATCTGATGCCGCCCAATCATGCCCGTGTTAGCGATCATTGGTCCACTGCTGATCTCCACATGATCGTCCACTCTATACACAACTACGCGATCTTTGGTGGGACTCTTTTCAGCAATGACGGGAATCTGTAGCTTCTTGAATTTATTATGCTCAAACATTTTCATGGCTAAATCAGCGCTAATTTCGAGACGCTCAATGGGCAACTTGCGACTGCGTAGCTGCGAGATAATAATGGTCAGAGCGCGAAGTTCGTCTTCTTTGGGATTCCACTCTGGCATGTCCAGATCAACGTCGCAGATGAAGCTTCCAGACTGAATGTCCTGATACGGCCAGCTATGCACCTGCACTAAATAATCATCCCGAAAAGCTCGATCCACCACGTAGGAAAGAATCAACGATCCTGTTCGCCAGAATGCCAAATTCGCTTCGTTAGGGTCTTCTTGGATAAAATGTTGCAGTTCCAGAACACAATCGCGTTCCAGAGGCCGATTCATATCCCATGGTTTGCCATCTACCATCGCCAAGGCACTACGCTTAACCAGCACCTCGCTGATGTGTTGCGCGCAGTGTAGTGGAGTGGAGAAGTTTTTATTCATGATCAGCGTCACATCTTCCGGCTGTCCACGATGCAATACCTCAATTTTTTCCACCCGTGTCACGGATTCAATCTGTCGGATTTTTTCTTGGGTGAACAGGGCATTGCGCTGCGCTCTTATGGTCTCGTTCGTTACTGTCCGCTTCGTCTTGGGAGCCGGTTCCACAAGTGTTGAGAGCGGAGGCAACGGAGTACGTGGAAGAGCCAAGAACTGTCGCGATACCTCTAAATCCTGAATGGAAATATTAGGCGCCGATGCCGCCGTGGAAGCAAGCCTGACTAGTTGACATGGTATGGAATTCAACAGTGCTGTCAAAGAAGATGTTGCTGCCTTCCGTAACGATAACATACTGAAAGGAGACTTTGAATCAAACAGCACTGAGCACAATCGTAAACACAAGCAGCGGATTCAAAAGCCGATGAGGGTTCACGTCGTATTTAAATAAGTAATCGCTTGTTCACATGCAAAATTAAATCCATCCAACTTCAGAATCTATTACAATTTACAGTTGGGTGCAGCCTTATGGAAGAGAAATTTAGCAATGCAATAAAAAAACTTCAAACCAAAAATTAAGAAAAACACCCTGGTTTTACTTTTCCCAAAGTCCAAACACAATCACGGAAGCAGACAAATGCTCTCGTCCAGTCGTCCACAAAGTGCTGAGTAGTGAGAGCTCTTGTTTATTTTGTGTCGACTTGGTTAACTGCCACGGGAGTCGATTATTACTACGGTTATGTACGCGACGCGACAGCATTATTTTACGTACTTACTTCAATACAGTACTTGGTTAAATCGTGAAGAACGCTTCGTCACTTCCCAAATTGGCTACGAATAGTGTTGGACGCCTGCATGTTTTTTTTATGGAATAATCTTGTTGATGTTGATACTGATAGCATACACACTTTGGTATCGGGAATTCCCACGAATTCGAGGACGGGAGGGAAGGAAGGAAGAACTTTCTGAGCAGAAAGATTGCATTACAAAACTGCAAAATGTCGAGTGCTCATGGCGAATGGTGTACGATCGAAAGTGATCCTGGAGTTTTTACGGAGCTTATGCGCGAGTTTGGAGTAAAAGGTCTCCAAGTGGAAGAGCTATGGGGATTGGATGAGACCCAGTTTACTGAGCTCAAGTAAGCTAAACTTCGGTACTGCACGACATTAATGCCCTGCAGTGCAGTTGCTGGAAATTTCCTGTTGGTGGGCGGCTCTTCTCTTTGTTTTTAAAGTGGCTATCCCAGTGCATTTCTTGACATTGTGCTTCTTTTACAGACCAGTACACGGTTTGATTTTCTTGTTCAAGTGGGTCCAGGAGCCACCAAATACTGCGAAACTTCTTAAGGACGGAACTCAGGACATCTACTTTGCCAAGCAGGTGAAAAATGCTGCATCTCTCGGTTCTGTAAATTATAAATACGTACTTTTAATTTGTAAAACCCAACCCATTTACAGGTTATTCATAATGCGTGCGCCACTCAAGCCATAGTGAATCTGTTGTTGAACACGCAGCATAGCGATGTCCAGCTAGGACAGACGCTCAGCTCTTTCAAAGACTTCACTCAAAATTTCGATCCCATGCTGCGAGGACAGTGTTTGAGCAATTCGGAGCAGATTCGTGCCGTCCATAATAGTTTCGCGCGCAATGAGGTCTTTGAGACATTCGGTCGGAAAGCGGAGAAAGAGGAAGACGTGTTCCATTTTGTGGGATATTTGCCCGTGAACGGGCGTATCGTGGAGTTGGATGGTCTGGCCGACGGGCCCATCGATCATGGTGAAATTCCCGCGGGAGAAGAGTGGACCAAAGCGGCCACACCAGTTATCGAACAAAGAATGCAAAGGTTGGCTGGTATTTTCTTTTGATATTATCGATTGTTTTTCGTGTCCCAAACAGTTGTCAATACCTATCTAACATTACCAATTTTTTAATAATTTGTTTTTTTAATTTTGTTTGTTTCTATGTGAAGCTGCTGATATCTTTTGCTAATACGAGTACTTACTATCCAAAGACCATTAACAATGCTGATTATGGTTCTGAATCGTTTCTGTGATTACAGATACATGGAAGGAGAGATCCGCTTCAATCTTCTGGCTCTAGTTAGCGATCGTAAACTAGTCTTGAATAGGAGAATCAATGAATTGCAGCAGAATTATGAAAGCATGCCCGATGATAATCTTGTTGTCGAAATGAACCATCTCAAGGAGTTGCTCGAAGAGGAAAATGCCAAAGATTTGAAAGCTAAGGTGGGCAATTGGTACTGCTCTCATTCTGATGACTGGCGCGTTACTATTTAACTCAAATTGCCAACATGTTTCTCAACAGGTGGAAAATCTCAGACGAAAGCACAATTTCCTTCCGTTTATTATTGAGTTGTTCAAAGCGTTAGGAGATTCTGGCAGACTGAATGGGATTTATAACGAGGTAAATGCATATGTGCTCATCCTTTTATCAAAATTGTCGATAATATATTTGTGTACCTTTTTTAGGCCGTCAAAAAAGGAACCGAACGTGAGAACAGAAATAAAAAGTTGAAGACCGGTTCTTAGTTCGATCCGATTTGCCGGTGGTTATGAGACAGGCTTCCAGGATGAAAAAAGGACTTTTTTGAATATATTGTTGTATTTACTAATTACCACTCTTCGATTGTTTGTTGCAGTATGTTAGTAATAAACGCTGTTGGTAGCACCGTGTGCTTTAATAAGATATTCATTAAAATGGTTCAACTGAACGTGTGATCTTATTAGACATGGAGAGCCAATCTGATCGTTGTAAGGCAAATACTTTATCAGACGGATGCAACTGGAATCCCTCGGGTGGATTGGTGATGACGTATCGTTTATGGGGGAAATCGGCATCGCTGTCCGTTAAACGAAATACTCCCAGAACAATCAATCCCAAACTAGTCAGTGCGTCCAAAAATAAGGCTCCGTAAACAGAATTCTGTAAATGGCCGGGATGTTGAAATACAAATACACAATAATACAGCATCGCCGTGATAGTGCTTGGTAGTGGGTACCATAATACTTCATATCCCGTAAGTTTTGTAGATAAATTACGTTGATCCTCCCGTGTTACTTCGGTACTCACTACTCACCGCATGAGATTGTAGATAGCCGGCTGTAAGTGGCAGCAGAATAATTTTAATCTGATCTTTCATATTAGGTGGCTGGGAAATATTGCTTCCTCCGATTAAACCAGCCCCTTCGGCGATAATGCGTTCGAGTTCCAGAGATGCTCCCCCGAAAATCATTGCGTGGAAAACCTAACAATATAAATGTTTTATTGGAACGATTATCCTCGTTAATGGGACCAAGCCATTTTGCTATCCAATAGGTCACCTTTATGATCGGGGCATTGAAGAAGGATGTTATAGTCAGCAGGTCCAATACGCTGGCCGCAAACGCTCGCCCACCGGCATACGGTGCTGTACAGTAGAATTCTGTTCCTGGCATATCCTTGTCATCCTGCTCTAAGTACTGCACATTCGAATCTCGCACTATCAAAACGAAATTACAATATACGATTATCGCTGCACAGATAGCGATAACCGATGAACTGCAGAAAAAGCTGTTACCGTACTGAGATCTGTAATTAAAGGTATGTCATAGCCGGTTTCACGAGGTGTTTCATCAGGAAGAAAAGCTTCCACAGCATCTATATTTGCGACAAAAAAATATCAAAACATTATTATTAAATGTGTCAGACATATTCTAGTAGATCACAAAAATAAAACGCGTATTGATTAAGCGATTTTACCTCTTTCCGCACGGGAAAACCTCATCGATCGCACATTGAGTGTGGCCAGTATAACGTTCTTATCCACCATGGTCGAATCGCTGTTCTTCTTTTCTGTCAGTCCCGGTGACCCGAGAATTACACACATCCCGCACGAATATAAGTTGATGGATCGTAAATCTGCTCGGTTTAACGCACTACCCTAGAGCAGACGAAAAGGTTCTAAAATAGTTTAATTTCCGGCACCAAAAAATGTTCCTTTACCTTTACAATAAATAACTTGGGTAGGTTGTAAATGTAATGCCATTCTTTTTCAAGATATCCAACATCGCCTAAGATGATAATTTCCTGCAGTTCTTCGTAAGGTATGTTGCTCGAACGTAAAGGAAGTACAAAGCTGGACAGTCCAATCAGCTGGGAACTGGATTCAGCCATAACGCACACCACGATATGATTGTGAAAATCCGTAACTGCTGCTCGATACCGGTTCTATTAAATTGTATCCTGAGATTAAAATGTATCTTGAGATTATCGAGGATAAATTCGAACTAATTATTCTGTTCTTATTACGAGCAAAATCGCGAATACGTAGTTAAAAGTTCGTAGAACTTACAGTATTCTATGCCTTATTGCGTGCCGTAAATGTGACGCACCATAATTATTTCCGGCAATGCTCGAGCCGGACACCAGTGGAACATCCCAGTTGAATCGTACATAATTTCCGAGCTCATGTGTGGTTGCAGCAATGCAGACTCTTTTGTGGCCACATCCTGGGCGATATCAGTCTCGCTTCCATGTATCGGCCTGAAAAAGCGTGACCTTAGTCACTTAGCGTGAACTGCGTGGTTACTACGATGTATTACGAGTTGTCATTCATAACATAGATCACTTATGCGATCCGTATTGAAATATTTATTATATAAAGGTTCATCTTCCTTTGGGTATCAGTAAATTATTATTCAGAAGGTTCGGGCATGGATATTTTTATTTTTTATCGTTGTACGTAATACTAATTATGTAATCGCCCACTCACGTATTCGGATACTGACAAATAAAAGACCAAATCTTGGCTTCCAGTTCCAGATCTCCACGGCATGACAGCATTCTGGAAATGTTACTTTGCTGCTTGGTCAGCTTCCCGTTACGTGACAACGCAACAAAGGTACCTTCAGAAGATTTGACTCTGGTCTCTAGATCTAGATCTGGTTACAGTACTGGCTTAACACAAGTAGCAACAGAATCACGCACTATGACAGCTGCACTTCTTGATCAAATCCAAATCGGTGACCCCATTGTGACAGATTCGGCAATAAATTTCCACACTAAACAGACGTCCAGGTAATAATAAATACACCGGCCAAATGATCAACACTGGTGATGTAAGGTAAACGTAATCGTACCGGTCAACTTCCTTTGTGCTATCAGCAATAAAATATCCTCGTGACCCTTCGCAGATCACCACATATGAAGGTGGATTGACTTGTGGAGCGGAAAACGGGTCCGAAGGCTTAATTTGCACGGCAAGTAACACGATTTTCAGTTTTCGGTAACAAAATCTACGATTAGTACAAAACAATAAGAAGTTTAATCGACAAAATACTTATCGGCAAAATGCAACGGATAAATCTTTTTTCTCACTCGCACGCTTCCACAAATCCCATTCCGTAAAACGCTTCACTAAACGGTCGTGAATATAGTTCTAGTGCCGTACCACGGACGTATTCGTCCATCCATGTAATCTCGGACAACTGCAATTGTTAGCGGAAAAATCTACTAGAATATTAACCTTTTGTCACCCTGAGTTTATAAAACAATTAAACTTTTTTAGAAAAACCATATGTATAAATGATATGTTATTCGTTTGGTTTTAACCGTCGTTATATACAGAAATTATATAGAAAAATTAACCTTCGTATCGCCATCTTGAGATCGTGTCGTAAAAAAATTGGCCATCAGAGTTGAGAATCCCGGCGCACAACAACTTTGTGCTAGCAAACCCAACCGCAGCTCACTGATACACAACACAGTATCGCCATATTTTGGATTCCAGCTGGGGATATTTTGCAAATATGCCTGAAATATGCAATCTGTTAAATTTTTTGTCTATTGCAGTCCCGGTATCATAAAGTACAATGTATGACGAAGACAGTATAAAGCACGAATAACATAAAGATTACAGCACTCAAAATCGTTAACCATACTTTATTGTGATATTGTAGTATTTGTACAATGATGCGCGCTCTCTCGCGGTAATTTTTAATAGCAACTACGCGCATGATATTAGCGGCATCTTCCGCATCGGATTCCGCAGCAGTCCGATCGGCCAAAATCATCACCGCTTCGGCATCCATTAACTGCACACGGTTTAAGTCCTTCAGTTTCATACATGTCCCGCGCCGGTAATCCAACCGATTGAAATACTGCTCCAATAAATTCCGCATATCCTCATCTGGTTCTTTTTCATCCAGTATCAGAATCTTGAAATATTCACTAGTTTCGCGATCTTTGTTGTAGAACTCTTTAAGGAAACTGCTCATCACCGCAGCATTAACCGATCCGCATACGATTACGTGTCTGCAGCAAAAACCATCAGAACGTCGTCTGCACAAACGTTTGGAATAAACTATATAACTGGAAAGGTGTTCAAGGAAGTAAACGTACAAGAACATTATAGGGGTTTCGTATTTTTTATCGTATTCCGGAGTTATCCTCACCAGAAGTATAATCTGCGGGATGGCTTTACTAACGATTCCCTGCAATATGTGACAGAGCAAGTTGACCACGAACGTTTGTATTTATTCGATTTGCCGCACATACCAACGCCAAAATTTGGAAAAAGTAAATAATGATCCTTCCAAGCTACAACAAATAGTTCACCGTGTAATTCAATATGCAAGATGAAATTCATTAATTGATTAAACACGTCCAATATTTTCCCGTCCCGGACTTCTGCTGTTATTATTATGCGCTGAGCTACAGTTATATTTCTGCGTTTCACATGCTACTACGAGTATTTATATACCAATTTTGGTAGGGAATCACGTAGTGAGTCCATAATCGCATTAATTCGAGCATACCATTGTACGTATCCGCATGCCACTTAGGTCCAGTAAGGTCACTCTTCCATACAAGTAAAGATAACAGCGCCAAAAAGAAATAGACTGGCCATTGTAAGTGCCTTTATTGGCAAACGGCCAAGGATCTCCCATGTTTTCCACCTATAAACAATACCGGACTCATACGTACGTAGAATATTATAATCTACAATGGAACGCTGACGAACAGATGCGTACCAAATGCAGGAATCCAGCTGCAATCATTAGCAGAGAAACCACAGTGAAGACCAGTTTAGCTAATTTGATTGTATTGGTTTTTCGGAATACGCCACGGTTGGAAAGTATGTCCACAATCCACAGAAAATTGTAGGCGCGAAAAAACGAAAAACCTGTAAAAAGGTGAACATGCTTTGCCAACCTAAGTATAATCTGCCACATTACTGCACGAGTACTATAACAAAGAGTCCAATTACCGGTAAAGTAGCGATTCAAGAAAACGCTGATCATAACCGGTGGAATCGTGAAGTAATCCACAATGCTGTGCATTGAGTGCTGGATAATTCGGATTTTCTTGTCGTTGCCGATCAGCTGCAAAACTGACTATTACTGGATATCCAAAATTATTGCTAATCACGTTGTGAAATTATTGGTATTACTGACTCGAACAATGAAGTAAAACAGCATGTACAAATTAGCCACAAAATCCAACGCCTGGTATACGTTCGGTAATGTCCCGCAGGTTTCTACACTGTCAACTGGCCTGAAAAAGCCAACACGCAAAATTATGAAATTAAAACACCTTTCCAATTTCGTTACAACTTGCAATAATAAGACCCTAGTTATTTCGATTTAGTGCTATATAAAATCAAAAAACACTCCAAGCAACTTACATGGACACCGTAGAAAGATAAATGCACAATGATACAGCCGCACAAGTAACCGCAATCGTCATCTGCAAAACCAGCTTGTTACGTTTCAACTTTTTTACGGTTTGATACCAGAAGTAACCATATCTACAGAGTATATAGCAGTACTGGTATAGTTACTGTAGCAGTAAACTTCCGTCGATGTCGTGAAAAGAAAATTTGATGTTATAAGAAACAAAATTTCTTATGATTTTGAGACGTTGTGAGAAATTTATTAATGGAAATTAAGTTAAAAATTGCAAAAGAAAAACGAAGCACTCGTACAATTTTGTAATTCGTTACTCCCCTTAAAACATCAAAATTATACTGCTGTAATCTTGAAAAGTCAACTGCATAAATCGTAACAGCAGCCGGTTTACAGTTGTTCTAGTGGATTGGTTCCATCTTACCACGATCTGTCCTTTTTTGAAAGCATGCGGAAAAAATGTGGAAACAGTTATAAATTTGCACTGCAGTATGCTGTTCGTGTTTATATTAATTTTATAATGGTCTTTTAGTAATTCGTGCACCAATTCAGATTAATATTAATTTGTACATATATTTTGTACCAGAATTTGGCCCAGCTGACTTTGAGGGGAAGCTGCTTCCGTAAAAAACCTCATAAATGGCGACTGACGCTGTTTTGCTTCCATCAGCAGCTTCATTCGTTCGACACCGGACTTTTTAATCCCACCTTGAGCCATTTCATCACTGTCGCTGTCAGATGGTTTTGGCACAAATTCTTCATTAATATTGTCTTGACGGCACTGTAATCCTCGACGCTTCAAATTGCGCAGCACAAATCTTCTTAATCTGTCAAACTGGACATAAATCAGAGCCAAAATCGGGATGACAAAACCGGAACCGAAGTAAATATACACCAATTCCTTTCTTCCCACCAAGTAACACGGTGCCGGCAACCTAATCGAAATAAAACCACAGTCATTTTATTGCTTAATTATCTATGCGAGTTTCATTTACTGACACTCGCATAACCAAAGGAGGTAACTGGAGAAATTTTAAGGTACAGTATAGTTACAAACAAATTTTTAGATAGTGCAGACCCTGTAAAAGGAACACTTCACGCATATATTCTACAAATTTGTCTATATAAGCGATAATACGGCTGATCATGAATTTCAAAATTTACTATCTGCTATAACGAAAGCAAATACCGTATATACGGAGTTATTTAAAAATAGTAATAGTATGTTATCTTATGTACACATTTCTGGCCGAGAAAATCAGTTTGTTAAAAGTACGCCTCGCCCGGATTTATTATTGCTATATAAATTTTTTTTGTAGTTATTATCTGTTAGGTCTTTAAATGATTGGGGATATGAATTATGAACCTCGATCAATAGCTACTGTACGTACGGAACGGTAGCATTAGGATCATAAGTCGGCCGAACAACCACCGGAAACGGAAGCGGAACACATCCACCGGCATCCATTGTTGCGATGATGTTCCCAGATTCGCTTATAATACGAGGAATGAGCCAAATAAGTTATCTAGCAGTAAAAATGACATAACAAAATACGGATCAACAGGCATCAGCGAATTGCCAATAATAATGAGATACAGTGCGTAACACGACTGCCGACACCTTGACAAGAAAAGGGATGCTGATGTTTTGACAGCAGCTCCCGTGCTCTCCCTGACTAATGCAGCGCGAAAGAAACGATAATGCAGCGCGAAGGAAACGATATTTGCACAGAAAATGTGACTTGGAGGTGCCCGACTTAGGTATAAGACACTCTTGTATTTGACGATCTTGGTAAGCAGTGTCGCAATGACAATACATTTGAGAGTCACTACTGTTTTCCATAACGAAACTGCAAGCACAGCGTTTATTTTGTTTGGTGTAGTCGTGCAAGACAACGAACCTTGCTATGCCCAGACTCACTTCGCAGTTTTTTTTATCCAAACAACACAATCAGATTTAAAGAAATCTTATTCAACAATACAATTAAGCAGCAAAGTGGACCGTAAACTGAAAAAAATTAAAACATTCAACTTTGCTATCTGAAAGGTTTACGCTTAATATATTTGTAATACCAAAGAAAAGCTGTTATCACGCTCAAGGAAAACCACGTTATGGCATAATTCATGTGTTCATTGCGCATCTCGATGATGGTCTGACCTCCAAGAGGACCTCCCGGAATACTTGATTCTAAAAGGCAAAGTTTATAACTGCTCTTACGGTCTTACTATAAAACCACTATTCGCATCAGGAATAGTTTTAACACTTCCCAAACTTCTAAATTATGTTTTCCAGTTCGTAATCAGGTACAATTAACCCTCCTATTCTACCCCTATCAAAAGCCGAACGGACGACAAGAATCCAGCACAACTTATATAACATTCCCATACGCGCATGGCTAGTTCAATATCCAAGTTTATCAACGTAATTAGTTACCTTTTGTTGCTTCGATTAACAGGGGCGTCACACCTAATTCTGCAGCCATAAGATCGATATTTCGCACCGCATAATTTCTAGAACCCTCCTTATGGACCGGGGAAAACCTGCTGCCCTTTTCGGATCTCCGCAAAGCTCCGACCACTTGCACTTCGCCCTCCACTTGACCTTCCGATCGGGTGGCTGGATCCAACCGGGCTTTCGGCACCCAGCCTCTATCCACTAGAATAGTCTGACTACAAACCAACAAAATATTACAGTGAAATTAAAATGAACGATACCTAATACACAATAAGAAATGTTGGCGAAACAGCTTCTTCAATCTTTAAAAATCAGTGATATTTCACAACAGCAGTGTGCACATATCTATATATCGCATAATACGAGTATATGAGACATTTGCCATATATGGAGAACTAAGAAGATTTAAACACTTATCAAGAAATCCACGTCCAGAACAAAGAGAAGAGTAACTGCGATACATGCTAATGCAAATGGACACACATACTTGGATTCGCTTATAGTAAAGGGCGTGATGACACGACCACCGTGGGTTGGTGAGGAAATTAAGCCACCACCAGCCGGTACCGAGGTGATAGGAGTTCTGGGCACCAAGTAAATTTCATGGCTGTGGTGAAATTTTCCACGCAATTTCACTCGCCGATACTCCAAATCTCCAATGTCATCCACACTTTAACAAATCAACACACCTGATAAAGCGCTGCAATTGAATAATACGTATTTTGCTTTTAGGATTTTGCCTACTGTTTTAGCAACAGTATCGATAATCTTACAGACGGTCTGGCGACAAAATTTGGAAAAAAAAAGGACAACGCTTAATCTTTAACCTACTTAATTTCACACTGACTTTGAAATATCAATTATTTCAGAAGCAAATTGTTTCCAGACCTGGGTGTCAAAAAGGGGAGTGCCGACATTAAAGTAATGGGGCAGTTAACATTACTGAATTTATTTTCTTTTACCGAAAGTTACCGAAAAATCTGACAAACAGCAAAAAAAAAGTTTTATTTCCATGAAAAACGTGCCAAACCAAAAGAACACGTCTAAAAAAAGCGTAACAATACCGGAATGATCTTAATTACATACTAATCGTACACAAAAAATATTCGCACCTAGCAGGCAAATTTTCGTATCCGAGCGGCGGAGCACGGATTCTTGTTGTCCTTTCGTCAATCAAACCCAATTTCCATTTTAGACGTCGCAGCTGCCAAACTCCAAGACAAAATGTTAAAACAGGAACCACCTAATTGTAGGACAAACAAAACGTAACACTATCAAACGCTCAGCAGACACTATTTAGCTTCAAGCCGTATCATATATTATCATTCCTGGGCCTGCTGACTTGAATAGATATGTTCAAAAAAATCAGACAGCCCGTATTACTTAGTAGACTTATCGTTAAATCAAGCGTACAAAATGTTAATATCGCTATGTATCGGTATAAAACAAACACAGATCAGTATGCACGCTCTTACTAAAAGCACATAATTTCGCGACTGGTGAGCAACGGTGTGGTCCTTTTCGAAGAACGAGCCAGATTTTGTGATATTACGGAGAAAAACACTGTTATTTCCGAAACGCTTCGCTCCAGGATTGTTCTTCCTGGCCCAAATGGAACACCATGACGAATCAGTACTCAGTATTCGGTGTCCATGGGTCCGCAGTCCCGAATTGCGGTAAGCAAAGAAGAGCGCGTATCGCACATTAGAAGAATGTAACAACAGTTTCATAGCAAAATAAAAACTGCCGAAAAAGGCAGTAAACAATAAAATCACTAAACTGGTATCAACAGGAGAAGAAGAGTAACACTCAAACAGAGTCTCTTCTACAAATTCAGTACATAATGGAAAAACCTAAACTGCAATAGATCAAGACAGATCCAGTACTTAAGCAAAAAGAATTGAATTTTGAATTCGAAACCTTACAAATAAAACAGACATAAAAGCAATCAAACCAGCCCATCAAACCACAATGATAAAAGTAGCTACAAACGAAACTATAAATATATTTATAAATATTTCCAAAAACTTCCGCTACGCTTCTTAACAGCTGACTATAACAAACAGAAAACAACAGTCAAATATTTCAAACAGAACACACTCCAACAGACGGCATTCACTTGCATTAACTTTGGATGATCCAAATCTATTGTGTCTTGCCTCTGCATCGAATCCTGCAAACTGAATCCAGATTCTGCATTTTATTCAATATGTACATCTGTAGTCACTAGTAGTAACTACCATTGCATTTGCAGGAACTGCTGGTAGTTGAAATTGTTCAAATCAGAAGTAAAATAAAATTTTACATACAAAAATTAGTAATCTCCTACGCTATTGCTAATGAGTAATGACACATCTCTGTATGTAAACGGTAATCGTATTATACTGCAATTGACTTGTTAGTCACTGGTGATATCAGCTAATGACAAGTTGCAGTTTATTTCGTTGCTCACATTCAAACTACGACTTATTGTTAGATAATTATATAAAGTAGGTAAAACACCTCATAAACCCGAGTACGGAAAGATTTACTGCAAAGTAACAACTGGTTTGAATTAACAACTGCTATCGAAATATAACATCACTAATTATAATTTATAAACCGAGGAAATGCACTATCATTGAGATTTTTGGCTCAGTACTAGCATAGTGGTGTTGAAACAGTTTGCTCATTATCGTCCCGGTCGGCGAGGCCTTTTGAAGACTTCTTTGGTAGTTCCAGAACTGTCGTTTGGATCTGGGGAAGACAGTTGTGCAGCCTTTCTTTTCTTATCGGCTGCGATTGAATCTTCTTTTCCCTTCATTATTCGATCCAAACTGGCCAGATCTTTGTGAGCAGTTGTTCGCTCTGTAATCAAAGCAATTAAACAACATAAACCCAGCTAGTAAATGGTAAATGCTTTTCCAGAATTCTGTAGTTGGCTGACCTCCATTCAACAAATTTTTCACTTTGGTCTGAGCCGTGAGCGAAGCAGCCATATCAACACTAAGTACCGCTACTGTTCCACTTTCTTCGGATTCCTTCGGAAGTTGAAATACGAGAACACCCTGTTTTAGAACAGAATTTTAAAGCAAAATTTTGGTGTGCCCAATAAAGCACTTCATTTGCCTATCATAAAATCACGCAAATTCCTTACGGCGTTATTTGAAGAAACGCTCTGATGGGCCATGTCGAACGTAAAGGAATGATTCTGTACCGTTGTGGTCAACTGAGCACAATGGCCAATGGGATCAAGAAACAGCGAGCCCATTTGTACAAAGCCGGATAATTCTTCTGGTTTGGTACCGGCGCCAGGAGGAACTGCAAGGGCGGGTAGCTGGAGATGTACGGGGCAATTGTCTAGAGAAAAATGCGTTAACTATGACCAAAAACATAATATAACACAAACCATTTTAAGATTTTAAGAAGCGTAATGTTAGTAAAGCCGTGTACGATAAAAACTTTTCAGCTAAACCATTAATCGCATGACTCGACATTCCAAAAAATATGAAGGTACTTCCGCTACTTCGACATACACGCTAGTTGAAGGCTTGAAGCACGTATACTATATGTCCCAAAAGCATGTGTGCGCAGTTTCTCGCGCACACAGCAGCGCACATTACTAGTACTGCCCAAGAATATAAAATATAAAAGAATATTCCTACCGTAACCGTACTATCCAATATTTGTATAAAAGAATATCCCTACTGTATAAAAAATATTCCTACCTGGTAACCGTAATAAAAATTGTGCGACATCCTCCTCGGACGGCAAGGGTATTTCCATTTTGTAGTGGTGGTCGATCATCTGATCGCAGAAAGTTTTCAGAGCTGAATTATCACATACGCCCACGATCGGCATCGGCAGAGCAACGGGCAAGGGAATATCTTCTCGAGCATCTCTCTCATCCACGATAAAAGGCTGAACTAGCATTACATACCCGATAAAGTTGACCGTTGCAGAGGACGATGCGTGCAGCGTATTCATACCTGTAAACTCCTTGTCAACGACGCTTCTGCCTCGCGTTCGTCCGGATTTCGCACACGCACCATAAGAGGAGCATCAATCTGCCAGAACATAAACGCCGAAAATGAAAATCCAAGCGTGAGGTCCAACTTAAACGCACTTGCGCGGCTTGCCTGATCATCGTCATCGTCAAAAGTGGAAGAAAAAGTCTGAGACTGAGAGTGCGCTAGATTTTCTCGAACACCCGTACGGGTAGCACCTTTGCGTCGATCTATATTAAAACCGAATGGTCAATCGAAGTTCGACAATTTAAATTACAGAACTATTGCATACCGCCTATACGTAAGTACGTACCTTGAATTCTTGCTAACGATGACCGTATCACCGATCGCGAAACTGCAGCTGTGGTATTATCTTGACTGGATGGAGGGGCGACGTCGGTGGCATTTCCGCCCATATCAGGCAACAAATCACTTTGTCCTGGCTGGGACTGAGGACTGCAATCAGTAAATTCCGATCAGGCAGGCTTCTGTCGCAGTTCTGACACCATGGTTAGAAAGACTTCGTGTGCAGGTGTGCTTACGATTCAGTAAGCAACCAGTGGAACTGTGGAAGATAGGTATAATAACACTACAAAACCCTAACAGTGTGCACTTACAGCTCACCAGAAGCAGCCTCATAGTTCAACTGAAATATACTCTCAATTTCCAATTCCGGATCATCGAAGACATCCGGGAAAGCCCCAGAAGAGCCCGACACAGAGCCTCGAGCACTTCTGGGAGACCGTCTCACACTCATCGCGATGCAGTCCGAATGGCGCGAAGTAATTCCGTCCAAGCAAAGGCTACGCTTTGGTCAATCAGAAAAGGTTTTTAAAACTGCCTTCACATCAACGCAGTAATGTTTCATAATCAACACCAAAAAGTACGTAGATTAAAATTAATAGTCTTTATCATCTTCTATTTTCCTTTTTGAACTTATTCGGATTCCCTTTCAAATTTCAATATTAATTTTGTCAGTTCACTACTATTTCCTCACAGTCAGTCTGTCAGTGGGAAAAGCCTGCCAAAGCGCTAACCAGGCTTAAGTAGATACACAAGGGGGTTACCCACATAAAAGGCCGCTCGGGTGGGGTGCCGCGGAGCGTAGGGGCTGCGTTTGTACCACTTGCCGTACCAAAAAGTTTGCGTTTGTTTCGGTTTGTAGTTGTACCAAAACTTGTTTTTTTTAAGTGTTTTTTTGAATTTTGATAAGTACAGTACTTTACTGTACACAGCTTACTGTTACTCAATGTCATTGGAGTCTTGGACACTGTGATTATATCCAAAAACTTACGTTTAATACGAGTACCTCCTGCAGCTTATTTTTATTTTATTTTGCATTAATCTGTTAGGTAGGTACTATTAGTACTTTTGGTTTTCTGGAACCCTTGTTTCGTCAGAAATCCAGGACACTGTACTCACGCTCAGATTGCCGACTGTGATCTGTGGGTGACAGATTAAAATTTGCGACATTTCCGGGATTTCCCGTGTACTTTTGAAGGGAAACCACTAAGATCTGAAAATGTTGTTTTATTCCTTTTTCAAATCCCTCATCGGCAAGAAGATCGTGGTGGAGCTCAAAAATGACATGAGCCTTGGAGGCACCCTGGATTCAGTGGATCAGTATTTGAACATGAAGTTGATGGACGTTGCTGTGACGGATCCGGCGAAGTTCCCGCATATGCTAGCGGTGAAGAATATTTTTATCCGCGGTTCGGTCATTCGGTATGTTCACTTGCCAGCGGAAGAAGTGGATGTGGAGCTGCTGCAGGACGCTTCTCGGCGCGACGCTCAACAGGCCAAGACCCAAGCAAAAACTCAGTCTTCTACCAAACCTCAGCCTCAACAACGTTCTGCGGTGCCGTCAACCGGTGGGGGAGCAAATGTTGTTGGTTAAAGTACAGTACAGAAAAGACATTCAACATTAGTTCCATTCTCTGTTTACTGTTGCAAGGTTTGTATAGGAAATTAGGAATGCATTGTTACTTTGTAATTCACAGAATCACAGATTAAGTATTCTCCGTTTTTTAAATTGTGGTGGTGATGTTGACAACTTGATGCATTGCGGGCTCGCAATCTTGGATTTTTAACAGCAAGACTGGAAGATCGCTCCAAAGAAAAATTCGGATCTTTATGATATCAGAGAAATCAGATTGCGTTCTTTTGTTACTGCTTCTTGATGGATGTACCTTTGCAGTTTGCCGTTGAACGCTTGACGGATGTTACTGAATTGTGAGAAATAAAAAGGTCTCTTGAAAACGGGAGTCTTTAAAATTAATGGCATTATTATAGCAATAATATTATAATAGAAAGTTTAAAATGTCAAACCGGAGTTACCGGACAACTTTATTCCTTTTCATAGTTTTCAATAAACAAAACTCGTGCAACGGAAGCAACAATAAGGTAGAAGACCGCTTACTCTCCACTACTTTGCTGTCTGCACATGAATCTTTTTTTGTATTTCTAGAAAACAAATAAACGTTATACGTTAGAAATGATAGTGGTTTTTATACAGTAGTGAGTAGTCAGTACGACTCACCATCAGTACGTACGCATATCTACACTCTGTGGTCTGCACTTACTGCAAACACCCAGGGAGAGCGATTCACTTGCGACGGTGTCGACGGCAACCAGTTTGCATAGGTCCGCCTCCTACAACTTCATTGGATTTCGGTTGGGGTCTGGTTTTGTCCGAAGTTGACAGTTGAGTTTTTTGAGAGCTGCTCTCTCCCTACGTCAGCTTTTTTTGCAGAATCTCTTTAATTACGCACTGTCAACCCTGGAGATTTGGATCAGTTACAAATTTACACCCGAGTTAAGGTTTCAGAATTATTTTTTCTACGTGATAAGTGAAGATATTTTCCAAATCTTCGAAACATCACATATGCTATAACTAAGATGCTGCCGTTGTGATCGCCTGGGAGATAGAAAAAGTCAGCCTTCAACGCTGATTACAATCTGCTAGGATTATTGATTGTGGTGCTTCAAAAGTGTGTATACGGTGAAATCCTTCATCTGGATGCGCTCGTTTACACAAGGTTCGTGACATTTAAGTGCTGGGTTTGTTTTAGAACTTTGCTTATGTCACGCTTATCTAGGCTGGAAAAATGTCTGCACGCTCTAAACCTTCTCCCCAGCTCCAAGGGACAGTGCGTTCATCTGCGTTTAGTTTGCATTCTGCCAAAAAATCTTCGGACAAAGGCTCATGTAAGCAGTAAGATGTTTATATATGCAGTTTCACAGCGTAATAATTAATAATTACAGTAATAATTACAGTAATGCTTGATAATATTTAAAAAATTTTGGTTAAAAACCTTACAAGTTATAATTATAATTTCTACACAATGTTTACAGTGTAATAATAATATCGCAGATTGCTGATCGAGAGAAGCCATTTAAAACGTGCATCTTCGAGTAGGATTGCAAGACTTTTCAGAGTGTTTTCAGTTTCTCTGCTTGCGATTTGCGGAATTTGCTTTTTGTACAATAAGCTGAATAAAGTAATTGCAGCTAATTCGACTTCGTGATGTTAATCGTTGCAGTTGAATCGTTGAGTGTTGCGATTACTGGAATGTGGTTATGGGGTTGGCATAAGCGATAAGCCGCATAATTATTATGTCTAATATAAAACATAGATTTTTGTTTTGTTAACCAGAATTAGATTAGTATTTATTTCATGATGAGTTGCAGCTGCTGAAGTGAATCTGCCCTAGCTGTTGCTGCATTAGTGGCGTTAGGGGACTTACTTGCTGGAATTCAAGTTGAACGATGTACTCGGTTGTCATTTTGCGACTAACCTGTCGCTAACTTAAAAGTAAACGAACTGCTTATAATCTTATCTCAAGTGATTCTAGCAAATCGTTCATGCGAGCACAGTGCATTATGTTGCGTTTGTTGCCACTTAATTGCATTGCAGGCAATTATAATTTGCAATAACGCAAGCACGCTTTTGAAAGTGACAAATGGCTCCCACCAGTTCACTCGTTCTGATGGTCTTTATAGACTTTGTAAAATATCTGAATAGAACGATCGATTGTGGGTGCAGAGCTGTGTGATGCAGTTTCTGAATTGTATACAGTAACTGCAGCATTAAACAGAATACGGCCCGTTTATCAATTGCTATATACAACCAGAATATCTGCAAGATGGACAACCTAATAAAAAATTGGCTAAGAAATATGATAGATGACTATTGCGTGATGAGCGTCAGGTTGATTAACCAGGTTCAGGTCTGTAAATGCCGGTTTGAATGTGTAGAATTGTGCGCAACGACAGCGTTTCGGTTTTTCGTGGTCTTGATCAAAGTTAAACAATTTGCAATCTGAATGGATTTTATGAAGATCGTTTACCCTATCTAGTTGCGCTTGGTTGCTTATAACCGCTCCGCTTTTCCAATGCAAATTTGCTCGGCTTATCTGACGCGCGCAGTTTATGGTAACTTTTTATTTCGATGTCAGAGCGAAGTTGGCGCGTTATTATTTGTACATGATAGCTTTTCGACGGAATTTTATATGTCCAGTTAAATCCTTGATACGCCAGTAATAAACCTGCAGCGTAGCGGAATATACTATTTTGATCCAGATACGAACACCCGTGGAATTTCGAAAAACGCTGATTTAGCCGTGTCTACATCATCGACGCTTATGCCGCCACCACGTTCGACTGTTAAAAAGAAGCCTCAGACGTTAACCAAAGAAGCAGCACCCCGGCCTACTAAGAAGCTGGCTAAGGAAAATTCTGATGGTGAGAGATGCTGGAATATCAAGATATTTGGTTGTAGACGGATCATTTTGTGTTCTGCTTAGAAGTTCCATCCCTTGAGGGATTATCCCGAAGTATAACCAGTTCAGCCCGCAAACCGGTATCCTCTCGTGGGACATCCTCTTCTCCACACAGTGCTTCGCCTGTTCACTTTGATGGTGGTAATTTGTCTGATAAATCTGCCAAAAAACTGGATTCGTCAGGAAGCATCATCAGATCGAGACTTGCTGCACCGGGTGAGTTGGAACATATGCTACCAAGCATGCACTAACCATAACTGGTAACTTGTAAGCCGTAGTTAATTGTAATTATTATAATATTTATCTTTGTTGTATTAGTGGAAAATTTTTCAGACAAATAGATTAGTTTACTTACTATTTCAGTGGTGGTTTGAAGTATTAGCTTTTTTTTTATTACAGGAGCTTACTATAGCCGTGTATTTCACACTATAGTAAGTATGTAAGTACTTATTATTTAGCTTGCATTAAAACAATTTTGCATCAAATCAGCCGATCGATGGTTTTGCATCAAATTAACCGACCGTTCCGTATGAGTACAGATTATTCTTCAGCAGTCACACCATCCGCCAAAAGCGTAGTTTACCCGATTTTTAAGAATTGATTTTTGGATTTTTGTTGATGCCCTTCGTTAGTTGGGAAAATTGAGCTTCATACTTTTTAAAAAAATCAATACGTCGTGTAAGTCCCAGTGAAATATCGCGCTAATGGCTCTGAAACGGCAGACGGATATCCGATCAATGCGCTTGGCGTCTTTGAGACTCGATACTTTCCGATGTACAGTAGTTCGATTATTTTTGTAACTCGGTTGAGCCGAGTTTTGCTTATTTTTATAGATGCTTTCCCAGTTGTTTATAAAGACACCAAATGGTGATCGCAAGAAGTCTTGGAGAGATTGTATAAACAATAACCTACAACAATAGCACCAGAAATAGTTGGAGCAGCATTTAATGAATTTATTTAGATCGACCATTTCCTTTTTTTCTCATTACTGATTTACGAATTGAACTGCTGCTGACTCGATACGAAAAAACGGACTATCGTATAGAATTTCGCGCTTGATGCGCAAGGTTTAAGGTTTTGCAGGCCATAAGTGGTTTATACAAATACTTACCTAAACAAATGTCATCAGCATCTGTTATTTTGAGATTTCCTTGGCTTGTTAGATGAGTGTCGGTGTGTGTTAACGTTTCTCGTTAGTGATTTGCATCTTTTCTGTTGTACGTTTGAATTCCTAAAAGTATAAACGCTCTGAATACTTCTGTACTTTCTTTATCAATCACTCGAAAAAATTTGGTTTTCAGCAGATTGATGTAACGTGTAACTAACTGGTAACACGAAGTTCATGCGATTATTTTATTGTGTTATGATGATAATAATGGCATGCGCGCCTCGCGCGTATGGCTATTTGCTTAGGTTTCTTTTACAGTTTTCTCTTTATACCGGTCCCTAGTTTCGTTTTCGTGCACAAAAAGTTAAAAGACGTCAGTGCTAGTGAATTTAACGTTTCAAAACGTGAAGTCACTACGCTCCAAAAATGTTTTTGCCAAATTTATTCGACTGAATTAGTATTCACATTGTGTGGAAAAGCATTTCTTGAACAATTATACCAATAAAAAATTAATCTGATTTTGATGATAAAAATATGTTACATTCTTTCGGGTTTACAGTATCTGAAGTCGGTAGTTGCATGAATTACGCTATATTTTCTCCTTTTTATCCTGTGTAGGAGCACTTACGTACTCCGGTTCGTTATTGTTGTACATTCTAACGTGTTCTGTATTTTCGTACACGTAAGAACACACACAGATGGTACCACCAAAATTTGAATACGACAACAATAACACCCACTGTTTACAGGAACACTTACGCGCCGGTTACGAGAAACTGCTCGTGCCGAACCATCGGATCATGGCTCCTCCAGAACCATTGGCCATCAACCCGGCCGTAACACGGTTTCTACTAGTATGCCGGCACGACCAAAGTATCCTGTCCAAATGTCTAAATCGGGTGTCGACAGCAACACCAAGGTAGAACAATGGCGAGCAAAACTTCAGAACTGCTTTTGTCTTACATACTCAATTGCATATTTCTTTGTGCTATTGTACTCCTACATATAGATCTCCATCAAAAGGAGTTGGCTACTGTAGTGCGATAATAATAATAATTAAAAACGCTCGCTCGCTTCGCTCGCTCGCTTGATAATATAATAAAACTCCTCACTATCATGTATATTAGCGGAAATTGATTTATACGAGGAAGAATTTTGTCAAGTATATGATTGGATGATTGGATCCAGTGAGTAGCAGTATTTTATTTAATGTAAATTGAAATATGATTAAACATTTGCTGTATGGTTGAATTACCACAGCGGTGGTTTCTTAGTGCTTAGCTATGAGGTCATGGGAAATACTTAACTTTTTATGGTTGACTTTATTCAGATGGATGGTCACCCACCCGAGAAAGCGCCGTCCACACCCGGAACGGATGCTTGCAAAATTATTGGGGAGGGCGACGTACCGGTGGAAAATGTCCCACCCATTTCCAGCGACTCTCAGCTGTTCCTGCAGATCCAGTCTCTGGAGGAACGGATGCGGCTGATCTCCGATGAGCTGACCATGACTATTCGCGAGAAAGAAGCAGTTCAGCAAAGACTTGAAAATTTGACCGAAGAGCATAACGCGACATTGCAGGAATTGCAGGCAACTCACAGTAAACAAGAGGTCTTGTTGGCCGAGAATCAGCAGTTGACCCAATCTCATAACAGCTCATCTGGACAACTCGAAAGCCTCAAAATGCAGGTGGACGACTTGCGCACGCAGTGTGATGGATTATACACTGAGCAAAAGCGTGTATGTGATGCTAATGCAGCGCTGCAAGTCGAACGTGATCAGCAGAGCGAGCAGCTGCGCGGGATGATGGATGAACGCGAGCAGACCCTGTCTGAACTTGCCGATTTCCGGGCACAAGCGGCGGCTGCTCTTGAAAAGGCTCAAAATGCGGAAGACCGACTTACTAAAGTGCTGGATGAACGAGAAGCGATTAAAAAAGATTTCTCTGCTGTTAAAAAGAAACGACATGTAGATTTGGAGAAAGCCCAGGAGGAGGTGATTCTCCTGCAGAAGAAAATCGAAGAAAAAATAAATGAAGCGGAAAGTTGGCGCGCCGTCGCAGAGCTGAAAGGCGAAGAAATCCGGAAGCTGCAGAAAGAGCTGGAAGATGCGCGAAGTATTGTGGAGCGGCATCAGTTGTGCGAAGCGGAATTGAAACGCCAGTCAATTGATATCACTAGTTTGCAAGTAAAAGCAGACAAATGCACTGCAGTCGAACGGTGAGCTGTTTATAAACGTAGTCAGTCAAGTACTGAAGTACTCAATTTTTAAATCGACTTTGATACAGACATGATTTTTATATCGTATTTGTTGGTCAAAGTTTTGTCTTTTGTACAGCGTATTGCTGTGTTGGGTGCTGCCACAAATCATTTTGCATTATTCTAGGGACCTTCGTACTCTACTAGCAGAAAAGGAAGATGAGCTGCGAAATCTCCGGCGTCAGTCAATGTTGCTTACCCAGGAAAAAGATACGTTGAAATACCGACTGGATGAAATGAGCGAGCAAGAACCGCGGCGTCCTCGACATTCCACTGTGTTAGTTGCCGGATCTCTTAATGAACAACTGGAGTGCTTGGAAGAGGGCGAAGATCTTTGAACACTTTTTTTCCATGACTATGCGGATGCGTGATCTGGCCTGTATCGGGCCGCTGTCGGCATTGTTTCATTGCTCCGCGACGTTTTGTCAGGCTTACGCTATTGCATTTTGCGATCTTCTGTGCCTGCACGGATATTTTTTCCAAAGTTTTCAAGTATTGCCAGTTGTGTGAGTTTAGTGTTAGTTTCACATTATTCCCGGTTTAGATTGTTTATTTATAACGAACGCTCCCTTCTTTTTATCGTGTATAGGTTCATCATGATCTTCCTGAACCTTTGGCTTGTTCCTTTTGATTTGGTGATAGGTGTCTGTACATAAAAACTTTCAATCAGTCCATGCGAAATGCAAACATGGTGCATGTTGTATGCCGAGCTTAAAAGATTACTCGGTATCAGGTTATTCCATATTCTACGTAGCAGGATAATGTAATGTGTAAGGCTGTGATGTATAGTGTATATACTAACAATTGGTAGGCTATTTCCAAAATTATTAATGTAAAAGCCCTTCCTGCATACATATTACGCTCATTGACTTCATTCTTTGGCTTTATTGCACCACAAAAAGAAAAGGATAGCTCACGACCGCCGAGTGCCGACAATCCGAAAACTTTAAAAAGTTAATGCTGAGTCTTCTGACAACACTCATGGTCAGAAATAATGAACATAATTGCACTGCACTAATATAATACACATCACCCTTCAAACAAAGACGTCCATGAAAAAAATTCATTGGAGCAAGATGACATATCACATAAACATGCACAGCTTTGATCACTTCCGCAGGCGGTGAGGCAAGTTTTTCCTTAGCCGACAACAAGATGTTCTAAAAGAACAACCAATGCCAATTATAGATTTCCAGTTTTTCACATATCGAATTTTTCTGAGCACCAGCCATTCTACCGAAAATACCACTATCAGATGAAAGTATCCATGAAATAAAATTCAACTGTACAGTGTACATTAATCTTCGTATCGCAGCATAGCAAATAATTTAGGGTAATGTCATAACGTAGCTATACCGGGTGAAGGCAAATGTAACGCCTCGTCATCCATGACCTGAACTAAATGATGTTTTCCTCCAAAAATATAATGGATCTGTAATCTTTTCCGTTCACTAATACATGGATCGTAAAAACCGGGTAAATCCGTCTATCCAGAAAAAGAAACGAAATTCATGCACTGAAGTGCGAACAGATCACAGCCAAGCGTAACGAATAAGCATAAATATAATGAACTATCTATAGTATACAAAGTATCTATATGTACATACATGATACATAACGAACGCCAATCTACATAGTAAGTGCGATAAAAATGTTTTCTCATCATTCGAAATCTTCAACAGACCTTCGACAAAGCGGGTAGATCTAACTGGTGATTTCTGACCAAACACTGTAGTTGAACATGGACGTCTATTGTATCCATGGTCCTAATGGAATGTAACCACCAAGAAAATAATTACATTCAACAGTACAGTAAATATCTCAGTATGTACATAAATATCTCAAGCAGGCACGACCTACGGTTGAAAATCATCGAATCTTCCGTACACTGCTCTGTCGATAACAAGGCCATTGGACAGTCCTTCCGAATTTATTAAATCCTCGTATTTATCGATCATGAGCTTCAACTAATGAGCAATGGAATATAACAATAACACTTAAGAAAAATTTGGAACGAATCGGTACTTACAAAATTTTCATATTCTTTTCTTTTCTCTTCTAATCCCGACCGGTAAGAATTTCGCTTTGACCGTAAACGTCTACCAAATAAAAACTGTCAGTAAAATGTATTATTTCAAGCTTAAATGTAAACTTACTCGGTGACATACGCTTTCCACTGAGGGATGAAATATATAGATTTCACACAAGCGTACAGCAGGAGAGGGGTCACTGTTCCATAGAACACCGGTGCTGGAAGGATATCATGAGAGAGGAGAATAGGAAAGGAAAATGCCTGGTTCGATCGCTGGAACCTGGAACATGATTTCATTACAGAACTTTTCCGACTGATGTTAAATCAGCTAGGAATAAATGCGCTCAAAAAGTTTCGAAAAAATCCACAAAATTTTGAAAAAGGTTGGTGCCAACAAAAAAGTCTCTATATAAAACTTACGTTATGCGTAAAGTCACTCCACCGGGAAGGGCAAGAGCCATACTGGCGGCAAGCTGATTATATTTGCTAACACGTCTGGAAACTCCATACTCCAGGGTCACGCCTCGAAATCCCGTTCTGAAATGGTAACTTTCATTAACATCCACTAATATATATATACAAATTCATTGTATATTTTATACTCAATAAACAACGTACTTCAAACCAATAGACAGTTTCGGTTCATGTGCCAACGGGAGTTTTCGCGAGTATGTAATTCCCAACACGACGTCATCAGGACTCATCTACAACAAAAAATTAATTTCTAACTCTTTCCATAACATAATCTACAGCATCATTTCACACGAATATCATCGCGCGTTAGATCCTATACTGCTTACCTCTGACGTCACAGAAAATCTGCTATCTTTAAAGTCCTTGTCAATTCTCGTTACCACATTCACCACCCGTGTGGTGCCACGCACAATAACCCGCCCATTTCCGAGTTTTCCAAGATTTGATCCATAGGCTACACGCACAGTCACGAACGTCTACCCAGAATATCATATATGGTACCAATCAAGTTCTACCTATTTCCATCAAAGGCATCATTCCGAATCGGGAAAAGGCAGAAAATGCGCTAAGTGAAATATACCTACAAGATAAATTTATTGCAACAAATTAGAGATTTTTTCTTTCAAAAGATAACAAAATGGCGCTCACTTTCCAGCATCTAGTCGTTTGTTCAACTTTAGATGTGCTACCAAACCTCGACTCGGACCTGTCATAACTTTGAACTACAAAGCAGGGTATCAATGGATTAGCACTGGTCTCAGGAAATTTATACAGGTAATTCTAGCAACATGCACGCACATCACCGGTAACAGTCTCCGACAAAGTTTTATTCATTTCCACACCAAACATGCCTCCTCCGGTTCCACGCTCGTAATTCACATTAGAAAACAATTGAAATCTATCCACTTGAGGCCACGGTGCTTCGATACTCTGGACAGTTGATAGCGTCGTGATTTCTACATGTGGTATATAGCTGTCAAGCAGAAAGTTGAGTTTTAGGAAAAAAATACGAAAACTTCAGCAAATAAAAGTCCAAATGCTTCCGGAATTCGAAGAAAACGTTCTTTATGTACAAACGTAAAATAATGTAAAATAGCGTAATTTGCAAACCGAAAAAATAAAACAGCGAAGTAAAATATTCAAAACTGTCAGGCTGCTGACAGACGTACTTTTGTATTCCATAATCTTTTGTGTCACGGTTCCGTCGTTCGAACAGATCTGTCACATCCAATCCCATGGACATTTCATTGTGAGGATTGGTTGACTCTTTTTCTTTACGCTTTTCTCGTTCCTCTTTTAGTTCGTCTAAGGTTTTCCGGTTAGCCGGGTCGACCGGGACAACCTAGAAAAAATTAAGAGCATAATCAAGAATCTGGAAAACCACATGTCCAGACTGCTGCCCATGGAAAGTGGTTCTAACCTGCCACAAATCGCTAACAGTCCCGCTGGCGCCACATGCGTCATAAAGTGATTTTCGGTACGGATCCCTTAAAACTATTCAAAGAAATCAAAGAAATCCACCACGGAACAAATCAACAAAATGCACTACCAGAGAGTGAGAAACACGCGAGTACAGTTAACACCCAATTCACCTACTATAAAAAGAATTTGCTTTCAATACGTAACCTAATCGTAAACGCAGAATGAGAGCATCTTTTATTGAAAGATGGTTAATTATGTCTTCTTATTTACGTATTTAAAAGCTAACTGAAAATACAATGCCACACCTGACCCAGCAAATCATAATAATTTTGAAAATACTATCGAGCTAACAAAAATAGTACCTAATTACCATACGGAACAACAAAACTCCAAGCTGTATAATTCTCAAGCAAGATAAAACTCTGTAAATTTCAAAATTTAAAAGAAACCATAAAATCAACACCGGGATACTGCGTAATTGACGGGAGCAGATCTGATGCAAGAATATTTGGACTTTCCTGTCATATGCTGCATACTTCAACAAGGCACAACGATAAACAGTAAAAACCAATTTCACAGAGAATCGTGAGCACGGTTTACCTTCGTAGGCGGCATTTATACTATTGAAGGCATTCTCCGCGAGTGACTTTTTCCATGGCTCCGTATGCTTGTCGGGATGCAAAAGTCTGCTTAGCCTTCGATAAGAGTTTCGGATCTCCTCCTGTGATGCCTAAATTGAGCACCAGACCATTTCGTCAGGATCATTTTTAAAAAGATTTGACAATCGGTTTATAACCGCTCGCGCCACACTGAATGGATCGCTTACGTTGTGATCAACATTTAAGCGGGCGTAGTAATCATCTTGGAAGACCGTGTGAAAATCGTCCTCATCGAGAAAGAACACTTCATCGTCGTTCAGGTCCTCTGCAATCATTTCGCGCGGTAGTCGCTGGTCTCCGTCCTCCGCCGTTGGTCGTGCGCGCCTGCTATTTGGAGAAGTCGCCCGTCCAGCCATGATATCACGTAAATATCTTCCTTCGTGCACTTATAATGCTCCCAAGCTTAACTCTGCCCTCTCGGTCCCGTAGCGTGGGCGATGTCGTGTTTTATTCAGCTTTCATCTTGATCAAACAGCAACAAGAATCCCAAATCAGATACACAGCTGGCACTGCACTCCGTGCGAGCCTCAGCCTTCAAAACTAACATTCTTGTTATTTAAAAAATACTGGAAAAACTGCAGAGTCCATTTTGTCCAGGATCAAAAACTAAAAAGTACTTGCAAAGTGGCAAGCAGCGATAAACTCTACTGTAGAGCAGCGATAAACTTAAAACCATCTGGGTTGGAATTGTAGGAAAGCGAAAACGACAAACTGTAGATAACTACCGCCTCTGGCGGTCGGAGATATCTAGATGTGTACCAGACTTGGCCCATTTTCGCTTTTCCCACTTTCATCCCACCCCCACCTTCACAGTTTAATTCCCAGCCCAGCCCATCTCCGGCTACTCAAATTTTCAGCCCATCTCACCTTTTCGACCTCATCTTCATCCCCATTTTTTACAGGCTCAACGCCGCTAATTTTGCAAGTTTTCCGCATACGATAGAGTTGCCGGGCGAAAAAAAATTTTGGTTCTCAAGAAAATATGTTTACTTACTAATAAAATCCGCGCGGAGCGCGGAAAAGTTTTTGTTTTTGGAGCTCGAATGGTGCATTTTTACATGCTCCTACCCTGAAAAACAGATGAAGATATCACCATTTTTTATTTTTATTTGTTTTCTTGATCCCATCACATCTTTCAACAATCCCAGCCCATCTCACCCCATCTGTGACTCTTTCCCACCTCATCCTCATTTTCACCTAAAAGGTGAGATGGGCTGGGAAAAATGGGGAAAATTTTCACCTCACCCAAAAGATGGGCCAAGTCTGATGTGTACAGACATACTCCCAGTGCACTACATCATGATTGCGCAATAAATTTTTTGATGCTGAAAATGATCACTTAAGCCAGCACTCAGCACGGAGTCAACAGTACTTTAGCAGTAACGTAGTGACACGTACGCATGCGGTGGCCCATGTCGCACGCGGTTGGAATGCAAATCTTCAAAAAATCATAACTTTGTTAATTTTCGCGTTAAATTTTTATACAAAGGCTTAAAAAACACAGAATAATACATACTAGTAGGCAGAACAAGTGGTTTTTCGTTTTTCTTTTGCAGTTACGCACTGTGAGCATGCGTGGTTAGCATAGCCGCCTATGAGAAATCTTAAATGAGTCCTCCATAGACAACTATGCTAACTGCATAGGCTCACAGTGCGTAACTGTAAAAGAAAAACGAAAAACCACTTGTTCTGCCTACTAGTATGTATTATTCTGTGGTTTTTAAGCCTTTGTATAAAAATTTAACGCGACAATTAACAAAGTTATGATTTTTTGAAGATTTGCATTCCAACCGCGTGCGACATGGGCCATCGCATGCGTACGTGTCACTACGTTACTGCTAAAGTACTGTTGACTCCGTGCTGAGTGCTGGCTTAAGTGATCATTTTCAGCATCAAAAAATTTATTGCGCAATCATGATGTAGTGCACTGGGAGTATGTCTGTACACGTAATATCCAGCGACAATCTTTTTCACAAGCAAAAGCCAAAAGGTCGTATCTAAAAATTGATGTAAACTTTTGGGCGTTAGTTTTTTTCAGATATTTGACTTTATTACCGTAAGAGTTTCATATTTGCGCGTCGCTATAAGCGACTAACACTGTTCTCTCAGATAGTATCAAGTTTAACGTACTTAATTCGTAGTTCATACGATACCATGCCCTTTCGCATGGTATCGTACTACTAGTACTCGGGTAATTAATTAACGTAACCATGATTTTTTGTTTTTAGTTTCCGCAACCCAGAGATGACAGGCCAGGCGTTTCTTTCCATTACTTTATGATCCTGATTCTGAAATATGATGCTCTGAAAAGCTTACTATACGCTAAACGTATAATGCAGGTGTAGCGGTACCTAGCGCCGGTACAGTACCGGCGGTACTGACCATTATAAGCATGCACCGGTACCTACCGGTGCATGCGCAGTGATGCACTTAAGTGTCTTTACGAGTAGGGTGGCACCCGAAAGTGTTCTCATTTATCGATTTATTCGCAGACACATTGACTACAAGAATTTTATCGACTGCAAATCAGATCCATTTTGTGTTTTTTTGTATGTATCTGTTGTATGCTTACACATGGACAAATTTTTCCCAGTATCTAGTTATATTTGCGAAACAGTTTTCACTGAATTTTTTGACATGGGCATCGATATGATACGGAACCTTTCGCTTTGATCTGTGCAGTCCGCTGAAGCAAACGTACATGAGAAAACTCCACTTTCCTGCAACCCATTTTGTTGCTTCCTAGACTACTTTCAGTTTTCTGCTTACAACAGCTTCATTTCCAAGCTTTTTCTGGATTACCTTTTGTGCTAGCAGCGGTTTAGATTCAAATGGACCAACCCAGTGCATTAACGCGTCCGATTTTTGGAAAGGGCAACACCACTGGCTTAATGGACATCTGGGACTGTGCCGCTGCTTTAGCAAATGGAAATCTGCAATCTCAGAATTCCGAAGATATTGTCAAACCTTTTCCCAAAGAGAAACTGCGGAATTTACTGATTCTAGGCGGAAAAGGTGCCGGGAAAAGTACAATCATTCAGCGATGTCAGCCTAACAATTCCGCTGCAGTTATTACCGAAACCGTCGGCCTCAGCTACTCATTTGCCATTAAGCAGAACGACGACGAAGTCCAGACGGCTAACATTTGGGAGCTCGGGTCATGTCCCCAGATGAAGGAGCTGTGGAGAAGTGTGGTGAACGGGCAAAACCCAAGCGAATTCGCGGTGTTTTTAGTGTTTGATCTGTCGCGTCCAGAAGTGATCATCAGTATATTTGAAACTTTTATTAGTTGCATTTCCGGGCACAGCCTGCACGACGGAAATGACTCGCGGCGGGACAACCAAAATGAAATCATTGTACCGGAAAAGCTGTGGCTAATTGGTAACAAAAGCGACATTTTTCACACGTATGAGCTGGAAAAACGTCAGATTATTTCGCGATGTCTGCATCAGTGCGCAAAAGCGCTGTCGGCAGGAATTATGTACACTTCCGCCATTAAACAGCAGATGGGAGAATCCAGACTGCAGAAAGTTATGGAGGAAACCGTGTTTGGCAGTAAAGCCGAATCACTGGAGATACAAATTGATTATGGAAAGACAATATTTATTCCACCCGATACCCGCAATGCACAGACAACTTCCGGTGTCACGTTTGGTGATGTTGTCGAGCTAGTGCGCAGCGTCCGAAGCGAATTAAACTCGCGCATCGTCCAGAAAGCGGCTGTCGAGTTCATCAAGGAAATCCACGAATGGCGAAGTAATAGAAAATACGCGGAACCGGAAATAGATGCGATCTTGGCTGTATCGGACGCGGAGAGTAACAGTAAAAACCAGAACAGAAGAACCACTTCCGGTTATTTGTAAGCGTCCGAGAATGCCGACCGGGAAACCGAATGGCCGAGAAAAAAAACATTATAATTGCCGATGTCGAGCTGATTAAAGAGTTCCGTTGATTTGTTTATGCATACTTACATAATGCATACGAACAATGCAATGAAATCGAATAAGAAACAAGGAATATGTATGACCTGCAAGGTCGGATGAGGATCGTAACTACCGTACATAGCGTTAAAGTAAGTACTCGTACTGTTTAATAACACCAGGTACATTAATATTAACTCCAACACCAAGCATGGTGTTTTTTTTTTAAAAAATGGTTTGAAAAATTTGATCTTACCGTTAGGATTAGGAGCCTAGTACAATATATATACCCACAACTCTACCGCAGTGTTATTAAAAATACAAAAGTTCAAAATACAGATTCGGTGAAAACGAAAAAACTTGTAGTTCTGCAGTACAGAAGGGCGGTGGCGGGTACAGTTGTTGTTGACCAAATGCCTGCAACAGTGCAACTGCTACTGTTTCATGTTTGTAGGCATTTGTTGACCATGGTATGTAGTACTATGTACTATGTACTCGTAATTCGTGAAATATGTCTGACGAGTGAATACATTTTATTTATAAGTACTTCTGTACGATATACTTATCGCCGTTGGTTCTGCTTTGTTTCTTCAAGGTCAGACGTCTTGATTTGGCTGGGAATTGGTTTCCAGGTCTGTTACTTCCAGTGTTTGTTATTCGAAAAATCGGTTTATTGCAATTTGCAACTGGACTCTGGAGAAGATTTTTTGTGGGAGTCAAGTGGATCAGCTGATCGGGATCCATGTGTGTTTGTATTGGGCCTGTTGGCTGGTTGTGGTAAGCACTAAGCAGTAACCGTAAGCTGTTACCGTAAACCTAATAACCTGGGAAGTAACCGTAATAAATATGGCGGTGCCGTGTGATTGTCCATAATCCATATCATTCAGTTCTGTTTCCACTCTGCTGACGTAATTCAGATTTTTCATGTGTGCAGTATTCTGAGTAAAACTGTAAAGGTTTTGCAGAGCCTGCCAGTGCGAGAAACTGCAAGTGCAAAACCGAAAGCCTTTGCATAGCTCGGTAAGCCATGAATGGTGCAACGGATAACAGTGTAGACTCGGATCAAGAAGATCTGCGAATGCGCTCCACCAAAAACAAGCAGGGTTGGGTGCTACCATATCTGGATCCGTTCTGCAAAGAATTCGTGGATCTAATGCGGCAGCTGCCCAGCTCATCTCCTGTAGCCGATCTCGGCTGCGGCTATGGATATACCAGCTTGAAACTACTGGAAGCTGGCTGCTCCGTTCTAGCTAACGATCTGGACAATGATCAGCTGCAAGAACTGCAGCAGTCTGTTCCCGCTGATCTGTCTGGACGTCTCACAGTGATGCCTGGAAACTGCGTGGAGTTATCGTTTTCCGATTCCTCATTCAAAGGTATTCTGGCAGCGCGTTGGATGCACTTTTTAACCAGCGAAGAAATCATTCGATCGGTTTTGAAGCGATTTTATTTATGGCTGGAAAAAGGTGGTGTTTTGTGTCTGACATGCAACACCCTGGTGCATATTGCCACTCCAGAGGCGTACGAGAAATACGTAGAGAAGAAGAGCAGCGGTGATGAGTGGCCAGGTTGGCTGGATAAATCGCAGAACCATATCCGGAAGCATTTAGTGGACAACATTCCCGACATTTTTTACGGCTTTGATGTCGAGTCGCTTTCGCGTGAAGTAACGTTGGCGGGATTCGACGTCGTCAAATGTGAGATGTATGGCTCGACGGGGGTAACCAAGCCGTGGCTCGAAGATAACTGCATTGGAATACTTGCTACCAAATCCAGATGAGAAGGGTCGAAGGTAGTTTTCGTTGTTGTTGCAGCATTTTCGTTTTCCGGCTTCCCTTTTTCTCTGTTAATGAGGTCTTAATTTGGCTATGTTTTTGCAGAACGAGCGATGTCTGTGATGCGACAATTGAATAATTTTTTACTGTTAATCGTAAGTGTTAAATGTGTAAGTACAAATGTTAGTGTACAAGTGTTTATTCACATCTTTGATTATTTTATTTGTGATTCATTAACGGATGCTGTTCCGGATAATCATTTTACGAACTGACAGAGAACATTCAACAGCAGTAAGGTGCATGTTTTCTTTAGCGATAATTATATCATGGAAGAAAAGGCTGTGAAAAACCTGCAATCACACGTCATTATTAGTACACCAACGAAACAAATGTCAAAAAAATTTATACAATACTCCGGGCATTGGCTATCACAGACATATTTGCATTATTTAGACTCTTGATTCTGTTGCAGCAGTATCTCTACAGATTTTATTTCTTCTTCAATAGCCTTCCGTTCCTTTTCCAATCGGAACAGTCTTCCTTGTATTGAAGAGGTAGATTCGTTCACAACTCCATTTTCCTTAGCTTGGTCTGCAAGCATACTAGTGTAAACGAAACGCATTAATTTTGTTAATAGCTCTCACCATCAGTATCAGTGTACTGTATAGTGTATACTGCTTCAAACAAAAAAGAACAAGTAAGTAAGAAGAAAAAACATGCAAATCAGTCGACTCATGGTCAGCTCACCACTGCAGTGCACTTTGCAGTGCAGTTTGTGCTAACATAAAGTCAGAAAACGTACAAGAATAGCCATGCACGATCTTAACTCGTCGCGGAAAGCAAATAAGCTGGGAGCAAGCAACATAAACCAGACTCTGATTTGGGTTTACCATTATTGTCTATTTTTGTTGGTTCGACCACAAATATCCCGTCCTGACTTCTTTGACAAAACAGCAAAGGTATTTTCAGTGTAAAAGGAGGTGAAGGAACATCCCGAGGTATCTTTTCAGTAAGCGCAACGGTGAAATTCTGGAGTCGTAACAACAAGGGTAAAGGATCACCAACCACGTCCGTCACAAAAAATGATCCGATTTGCGATGCGGCATCGGAAGATATACTGAAAGACAAATCTTGACAGTGCACCGTAGCTTCGCGCTCCACTTCCCCATTTGGTAACTGCTCAATTTGGAATCGCCCGACGACGGACGAGGAAACAGTGGGGGGAGTATCTAAGCTCATTTCCTCTTCTGCTGAATTTTCTGAAAAATACGACACAATGAACAAATAGAGTAGTCGATATCGCTGTGATATTAGCGGTTTTCATAGTACACAAACGTTTTAAAAGCAATCTCCCAGCACATTGACCACGTACTTGAATAAAAGCGCTCATTCGCGCCCTCCAAATCCATATCGCCGCTTTCTTTGGTACCAATTCGGAGAAGACGCAGCTTCGTAACAAAAAATTCTTTCCAGTTCGCCAAGGTCAGTTCTGATTTCTCGATTTCAACAACCAAGAGGTGAACCTAAAACGGAAGCAAATCAACCAACAGGGTCAGCCTCTAGCATAACGTAGAATAATGTTTGTTAGCCTATAGCAAAACAATGAATAGAGAGACCCTTACAACCGCTCTGTTCGTCGGGGAAATCAAATCCAAATTCCCACGACTCAGCGCCGAATTGTCAGGAATTACAGGCGCCGAGACTTCACTGTCAGATGGGATCAGTAAGTGGTCATCGAAGGTGAAACTGCTCATGTCCGCTATACTGGCCTCACTGACGACCGAGTGCATCGATCGTGCATCAAAATCGCCATCTTTCAAGAATAAATTTTCGCTTGATCCCAAATTTTGCCCCATATCATTCTCCCCAAATGAACCTAGGTCAAAAGCTTTATCCGCAGTCTGGGCAACTGCCGGTAGCGGCTCCGGCGTTTTCTCCTGTATCGGACCGTCCCCAGAAATCCTGTCCAATGACTCGGAAGGCGATTGGCTGGCACCCAATAACAACGTAAATTCTATTTTGGGAAGGATTGCGACAGACTGGAATACCAGCGCGGAAGATTCGGTGGCTACGGTATCACGAGCCAACATTTTGACAATGGATTCAGAGACCTTCATTGCTGTTTCATTACAATGCATAATCGTGTTATATCCTTCAGCTGTGGTTTGAGCTTTAATAATTGGGGTGAAAATATCGACCAGCATCAGCACTGCCGTAGGCGTTATTTGATCCGATGCGAATAACAACGGAATCATCCATACTGTAACAGGAATGGCATCCAGAAAAGGAATCGGACGTAATTTGGGAGATTTCAAATCGATAAATTCAATCCACATTGGATCAGTCGTCGCAGACCAGACAGAGTACGGCAGAGGTGGGTTTTGCGCTAGATTTTTAGCCAAATCCAGAAACAAACATACATCCGGATCACCATTGTAATTAGGAAAGGATCGGTCGTCGACTAAGCCACTGTTGTACTTGTCGATGGAAGACAGGCTATCTGAAAGAGATCTCGTACGTCCTATATCGGTGTTCGTCATAATAACGCGACCACTCTGCAGCTGCAGACATTTCGTAAACGGATGCGAAGCATGTAAAGGAGACCCCGGAGAAATAATCTACAAAGCAAAAGAAAAATGTAAATGAAATGTACCATTTACGCAAACCACGTGTAGTAATGTTAATATCCTTTTATAAGCGCGTTTCCTATACGTACTTTAAGTGACCTGCACTTGTGTTACAGTACTTTGTAGTTCGTGATCCATCAACATATTACAATGAACAGCGTAACGGAGTGTTTCTTTAATTGTAAATTGATTTCAAATGGTTCGGCCACCATCAAATTCAGACACCGATAATCTGCCAAATAGGTCCCTAGTCTTGAACTAAAACATTCTTCGGCTGTTCTGTATGTACCAAAGAATTCTGATGTTCTTTTCTGTATCAGAAGCTTAATGCGTTAAGACTAAGTCTTCGACAAAGTATCAAATTATAAATCAAGTATTTTCCATTCGCATAAATACCTTTGGTAATAGTGTCTCGAATCGACAAGCCACATCAGGAACCATGTCAGCAGATAATTTCGTTCCCGGGGATAACTACGACAAAGCGTAACTGGTGTACCATATATAAATCCATCCAAAGGCAACACTTGACCTTACATCTTTAAATATCAGCTCCGAGCAGATTAGTGAAAACCAATCCAACGTTGATGGATCGAGTGTCACCTGCAGGGGATTGCAGTAAACAGACATAATGTGCGGTGGAGCTGCAATGGAAAACAGATCTTCCTAATAAACGCAGAACAGAGGAAAGCTCAAGAACAAGCACATTACATACGAGGACAAGGCATCGCCTGCGGAAAGTAATGAACGATATATTCAGCATGTAATGCTGCGCATTGTTTTGGCAAATGTAGCAGCTTCTTTGTGGAGCAACAGAACGGAAACAGATTAATGATATCATTTTCCCTGGATTTTTGTGACTGGAATGTCGTCATGTTGTTAATACGGAAATCCTCCAAACGAAATACCCAGCAAGCATTCATCATGATTTTAAATGGATTCACCGGCAACTCCGGAACCGAAAGTTCTGTAAAAATTATAGTGACTTCCAGTTTTCCAATGTAAATAAAAATTATTTTACAATCACACAGTAGCACCTATTTTCCTGACATAATCTCCCAAAATATCCTTCTGCCAATCCAAATACTGGACTGTCGGTTCCTGATAAGTCAACCAGTGACGTCGAGCAATACCTACAGGAGTATAATTTTCCATGAAAAGTCAGATTTTGCAAACTTTGTTGACAACGTTAAGGCTCCTGTCAGGCTGTCTGTAAGTCATAAAGTAGGAAATATACTTACTCGGAATATGAAATGGATAATGATCGACTTTCAACATCGTTAATTCGACTAAAATGGCAGCATCATCATATTTTCTAGGAGGTGCAGCGTCGCTTCTTTGTGGTTCATCACAAATATGCATGTTCAGCTTTCCCAGGTGGAAATGGTAGGATGTCTCGCGGATATCAATCTTATCGAAATACTGTGACATTTTCCCAGCTGGAGTATTAGGATTTATCGGAACTTTTTTCGAGTTTCGATTAAAATCCAAAGAACTCTGTGAAAACAATACGAAAAAGTGCTCTTTAATTTAGGAAAAATGGCGGCACCCCCTGGCTCACTTACATCAAGCTTCTTGGCAGCCTTCTTATCACGTTCCTGCAGCTCGGCCTGCTTTGCTAAATCTTTAATCTGTTCCAACACCAGCAATGCCGCCTTCAGTTGGGTAGGCGTCAAAACCCACAGGAGGTCATCCATAATAATTTGCAATCTCGATGCCAGCAGAGCACAAGCTAGAAATTATAACATACATACAAGCCAATTCGGCAAGTTAATTGTAAGGAGTGCCTTCAATTACAATCAACGTACACGATAAGCTCTTTTTCAAAGCTATTCTGGCCTGACCACCGTTAGTAATAAAACGAATCGATGAAGAATTTAATCCTTGAGTTTCCGGTCCCGAAGAGGCTTCTACTCGAAGCGTCTGCCATGCGATACACTTAAAAACCATTATTGCATCTTTGGCTTCGTCTTTGATTCTGGTCATCCTGCAAAAAGGCCAGTTTTACAAATTTTTAAAATTCGTTTAAGGACAATAGTAAGTGTAAAATCAAAGATGGTGCCGCTTTTATCCAAAAGTCAAATTAAGAATAGAATGTCAGTATATATTATTTTTAAGGTGGCATTAGATGAAAAAAAAATCAGCGGAAATAAAAGGAAATCGACTGAATAGCTGAATAACTCGAAGTTCCGCTCTAGCGCACATACCGGAGATCATTTGTGCCGTCGTAATTTGACGTTGTGCTGAAGCACTTCACCCTATTGATCTGAAAGGCAATCATAATGAAAACGTTGTGCCAATGTTGCGTGAAAACGCATAATCACCTGGAAAGACATGTGAAAACTGGGCGCGCGGAAATGCATTTCGATCATGTTGACAGTGATGAGCATGCCATCCATAGCCATTTCCGTTCTCCCATATCCCGAAGTAGCTCTGTAAATACCGTTTTGCGCAAATAACATTATTTATTAACGTCTCAGGTTCGGGTTCAGTCAGGGGTACCCAAACGTACACTGTGGGAGCATCGGAAGGCTTCCGAAATTCTTTGCATGTTTCCATATCTACGTAAACTTCGTCTAAAGCCTAAAAATAATAATGAAAAATCCTGTACGAGTACTAAAATTAGGTTTGAATTTACATAGTAAAGAATATCCTTCACTTATTTTATTACTTAAAAGAAACACCACTAAAAATAAACAGTGCGTGGAATATTGCTGCTCTTATAATAATTATGACATAGCAACATTAAGTACTGTAATTCACTCCAAGCTACGGTACTTACGATGCGAATCGGTTGAGATGACAAATTCGTCCATGGTATCTATAAAAATCACGGGTCGTGAGTCAATCAGGAAGACAATGATTTGAGAGAACGATGAAATAACTGCATTAACCATAAACGAAGTATCGATTTTTTGCTTGAAAAAAGTAATAACGAATGTAAAAGGTTGAGACATTAGCCACTTACTTGGATTGTCACTCGGTTGCATACTACTCGGCTGATTTTCATCCACACCGGGAAGTCCAAAATGTCAGTGAGGACCGTTTCGTTAAGAACTAAATCCGATAGCGACGCTTGAGAAAGGGATGAGAACTGCACCTTATCCGGGTCAACATTTTTTGTAAATCTACAAAAAAAAACACAAATCGGGCTAGGCGGACAACTTACGGAGCAGATCACAAAATCATCAAGAAAGCAGGAAATGTATATGACAAAAGCAGGTAATGTATACAGACAACAGCAGGTTAAATCCGTTAATTGTATACAGTAATACAGTGTACCCAGTACCCACCTGGACAACACTTTCAGAAGCTGCTTTTTTATGATTCCGGTGGCCATAATGTCATTAGCACTACGGATGGTCCAATGTCCAGTTTAGTACCAAAAAAACAGCCAGAAAAAGAGCACTAGGCAGCTGCAAAAAAATTGCCGCCGCTATACTGAGTTAAAAATATTTAACTTGTACATTCGTATCGCTGATAAAAGTTTTGCACCGTTAGACTGTTAGAACAATGTTTATCCAGAATGATCTTATAATGTATTCTTCGATTCTCCAACTGCGCTTTAAAATTTGACAGCACTGTTATGCCTTTCTGATAATAAAACATTAGCAAACAATGGAACACGTACAATAAGTGAAACCGATCATTCGAAACTGCAGATCGCAAAGCAGTAAGCATACGACCATCGCACTCAATAAAACTCGAAATGGAAACCCGAAAAAGCAGGAAATATTTACATACGAGATAAGTGCTATATATTAATATATGTGAAGTACAAATACTGAAATATTAAAGCACAAAGCTTGTCCTTACAAAGCTGTCAAGTGTCGACCCTTCCGAACAACAGTACGACCAGTCCCGCAGCGACAAAGGTGTTGTAAATCGCACCGAAATCCACAAAACAATACAAAGAACGAAGCTGTATCCTCAATGATTATCGTCAATTTAGATTAGGATCCTAACACAACATTCGAAATGTAAGTTAAAATAAACAATAATTTGCGCAGTTCAGAAAGTCAAGAAATTTCCCCAATTTTTGTCACAGGCAGACTGTAAGTTCACGTCATCGTCCAACACGGGGAAATACGTAAACAAATAAGATAACTGCCTCCGGGAGTCGCCCGTTTTCAGACTCGAATCGTATGTATTGTAACATAGGGGCACATCTGTAACTAAACTTACTAAAGCCGTCGGCTCGAGATCTGTGTGTTTGTGATTTGTCATTAATTTTGTGCTTTACTATCCGTTTTCCTTTTCCAAAAATTCTGACGATGAACAGAAAGTAGCACTAGAAAGTACAAACTAACTGATAAGAAATGAGCGCTTTAATTCTTTAAATTCCCATATTATTGCAATTAGTACTTTAATACCTTTGTTGACATACTTTATGTCTAGTAGCAAATCTAGCAATCGTATAGCAAATCTAGCAATCGCCAGATAAAGCGTGCATATTCCGATATTTTCCGGAGCATCTGTGCTGTTTGTAAATTTGAGCACGTTATAGCGACGTTACAGTCGTTACTTGATAATTAGTATTGCTTGTTATATTGCCACTGGAGTTATCACATCATGGAGAGAGAAGGCACAAACTACGCTACATCTAAAGTGAAACCTACGCTCAACAAGTATGGTTGGGTAATTGAACAGCTGGATCCTTTATGGTAGGTACTGAAAGCTGAAACCCGTTGAAAGCTTTTCTTATTCTTCTGTTAATAAAGTGCAGGGCGTGAAATCGATGTCATAATATTATGTTTCAGCGCGGAATTCTTCACGATGGTCCCGTCCATTCAGGCTCCCATTGCCGATTTTGGTTGTGGATACGGCTACAGTAGTAAGAAACTCCTTGAATTAGGAGCCACTGTCATATCGAATGATCTCGACGATCGGCACATGGAAGATCTCCGCGTCACGGTGAATCCCGACCATGCCGATCGCCTGACAATTATGTCGGGAAATGTTGCCGATCTCGATATAAAAGCGGAATCTCTCGGTGGCATATTAGCCGTTAACTGGATCCATTTTCTTCCAACGGCGGAAGCTATTCGAGATGTTTTGGACAAGTTTTATCGCTGGTTAGCTCCCGGCGGGATCCTATGTGTTACAGCGGTGCAGCTGATCCAGTATGTCGAGCCGGAAATATATAAGAAATACATGAAAGGCCGGGGGAAGAAGGAGTGGATCGGATGGGTGACTCAAGAGGAAATGCGTGAAGATATGAAAGATAACTTGCCCAGTACTATCTGTGCCATCGATGAAGTCATCTTGCGAAGGGAGCTGCTGCGGGTTGGGTTCAGTGTGGACAAATGCTTTCCATACAGTGCACCTGACGTTTACGAAGACGACTACATTAAAGATTTTGCTGTGGGAGCAATAGCCTCCAAGCCTGTAATTTAGACAGGTAATGCTTGATCACTTCAAGCGCTCTGATTCAAGTTCCAAAAGGCATTCCTTGCATGAATGATGAGGAATAGGATATTGTTTGTGCGGCTATCGCTGATTGTGTACGTACTTGGATTGCTTTTAGAAATCTTATTTTTTATGCTTCGCATACTTCTACCGCATAATTTACCTGTACATCGTTGCCTTTCTGTGACTGAGCGACTTACAGTTAGAGGAATGATTAAATATACATGCGCCTTGCGGCCTACAATCTACAGTAGATGCACTTCAGATATATCGACTATAAGGCAGACGACTAGTTCCAGTTGTTGAAAATGTTTTTTTTTGTATAGTTAACTGTACGGGGCAAAAGCTTTTAACTAACAAAAAATTATTTTCAAGTTGATCGTGTACGCTCAAATTTCAGTACGAATACAGATCTATACGTCTTAAGCGAAACGCTGTAATAATTTTCTGTCACTCTTTCTCTCTACCGTTTATGTTTTTACTGTAAACTGCGTATACAGTATGGCGCTCCGTGATGCCGCTTTGATTTAACCCTGACCGTTTCTGCCAAGTTCTTGTAGAAGTTCTTAGGAATAGATTTTAAAACGAACAGACGTTCGCGCGTAGGAACAAACGTGTTCGAAGCCAACACTGCACACAAGGTGGCACGGTGTTGAGTAAACGGACAAGTACAACGACACAGTTTTTTCAAGTTTTTGATTTTTAAAATATCGGTTACGGTCGCCTTGACTGATGTATGTTATGTAAGTAGATGACCGTGACATTAAGCAGTTCTGGAAGTTTCCATCATCTGGATTCGTGCTGGGAAGATTAGGGATTTCTGTTTGTGGTAGCTCGTTTGACTTACTTTGCTTTCTTACGGGGTATATTTGGAACTCATTGAAAAACTCTGGATTATTACTGATCGTTGCGTAATGGTCATTATTATTGTATGAAGCGTATGTTTTTTCCTGATCGAGAGCGACAATGCGCAAAGCGTACTTGATGCATCTCGTCGACTGCGGCTTCGATAAATTCATTATTATCTAAGTGATGTTCTGGATAATGCCGCAGAGCTTTTTGGGGTGAAATATTGACATCGCACTGGTTTTTATGAAAAAATCATTGAATTCGCTGTGCAATTTGGAAGTATGACGTTAGCCGGCATAACCGGTTTTGTGACCTTTGGATTGGCAAACTTTCTTCTGTCAGGTATGGACGCCGATGTCGGGTGAATAAAACCTTTTGACATAATTACCGTTACCAGAAAATTTGACAAGGTTTTATTAAGCAAATAACACTTTTTTATACTCGATGGTAATAACTGTACGTCCAAAGATGGAATTCGATGCTGTACCATTGAGCTGCCTGCACTATAGATCATATACGCAGTAACGCAACTGTAGGAGCTTACTCGCTGGTCAGTAGGAGTAGTACATCAATACGATATAAAATGGTTCATAAATAATGTTAGTATGTACATAAATAAGTACATACATTATATAATTATAAAGGGTCTTTCGCCAATGTGCGTCAGAATAAAAGTTACTTTTTTCTAAATTTTACTGATTGTCGGCAGGTGCCTCATCCTCACAGTACGACAATTCGTACGGGGATTCCTCTGGGTATCAGACAAACTCGTACAACTATCCTGCTCGCCATTACTACATTCCTTCGTACAGTATTTATGTACCCTTGCCAAAGAATCCCAGACCACCGGATGTACCGGATGCTCCTGGTGCTCAGTTAGGCTATCCCTATCTCCCCAGTATCCCTGGAGCACCGAGTGGGCCAAATGCTCCCAGCGCCGTGATAGGCATTCCCCACTTTCCACCCAATCCAAATTCCCCCAATGCACCGCGACCAGAAAGCGGTTACCCGCTAGGACCCACGCATCCGGCTGCGCCGCCGGCACCTGCCGGTCCGTCCATACCGGGCGTCAAGCTTGATGTGCCGTATTTTCCCTCCAATCCCAGCGCACCGCCTGCTCCCGACATTAAGGCTGGCTATCCAGCTGGACCCATATACCCTGATGTACCAGGTGCACCCTCCGGTCCACCAATACCCAATGCGCAGATTGGTGTGCCATATTTCCCTCCCAATCCAAATTCACCGAATGCGCCAAATCCACAAAGCGGTTATCCATTAGGGCCCACTCACCCGGCAGCACCACCGGCTCCATCTGGTCCATCCATACCAGGCGCTCAAATCGATGTACCATATTTCCCATCCAATCCCAGCGCACCGCCTGCTCCAGACATCAAAGCCGGCTATCCCGCTGGCCCGATGTTTCCGGATGTGCCTGGGGCGCCTTCTGGGCCAGCTGTGCCCAATGCCCATATCGGTGTTCCATATTTTCCTCCTAATCCTGACTCGCCCAATGCACCGAACCCCCAAAGCGGCTATCCGTTGGGTCCAACACATCCTGCGGCGCCTCCCGCTCCTTCAGGTCCTTCGGTGCCGGGTGCCAAGATCGACGTTCCGTATTTCCCGTCTAATCCCAGCGCTCCTCCAGCACCGGATATCAAAGCCGGCTATCCTGCCGGACCCACCTATCCGGATGTTCCTGGCGCTCCATCGGGTCCCGCTGTTCCCAATGCGCACATTGGGGTGCCGTACTTTCCACCAAACCCCAACTCTCCCAATGCGCCTAACCCTCAAAGCGGGTACCCAATAGGACCTACTCATCCCGCTGCGCCTCCCGCCCCGTCCGGCCCTTCTGTGCCAGGCGCCAAAATTGATGTGCCATATTTCCCATCGAATCCCAGTGCACCTCCGGCTCCCGACATTAAAGCCGGCTATCCCGCTGGACCCATTTACCCTGATGTTCCCGGTGCCCCCTCCGGTCCCGCAGTGCCGGGTGCACATATCGGTGTTCCGTATTTCCCTCCAAACCCAAACTCGCCCAATGCACCATCTCCGCAAAACGGCTATCCATTAGGACCAACGCATCCGGCAGCTCCTGCTGCACCTTCCGGTCCATCTGTTCCTGGCGCTAGTATTGATGTACCATATTTTCCTTCTAACCCAAGCGCGCCTCCCACGCCCGATATTAAAGGCGGCTACCCGGCTGGGCCCTCGTATCCGGATGTTCCCGGTGCACCTTCCGGTCCTTCCGTTCCCGGTGCCCATGTGGGAGTTCCGTATTTCCCGGATAATCCCATTGCACCGTCTGCTCCTACTGCCAGCAGTGGATACATTTCGGGGCCTTCCTACCCATCTGCACCGGATGCTCCGTCCGCGCCACCCGCTCCAGCGGCTATGATAACCTACCCAGGATATCCCGCCCAGGATTCGTACGATACGGTATGTTACGGTGCTTCCGTGCTTCAAGGTGTTTGTATATCTCTACAGTTTCCAATGGCTGTAATTTTACAGAACTATTACCATTATGGAGGAAACAGCACCGGAAACGGGTATTCAAATGGCGGTAATCAAACAAATGTGGCGAAATTTCAAAGAGAACTTAACTGACCTTTGCGCCTGTGTGGAATGAGAAGATTCAGCTGCTGACCGAAACTGAATTGTTCGCCACCTAAAGGATGTTTAAAGTACTTAACCCATTACGTTTATGCTTTTTTGTCCTTAAAGCTGCACTTACATACTGTTTTCGTAATGCGCCGTTAAGTTTATGTAAGTACTCACTACTCAGCATTACTACATCGATTTTGTTGGTTTGGTGGGATCGGATACCCCGAGTCTGTGCTTAACTGTTCCTAGTTGCTGCGAAGAGTCTGGACTCTTGAGACATGACAGTTGCTATTACAACAAATTCAAAAAGTAAACGCGATATAAGACCGTGAGAAACGCTGAGGTTTAGGGACAGTAAATTGGCAGTTTAATTTGTTTAAATAGTTACTTACTTATTTACGTTCCTCTTTAGCACAAGACCACCGGTAATAAAATTATTATGTATCTATTAATTTTATTAAATCGTGGTCGCCAAAAAACACGAAGTGCCACGAACTATGAAATATATGGCGTAAAAAAACAATCCGATAAGAAGAAAACGTTTACAGTGTCAGGAAGTGCAGTACGAGTACAGTAAGTACTAATTTTTTAACCAGCTGCCTACTTGCTCACCTGCTCCGGGGCACAGTACGCTAATTAGAGTGGTATGAAGACTAAACCGGAAGCTGGCGGAACATCCCACTCGTTAGTGACGGTTAGTCGTTACGAGACTGGATTTGGGATAAACGGTGTTTCATTCCTTGCTTAATTCATAGTTTGCTATCAATAAAATTTAATATCCGTGGGAGTGGGAGATTATAACAAACTGAAAACGAGCCCTTTTTGTTATTCCCGTATTTGCAATCAAAGTTCCTGGTCTCTCAGTTGTTACACTCATCCGTTTTCTGTGGTTTCATTCACCAGTCGACGCTCTTGAGTCTTTCTGAAAGCGACGCTGTATCTTGTTACCAGTTACCTGAATCGAGTACCATGGCTTTCACATTTGCTGCGTTCTGCTTTCTTGTGGCGATGATTGTTACTGCCATTTTGATATTTTTTGCGATTTTCCACGTAAGTGCAGTAGACTTTAAAGAGCAACGATAATGTGCCAGACTGTCGGCGTACACTAGCTGTGCAAAATAAGCAAGTTTAACTGTTTATTTCAACTTTAGCGACAACTGATTAGTACTTCAATACGATGATAACTTTCCTTACAGATGATCGCTTTCGATGAGCTGAAGGTAAGTACTTGATTCGATTTCCACTCAGAGCTGGGCTGAATTGGTTGGAAGTTGTCCTTGTGGTTCTTTTGGCTTGTTTACCCAGCATAACACGGTATATGCCTACATGGGCTTTTGATGTTGCAGACTGATTACAAGAATCCAATCGATCAGTGCAACACGTTGAACCCAGTAAGTTTCGCTGCAATTTCAAAGAGCAAAATTGCGTCTTTTAGCGGGTAAACTTGAATTATAAGCCGCTGTATTTTGTAAAATGCCGCTTCGGTTTGTGTCTTGGCCATATTGTACTTGTGTATTGTGATGGTTAATCTGCAATCACTAATCAAAAATTTAGTTCAGGATCTGAATCCACACTGGAAAATCTGTTTCAACTTCATTTTAATTTTTTAAACGTTTTTGATAAACAGCCCCGGATGCGGTAATTGTCACGTGTAAACTGACTTGGAGCTGTCTGTAGATTCTCTAGCACAGTTTGTCATTAACTCCGAATAGCTCTTGTGACGGATTATCTACAGTAATTTATATCTGTAGTTGGTTCTGCCAGAATACTTTTTGCACCTGTTCATCAACATATTATTCTTGCTGAGTGGATCCTGGTGGACTCTGCTGTACGTTTGGATGATCCTTTTATTGCGTTTGAAAGTTGTGATCTGTTGATCTTTGCCTTTTGCAGGTATAATGTGCCTCTGTTGGCTTATCACGTTCGGAGGTTAGTTTTCCTAACATGTTGTTTTATTTACCGAAAAGTTTTATTTGTCCACTCTAAAGTTATTCATATGCCTAGCGCTACGTTTTTCGCGTGCCCACACAGTCTTGAACATTAAAATACAATGATATTAAAATCCGCCGTAGGGATTGCTGCTATTACCGGATAAATATTTGACATTTTGTTCACAAAAAAAAGCGAAATAAGCTGAACGTACATAGCACAAATTTGGTGTTCAACTCTTCAAAAAGTTTTAGCGAAACCACTGCCATCTGTGTCAGGTTTGTTATAAATATACATAGTAATTAGGAAGTAAGAAGCGCTGCCTACCGTAGCATGTCTATAATTTGGAATCGTTCGATTACTTGATTGTTAACCATTGAACTGATTGAAGGTACAAAAATCGACCCATTATGTCTCATTATGGACTCTATGATCCCACATCGATCATGAATGCGGACGAGTTGAGTCACTGTATGAGGGAAGGTTGGATCAAGCTGGCATTCTACTTGATTTCCTTCTTCGTTTACTTATACATGTAAGCATTCGTATTTATTAAGATTTTTTTAGTTTAAGGTTATAAGATTTTCAAGGCTCTTTGCCAATTTCTTCCTTTTATTTCACACAGTTTAAATAATGGTAATAGCGAAATGCGAGACTAACGTTGAAGACACTCATTTTTATTCGTAATGACGCTTATTATATGTTTGATTAGATAAATTATTATGCATTTTAATATTATAAATATTTTTGTTGCACTTTTATGGAAGTTATGTGCTTCGGAATAATCATTGCAGGATGATTTATGAGCTCGTTACGAGCACCTCGAACTGAAAGGTTTGTGATCTCCGAGTGCACGGTTTGCATTGCGCCTTTGATGACCATTTTCGCGCCGGTCGGTTGGATGAAAACCAAAGAAAACGCTTAAGCTTTCACCGTTATAATTATTTTGTTTAATTTTGTTGAGTTTGATGGAACAGTACTTAGTTGTCTGATTCGAGTTTTTGTGTTGATTTTATTTGTTCACAAGTGTCGAAAATCACTGCGCTGTAACCGCGACTAAGCCATCATATGTCGTGATTCGTGAACTGTCGAACAATTCTGGCGTAGGGATGGGATCTTGGATTTTCATGAATCATCGGTGTTGTCTTTTGGTAATTACATGCTGTAGCTGTAGTACATGTAAGTGCTGACAATAAATAATCGACGTTTTGACCTGGAGTTCTTAAGCAGAAGGAGTACTTTCTTTAGTGTTGACTGTTCGGATCTTGTTGTTCAGTTACTTAACTGTCACTTTATCACACTGAAACATATTTTGGGTCAAGGACTCTACCTATCCCGAAACGAAAATACAGATTAAATAAAAATGAAAGACTACATACTGTGATGTGATCGGCAGGTTGCAATGCTCGGGGCAATTTAACAGCAATGGCAATTTATTAGCTTGCAATTTTTTCCAGATTGCAGAGTATAATTCAATGTAGATTTTGAAAAATTATTCATACAAAAAGCAGCATCAATATTCAATAACCATGCTCAGAAAACTTTATAAACGAAATATTCCACCACTTTTCAGTCAGCATCAGCCGAAAGTTTCCACAACGAAAATATACCGCAAAGGCGCAAACTAAAAAATGTTTTCTTTTCGCATGATTTTACGTATTTATAATAATTACAATCAGAACACAATCAGTGCGGAATTTAGTCAGTTAGTACATGATCCACGTCGAAGAGCCAATCAATCCTGAACATCCTTCCACCAACTTAGCGGCCGTATTTCTGGAACTCCCATTCACGATTATCCAGAGGGCAGACCTGACGAGTTTTCAGCCATCGTGAGATACAGTGAAAATGAAAAGCATGATTGCAAACTCCCCACGCCACGGTGCACTCATCGCTGGTAGTCGATTGTTGATTGGCCTAAACGCAAATAAAAGACAAGTTATTGTTAGGGATGGTTCCTCGTCTCTCAGTTCGTTCGTTTCTCCGACTGAACAGCGGTGTTCGCCCATTCAGAATGAGGGCGCTAAACCGTCTTCAAATGTTACTCGAAAGCGAAAAATATCGGCGACCCAAGGGTCCACGAACCGCAATTCAGAAGAAAAGAATAAATCTAACGACCAACCATAAGATGACAAAAGTACAGAGTTTCCGTTTTCAGGCCCAAGTTGACTCTTACCTGGCATTCAATGCAAAGATCCATGATGTGGTTTCGGCAGATGGCACAGTTATCCACCACGATATCCCAAGCCCTAAATCAAAACCATTAGAATAACAGTAGCACACAGAACTTCATCATGACGGTACGGTATCCACAAACCAGAGTGCCACTGCATTCCATTTCTTCACTTCAAAGCGCTTTTTCTTCGCAGTTTCTCCTTCAGTGTTCCCAGCTCCAGCATCCGCTTGAACGGGCATTTCTTCGTCAACGTCCATGCTGAATTTTCGTTCTGAGCCGTGTAGTAAGAAATACAACCTCGTAATTTGGAAATATACGCTACTGTTGGCGTTGTAACTCTTAACTGTAGGAAGGTACGTAAATTAACTAAATTTCGCTGGCAGAGCACGCTAGGTGGAACTAGAAAACGAAAATGAGAAGGATTTTTTCTGGTTCATGTGGAAACAGCGGCTCAAGTTGCTGCTGGCTTTCTAACAGTTCTGGCACGGTACCGTGGTCCTGGTTCCGGTTCCAGTATGCACTACGCACCCGCTCGGCTGCAAACCGGATTTAAAAGCAAAACAAGCCAAGAGGAACGCCGAATTTTTAAAAATTACGAATTTAAAAATTGTCGAAATTATGTAATTATATTCGTAAAATAATTTGTACATATACTTACAAAACTGATGATACAGATAATCCAAGAGTTAACGTTGCAGTTTACTGCAACTTTCCCTTTCGTAAGTATAAAATTATTACGATTGTAGGCGTTTCTGTTTTGGGCCTTGGCTGTACAGATAAAGATTACTTATCACTGGTGTATGTGAAAAATTTTCCGAGTTTACCATTTATGATCTCTGTTCCTGTTCTCAGCAGTTACAATTTAATTGAGTTATGCTTGTGTCAGCTGTATGCGTATAAATGGATGGGAGAAAACCGTACCCACTTTCCGTTTCGGATCAAGAAGAGCCGAAGGTTCGTGCCGTCACACGACATCATGCTGGATCAGGCGACGCCCGCACTACCGAAGACGAGGGAATACCAAATTCTTTTTCACTGGCGAATGGGGTAGCGGAGCTTGTTCAGTCATCTGTAGAACTCGCTCAGAACTCCGTAGACGGCGATGCTCAGGCCCCTCGTTCAGGGGCCAATGGGAGAAATGCGAATGTTCATGGAGCTTTCATTCCGAAGGACATTGTAACATACTCGGCTGCTGATAAACTGGAAGCTCTAGTGCCTTTCCCTGCCACTTTACCTGCACAGTATAAGGGGCTAATAACCCAGATTGAGAATTCAAAGCATCCAAATTATCCGTTTATCCTTAGGCGGGTAAGATTGAAATTCGCGGAAACCAAATTTTTTAATAAGAATACGCAGTGGCCAGACAGAGGTTGTCGTATAAAAATTTGTGGGACGAGATTTAAGACTGTTTCAGTGTTTGTTAAGTTATTACGGCTCGTATACGGTACATCCGGTAGCCTTGTTTTCGTTGTTGTTTTCCTCTTCATTATTCCAAACGCTTGTGTTTCAGGTTTATGAATCCGGCCACCTGAAAAACTTTTTGCAGTATCTGGATAAGCGAGCGGAAGCTCATGACTCCGAAATTGAACGCGTTTGCGCTGCGCATACTTTAACGCTTACGGAGACTGCGCGAGATTTAATGGCAGTCAGCAGCGGAGTGGAGGAACTACGTGACACTTTGGTTCTAGATCGTAACCGTAGTGATTCTCATTTGAAAGAAATCCAAGCTGCCGGTAAAGGAGCTACTACATGGAATACAGCTCTTGTTAACACTGCGTTGCTGATTGAAAGGATCAGTATTTTGAAGCCGGTAATCAAGACGGTCGGCGAAGCACAGTCGTGTATGGACAAGGGTCAACTGGTGAAGGCATTGCGCAAATTACACGATGCTTGGGAACGCACTCGGAAATTACCGCATCACATCCGATTAGTGAAATCCCTGGCCGATAACATACCGTTCATGAAATCCCAGTTAATTTTGGAAGCAAAGCGAGGTTTGTGATAGAGTCGCTGAAGGAAGAGCCCCTTAATGAGAATAAGTATCATAATTATACTATACCATCTTTTTTTCCGTTATAAAAATTTTTGAATGAAAAGGAGCATCAGTATTTTGGAGTTTTGTATTTTGCATAACAAAACGTTAGGATAGTTATGACTTATGAGTGGTTAGGTAGCATTTCGGTCCGCACTGTATTTGGAGTTTATTCCGTGCTGTTTCGTTAGGAGTGACAACTGCACTGGAATCGATAAGGAACGCTAATTTAAAGGCGGGCTACATGACATTAAAAAATGTTGCCGAAACCAACGGTTTACACGTGGAGCCTTATCATATGCCTGCTGGGAGAGTGCTCCCCAGTCGGTACACGGAAGAAGTGGCGTTTCTTTATGACCGCAAATGGTCTTTAGATACCGCCCTTAATCTACAGCCGCTTTTGGTCTTCCGGCATGTTATGCTCAATTTTGCTCCTGATGATTTGGATGCGGACGCATATAAAGCGTATTATGAAAATTACATGGTTCAGCGCCGCAGCCAAGTGGCTCAGATGGTAACTCCGCCGAACAATATGCACAGTGTGGACCATTTTCGCTTATATATCCAGGATATTGTGGGTATATTTGCGCTGGAAACATACATCGGTGGATGTGTCTGTGCAATCGCTACCGATGCGTTTTATTCTGAACTTTGGAATGAAAATGCGTCTAATATAGCGTCGGCGTTAAGTTCCAACTGTGTGTTTATTACTGATGACGAAAATTGCGCCCAAATAAAGAACTTGATGAACCTCTTTGCGGTGGCGCTGAATTTTCTCAAGTGTGATTCTAGCCGAATTCATGGAGTACTGCAAGACATTCGTGATCATTACGGTGAGATACTATTAAGGAAATTGGTAGAGCAGATGAACGCGGCTCTCGACGAAGATAGTTTCGTTGCTGTAAGCGCTGCCAATGAAATGGAAGAACAGCGCATCTTGATAGATTTCCCGTTCAGCAAAGATCCTACCGAAAAATCGATTACACAATATCCAAAGAAGTTCCCGTTTTCCTCGAGTGTTCCTAAATTTTATTCGCTGATCAAGCAGTACATCTCAACCTTTGTCAAATTTAGTCGCGATCTGAACTTGAGTCAAAGTGAAGTGGACGAAAAAGTTCGTAAATCGATGAATACAGTGTTGTCCCGAAATCTTCGGGGGTGCATCAGTGGCCTAGTCGAGCGCGGAAGATTAACTCCAGAACAACTGGTGCAATTGTACACCAACTGTACATATTTGGAGTATTCGTGTCGGTTTTTGGAAACGTACATTTCGGAATTGCTTAATCTGAATGCCGCTGCCGCCTCAGCACTACCAGGGCTTTCTATGCGTTTAGATAGCGACTCCCTTTTCAAGGATATCCGCTCGCAGGTTGAACAACAGGTACCTTTCTTGTTAATTTTGCATGTTAAGTTGTTATGCATGTTGTTTGCTTGTACGTATTATAAACTAACCAGAGAGCTTAACGGAAGTACGTGTTTAACGTAAACGCGTTCCTGAATTATTATACGAGTAAGTTACCAGTATTCGGTGAAAAAAACTTACTAGTATAGCGTATGCTTTTGTTTATTGCGCTTGCAGGTTTATACCACTCTTATGAACTCGATTGAAGCGATGGTTGGAGAAAGTAGATTTGACTCAGCCGCACAGGAAGCAACAAATGAGCCTTCGGTTCTGTGTCAGCGCGTTATTCGGTATCTGGAAGTAGTTTTCGGCTTCATCAGGAACATGCCCTACAGCGTCTGCCAAACGGCCTGGATGACTGCCTGTAAACACATCGCCAACCAGTTGCAGGAAACCTTCATCCATAAATCCCCACTGATCACGATCGGCGGTGTTCAGCAGCTGAAAAATGATCTGGGATTTTACGAAGATTTCCTTCTCCGTCAAAGAGACAATACGGATCCGGCTACTCTCCTTATGGCCTTCAGCGATATTCGTCAGTTAACGGACTTGCTGCTTTTATGGGATTGGAATAAATATTTCCATGAATTTGGAAAGAAAGATGCAAAATACAACCGAATACAGCCTCAAACAGCTTTGAACATTTTGGAAAAAATGAAAGAATCGGACCGGAAGAAAGGCTCGCTTCTGCAAAATTTGCGAAAAAACGAGCGAGATAAGAAGAAATTATTAGATACTATTATTACCCAGTTGAAAGATTTGATTAATGAGCCACGATAGCTGGTGAGCTTTAATATAAAACAGCAGTTTATTGTTGATAAACTCGCCACGTTCCTTGCCTTTCAGATGCATGCCTTAATTATGCCTATTTATGAGGGTCTAGTACACTTTTTATAACATTGCGGTTTTTCTGTCAAAAATCTACAGAAAGGTCTGGTCTTCGGTAGAACGTAATGCTGCTCGGTGATACACTTTTGTTTGTTGGCCATGCTAACCTGTGGTCCTGTGCCAGTCTTTCCTTTGATGAATGTAGTCCCTTTTATGATTGGTAGTCGGTTTGCTTTTGAATGTCTGCACACACCTTCCATTTCACTGTTCTGTTAGACTGCTTTTACTGACAATATACACTAAATCAAACGCAGAAAAAATTTCGGACCGGTTAGGCCCTCGACTGCTCATTTGAGCAGTCGCAAATTTTTTTATTGCTTTTGTGTTTGAACCGAAGTCCTTCTCAAAACAATCTAAAATCTACTGCAACAACATCCATTTTCTACAAAATCTACCGGAGACCTACAATGGAACACATAACAAAATGAAAAAGGAGGAAAAGTGTTCAACGCATCAAAGATAATCACAAAGTTAAAATAAACCTATCGACAGCCGAGAAATACCGCAACCAACGAGAATTAAAGCACCAATACATCGTTTTGAAGAAAAACTTTTCAAAAACTTAAGTAACTCTTGTAACGGGTCTGCAAAACTCAAAAAACTATGTATTCACAAAACATTAGGCGCTAACTTTGAGCAAGGCTTTGAGGCCCATTGAAAGCATCTGGCAAGTTGCAGCAGTATCCATACTGCGTGCAGCCATGACGGACGTCAGAGTCTCAAAATTACTCAACGTATTCACAACACCATCCTCGTCATAGTCATCTTCGCTCACATTTCCAGACTGCGTTTCACTCGATGAGGAAGACGTCTCGCCAGTGGAATTCGACCCTAGCAGCCAATTATCCGGAGGTACAGGAAAATCTTCCTCCTTAGGTTCATTTTTAGCAGACTTACGACTGGCGTACAAATGCATCTTTGGTTTTCGTGGTGCAGATTCTTTCTTTGGGTGTTTGTCCATTCCACTCGACTTCGCCACGGACACAGTTTTCGAGTGCAATACAGCTTCACGGATGGGCTTCGTTTCGCCAATGTTGCGATGCATAGCAGATTGTCGAAGTTGTGCGTTTACATGCAATACTGGATTGGATGCTGGAATTCCGCTATTATGCAGCAGAGCAGCATGAGAAACCATGACAGGAGAACTCGGATAGCTGAAGGGGCACGATGACGACGGGACAGTTACATTCTGATACAATGATGCTATGGGGACCTGGTGAGATCCAGGAGGCATGAAATTCACAGGTGATGATGGATGAGATCGGGAACCAGTATGCGCTGGACCAGATGAGCTGATCGATCGATGGCGACCCAGCGCCTTCTTGCTCGCTTGCGTTTTGCCTGGATGTGATGCCACGTCCATGGCAACACAGTACTCATCCACGAGGAAACACGAAATAAAATTTACAAATGACTAAGGCTGGGAATACACTGGCGGGAAGGATGGCGTTATTAAAATTTAAATATGCATCAGCTATATGAATCCAAGCGAATTAGGAGGATGTACGGTCGAAGCAGTAACATATATCGTTCTTTGTTCCACTTCTTTTAGCAATGCTCTTTCAGTCTTCCTTTTGTCAGCTTGGCATCCACCATGCAGGACGCTTGGAGTTCGTAGCTTGCTATTACAAGACAACAATTTGGCTTTAGTACAGACGCATTCAGTAACCGTAGGAATGAAAGTTAAGGAATTCATATTCAGCCGGGAGAATATCAATACAGCAACAAGAACTACTGGAGGAGATTTTATTGTTAATAAATCAAGTGATCAGGCTGATCCAGGCGCAAGGTAAACAGTACGTAAACAATGCAACTTATTACTTATAATACAAAACTCAAAAGGTCACAACATTAGGGTTTCGTTTTCGTACCTTGCACGGTAACGGATCTCCTTCTTGTCTGACAAGAGGTAGTAAAAATGTTGTGTAACCTGTTAGAAAATCTTCCCTGTTGGAGTTCAAGGGAAGTTTGCTGTTAGATGGAATAAACGATCTTCCAAAAGATGGTCTAAAATATTTTTGTAACACAGATCTCGGCCGCATTTTCTTTGAAACTGTTATGCTCGCTTTGGCAAGGCATTCCTTTTTAAAGCGTAATCTGTATCCCACTTGCGGTACATTCGCTGGTAACATGTTGTTTAATCTGCCGAAAATGATTCGCCAGACTTGGTTCACCAATAACATCGAAGAAATATAGTTTCTAGTTGTGTGATTGGTCATATATGACAAAGAGGTCTGACGTCACTTTTTCTCGAACAGTCAATTTTGCAAAGCTTCTCCGTACTCCATGTGATCACGGCAGCCAGGCAGCTGATCTTTAATTTTCGTAAGTGTACTGCTCCCCGCAGGCGACAGCAAGTCACATTTGTAAATTAGTGTTGGTGGCGATGGTGGCGTGACCACGAAACGGCCGCAAAAATCACCTCAAAAAATCGCAACAATAGAGTGACTCACTCATTCATTCAAATTCCGGAGACTGGACTGAGCCTGGAGGTGAGCAACAACAAATGCTTGGCGGGTTCTTACGATTTCTCATTTCTGAAAAAAGAATCTAGTTGAACTGGCAAATACGTACAAAGACGTATATGCGTACTTCCGTCAGATTTCTTTTTATCTTTAATAATAGTTCTGCAGTTAACTGTAAAGCTACTTGCAGTAAGTAAACTAACAGCCTTTACTGTACCGCAGTGATTCCAGCAAGTATTTAATTTTGTATTTTTATTAGAGAGATGGATTTGAGTAGAAAGACCGATGCCTTTAAAGTGGACCTCTGCAGAAAATATTTCTTGGCTGGATTCGCTTTGCTACCTTTCTTGTGGTTGATCAATGTGATTTGGTTCTTCAAGGATGCTTTCCTACGGGATCTTTCCGTTAACGACGATAGAAGAAGAATTCGTCGCTATGTTATCCAGAGCTTCATCGGATGTGTGATCTTTACTGCGGGATTACTGGCTTGGATTGTCATCTTTCAGACGAAGCGTATTGAATGGGGAGCCACGGCCGACTACATTTCTTTCATTGTACCTATTGGATCACCCTAAGAAAGAAAAAACTCTGAGCTCTTCGGTTTGGTCTTTGTGCTGTAGAGATATAGTTCTGTTCGATTATATGAAACTTCATTTAGTTACTAATTATTATTGGTGTTACTAATTATTAGTAACACAAAAAAAATCGAAACCAGCGATTAACCAGTTTCGAAAAAGTCTCGAAGCGAACTGTTGTCACTTGTCATTCACAGGTCTCGTTTTTAATTTTTTATACTTATTGTTTACAACTTTACAGTTAGCTTGTGTTGGAAAATGCTGATCTCTTTTGTTGTTTATAATTTCGGCACACTTTGGCTTGCATTAATATAAATTTTTTGAAGCGTAATGCTTTTGTTTTATCTGTACAAGTTCTTTAATACCTGAAATGTAAATCACTCCAGAGCCCTGACGTATTTAGTAACCTTTCCTTTTTTACGTTCTTGTTAATTTTGCAGTCTTCTGTTTCCGTGTTCTTGCAAGTGTTATGAATGGTTAATAATTGTGGAGTCATTGAATTTGATCAAATTGGTGTCGCCGCGCAGCAGTACTTAAAAGTCAGTCTAAACGATTTAGAGGTGCTTGGAACTCTGTTAACTGTTAAGATACGAATACCCGATAGCGAATACTCATACCAGTTTTTGGTACGAATATTATATACCGAAATACGCTCTGATAATATCCAAAGGATTCAAGGTTATTTTATAAATGCAACTCTGTTGTGCCGTATTTTAGTAATTATACTTCTCGCTGTTTGTACCTAGCTATCTACTCAATAGTAAAAAAGGTACAGTATTACTTTTGGCTGAAGCAATTAAATTAAAAATTGACACAGTAAGTGTTTCAAAAAGACAAAAGTACTGTGAGGGTTTGTATGTCTGAACCTTCGATTTCTTTATCAGTGTCCTGAGGCACGAGTTCGAAAACATGATAATTTGATGATAATGAATAATGATCATATCGGTATTATCGGTAACATACACGATGCTCATCATAAATAAAACACGACACAAAAATAACAATGCAATGCATGGAGAACGGAAAAATCATTACCGGCAGTCCAGACACCACCGTATTAATCGTGATTTTACTCATTTGATTGTTTTATACCAAATCGACCACAGAAAGCAAAATTAATGATAATAAAATATTTTGTTACGTTAGTACGTACTGGTTTTGGGAGCGAAAGTACGGCATGCGATTGCGATGTTTTTGTCTGTCATGACTCATAAATTCATAATGACGCAGTAGTGCGCCAGTAAAAAGCAATCATAGAGTATTTTACTGTAATTTTTATCGATAATAAATAGTAATTCATTTAATCTGTATTTTGCAGTACGAGTACGAAAGTAATCCAAACTTGTTTCGTTAACTGTGCAAGAAAAATCATTCCCGATAAGCCATTCTGAAGCCCAATGTGCATGTGTTAAAATGTGTTTAATGTGACTGTCAAGTATGAACAAGACTTACTGGCGTCTTTGCGTATACTTTAGCCGAGTCTAGCGTATTTTTTTAAATTTTATCTCCTTGTTCTTTTGGTTTTGTGTTCCGTTTTCACATTTCGCTTCCGCGCCAGTTTTATTGATATTCCTTTGCGATCGTCCACTCGGTTCTTCATTTTTTCATCAGCTCTGGTAGGCGTCGCTTCTGTACATCGCTTTTGAAGTCACGAGCAAAGACATTTAGAGAGTCAAAATTCGACTGCTTGGACAATGGGTGAGGACGATCAGGAAGGTAGAAGCCAGCGTGTTCTTCAGTTTGAACCCTTTTCGTCGTGCATTGATGCTGGTTTTTGGAGTGTGATTACGAAAAAGAAATTGGAAGATTACGGTTTGGATGAATCGTTTCGGAAGATTTACGGAACTTATACAATAGGTACCGTCATCGGCGTACAATAATACAAGTGCATGTCACATGTGCAATAGTGAATACGAGTACTAATAGTGGTTGTCTTTTGTGCAAAACGGTATTAGTGCTGTCGCAGTTACGTTGTTTTCTTGTAAATGATATCAAAATGATATTTTGATCTTTGGTTGGTCAGTCTTCAGTATAGCAACAATGTGCTGAACTATAGGAAGTTCTGCGAATCTCCCGTGTTTGATCAATTTGGATCATGATGCGACTAGGGACCAAACAACTTTTGGAGCGCGATGGTATCCCGTTTATGGGAAATTGCGGATATTTAATACGATTGAAAATTTTCGAGATGCTGATAAGCAAATGTTAGCTTCCGACGCTGCATCCGATGTAAGAAAACCGATTGCTTTATGTTTACTTGTTTTTTTCCGCTGGTTTGCCTGTATTGAATCTATTGATTGTGAGTATTCACTTTTCAGGAACATTTCATCTATTAAGCTTTTTTATCGCATTATTTAATTGATTCCTATCGCTTTTTCTCTGTTTGATTGCGAATTTTTCCGTCATAAAACATCCTCGATTTTTGCTATTGTACGATTGTAGTGCTACCATAAATGATAAATATTGTGCAGTTTTTGTAATTTTCTATTTGACTATATCTGTGCGGTTTCCAGATATGGCAAATTATAACGTCTGGCGAAGCTTTAAAAAATCCCTCTCTTCTAAGCCGGTTTTACATGCTGTGCTTCCTGGACCTGAAGAAATACATCTACAATTACTGGTTCCTTTTCCCAGCACTCGTATTTCCCGACAAATGGGTACATGAACGGGAGGCTAGAAGAGTGGGCAGCGTTTTTTCTGAGCAGGAATTGACAGATATCAGCACTTTCGTGGATAAACTGTGCTACCAACACAATGCCTTCCTTATTTCCCATGAAACTCCGCTAAGACTGTGCCTACTGGAAGAACTTCCTGTGTTGTTATCGGGCAGTGCTCAGGTGGGTGATGTGATTTACGTTAATTTTGACATAACCTTTCTGTGTTTCGCTCTTCCTTGCACTGAATATGCTGCAACTCGCACTTTTGTTGTACCTTTAAATTGATAATTAGATTGTAAATAATCAGTACGCGTACGGCGTTTAGCTTGGACTATCATACAAGAAATATTGCAAAATCCTCCGTGCACTCATATGTACTTTCCATGTCGCAATTCCAGATTACGTTTGTTGTTTGTGATGCTTCGGTACTGCCTGACAATCCGGGATGGACAGCCAGAAATGTGATGGCGTTGTTAGCTTACCATATTCGGCGTCATCCATCGTACAAGCACATGCAGATCCTCTGTTACCGCGATAGGTTTCGCGACGGTGTGCGGGACATCTCTCACAGTGTGGTGTTTGATTTGAGGCCGGTGTTTAGTCCCAAGCAGGGTGTGTAACAAGTAACTTTTTTAACTATAGTAAGTATGTATGCGGATTTTTTGCGTTTTCAGCTGCAGAAAATGTTGCGGTGCCGAATGGTGTTGGATGGGAAAAGAACGAGAAAGGCAAACTGGGGCCGCGTCAGGTTGATCTGAGCGGTCAGCTGGATCCAATAAAACTGGCGGAGCAAGCAGTTGATTTGAACCTTAAACTGATGCGATGGCGATTAGTTCCGGAACTGGATTTAGCAAAAACTGCTGCTGTCAAATGCTTGATTGTGGGATCGGGTACCCTTGGGTGCAACGTTGCAAGATGCTTAATGGTAATTAGGAATTTTGCATACCTGATATAACATTTTTTCAGGTATACGATATTACTTTCTGATTTGCCGGTTTTTCGCTATCAGTTTTTTATGCATTATATTGGATTAAGCATTTAAAATCCTTTTCGACTGGGTTCCTGTACTTCCGTATATTCAATTTTGCACTTTCGATCATGATTGTAACTGTACTATTTACGTATCTGCATTTTATAGGGTTGGGGAATAAATAATTTGACGTTCATCGATAATGCCCGGGTATCATACTCTAATCCCGTAAGACAGAGTTTATTTACCTTTGAAGACTGTTTGAATGGCGGAAAAATAAAATCACAAGCGGCATCTGACGGAGTGAAGAGGATTTTTCCCAGTATGGTAGGCAATCATCTGCTGCACTCCTTTGGCCTGAATTCCAAATGTTTATATACTTTTACTGTTTGCGCGAATAGAATTCGGTTGCGCATCAGTTCAGCATTCCTATGCCGGGCCATCCTGTTAGTGAGCACGTGCGGGATAAAACGGCCGAAACTATTCGCGCTCTGGAAAGTCTTGTTGATGAGCATGATGTGCTTTTTCTTCTTATGGATACAAGAGAAAGTCGTTGGCTTCCCACCTTACTGGGGGCAGCGAAAAGAAAGGTAAATGGATGCATTGCGCTTTTAGTCGTAGCATATGGTATTACGAAAGGAAAATTTTAGATTGTAATCAACGCTGCTTTGGGATTTGATTCGTATTTGGTTATGAGGCACGGTATGATCCATGAAAACATTCCAACATCCGACAAGGCTGTTCGGCAAAGATTGGGTTGTTATTTCTGTAATGATGTCGTCGCACCCGGTAATTCCACGAGGGATCGGACCCTTGATCAGCAGTGCACGGTTACCCGACCCGGTATTTCCATGATCGCCGCCGCACTGGCAGTAGAGTTGCTGGTCACTTTACTTCAGCATCCTCTTGAGTGAGTGTCTGGGTCCTGTTGAATAATATCAGATGCTTCAAATATGCTTTTTTCAATACATGCAAAGTTTTGCATGGACGATTACTGGATGGGGATTTTTAATAGAAGCTTTAGTGTAGAGAATTCACGATCACCTAATTATGTTGTTGCTATTCTGTGAAGTGGGTGACAAGTAGGCCCTTGAGCCTTTTAGGCCTTTGATTTTGCCTACGCCGTTTGTTTTGCAGGGCGGAAGCACCAGCGGATGTCGCCAGTGAAGATAGCTATTTTCCATCGGATGCAGATTCGGTTTTGGGAATGGTTCCACATCAAATTCGTGGTTTCCTTTCCCGTCATAAAACGGTTTTGCCGGCCACATATGCATTTGATAAGTGTACCGCATGTTCGGACATTGTAATTCAAGAGTATCGCAGCAGAGGCATGGAATTTCTCTTTGATGTTTTTAATGGCCCAGCTTCGTTTTTGGAAGATTTGACTGGATTAAGCAAACTGCATGCCGATTCTGAGAAAGCCGAAATCTTAGACTTTAGTGATGATGAAAGTATCACCAGCGTTCCGGAGCCGGTCAACTGATTGATGCGTTCCACAGCATTTATTGCTTTATGCATACATTTCCGGGAACGATCAATTCAGAGTTTTCAAATTAAAAACTGAGACAATTACGCGATTTATCATATCCACACAAGCATAATTCAACTTTTACAGATTCTTTCAAAATAATCCCCTCGATCAATCCAACGTCAATTCAAAAGAGATTTGTTAACAGGTATTTTTAAACCCAAAACGGACAAATATGCATACCTTGAAACTGCCGTAAATGTAACAAAACAATGCAGCAATAACTGTACGAAGCGCATCTTTTCCAAAAAAATTTTACGGTAATCCGGTGGCCAGCGGCAAAGCGGGAATTGTGTCTTTGTCGAAATCTTCAAAATACGGGTGCACCAATGCCTCGACAGCGAAAACTCGATCCGAAGGATTAAAGAAAAAACAACGCTGCAATATGAACACAATTTCTGATCTAGAAAGATCATGACTGGTAACCGAACGGATATCGAATAAAATGCCATCACCACAATAGCAAAGTATGGCTTCGTTGAAATATCGCGTTTAGTCGCAAGTCATGAATTCTTCCAACTTGCAGTAGAAGTACAGATAGCATGCTCACCTTCAGCAAATCATATGCATCCTCGTCCACGTCGCGCATATCATCCACATGTTCATGGAGAGTGTACGCCGACCAGCGCGGAAATGTGTCAGTCCAATTTGGTAATTCCGTAACTCCAGGCCAAATATCCTCATTAGGAGTTGACAATATGCTACAAATTACAATTATGTTTCATTTAAAGGACTTCATGCAAACTATGCCTATTACCGTCTGATGTTAGCGTTAACTAGGAACTAGAAGATTAAACAACTGCCGGAAAATGCACGCTGAAATGCATTAGCAGAGCGGAACACATGAAGACCTTCGTCGCGCGTTGGTCAACGTTTTTTTCCTGCACTCATGTCAGTGTCACAATAAACAAATCAATCGCTTTACCGTAAGATAAAATGTGTTTGTTATCATTATTCAGATCCCCTTACCTAAAGATTTTGAAACACTGGTCGATTTCCGAATCGCCTTCAAACAAAGGGTTCAGTGTCCACAGCTCCGCGAAGATGCAACCAATGCTCCATGTATCAACACCCAGGCCGTATAAACTTTCGCACGTCCCCAACAGTACTTCCGGCGAGCGATACCATAACGTCACAATCTGTAAGAAGCATTAAATACGAATAGCATTCACCACATGGAAAATATCATAATATCTGTAAGGGTAAACGAAAAACGGTTGACATCCACATTCACACTTACTTCGTGGGTTACACTGCGCATCGGCACAGAAAACGCTCGAGCCAGCCCGAAATCCGCAATCTTAATGCCCCCGTCCTTGGCCACAAGAATATTCTGCGGCTTTAAATCACGATGGATAATACGACGCGCGTGACAGAAGTTAATGCCATCCAAAATCTGGTACATGAAACTCTGCAAGATCGACAACACTAAATATTTTCTCCCAACTGGTGTGATAAATTCAAAATCGATACATTAACATTTTTAGAATTTAGATGATATCCTACAACAGAAAATGGCAGTTCCGTACTAGCTACTGGAACAAACCGTTGAACGTACACGGCACTATGCAAAAAAAGCTCTTCCTTCGCCAAATTATTACTTTGATATCACTATAACAATTTATTACAGAATTCGAAACATTGCTGTAATTTTTAGTGCACATACCTTAATCAAATCCCGGGGAATTTTATCTCCTTCTGCAACCGTATCCATGTAACGTCTCATGTCAAAATCGATATACTCGAACACTAGATACAATTTGCCGACTTCCATAAGCGATTCGATGAGTCTACAACGGCCAAAAGCACTTGAAGGCAGAAACTAATGAACACAACATGCATTCCTACCTGACGATGCGCTTGTGCTCGAGTTCCTTAAGAGCACAGACTTCGCGGAGAGTTGTGGCTGGAATGCCCTGATCATCGTTGATGCGTACTTTCTTCAAGGCGACGAAAGCGTTGGTGGATCTGTCCCGTCCCTTGTAAACAACTCCGTATGTACCTACAGCCAATAACAATATCGGATCTTAATTCTGGCACTTACTGATCCACTGCGCACTAATTAATTCCAAACTGAATATGCGATGGAGAATGTCCAGACTAGAGTAAACGTTCTATTATTCTCCCATAGCGTAGTATCACATAATACGAAAAATAAGAATTATTAAGAGTACGATCCAAATCCCTGCGCAAAAATTGAGCTAAACCATACCTTCGCCAATCTTCTCGATTTTTGAATAGTTTTCGATACGATTAATCCTTCTTTTCGCGAATTCTTTCAGCGTAATCCTGTCGATGGCATCGCCATTGCTGGCTGAAGTAGGCTTTGAGCTCGAGGAGATTTCCAGCCCTCTCGCTGTTTTCAACGAAGTTCCCGTCGTTCCCGTTAAAATGGTTTTCTTTGTAGGCGGACGACTAGCCTTCATCATGGGTATAAATTGGAGCAGAAGCTGACAACAGAAAACGGCTTCGTTAGAAACTGCCCAGACAAGTTACTATAGGTACTACGTCGCTTTTATTATGCTTTTACCGGACTTCGATAATTTATCGTGCAATCTTTCTTAACTTGATAGAAATTTTATTCAAGGCTTAATTTAATACTCTGTACCTTCAAATTGATTGCAGGAGGACAACCCAAAAACAGTCTTGGGTGTCTGCTTTCCCGAAATGCGCTATTAAAATCCGTAAAGTCTGGAATAACCATCCAGAGACCTGGCCGCCGTCCTAAAAACGGTTTGAAAATCACAAAAAAATCGTAACATTCAACTACATCCTTCCACTCCTTTCACTTTTCCTACGACTGGTATACAGGCAATCCCAGCGAAAATTTCTCCCAAATTACGCGTAGGTCACGATCAACACGCATTGTTTACTGTTTTACGCTTGTTTGCAATTTGGCAGTACTTTTCTTGATAGTTATGACTGATCTTCTAAAAACCAGATCTACTCACTTTTTGTCCCAGGCGTCAATCTTCCACGAAAAAACTAATCTTTTATGAAATAAGTACGACAAAACAAATAAAGACTAATGGTAGTCGTTCAAAATTCCCCAGTTCGCGATCGAAGATCAGCATAATATCAGACCGTTAAGGAAACTGGAGATCCTTAGTACTTCGTCACAAAACAAAAAGGCAAATTTAACTTCAGACAGTAGTAAGTACTCGTATAACGTATCAGAACGTACAGACAGTAGTAGATGGCGTGCGGCACGATTCAAACACATTTCGCCGTTTTCCATTCATTTTGCAACTCATCCTGCCGCCTCCGGTTACCGTTGCCATTTTAAAGTTGAAGTGTTGTATTCGTTTTCATGATTTTATCATGACCTATGTACATTCCTTTTAATAACTCATACTTGTATGGATTCATTAAATAATTATTATTAAATATGGAATAAGTTTTTTACAACTTTAAATACTCTGCTCATTACACGGATTACAGTAAGTAAATTCACGTTTGGAAAAACACTTACAGCTTTGTAATGTTATCAATTCATTGTAAGATTTTACAATTTTCAACATCTGTGTGATACCTTACGGCTGACGATACTCTCTAATGACTAATTATAATGGGCAATTAAGCAACTGTAAAGAATTGTAATCGGACTGGAACCCAGAAAACCACGTATACCGTATACTAATTTTATGATTCAGAATTATAAACATCTATAAGCAATCGTAAAAGGGCACGATTGCTGCTTTTAGCTACAAAATAATTTAGAAGTTGTTATTATTAAGTAACTTTTTAGGCTGAAATCATATGGATCGGTGATCCGTACGCACGTGCATCAAACCGCTCTAATTATTAGATGCATAGCGCTGACTTCATATCTATACTTCATATGCAAGGTGGTCTATAATTATCCCAACTCATGTTTATAAATGTGCAGATTATGAATCATTTCCAAGCTTGCAACTGGTTTGGATAGTGCGAGATGAAAACGGCTACATATTTTAATCATGATGCATGCGCAGCAACAGCTCAAAGAATAACAAAATACTTATTGCAGTTGACAGTAGGTGAGTACAGACTAATATGTATTGCGGAACTTGTCTGTACTGCCCTTTCCGGTTGCCGTATTGCAATTGGTCAGTCATTTTATCGGCGACTCCATGCTAATTTTATACTGCGGCCTGCCGCTCAAGCTGAAATGTCAAAGTGAAGAAATACGCTGCATGTACGTATGTACAATAGCTCCAGCGGTATATGTTCTTATCCTGCTTTAACCAAATTTACAAATTTAACACTTGCATAAAATTAAGAGGCTCTGAAGCGTGATTTCAATATTACTATAAGTGCAGATCAAAAAGCGAGCCTCATCATCTTATGGTAAACCATGGCGGCACAACAATTTACCGTGGATAGACCGGAAAGATCCTGTGGGAATTTTTCGGAATCGATAAAAAAGTCAGACGCAATTAATTCTAACCGCTCAGCTATGACCAAATCAGTTGCGGAATCAACTAGCGGTTCCGGTGACAGCAGTAAATGTCCACCTACCGATATCCGTAACGCCGTAGCGTCTATTATGCATGGTTATGACTGGACATCAATCCCCTTACCGACCCGCCAAACTCCGGGAGAGAAACGCATTCCCCACGTCAAGAGACCGATGAACGCATTTATGGTATGGGCACAGGCGGCGCGGAAAGAACTGGCCGAAAAGCATCCTCATCTGCACAACGCGGAGTTATCAAAAACACTGGGGATTCTATGGAGGTAAGCGTAATCATGGACGCATACGAAGTAATATACTGCCTTGTGACCTCTTATCGCTTGTCGTTTGTCGATGTTTCATTATCAAATCAAAAAAAATTAATTTGAGAAGTTGTCCAAAAATCGAAGTTTCAGTGATACTGTTATAAAGAATTTTTTAGTTTTTAAAACAAGGAAATCTTGCGGGTAATTTATGAATGCGATTATGCGTTATGTAGCTAGTGTCTCTGGGCTGCTTTAAAATTGTTGGGCGCAGCTTTACCTATGTATTTGTACGGCGTAAAACGATTTTTTTGCTCAGTTTTTAAATGTTTCATTGAATTCATTCTGTTTGCGTCGACATTTCTGTAAAGGGTACGAGTACCCGAGTAGGTAACGAACAAGTTAGACCATCCTGTGCGATACCGGGATCGACTGCTTATTCAGAACGTAATGAGTGTAGATGATAACGATAATCTCCTCGCTCGAGCCTTGTGGACTTTATTGTAAAATTTCCGCTCAACAGAATTACGGCGGTTAATGCAAACGAAATTATAGCGCTAAACAAAACGCTCCTGGAAACGTGCATGCAGGATTACCGCGTACGTATACGGCATATCCTGCACCGTTTTACTGGCTTAAAGGTCATACTCTTAAACCTTCTGCCGCGTTTTCGTCATAATGTGTGGCACAAAGCAGTGTGTTGGTAACAGAGACCATACCTGTAATCAAGAAAATAACTGTATGATGTCAAAATGAATATGACAACCTCTCGCCTTCTGTTATAGCATTAAGCTTGTGGTCGTCCACCAGAAAACTCGGGCTCGCGCTCCTCAACGTCAGTTACATATCAGTGTGTCTGTAATTTGTATCCACGATTTCTTGCTGGGTGTCTTTTTGAAAGACATACTTTGAATACTCCGGTCATCATTCTTTGCTTGAAGTTTAATTATCAATTAACCGTACCGACTCGTACGTGCTAAGTACGAATTTATTATTTTCATCTGTAATTAAGGCACAGTAGGCACAGTAGAAAACAAAAGCCATGGACAATAAGTAGTTGTCCAGTATAAGTATGGTTGAGACCTTTCCATAAAGATGTAGAATGTGGATTATGCACTGCCGCATGCAGCTTACACAGAAAAACTATCCTGTGAAAACGCTCATGATTCCTTGGATTATGTTGTTCACGGATTTTATTTGAATGAAAGAGTTTGAAAACAAGTGTTTTGACTGGATTTTCAATCTTTTGACTGCTTCAACCATTAAGCGTGAATGACAGTGTTGAAAAAATAATACAGAAGTATACCAAGTTTAAAAAGGTCACTCTAGCCGAAACTTATCTCTCGGCGTGGCCAGATAGTTAGTATCCGTTAAATATCATATTTCATTCATTGTGGTTAGAGGAAACCCGCTGAAATCCTCTTTGAGGTTCACTTTTTGCCTGTTGGTTAAAACTTGTTGATAGTAACATCGATATTTAACAAGCTAAAATAGATGACGAAAGTCTATCCATAAATTTGTAAATGCATGTAATAAGTCAATTGGACTAATTTAAGTATTGCACCTGTAGAGTTCAGAGGAGGTTCAAATCGTTTTAGGGATTTGGAAAAATTCGGATCATTGGTCAACAGTGAACACCTCGATACCTCTAAGAGCTCTAACATACACAATTAGTTACGTACTAAAAAGCGATCGAAACCTTTATATGTCCACGCATGGCATAATACACCATATCACTGTATTGCATTTTTGCGCCCTGGCCCGAATTCGAAGCTTCAACGTCCAGATTAAAATTATTGTCTGTATATGCGGCAGCTATACGTACTGAGTTGCACTCTGATCATATTGGCACATTCTAAACATTAAACCGTAAGTATTTAAAGGTGTTAATGTAAGCCTTGCATGTTACCCGTGCTTTTGTACGCATGAAACTGTATAATTGCTCCTCTTTTCGATCGAAAGGCACTGGTTTCGGAACTCACCCGTGATAACAGTGCACGAACATTATCTTGTGCTATAAGTAGTGTTTAGTAATCTGTCAATGACCCCTTTGAGTGCAGAGAAAGGTGGCAAGTCATTTATCCCAAAACCAACACATAATTGTCCTTAAATTATTGATTACAGACCACTGCCGGCTGAATCGGAACCTGCGTGCGCCTCACTGTTTAGCGATTGCATTGTGTGGTTGTGGCAGTAAAGCCCCAACGAGCGAAACCATAATTTCTTTACTACAAAAATTTTGCTTCAAGTTCTCACATCATAAAAATAATTTTTTAGTTTGCCGGGAAGCAACTTTTCGTGCACACATCGCCAGCTTTTATCTGACAGATTGTTTAGGGCTTTGAAAGTTTGTATAAGTTTATTAGGTACGTAAAAGGTAAAAGTAATAGCATATGCGACCACTGGGCACCAAACAAGTACTCTGTAGTTGCCGACTGCAGGTTTAATTAGTCGAACCTTGTACTGCATATCACTGCATTATTATTAGTATTGGTATGAAAGGTTCGACTAATTTGAATTTTGCAAGTGGTTTACATGATTGCTTCTTCATACACCGCATTACGACTTATTAGCACGAATGTGGATCATTAGTCGATTAGCAATTACAGTAGACTGCTTACAGCAGTATTACCGATTATTGACTTAAGCAGAATATTCACAAGCGCAACGATCGATGAAGTTAAGTTTATTCCTATTGTTCGTCATCGATTCAACACATTCATATTGTAAACATTTTACACTCATGTTCGACTTTGGCAGCGAACCGGTCTGTTGTGCTATAATTAAATTGGATAAAACTTCTTGACCCTACTTTTTACTTTGACGCTTACGTATTGATGCTTTGTAATAATTGTTTGCCTAAGAAATGGATGGCTGTTGCAGTTTTTCAATCCACTATCGCGGCACTTTGAGCTTGTGTAATACATGGTCATTTCTTACATGTTATTGTTTATTTTCTTTAACCCGACCTATTGCAATGACATTTTAATATCAATAAATATGAGGGAAAGTGCGGCACTTTGTGTATATGCAAGCTGCAAGATGGACAGTGTAACTATTCAAAGCGATGCCGACATCTCGCCCGGCGCGTGCAGCAAGTTGGAAGTGGAGAGATTTCAAATCGATAAACATTTACACCGCTTGCCGCTCGATTATACGGTTTCCCAGCTTGTGTTGCTACATGGTAGCTGCCTAGCTGTTACACTATCTATAAACTCTGCAGCGCTTTCGAAATACGTAAAAGCACTAAAAATGCAACAGGTAATGCGTGCTTTTGATTTGGACAACAACAGCGTGTGATTCTGAAAGATGAATTTAATATTTTACAAATTACATGATATTTTACACCCAACTCTTACAGTTAATTCTGACATTCGCTGCAAACTCAGACTGTCTCCGCAATAACCATCGATCACCATTACTTGTAGGTAATACTCTCCTAATTTTCAATAAAAGGAAACTGTATGTATATCTTGCAGTTGTAAGTTAATGAAAATTAAGCAGTTCTATGTACAGATAGATTATCATCGTAGCTTGTATTACTTCCTACCTGGTAGAGCAAATACCGCTTTGGGTGTGGATAAAGCAGATTGGTTTGCAATTTGATGCAAAGCAAACCTTTGTTTACCATTGTGAACGCTGGCATAGCAGAATTATTTTGAATTTTTGTTTGATTTTACAATAGGTAAAGCTGGCAGCACGTTTGTAATTTGATTTTCAACTTTTCCTCGATAAGCTTCGCATTCCAGCCACATTTAATCCATTTCTTACGTCTGTTGCCGTAATTTGATCCTGCATGCATGTGCTCAACGCAAATGTGCTTGCCTCCGCATCGCCGAAGTTTTAAATGAAAGTGGTTGAGGCAGGTACTAAAAGGCATCAGAGCAGGACGTATTAAAACCTATTTAACAGATTAAAATATCTGCTCGTTCGGACGGTAGAATGTTGGCAGATTAACTAATACTATTAAGCAGTAGGTAGGATGCATCAGCAGTTATATTGTAATATGAGTAGTTGAGTACTAACAATTGTTAAACGTCATAAATTCGCCGCATACGTAGAATAAGTTCTTTTGATGAATTCCTTTCTTAGTTTTTGGTTTTCAGGAGGATCCGATAAGATCGTTTAATAGATAAATCAATCGTCTCACAAAATTAATTCAAAACTGTATATTTTTGGCCAGGCAAACCGACGACGACAAGAAGCGCGTATTTATTGAAACAGCCGAATATTTACGCCTGCAGCACAAGAAAGACCATCCCGACTATAAATATCAGCCGCGCCGTCGGAAAACAAGCAAACGCTCCACAACTGATATTGCATCCGGAAACGACGACAACGGCCATCTGGCTGGCAGTGAGAAGTCGTCAAAAGCAGTAAAAAAACAGCGCAAAATATACACATCACTCAGCAATGTTTATGACGCCGTCCAAGAGCGCGATGCCTGCACACCGACATCGTCATTGTCCAATAGCTCGCACGAATCAGCCAATTCCCCCGCAGCACTGACATCGCAGCATCCACCTGTAACGGATGTCCTCTCTCTCATGATGACCTCCCCGCCATCTAAGCACATCTTTCCAACCGGCGCCGCACCGTCAAACTGTTTTGACGCTAGCAGTCTAATCAAACGGAACGCATATGTCCGTGAGGAAAAAAACGGTAGGTGAAGTAAATATTCCACTCGCAAATTAGCCGCAGCTGCCTCATTAAACTGTCGCCAGCGTGCAATTTTTGACATGCGCGAATGTCACACTGCGACCATATTCGTACACAACCGATTCATATGGTTGGCTTTTTGTCAGGCCTCAATGATTTACCACCACCACCAAATCATCATCAGCCAATGGAATTTTTCACCACAGCCAGTTGCAGCTACCAAAATTCCGCGCATTTGACACCAGCAGCAGCCGGTCCGCTCGACGGCAATCTAAACGCTCCGTCAATGGACAATTTGGATGATGGGGAATTTGAACGCTACTTTACACCGGTGCAAATGGATAAAGGTCACTTTGGATCCAATACCGTCACCAACTGGATGGGTCGGTATTGCTATCCCAGCGAACAGTACAGCAACAAATTCCCTACGGAAATGGAGAAGAATTGCAGCGATGTTCCTCCCAATGCCATGTACATCCACAATAATCGCCATTCAGGACAGTGTTTCGGAAATTTTCATCCGAACATGCTGAGCGAACCGCAACCAGTAGTGCACACATTGTATACTCACATTGCCGAACTGCCACTAACGCGATCTGGACCGCCTGCCAGCAGTGCCGACTGGCAAAACCTTAACTGAAAACATTCAGATTCTTTGCTTTTATTTTTCGAAGGCTAATTTAAGTGTTTATTAGCAGGGCTTTTACTTTTCGAAATCTATTCGTATAGTAATACAATTTTGCCGGTTAATCAAGATGTATCAAGTGTTCTTATTTTACAGATGCCGCTTAACCTTTCTGCTGAATATCCATTGCTTGTTTGTCATGTTGTGTACATTAAGTAGTTCGTTTTCCTTCCTGAAGTATCCTTCTGTTTTGTTCTAGTTTACCGTTTTGTTGTAATGACGTCAAGTTTAAGTACGATTTGTTGGTGCATACGGGAACTATCTGTATAGCCAATGATTTTTAATGTCGAATTATGAAGAAGAACTTCGTATTAACATCGATATACTTGTGTGCGCTTGCATTTATGTATTAATGCGCAGTTTATCGTATAGAATCAGCTATTGTTTCTGCATAATTTTAGCAATTGTCTGCTTCATTTGCATATACCCCAATCATCGGTCGCGTAAAAAGCAAGAATTTTAATCAGAGCTTTAAACTCATTTAGAAATGTAAAAAAAGTGTGAATGACTTCTCACCTCGATGCACTCTCTCCCATCGCTGTTGGTATGTCTTTAACTCGGCCAGTCTGTTTAATCGGAAAAAAATCGTGATAAGGTTAGAAACACCTTTTCGTTAAGAAAAAATATGTGTACCAGCTTAATTTTATGATGCACTGCATGGTAAATGCATCTTGCCGTTGTAGTTCACTAGGCTAAAGCCGCAGCAGGAAACATATGGACACCACATAAACGTCGAAGATGGTATCCATTGCCATCCGCTGATCCGCTTATAATGTTATACGTGATGGCTTCCATGAGCGGCCGCGAGCACGGATACGCTTCCTTGCACACGGCATGACTGCAGTCCGCTGCCGATCGTTGACATAAATTTCACATTTACCACAAAATTAATAAAGTGTAACACCCGACACATGTTGGCGGTGCACTAATTTGAAGAAGAGCCGAATGGTAACGCGCATGTCTGCGATTTGTAAATTTGCCGCCTGTCCAGTAGCCGCTCATCTGGGTAGGATAGAATGGATGGAATATTTTAAGGTTACGCTCAGCAAAGGAAAGGCGATTATAGATGGCTCGCGTTTCGAATAAAAACAACCATTAAAAATTAACGCCAGATCAGTCATACTCAGCCCACAGCTTAAATAATTATTAATCTCGTAATATGCATGTCCATATTGTTTGACCAAAAGTAAGTATAAACAGCCAGCAGATCATCTACGATCCGTAGACTACGGCAGCAAGTAATAAATTGTATCTACTGTATACGCTTTAAGTGTAGCATTCGGCCTGGCCTGCGCAGGTAGTTAGAAACTGAACTTAAAAAAAAATTAATCATTAAAAAACAAGAAGTGCCCCACAGCGGCGGTAAATGTCATAATGCCAAATTTACAGGCATAACTTTGAAAACTGCTGCCGAAAATACAGCACATGAGGTTGCACAATATCCGGCACATCCGGGTGCGCATAGAAGATGAACGCCTGGAATACATAACATGCTTGAATAAAACGCTAAACTTATTTTAGCGGATGATTACGAGTTGCTAGGGATAGCTTGATATTACAAACAAACAAACAAAACAGCTTAAATTTTGTGTAAAAAAACACCTTTGTGTTGCGAAAATTCCTGGAGTATGCTCGCATTAAGGGTTTGAGTTTTCTTAACAGAAAGTGGTTGTTGCCGCTGCTTTCTAAAGTTTTGGAGATTTCGAATAGATTTCGGTGATGCAAAATAACCGACCAGTTGTCAATGTTGCATGCTTACTTTGTTACCTTGACGATTCAGATATTTTAAATGTTTGTTGGAGCAATGGTCCTTTTAAGGACTACACTGTAGCTGTATATCTACGCAACAACAACAACAACAAACAAAACAAACCACAGCTCAAAAACATTTTGATACTTTTTCACTATTGTTAAGCTACTACTACTGTTATTGTTATGTTCCCAACAACAACTTATAGTACTATCTGTACTACTATAGCTATAGTACTACTAATTACTTGGATTCTGCTACTTAATTAAAAAAATTATTTTCAAAGTTATCAAATCCCCTTGTTTTGCATTATTTCATTAATTTATAAAGCTGCCGGCTCTTATAATTTGCATATTGCATATCTACAAACAAAAATTAGATTAAGTAGTCACTGCAGTATTTCACCAACATTAAGCATTATTCATGAAACAGCTCAGCGTTCCCAACACAAACTACAGACGCACTGACAAATGTTGAACGTATACAAATTAATGCTCATCTTTTTCGTAATATCTATTCAACACTTTGTACTTAAAAACCCCTCCTCCCGTTTAAATACTTTCGTGGTCAGATTGTTCCTAGATCATGGTTCCAGTATAAAATAATTAATTTTTCTGGAAATAACCCATGAGTAAAATAACAAAGACTTAGAAGTCTCTAATTTTTATCGAATAATGTAAGTCTCTATATATACATAAGTCTCTAATTATATCGAATTTGTATTTCTCTGATTTTGTATAACGGATTTGCGTAGTTTAAACAATGGATTTTGTATTTCTCGCTGTAAAAATTTATACTTTGCGGACGGTACAAATCACAACGAAGTCGAAAGATGTGGGCAAGAAATGAATATCATAAATTAAAAATTATAATTACGTAATTATTACTACAACTACCAATTCTTAATGTACTCATAATTACATTTTTACTTAGGTAATTGCTACCGGGACAAGTGATTACATAAATCCTGGTATTACTTCAGTAGGAAACAAAATCTGGACAATCTACCAAGTAACTGGCTAGCGTCACAAAAGGAGTACTCATACCATATGATTTTGGCAGCTACTATAGGGTTAGTGCTAGTAAAAATTTATTATTTTGATCTTTGTGGTAATAAATTCAGTAAATTTGTAGTACAATATTTTCCATAGACACAGTCCAAACTTTCATGTTTTCACATTTCCCTTGTTTTAAAAACCGAATACCTTCTTAAAAATTACAGACAGGATTTAATCTGATCCATATGTCGTGAATAGACCGTTTCCCACTTAGCGCAAAAGATAGCCATGATCTTCTCATGCCTTTTGCGACGATTTAACATTTGTTTAGAATATACTGTTGCAGCATCGACATACAGCAGGAATTGTTAATGCATATGATGTGTTTGTGATATGGGAACTGCCAGAAAAGTGTCCAGCTCGCAGTTGTTTCCAGCAGCTTCAATGAAAATTGTTCGTAGTAAGGAAGAAGCATACGATTACCTTTTCAAAGGTGATTAAGACGAAAAAGTTAATACCTTACAAAGTTTACACGGAAAGTAGCTAAATCGATTTTAATATGTGTAACCTGCACCAGATTTGCTCCAGTTAAATGCAAAACAGATATGTCTATGGTAGAATTACTGTGTGCATGATAATATTTAAGTCTATCGTGTTATACAACGTTTAAACAGAACAGCTTACATACAGGTTGCGCTTTTTGCTAATTTCTCAGTTTTAGTCGTCATCATTGGAGACTCCGGAGTAGGAAAAAGTAATCTTCTTTCAAGATTCACGAAAAATGAATTCAACCACGAATACAATATACGAAGTACAATCGGAGTGGAATTCGCTGCTCGAATTGTTGAAATAGAGGGACACCTGATAAAGGTCAGTCTGACTCTGCACCTACCTGTTCATTCTTGCAGCTGCATTTTACAGCTGCAGCAGATTCAAGCAATTTTTAAAGACAATATAAAAATGTTTGTTGACTGGTATAACAATGCATAGAGCTGCATAATGGGCAGTGTTATGGTAGTAATTATTATGGACTTGTTGTCACTTGCAAGACCATGCAACGTGAAACTTAATCAGACTTCTTCTACTTTTTGGCTGTTTTGAATTGGCAATCGTGCGTTCACCGAAGTTGTTGAAACATGCTTTGAATTTCCCAATTAGGCGCAGTTCTGGGATACAGCCGGTCAGGAAAGATTCCGTGCAATAGGCAGCGCGTGAGTATGAATGATGAGAAAGTAAAGTTATCTCTTTTTATAAATATCTTTTTGTAATTGTAATTTTCTTTTAGATATTACCGCGGAGCAATGGGTGCCCTTCTAGTGTTTGATATAACGAATTTTTCCTCATTTGATAACGCTGACGCTTGGCTTAAAGATTTTCGCAATTCAACAAGTGATGATGTTGTTGTTATGCTTATTGGGAATAAAAGTGACCTTCAGGCCAGAAGAACAGTATCGACTCAGCAAGCCCTGGCATATGCAGGTACTGTAACAGACACTTCCGATAGAATGTACAGTACTTGCCGTATAAGCCAGACTGCGTTATAACCAGAGTTTTTCAGATCGTAAAGGAATATCTTACATGGAAACGTCTGCACGCGACACAGCCTACGTGGAGAAAGCATTTTTTGCGCTATTAACAGACATCTATCACAGATTTGTACTAAAGCTCCACCAGTCACGCAGTGTGTTGTTAACGGATACTGTTATTCTGAACAGTAATTCTAATACCGGAAAGCAACCCGATTTAGGCGCCGGTGACCAGTCTCAAAACAACGCATCTAAAAAATGCTGTTGAAAAAATATAAAAAAAATTAAAACAACAACTCTCACGCGGTTAATTCTTAAAGATCACAAGGCTCTGCTGAATGGACTCAAACAGTTTCACAACTCCCTCTGGTACTCGCAGCTCCCCGGAAATGTCATTTAGATACGAACGTTGAACTTTAATAACGACACTCTCCAACATGACCCTTAGCGATGACTTGATCGACTGGCGCTCTTCTTCACTGATGTCAGCTTCCATAAGAGACGTCTGAGCGTCTGTTAGTTCTTTTACTATCATCAGGCAGTTCGTCAGGGAAGACTCTTCCTTTTCCCAATCTTTTTCTCTAACGGAATGCCGATATGCTTTCTGCAGTTTCTGCACAACAGATTCCAGCACTTCTTTTCGCTCACTTCCTGGGACAGTTGTCATTTCAGCTGCTTGCAGCTTGCCATACAAATACCAAATTCGGGAGTTATCAGGAATTTTCGCAGTAACCGCGCCCATAAGGGTTTTCACTTTGGCTAATAAACGCGTGGCCGATGCACCTTGGAGATCCGTAACACCCCCGACGACAGCAGCTACCAACAGGGCCAGCGCTTCAGCATTCACACTTCCCCGTAATTCCAATAAACGATGAAAAGCATGGATTTCTTCATCAAAATCCTTAACACGCTGACACGCATTCTGATAATTATCCCATATATTCCAGTTCTCGAAATTGGTTTTAACTGACTCACGAAGAATTTTGTAAGCTTTTTGGTCATTTCCGAGATGTAACGCAATCGAGCCCAGGTTATTCCAAGCTAACCTGCAACATACAACTTTGGATAACGCCATGAGTCCACTTTGCGGAAGAAAAATGGATTTATACGCATCAGAGAATTTCTAACAGTCTATTAATTAAAATCACCGCTGATTTGCAAATTCACACAAACTCACGAATTGTCCGGGTCAAGGCTAATACAGCGCCGGAAGGCTGTTTCCGCCGAACCGTATTCTTTCAGTTTCACCAGCGCATATCCCAGAAGGAACCACGTGCCTGATTCGACGGCGTTCACTTCTAAACCTTCTCGCAAAACTTTCACAGCCTCGGTGAATTCTTTTCGTTTAATGTACAACCGTCCCAGGTCTTTCCGCGACCGGAAACTACGATGTTTCGACAGTTCCCAAGCTTTATCGTAACACTCCACATCTTCTCGCAGATCTCCCAACCGACACCACATCGATGGCAGTGGACGGGCCGCCAGTTCCTTCACAATCAAATCTTCTGCCTTGACTTTTTGACCGACGCGCTGATAACACTCAATGACATCTTCCCATAATTCCATCGAAGTAAAAATATTCACAGCATCCCTTGTGCATCCATTGAGCAGAAGCGCGTAGCCCAGTTCCTGCTGTATTTTCCAGAAAGGTGGCAAATTTACCGCCAGAGCCAGATTTTCTCGTTCGGAGAAACTGGCACCGTCCGCTGAATTATAAGCGGTCAAGAGGGTTTCCAACTGCTGCATAGCACGCAGCGTTTTGCGTACTTTGTCCACTTCCAACTTTGATCGCTGGAACAGGGCTGTGGCCTGGATGGAGTAGGGTGGCCGGGATCGGAGGATGAATTCAATGAATGCCATGATCTCCTCATCCTGCAGATTCTGTTTCGCTTGACGGCGGTGCAAAAGAAGACCTTCGGATAAAAGCACTGCAGCTTCGTGGTCTTGTAAATGACGCTGTGGAAGGTCTTCCGCTAACGTTCGCACAGGAAGTAATGTGTCATCGTCTAGTGGAACATTATGCGGCAAATTGCGCCACTCCACATCGGTGTCATGTCTGCAAGTCACTCAAAATAAGCGAAAGCGAACACATTTCGTTATTCAATGCAATTATTTTCAAAATGTGAAAATAAGAATTTTCTATCCAAATCTGATTAATTCACACCAAAGCGCAAAATTAATGCAAACACTCCTATGTAAGGAAAATGCATTCACTAATTCACACAATAAGTCACTAAGTGACTAATTCACACAATTTCGTACCCCGTTTTCTTCACAGTGTTATCGTTGCCCACATCCACAACTAATTGCGCATAATCTTTTTCCTGAAACCGCGTCCGTTTGCCCAGGATCCCAGTAATACTCGAAGATACCTTCGCCAGCTTTTGTGCTTTTTGAATAAGGAATGTCGCCTTGGCGAAATCTTGATAATATGCGGCAATGTGGCACATTATCAGGTAATATTCAACTTTATTCCTGACATCACATTCGGCTGTTAATGATTCATCGTTGTCCACAATCGCGGAAATCTTCTGGACATTTTCGTATAGCTGCGGCAACGATTCTTCCAACAAATTCTGTTGCATCCAGTAAATCTTAACGAGCTCCAGAAGATACTGAAATTTCGATGTGGTACGTGTGAGGCTCTCTAAGATTTTCAAGGCGATCACAAGATTCGACGGACTTCGGCAGAGATGGTAAGCAGGTTCCGCATCGCCAAGGTATTTTCGGGCGAGTTCGTCGTGCACTGATGGAACCGTTGCAGGCGGGCCAGTCCAGTTGTCGCGAAGAAAAGTAGAGGAGGCTTCCTTTGCCAGTTGGAAAGATTCGACTGGATTCTCCGTGATCCATTTTACCGCTTCAGCATGGTCGAAGTTTTCGGTGAAAACACTTGTCAAGATTAACTCTTTCATACTGTTCATGGTATTCGTATTCGAACAGCACAAATTTCATAAATTAAATTTTTCCCAGCACTTTACTAAATTCGCCAGAAAAGTAGAAGAGTCGTCAGATTCTAGGCTAAACAAAAATGCAGCACTCCAAATTTTTCCCTTTTAGTTATTGCGCAATGTTCATATGTCAACAGGAATGCCGCCCAAGGAGGGTTGCATGACCGGCACTGCCGTATCATCCTACTCTATGAGTTGATGGGTTGATCATGATGGGCTGTGATATTGATTCCACATAAAAGCCGACAGGAAGTCCCTCAAAGTCTCAAACTAAATACAGTAATTAAAAATTGTAAACGTGATTGTAAAGGGCACTTCGTACTGTATTGTAATACGAGTACAGTAATTATTGTTCTATCATCTATGTGTTGCAGAAGCACATAAGTACGCAAATGCAGTACCTATAGAGTAAGTACTGTAGGGGAAAAGGCACCCGCGAACTGTAGAAGTATTCTTTTCCTTTTTGAATGTTTTATGAAGAAAACTTTATATGCAAGAAAACATTGTACAAGGATTTGAGGAAGCAACCGAGGTAGTAATGGTAAGCCGAAAAGACCGGCCCGCTTCTCTTTACTTCACACAAATTTTTTATTTTGTGGGTGGTATATCGGTATACCGAATACACACTTAATATAAATTATTATATATTGAAAACAGTATATTGAAATAGTAAGTTGAAATAGTAAATTAAAACAGTAAGTAGCGCAGCAAATAATTATAAGTACTGTACTAGCGCCACTTTTTCCACTTGTATGCGCGTAGAAACCGGTTCATGCGGAAAAACGAACTGTTTTTATAGATATTCTATAGTTGATTAAGTAATTAGAAATCCAATTACTGTACCAAAAAATGAAGCTGTCAGCCACATCTTGCTGAAAATAATAAATACTTATCAAATTACGGTAATTTAATTGTTAGTGATAAATTTATGAACATATGGTACAACGTGATACTTGTACCTGTAGATTACGCCCTTGGAAATACTAACCATACGGGTATACGATATCTATATTATTATATTTTCGGTTGTTTTACCAATTTTCTGCAACAAGCTAAAGCCATTACGGAAAAAATGACGCGTACAACTGTGAAAAAAATCGCAAGAAAGAGCACGACTTAAGCAAAAATGTGAAACTGTAAATAGCCAGAGAATTTGTACAAACCGGGAGACGTTGCTTCAAACGATAGAAGTACAGCAGTTATACATGCAAAATTGCATGCAAAATTGAATATAAATATCTACTGCACATTTACAATGTAATTTGTACCGTTGAAGTATCCTGCTACTGCTGATTTGTGCAAACATTCCTACGTTTAAAATTTGGTTGTTAGTAATATAAATATGCTGGTCAATTTTGCTAGCAATTTAAACTTCTGGGATACTTAATCGGCCGCAATTATGGATCATTTTGCAGTCAGCGGAGTTTGTAGCTACATTTGTATAGATATTCGTAATTTTATTTTTTTTTCGACTACGGTATGCTGCTTGATTCATCGTTAACACACCTGATGCACGCACAAAAATAATTTGTATTAAACAAATGTTGCGTTTGTCATAATTATTATTTATCCACGCACTCGCAAGTAGTAAATACAGCATGCAAAAACGCTCGTACTGTAAATACATTCACTATAAATTGTATGTACATACGAATCCATGCAAAATTCAATCGCAATGCGTCCGTTCCTGCATAAAATAATTATTATCATTTTCATCACCATTCTTTTTCAGCCTTTTCATGCCAGTGTATCATAAGAGTGTATACTGTGTACATACTGGAATTGATTACGTCATAAATAATGCATCGTTATTATTGCTCGGCATATTTTCCCGTAGAGCAACTACGGTGCATACTATTTTGAGAAAATGGAAATGTACTTAAATTTTAATGTACTGTAGATGGAAGGAGCATACAGTTTTGCTTGAGCTACCGGTAGTTTTTGACTCAACCATCCACTCATACAGCCGGAAAATTTTATCGCTTTTTGCTGCACCAGCAAGTAGGTACCGCGTTACACGACTCGATCGATCACATGAGAAACAGTAGGAAATGTGCGGCTGTCTCAAGTGCCTCGAGCCAGCTCACCAAAACAGTGCAAGCCGATGCCAGACGAACAACTTTACCAAACATAAAAACAAGGACGCTATATCGTTTAACGCGATGATAAGACAAGATTACACCAGCAAGTTTATACTGAGTTTACATTACAAATCGTAAACGCTAATTGCTTGAATGCCAACACACAACTGCTGGCACTTAATGCAAAAACGAGTCCAGAAAACGTCCAAATTAGTGTCCAAATGTACAGTCCGCTGCAAAATCCAAAATCAAAAGCAATGCGTAAATTGTAAAAGTTTTTAACTGGCCAGCAATCAACAACGAAGCCATAACAAAAACAACGCAAAAAGCACTACTTTATTTATCCTTGAGTTCGCTTACAGAGAAAAAATGGAATCAATATTTCGAGATCATTTAGACGATTTTGGTCCAGCTTCCTCGCTTCGATGATTATGCTCCGTATTTTGCAACTAAAAATTTAATGGTTTGTGAAGTTCTGAAATCTGAATGCAAAATATTGTATCGGAAATCAGAAAAGTTATTACCTTGGTCACGATTTTCCTGGTTTGCCCGGAAGCATCGAAGTGGTTTGTGTGCTGTTCCGCTTCCTTTTTGGTGCGCTGCTTCCCGGAATGCCCACTGTAAACGTATTTGTCCTGGTCATAATTGTAGTGCTCATACTCGTCAAAATGGGACTCCGACATGGTTAACGCTGGAAGCAATAAAGGAAGGTAAAGGTCAAAGAAAATATAATAAGCAAGCAGGTAATAAACACGAACGCTATTGCAGCTGGAAACGAAAAGCCTTCCAAAGGTTTTAAGGCTGAGTGACTGGTTTGTTGTCGTTCAATTTCGTTTGCGTTTCCACTTTCCAGTGTTGGAGCAGCAGTACGATGCATATGTACAGTATAGTACTATCGTGCGATATTTGTTCCCCGCCCCTCAGAATATCAACGGTGGCAGTGGATATTTATTAAACAGTGAATCATGGATGTGTACCGCTGTACGAGTTACCTGCGTATGTTTCTGTTCGACTTTTTAATTAAAATATTAATAGTGTACTTGTACCCGCTACCGGCATCTAATACAGCCGTTATTTAATTGTACAGTAAAGCACTGAAAAATCTGAAAATCTACCAATAGGAAACTGGAAAATGTCTCACAGAATGATTAGTTTAGCCTACCTAGTACCTACATTAATGGTGTACAGTACGATTTGGGGTTGAAACACCGGTGCCACTCTAGTATACCCAGATGCCAGATGGTAATAATTATTACTACTTCGTATTGAATATTTCCCATTTTAATTGCTTAACTCTGGTTAACATTAATGATGACGCGCCTCTGGTCCTTGCACTGTTGTACAATACATATGATTATCAAGATGACATACGAAACTGGGGCTTAAAATTTGAATAAAACTAGAAATCTTTTAACCCGTATGCGGTAACTGCTAATAAACAAAATTAATGAATTAAGGAGCGTGAGTGACCTTTATTGCCCATAATAATATGCATTTTAACGATCCAGAAATGTTTAAAGTATATTTTTCGTGTGCTGAACAAACTCATTGTGTATGGGATTGTTTTGTAGGCAAATAAAGTTCTACAAAACCTCATGGCGTACTATTTATTTTATTTCACATTAGAAATGCACTATCAGCCATTTTTTGTATCTTTGTAACTGGTTCAGCAGAAGTACAGTATTACCAATAATCAAGGCATTTCGTGAGAAACGAGAATATAATCTTATCCTTTCAAATCATAATAAATTATATAATTATTTATTACGTTTCGATAGCTCATAAAATATAAAATTAACTGGTATAAACGAAAACATTTTTATTAATTGCATTCACTGAAGGCAGTTGATTGTGACCCATTTTGTGAGTTTCGTCCCAGACTGTTCCAAGATGTCACATGCTCCCTTAGTGGTTTTGCGGGTAAGCTGGACGCCGATGCAGTTTTACTTTGCTTTGTACCCAGCTTTCTTACGAACGGAGTTGCCGTGCGAACATCATCACCACTGGACACTCGTCGGGATCCATCGTCTACTCCAGAACATGACTGGGATACTGTAACTATATCGACAGATAAACTGCCGATGGATTTTCCTCGGGATAGGGTCTGGAAGCTAGACGATTTTGTACTGCAGTTGAAGGGCACCGGGAGATTTGCCACAATGTTGCGTATGACTTGATCGCTTTCTTTCAGATTGTTAACATAGTAGTGCATATCCTCGTGGACACTGAAACGAAGTCTACAAAAGCTAACGCTAGAATATACAAAATAACCAGCATGAATAAAAAAGAATTTTTAGTCTTTTTATTCGTGATCACAAGTATTAAATGCATTAGCATCGCAAGCTTGGAATTCAGTTCGAAACACATGTGCCAGTTACATAAGTTCATTACTTCCTATTATTTCCGGTGAGCACTATAAAATACAGACAAATAACCGTCTATTAATTACGCAATTTACGCTGCGCTGCGCAGTAATTTTTACTCCTGGTCGGAATCTGACTGTGAGATCTGAACTGACAGGGACGACTGCTCTATAGCTTCACTTTTTGGAGCTGGACAAGTAAGAGAACATTATCGGGCAAATGGGACACATGGAACCACAAACATTTTTGTCGCTCTTCGAAGCACTGCTGCTGCAGGTTTTCCGTGATGGATGTCGTGAAGGACTAAAAACGTCCGTATGGAAGAAATCTTGCATGCATTCTAAAGCTACTAATATAGTATGCACAACTCTCTGTAGGCAGTAAGCACCATAATTAACTTACTCAGTTCCCGTTGGTTTGCCGATGTGCAGGTTGCGCTTTTCTCTCTTGAGTACGACACCGGCGGCCGAACCTGCGATAACAAAAATGTTCTGCGAATTCCTGTATTTATCGTACTATATCCACCTTTTAACAAAGTAAAATTGCTGAAACCTGGTTGTAAAATCTACAAATTGTAGTTATTCACTTTCGAAACATTTCCCACTGCAATACTGAATTGGGAGAAATAAGCTTACCCTCCGAACTGGAGGCAACTGTCACTTCTTGCGACAATTCGGCAGTGGAAGTCGATTTCCGCGATCGTTCTTCCGAACAGGCTCGCCGTGACCTTATCCCGGCAAACCTTGGCACTGACGCTCCGCTTAACGACTTTACAGATGGACAAATTTCGCCTGCGAAAGATTTATCGACAAATTGTAATGCATGCTTCATGCTGTACGTGTTAAAATTTTTTCATATCACAATAATTATCAAATCCACTACCATTATACGGTATAGACGTATAGTGCTGTTGCATCATAACTTGCATTAAATTTTTGAACGTTAATTGATAACAGATGATGCTACAGATCTTTCATGATTACGTAGTGTCTGATGGTTTCCATAAGTTACATATCTAGATCTTTTTTTGTGCATTTATCTTATTGTTAGCCCTAACAAAATTTGTTACATACGTTGGGCAAATCTGCGGATTTTCATGGAGAAATCGCCCAGATCTCTATGCCTTCCTAGCAAGTACAAACTGATCCGCAGCTGTTCCTTTTCGTAGAAAACATCGCTTTCCGTTATCAGCACTGTTAATTCATCCCGGGGAATGGACAGTAAGCGAAATTTATAAATAAAGGAATCCAGAGTATTCCGTAGCGTTTTCTCCCTGTCGCCGCCCGGAGCGATCTCGGCCAATCGCGAGCGACCCCAGTGCAGCACCGCATCGAAGACTTCTCTTTCTGTCACGCCGGTAAACACATCGCAGTCCAGCAACTGACTAATGAAATTAGCTTTGGTGCGCAGGAACTGTTGCTCTTTGATTATTTCGAACGTGCGCTGCTCTAACACGCCCGTACACAGCGGAAATAAATCATTCAAACCGAGATCAAGAGCGTGCTGAAAAAGATAGATAACATGTTTGGCATGGCCACGCGGAATGCGTCGCAAGATGAAATCTTTGGTCAGATCGTACAGTGGCTCCACTTCGAACTTCTTCGCGGCGAACAACAGCCGGGTCACCTGTTGCACATTGCGCGGTAAGTCCACGTCTCCGGTGTAAATGTACCGGACAACGGCCTGAAACGCCTCGGCAGGCACATTGGGATCCGTCAGCACGATTTCCCGATATTTCTCGTGCTGAAGCATTTCAGCAAAATGTTTATTGCGCGTGGCCAACACCAGGCGATGGGCGGAAACGGTGACGTGGGAGCCAATGAGATTCTTGAGGAGAAAATCCACATCCGTGTAACCGGACAATCCCGGATCGGTTAATAAATCACTCATCCAGCGATGATAGTCAAAGGGAAAGTCATCGCCTTTCTCCGAAGGCGAAGACAGGCGTTCGTGCGACTTAAAGGTCACGATGGAATCTGCATCCGTGTCAAATTCAATGTCATCCTGCTGACTGTCGGGATTTGACATCTTTAAAACTATGCGTAACCATTAAAGCGCCATTTAGCTATGCGTTAAGGCATTTATAAGATGTTTTTGCGCTTGCCTACGATCGTCAAGGGGTGCAGTGAGCTTTTTAAAAATGTGGAACGCAGCCGAACTGGTTCAGATCATACTAAGCACGACGGTCGCAATCATTACACTATCCGACCCGTTATAAAATGATAATGACAAATTTTAATGTATTTTTTCCTGATACGCAAGGTAATGGCCAAGCCTGTTCAGGGCTTCACGACACTATCATGAAGGCATGAAATCCATTTGATCAAGGTTTACGTTGTGAGTCGCGCTGTAGACTACTATAAAGTATAAAGCGTCCGCGCTATAGTAAGAGCTACGTATGCATTTGGACTTATGAACATGTACCTATTTCCTTCCCAAGAACGGGCTGACAATGAGTGAGGCAGCTGAGCCTGGGACCGTTGGGTACTGTGCACTGTGTGCAGTACAAGCTTTCGTACTACTTTTGCAACACCAGACGGCAGTAATGATTAAGTACTAAAAACTATTAAAGAAAAGTAAACTCAAAAATCGGCTGAATCTGCGTTAGCGTCAGGTACTTCTGTCGTCCAATAAAAAAAACCACTGCCCATTTATCATCAGCAAGTTTGCAATGTTCTGTCGCATTGCTGTCAATTACATTATCGAAACAGGAAAAGTATTATGTATAAAACAAGTAAAAAAATATTCGGAAAAATTACTTTTATCAAGTAGAATAAAGAATACAGTTGTTCAAATTTTAATCCTCTGTTAGTCGTGTGGTTATACCACAGAAACAACAAAACCACTGCTTAAAATCTTCAAGAAATTCGTTAACGATGCAAAAATTCTAAGAAATAAAACTGTAGAAACTCTTGATAAAGACCGTGACTATAAACTGAAAATAAATACACCGAGGTACGGTACAACCAAAACAAAGGACTAGTAACAATATGTAATACACAGCAAAATGACGAGAAAGCATGAGCATTTCAGCAGATCTTCTGCATCACAAAATTACGAATAATAACATTTCAGACGCAATCAAATCATTCTTCCTCCGTTTCACTTCCATCCTGTTCTTCTTCCCTGGCCCTATTGGCCGCGTTACCACTTCTATCTTGCCGTCGTTGTTCACCCTCTTCACTTCGCCGGGCCATGGCCCGCAGAATCCTTACCACACACACCGCCGGTACCGTAACCGTGTCCCGCGTTTCATCCAGCATCTGGTTATTCACTTCCGCGATATTTTCTGCTAGACCGGCATCAAAACAAGCTTCCTCTGCAGTTGGTCTCCAGATCTTCACATCGTGATCAATCCCGCTAGTGGCCAGGAGAAACTGGGTTGGGTGAGGCTGGATACAGTTAACAACCTACATGAAAGACAACTGCCGTATAACAATGCAACAAGAAGTCCACTCCGTAAAAGAGAATCGGAAATCTCCAACTTATTCGCTACTTACTATGCGATCGAATACATGCGAATTAAACCTTCATGCAGACTAAAGAAGATCCGTACAATTAAACTGCTTACATGTTTATCGCCTTCGAAAACGTTGACCAATTTGCCAGACTGTCGATCCCAAATGAAGACCCGCCCACAGTCGGAACCGCTGATAACAAAAGAATCGTCCCAAAATCTGGCTTCCTTTATCATTGTACGGGAACTGCGATGACCTGAGTATTCTAATACAGGTTTCACGATAACCAGATCTTCAGGGAACTTCTTATTCCGGGTGGGCGCGGAAGCGATAACATCCATCAGTTGTGCTCCACTATCGTTCCGACCACCTCCGCCTGCCGATCGTTCTGAAGGCGTAATAACTGGCGCCGGTGGGGATGGTGCGGCAGGTTGCGCTGCCATCTGATTTCGCATCCATGTGGTCATCAAATCAGATATCTCAACCATAAACCGCGATGAACCAGAAGCAGCTTCAGTCGGGCGCTGCCCTGGACGGGACTGCGGGCCCGTATCGGACCAGTCACCTCGAAGGCGCAATCGTTTAATGGGAAGAGGTTCCGTTGGACATCTTTAAATATGCAATTGTAACTCTTTCATGCTTGTATATATTCGTTCGTTAACGACTTTTAGACCCTATACGCGCGAAAAACATTAGACTACGACTAATTTACTGCTACACTGCTATTCAGTCGTGGCCGTGAGCCAGTCGTTACTCGTTAGCATAACTAATCTCCCTTGCGGTTGTTGCGACGCCTGTAGTTTAAAGATTTCTATATCACGATATGCATAAAAAAATATAACAAGAAGCCAACTTACAATTCCTTCGGATCTTCCAATTTTTTGGCCTTGCCTTCCTTCAGTTGTTCATTGATTCGCAGATCAAGAAGCTGAATTTTTTCACAAAGAACATTGGCTAAAAGAGAGCTTCCGTAGGCATCGTACTGCAGGCTAGTAATGCGTCTGGGCATATTCTTGGTCGTCTGGCAGCGGATACGTTTTGTTGGTCGGTCCATCTTCCTTCGATCATAAAATGTTATCGTACTGTCCGAACATCCCACAGCCAATTCATGGAAGCGAACGGGATTTAAAGCAATAGTCGAAACAGCCTTTTCCATATTGGCCAGCAAAGAATGGTTGCAGTTATCCCCCGGATCGCACTCGCAAAACGGCTGACGAGCATCAAACTGCCGCACAGTGCCATCTTCGCTACATGACAGGAAACAGGAGCAGGCTTCTGTAAGCGGAAGCACCCGGTAAACAGTTGCCGTGTGGTTTCTGAAAACAGAAAAAGTTAATTTACAATCAGAATAAATATTCTGTTAAAAATTATTACGCCTGCGACGCTTCGCCAAAATATTTCGGCTAAATCTCACCAGAAAAATAAACGCAAACGGAGAGATAAACCTTTCAAATTTTGAAACTGCAAACAAACTCCTATCAACTTTCCTGATCACTTTAAAACTTAACGCTCGGAAACAACTATACTATTATTATTATTATTACGGCACAAGAGCAGACAACCCCGAAGGGACTTCAAGTCTGGTCGAACAAAAACAATTTTCTGCTAACAAAACATTTAGGAGAGTTTAACAGATCTGAGTAGAAATTTGAAAGAAGGTACAGAACTGGCTTCGAGAATTTTAGGATTGACAGCAAGAATTTTATCAAGAAGACGTTTTAGCCGCATTTCCATAGTCCACCCTCCGATAACTTTCTTTGCCCTCGTTAACATCGCTTAAAATATCTCCGCTAATAAGTAATTTGTAACGGTATTTATACTATAAAAGTTTTTATCGTTTCGATTTGCCTATTGGGCATTATTTCGAAAGGAAAATATTATTATAACTACTGAAGTATATTACGCTTACCGTCAGAATGTATTATTAAGGTGATAAGGCTTAGTTGCTTTGGGCTTAAGAGCTGGTAAGTGATATGCAAACTAATCCTTTTGTGCACACACTAAAATTTCTATTGTTAACAAGTTAGAGTAATCAGTAATTCATGCAAGCATACTTCATAATATTGTCGGATAACTAAAAATTAATTCCGTCGCAACTTACGTACATTTGACAGGCTACATAGGTATACGAATCAGCTGGTTTGGTAAGTAGCCAAAAAACAACATTACTTTCTGCCGTGTGTCCTTCGGATACGGTGTAAATTTCAAATTACAATAATTCCATCATATCAGCAATCCAGAGCATATTGTTTTCTATTTTCTCCCATATATTACCACCAAAGAAACTCCGAATAGTTGTCTGCAAAACTCACTTGATCAGTTTTTGCGCAACATCTGCTTCCTTCAGCTGAGTGTAAATAATAGATCCATCTCCACAAGCAGACACAATCTGCCTCCCATTGGACTTACACAAAAATCTAACTGTGAAGATATTCTCCTGATGAAGAGTTTTGAAGCGATAAGGCGCGAATCCGTTGGGTTTACTCGCGTCCCACACGGCCAAGTGTAAATCGTCTGATCCAGAGAGCAGATATTCTCCATCATCACTCCAGTCCAGTGAATTGACGCAGCCAGTGTGGCTCGATAACTTCTCAGAAATCTGGAGCCTTTGAATCAGCTCCTGTGATCTGCGCAGTTCCCGCTGCAGTTCGTGGAGGTGCAGACTGCCAGTTTCCCGTTGTAAATACACAGAAGGGATAGTACTGTGATTGAGATAGTGCGACGGCCAAATATAACGCTGTTTTCGAGAAGAAACGCTCTGAACCAATGGATCCCATTGGGAAAGTGCATCGCTGGTGGGGCAAGTCACTGTACCCATTTCTCACTTCTGAACCCTCGCGCGATGTTCCCGAAAGTAAACGTCCGATGATGATATACAACAATCCAACAACAATTAATGAGCGTTTATTTAATAAATTATGCGATCAAAACTGTGCTTAGTTAAACGCGTAAATTACTGCACGCAGTATGATATATCTATATAGCTATATCGATAGAAAGCGAAAAAAGAATATAGACTCTATATAAAACCAGGATGTGTACTCACAGTTCAACTTGTAGCGTGTACTCCGTGTAGCCAGTAACCAATGCAGAACTAACGTTCACTATTCCAAGCAGCAGTGACATCACTCACGATCGTGTACGGTGTGCGTAAACTGCATGATGTTTATTTTTGTTTTTGTTGCCCTGATAGCCACATTAATACGATAGCAAGTTATATGTACTAGTTCGGAAACGGCGTCGCAGTCGATGAAAAAGAAAACTTTGACTAACGATAAATTTTTGTTTCGTTATTATTCCGGTCTTTCGAAGTTGGTATTGTTTAAAATTGTATTGTATTATAAGTGACTGATGTATTATAAGTTATGATATACTTAGTACGTTAATGTACTGAGTAATAATATAATATTTAACATAATACTATTATATGACGTTACCTAATTACCGCGCGTGCCTATGGTTAGTACTCGTATACTATTTTTAAAATAACAATCATAAGCAAAATTAAAATTATGCATTATTCCCATTCCCTTGTTTTGGCAGCTGGCGTTCGTGAATCATTTCTATAACATTACGAACATTCTCATAATCTGTAGATTCTGTACACTTTTCCAACCTGTATAAACTTTTATGCTAATAAAATTATATGAGTTGGTATTGTTTAAAATTGCGTAGGGAGTAGGGACAGCAGTCCTAGGATTGCGTGCTGTTTTTTAAACTACAATCATAAAGTGGGATTACGATGTCACATCTCTTTCTAGAATTGAACATTTTAATAGGCAATGGCCATTCCCATAGATATAAGTGCACAACGCTGAGATACTACTTAGGAATAAAAGTTACAAAACAAACTGCTGGTCCTCTTTGGGTGCAAACAGCCACTCACGCACCCCAATGTTAGGAGGCCAGTTTTCAGGCGTGAACATTTTCTCAGTCTCATCGGCGTAAGTACCAACACGTGCAAACAAACTGTTCTTACGGCCATTTTTAGCGGAGTAGATCGACACAAATCGAACTGAGATCCCATTTGATTCAATAGCGCTCTTGAGATCTTTACTGTAATCGTCGTGGGTCAGATGTTGGGTCTGCTCCAGTGGGGGGATGCCATGTAGACAGAAATCCTTCTCTTTCTGTTTCTCCTTCTTGATAGCTTCTCTGTGTTTCAAATGCATGGTCGACATTAACATTAAGTAATCAGTAACTCTACGAAGTATACGTGATCGTATTATCTATCTATATATCTATAGAACAAATTTATGAATAGTCTCTATGAATAACTTATGAATAATTTATAAAAGTCAATAAAAGGTCAAAATTAATAACAGCACATATAGACTACACGTCCCCATACCATACAGATAGGTACTTATACAGTATCTATATAAAACTATATATAGTCCCATATTCTACCGTTTGAACTTTGAACCGTTTTAGTTATTTCGTTTCTGATTTTAACACTACGCAACTTCCGCTTGCTGGATGCAGGTAAAGGAAAAATTTGCCTATTAAAATGCGTTCAAATCCTTCATTGATATATTATATACTAATCGTTAGTAATTGTTACGTCACACAACACGTACATGCACGATAAATCGAATTGCGTATTGTAAATAATTTTCGAATAATTAATTCGAATATTACGTATTGTAAATAATTGTACCGGGCGATACCGACGTCCCTGATCGATCATCCATATCTTGAACCTACATTAATTAAGTGCCATATGCATATTATGTATTCTCTGATACTTATTCGCTTACAGGATTTTTCACTAGTCATTGCAGAAAAAATTGATACTTCCATTTACTCATTCACTAGCTATAATAAGCAAGTAGTTTCAAATGTTTACTATGGGTATTCTTTCATTAAAAATATATAATGTAGAGAATTATTCGCGGACAAAGGTACATTCAAAACCAGCTAATTATATTTACACACTTTCTGCAAAACTGCTGCATGTAAAATATAGAATCTTTAGAAATTCCGCGCGATAAAAATGCCTTTCGGTTTACTTTTTTGTGAATGTTTTTGGGATTTTTACAAGGCTACGCTCTCGAATGCGGCGTGATAACGCAAATTGCCAGAATTAACTTGTAAGTGTTCCGTAACTGAATGATGTGATAAGAGAATGATAGTTATCGTTAGTAACTGGCTAGATGCATGGTCTCATGTTTTGTAATTTAACATCTTTATATTATATTGCTTAACATAGAATATAACTGTATATGCCGTCGAGCGCTGTTTTCATAGTTTCACTGGATAATGATAATTAAGTACTGAGGGTAGAACAACGCAAAACTAACTAATTAGTTATTGGTATACAGTACTTAAGCTTAATATTTATATATCTATATGTGGTATAAATTTAGTATCTGTATGTCCGATTGCATATCAGCTGACCGACCGTCACCGCCGAATGAACTATACGACGTTTTCATCAAAGTGTGCTAATAGTTCTAGTTCTGTATTTAAATTGAATGTAATCAGTTACGTTAGAAGGTGATTTAACGATAATTATGTATGCACCGGCCCTAGTCGGCGTTAATTACTACCTGAATAATGAGCATCGTGTTTTTTTCATAGTATGTAATTGTGCATGAAACAGCCACGTTTGATATTACGTAAGAGCGGACGCTTATAGTCTTTCTGAACATTTACGCTGATATGTGTAGTCTTTTACCCTTGCACCGGATTGTACCGTACCTTATCTAGCATGTGTATACCTTATGGATATATATTGTTTTATTGTTTTACTGTAATAAAACTTTAGAGCAGGCGCTAGAGGAAATCATCGTTAACAGCGTTTAACTTAAAAAGTAGTCAGTAGTCTGTAGATTACGTTACTTTGTACAATACATATCGAGTATCGGCTACTGTCGTACCAGATGCAATCCATAGATTGCGACTTATCAGTTCTTAATCAAACCTGCGACGGTCGTTGCTGATTTGGCCGCATATACGCAGGTTTTATGTTTACATCTTTGCCTCTTGTGGATGATTAATAACAGAGGCACCCAATGTGTAATATGGATAGGATAGCAGTAGCTAACTTTAAAGTGCTGTAACTGGTGCCGTGTTTGTATAAGAATTTTATATCAGTGGAAACACTCTGTCTGCATGAACGGTTATGGCCGCATTCGAGTACTTATAAATTACATCACAGGTAAGCTGACAATTAGATCGCCGCCGCAATAAGGAAATTATTAACTGCATAATTTACATATGCACGCAGATGCGGTAATTATCTACTCGAGTAGTTAACGCCTATTTGCAAACCAAAATTAACAAAAAAAATCAAATTAAAAATTTAGAGTATTATATGTTTGCTTCGCAGGACTGGTCACTGGAACGTTTCATTGATTTGCGTGTTGCGGCGAGTGACGTTTTGCATTTCACCGCGAGCACAATGGCTCAGGCAACTGCAAACAGTATGTTTGTGGATACGGAAACGCCCAAGAAAATAGCCATCATTGGTGGAGGATTGGTAAGGAGAGATTTGGAGTGGTTTTGAAAATTTAAAGTGGAAACAGTTTTCATAAAGCTCATATATTATATGTATTTAGCGTAGAATTAAGCTTCAAGAAACATTATCGAAAGGTCATCTTTGCGCCACGCTAAAGGTTCAAGCACAAAAATTGCTATTTGTGTACGGAGAGGAGCTGCAAATCAGATTAATAACATCTAACAATTGTGAATGTTGTAGGTCGGATCACTGAGCGCATGTTTTCTTGCGAAAAGAGGCTATCAAGTGGATGTTTACGAGCGAAGAGAAGGTTGAAATAGAAGTAGATGTCTGCCCGTTAAAGCTATCAGCTTTGCCTGTTTAGATTTAAGCCGTGCTAATAGTTTTTTATTATCGATAGAGAATGGTTTTTCAACGCAGATATCCGTCGTGCGGAGAAAGTAGTTGGGAAAAGTATCAATCTGGCACTAAGCCATCGTGGTCGAACTGCTTTGCGGGCCGTTGGATTAGAGAAGCACATTGTAGCGGAAGGTATCCCAATGCGGGCAAGAATGATTCACAGTTTGGACGAAACGACACATCCCGTGCCCTACGGCACTAGAGAAGATCATGTTAGTCAAAACACCCGTTATACAACCTTTTTAATTTTTGCCCACTACTTTCAGTTGTTTTAATCACGTTAAAGTAATTGTAACCCTTGGCTAACCAAATTTGGCTTATGTACCCTTTCTTCTTCGCCGAATTCTTCCACCATGTATCATTTCAAAGCTTAAACTTTCGTAAATTTGTACGTTACCTACACGCGAGTTATTTTGTTTTTATAGTTTATCATATCAATCGATCGACGACGACTGAACGAAGTTATGCTGACCTTGGCGGAATCACAACCAAACGTGACCCTACACTTTGGACACAAACTAGTCAGATGCAATCTGCACACCGGACGGATGCTTTTTCAGTTGTCTGATAATATTAATGAGAGGGTGGAAAAATTTGCCGATTCAATAATTGGCTGCGAGTACGCATACGTACCGTGTACAACCTATATCCTTATGGCTTGCTATATTATATAAAAATTTACCTCTTTAATCCCGAATCGGATGAGTGTGTTGTTGCAGTGGCGCCCATTCTGCTGTCCGGGATGCCATGTTAAAGCAAGCGGGATTCCAGTATCAGCAAGAGTATATTGAGCATGGGTACATTGAGCTTGTGACCCCACCAACAAAAAATGGAGAAGTACAGTAAAATCAAATTTGTTAAGTGCGATGAACCGCCACAGTACAGTGCAAGTTACTGAATTTATTGTTAGAAAGATGATTTTTGCATTTTCAGTATGCTATGCCACCGAATTATTTGCACATTTGGCCACGAATGACATTCATGCTGATTGCTTTACCCAACTTGGACAAAAGCTTTACGACGACTCTTTTTATGCCGTTTGATAAGTTTTCGCAGCTCAGATCACCGGAAACTGTTGTAGATTTTTTCCGCACTACATTTCCGGATGCACTGAATCTTATTGGAGAGTGAGCGATCTGTTAATTTTCTGCAATTTCGCTGAAACCGTGAAATGTTATGCGACGCTCGTTGTTTTAGGGAAAGTCTCGTAAAAGACTTCCTAGGAACAAAACCATCTTCTTTAATAAGCGTAAAGGTGCGCCAGCAGTTGGTTCTCTTCCGTATATTTTGTGCTTTATGGCATTTTGCTCAACTTGTGTGACCTTTATTTATTTAGTGCAAGCCTTATCATTTTGGTAAGGCCATAATTATTGGAGACGCGGCACATGCAATGGTTCCATTTTATGGTCAAGGAATGAATGCGGTAATGTATTACAAAATAAACTCGCATGCAGTAATATCTACAATATATAATAATAAATTTCGATCATAGGGTTTTCTGGACTGTTTAAGACTGGACGAACTTCTGGAAGAATACAATGGGAACTTTGGTACTGCGCAAGATTATACTTTTTTTTGTACTAGAACGACAAGGCAGTCACATTGTTTCAGACAGCTTTCTACCTCCCCCTAAATATTACAATTATACGCAAAGATACGCAGATACGTAGCATATAATCCCGTAGCCTTTTTGCAGAAAGGGTGTATCCAGAATTTACCCGAAGAATGCAGATCAATTCACATGCAATCATTGATTTGGCCATGTATAACTATATCGAGGTAAATGCGCTCAAGAATGCTAAATGTGACGTATCACATTTTAACCAGTATTTTGTGATGCAAATTTGATACGTATTCCATATTCCCCGGTGTTGGTTATTGACACTATCAAAAAACTTCTTTTTATTTTAGATGCGGTATTTGGTAAATACCAGAAGCTTTTTAATAAGGAAGAAAGTCGATAACTTTCTTTACCGCTTGTTTCCGAACACGTGGATTCCGTTGTATACAATGGTGACCTTTTCTCTACTTCCATACAGCGAGTGCATGAAGCGGAAGAAATGGCAAGATACGGTACGTAGTTTAATGCGCTCTGGACTTTATGACATCGCAAACAGAATTTTTGTTCTAATAATTATTGCTTGTACAATTCTAGGTTCTTCGACGAGGAGTGCGAATTGGGATTGCGATGGTCGTTCTCCTTGCTTATTACCGGTTTGGCCCGCGCCCACCTGTCCGCATGTATATTAATGCATTCAAATCTGCTGTAAAAGACTGGTTTTATGAACTGCGTGTTCGTCGCTTTGAGTTAAACAGGAATGAATTGATCGGTATGCCTTAAATCTTTGAATGTACTATCGTGATTGTGAGATGAATTGGTTGAGAAATTTAGCGATGGTTTTCTGGGTTCTTCTTCTGCTATATTTTTCGCGTATCGTAAACCTTGTGGACGCGGCGTTTGGCGTTTGGTATGTAAAATTGTATATCCTATTCGTTCAGAGTTCAGACATGGTATTGTAATGCGGATGGGCATTTCATTGGTGCTAATGCAAGCGGAAACATCTGACTGGGTATAAAGTCAATCATTTTGTGTATTTTGTGTATTTCGCTGCGTCTGTTGTATAAATTTCCCATTGCAACTCTGCAAGCACGCACGTAAATAACAAAACTTAAACTTGTTTGAGCTACTGGATGCACATTTAGAATTTAGATCAAACCGCAAGAAAGGTGCTTCTGGATTGACCATAAAACTGACCTCCAAACGATAATTGTTCTGTAATCTGTTCATATTAAGACTGAACAAAATTCCGCAGTTATATTGCATTTATTGCTAAAGTGGGCTTAGAAAACTACCATACTTTCAACACATGGTTCGTTCATTTCATTAGCCAAAATAGATAGAATCGCGACGTTGGCTAAAAAATGCGCTTAAGGAATTACCGGAAGAGATCAAAATTAACCTAGCAAAAACCGTCCAAGATATTCGTATTCGTAACCATTTTGCGAAACTGGATTCACAAGTCAGTTGATTAATAATGGGAGTCAAGCAAAGATTCCGGATGAATCTATTTAAGCCGGTACTGCGTACAGTATAAAGCGCAACCTGCAGCCACGATTGCGTTTTTTCCTGGCAGCAGGTTGCGTTTTTTGTTTCCGTGCCTACCGGAAAGCGGAAAAGTGCACCTGTTGAAAACCATGTCTGTGAGGATAAGCGGAAGCTGGGTGAAAATGTTGACTTCAAGTCACTACCTTGCTGTAGAGACAGGAAGATGGAGGTTTGCCACGAGAGGAGCGATTATGTACAGTAATTTCTGCAATACACTGTACAGAGAGAAACTACAGGAGCGGTTAGCTGCCCACAGCGGTACAGTACCCGATGGCGGGCTAGTCGAAAAAATGCAGATTTTAATACGGAGAAAGGAAACGCCGACGGTCGAGAACGAGAAAACCTTGTTCTTTTGTTTCAGCAATTTTTTATTAACTAGATCTTGACAGACAGCCGCAAAGTGTTTAGCGGTGAAATGGTACTATACTGTTGCCTCCGCGAAACCTTAATTTACATTTTACATACAAATAATGCAGCCGAATGCATGAAACTCACGTTCTTTTCCCTTTTACGTCACGTTTTACTTATTTTGTTATGTTTATAAATTTAATATTAATATTGTTTTTTATTAACATTACCAATGTCTAATCAATAGTACTCAATACAGTAAGTAATCATACGGCACAACGCATGGTGTGCCCCTGCAATATATAAGAAATCTGGGGTTAGTCTTGTCTAATGCGCTTTGATAAGGACGACCTGCCGAGGGAGCAGATTACAATAATACCGCGGTATATTTGGAATTGGATTTGGAATTTATATATTAGTCCGGTTCAAAATAGACCGGAAATTTAGTAAATCCTGGCATTGTGAGAATTCTGCAAAAGCTGAGTAACGCACGAGATAAGATAAGCGCTCATAACTGGTCCATATTGCGATGAGGTGTCTTTTGCACGTTTGTATCCACGCCCCAAATATTCGTAAATGTTGCTCTAGAAAAAGCTACTCGAGAGTAGAATATTCGAGCGTCAAAGTCGCCAATTCGGATATTTCTCATGCAGACTCATGTGCACACATTTTAATGCTTACATTTCACTGCGATATTCCGTAATCGTACACCTCAGTAATTATCCATTAATAAGTACTCTAACGCCTATCGGGTATCGTCGACATTGCTACGTGCACAATCGTAATAACTAATTAATAACATTACTGTATAATTAGTGTTAATTGCTCATCCAAACACATTCTGGTAGCGTAAACCAGAAAGTGCGCGTAGGGCGCATAAGTCTCTAACATAACTTATAAGTTACCACGACGTGCTAAAATGTCTAATTAAAATCAATTGATTAATAACGGGTTCATTAGAATTTAAAATTTTGCGGATAAAGGGTGTACACTGTATCGAGTATTGATTAATTCGCTGACCGCCTGACGTTTATTAACTTGCAACTGTAGCGTTAATTAACTGTTTTAAATTAATCGTTAATTACAGGAACTTTTTTAATTTTTTTATTAATTTGAAGCACTGAATTCGGTAGGCAATACATCAATAGGTAAAGTGCAAACTGCAAAGTAAAGTTACAGACTGGAATGAAAGCACACCATAAAGCAAAATGTCGCACGGTTTTGCGCTCCCAAAATTGCCCGCTCGATGCAGATATGTGATGCATCATTGCCGCGCAGTTATTTGACGTTTGTTAAGGTTCAAAGTTCGATTTTTTTAAGCGTGTGTCACAGATTTCCTTCGCTGATATCTTCATAACTGAATTTTGAGCCTAACTATTATTTATTAAGTAGAGTAGTCCTACCACAGAAAAGGATGACACAGTATTATCCTTTTCTATGGTCCTACTGTCCCAGTCGTGATTTCCGTTTGGCGTTTTCAGTAGAGTTGTGTTACTTTTGCAAATTAATTTACTCCACAATAAAGAATTACGCAGATTTTAAAATTTCCAGACGAAGCGTATAATTCGTAAACTGGCTTACAGGGTTCTGATCCTCCTCTGATTGATTCGACGATGACGGCACCCAAGCAAGTATGTTCATTTTGTCGAAATGTTGAAGTTAAACTGTAGAGTGTCAGTACCTTGAGTTATGACTTATCCTAATGATCACTCAAATCTGTGATGTATTTTTTTAATCTCCTACCATAAGTCATACAATGAATTAATTGTACTTTTGTTGGACTCAGAAAGCGGTATAAATACATTTTTGTTCTTGAAACAATTGTGACATTCTGCATGGCCTGGCTTGCCATGCGTAGAACGTGTTTGTTCAGTCAGCGAGATGAGAAGTTCTTTTTTGTTTTCCAAATTTTATCCCAGGTTGCGATAATTATTGCGATTACTTTGATTAATTTTATGATACATACTTAAAATTTAATACTGTAAGTGTCGTTAAGTGATCATCCTGGTCACGGTAATAAGTTATGTTTTTCAGTTTTTCTGTTATTTTTCAGCTTTCTGATGTCAACTGGAAATTAAACCTGCAGCTGTCACATTCCAAGATGGCAAATACGAAAACTCCCAATGCTTTGGTGGAGCTATCCCTCGGATCCTCAGATTGCAGTACTAATACAGCGGTGTCCGAGAAAGTTGTGATAGAATTTTCCAAAGAGGAATTGGTGGATTTTTACCATAAGGTAGGTCTAACTTGACTATCTCATTATATGGTTTTCTAATGCTGCGCGGTACTGCCCTAATTTTATCTCGAAATTTCAAATTTTTAGCTCGAAGAAATGCAGGCTCAACTGGATTCCCTTCAATGAATTTCATGAGAGCTTAACTCTCAGATGACCAATTATGTCGTGGAAATTTAGCCTAGTGTCCTATCGATAACTGAATGCTGATTCTGCTGAATGCATGTTTTTCTTGACCGGAGTTCAAAGCTGTGGCGGTAACTCATTAATATTTGGGTTGAAGCCATCTTCTGGACGCCTACTATGTTGTCGGTTTCTTTCTGTGATAATTCATAATTGGTTTATAAAGTGCAAACTTATTAATGTGAGTTTTTATGTTAAATATGTAAAATCTGAAACACTTGAACTCTGACTGGATTCTGGCAAATATGGACGAGTGACGACTAATACAGTACTAGTAATACTTTAAAGTTTAAACGATCGAATCGCATGAAACGCCCAACTCAATGGCAAAAGATGTCATTTTTATTTCTGCCAGTTGTTTTTCGACAAAAAAAAGACCTACTACGCTGAAGCTAAGCCAAAATTCTAGGGAAACCCAGCATTGTGCACAGGATGGTCGTAATTAAAGGAAAACATCAGTCGGCTTATAATCCCAACTTGGTGCGTCTCCAGTGTCGTCGCTTGGCATTGTACCTAAAACAACCACCAATAATAATTTTCTGACTGTTGGATATTAAACATCACTATTTTAGCTTTCCCGTTAATAAATGCTAGTTTCTGCAGCCTAAAACTTAAAAGCAAAATATGTATATAGTTAAAAAAACTCGGAACTTCAACTTTTATCCTGCTTTAAAGAGTTTTACTTTACTTTAAATTTAAAAACTGAACTAAAATATTTTTACGAGATTCCTGAAAGTACAATTATGATGTTACATGGTGATAGCATGCCTCCAGACAGCGTTCCTAAACTTACTTTTTTTCCAGAATCAGCATATATTTAAATATATAAGAACAGAGATGCCTTTTGCTGGAAAAGTATTCGAAATCGGCAGCGAGGTTCTTAATCCACAGAACAATCTCTTAGCCTTGTTACTTTTAACATTTTCAGCTAATATCTGTCGTACCTAATGCGGTTTCCGGTTTGAAGACGAACCCACTGAGGAATAGGTCGGTTTTGTTTGAAGGCCCTGGCCAACTTCTGCTTTATCCGGAAAGTTTTGTGAGAAGACTAGAAAACAAAACTTCATCTAACTTCCCGGAAATCAAACAGATGTAATTTCCCCCAGAATCCCGAGGAATTAGTTACTAGCAGACGCCAGGCGGAGAAGTACAACAACAATTTGACTTTCAGTATAAATTTTCTACACCCTTACCATATTGAACTGAAATTATATGGAACTGATTAGATCAAACACCCAATATATCCCAAATATCTTCCACAAAAACGAAATGCTATTCAAACGTCAAGCCAACACCGAGCAGGGTTCTTCAAAATTTTCTCTCGGTGGCAGGAGCTGTATACCGCTGCGCCGACTCCGGAACTGAACGGAACGTACGCGTACGTACGCACGCGTAAAATCGGCTTTATTAAATAGTACTGTACGTTGTTTAACTGGTACGTCATACGCAAAATTACGTATCGCAAAATTTGCTTAGCGTGTAGTATGTACCTTGTGTGAGCGACGAGGGCTTGCCGCTTGAGGACTTGAGTTTATTTTCTTTTCCAGTGGTTTTAATATTATGAATATTTTTATGGAAAATTGAAAAATTTTTATGTAAGTTTCAAGTACATACTACGTACGTGGTTTAAGTACTGTAATAGCTTTGCAGACTGTAAGAATTATGGAATTTTAGGTTGGTGTAATTTGAGAGAATTATAAGTGAGGTTTGAATTAAGTACTGTATTATCATCCTGCGACCTGCATGTATTTAAACACCACCGCTGTCTTACAACTTCCAAGCCCTTTCCTCCTGTCTTTGGGCGCAGTTTACATGGAATCTGCATTATCTAATCACCTGATGTCAGTAAAAGGATGAAGCGGATTTTCTGGATACCGTAAGTAACGCTTAACAAAGCATGACCATGCTATGAAAACCTCCGCGAACTGTTCTCGGACGACGGATCGACAAATCAGCCTTTGATCGCCTCCCGAAACTTGAATATGGACATCGCAGCTGGACTCCGCTACTGTGCCATGCTCTCCAAGAGCCGCTTAACAGGCAAATATACTTAAGTTCATCATGTAGAAACTGTGAAGGATAATAAAATTTGATATTACTTAAATGTGGAGCGTTAGTCGCGCACGAAACACGTTTATGCTGAAGGTTCATCTGCAGCTTGGTGGTTTAAGTTGGCGTTTAACAGCGCCTCGTTGCAGGGCTTGTTGTTGCCACCACGATGTCAGGTTACGCGATGGCTCCGGGAGTGATCAGTCCATCGACGCTTGCGCTGGTTACGGTCGGTACCGCTTTGACATCGTCCGCCGCAAATTCCTTCAACCAGGTGGGTGCTGTGAGATGGCCTTTGTGGAAGGAGATACAGATTGCTTCTATCTACTAAGTGCAGTTTTCAGTTCCTGGAGATTCCCTACGACTCCCAGATGACTCGAACTCGAAATAGAGTTTTGGTTAAAGGAGTAATTAGGTGCGGATTACATCATTACCACGAACATTGTAATTCCGTTTTGTAGTGTAGTGTTGCGTAACAGCAGTTTTTTCCGAAATTTATAGTCCTTTGCATGCCGTGACTTTTGGTCTCGTATCCGGAGTGGCGGGTATTGCTACGTTAGCTGCTGGCGTGAATCCGATTACCGCTTGTCTGGGCGCAGCTAACCTGATGCTGTATGCATCTATTTATACACCCATGAAACGCGTTAGCATCGCCAACACGTGGATAGGAGCCGTGGTAGGAGCTATTCCTCCCATTATGGGATGGACAGCGTGCACGGGATCTATTGACACAGGTACGAAAGCAAACTGTGAGATAGAGTGCGCAGTTGAAAGTTATCGTTAGCCTGTGTTCTTCGCGCCATGCATCGTCCCAAGAAAAAACCGGGACGAATTTATCATTCTGTTCTACTGTGTGTTATTTGTGAATAACTGGATAAACCACCTTGTGAATATATGCATGATGCATTAATATCATGAATATTCTTGTTTGTCTTATTTTAGGCGCACTTATTCTGGGTGGGATTCTTTATTGTTGGCAGTTTCCTCATTTTAATGCTTTAAGTTGGAATTTGCGAGGGGATTACTCGCGTGCCGGCTACAGAATGATGTGTGTTACGGATCCCGGTACGTTCCGTTTGCTTTGCACGGATATAAAATCCTTGAAGGTTTTCCACTCTTCGTGAGAGATTCATGTAAAACATTGTGGTAGGTTTGTGCCGCAGAACGTCGCTTAGGCACTCGGTTCTCCTTAGCGGTTTGTGTTTCCTATCGCCCGTCGTCGGATTAACGACATGGATGTTTGCATTGGATTCTTTGCCTTTAAATTTGTACATGATGTATTTATGTTATCGCTTTTACGAGTCAGCCGACAGTCAAACGTCGCGTAAACTGTTCCGCTACAGTTTAATCTATTTACCTTCTCTTATGATTTTAATGTTTATAAGTAAAAATCGGGAAACCATCAAGCCGAGCACGGATGAGGAGCGTGTTGATGTGCCAAAGCTCAAGGATAAAAGTGATACCAGTACCGTTGTTGTAAATACTAATAAAGAAAACCAATAACCATCGTTGCTGTGTATGGGCTATTGTTTATGATTTTTCCCTATCCGAATATCGAAGCACTTCTTTTGATTGCGTTGTTCAGGAACATCATCGGGGTGTAATCTCTGTGTTCATGTGACTGTGCCGCAGCGATCGAGTGCATTTCCACTCCACAAGTTGGGCAAACCTTTTGAAGAACCGGCCGCGTGGAAGACGATTTGAATTTCAATGCATAACGCAGTTCTAATAAGAATTCAGCCCATAGAGATTTCTGTGAATCAGAAATGTACAGTATCTTAGAAGGGCGGACGCCTGCGACAGGAGAACACTGCTGATTTTATAAATGAAATTTAAATATGAATTTCTGAATTTACCGAAGATACTGAAGAAATAAAAATCTGCCGATGACGGGACTCGAACCCGTGCCAGCTGCGTCTGTAGCCGTCCGTCTTACCACTGATCTACACCGGCTGCATTATTAAATTTCTCAAGATTTTAGCGCACTGTGCGACTGCCTATCAAGTATTACATTTTTGTGGTAAGGACCATTAAAATTATTTCTGCTGCAAATTTTTATATCTTATGGTTACACTACATCTTTCGCTTCTGTTACTTTGTACACCGAAGTACAGCACTCATACCTTTTCAATGTGAGCGTTATGTAGTGCATTCCAGATAAACTCCACAACTGCCATTAAAATAGCCAAAATCAACCCCATGGCTAGCAGTAAGAACGCTCCGCCGACCAAAGTGCTGTCTAGGAAAGAAATTTAATTAAATTACATGTGCATAATTTAAAGTTTTCTGCAATATATAAGAACAAGTCACAGAAAGCTGAAGTACGCAGTCACTGGATGTCCTGCATGGTAAACCTGCGTACTAATTGCCGATGGACCAGTGGATTTTTCTTCTTTTACGCATATGCTACCCCGTTTCCACCATTTTTCCACCAGTTCGGGTATCGTGGACTGCTCAATCATGTTCAGAATTTCTTCGGATAGTTTGTCAGTCCAGGGCGATCCTGTCGGTAACAACAACGAAGTAAAAGAAGTAAAAGCTTTTAATGTTTTTACATGTCTCTAAAAATAATTTCCAGAATAGGCACCTTTTGCTGTGCCGATGCCATATTGAATGGTATTTAGCGTGCCGCCGATGCGGGTCACATTGCAGTTTCTTTCCACGAGATAATCAATTTCGGATGCCTCCATTAAAAACGCATACTGTTCGCTCATTACACGGTCGACACCTTCTTTATAATCGGCAACAAAGACGCTGGGAACACTGTAGTTCATTTTTTCAAACATTTCTCGGTATATGTCCACACGGGACCCCTATAGGAAACCAAAGGTCAGACCGATCAGATTCGAGAAAGAGATCGAATAGCCGTTAAACGAGTACGAAATATTTCTTTCGTTAGTTCCAATCAAAAAAATTGTTCACTCAATTTTAATAAACTACATCATGAACAAAAGCCGATTACAACGTACACGAAAAAATTCATACGTGGATCCGTTGCCTAATATCCCATATTTGATTTCCGCATGCGCGACCAGCTCATCCACAGTAGAAAACGGGACGGTCATTTTCTCCACGGTCAGAACCGATGCTAAAGATATTCCCACGAAATAATACTTAATATACCACTATTTTCCTTTGGCCATACTAAAGTAAACCTTCAGCCTTTTGTATGGCGGTTTGAAGTGGGTCAATGGATACATGCAGCTACAGTATTTGCTACCCATGGGGCCATGTTTAAAGTTGTAATTACCTAATTTGGCAATGAAATGCGCACTTAGGAATAATGTGTAAAACCACCAAACTCCACCCAACACTCTTGTGGAAACCGCTCTTGGATTTATATCACAACCTAAAATCCGCGAAATAATTAATTTATATTGCACAGCCGAGCGCTTATCTATCGCTCCAATCCGAAAGGTCACCTTGCATCATTAAACTGCAGACCGAAAACCACACACTGTTGCGCAGGTTGAAAGCATTGACAGCAAAGCGGGTTTCCACTCCGGTGCATAAATGCCGGTTGTCCCATTCCAACGGAGAAAAGCGGGCAATCAACCACATGGATAGAGCGATAATAAGCGCCGCACCAAACGAGCTCAACCACAATTCCGCCGACAGGGATCGCATCAAGGCAAACAGATTCTGTGCTGATCCACGGGGTTGCTGGTACAAGATGCCGATCCCAGTCTATATATAAACAATTAATGCATAAAACGCAAAAATGCGTCATACTTCGAGACCTTATCAAACACATGCAGTAACTTATAAACTTCGCAAAAAGCCTTTCTAGTCTGGAATGTTCAAATGATTTCAGAAATCGATTCGTTAAGGAACAATCACTTCGCTTAGTGATGGTTTCCTTACCGTCATAAATGGTTTCGTAAAAGAAATGTAAGCTTCTCTTTCGGCAGTAATGGTAAACGGGGCCACCGAAAACGTCGCTGTCTGTAAAGACATGATTTAAGTGAACTGATAATACTTTTTAAAGAAATCAAATTTTTCTAATTACTCCGTCTAATAAATCTTTAACGATCCCGTTCCATTCACCCGTAAACTCATCTAACACACCGAATTCCCGTGCAATGTAGATATTGTACTCGAAGGGTGCGCCTTCCGGCTTCCTTACAGCAGCCGCTAGCTTGTCCATCAGATCAATAATAAACCCTTCCACGTGATCTTTTGTTATCTTTTTAATATCAACGGTTTGATTTTTCATAGCCAGCTCCTTTTTGAATTCTTCTTTGAGCTTCAGAAATGGTTCTTGCTGCGCAAATAAAGACGAATGTCAAAGAGCGCCACCAACAGACACTGAAAAAACGTGTTGCTCGGTGCAGTGCAAAAAAAACAACTTGTTGTTCCATATAAATAAAACTGCGCAGGTCCGAGAAAATTCCAAAGTCTTTTAAATAAAACTGTAATGGATATTAAAGCAGCTGAAATTACACTGACCAGTACAGTGGCAACCATAAAAGGATCTTCCGCTGTCCCAGCACGCACTCTGACGGTGTTCTGGCGGGAATCAGATGTCAATATGGATGCAAAAATTTCCAGACCAGTTTTTGAATGCCATGCTCCAACCTGTAAAGTTCTACGCAGTCTTATGAGAATTCAACAATTAACAGTTATACTGCACGATATCTTAAATTTTATGCCACCAAGGCGTACTGATGTACTGTAATATACCGGCTATAATAGTTCCGCATGCAATTGGATAGCAGTTTGTACGAGTAGTTTATTCTTACGTTGGTTAAGCCGGTTTCCATTAATTTCATTACATGTAGGCTGTAATCACGCTGATCAGCGTTTTTCAGTTGATTATTTCCGGTGAGACCTTCAGTGCCCACCTAAACTGCACAACATCTATATGAGAATAGTTAGAAAATCTATTGGGAAAATTCAACGAATTCGGATAATTTGTTATAAAATAGTTTTTATACCGTGTACAGGTAATTCAGTATACTACTTCCGTACGCCCATCGGGAAGACTTTTCGCATGAAACCGGCTCGAAGAAATCATCCGGCAAGGGCGCAAGATGGTCAAGCGTTCGCGCTAGCAGATGCAGAGTATCGTACAAGAACGCTGCTTCCATCTAAAAGTAAAACTAATTTATAAACAAAATTTTTACACCAAAGTTTTTTTATGCTGGGAGAATATCATTACACTTGACTCCTTGAGCACTTTTTATGAGGTGCAAAATGTACCGGAATAATGTTAGGGACGTGATCGTGTTCGGGACCATTCAAACGAACACCGTTGGATTCGGCATAAGCGATCATTTGTGTCATCTTCTGTGAATTCAGGTAGTTGACCACGTCGATGGGACTGAGTGTCAACAGGTTCAGTCCAATAAAGGACACATCCGTCAGATCATCCAAAAGGACATTCTATTCATTTACACAGGAAGAAAACACAAAAAACGTAATAAAATTAACAGTAAGTGTGGAGCACATGTGTATCAGTACTAATAAGCGTTTTACATTTGCATTTGTTTGCTTAACACTTTCTTAATCAAAGCCTAGGTTTGTTAATGCATGCAGATTTCTCCTGGGCACTTTTAAAGTTTTCCGTTTTGCTCTCAGTCTGCCCAAACAACCAAAACCTTGTCGAGTTCTGTCAACTAAGACTACAGCTGAAACCAAAACTTACCAGCCCCATAAACACAAAAGTGTATGCCGAATCGTGCATATTTAACTGAAAAACCTATAAACACATAAAAAAGTGATAATTAAGTCAAAAATTAAACTTATCAACTTTGCTTAGCACAGTTGCATGTACGACTTTATACGAGTACTAATAACGCTGTAGATCTATGTATATATAAAACAATATAAACAAAGATTAATCAAATGTACACTAACGTACATTTTCCACGAATTCCGACACCTGTGAATCGCGTATGGCTACGAGAAAAACGAAAATCTGTTCGGACCGAAGATGCCGCAATAAAGGCCGATAAGAGGAGGTATTTTTGTAAAATACTTCAATGGATATGTTATGCTGTGCTCCATACCAAATAATCGAGTCAAGCCGAGGAACATCTGCAAATCATTTTATTCCCATTGACGTAACTAATAACGATTTAAATTTCTTCGCTGCATTTGACGGCATGTCTGAATTAAGCTGAAAATGTTTAAGCCGAAAACTCCGAAAATTTTTCTGAGTTTAGCTAATTAATCGTTTACACCGAACAGATTATATTGTAATGGCTGCAACTGCAAGTACATAATGATCGAGCGCGCGGTTAGCTCTTATGAATTGTGCAAAGGATATTATCTAATAATTACTCCATTGCAAAAATACAAGAGATATGTTCAAGAAACTTACAAAAAATGTTTTACTGTAGCTCAGTCGGTTGACTGATGCTGTACCGTACGAAGAATTATTTCGTTTCGTTATTGTTTCGTGTATTCAATCAATAACGAAGGTTAACAAATAACAAGTATGCACCTTCATGTCCATCCACAATAGCTGCACTTTGATTAAGGCCGTAATGCCGCAGAATATCGGTAATGGCTATCCCGATCAAACGATTGTCCGGTTGTAATGAAAAGGTTGGCACGGAGAACGTGGGATCACGTTGATGTATGTCCATGCACATGAGATCCAACCGGTCGCATGCTGATTGAAAGAGCGTGGCAGCCGCGGCATCCGTTGGAATAAACTGTATGGTTGCGCCCTGATTCACGGAACGGCAGACTAGAAAAATAATTCGATTCAGGCGATTGTTTAACAATTATGCCGATCGGATACGGCTGCGATAACTTACAAGTTCGGGATGTTTTCAGTAAATTCCCCGATTCGACGTAGTTAACTATTGGAGCGAAATGGAAATCATTCTGCATAAGATTAATCTCCATGATAGCGAAACGCAGCGCTTGTTCCAAAAACTGCTCATTTCGATTGCCCTCCAACGTTATTCCTAAAATTCGTTCAAATAGCTGTTCTAATTTCCATGACCCTTTCCCATTTCTAATTAATCTTCAAAGGTCAACAGCGGTAAACCGAGGGAGTACTCGTACATACACACTAAAACATTCTGTCCATAAACATAACTGCACGATTTGATTATGATTTTGATTTGATTATGATTCGATTATGATAAAATGATAAACTGCACGATCTGATTATGCGCCAACAGAATATAGTCTGCGGAGCCAGTTAGTGCAACATCGCCAACCGCTCTGCATATGAAGAAAAAATATGATACTTTCCCAAACTCGAATTGTTTGTATGGCACCTGTATACCTGTATTTAAACTTACTTAGCTTATTTACTTAAATAAACAGATATTAACACATTTTGTGACTTATGTATTAGGCACCTATTTTAACTGTCCGAGAGAACTGCGGTGCAGGAAATGATTGATCTCTTTGTGGGTACGGCCCAAAAGACATTCTCTGGAGCGGCGTTGTGAATGAAAGTCCACAAAGGAGTGGAAGAAATGCAAATACTGAGCAACAACGGCGCATGTTCCACGATTAGCTGGTCGTATGAGGCTAAATTTCGAAGCAGCTGGTATCAAAAACGTTTCGTTAGGCTTTTGACCGGCTTGGATCTTTTAATACATTCCACTCCCCCATCAAGATTTTCTAAAGAATTTCGTAGAGACGTAAATGAAGCTATCTACAAGCCAATAGTTTGTGGAACAACAATTATCATTATGGAATACAGCTATCAGAATACAGATTTATCAGAAACCATACAGCTTTAACGAATTAATAAGATTGATTTTAAGTATCCGGAACATAATAGTCGAAGTATGCCATGCAGAGCTTGCACTGGCTATGTTGAATATATGCGTCATGTTTATGTGGTTTATGTGTTGTGATTGTACAGGAGGATCTTCCGAGCCTTATCAAGAGTTTGATCTTGCATTGCGCAGAGGAAAAACAGCAGCGTAATTTTAGCAAAATATTTATACTAACTCCGGTCCAGGCGCGCTCTGATGGTGACAGATTTACGAGCTCGATCCACCCTTTCCGCATCCCTGCATCTGTCAATTAGTGCAGTCATATAATTTCAGTATGCCACGGCCCACATCTAACACTGACGGCATGCAGTGTTCAAACTAAACCTACTTAACTTGTCGAGTCCCGAACCCGAACAAAATAATAGCACATGTCATATGCTTTCTCATCACGAAAAAAACTTATGAAAAAGGAAAATGCCTATTACTAGGTAGAGTAAGGGAGGTCGTCTAACCCATTTTTTTTATCACAATATCATACATTCGATGAGCACTACAAGTGACTACCACCGACAATAATATTCAAACCCTTATCAAACAGAAACAGAAATAAATACACATGTCAGAAATGAATACACATGAGACACCTCAAATTTTTCACTATACCAATTTTTGCACAAAAAAAGACATCCTTATATACATCATACGGATACTGACAGTAATCGTACAACAGCCATGAATCTTGCCGTTCGAACGACTTAAAAAAACGATTGATTATTCATCGTGAATCCACAAACGCGACACGGTGTTGCATTTGAAGCGTTCACTCACAATGTCTAAATGATTTTTGGAATGGATATGATCTATGATATTGTAACGAAAACGCAAGGGAACGCGACATGCCGGACACTCCATTCGAACTTCGTCCCCGAGTCTGAAGGCACCGCGATCCACCTCACTTCTACAGGACCGAGTTTATTTTAAAAATTAATATACCTAATCTATTCACTTAAACAAATCGCTAAAATATCTGTTAAAGGGTAATGTTGTTGAAGCGTTAAGCTACTGAACACTGCAAGTATGAACGATGCATACAAAAACAGACAACGATACTTCTGATACATAAATACCGTACTAACCGGACGGCGTCCATATGAAGTTCCCACAAGTCATCTTCTAGTTTATCGAGGACTGCCAATTCTTTCAGCTTGGGCAAAGGTACAGCTTGAATCGGATGCAGAACTCTGTTCAGAAAAGCCTCGGAAGTCGCATCAACAGTGCCGGACACTGGATCCCATAACGGTGTTTTAGCACTCCAAAGGTAATTCTGAACTTCCGCATACTTTTCAACCAAAACTTCCTTACGAGGGCGGCGCAGTAGCCTATATGTCATGCATTCATATAAGTTTTCAAACGCATGCAAAAATTAACGCGTAACTCATAAAAACGTATGAAACCAACCTGAGTACTGTGTTACGACAAACATTCTGTAATTTCTCAACCCCCCGCTCATTAATTTCCAAAGCACGGCTGGACAGGGTGATCGATCTCAACATTTGATTAACCATACTGCGTACCATATCAATCTACGATATCAGACATGTAGCAGCGGATTAAGGTGTAACGGGCAAACGCTTACCGAGTCGATATCCGAAGGTGTTAGCAGCGTATCAAAATATATCCGTATATCGTGATCGCCGTACACTGGAACTTCCTTTCCGGACGAGGTTTTACCAAAACCCAAACCGGTAATGGCACCTGTGTATCCCCTTGGATCATCGCTTCTAAAGTATACTGACAAGTAATCAACTGAGACGAGATTTTGAGTAAAATTCAGCTTACTGCAACTGAATGCAAGGAGCAAATAACGCGAGAATTAAACTGACAAGTCCCGGTTGCCGCGGCAGAACTGTCGTATTTCGTAAAACGATGCGATCAGCTTTCTCCGCTTTCTCGATGCACGTGGCCACCAACCATCGAGGAACAATGCCGCTGTGCACGTAGTCACCGTCCATAATGTGCGCGTTCACACTGTCCGACGAGCAGTGGACGACGCTACGGGAGTATCGCAAAAATTAAAAAGGACAACAACCGCAAAACGCTCTAGCCGAAACTGCAACAGCGAGAGCCTACCTTCCCTGAAGCTGAGAAAGGATCGGCTGAAATTTCGCTGTCACGGGATTGAACGGTCCATTTACGGCCAATTTCTGAAAAACTACCCGTGTTACTGTTCGACTGTAAGTCAGCAACACGGCCCCAGGACCAAAGCATACTAACTGTGAACCAGTACCTGATTCGTAGTTTCAAAATTAATGGCAGGGTTAACTTGGAAAATCCCTGTAGGACCATTCATCATTTCAGCCGACCTCTTATCATGCATAGTTTGCGAAAGCAAATTTTCTTGTCCTTGGTACGCAAAACCCAATGCCATCAGGTGCTCATTTAGGTTGACATCCGCATTTCCAGTAACGGGATGGTTCACATGCAAGATTCCATGGATGACCGAGCTCAGCAGCGAATACACCTAAACGGAGGCGCATCACATCGACGGGAATGCATACACGCTCCGGCTCGCAACGATACGTGCTTTACTCACTAACTACTTAGTGAGTAAAAAAATTAGTTTCATGTGAAATATCTTATTTATGCTTTACCTCCATTTTGCAAATTACTTCGTCGTTAAAATACAGCAAGTTTTGCAAGTAAGCCAGCACTTCAGCTGTCAAGGTTTTTCGCACTTGCAGCTGCGCAAAGGTAAATTCGAGAGCGAATGCCGGGACTAACGCGGCTTCTGTTGGAATCTGCCTGATAAAATTTTCCTTCGCCTTAAAGTATCTCCCAATGTCCACGGCAAAAACCTAAAAGTATTTCTGTTAAATTTCGCACTTCGGGATCTGAATTCGTACACCATACCTGAAAAACGTCATTCGTAAGTCTCCGAACGATTTGCACGCGGCGAACGACTGACGCTTCATCAATAGCCAAAGCGAAATCACCCGGCATAATACCAACCAAAACAGGAGGCTACAAGGTCAAAAAACAAAAATTACGTCTGATATTTAGGATGTTACCAAACTTTCTCCCGCACCGGATTTGTTTTGAACTTCTGCAACTCGGCCATAACAAATTCGAAATCTTTGTTCCTACTGTGTTCTCGAACGAAAATTCGAACAGGTGACAAGACCTAAAAAAGAACAGTCATATAATACAAGCAGAAAGGTTAGCAAGCCACATGAAATCTTACATGGCAGACAATGATACGAATTTCACTCTGACAAAAAGGTGGTAAGTAAGGGGCTGGTATAACCGGTGTTCGTTGTTCAGGAGTGGCCGCGAATCTAACAACCATACAGTTTTGTTCTGGTGCATAGTTTGTACTCGTACCATGATACTTATTAAAGGTTCTGTAGGGCAACCATACAGTAACTCATGTTACTGTACCATGATACTTATTAAAGGTTCTGTAGGGCAACCATACAGTAACTTATGTTACTGTCGCTCCATGTTAAGCTCAATCGTGCTCCACAGTCTACTTACAAAAAGGAAGACAACACTCCCGCCCTGTTCGATCTCCAGTTCTCTTCCGCTTGTTTCATGAAATCGCGGTACCAAGGCGGGGCTTCAACGACGGTCAGCATGTCGTTCTTCCTTTCACGCCTGGCGCATCAGTACACAACAAAATGATTGCGATCATACATTTTTTTGGGAGAAAAGTCACACTATTTTCTCTCATGACATATACCGTGTACGTACCTTAAAGACTGAATCAAAAGTTGCACTCCGGAACACACCCCATACTGGCCAGACGTCAAGCTGTGCCGGCTGAAATTCACGTACGCCCTGCACGATTGTTTGCACACAAATAATGCTATAATGTTTGCACACACAATGTTCCTTTTAGCCAAAACAATCAAGTGAAACTTACTTATCATCCTTGTAAATAATCTGCGGGGGTATTTCGCTACGAAGCTGTAAAGGATCCAAAATCTGTTGCAGCTGCTGCTCGTACAAAGGTCCTTCAAACTCCGGCAAATACTTGAACTACGGACATATACGGATCGGAATGCAATATGGCCCATAAACCAGTACCAGTAAAAGCCAACTTACATAAACAGATAAGCTAGGATCTCCGTAAGGCAGCTCATTGGATGCTACCTGAGAATCAATCGGATTTTGGCGAAAATAAAGCGGGTAAAAACTTCCGGCAATCAGCACCTGAAGTAATCATTAAGAAAATTCACCATTAATTAGTAAAAAACGCGTGAAAACTGCGCACACAATATGCACAGGCAGAACATATGGCATACCCGAAGCAGATCATCCCGTACTACAAGAGATAACGGTGTCATCTTTTGGAACAAACTGTGGTTATAAAGGCCAATTTCTTCAAGCCGAAAGCACAAATCCGTGCGAGTGTTGTCCATCTGGTATCCCAAACAATTCATGTAAATTAATTTTCCAGCTGTCTCGAACCCAAAATCCAGCAGTTAACCCAAACATGTTTGTTGAGGAAATTCTGACATACTTCTCGCATCCGCTGCATGCTGAGCAAGTTATCGTCGCACCACTTTTCTTCCTGTGCCAAGGTGCTCCGAAGTTTCTGCATCGCCCGGTATTTTTCGTAGGCCATTAGAACAGCCAGACAATCACTTTCACCAGCTCCATAAATTGTTTGCTTTTCTTTCCAATTCTGCAGAGCGTCTGCACGGGATATTGATGCAAGAAAGACATTGCGGATGCTTAACCCAGCAGCTACAAAAGCTAATTGTGAGACCGTTTAAACACGACGAAACTCGGGCAATCTGAATTCCGCTCACCCAATGTGATTCCGTCATCCAGCATACCGAACATATGTGAAAGTACCACCAAACGGCCGACACTGATGCTAACAGGCAACCGCTCCAAAATACGCCCAAGTTTGGTGATTTCACCATTATCTCGACTGACCCTTCCATCCATGTACAGACTTAGTGCTCCAACCTTGCAAAAGCAACAATTATCGAGAACTGGAAAACCTTTCACTGCATTCTTACTTCTTTAAGTTGCAAAATGCCGATGTCAATTTCCCGGCGGGCGGGAGGATCCAAGAGTAAAGCGAAGAGATGATGGGGTTTAAAGGCTTTCGGCAAATTCAACACTTTCACGTGTAAGAGCGAATGATGGATCGGTGCTAACTACACAAGCAGAAAATTTTATGTCATAGTCACTTGCATTTCAACTGAAATTCATTTTCTTAATTAAAATGCACCTTCATTTCCGGTTCTTCGTGAGCACTGAATTTATCGTGAAATTGTCGTGGAAGCAGACAAAAGTACGCACCACGCTGGACGCGACCACATCGTCCTACAATAAAATTACAATAATCTGCAATACAAAAGTTTGGCAGCAAGTCCAAAGACCAGCGGCGTGACAAACGTCATAAACCTTTTCGCTGGGTCATATTGGCCTTCGATGCCCACTGTACAGCCAGCCGAGGAATATCCAATTCCCGATCCACAATAAGCCGCTTTGTCAGACCCAAATCAACAACTGAAAAGCGGAAACCATTAGCAAAACTCTTTTCTTCCCACAATGATAATTTACCAAAAACGACGTAGGGGATGGTAATTGAGCTCTCGGCAATATTGGTCGATAAGATGATGCGACGGATGTGCGGTAACGGGGTTCTCATGATATTTTGTTGCAGTTCACTGCTTAGAATCGAATGTAATCCCATAATTTCCCAATCATACCTACACACATTTAACGATAAACCAGAGGTACCTTGAATTCTAAAGCAGAGACGCTATCTGACAGAAACTTTATAGCGAGAACATTATGTGTAATTTTACAGCATACCCATTTTTTTCCGATTCTTTGACAAGGATTTTAGCAAAATCTTCGATATCACTCATGCCTGAAAAGCGTATACATTTTTAAATCAATAACGTAAAAAGTATACATTTTTACGCTGTTTCGGATAACTGATTAAAGTCCAAACATTAACTGCGTAAAGGTCACTGCTTCTTAAACAAGCCAATAATAATGTAACGATTTCGTATAGGTAACTGACCCGTTTCCGTGCATATATTGTCACCTTACCGGGCAAGAACACTAATACAGCACCAACAGCGGATGATGACTGGCACTTCCTATACGTCAAATAAAAAAATTCAATGAAGTAAATTGCACAATGAAGTAAATTGTGGAAAAACGGTAATTGCATTCTGGGTACCCTGAACCAGCCTGAGCTGGAAGTTCGGCGATCAGCTCAACAAGGTACTTCGCAACTGGATTATCAATCTTTGGATTCCCAAGGTCAAATTTAGGCCACTGTCAAATTTCGCATATACCGGTAAAATTAAAAAGCAACACAAATCAATATAACCATCTGTAAACAAATAAGGAATAGCAACCGCACCGGCTTCTCTTGCGTATTTGGCCACAATTCATCCAGGAAATATTCGTCAATTCCGACGTTGTTCAGCTGTTCAATTTCTATCTTATTCGGATTCAAACTGGCATGATTTCGAGTAAAGTAACTGGCGATTTTCTCAAAATCCATCGTCGCGGACATAATGATCAGCTGCCAAAACAGAACAACAAGTACAATACGGTGTTAAAAAAATCCAGAAGTTCTAAACCTCAGTACGTGATAAAAGATAACCACATTTCTCCAACTTCCCTTAGCAAAACCTCTAAAGCTTTATCGTTTTGAGCAGTAATGCGGAGAAGAATACGTCACAGAAAGAAAACGCTGCTGGCACAAAAACAGTGCCGAATATTCCTAAGTAGCACTCCTACTCGTAGTAATTTTGGAAATACAGTGCAATGTTAAGGGAAATACACTTTAGAAATACAGTGCCATCGAGATAAAAAATAATTTCCATTATAAAGAGGTATACGGCCAAAAGTCCAGTTTCGAAGTGTTGTCAAAAAACCACGTAATCGGGCATTCTGTTACCTTCACATGACGAGAATTTTCTAACATCATTTTTTTAACCAGCATCAATGACAAGTCCGTATCTTGGTCTCGCTCATGGACCTGCAAAAGAGTAATTTTTTCATTTTAACATACCACTTTCATTTATAATCAGACCTCATCCAAGATTATGTGAGTGAATCTTCCCAGATTTAGATCACTTCCGATGGTTTTCAAGAGAATCGCGGTCGTGCAAAAGGTCAACCTTGTCAGCGGAGATATTCTTTTGCTCATGCCAACCTGTCCAAAAAAATTATTGACAAAATAACTCAAAAGACCGCAGCACGAACGGCGTCCTACATGAAAACCAACAAGGTGTCCCAATTTCCACTTTCTCCCAGTTGGTCCATTGCGCAATGACGCTACGCGGACAGCATTCGTAACAGCGGCCAAGCGGCGCGGCTGAGTGACAACAATATTGCACGGCTCGTTCGCCTCAGCACAACTGTCGAGAATATACAACGGGATCTGGGTGGTCTTTCCAGAACCAGTGCATCCTACCACAATAGTGACCCGGTTGCTTCTAACGCTATCCAGGACCTGCATCGTTTCAGATTAGATTAGTACGTCGATGTCTCAGAAAACAAACTATCCAAGTCGATTTAATTGAAATTATTATTTGTAGTGGTTGGTTCTGGTACCTCGTCTTTATGGTGATAAACCGGAAGATCGGTATCATAATCGAACGGCTGAGAGAGATTGTAAAATCGTTGGTAGTCAATTCGACGACGCAAATGCGGTTCAGTCGGTGTAGGCGGAACTTGTTGCCGTTCTACTTCCACATCCTCATCTTCAAAGGGAATATCACCATACAGCAAATTCAACAAATCGTCCTGCGGACTCTTCTCCTCCTAAAAGGTAACCCCCATTACTCATTATTTGGGACGATTAAGAACTGCCATGTACACCTTTCGAAGCACTTTGTTACAAGCACCTGAAAGCTAACATTATAAGCACCGCATTCGTACCACAGTATCGGACGCCACATCATCCTCTCCGCCAAACAGTTTACATCTTTCCAAATAGCGTTGGTTTTCGAAGTCCATTTCATCTCTGCAAAATGTACACGCGAATGCGTTAATAAGGTTGTCAAAGTTTTCACACGTTCTAATGCTTTATCGTACTAATAATTACCGTGCTTTACCCTAATCTAATCTAAATAAAAAAATACAACATCCATGTACGTTTTAGCTGACTTTTAAAAAACATTGGTGTTCACTTCTGCCATCCACTGACATTCACAACAATTTTTTTCGACTGGACAACTCATCAGAGTCGTTTAGTAAAAAAGTTTAGTAAAAAATATCTTACGCTTCGAATTTGTATGGATCATCGTTGGCTTCTTCTATGCGCATTCCTTCCAGACGGAGTTTTTCCAGATAGAAAGAATTCCAGTCTTCCGTGTCATTTTTACGCCGACGCCAGTACTCCTTCCCATTGTGATGCACGAGTTCATAGTGGTGCTGTGTCTTGGAAGGGATGGTCAAATCGGCACTGGAGGGCTGATTCCCCTCGTCAATGTCAATCGTGTTATCGTCTTCGATTTTTATCTGTGCATTCTTTCGTAAATCGTCTTGCTCCTTCATCCACTTCTGAAATTCGTCAGCTGAGGGAACTGCAGGTCTTCCACGTGGAGCTGGCAGAGTGGGCTTCCAGTGAGCCCTCAAAGCTGCGGCACCGGTGACCGCCATCACATCAGAATCTATGACTTTTTTGTACAATACGTAAACATATCCACAGTCATGACAAATTTGTCAATATTGTCACAAACTGCGAAACCGAGCGGTAAATCCAGTGTCCCTTCAAATCCATAAAATTATAAATACGGAAAAATACTTAAACCAACATTCGAAGAGTCACGAAGAGTGTTTTGAAATTTGATTTAACTAGGGTTTTTTTGTCAGCCGGCTGGCAAACGAGACGTTGGAAAGGAACCGTAACATGGGGGCGGGTGACCACGCCGGAAGCAAACACCTTTTAGAATCAGATGTTTTTATTGCCTTATTTCGTTAGCGCTAAAGTGCCAGTATTAATCGTAAGTATTTTATCAACTTTACAGTTTACAGTCTTTACTAGCAGTTTTATGAGTTTTGAACTTCTACACGAATTTAATAATTTTACTGATTTCTAACATAATTTGTATTGCTTTTGGAAATATTTAACAGTTGGAGACTGGAGAGCCATGTGAGAGTTAACTGCTGCGCGAAAGTTTTCAGTGGGTTTTGCTGAAACCTGATTCTGATGGAGTGATGGTTTACCGTGGACTGTGATCTGTTCTTTAGAATTCACCGCCGCTGCTTTAGATCTGTCGTCGAGCCACGGAGCAATGTTATCTGCAGGTGCAAAATGTTTTTGCCGTCCATTTCGCAATCGTTTTCGCTATTCCCTGTCATCCTTGGCGGGGAGTACCAAAGCGCTTTCAGCTACGGAGGACACAAAGCCCTCGAATGTCCCGTTAGGTCCTCACAGCGAGCCCAGCGAAATCGCTGCACAGAATGAATATTTGCGCGGCGTGCTTATCAGCCTTGGGTTGACGGCTCACCTTGGTCCGAATTACAAACCTGATCCTCTGCTAAGGCAGCAGCTGACGGTTGACAACCAGAAGGAGGTGCTGGAAGCCACGATGACACCGCTTGTGAGAATGCCGTACGAAGATCAGTTACGATTTAAATACCTTCGTAACAGGAATTTGGTGCGAAATATATCTAAAACTCTCGCGAAGCGAATCCCTGACGTTTATTTGGACCCAGATGGGCTTATATGTCCTGTGGATCCAATTATTCCCTCGGTAATAATGTGTGGTGAAGCCGAAAAGTATTACAAATTTTCTTCGCAATCGCATTGGAATCACATAAAAGTGGTCAAGCTAAGCTACTACCGTAGTTACGGCTGCAGTACCGGGTGGCGGGTAGCAGATAATTTATAATAATTATTACATGATTTTTTGGCATGCTGTGCAATTGATGCAGTTATCAGTTGTGGTTTGCTTGATAGCCAGTTACGGAAAACTTCCGGAATAAGGATGAGCTGAGCATTGGACGAAGCGTAGATGGTCAGCCTAAGCAGTTAGGCTATTACGTTGGGCGATCGAATGGTAAGGACTAAAGACACAACATTTTAAGCACTACATAGCAAAAAAATAAAAAATATAAGAGCACCTTTATGTTGAGGTTACTACATTAATCCTTGATATTTCAAGATTTTTAAAAACATATGTAAGGAACTTGGATTTTGACCGTTGTGCGAAACATGTTATTGTGACAGTGTTATTTGTTGTCAAGTAAATGGCTGGTGGTCACTGGTCAGTCGCTAGTTAATTGCGCCATAAGTCATAAAAACCACTCTCACCATAAGTGCACTCATATGCTTTTTTCTGTTTAGAGAACAACGCAGTTTCAATTTTTCCGGACACCTTGATAAATATGAAAGATAGTCACAGACTGGTTGCAGAGGTATGGTCATTACACACTTTACCAGTTGAAGTGTAGATTTTACAAACTCATTTCGCACTTCCGAGATAGAAATTTCAAGAATATATGCGGATATCACAGTATGATGGCATTGAGATCACCAGCGCAGGTGCTTTTGGTCATTGGAAAAGTGTAATTATCCGATCGAACATTGCTGGAGAGCTCATGGCCATTGCAATTATGCATCCCCAGTCGCTTTCCCAAGACGAACTTAATGCCGAAAAACTACGGTTGAAGGAGTTTTTTGTTAATGGTCCTGGAAGTGTATGCCGGCTCAAGAGTCTTTATTTTCAAGCTTGGTACGTATGTCATGCTCCTGTGTACAGCTCTTACAGGCTTTCCGTTCTAACTATTTCCCTTGGTACTCTTCCAGCCCGCATCATATTTGTTCGCCCCTTCAGGCCCGATACGAGCTTCTGTTTGGCAAAGATAATTTGATGGAACAATGTGGAAATTACAAGTTCAGAGTATCTCCAAATTCTTTCTTCCAGCTGAACACCCAAGCAGCGGAGGTATTGTACAAAAAGATTGGCGAATTTCTCAAGCCAAACCGAGAATCAATTCTGCTGGATGTTTGTTGTGGAACAGGTTAGTATGTACTGTTGTCAGCTTATTTTGAACTTTTGAATTCGATTGTTATGCGCTATTTGGTGGTTATGGCTGTTTGGTAATTATGTTTTTTTTCGCAATGTAAATCATTTTTTGCTTTTTCCTTCCAGGAACAATTGGACTGTTTTTGGCTTCGAAGTTCGACAAAGTTATTGGGGTTGAGAGGGAACTTCTTGCTGTAGGTGATGCGAACTTCAACGCTGACTTGAATGGTAAGATATTTCGATTTTTTAAGTTAGGAATATTTTTGAGTGTAGTACATTTTAAATCTAATACGTACTAGAATAGATCTGCGGCTGTACCAGATCGTAAGTGTTTCATTTTGGTTCAGAAACTGATTTTTTCGTGTTCTTAATAGGAATCATTAATGCAACATTTTACTGTGGAAATGCCACTAAGTTAATACCTCGCATATTGAAGGACAAATCGAATACGTACAGCTCAGTTTCCGCTGTCGTAAATCCTGGCAGAGCCGGTTTGCGTACGTTTTGTTACGTCAGTTTGCGGTTGTATGGAAATAACTTGATTGCTTTTCAGCGGTGGAAGTCATTAATGCACTCAGAAATTCTCCAGAGGTCGATCGAGTTGTATACGTATCCTGCAAACCGATAGCGAATGCTATGAGAAACATGATTGAGTAAGAATTTGTTATTAAATTGATTTTTCCTAGGTACGTTGGCGTATTATCACATTTACTACAACTGTTCTCTTGTATCTTTCTAGTCTCTGTTTACCGCCATCGAAGAATCTGATTGGCGAACCTTTCTATCCAGTCCGAGCTGTGCCGGTAGATTTGTTCCCGCATACCGATCACTGTGAGCTGGTTATCCTTTATGAGCGGAATCGGTTATATTTTATCTAACAATTCTTTTGATCTGCCAGCTGCTGCAGTTATTGTTATTCTATTGGTTTTCAAAGTTGTGATACGTGTAGTGCGGATAATCTGAAGTTTGTATCACGCTAAAATGAAAATTTAGCTGCCGAGCTTGACGTTGTTGTCCTGTTTCGATAAATTTGTTGGTACAGACGTGCTCGGGTGTGTAGCAGATTCCCAGCTGGTACCCTTGAAATAATAAAAGCTGGTTGACAATGACAACCGTCTCTTATATACACGTATTTTAGAAGGTTCACCAATTTAAGTTTTAAAATCAGCGTGAAATAAAAATTAAGCATAGTAAGATAAGTATGTACTTACTTTTATGTACGGTCCAGTTGAATTTATTGATACGGTAGGATGTGGCGATACATGTGGCGATATTCCCGTCATTAAATTAATGTAGTAGCGCTCAGCCGCCCGCCGGTGGATGCATGTTAAGTACTAACATTAGTTGTTTTTTGCCATGTCATGTTAAGAGAAATCGATGTGCCATATTTTTCACAGCAGTTTTGATTTTACGTTGTAGTGAAGTAAAGTAAACACTAAACAGCCATCATTCTTCAATTTTAACAGGCCTTCTTTTGCATTGGTTTTTATAAAACTAAAACTGAATGGCTTCGGAGGTTCCAATTGCTTTAGTAAGTTTGTGTATTATCAATTATGTACTAGTTCATTTGTTTTCGTGGGAGCTGCAGGCCCAAGTCCCGACTAATAAGACAGTAACATGTTCTTGTAGAAGTACTGTACCCAGTTTGTGCTTACTTGTTAATCTTAGGCTCTCACAATCTTAGGCTCTTAGGCTTGTTAATCACAAGTTATAATTAATAGTTACGAACTTACGCATGCTCCGCTGCTGGTACTCCGAAATATTGTTTGTAAAATTGTCGCTTTTTAAAGTTTTTAAACAGTAAGGACTGTAACGTTCTGAGCATCTGTAAAGCTGCCTTACCGTTATCTTGAAAAAAATGTATTTCAGTACAGTTTTCCACTAAGTGCTTGTGATGTATTTCCGATTTCGCATACTGGGCTTGGCTTTGATATTTGTGATTTGCAGGTCACGGGGGCCAACAAAGGAATCGGATTGCAAATTGTCCGTGATCTTTGTCGACGGTTCCAGGGAGTTGTTTATTTGACTGGTAAGACTTAACCCTTGTTTGGCATGGTCTTTTTTTATACAATCATATATTCATAGGAGTATGCATGCATGCATGTAGGATAGTTACAGTACTGTTGTTAAAACGTCCAAGGGTAAAATTTGAATACTGCGTGTGTTATTTAATGTATTATCGACTACGCTGTCGCTTTTTCTTCTTGTTTAGTATTAGAAATGTGATAGGCGTTTTTACTTGTACATAATTAGAGGTCGCATACTCGTACTTTGTAGTTACAAAACGCAACTCGTGACAACTGGCTGATTATTCTCAACCGTAGCTCGTGATCATACGAGAGGGCAAGAAGCAGTGGAGAAGCTGCAAAATGAAGGACTTCATCCGAAATTTCTGCAAATGGATGTCAACGATGTCAAGACTATTAACCAAGTGAAGAAGCACATTCAGGATGCGCATGGTGGACTGGATATCTTGGTGAACAACGCAGGGATTTTAATGCATGTAAGGTTTATTACATTTTGTGTGTGTTGAAGTGTTAAAACCTTCCAGAATAATTTTGACCGTGGTTTCGGTCACTGATCCTCTTGCAGAATTACCTTTATTTACTATCGTTTTTAGTCGAATTACTGTGCACCTTATACTGTATGTCATTTTTATGTGACGGATATTTAACTTCGAGCTTTGCAGTCTAAAACCAAAGAGGATTTCGGGAAGGAAGCCGAAACAATTATTGCCACTAATTTCACGGGAGTTGTTGATGTATGCGATCAGCTGTTCCCATTACTCCGAGCTCATGCAAGGCAAGTAATAATTTTCAGTTTTGCTAATATTGTGCGCTACCGTGCTTGTCTCGACGCGCTGTGTTGATTTTGGGTTTGTGGCCGACAAGCGAAATTTTGACGTAAAGAAAAAAGTACTTCGTCTTCCTGTCACTTTCATGCATCACTGATTAAAATTTAAAGAAAACAATTTGTACCAACCATTTTTCATAAGGTTTTTGATTTCTCGTAATTAGCAATTTTCAATAAGCACAATTGAAAAATTTCATAACAATATTTTTGGCTGTTTCCTGCGTACTATTACATTAGCTTGTATTTATGAAGTTATTCTGAAGTTGTTTGATTTCTGGATATATTGCGTTAGAGTTGTGAACGTATCCAGCAGTCTGGGGAGTCTGAATTACTTGACTAACATGCAAGTACGAGGCCGCCTGGTTGCTGATGATTTGACTGTTTCGGAACTGAAGGATATCATGGCCGAATACGTCAGGTACTGTACTGTACGTTTTTAAGTTGTGATAGATAGATCAATTTAGTCGCTACGGTGATTTATCATAATTTAAAGATATTATAATTATGGTGTATTACTCGTACATTGATTAAGGCGATTTCCGCATCTCACTTTACACTTTACAGTATTTTTTGTTTGACCATCTCACATTGTACCAATCGTAACTTGTTTGGTTTTTTAAACTTGTACTATCAAATTATCCATAATTGGCTTACAAGTTAGTTTTTTTATATCTTCTTGCTCATTCAGGGCAGCGAAAAAAGGAGATTATAAAGAGCATGGTTATCCCGGATTTCCTGATGCGTATGGTGCTTATCCGATGTCGAAAATTGGACTAACTGCATTGACTCGCGTCCAGCAACGGATGCTGGACCAAGAGAAACCTGGGATGGATATCGCTGTAAATGCGGTAAGCGATTAATTTCTTTGATATTCACTTGTTCAACTATGACCCGTTGCCGAAAATCTAAATGGTGATTGATTGGCTTATGGATCTGCTATTAATTTTACGATTATTTATTGTGATATTTGTAGGTTCATCCTGGCTACGTCGATACAGATATGACGAATCATCAAGGACATCTTACGGTTCAGGAAGGAGCAGATACCCCGGTTAGATTGAGTGATTTTCAGGCCTTTTTAATGTTGTTTTACGAAGATGCATTTATAGGTGTATTGTGCGCTGTTACCCAAAGACAAAAACATTCCCCGGGGCCAGTATTTATCTCACCGAAAGGTTGTTGATTGGGTGAATGGTACCGGCTAGATGCTAGTACTCGATTCAAAAAGAGTTTGAATATTGTGATTCAAAAAATTTTTGCCAAGTTTATTGCATGCATTCTATCGCTTTGGTCAGAGTTTAAGTTAATAAAATATCTAAATTTGCAGCAGAGCTGTTGTATGGTCGGATCTACATAAAAGATACGTCACACGTGGTAGTTACTAGTTAGCACACTGCCGTACGGCGTACGCAGAATGAATAAACATTTCATGTCACTACGCACTACAAAACACACTTACGGCAGGTATAAACATTTATGAATAAAACCAACCTTGAAAAAGAGTTGTGGTCAGGCGTGATATTTTTATGGCTTATATTCGCTGTCGCTATAAAATTACTGTGTGCAGCAGTTGAAGATACATGATCATACGCGGCGGCGCAGTATTTAAAAATAATAACGTCGATGCGGAAGTAACCCTCTGTGTGTAACCTAATCTATTCACTCAAACAATGGTGCTTGTCCAAAAGAGCGGGCGACCTCGGGATGGTGCCATAAAATGATAAACAACCTCAAAATTGTTGATTGATCTGATACTTCTCTGGTTGGCTCAACTTTCTCCTGTTCAGCAGACAGCATTGACGTTACTTCTTCAGTATGACAAACGAAACCGTACCACACGTCGCTGTAATATTTGCCGTAATTGTAGCTTTATCTTTGGCAGTTTGAGCCAAAAGTAAAAAACGTTTTACTCACCAGACTCTGCATCCAACAAGCCATGACAGGGCAAAGCCTTCGAATCCGATACCAATAAACCAACTTGCCTCAAGGTACGGTACATCCGCAGTGATCGGATAACAAGAAACGTTAGCGGTCTTTCGCAGCATCATCAGGCTGTACTCAGTTTTTTTTCCGACTTACCGTAGTGTGCACTTATGGTAGCGGCCAATATTGCTTTGTGCCACGATTAAATGTGTTTACGTTTGTAAGGTACTAAGGGCAGCAGTCTTTCACATTTACCTCTGGTTACGCGCAAAACATTGCCGTCCACATCCGCAGCTGCGTTGCCGGGCGTGTTGCTTGCCATTCTCTCGAAAGTTTTACCACACAGAAGTTTGCCGCTTACCTATGATTTTTTCAGTCGACTGTGTTGTGTCTAATCTAATTTTAAACGTACCGCGATAACTGTTTATGTTACATTTTTTGTTGAAGCCTTGAGAACTGTTAAACGGCAGCTTCACGATCACATCCGGTGGCCCGGTGTTCCAGTTGAACGTTTTTTATTTGAAGCCGGCCACAGCACCCTAGAATGAGTGCTATTAAGTTCTGGACATTAACGGTTTCCTTGAGTGCAGGTAAGCAATGGGAAAATCATGTAATGATGTAAATGATGTAAAGCATGTTTATTTTTGTGCAGTTTAGTGCGGTGTGGGTTACCAGTTGCTTTTATACAATTATTATGCATTCAGTGCTATTCACTATTCTTGGCTTTATTACAGTAAGGTACTCGTGCGCACAGTTCTCGTTTCCCGTAAATTCCTTAGCCGGCATGTACAGTCAGCCGAATCCCGGCAGCTTTCTTCCGCCTGGTCAGCCATCGCCAATTCTATCTCGTCACTCGATGTCTTTTGCGCCAAACGTCCATTTTGGTACCATTCTGCAGTCTAGTCCATCAATGCAGGACGACATGTTGATGCGTCCTGGCATGCAGCCGGGTGCCGGTTTGCATCCGTTGCCGCCCGGGTCAATGCAGATGCCCAGCGGACTATCGCCGGCGGAACTCGCCATGCAGTCACAGGATCAGCAACCCTTTGCGCGTCCCAATCCGGCCAGCATTTTTGCCGCACGTCGGGCCGGCTTATTTGGATTAGCTGGTGGGTCACCGGCATACGATCCCCAAGGCGGCCGACCGGTGGACACGCCGGACACGATGCAGCCGGCATATCCAATGCAGTTTGATAACAGCGGCGTGCCCGGCGTCGGCGGCATGCCTCCTTTTACGCTAACAGGGTCACCGTTCCGCGGTGATGGAATGGGTGTCTCGTACTTCCCGGTTGGTCGATTCCGGCCAGGTGCCGAAGTGTTCATGATCGGAACCAAGCCGGACCAAGAAGAAGGTGGTCTCGATCCCAATGTGGCCGTGAACGGTAACGATACGGTTACCAAAAGCGACACTTCACCGCTAAGCAATGGCACTGCTAAACCTTCAGCAGCATCGAGTAACCAGCCAACTGCAAGTCAAGTTGGTGGAGGAGTTCAAAAACCTGTGGAAAGCGTCCCGACTGCCTCCACCACAGTTTCGCCAAACAAATCGCAAACATCCCAGCCACCTTGTGCACATCCAGTGTACATGAACAGGTATAATCTTATAGTCGACCTCTCAGTACTACAGAACGTTTACAAAGATACGTATACCAACCATGTTAGTCAAATTTACAGTCACTACAAGTAATTATGTACAGCAAATTCTGTGTATGCCTAGCGTTCTCTTCGTTTTACAGGATTTTCATGTCCACCGCGCTGTCCATGGGACTAATTTCATCCAATACCAGCTGCATCATATTAGTGGATCACTAAAATGTCACATATCTAAAAGTAAAAAAAGTATTCGTATTGTCGTTGGATGTTGATCAAGCGCTTTCATACTTCTGTTGAGCTCTGCATACTGTGTGAAATCGTTGTTCATGATTATTTTATTGATTGTTAATCTTTTGCACAATATTAAAATGAAAGTTCACTACTAGTATGCGTATTCGTATCATACTGTAGTCATATACAATATTTCAAGCACGGTATAAAAGAGAGTAGTATAGGATACTTATTGGTATTTCAAGTATAGGTATACGTATTTCAAGTATAGGATACGGAGTTCAAATTACTTAAAAATGTTGGTATTTACAGCAAAAATGTGATTGGGCTTTGTTCGATTTGAAAAAATGTAAGGTGCGTAATACAATTTCTAACTGTCTCGTACGACTAGTACTACTTACACTACATGCGTGCGTACCTGAAATACTTAAACTACTTAAGAAGTGAAATTCTAAAAGTACACTTCGGAGTGACCCATAACTTTTGCTAGTCTCATTTTTGCGCTCTTAAACGCTTCTAACACTTCGAATAATTTTAACTGGAATCATGAATAAAGTACAAGCACTGCATCAGTACTATCCTATATGCTATATCAGCTTTAAGAAACCGCCAAATTACGTAATACAATAGAGTAGACAGTTTTCCATGAGCGCGCCGGTATTAGTCCTCTAACAGAAAGTAAGAAACCGAAATTTAACAGAAATGAAGATTACAGCAACTGGTTAAATGAAGCAAAATCAAAATAAGGAATAAATCCGCATCGAGGACAGTCTGGGCACATATAAATCTCATATTTTCTTCATCGCAAAAAAAATGATTGCACTACTGACAGGATATGGGTCTCCTGTCTACACGCCCGGAAAATCTTTACCTCATCCCACTCCACTCGCCGCATTATGAGGGAACAACTTCGGGCCCATTAAGTTTTCCAAATATCTAGCATCTTCCTCCGGATGGCATGTAGCACACACCTGCTGTCTCGACGCTCCACAATAATAATGTTCGTCACACGTATCGCAGTGAATGTCACGACTTTCTCCTGCAACATAACACATCATAGTTAGCCATGTGTCTGGCGTAGGTGAAGAGAACATTTTAGGCAATAAAATGACATAAGTCGAAAACGACGAGTCTGTTGGTTGCAACAGCCATTGTAGCGTACTTATGCAAATGCCAAAAAAAGGGCATTTGTTGCAGTGATTCATCCATTTACACCAGAGTAGTTGAGGCTCTCCGGTGCACATCTCCCCCACAAAAAATCGCTGAGAACAACCAGCACAGCGTATCGGCGCATCGTCTGATAAACCGGTGTATTCGTCCAGTCCTGAACATATGTCAGAAAAACAAAATCAATTCTAGTACGTAGTTAACCGTTAACGTTGTTTGTTGAAACACTCAAACCCGTGCGCCGGCAGAACACGAAAGGTCGGGTAATTACAGTTTACGTTGCGCTTTCGTTAACATTAACTTTAATGCCAGATGTAGACGGGAAAGTAACAGAAAAGTTGAATACAAAACCTCAACCCTTCTTGAATTTCAAATTACGCAGGAACAATTAATGCATACTGATAGTACCACGATTAATTTCACTTAAACCAGTCGGCAAACATGCAGTTCTACAAAAAAACGGATTTTTTAGAATTTATATCAGAAAGTAGAAACCGAACGCCGCAAAGCATGCTTCAGTACTCGTATTCCATGCTCGGAATAGGTTATAAGTTATAACTGCAGATTCATATTCAGTACTTTTGGCAAAGGCGCCGTTACGTATTATTATTTACTATAAATTTTCCGGCTGTAGTTAAATTTTACAGAAAGCTCAAGTGCTTCCTCTTTCAGTACGATACTGTACATAGTACTACTTACCCCAGTCCTTTTGGTAAAGGATCTTTTTCATTGTAACTTTGATCTTGCGGTCGCAAGCTTCACAAGCTCCGTCCAGAATAACGGCTTTCAAATCTTCGGCACAGTCCAGCTGCATAAAGCCGCGTAAAATCGCGGCTTTCAAGCAACCACTTACTTTATCCAATTTCTTGACGCCCGCATTCTTTAATTTATTCAACACTTCTTCTGGAGTAAGGATCCGGCGACGTTTTTTCGGTTTAGCTCTGGGTTTGGTTTTTTTCTTTGCCACACCTAACCGGATATTACATAATCTGCTAATGTGCTCGCGTATCTTATGCCCGGACAATCCAGCAGATGTCAATTATAAATTATGTCCCGTTACCTTTCTGTCCGGAACCTGATGCGACAGTCTCCTTTTGGTTACCACCTTTTCTACCGACACCCTCTTTCTTGTTGCTTGTCTTTCCTGCTTTCGCTTTCTTACCGGTGGCACCTTTTTCTGGCTCTGCTTTCCCGGCAGATTTCCTGATTTTTGCTGAGGACGTTTTCTTTTGCACGCCCACAGACCCTGGCGTGGACTTTTGGGCAGATTTTTTAGCCATGACATTTGGGCGTTTCACGCGTTTGGCTGGTTGATTCGCTGCTTTCTCTGCAGCAGCTGATTCGGGGATCTTTGTTTTCGTACCCAACCGAAGACTAGCTTTCTGTGATTCTTTTGTTGCTCGGCGGATACCAGAAGGATTTTTGGGAGCGCTCTTAGAGAGGCTTTTTGCGGCAGCTGCTCTCGGAGGATTCTTTCTTGGTTGCAATGACGATGTTGAGGCTCCATGCCCCAGGAGACCTTCCTGGCTGTCCATGTTCAAGCTGCAAAACAGCAAACCGCAAATTTACTCGACCAATTTTTCGTCTTAATAACTGTACTAAGGATATGACTATCTTAATTTTCCCGAGTTAGTCATAAATGTAAATAGTTTCGAGAAAATTAAGAAAATGGTCACTTCGTAAGGGCTAATGAAAACCGACAACGAGATGAAGCGGTGGCGCCGTACCGAAAGCTATACTTACTACGGCGCGGTTACCGTGATTAACGATTGTACGTGACTGCCTGCCAGCACGGCAGGACCGCGTCACGGCACCGACACCGTGGGCCGTTACCCGACACAAAGATCCAAAAATATATTTGTGAAGTACGGTGAGGCGCAGTTCCAGTGAGAGCAGATATACTAACTATATGTTAGTATATCTGCTCTCTTCCAGTGTCATAAATTCATAATCCTTTTGAAGTTGCCTCGATCGGTCTTCCATACTAGTACTGTCGTGTATTTTCTTTGATATTTTTAAATAATTTCGCAATTCAAACAAGATTTCTTGAAAATTTTTTATAAGACTACTGACTAGTCTATAGTCTCCGTTTGTGTATGATCCTTTTCTTTTACAACTCAAAATTGGTTCGAGGGATTGGCGAAATTACACTGTGTACAATAATCATGGTTTCGCCATGCTTAACGATGCGTTGTACGGTAGTTAATCCTTACCACAGTTGCGCTTTCTGAACATTGGCTTCATTAAAATAATTATTATCATTATAAGCATCTCGGTGTGACTGCAATGGAGAATGACTGTCCTAACGTAAAGAGAAAAGCGGGAACGAAGCCGCGGATCCCCGAAGCAGAGATGGACTGTATAGATGAACATCAGCGCGTCCAAAAAAGACTGAAGGTATGAATGAAACCTATGCCTACCCGAGCACGGTTTATTCCGTTTACATATAGTTATTTTTATACCTGTTGTATGCTCTACGCATGTTCATGACAGTTTGTGATAGATATTGTGTAAACGAAGTTTAATATTTAGCAAAAATAAACGATATTGCAGGTTGCTGAGTATTCATGCACTTAATAGTCTAGATAGTGTGTGTCATACGCGTTTTTTTTGAAAAATTTGAAGGCATCTCATTTGGACGAAGAGAAGCTGGTATGGAATGGCAAAACATGGGACCTTCCAGTGCGACTTGCGGGTGGCATTATGCGGGTGGAGATTGAAAATTTTGTCTGTTTTGACAAGAGAGATTTGGATCTGCATCCTTATGTTAATTTCATCTCGGGAACGAATGGAAGTTAGTACTAGTGACAAAAACTGACAACTAACCATAAGGACCGTCATCACAGCGCCGAAATCATTTTTCACTGGCTATTTTTCTAGACGATCCGATTTGTTTTTCAGTTTCGCCATTGCATTTTTTCGAGTTTTTCCATTTACTCGCTCATTTTGCGATGTTACGAATTTTCTTCGTGTGCTTCTGACTGTTTTACTTCGGGAATTTCATCACTTTTTGGGGCTTTATTTCGGGACTTTGTGTTTAGTTCTAAGTGTTTCAGCCATTCGAATCAAAGGATTCGAAGCCACATCTGTTTATTAATAATAATTTGTAGGCTTAACTTTTGTAAGTTCGGGTTGGTTCTTGAAGTAAGAATAGTTTCGTACGTACTTTTGTAATTACAGTACAGGTTATGATTGTTGCAATATTTTCATTCTGGTGATGCTTTTTTTGCGGCTTTTCTTGTGGTTTGTAGTATTGTAATTCGAATATGTTTTCGTGATTTATTTCCCATTGTGCAATCTTCAAGTACTGACAGTGTAGTTTTTCCTTTAGTCTTGAAACGATTGGACGCATTGAGAGTACAGTAATTGTTTTTGACTTTGTTGGTAGGTGGAAAGAGCACGTTAGCGAAAGCGATTGCTATTGCCCTGGGATCACAATTAACGCCTCGAAAATCCCATATGAAAATGGAACATTACATTAAAGCTGATAGCAGGTGTGAAATTGAGCTTGTATGTGCAAGCATTTTTTTAGAGTCTTATGTTTTTCTCCAGCTCGGCGACGATACGGCTGCATATTAATAACCAAGGGACAAATCGTTACCGCCCAAATGAATTTGGAGATTCTTTGCTTTTAACCCGAACCATCTCCAAAAGAGGGCTTGATGGATATCTTCTAAGCAGACTTGATGGTGAGATTAGCATTCTAATTCACGGACGAATTGTTCTGTGATTTCAATGCTGATGGTATGTATCATTCTATGGTTGTTTCAGGGAGTCGGCCAGTAAAAGGGAGAGCTAAATTCTTGGAAGCGGTAAAATGTTTAGGCATTCAGGTACAGAAATCTGCTGCTTTGACATTTTTCAGTAATCCGGCCATTCTGTCGTTTGTTTGCAGATTGATAATCCTGTCTTTTTTATGGATCAAGAGGACAGCAAAACATTTCTTACTAAATATAAACCGGATAAACTTTATGAGGTTGGGTTTTTCTCCCGATTCTTGTTCCTTCATTCAAATTACCGAAGGAATGCTCATATTTTCTGAAATTGAATTACAGTTCTATTATAACGGTTCTGGTTTGGCATATGCGGAACAGCTGACTATTGAAGCGGAAATAAACGAGAGGAAAAAAAGAAAGGAAATCGCAATGAAGAAACAAGTAGGTTTTTCGCAATATGCTTTCTTAAAAAATTTCGCTTACAGTTCATGTTTTGGCGTTGGAGTTTGATGTTATTGTTATTGCTTGTTCAGATAGTTCGTGGATTTTTTAAATTTACTTATAACAGTTTTAATTTTGTACAGGAACTGCGGGAGAGCGAAAAATCGTTGACGGAATGGCGAAAAAAATATGAATTGACCAGAGTTAATGGTGAAGATAACGATTTTGAGGCCACGAAGAGGAAGCTCGATATTTTGAAAGCCCGGCAGTTAATGCAAGAAATTCAGAAACTGGAGAAGGAAGTGGAAATTATCTATGTAGATCTAAAGAAATCTCAAGAAGCACTTCGGATCCAAGAGAGTGTAAAAGATAATTTTCTACATTGCATCATGTGGAACAATGTAAATGGTTTACTCAGTTATTTCCCTGTAGCTATCGACTCCCGTGTCGAGTGCGAAAAAAACAGCTTCTCGCAATGCTAAATCGAACCACAAATTGGAGAAAATGCGGCATGATTTGGAGCTTGTACGGACGAAGTGGAAAAATGAAATCCATAGAAAAACGGTCAGTATATATATGGTGTGGATGCTGTTCCCGGAGAAATTTTTCCTTGGGCAGTCTTTTTATGATGCCACCTATTTTGTAATTTGTTTAACTGCCTAGTGTGACACTTCAGTCTGTGTAGGAGGAGATTCAGCAGTTGCAAGCGCAGATTGTTGACAAAAGCGCCCTGTTGCAAAAGCGCAACCGAAGCCTTCGAAGTAACTCTCGCCGGTAGGATTTGGATTTTTATAGCGGCGTCAAAGTGGTTGGATGTTCTGACATTGACTTGTAGCGAAATAAAGCGCATGAAATAATTGTTAACTTTAATGTTGTCGATTGCATTCGTTAGACGAACGGTTGGCAGCAGTGCTCAAGCAAATGAACTGCAACAGGAACTAGACGAAGCACTGCAAAGACAAAGCGAACTTACAGCAACCATTGAGAAAGAAAAGGCGCTTGAGGATGATATCATTAACTGCAGGTGCGATGTGTTCTATTACGCTACCGTACAATAATAGTTTTTGATGTACGACAATATGTGTGGGGTTTGCGGATTATCCTCATTGTTCAACTGCTCTTAGGCGCATTGTGGAGTCACTGGAAAACGAAAGTCGCCTCCTAGAAAGTGGAGAAACCGACACTGGAAAACTCTGCTTGGATGATTACTGCGCCCGTGTTGTAGTTTCAGAAGAAAGCCCTCAAGTAAAGCATATTACGGGCCCCATGGGTAAGAACCTTTGGCAGATGCCATACACTTTTTTGAGAATTTATTTATCTGAAATAATTGACATTTGATTAGTCAATTGTTAAGTACGAACGTAACCATTGTTTTGATATAATTTAGGTAAATTTGTCAGCCTTCGGAATGCACAATGCCGACAAGCAGTTGATCAGACTGTGGGGAATTTCCTTCACGGATATATCTTGGATCTGTCGGTGAAAATTGGGGATTACAGTGGACAGTTAATCACCGAAATCGGCAAGGCTTGCAGGAGTTCAAAAATTCCTGTTGCTCCATTAATTCTAGCCGGGAAACAGGTAATGTCACGTATACATGTAGAAGTTAATATATTAAAGGGGGCATCTCCGTTCACATTTCACGCCCTTTCACTTGGTTCACAACCTCCTGCTGCTTTCACTTTATCACTACTCTTACCTTTTGCGCCTACTAACTTTGTTTTCCATTCACATTCACTCCGTTCACTAGTGACCTTTTCGTTTTTTCGCTTTTGACGTTCCATGAGCAGAACTGAGAGAAAACTTTGCGATTTATTCCCGCACCATAATTTTGCTCCAAAATTAGTACTATTGTATGCATACCTAAATTCCTGAATTACATTCATGAACTGACTGACTGTGCTGGAAAACGTTGTGGGCGGAATGAAAGGCAGTGCTAACTGCTAACAGTTACAAAGAGTGAACGGAGTGAAAGGTCGTGAACCGAATAAAATGTTGTGAACGGTTTGGTCACCTAATATTTACCGCTTATAAGAGGAGCATAATCACTGATATGTATTTTGAAGTGACACAATTTTACAGAAAACTTCTGTATTTTAGCGATCAAACCGTGCTTCGGAAACTTCCATACCGGTAAATATTTCTCTCTGTTTTGACACTACTTCTGGCTAAGCTTGGCAGTGCTTCGCTTTTACTGTTTGTGCCCTGCAAAATCTGAGCGAAACCTTTTCTAGGTTGGATCAAGCAAGGGATTTCTTGTTAAGGAGGCTTTGGATATTAAAAGTGAACGTGTGGCTGAAGCTTTGGACAACATTCTCAGCAGATCCGTAGGCATGGATCGATGTGAAGAGGCCCTGAAACTGTTGTTGGATTTGAAGATCGAAGATAACGTGGAAAGGGTGCGCTGTTTGGGTAAACCCGTAAAATTATGAATAATTTTTATTTTTAAATTTTCCAGGTTGTGGATTCGAAAGGAAACTCGTATGAGAGCTGTGAAGATTATGTGATAATTAGTGCACCTGAGGATGCTGTGTTTCAAACACCAAGCCATTTTGAACATGATTCGAGCAGGTAAGCTATAACTGCGGGGATTGCCAGTCGTTGTTAGCAAAACATTTTGTACAGAAACGTGGTACTTACAAGTTACGAGTCCAGATTTTTAAGAGGTTTACAGTGACAAGGCATTGCTTATAACATTGAGACAAAAATTAAAGCTGTTAAGAAAAGCTGGATTTTGTTTGTAAATGCATTATTTGATCGTTGGTACTAAACAGGGAATGATTTAGGGATATGGGAGAACAAATAGAGGAGGCTAGGGCTTCGTTAGCCAGAGCTCAGCGTGCTTTTAATCGAGCCCGAACTAAACACAAGAATATTACAATCGAAGATCTGGAACAACAAAAGGACGAAACTGCTCGAACCATACAGAATCTAACTCGCTTGCTGAATACGTCACGGTAACTGCAATTTGCTAATTACTGCTTTAGTATCAATTAGTACTAGTACTTACGGCTCTCGTCATGTTATTATTCGCCATAAAGTATGTTCTGTTAATTGTTGATAGTTTTTACCAGTTTCGTCCTGAGATTTTTCTTTCACTTTTTTGGTGGGAATATGTCGCAGAGTAATACAAAAATCATTTTAATCGGTGTTATGGGTTGCAGAACTGGGGATTCTGTTGCGGACTCTTCGATGTGCTCGGAAGATGACAGTGAATTGGTCCAGGCTTCGTTAGCGGAAGACACTGAAAAATTAGAATCAATCAAAGCCGAAAAGAGACTTCTGGAAATTAAGAAAAAGATGGAGATTGCGGAATTAGCGCAGAAAGTAAAGTCTGCCGAAGCGGAACAGTCACTGATAATGGTTGGTTGCTTTTGATGAAAAACATAAGATTTAAAGTGCTGATTTGCAAGGACATTCGTTTTTCTATTCAAAGGTGGAGGAAGATTTTATCGAGCACGAAGTGACTCCAGTGAAAAGTGCTCGAAAGGGCAGAAAACGAAAGCAAGTTATTGAATTGGAGCAGCGTGTGCAGATGCTTTCGAAACAACGGAAAGACAAATTGTCTCAGATACAAGAGAAAAAGATGGAGTATGAGGTATTGCGACAAACTGCGTTGATCGACGTATTTGTGTCCGCCTGCTGATTATTTTTCGGTTCATTTATTCGTGCTTCTTTTTTTTCGTTAGGCACAGAAACGTGCATTTGTGGTTCTGAACGTTGACATCGAAAGTGTAATTCCCACCGAATCATACGATGTTCTAAAGCAACGTTTAGACAGGATCAAAGCCAAAGAAATTGCACAGTCGGTTGTGGGGAATAGCAGTCTGGAGACTTGCCAGGAGAAGGTTGAAGCCTACGAAATTACTTGCCAAACAGCCAGAGAACAGTTAGCACTAGCCGAATCGGTTGTCACAGTATGTATAACCTGGAAAGGTCAAAATGCCACTGGATGGTCCTTTGCATTCTCCGTTACAGGAAGCGGAGAATAAAACTGAACAACAGAAAAAAAACGAGGAAATTGTCCGCAGCCGTTTCCAGGACCGAGCAGAGCTGACATGCGTAGCTATTTTGAATGACGGTGGATTTGACGGAAATTTGCAGTTTGACCCTGCACGAAAGGAACTGCATTATCTAGTGAAACCGAAAACTGCTAACAGGTTCGGTTCGCTGGAAACGCTGTCTGGAGGCGAAAAAGCTTTCGCCATGGTGGCGTTTCTGGTTTCCTTTTGGGAGTCGAATCATCCATTTCGAATTCTTGATGAATTCGACTGCTATATGGTTAGTGACAGTGTGGCTACTATGTACGTTCAGGTCTTGCGATTAGGTAAACATTTGTGTGAAAATGACTGAATAAATTAGATACGGTAATTTCTATGTTTAGGATATGCAGAATAGGGAATCTGCATTAAATCTCCTGCTGAAACGAGCGTTCAGGGATAGAATCCAGAGCGTCTTTCTTAGCCCGCTTGAAATCGATTATGAGAAGTAAGTTTTGCTTTTTGGCTTTACTACTTACAAGAAACAGGGCTGTTATTTTGTGCATTTGGCGCTTTTACTGTTTCCGTAGGATTTTAAAGTTGGCTGGACCCGAGAATCGAAATAATATAAAAAGAATAAACTTGTCCACGGAATAAGACAATCGTCCCGTACAGAGTTTAGTGCTCTATTTTGATAACTCTTTGCTCGATTTTTGTTTTGTTATTTATCTCACTCTTTTTCCAGAAACCTGGTGTTATTTATATGCCGAAATACCGATGTGTCTAAAGATTAGAGGCCTTGCTGTTTTTGTTACATTTTGGAAGTTGTTAATGCGGAATATCATCAGTTTTGCTGTTGTTTTGTTTGTTTTTGTCCAAAAGACCGTGCTCGTACTCAGCCTCGTAGTAGCCGTATGTCACGGTACCATCTGAAATGGCGAGTGCTCCGACTCATAAAAGGACGCTGGAGTTATGGGTAAATAATTTTTGCTTTCTGTTCGTTTGCAGTAGTGCTTTGTTATCATAAAACACATCCGGGCATGTTTCTCAAAAAATAAGTGATGCAATAAGTTTGAAAAGAGTCAGAGAATCGATGAGCATTGATCAGTGACATTTTTGCCGTCACGAACATATTCGGTAAGAGGGCCACCCGCCATGAATGTCACTCCTCGTGGGAGTTGCCACGTCGAGCCGTTAAATAAAAGGCATATCCTCCCCCCCGTCAGCACAGCTTGGGCACGAACGACTCGTAGAGCCTGCGAAAATTATTTCGACATTGCATCAGGCTAGATTTGCAGTAATCTAATCACGGATTTACGAATGCGAGTTCGAGCACTGCTTCACTTACGTATTTAAATTTGTCTGAGATTCCATCCGGTGCACAACTTTGTTTTCCGATTTCTAACATTTCATTGATTCAGTTTTCATGAATTACATTTTCCAAGCAGTTTATGCATAGATCGCTCTTGTTTCTTGTGCGACATTATTCTGGAAAACAACTGAAGCGAGCCAGAATGCCTGCAGTAGACGGCGTCCAGCAAGTTGCAGAAGGCCTAAACGGATGCGGCCTTGAGGATGGAAAACCTCAAGACGTTGCCCGTGGCTCTGGAGATGCAAAGGCGAAGAAAGCGAAAGAACCGAAACAGCCTTCAAGCAAAGTAGAACTGGATCCGTGGCCTACTTATATTAATGAACGGATTAAATTGTGGGACAAGCTGAAGGCCGACTATGATGTCGAGTTGGCGAAAAAGGTTCCCCAGCACATCCAAATCACATTGCCTGATGGAAAAGTCGTAGAAGGGCAGTCATGGCGCACTACTCCTTATGAAATCGCACAGGGAATCAGTCAGGGACTCGCTGATAATGCAGTTATCAGTAAAGTTGATGGCGAATTATGGGATCTCGATCGGCCTCTGGAGGGGAGCTGCAAAGTGGAGCTCTTGAAGTTTGATAGTGAAGATGGGCAGCAAGTCTTTTGGCACAGCAGTGCCCACATCTTGGGTGAGTAGCATTTTCAGTTTTATGAGCCTTTCCTTTTTTTAAACTTACGATTTCCGGATTTTGGCTCCTTATCGGTTTTAATATGGCTGAGAATAACTTGTCTAAGTATGAAGAATGTGAACCGTATGTAGCAAACAGGGATATGATGCATTCAGTGCCGGTTTAATCTTGTTCATTAAACAATTGTCACATACAGAAACGTGGTGCCACATTGGCAATTTGGCACCGTGTGGCAGCCGTGGAGGCCTATTGTCTATTCGATTACTCAGCGGATAAATGAACTTGTCAGGCAAACTTTGCCATAAGATTTTTGTAATAATTAAATAAATTAATTATTTATGATAAAAAGTCCTTAGTTCGGTGTGAACGAATTTTTACGTTGAAGAATTACATAAATCATTTGGCGGCGTTATTGATTTTGAATATCTGTTCCTGTACGTACCATTCCTGATATCCTGGAAATTATGCAGTCGCTAAGAAGAGTAGAGAATTCTTTTCTTTGTGGCTTCCATACCATAGTCGCTTGATTAAGATGTAAGCAGTCCGACCTATGATGAACATCTCCGAATGATTAAATGATTTACGAATTAACCAGATCTGAGGTCGCAAACCATGGGATTGTTGTTTTTTTGTTGCTGAATGCAGTAAGCCGTTGAGTAATGCTTGGGTTTTCTTTCCTGCAGGAGAAGCTATGGAGCGTCATTACGGAGGATGTCTTTGTTACGGTCCACCCATCGAAAATGGATTTTATTATGATATGTTCCTTGAAGATCGGGCAGTGTCTAGTGTTGACTTTCCAAATTTGGATACTATCGTTAAGCAGATTGTTAAAGAAAAGCAGCCTTTCGAGCGACTGGAAATGAAAAAAGAGGATTTACTGGAGATGTTCAAATATAATCCCTTCAAGGTGCGAATTCTCAACGAGAAGATCGACACCCCGACCACTACTGCATATCGCTGTGGTCCACTAATTGATTTATGCCGCGGTCCGCATGTTCGTCACACCGGGAAAGTGAAAGCCATGCAAATCACCAAGAATTCAGCGACCTACTGGGAAGGGAAAGCCGATGCTGAGAGTCTGAATCGCATATACGGCATATCATTTCCGGATAGTAAACAACTGAAAGAATGGCAACATTTCCAGGAAGAAGCTGCCAAGAGAGATCACCGGAAATTAGGTAGGTAGAAGTGTTGACGCTGCTTTAAAGAAACGGAAATACTATTTAGGATGAAAAACCTTACTGCTGTTCACATGCTGATTCTGTGTGGAGATAACTATTCTATTCTGATTGTTTGTTTTCGGTATTAATTTGTTGTCTTGAAAATTGTCAGTAGATTTGACAGTCTGTTGTTATAGGGAAGGAACAGGAACTGTTCTTCTTCCATGAACTGAGTCCAGGAAGCTGTTTTTTTCATCCACGTGGAGCGCACATTTACAACGCTTTGGTCGAATGGATTCGATCAGAGTATAAGAAGCGGGGTTTCCAGGAAGTGATATCTCCCAATGTTTATAATAGTAAACTATGGGAAACATCTGGTCATTGGCAGCACTATGCAGAAAATATGTTCCAGTTCGAAGTGGAGAAAGAGAAATTCGCTCTGAAGCCGATGAACTGTCCTGGTCATTGCCTTATCTTTTCGCATCGACCGCGGTCCTGGAGAGAACTGCCGCTGCGTATGGCAGACTTCGGTGTTCTGCACCGTAATGAATTATCGGGTACGCATTTTATAGATTCATGAATTTCGCATCACAGCGGAATGGTAAACAGTTGTTCATGATGTTTAAATGTTGTAGCTGAGTAACGCTCCATTCTTTCATAGGCACTTTGACCGGTTTGACTCGAGTCCGACGTTTCCAGCAAGATGATGCTCATATCTTCTGTGCAATGGAGCAAGTTGAACAGGAGATTGGGGGCGCTTTGGACTTCTTAAAGCACGTCTACACCATCTTTGGCTTTACTTTTAGTCTCAAGTTGTCAACTCGGCCAGAGAAATTCCTCGGCGAGCGAGCGGTGTGGGATGAAGCCGAGAAGCAATTGGAAAAATGTCTAAATGCATTCGGTCAACCCTGGCAGCTGAATCCCGGTGATGGTGCATTCTACGGTCCGAAGATCGACATTACCATTATGGATGCTTTACGCCGGCATCATCAGTGCGCTACCATTCAGCTTGACTTTCAGTTACCTATCCGGTTTGATCTAAACTATAATTCGCACGATGGAGGAATGAAACGGCCAGTGATTATTCATCGCGCGGTGTTGGGATCATTAGAGCGCATGATTGCCATCCTGACTGAGAGTTTCGGAGGAAAATGGCCATTCTGGATTTCACCTATGCAGTCAACCGTCATACCTGTTGCTCCGCCGTTTGAAGAGTACGCACTGAAAGTCAAGCAAAGTATCCACGACGCAGGATTTGTGTGTGACTATGATTACGATACTGGTACCACTATGAACAAGAAAATCAGAAATGCTCAGCTAGAGCAGTACAATTTTATCCTCGTCGTCGGAGAAAAAGAACAGGAAAATGGGACAGTAAATGTGCGCACCCGGGACAATGTGGTACACGGCGAATTCAAAATAGAAGATGTTGTTGAGCGCTTCAAGAAACTGAAGGAGAGTAAAACTAGCAAAGCTGATGAGTTTTGAGCTAATGCTAATGAATTTTTGTAATCATTTACGGTGGTAACAACAGCGTTTTTGTCGTTTGCCGGTTCTGCTATTGGATCTTTTGGATCATGTTTCTGTTAACGTAAATTAAGTACTGTTTTTGGCCATATTAAATCATTTAGCTCGTGGCAAAAAGAATTGTTATTTGCGAATATGAGGTACGGTCTTTTGGAATGTCTAATAAAGCAAGGGAAATTCCGTGAAATTTATTACGATTCACGAATCCATTTACAAAAATGTCATGAAATCGGAATTATGTTCACCGGTTTGAAGACACGTTGGAAACTAAGCAAGGAAAGGAGCATTATGAAATTGTTTGAAAGTGCTGTAGTATAACCACAAGCCAAATAACATATCATTTTCCCATGGCGAATAACAAAATGCAAGACACCATTTAAACTGTAAAGGACATCGAGTGTTGATACCAGCGAACCTTGTGACCAAATCTTGACTTTGCCCATCCCGTTAGTAGCCGTTACAACCAAGCAGAAAAAAGTGCTGTGGGTTGCCCTTCATGACATTGTAGACGCAGAATATTACATTGGTTTATATAAGTCTTGTCTGTTAGCTTTGTCTGTTCTTTACAGCCTTGCAGTTTCTTAATTTTCTCTCCCGAGCAGCCAGAACGTTTCGGCACTCTTGCCATTCTGCAAAAGAGATAATCTTTATCACTGTCTGCTGTCCAATTGTGGTTGTGGTCAGACTTAAGTGCTACCTAGACTGTGTAAATTACCTTAAACTTTACAGCACCGCGTTTTTGCAACGAAAATCCTCCAGATTTAGTTATAATTTCTGCAGTTGTTGGACTAACGTGAATCTTGCTCGCTGAAAAAAAGAACGAATATAGTCGAACCTTCTCTTGGAATAAGAGCCACCATGCAGAGTACCACTGGTAAATTAATACCAAATTTTAAACTTACGCTCGCTTGTTGCTTCTAGCTTTGCGGCAGTGCTGACGGCCTCTCCAAATCTGAAAATTAAAATTTTTAATTGCTGTTGTGGGTTTTCATTGTTCTGGACCAATCATCCCGTATTTATATTTCGATAGCTTTCTCGTACAAACAGTATTTTGGAATTCGGCTTCCGACAATTCCCGCCATACATTTTCCGCTGTGTAATCCGATGCGAATTTGGGCAGTCTCACTCGGACGATGAGGCAGCCGAAAATCGGTATAAGCATTGATCATGTCCAAAGAAAAGCCGGCTAGTTCAGTAGCATGCTTGCTGCCATTAGGAGTAGGAATGCCGCTGGCTATCTACAGATACATACATTAATATTTAGTAATATATAGTGCAATCTCAGAATGATAATTTTTGCGTTGTGCTAATTACATATGTCCCGAGATACAGAATATATGCATGTAGTTTTAATGATTTACGGAATTGTACGTGGTATAATTGGAAAAGCGACTAAGTGGGCATCTGTACTGTACTCTACTATCTGTACTGGAAAGGTAAGTACATGTTACTAAAAAGTAACAAATTCAAAGTTTTAGAAACCAGATTTCTTAGCAAATGATTGATAATTCACCGCACCAAATCCGCATCTCCAATAGTTTCCATTTTATATGCGTCATATCGCTCGACAATGCGGTCCGTTATCCTGTAGATGGTATTTAGAAATTCCACCATTTCGAGAGCCGTACTTTGGTCCGTTATTGTTGTATAACCAACGATATCGGAAAAGTAAACCGTAACGCACTCGAAAGTGGCCGGCTGCACTCTTTGTCCGTTTGAGAAACTGAGGGCTATAGTTCTACAAACATTCTGATTGTGAGCCTTGGATTAAATAAATTCAAAAGATTTTAAACCAAGTTAATTAAAACCATCCTCAGGTCGTATCGTACTTTAGATCATTAAAGTATGCAAAACCAGTTTTACGTAGTTAACGATATCCTACGCTAAATTAATTAAGTAATGCAACTAGTATATTGTAGTAGTTAATGTGCCTCTGTAATTAAGCGAATAGTCAACGTTTTGCCTTACGGTGGGAGTAGCTGTCCCAGGAGCAAGTCCAGTTCGTGTTTATTTTTCGATAATTCAGTTGTTTTCTGCTGAAGAATTTGTTCGAGATGGTCGGTATATTTGTCAATGCGATCGACAAAACTTTGAATTTCGGTAGAGAGTCGAAGCATCGGCTTGATGTTAACTGTGAATTGCACAAAATAAGAATAGTACGCCGGCAATCATTACAATACAAGTAATAATTATTACGTATTTAATTGTATAAGTGCGGGACGTGCGGCAACAGCCATATGCACTATGTGCTTATTGTGTTTAAAGTACGAGTATATATGTACGTAGCAGGCTACTAACAGTTACGTATACTCGTATTTCAAGACCTTTTTGCATTAAAAATTAAATACGTAAGTATTTTTTAGCTACCAAGTACACTCTGTAGTTGGTAGTAATTATGAAATGGCCTGCGCTACAACATGCCTTCAAGCGATCGTAGAGGTACGTACGAAACAACGGGGTAGGATGCAGAGTTATATTAAATGAATTTTGACGCAGATAATATAATCTGAAGCCGCATATTTTTTGAGTTACTAGAAAACATTTGGGTATAATTACACATTATAATTACACATTTTTACCTGAAGCTGGTCGGGTGGCAGTATAGTACACATCTGGATATTTCACTTCAGATGCTTTCCGGGTATTTCCGTTTCTGGCCCGGTACGACACTGTCGAACTGCACATCATACCAAAATTTAATATTAAATTTAAAGCAAGATGAACCTTAATCGTTTTTACGAAATAGTACTCAGTATTCTACCTTTTTGCGGCAGAAGCAGGGGAATATTCCTCCTGCATATCCAAGTTAATGTACTTGGCCCAAATGCGACGACGGAGAAGGAAAAGCACACCGATAACGGCCGAAAAAACGCCGGTTGCATACAGATACATATGGCTCCATCCAGGATGATTGGTGGTCCAGTAATCTTGTAAGGACAATACCGGCTGGAGTCCGATTAAGAAGACCATGGTCACCGAGATCAGAACTAATGATGCTGTGATATCGTTCATTGTTGTTCAGTGCGAGGCCAAATCTCCGTAAGTTATCTTTTACCCAAACCAAGCTGATTGGATTGTGTGTTACTTGTCCCGGCAGTTAATCAGCATCATGCGCAGGTGCAGCTTTTTTTAACTCCTTGGATGGACAAGCGAAGATTTGAGACTGAACGAGGAACAATCTTTGCTGATTGCTTGCCAAAAGTGAAGCTGTCAAAATTGCGTGCGTTTGCTAATCAAACCATCTACTCCAATTGTTACTATCTATAAGCTGTAAATGTAGTATATAAAGCACCTTTTATATCGGCTACCTTATCACTTGCAGACAGTGTTGTATTAGCGGTTTATGAAATCTGCAGATAAAAAAATTTACCGGTAATGGTATTGTGCTTGCCTAGCATGCCAGCGCAAAGTTCATTGTAATAAATGCATGCTGTCGAGAATTGATTAGCGTGTTTTCTGAATAGTGCAAGCTCCGTGTCATTTGTATTGGGAGTTATAATTAATACCTGACAATATATGCAGAAAGTTCCCGGCAAAGGTCAAAATCTGCTCCATGAGTTTATCTTGTTGTTGCTGACTTCTTGTTCATTACAAGAATTGATTTGCAGCACAATTTGCATTTCGCGTATTTTTAAGTAAAACTTGCGCTCCAGAAAACGCTTACTTTACAATACAATTTCTGGATGCGTGTTTTCTTATAATCTAAGCAACTTTTAGTACAGTCGATTCACTACAACAATAATGGGTGACAAATACCACACACCCACTAATAAGATTTCCCCCTGTAGAGGATATTATTTTATCGGAGAATAGTTGATACAGCCATATATAGGTACTCGTAGTGTTTTTGTTGCGGTATATTTGTTAAGCGTACATAAACAATTCTTTTATTATACGCCACTGCCACAGACAGGTTTTTAATAACATGTTTAATTATCCAACACATTTCGTCAGATCTATTCAAATGCAGCCGGCACTATTAAAGTCATATGTAATAGTTTTCATTTTTCATCTCTTTCTTCACAGATTCGCAAACAGAATTTTTGTTGACCATGCTCTGCAACTGTCAGAAAAAAAACTAACGCAGACAGATAAATATAGTAAATACATATATTATACAGATAGACTATATAGTACTGTACATAGATAAGTAATAGACTGCCCTGTACTCGGAGGACGCCTGTTGCATTGGTAACAGTGAACGGAAGGATAGTTTAAATTGCCTAATCGTACATGATCCCTTCTGGCTTTTAGCAAATGTAGTCAGATTCAAAAGTCGCATTCGAAACCGTTTTTTAAAAAAAAACTATCTAGCACGAGTTCCTCTTCTCAGCACAAAGACGTCAAGCAACAAATTTAAAACCAAAGTAAACAATAGCCATGATTGATATGGAGCCATTAATGGCCCTTAATCCCCATATGCCAACATGTTATATTTGTGGACGGCAATATGGACACTCTTCGCTAAAGATACATGAACCGCAGTGTTTAGAGGTACGTGCAACGTCAGCCGGTTCATAGAATTTTTAAATTAGCAAGAATTGCTTAAAACAATCGCTTCTGGAGCTGTACCTTATACTTGTATAATTTATATTTCTGCATTCACAGATTACGCACATATATATACAGGCGAGCGTCGATTAAAGTACGAGTACTGTAGAATATTACCACATCAAGGAGTTTTCCCAGTTAACATGAGATGGGACTGCAGATTTATTATTTCACTTTCGCATTATTTGCGGCAAGAATTAACTGTAGTTCCAAGTTTGTCCTTTGTCGTACCAGAGGTGGCATCGTGAGAACTCAGAGCTTCCACGGCATCTGCAGCGTTCGGCTCCTGTACCACCGCAGGATTTTCAAGCTGTGGTACCACCTAGGAGAAGTCGGGAAAATTTTTATCAACCGCATGACTGTGCGCCACTTGGCCAATCCCCCTTCCGGGAGGCATATTTTCCGCCTGGACAACGAGATTTTATTGATGCTCCCATCGCGCGCAGTCATCCTGGACCTAATCCTATTGGCAAAGTCAGGATTGGTTATATTAACGGCAGTGAATACGGCATGGACACGTATGAAGTGTACAGACCCAATGACTATGGCAGACACAGTGCTCCAACAGTACAACATACACGGGAAGATCGATATTATGGGCCACGACGCCATGAGCAATGGCACCATGACCCTGTACCGCAAACACACCATATGACCCCAAGTTACAATTACAGGGGTCCTGCAAATATGGAGGTTATGCACATGCGTCTTCCACAGGACAGATATGATTACCGCTCGGTGGAGCCACCACTGTCCTATACTGAAAGGCTACCTCCGCCAGGTAACGAATGGCCGCGCAGAGTGTAAAATAAAATTCTTATCAGGAGCTGTTGACCTTACAAAACCGTAGCCGCTGTGTTAGCATATGATCAGCCAGGTCAAGTAATACTGTAATACCGAAACCAGTTCGTTAGTTTCTGTTTAAAAATAGTATGGGCCCTTAGAATGCAAGTTTTTAGAAGTGTTTCAATTCTTTTTGAAAAATGCAAAGTAACACATACAAATTTTACTGGGCAGATCTATCGTTTTACAGGGCGATTTTCATATCATACGGAAGCGCAATTGGATCGTATGGCTTACGACCGCTTTCAAGCCAATTTAGTGCCGTGTCACAATTGTGGACGGAGATTTCGTCCCGACCTTATACCCTCTCACACCCAAAACTGTGTGGATCATCCGGAAATATTTCTGCGGCACTAAAATGTGTTTTATTCATTATTATATTAAACTTTTCATGGTTTGATGACTTAATATTTTTTTACCAATCCGAAATGCAAAACAACTAAAAGTGCAGACGACACAATCACGACACAGTACGTATCACTTGTTGTCTTACCCGCCGCTTACTATAGTGTCAAACTTCTGTCCAAATTTATTTTAAAACCGGTAATTTTAGTAGTTATTCTTTGTGCCATTTGGTTTAGGCCCATAAAAATACAGTTCTTTTACTATCAATTTTGTATTGTGTTCGTCCGCGCGCAGTTGATTGACTCCATGTTGTATTGTACATCTTTCTGTATTCAGAAAAATCATTATGAGCTGCGAATCTCTTGGCAACAAACGCACCAGTGAAGATTTCATGTATTATTTACAATGCAGTGCTTTCTTATGTCGAATTTCATCCGAGTGTGAATGAAGTCCCAAACTTTACTAACTGGATTTTGGAAGTTTTAGAACATTGGAAGCAGTTGTGTAGCTGTCTTTTGAAATTTTCTACCTAACATAAGCCAAAATGTCAGATACGATCAGTAAATACGACAAAACGGAAACATCCATCACTACTACAACAACTCCAAATGTTCCTACGGGTCACGTTGCTCCTATTCCAGCTGGGGACGAAGCAGCAAGGGTTGCTCATGCAGAAGCCAATAAGAACTTCTTGCGCCATGCCGATATGAAGGTTGGAAATATGCATACGAAGTACTTATACTTTCAGGCTGTGCAAGTTCAAAATTATACTGCATTAATAATATAGAACACATACTACAGTCTACAGAGTAAGTGCTACTGGAGACACATAGCGTACTAATGTTCATTAAAATAGCTCGTAGGTTTTCGTAGATATGCGGTAACCTTTTGTACGTGCATACCAGTTAAATGGTACTACCCCATAGGATGTTGCGGACGCCGAAGCCCATCGACGACCAGATGGCGTTTGGGAGAAGGTATGGATTCCTCTATTCATGTTTGTTCAGTTTTTTCGAGCTGGATTGGCTTTTGTTTGCCGATATTTGTGTTAGATAAGTATGTCACTACAGCCTTCTATTGCAGAATGCTCATCTTGAAAGGGAAATTCCAGGACCGGGTGGAAGCGTTGTTACGGAAACATATGATTCCACTGTACTGACCTATCCTAATCCACCTGCTGAATGTGGAAATTGCACCCATTCCACTCACCATTCCCATCACTAACCGAACACTACTGTACTCTAGCTGTCACATCTGTTTATCTTTTCCGTAATAGAGAAAATGTACAGTAATGTGTTTTGTAAAAGCATACTGAATTAGCGCTATAACTGTAGGATCATCATAATATAAGTCGCTTTTGCGAGCGGTCCCTTTATTACCGGTCATAATTTAATAGACCGATCACAATGAAACAGATCTGATCCATGTCAAGTACAGTAAAATAAAAGCCAGTCCGCTGCATTTATATGTAGACTACGAATGTAATATTATTTGTGGTGGTTTCCACTGCTTTAAGCGTTCTCGATCATTAATACAAGTACAAGCAGCGCCGACATAAGACGTACGGTACGTTCTGTACGGTATAAGACATCAAAAAACAAAGCGCACTATATATCCCTATGATGAAAATCTGCGTAAAATGCGCGTTCAAGCGGTAAAACAACCGGCGTAAAAGCTGTTCTCCTGTCTTTGCCGATCGTATGTAAAAATAGGCGTTTATCCGCAAAGCGCGCGCGTGAGAGGATGAGAGGAGAGTACAGAATACAGATAAATCCGGTATGGCGCTTTAATTAATACGGGGTTTTTTTACCAAATTATTACTTACAAGTTAGGGGTTTATAGGCTTAGATTCCAATCTGATACTCAATCAGGGGTGTCATAGGAGGTTGTCAACCGGCACCTTTTCAGAGATTGGAACCTTTGTTCACCGTCTGCCTGTGCGCTACCCTGTTTTTCAAAAACGATTGCTCCCCGCCCAATTTTGCCCCCTATCCAAATTTGACACCCCCTTTTTGCCGAACCTGTGACGTTTCTGTACTTAAACAGTTAATTATTACAATCCGTCAGACGGTTTTGTTGGCCATTTTTCTGGTGGATTCACTGAATTTCCGGATATATTTAAAAGTTCACTAGACTCATGTTACCCTGGCAAGCCGCTAGGCGGTGTACCGTATACAGCTCCATACAGAATTCGAAAGTATAGATTCCGATCTAACGGAGTCGTACTTCGAATTCAAAATTACAAATGCAGTTACAGATATTTATCTTCGTATTAAATTCATAGAACATGTTAGTAATCGATGTAATCAAACCTTTAATCCTGTAGCATGTTTATAGTGGGTATTTAATGCTTAAAGTCGTGTTCTATAAGCTTTTTTTGTTGTCAGCGCCCAGATTATAGCAGTGCTGGCGCGTATTACTCAGGTGTATAACGTTTAACTATTAATGTTGCGGTGCTAAATCTTGGTTCTGGCCTAAGAATCTTGAAATGAAAAAATAACCGCACGTTTAACAGGTGTTTTGTCCCACCGCTAATTTCATTGTTTTCACGCTAATCTTACCTTTTATCAATATATTCACAGCATACGGCGACGGCATAATAATTTTGTGCTGCTGGATAGCGTTGATAATTTCTGTATATATGTCTCCAGATACCGACATTTGGCTGTGTTTGCGTCTTATTTTGATGGACTAATTAATTACCTGTAGTGTATCTGCGCCTGTTGGTATTGTTGCTTCCTGATTGATTTGACCTTTCGTCGATGTGGTTTCTGTTAACTGGAAATTCGAATGGATCTCAGGGGTGAAATTGTATCTTTCATAATTTTATCTTTTATAATATGCGTAGTCAACGGCAGACCTCGACAAGACCCGCATAAAAGGCATCAACATGTTCATATACCGCAAAGTAAGCGTGACCTGCTGAACAATTATTATTATTATGCTAAAATTTCCTTACTTAAGCCAATAATTGGTTTTCGGAATACGGAAGAAACACATTTACATTCCATTTAACTTACACATAGTAGATTTTATTTTGACTTGCACCCAATTTATACTTCAGGTACCAAATTGATATGCTACTCTTTATTTGCTTCAGTTTATGCTATATTTCTGGCTTTTTACATTTAGAAAGTTACAATAATTTATATGGTAGTTTTCATTCTGACATTGATCTAATTATAACACAAATATGAAAATATTTAATAAATTGTAATTTCATGTTTCAGCTATCAATTTCAACTTTCGATTACGTAGTTTCGGCGATTCAACGTTCACGGACTGTTGCAAGTATAATATGCGTTCATAAAAAAATTTGTACATGTTTCAAAAATTTGTACATGTGGTAAAAAATAAAGCGATGCAGATAATTTCCTTCTCAGTAAAGTATCTGCGCACTTTGGAAAATTAAGTGCGTAGCTCAGAATTAGTTAAAATTAAAATTTCGGGGTAACTAATGTACCCCACTGGACCCACGCAATGCTACTGGATAAGTTGTAGACACTATAATATACGAGTATTATGACTTACGAAATTTATGTAATATTTATAATATTGTACATGTATGTTTTTGTAGACTGGAAGGATTTGTTAACACGTGAAGTCTATGAGCAGCATGCTCATCAACCAAGAGGCCATAATAATTTGTTCGAAAGCGACATCAAAAAGGAGGATTTTCGGCAACCTACTCCAACTGTAAGGGTCCATTTTCATACAGTAGTTTGGTGTGATAATTGAAAATATTATTGACGCGTTCAGTTTTTCCAAATACAGATTTATTGCCTGTTTGGCAACAAACCAATTACAACAACGCATTAAAAACCCACATTGATCATGTTATAATAATTTACTAAACTTGTTAAACCTATACGTACATACTGTAGAACATACGGTTATATAGGGAGCCTTTCGAAATGCGATCGTGGATCGGAATTTAAGATGGGAACGAGGTGTAGTCCCTTATACGTTAAGCGACAATTACGGTAAGCACTTTCAAATGGACTGTGAACCAATTTTGGCATTCAGCAGTCGGAACTTTCTCGCTTATTGTATCACTTTAGCGGAAGCGGAGAAGCAGGTTATCGAGGAAGCGCTGCGCGATATGATGTACAAAACGTGCATCCGGTTTGTTCGTAGAACTACAGAAAAAGATTACATCGCCTTTCTCAAAAGGAATATGGGGTACGGAAATGTTTTGCAGCACTTATATTTTTGCCGCTTATAACTGCAAATCTGCGAATGATGCAGTTCAACACATTATTCACCGTTGCAGGTGCAGCTCCTACATCGGACGGTAGGGTCAACGTTTTGCGCAGTGAAATCCTACATCGAATAACCCAGATATATCTCCGTTCTAGAATTGGGGGAGAACAACCGATCGATTTGATGACCGGTTGCATTTATCAGATTGGCGAGGTTCAACATGAGGTGCTTACGCATTTTCTGTGTAGCTTTTCAGTGATGTCATGTAGAAATTACAACTCTCAGTTAGACCTGTTGTTTGAATAATGTTTTCGAATTAATTCCGAAAGATAATTTCTCTGTGGAGGATGTTTGTTACAGAAAAAACGAGTTTGAAAGATAACATTAATTTTGTACACAGATAACTTGCAATGATCTTTAATTCTGTTCCGATTTGCTTGCAGGTAATGCATGCCATAGGATTCTATCACGAACAGAGTCGAACAGATCGAGATCAGTACGTTACAATAGTTTGGAACAATGTTATGCAAGGTAAATACTTCGATGTTGTCCTGCGGAAGTAAAGTTCTATACTGAAGCAAAGTACTGGTTTTTGTTTTAAAGTTTTCAGAAAGTTAAAATTTTGAAAGTTTTATTATGGACGTACAAACGTAAAAAATTATTTTATCAGCGTATTCAACCGGTGTTTGGTTATTCCATTGTGTTGTTCGATGCTGCTTTATGTACTGTACTGTATACGCATGCATTAACTACACAGGTGCCGAAGACCAGTTTTCTACATACCGAACGGATAATCTGGATATGCCATATGACTTCGAATCTATCATGCATTACGGTTGGAATTATTTTGCAAAAGATTCATCCTTACCGACAATTATTCCCAAAACTACCAGCCAACAACCAAAGTCATTAGGGAATCGAAAGGTCATGACTGCATACGACGTGGAAAAAATTAACCGTTTGTACGAATGTTCACATGACTCGATCACGACAGCTGCAACCACAACTAAACGAAAATACCGAACTCGCCCAACTTTGCCACGCTACCAGCCCACCCCAGAACGACCTAAAACAAACAATCCATACCCCCCAAATACAAGTTTATGGAGTGATTTTAAAGACACCGTAAAACGCTGGATGGAACAATTTGCACATACATAAAGTATGCATGTGGGTGCGAAAATGCAAACATCTTCGATTGATTTCCACCTAACTGTTAATTTGTTACGGTGTATTCAACACTTCGTCAATGTGTCGAATGTGCAGTTAGTTTAATTATTTGAATCGAATGTTTTAGCGTTTCAAAATGTTTCGAAGCATTTTTGCTTTAACTGTTAAAATCTCATAGCTTGGACAGAACCTGCAGTGCCGCACTAACAAATCAAATAGATGTACTCAGCAGATGAGTTGCCGTAATGTGGTACCATTCACCGTATCACTCTTAAATTATGAATATTTATTTTTTTGGAAACCGCGGTAATCTTTTTACTATCAATATATATGTGCAGTTATTTTTAAATAGCTCTTCTGTAAGAGTTGGGCATGGTATATTATGCTGAACATCGTCAATGTAGCAAAAAATTCTCTGGACTCTGGAGTCTGGATAGCCTCCGATTTTGATGCATTCAGCATTTCGGCTCACTCAAAATTCAAGACAGATTTAACAGGAAAATAATTTCCAAATTATTTAACCCTGTGTCTCATAGTTAAATTCAAAGTTTACTGATAGTTTTGTAAATACCTAATTTGTATTACCTGTTTTGGAACAGAAGCAATATTTTATATTAGTTTGACGCCTTCTTGTTAGCTTTGACATTTCAAATGCGCCAGATTCTGCCAAAACAACAGATCGGGAATTCATGGTATTTTTAAACGAAAAACATTTGAGGCAGTGTAATCAAGAGGGGAGAAAAAATATATCAATGGAAGCAAACCAGGCGAGACAAAGTTGTAGTCGAGCCGGCACAATAATCATATACATACGAGTAGCTTTTGACTTTTGCAGATGAAGCGTCACATTGCTTAGTTTAAAACAATTTATATTGATCCTGCCATTGACAACAGTGTTATTTTTGGTACTTCCTTCTCACAGCAGAAATACCAGCTCCGCTACTACTTAGTACTTATCGAAGCTATCGATTGTTTTCCTACCAAATTTATCAGGATTTTGGTATAAATTTATCATTATGGACGATAAACTTACTGCGCTTTAAGTGGTAGCACGTGCTCTGAAATTGATAAGGTCATGTAAGGAATTGTCGATCAACAGACACGGGCACCAAAACGGCCAGTATGTTGAGCGTGTTAATTTAACCCGACGCAGTGTTGTCCACATACCTATATGAGTACTCAGTAGTCTGTGTTGCATTGCATGCGTTAACGCCAAACGTTTTTTTATTTTTCTTGGAGCGTCAGTAACTTGTGAATTTTAAGTTGGCAGCAAGCTTTGGTTTTTTTCGTTTTTTTTCCAAAGTCTTGTGCACTTAGCCGCGCATGTTACTGCCCAGTGCAGTTCCGAAATCTTTAAATTTTCTTATTGCGAACTCGGATGTGTGTGTCCTTGGAGTTGTTTAGACCCTCGTATTTTAGTGTGTATTGTAAACAGTAAACTGTAAACAGCAACCATGGTCTGACTCCCTACTGAATCTCAGACCTGTGAAATTATGTTGCGCGACCATTTTGGTTCTGCGTTTATTCCCCACATTGGTCCCACGACGTGAAGTTTGATGACGGAAGGCTGCCTGCGTTTAGGTGGCCTCGGTGACAGGAGAGCATGGGCAGGAATGCTAAGTTTTTTACCCAGTCGGACGGATGGGAATCGGATTCGCAGAGCACTCCCATCGCGCACGCCGCCCTCACTCCCCATCCCGCCACAACCAGCATCAACGGCAGTATGGGCAACAGTGGGAATGCAGTGTATCGGTTTGGCAAGAGAGTTATCGGGCAGCGTCACAATTCGGGCACTTCGACGTTCCGTTCACGATTGCTGCTAAAACATGGCACCTACAACATTACGGGGAAAAACATTCCCCAGCGACGGGTTCGGCTGGTATCCGATTTATGGAATACGCTGATTGACCTCAAGTGGAGGTTTATTTTGATTCTGTGAGTTCTTCAGTACGATAGCTGATATGCGGTGAATTTTTACGGGTTTATTACCACCTGTTGCACAACTGGTCTCGAGTGATTCGATAAAAAACGCCTGAGGCCATCGTTTCTTTTGTGATCGTTTCATTGCATGGGTGGGATTATTTTTCGCGTCTGGCTTTGTTAAGTTTCTCGCAGTTTCAATTTCGATTGCTACTAATTTTATACGCCCGTTTTTTTATCGTGGTTAGATATTGTATCGTTTTCCGTTACATTGTAATGGTGAGGAACGCCACGCTGAAATCCCAATAACGTGCTTTTCGATTTTTTTGCTTCCGTCCTGTATTTTTATGGTTAATTAGAATGGATTGGCATCTCCTGCTCGTACGTTGATATGGCCAGTTTAGTGAAAATAATTTGTTTGAAACCTCGAACGAAGAAAGTGAGTTTAAGCAGCATTCGGAAGCGTTGGATAATTTGCATGAAAATTACGTAATACAGGCGCAGCAAGTGTCATGCAAAGGAAATTACGTATGATAGCGTGCATTTCCGATGAGAGACTTTAGTCACTTTACTAAGCGTAAATTAAACAGTGCTGGCAAACATGCTACCACTTTAACAATTATTCATGCAGTTATTTTTTTGTGTTTGCAGCATGATTTTGACAAAATCACGAAAATGTTTTCATATCGGTGGTTTAAATGGATTGGTTAAATGGTTATTACGATGCGAAAAAAAGTTTTAATGCGATCTTTATGAGTTTGGATTTCTCATTGCTGAAGCCTGAAGTTACTCATCGTCGGTGCATGCCGAATATTTATTTGTTTGATATCTTATTTTATGTTGCAGTTTTATGTTAAGCTTCGTCATTTCGTGGGCTTTATTTGCCGTCATATTTTACGTCATTGCTTCTGCACACGGAGACCTGGAGCGAAGCAATCAGGAAGATTGGAAACCCTGTATAAAAAATTTGGAAAGTTTTACGGCTGCGTTTCTATATTCTGTAGAAAGCCAGCATACAATTGGTTATGGATTTCGTTACACCACAGAAGAATGTGCCGAAGCGATTATTTTTATGTACGGTAGTTTAGTCGCCACAGGGCTGGCTAACTACAAGAAGCGCAGAGATTTTGATTCGTTATTCTTTTACAGGTGTCTTCAGGCTGCCGTGGGGGTAGCCTTGCAAGCATTTATGGTGGGGGTTGTTTTCGCTAAAGTTCAGGTACCTTGCATATACTTTAATTTTTCCTATAAGATCTGCCAGTTTGAGTTTTTGCCTTAAGTTAATATTTTATGTGCTGTACGACATTTTGGCTGTATTGCTTTCATTCGTCTGATCGGTTTCTTTCCACTTTAGTTGCCAAAAAAGAGGGCACAAACCTTGCTTTTCAGTGAAAAAGCCGTCATATGCAGCCGTGATGGAAAATTATGTTTACTCTTCCGCATTGGCAACATGCGCCGGAGCTTGATAATTCAGTCAAGTGTAAGTTACCTTATTGACTGCAAGTAGTGGTTGGTTATCTATAACTAACGCGAACCTTGCTGAACCAAGGTTACTGAAATGCGGCGTGATGAAAAAGCAAATTAATCCATAAAGGCATAAAAAGTATTTGCCTAGTGTACCAGTTTCCAGATAAAGAGACTAATCATTGGAGTAGCGAAGAAGGGGAAACGCTCGTGCTGGTAGATTAACCCAAACTAATCGCGATTGAACAATGGTGTTTTGGAACTGCTTATCATCAACGATAGAACTTATTTTCTTACGCCGTAAGAAATTAAATTACGATACTTGCATACGTATTGGCAAAGTTAATTTTAATTTGGTATGCTATCCAGCGTGCTGCGATGAATCCGGCTTTCTGCATTTTTCATAATCTTGTGAATTATCATAGCTCACTCAAAAATGTTTGTAGTAAAAAAAGGATATTTTCGAGCACCCCAAAAGCTAAATTTGATTATTAGCCCCGATACCAGTAAAGACATAAGTAAAATATTGATATCAGCTGATGTTTTAATAATGAAAAATACTGATATCGGAACCTTTTGAATTAGGTGAGAGCGCAGCTTGTTCATCATCGAAAAACTATCGAAGGCGAACTACTACCATTTCATCAACATGAAATGAGTATTCAGCTAGATTCCATGAGTGGAAGCGCCTTTCTGGCATGGCCAGTCACTGCTTGTCATGTAATTACACCAACCAGCCCGATCTATGATCTCAGTAGGAAATCTTTGGAACGCGCCAAATTCGAAATGATAGTTATTCTCGAAGGTAAGATAGAAGTTTTGCAGATTGCAGGAACTTGTAAATTATTATAAGGTGGATTGTTATGGGTAATTTTAATTTTTGGTAGGTGTGATTGAATCCACGGGTATGGTGACACAGGTATGTACTTAGTTACAAACTTACAGTTAATGTGTTTGTACTTTGTACGTTATTATTTTCTGAAAACGATTATCCTTTCACAGGCGCGGACCTCGTATGTGCCAGAAGAAATTTTATGGGGTCATCGGTTTTCTCGGTTGCTGACTTATCGAAAAGAAAGTGGACAGTACGTTGTCGATTTTGACCGGTTTCAAGCTGTGGAGGTAAAATATGTTTGTTCGTGAAAACTGCGTGTGGAGTACAGAGTATATATTTTTCTTCCGTTTATAGAATTTGTTAGAATCTATGTTTTTGGTCTTGCTAAGCTAAGTGGTACTGTATACCGGCATAAATATTTGAAGACTGGATTGCGGGTTTTGTAGTTTGTCCCGAATATGCCCGATTGTTCGGCAAGAGAGCTTGATATGATTAAACATGCCAGTGTTCCGGATAACTATCAAGATGAGCAGCAAAATGATGGTCGAGCTGCTGCGGAGAACACTCCTCCTAGTCCTAGTTTGCAGCGGGCAGTGTCTGCCGTCGGTATGCATTCTCCGAGTGCGATTGTTCCTGGTCTCAATGATCCCGGCCATAGTTCTCATTCGGTTGTTCCCGACTCACTGTCTCCTCGTCGGACAAGTGTACAATTTTCTGCCCCGGTGATACGTGTACATGATGCTCATTATCACGATAAAATGGAGTATTAGAGTTGCGGGATGAAAAGTTGACCTCCAGTTTCAAGTTTTGGCTGTAATCCTAGTGGAGGTTTCTTTTTACTGATAATGTTAAGGTGGGGTTGCGGCTTTCAGCAAAATTGTTTGTTGATTTCTGAGGTAGAAAACACAGCTTTTGTGCTGTTAAATCAAAATTACATAGTGTACTTTTATCATTCCGCTGTCTGATTGTAAGTTCCGGTGAAATCATTTTGATGAAGAGTGGAGCGGAAATGAGCAATATTTTTAACCAGTGATATTTTTCTTCTGCTGCTTTTATGAACTGCTTGTGAGTGTTAACTGTCTCTGAGAAATACATTAAAAAACGCTTTCGGCTCGGCTTTATTCGTGAATCTGACTTGACAGTGTGAAAACACCAAGATTGCAATGGAAAATTAACTGCAACATCGGTAGCACATTTTTAAAAATTAATCTGGGCAGCTACAGGTCTCGCATATCAAATTGAACAACAAAGCGGATAAAATGTAACCACGTTAAGTACTTTCTAAGTATATCGAAAATGATGTTTTATATCGAAAAAATTATTGCTGACGTACGAATACGCAAAAAATAGCCGCTAATCACCTCGTCGCCGTCAATCGCACAGCTGTCCTGCCTTTTATAGGAATCTATCTGCGTTCGTTATCCACTTGCATCTTGCAGTTTTTGCAGTTGCTTATCGAGTGGTATTCCTGCTTTTTCCATAGGGATTGTGCCGTGAGCAGTGCTCTACTACGTGCGCAATTTCTTCTGCTTTCTTCGTGGTCATGCGCTGTCCGGAAGGTGATTCATAGGCTTCGGCATACTTTTCCTGACTGACCTGCGCTACGTCACCGTCCGTTAACCACATGAAAGCAGGTAGTTTGTAAAAGCACTGGACAATATCCAACCGCCCACCCGTTGAAATTTCTAAGCTCTTTATCTGTCCTAGTCCCCGCCTCGCCAGATCTTCGATGGTTGTTTTAAATTGCTGTTCTGTTAAAACGCTGGCTTTGTATGTCAATGAATACAGCCGGTAAAAAACAAACTGGCCGGGAGACAAGAGGATCTGCTTTGTCGCCGTTAAAGGCAGCGCTCGTACTGCTGGTTGTACTTGTACCCTTGCTTGTACTCTGTCCGCTACACGGGTCAACTGATAGCACCAGGCGGCACTGGCGCGGGCTAAAATGGTTCCAATCGCCATTTGTGGCTCAGGTAATTGCTTACTGATGTCGTCACGCGTTGGAAAAAGCAGAAATTCCAAAAGATGAATCATTAGTGCATTTTTAAGCGCGTGGTGTTCCGTTTTCTTAGTTTCGATCTCTGGGTTATTTGAAAAGGCATGAACATTTACTAATGCAAGAACGCGGCGTGCTCTAATAGCGTCTATCAGGTCGTGGTCAAGCTGAAAAAAATATTCCCGCGCTTCGTCATCCAGGACAAAGGTCAACGGTCCGTGCATGTTGATGTAATCATAAAACCGAAGCGCCAGAGTTGGCAAATTGGTGGTGATTGCATCCGGATTCATCGAGTCTATTGCCCTGGAAGAGGACTGCACCGCTGAGGACGACGGCAGCAACAGATATTTCAATTCGGAGCCATAATAGTTTAACGGCTTAGACAACTTTTTCAAGAATCGACTGCAGGTGTCCGGATTTGCAGTTGCGACAAGGGATGCACACGGCTCACGCAGATCGATACAGAGTTTCTGGTAGCCAAAAAGGAGTTCGAAGTCTCGCGCATCCCAGCTGCGCCGTATCGTTTGCAGTACAAGTTCCGCAGTGCTTGTTCGTACCAGTTCCAGAAGACCGCCGTTGGCTTCGTTGAGCACTAACGTCGTCTTGTACTTTGTCAGCGGTGTTCCGCGAATCTGCTTCTTTATATCTGCAAAAAATGTAAACGATGTTTTCTACTTGCGGGAATTCAGAATTTTAGTATGAATCGGATTTGCTGAATAGAATTCTATTATTCAACAAAAATACAAAATTCAATTATGCAGCAAAAAATATAGGTAATTCGCATACCCGATAGCGACGAGGTCAGTTGAACGTTTCGTTGTTTCTCAACGTGCGAAATAGCATCACCACATATGTTAGTAAACTGGGACGTTTGACCAGAAGACGGTACATCAATTAGCAGAAGTTGTAATGCAGAGTTGTATCGTAAGTTTTTGCGGTTTTCACCCAAAGGTTGGAGATAAACGTTTCCGGCAGAAAGTGTCGCAACTAAGCCCAACAAGCAGCCGAAAACGGTCATTGGCGTAGTTTGGTACTTCTTGGCTTCTGCTTCGAGATATTCCCAGAGTTGTCGCGAGGCCAGTTGTTGCAAATCGGGTAGCACGGCACTGAACGCTTCCATTTTAATGCCTCAAACTTCCCGAAAATTGTAGGCAGAGGAACTACAAAGAACAACCACAACTCAAACATCATTAATTATTAGGAATTTAAGGTACAGTAGTTATAAATATGGTTGACGCACTCCCACTGCCTCACAGCAGTTAAAAAGCTTTACCGGTATGTGCGCGCGCGTTCTTAATAACAGTTATGTCAAACATGCAACGAAAAGCTAGTGCATGTTATTCTTTCTCTCAAGTTCAATGGCTCAAAGTAAACGTGTCCATTCATTCATTTTGGCCACCATTCATTTTGGCCACCATTCATTTCGGCCACCATTCATTTCGGCCACCACTGATTTGGTTACCGCGTTCGATTTTTGTTTTTTAGTGTTCTTAGGTTTCTTAGGTCTTCTTAGGTTTTCTTAAGTTTCTTAGGTTATTCTTAGGTTTCGTAGGTTTCTTGGGTTTCTTAGGTTTTCTTGCCCTCGGTTTTTGGGTGTGTTTACTATTTTAGGTTTATGTTATTAAATTTACTTGTTTTCCTTATGTTTTCTTATGTTTATTTTTATTATGTTTTATTTATTGAGGAAACATTGCTGGATCACAGGCTCACAACGTAATGAATGTATGTACTCGTATTAGCTGAAAATCGAACGCGGTACTAAAATCAGTGGTGGCCAAAATGAATGGTGGCCGAAATAAATGGTGGCCAAAATGAATGGTGGCCAAAATGGGCCACCAGATAGGGCGCCAAAGTAAAAACTTCAATACAATTACATCTCTTCACTATAACTTTGCACTAGGGCTGCATGATCACATTACAATTCGATTAGTAGCCAATGCAAATTACTGTATTGGAATCAAGGTCACAGTCACATGAAATTAAATAAGCAGATGTGGTGAAGGAAGAGTCTGAACTGAAGTCTCGTACAATATTCTGCGAATTCTAGGTGGCCATATACATGCACACCTTTTAAATATTGTATTCAGTTACGACAAGGCTAATAATTGATGATAGGACAACAATTTCTTAGGGCGCGCAGAGGTACATATTATGGTGGTCTCAGTAAGTTTTTCGATTAATTTGATATTAACAATTCTCGAGAACTCTGTAAACTGAAAACTTCACTATAGAGTCTAGATGAAATTGTAGACGTTTCAACATCCATAAACCACGATAACGCGAGTACGGTTATGCAAATTTCAGACTTGAAACGAACAGATTTCAGAAACAGCTTGGCGATCCAGCTACAAAAAAGCTTGCAACATAACAATTTATTAGAATTCCGGTAGATTCCGGTGAAATTTCGGACCTTCTTATAAATTTGTGCCAAGCTGCATGGTTGCTACCGAATTTCTGCACACACAAGTGAAAGCGGTTACTATGGATACAGTTTCCATAGTAACTGCTTTCCATTTCAGGCATTTCTACACTCATCATACAATCACCGGTACTTTTCTTCCTGACTCAAGAAGTACCCAAAAATCACTGCTCCGGGAGCAGGGAGCAGTGCTCCCAATCGAAAGAAACGAAACTATTTAAAAAGTAAGTAGTAATACACCATTTTGCGAGCGGTTTGTGGGCCGATGGTGTATCTGTATCCGTGACCTTCATGGCATTGGCTGATGCGCTGCCAGTAATCGGCTCAGACGTGACCTTTGGACATTCATTGATAGCTACTGTAACTTTGAAATTTGAATTTCAAAGAAAATACAGTGAAGAGTGTAGGAAGGAAATAAGTGCGCAGTAATTAGGGAAGAAGTAAGTAGTGGAAGTCGACTTCAAGCCGATTTGAAGTCAAATAAATAGTAAAACGAAAATTTGTCTTACGTGGTTAGATAGAGGAAAGAGTATTTGGACGTCGCACAAACTTTACATGTACTGCTCCAGTCGTCCACCCGGAGTTTCGCATCACGGTTGCACATAAAGTCTATGCAGGCAATGCAGTCGTGCTTCGATGGCCGGAACAATACAGGGAAAGTGCTGTGCGACATCATTATCGAAATATCTATATTTTAAAGATATAACGCGGATTTTGTTAGGTTACTTTCAGATTCCTTAAATTATTTTAAAAGACTTGTGAGTCGACTTGAAACAGAACTTGAGGACTTGGTTTCATAACTTTCATACACCAAGTCGACTTCGTTGACTTGGTTTGAAAGAATAAGTTCAGGTTAATAACCTGACTTTTCCTTCAGTTTTTAGTTACGTTACTAACTTGATAAGTCGACTTCGCCAAGTATTTGGCAACCCTAACTATAGACATGTACAGAAGTAGTTCTACTGTACTGCCTGTACATAGGCTGAATTATTAGCCCTATTACCTTTTATTTTACGGGAAGCATTTGAATACTAATACTTCCCAATATTTATAGGGTAAAAATAAAATAATAACAAAAATACAGTTTTGGCAGGAACTGTATGTAATGTATAATAAATAATAATGCTGGTATAGCTAACTTTACAATTAGATGGGCGTGGCGCAGCATTGTGAACGTGTGGCCGCCGGCCGGCATGACCATTTGCTCTGCGCATGCCATTGCCGACACCATGCAACCCTGGTGAGCCTTGTAGACAGCCCATTAACAGCTAGCAGCAACACGCCCCTAAGACCACTACCACTGGTGCTGCCTTAACAGGGAGGACCGCCCTCTCTATTCCTATACTACAGTCCTAACAGCAAGTAACGATGGATGCGAATAAAGTTCTCAAGTATGAAAAGTTAGACTTCAAGAATCCGGAGACCTCGAGTTCGTTTTCATCATTCAATAGTCCAAGATTTATGCTCTTGACGCACTTATTTCTGCAAGAACCGTCAAACGGAATTCTTTAGACTAATTTCTGGCGAAATTAGCTATTGGTGATTTGTCGCTTTTCGTCATATAATGCTGAGATCCACCATTTCAGGTTCGCCGCTCCTGCTGAGATCCACCATTTCAGGTTCGTCGCTCCTGAAAATTTGCTTTTACAGTAGACAATTTGGACAAAGTGCGGCAGTAGCAATACAAATGGCTAAAGCCGTCTCGTAGACGCACGACGGAACGGCTATTGCTACAGCCATTGTTATTGCTACTGCCGCATTTTGCCCAAATTGTCTAGTAATTCGGTAAATACTCTGCGACCTGCGTACATCAGTGCTTCTTTTACCGTTGTCGATCTGAAACTTGATAACAGTTATCAGAAATATATTCTAGTTCCAACATCAAAATAGCCGCCAGTCACGTGATTCGAAACTAAAAATACGGCTAACCTTCTAGATCTTATGTGATCGAGGATTGGTCTTACGACCACCGGACTGCAGATTAAGAAATACCCGCCTTATAATATGGACGCCAGGGCCACGTTTTTTATAATAGCTTTAGAACGGCTCGACGAAGCTGGAAATAAGGGAATTGAAGAACTGCAAGATGTGGCCGTTACCATACAGTCTGAAACTCAGAACGAAAACTTCAGCTTGGAGTCTCTTCTCGCCATAAAAAACGGAATTCCTGAAACCTCACCGTATGACACAGTGCGCTTACAAGGATTTCTTATAACAAGCTTAAGCGGATGTGTCGCGCTTAAAAGCACTGGAGACGGTAACTGTTTGTACAATTCAATTGCTGTTTCGGTAAATGGACAGGAATCGTTATCGAGGGAGTATCGAGTACGTGCAGGGCTGCTGATGATACTAGAACCAGAGCGCATGACTTTTAGTCCGGAGCAGCAGGTAATCGACACTTATGAGGTCCACCCTTGGCGGTACCGGTCTTTATTGGCGCAGTTTGCCGAAACCTGCCCGCACCGGTATCACGTTGCAACTGCTTTTTTAAACAAAGAAACATTTGACGAAATTCCGCGATGCGGCCCAGGTAGTGAAAATTGAATCAGCGTAATATTACCCACAGAAATGGAACTTTGGATTCAGAACGATGCCGAAAACATCGTGAAACCAAATCGATGGGCATGCCGGAACTGTATCATTGCTGTCGCAACGTCGTTGCAGGTGGAGATAGTTATTTTACGGCCAAAGGTATGCTATGTTTTCTAATGACGTTTGGTCTTAAGACCAGCTTACCAAATGCACGGTTGCAGGGATACTCCTCTTTCCTGGTGCGACCGAATTCACCCTGTGGAAGAAGAATTTATATATTATGGGAGACAAATCACTTTGCTCCAGTGCAGCTTGATACAAGAGCCAAACAATACCTGTCCGCGGTAATCATTGAAGCTATGCATCGAAAGCGCGACAAAAATTCCAGCGGATTATCATTGTTTTGCCTTTCTTGCATTTTGTACCCAAAAAAGACCGACTGTAGCAAACAAATCTTAACAGATTCTGATTTTTACGATTTTCCAAGTCCGATCACACCAGAAAAGCAAATGAAAAAACGCAAGGAAGGAAGTCAAACCAATAAAACTTGCCCCGTGGAATCCAGTAGCTCCCGGTCCGCATCATTAGTGCCTCAACTGAAAAAGCGCAAAACGTATCTCCAGCAGCCTGACCTGCCCCCGAAAGCAGTAAAGTGCGCCACCGACGATGAAAGACATCTGTCCCACTCAGGAACTCGGCTTAAATTTTCTGAATCAGGTCAGAATGGGACCATGTTACGGAAACATTTCTGAATTTCGACTTACCGGACGATTTAGATCTTTTCCAAGAACAGTCGAATGCTGAAGTTTCTACAGGTAATATAATGGTTAATCGTTTTTACGATATGGCTGCATGCAGCACGCTGGCTAATGAGAATATGTTTTTGCAGGAAAAGCCACGGTCAAGTCTGTCGAAATCGAACGTAAGCATTTGTCTTGCAACATCTTACGTGTTATACTGCGAAAATCCTTAAATGCCTTTACATACTTAGGGGATCGCGTTCGCGCCGTATTATTGGAAATTTACGGAAACGAAATCGAAAATCCTGAGTTTTGCACCAAAGGAATTTTCAGCAATCGCACTGTGGAAGTTATGGAAAATTTAACACGATCAGTACAAAATAATGAGGTAGTTTGCACAATTGTTGGAAGTTGATGTGGTCTTACGACCAATTATCTTCGTTTAGGATTTGGACGCCACTCAAAAAAAGCTTATCCGCGAACGAATGCGATTTTTTATGAAGGCGGTTGCAGAACAGGCGGCTGTAGGCACAGTTTGGCGGACGGAAAATTATTTTACAAGGATAAACTGGCCAAGAAAAAGCATATCCTCAAATTTGTAGACGTTTTTGAATTTGCGTGGAATATTCATCTTCTGCCTTCACAAGCATGCGTTGCGCGAAGCGCGGAAAGCCTGGCAAAAGAGTTGTCGCGCTCTGTGTTCATTAAGGATGGACATCGGTTGATGGAGAGTATTAAATCCGTTTGTGCTGGTTGTCAAATCACGAGAGCAACAAAGCAGCTTATGCCTTATGTGCCAAAAATCAGAAGGACCACCGAATTGATGGAGCGGATTCAAATCGATCTCGTTGATATGGCACCCGATACGGAAAAGCAAATGCAAACAAATCTCGGCCAGTTTCGCTACGTTCTTTCCATAACAGAATGTTTCAGCTGATTTTGTTTTTTATTCCCTATTAGAAACAAGACAGCCGAAGAAATTCATGCACAGTTGGTAACCTTTTTTGTGGATGAAGGTTGTCCAAAAATTCTACAGAGTGACAACGGAAAAGTTTCCATTAATAAGCTGGTAAAAGACCTTTTGGAAAATGCAAGCGTTGGGTTTGTGCATGGTAGGCCATACCATCCACAGTCACAGGTAACTGTCTTTTTCGAATTTCTAGATTTTAAAAAAATCTTCATTTTAATGTTACAGGGACAAGTGGAACGTCTAAATCAAAAGCTGAAGCGAGCTCTTGCATTTATGATGGCTAATTTGGACCCTGTAACGCAAGGTTTATTATGGCCGTATTTTTTGCCATCCGTCCAGCACTTATTGAATACAACACTACATAATTCCACAAATATGACGCCGTTTGAAGTTTACAAGGGGTACGCTTCTGCGCTAAGCCTTGAAAGAATAGGTAAGATTTCCCAACCTGGTCTCAAGACCTACCAAACACTTTCAGTTGTAGAATTGGATCCGGTGCCATGGAAAGCGGAGCACGTCAGTATGCTGAAACGACTTATGCCTGAGCCACCAGATGATGAGTTTGCTGATGTTTATGCAATGGAACAGTATGAAAACGACATTGATGAAAAGGCTGAAGAAAACCTTCGACACCTAGATGATCTGCCAGAACCGCTGCGGTCGCAGGCTCTACACGCGCTGGAACAGCTGCATTATTGACGTGCTTGCATGCAAACATCTGTCATCGAAAATGTAGAGCGGAGACTTTTTAAAAACATCTACGGACCAGCAGTGAAGGCTAGGCAGATACGAATCGAAGTTGGCGATGTGTATATTTGGCGTCCGCATCAAAAAAGACGGAAATTATCTGGTCGTGTAAAGGTGAAGATTGTGCGAATTATGGAACAAGAGAAAACGCTCTCCTCAAGATACCAGGTGGAATATTTCAAGAACGGTGACCGGGAACCTCCCATAAAGACTAAAGAAAATTCTTGGTTTTTCACAGTGCTTTTGGTTAACACAAACGAATTATCAATTTATCGGCGCCGTATTGCTACCCAAAATGGGGTCCATGAAGAGCGCATGCCAGAAGAAAGCACTATTGGCTGTTTATCAGATATTCACAAGGACGCAAATGCGGTGGGAAGAGGCGTGCACGAATTTGCTGACACAATGCGTGCTTATTTGAAAGAAACGAGTTGTTTGGCAAAACGCGTGCAACCAGGATTACTAGACGGAGCAGACGCAGAGAAGTTTTTTCATTTGTTGGATCAAGGTGCAGCAGCTTTCATAACGGAGACGGAGCGCGGAAAAGGTTCCAAATATCTGGAAGACGTCTTAGCTGGGATAAACGAGTTGCGAGATTCAACAGGGTTTTTGTACTGGATGAGCGGTTTATTTAAATGGGAAGCAACGACGTCCAAATCGCCTTTTAAAATAAGAAATATCCTGGCCGGGCAAGATCTTTACCACAAAGAATCTTGCATGCGATGTATGGAAACTCAACCTGATTGTGGGCATTTGTGCTGTACAGATTCTCTGAATGAACTCTGTGCAAAACGAGGTATGAGTTAATCTACTAATATGCAATTTGTTATGGTTCTAAATGTACTAGAAACTCTTGATTGTAAACTAAAGATTATAGCGACAGCAACTCTTGTTGCTTTATTTCAGCAATAAGAACAGCATCTGAATGCAAGAAGCAAAAAATTCTTTAAGCTGAAGCATTTTACCATAAAAAAGTCGGCACGAAAATTCAAAAGCTAACATAAAACAGTCATTTGGTCTCAAGAGCAGGTCTCGTCGCTAAAGAAACAAAAGTATCGGTACTATTTCGACGAAACATCAATAAACTGAAGACCCGTTCACAATAAATCTGTAAAATAATTTCCGTTAAGCTTTAAAGTAGACGTTGCTGGATCCGCAGATTCCACTGCATCGGCTGGCGCATAATAGATGTCAGCCGGATCGATTTGAGCAGGTCCAACTTTTGCGTATACAAGAACCCCTGGCTGAAGAACACCGTAATCGCTGGTGTCAAACTTTTCAGTAGAGGCGTTCGCTTTTCCGCCATAATACAGGTTCAGCATTTTCGAAATCATCAGGTTCTTGCAGGGGGTTTTCACAACGTTGTGCAGCTGTAAAAAGCGTAATAATGTTAGCCTTGGTCTTAAGACCTAGCGCACAAAATCTTGAACTTGGACAATAATAAAGAAGTGCGAAATATGAACTTGGTCTTAAGACCACACATGCAACGGCTTACTCGAGCTCGTTCTAGCTTTAACAAACAAGTTTCCCGCTGGTATTCTGAATTTTCAAGTCGAGAATTCTGCAAAAAAAACAGGTAAAATATTTCAAATCTAGCGCCACAAGCTCAAATTTCTACCTGGCAATCAATTTGTTCGGCTGCAAGTTGTGAAAGCGCGTGATCCAGCTTTTCCTTTAGTGCCGCGGCTTCTGCACGTGCACTAGCCAAATCCTGCAAAAACGGAAAAACCCGTTAACTTAAACCTGCGTTAACCTCTTTTCAAATGACAGACGTCGTTTGAATTGGCTGGTGCCGTATCCGAAGGGACCGGAGTTTGCGGAGATCCTTTCAGTCTTTTATGAGGATTCTGTTTTTTGCTGGAAGCCGACTGCGTTTCATCTGGGTCTTTAGCATCGTCCGCATCTTCTTCTGCAGGAATCTCAGCTGCCTCTTTTACTGCAAAATCGGCGTTTAAAAACAGCAAAAAAATAAAGAAAAAATTTTACTACCGTATTTCTCAATTTTGTTCCAGTCTCCTTCTGCAATAATTTCTTCAAACGCCCGCTCAATCATTTCACTGGTCTTCAAGCCCAGTTTTATTCTTCGGAAAATAATAGGTCCGATTTCTTTTTTCTCGCTTTCCATGCCTTTGCTCGACTTTTTTTCTTTAGGAATGTGCTTTATCTCTCCGGCATCGGCTTTTACCATGAATCGGTTAAGAACCGCAAATGTCTTCACTGGGAGATGTGCGCATTGGTAGATGAATTTGTACGAACATTGTTGCAGCGTCTTTAACTGAAAAGAGACCAGGTTGCGTTAGCTTTGAATCTCTCTAACCTAAGGTCTGGTCTCAAGACCAAAACATTCGCATAGCAAGAACTCACCGAAACAATCTTAGCAAAAGTCTGCTTGGTCTTGAGACCAGTGCTCAAAAGTATTACTCACTGGAATTCCAGTAACTTTGCTGATCATCTTGTTATCGGACTGCACTTGCTTGCTGGGCTTCTGCAGGTCACCTGCTTCTTGCTGGATGTTTTGTGCGTTGTAGCAAATCTTTCGGAACAACCGAAGGGTGTCAAATACGGTTTCCTCGCGTTGGACGCTTGTTTCCGTATTACGTGCACGCGATAAGAACAAGCACCGATTGTCGTCCAGGTCCACGTAGATGGCGACCTATAATCAAATTTTGTTCATTTGAGCAAATCAAGTAAAAAGAATCTACCTTAACAAGAGAATCCATTGTCCATCTGCTTTTGCAGTCTTTCACAAGAGCTAATATGCTCTCCAAACGATGCTGACCTAAACACACCACTTCACGTCACCATTGCACCATATTAATAAACTTAGTTAACAAAACAAACCGTCTAGTATTTCCACGACCAAAATTCTGCTTTCTGCTTCTTTGATCAGAACATCTCGTGTTTTGCCATGACTTTGGACCACACCAGTGAGAGAAATCTGAGCAGATTTTGGGTCGGAATTTTTCAGGCTCTCAATAACGACGTCTCGGTAATCTTCGTACATTATCCGTGACTGATGCTGAGCGGAAGGAGCACGCAGGTTTCTGATTGGTAATGACACTTCGCCTACTCAACAAACTCAACTTAACAAGCACTAAACACGGCACATATGAAGCAGAGACCTTTGTAATTACACAGAAACGCGTCCTTCACTTCCTTCTTGTAGGGCGATACTTCCATTTGAGAGGCACCAGCGGACGCCACGCGTTTATCCTTGGCGGTCTGCAATTTAATAGTTAAACCAAGGCGATGCTTTGTAAGCAAACCAAATCTTCAAACTCTTCTGTTTGAGCCATCTGGTCGTAAGACCAAGCCAAAGTAACTTTATCAGTTAAACATTTCTACATGAAATTTTAAGAACAAGCACATTTATGTTTTTTAGAGCTTTTATTATGCAAGAAATCACGTGACTGCCTCGTGGCTTTTTACAAAGTAGGGAAATTTGGTAACCTTTTCTTTGTTATTTAATTATTATTTAATCGTTTTCACCTCTTTGTTCTGTGAATGATCGGCCTCCTCGCTTTTCCTAAAAAACCGGAAAGAAAAATATATGAACAGTTGTAGTTGCTGCAGACTGGTAAGAGCTAACATAGAAACAAAAACCCATTTAGGAGCCAACACTTGTGTTTACAACCTAATACTCTTGAAAATGGAAAAATATTGCCTACACTAAATGCAGGATAACAGCCATCATCAAATAAAATTAAGTATTGGTAACATCTTTACCGTTTATCAATCGGTTCCATGTTATTGAGATCGTCCATGTCGGTTTTGCGGCCGTCTTTCAGAGACATCACTCAAAACCAGACTCTAAAGATGAACAAGACACTCTTGCTGACAATAATTAGCTTTCAGCCATGATAGGAAGCAATAATATCGCAAGCGGTAAATCGAGCATGAGGAGCTTTGAGATAACCACAGGATAAGCTGAAGCAGATCAGAACCTCATATCAGGCCTCTCAGCAGCACTGCTTACCACGTCGCACGCAAACGTTTCCAGAATTCAGATAGATTCTATTATAAAGATTACCTCACATTAAGTGAATATTGTGTAAACTGTTAGCAATAGTACTAAAATGACTTACATAAATAAATCAGTTATTCTACAGAAAGTGAAAAAATTCAGCGAATTCACAAGCTGTAGACTCAAAGAACTTTCAAAGAAAGAAACTGGAAAGCGAAGCCGCTGCACGAACTAGCACGCAATCCCGAAACGAATGGAATGAACTGAAATGACGTGGTGCTGCTGATGATTACTCACTTTTACATGTCAGAGACCTAAACATCACGGCTGATCCAATCCTCCTGGAGGGATTGGATGGGTGCTATTCACGCACTTCGGTTCATTTTATGGACTTTAGCTTCGTGCTCAGTGGCAGCGATTACACATCCAATCTGCCACAAAATCCATTGGAAATTGCAACTAAACGCTTCTAAGCGTACGGAACACATTGCAATAAAATTGTAAAAAACAAAAAAGCAAATGCGGTATCTATTTAGTTAATAACTGCGTGGTGATTGATGATTGCCATAATAGTCAATAATTAATTGTTTGACTTCCTTACGTTTGTATCTCAATCTTGATATTTTGAACTAATGCTTTCTTGCAATCTTGCAATGTTAACTGCATATTTTATTGGTTGAATACTGTCGGCTTCCCTTCACTATGTCCTCTACAGATCTACGGTGTGATCATTGTGCTGGAGAAAAATCCTATTCGACGAAGTCAAACTTAAACCGTCACGTTAAAAAGCACCATCCAGAATTTTCTGTTCCAAAAATTGGTAGGTTTTTTAAAAAAATGATTGCAAGGTGATGTCGTGAAGATTGAAATGTTTGTGTCGTAGCGGGAAAATGTCAAGAGCCGGAATGCCAATTTGTCTTTTATTACCTTGAATCTTTGATTTCACATCTCTGACTGTGCTTTCCATAATCGGGTTGAATTCAGCGTGAAGGAGAAAACATTTCAAAATTTCGATGAATTTGTGTCTTAGAAAGCTGATTTCGAAGATTTGACTGCCAGCCAATTCAACCATGCGAATGGAGAAAAAAAACGAGCTGAAAAATCTTTCAGAATGTATTCTTGCTTTCGAAATTTCAAATGTACCGGAGACGAGAGTTCGAAAAAACAACGAAAATTTAAATGTACCGCTTTTATTAAGGGATGTCATCAATCATTGTTAGCTAGAGCCTAGATCATTCATCAAATTAGCGTCAAGAACTGAGTGCAATTCTTGAAGATAGTAACAAAGGTCATGCAGCGCATAGTGCAGAGCATAGTGCAGAGAAGAGTGTAGAGAAGACAGTCTTGAAATCAGTGCTAACATTAGTGCATAACTGCATGTAAAGCGAAGCGGAAAACACGGTTCTGTTATTGATTAAAATTAAAATTTGATTTAGTCTATTGCTAGGATATGATAAGCACTACTTGCACTTTATGCGCGTTATACGAATAACAATATTATTATGTGCGCCAAACAGCAACTTGGAAAATTGTCGCAACTGCAAAACGCCGGGTGAACGAATATCTATTTGTACGAACATACCCAAAAGACTTTTACTACTAGTATGCACTTACAATACTTGTGCTGCTTGTGCCATGCAGGTACTAGTATATTAGTAACTACAGCATATTCATACATAAGGAAAAAGCTCCGTACGTAGTCCGTAAACCACGCTTTACCACCAAAAGTTGTTGCACACCACATCTGATTACCACCAGGCTCTGTACACTACTGTCTGCACCACATTTTGTCTCGGGCCATTTCTGCGACAACATCATGTATATTTTATAAAATACCGGCAGCATCAGAATACCACCTTATATTACAGTAATTTGTGGTTTCGAAGACATACAGTAGGGAGTTGCGTATACGATCTACAGTAAATACTCTTATACGTATATTTTAGCTTGCCGGAAAAGCGGATAACGGTTAGCTAATCTGCTGCCCAAATCAAAGAAACGGAATCGACTATGCCCTTTGGCTTTAACGTTTGCGCACGAGTTACTCAATGGAATGGACCCACAAAGGGGCTCATTTTTTGGAAAAATAATGAGAGAGTGGGTAATAACATCATTCTAAGCTAAGCGTGTGCAAAAACTCAAACACCGTCCTGGCCGGGCGGCCAAGCAAGTATAACCGAAAAATTGGCTAACTATAACGGAACGGAGGCTACGAGTGCATCAAAAAAGAAGAGCCAGGCCGCAAGATGAAAGAAGTTAAAGAACAGTCTTTCTTCCCCCCGTAAAAACAATTAACTAATTATTTTCAAAATAATGGTGTCCAGAGACTTGGGTGGTGTGCACTCTGCCCTTGATGCTGTTAGGATATTTCGTTGGTTTTCGTAAAAAATTAAGAAATAAAAAGTGGTGTGCGGAGCTTGGTGATGGTACAAGATGGTGGCGGAGACTGGTGGTTAAACGTGGTGTGCGGGCCCTTCCCTTATACATACATAACTTTGCCTCACATGCTTTGTGGTGTGAAACCATTTGAAAAAAGCAATTTTAGCGAAATCCAAAACTCAAATATTAAGTGAAAAGCGTTGTTTTTTGAATCATTTAGATTGCTAATGACAGCATTATATTTGTAGCGCTACTTAATAATTGCAGTGGTAACCTTTAGGAATTATTAATAAAAAAGGTACCGTAAAGCAATAGATTATCGGCGTTAAGGTTATGCTTCGTCTGCCGTCAAGAAAGAGTCGGCATGGAGAATAATGAACACCCAAGAAAACTATAAAGTTTTAAAAAAAATATGAGAAAACTACGGAACTTAACAAAGCTACGGAACTGAACAAACTTAAGACGGTTCAGAAAAATGCTACTTAGTCTGAATCCATAACGGGTCGATACTGTGTCTGTTCGACGTAGTGACGGTTAATACGTTTTCCTCGACAAAATGAAAGGCCATCAGAGGAAGTTTTTTTATAACACAAGAGAATTTCATGCACTAGTTACAGTAAGTAATTAAATGATGCCTGCTGGCTACTGTAATAAGATTTCTTAAATTCCGACAACACATGTTTAATAGTCCAAAATGCCTACATAGCTATTTCGTATTATTAATAATGTGTAATTTTACATTTCGGGCGCACATGTGCGCTCGGAATGTCCGCGCGCCAAATAGTATTCAGATTTTAGTAGCGCAGGGCCTACAAACTTGTGCTCACGTAACACAAAGTGTGTTCTCGTAAAGGTGCTTGCATTTACGTAGATCAGAACTTATGTTTAAAAGTATGAAATTCCAATAAAAATCGTATTTCGAGCAGGATTTCTGGCTGTCTGAATTTTTTTTTACTTTCTACTTAGTTTTTACTGTTGTTTTAAAAACCTTACTTACTGTTACTGTTAGTAAATGTCCCAAACGTTACTGCTTAATGAAGGCTTAATATTAGGGTACTGGGAACTGGGAAGTTACTCGGTACATGGAACCAAATTCATGCACATGCGCGAAAACATTCACTGACATACGTTCTGCCTCTTACGAAAGGCTTAATCCTCCAATGCTAATATTATACGAGAGTAGGAAAAGGTGTCTATCAGGGAACTTGTACCCGTAAATTAACGCACGAATTAATAATTTGATAACACAGAGTAATACGGATACCTCGTAGAATGTACACTCTGTAATACATACTACAGTATTTGGAGCGGATACAGTATTTGGAGCGCATAGCTAATATATGCATAATTCTAATTGATCAACATTCCACACCCGGATTGTCAGGGTGCATAGCACTAATTTTATTAGTAACATGACGACAAAATTATGTTTTAGGTTAAAACCACCAGTGAAAGTGTGGTAGCGTCTGACTGTGAGCAACATTATGGTCACGATGCCAACGCTGACCTTCATGCTCAAAAGATTCCCGAAAAACTTCGGATCGATATCGGAAGCAGGCTGGCTTTGAACGCAGACCCACGCGTAATTGTGCGAGATGTGCGAAAAGCTGCATGGGAAAGGCTCCAGAAAGGTTTGTAAAAACCATAGAAATTTTTTACGGCGGTTGCGTGAGTACAGTATTATACGAACCTTGCAGAGGGCGTTCATTCGCGTGCATTATGCATCACATTGCAAGATGTATACAACATTCGTCGCGAATTAAAGCTGCATTGGGAGCCACGCAAAGCTTGTGAATACCAGTCAATGGGACTTGAAGCCGCGTACGAAAACACGGTTCCATTTCAGGAAAGGAATTTATTATACTTAAAAAACATCTCGCAAAAATGTGTACAATTCCCGGAATTATCTGAATCCTATTTTATTGCCGTTCTTCAGACGCCTTTTTAAAGGGCACAGTTTAAAAGACTGAACCGCAAAAGTCTGTGTATTGATGCAATACATGGTGTTTGTGGCCAGCGAGGATTTAAATTTATAACACTAATGGGCATCGATGCTGCAGAACGCGGATTTCCAGTTGCACATTGTATTGCGAATCACGAAGACGAATTAACGGTTTCGGCTTTTTTCAAAATACTGAAAGAACAAATCCTAAATTTCAATGCGGAGTGGTTTTTATCTGATGATGCTCCTGCGTTCTTTAACGCTTACCGGCAAGTGATTGGATGCAATGCCAAAAAAATACTATGCACATGGCATGTACGGAAAAATGTGAATCAGTGGCTTGACAGTCACACGCGTTCGTTTACCGATGCGAAGAAGCGATTCGGCAATATCATGTATGCTCGTGGAATATATGAAGCGGAAGCCGAAAGCGCTGAGCTGATTAGATTGGTCAGCACGGACAAGAAGGTGTATTCTTATTTATCTCAGTATTTGGAGCGAATAAACGAATGGTCACTGCCATACCGTGTCGGCGCTGCCTTTTCGACCAGTGCATTTATAGAAAGCTTCCACAGGTTAGTACTTAATGTTATAGTACTTCATTTTTTTATATTTTCGTTCTAGTATGAAGATTTCGGGTAGCTGTAGGAATTACGCACTACATGTACTCGTAGTTTATGAAAACACAATAGTTTACCATGCAGTACTGGCGCACAGAGCGGTTGCCGGTATAGACTTTGCGCCTTGATTGCCGCCGGCATTGCCGGCATTGTTTTGCGCAACGAATGCCGGCATTGTTTTGCGCAACGAATGCCTGGCGAATAGCACTTATTATACCACGAATAGCACCATCGCTCATTCACTTATTATAGTGTTTCACTTGAACGACCATACGAATAGTACACTAAGTATAAGCAGTCTCTTGTTGCAATGTTCGCAAATTTATCTACCAGCTGTCCACTTCTTCTAGGGGAATGATCCCCTTGTTTCGTCCCGTTGTGCTGCCTGACACTTCGGAAATTACATCCTGAAACAAAAGTAATCATGTATGAACTCAAGCAATTATGTAACAAAATAAACTTTGGTTATAATAAGACGCTCAGGTTTTGTAAAGCAAGGCTGATAAATTAGATTCATTGGTGCTTAATATTAAAATCAGAACAAACTCCGTCTAATGTAAGACCGGAGCATATACCGCAGCTGTCGCCCTATAAATTCCATCTTAAATATCAAGATAATAAAATCGTTTAAAGTGAAACAATTTTAGTTTGTGGATACGGCTTTGTTTTTATTTGTTTCACCTGTTCAGAAACTGCCGGAACTTCGTCGCCGCGGAATGAATAATTGTGCGACAGATCCGGAGTGCTTACCTCAGCGGCCGGCGATGTTGTGGCAATAGAATTTTCAGATAAGGAATCAGTTGCATTAACATCCATGAAAGCTAGAGACACACCAAATAACGAGATCGACATTTTGTTATCTTTATTGTAAGATCATTTTTTGTAGCATAGAAAAATTAAGTATAGGAACTGCTATAGGTGACCACTCCGTACACAACCTTTCACTACTTTTTACTCCGTACACAACCCTTTGCACTACTTTCTTTCCGTGCATAACCGGTACCTTTCACTCGACCTTTTTGTGCACGACCTTTTACTCCGTACACAAACATTCGGCACTATCTTTATCTGCGTTGCACTACCTTTTAATCTTTAAATTTTTTCACGACAAAGTTTTTTTGGAACTGCCGTTTTCTCCTTAACAGCTGTTTTTTTTCAATGCGAAATTGTTAGCCGTGCTTAGGTTAGTTGAATACTGGCAGCTAGCTCCGTAATATCATGTGAGTAATATTACATTCAAACAGCTTGCTTCTACAGAGTACAGACTCTGTAGAAGCAAACTGTTTGGGTTTCTGTCCTGCGTTCATTCTACAGAGTACAGACTCTGCACACATTTACTCTCCATAACATTGATGTCATCGTCAATCTGGCAAGATCACCAGCGTCACCCACTAATGACCACTACGTCACGTAACCACCATGGCGTGCACGAACTGACCAATGAGCTGAGCTCAGCTGGCCAGTGGCTGGGGAAAGGCACGATTTTCTTTTGTTCGCACAGGGATTTTGACTAAAACTTGCTGTTTGTGTGCATCGCATGCCTCGCTACTGCTGATCTCAGCGCTTACAGCTCGCTGATATTTTAGGATTCGGCTAATGCTAAGTCAATGGTTTAGTTGTAAAACAAAGTTGCACAACAAATCGTAGCTTAAAATGGGAACTACAGATTCCAAGATGTTGTAGTAATATTCCCACGCCCTGTGTTTTCCGGCACCTTTATCGCGCTCGCAAGATTCTTTCAAAGCTCGCTTCCACAGTATTTCGTGCTCGTGAACGGTTTTTTCGGACGCGGACGCTGACGGGCGCACGCTTTCGGCCATTTTGTTAATCGGCTTTACCGTTTCGAAAAATCAACCTACTTACCGTGTAGTTTGGTTGTGCAGTGCGGTTTCAGGTTTGGGATCGCCAGTTCAGATGTTACTTAATTATGATGTCGATCAGCATTAATTAGAAACAAGTACGACTGAACTCGTATCAATAATTGCATGGGCTGATACTGCATACAGATAATTATATTTTGGCGATTTTCGCAAAACTGCCCATTGACCAGTTTGCCACGATTGCTATAAGAAAGAAGAAAAGCCTTTCTCCTCTCCTACAACATCGATCTACAACAAATTTTTCGAAATACAAAGTGTTTCTTACAGCTGTTTGCGTCAATACTTTCGAGAATTACAACCAAAAATGCTACAACAAAGCTGACTCTCGTGCTTACTTCTTCTATTGTACTCACAACTAAAATATATCTAGTATAACACCTGCAATCTGCCGCAAAAATTTAACCTGCTGTAGAAAAGTGTTATGGAAAGTGATAAGCGTAGTGCATACACAAGTGGTGACTTTAATGCAGACCTTAGTGCAGCTGATAGTAATGGAGTGTACAGTTTACCCGAGTACAAATCGAAGTGCTATACTTTCTACTTGCATCGATTGTATATATTTTTATTTTTACAGATAACGTTTTATTTTATTTTATCTGGAGTCTGGTTAAGCTCGGATGCGAGAACTGATTGGGCTTGAGTTTCTCTTTGTACTTTGACCTACTTTCACAGTGTCAACCACTATATAAAACAATGGTACATTAGTTATCTATACAAAAAAATTGCACAACAACTAACAAAGTCATGTACAAAGTATTGCGGATTAGTCCTGCAAAAATTTTCAAGCTAAAAAATGTACCGCATTGTGGAGTCGGAGGCACGACTGGAGGAGCGACAGTATTCCCGTTTTGTTTTAACGCAGCCAGTTTCACGCATGTCTGCAGCTGCGCGATGGACAGCTCTCTCTTGGACTGATCGCCCACTGTGAATGGCTCTAGTCCTATCAAGCAATGCATAATATTTTTCATTGCCTAGGGTTGAAAACTATGGTGCTACATTATTTGACTGCTTTGCAGTGTACCGCCTTTAGGAACCCAACCGAATTGCTCCGCTTTGTCGGTTCCAAAAAATTTACGTAAACACCTCGGTTTCTGGCATTCTCCGGTGGCGTTTCAACGCACGCCGGCCAGCGGTTATAACCTGCGTTAATTTTTATAGTTAGTTAATAGTAATACTGACAGCTGAAAACCATGGGGACCCTTCCAATGCAAGCTTATCAGCAGCCATACCTTTGATCTTTGCCCAAACGATTTGTCCTACTGAAAAGGGCAACGCTGACATTTTTGCAGTTAACGCCGAAATTACGTTGCTCAAAATGAGAAAACAGAGCAATGTTCCGTGAATTATCAAAAGTTAAAGCATGGAGGCCGTAAAGCATGGAACACGTCAGAACATCATAACTTCCGAAATTCAGCAAGAGTAAATAACAACAACGGGAAGAATACTGGATAGCCGTGGCTGTCTTGTGTATCTGTGTACTTATGCCATCCACCCCAAGATAGGTAGCAGCTTGGTATCCCGACTCCGTAAACAAGCGTCCTATACAGTCTACTCGAATGGTCGCTCAAGTGAAACACCATGATTAGTGAATGAGCGATGGTCGTTCAAGTAAAACACCCAAAATATATTTATTTCCCCAAAACCGATTTTCTTCCGTTTTTTTCTTTATCCAATTAAGCAGGATTTACCCTTTACAGAGTACTTAAAATTTTTAAAGAAGAATTCCATATTACTGACCATGAGTGTCAACCCGAGTGCATATCTTAAGACTGACCGGAGTAGATACTGGAAGAGAGTTTGTTACCCCCCCCCACTGTTCAATTTTAGATTTTCGCATACGGAAAAATTTAGGAAGACTGGAAGCAACCTAAATTTCAACTGGTCGAGGATTTGCGTAGATCGGTCATCAAGGAACAAGGTCTATAATTTAATTACAAAGAAATCTGGGACATCGAGATTTTAAAAAACCATAACATACTGGAAAAACTGTAAACGCCATTAGATTCAGCATGATCAGAAACTGTGTCACATGTATTTTATTTCTTTAAAAAAAAATTATTCTAACCCGTCCCTCCGATGCCGGTTCCGGCAAAACTGGCTCCTGTAAAACTTTGTAACTTTGAAATAATAGCAGTTCCAGTTAGAACGTTTACTAAAGTATTAAGTGTTTAGTCTGTGCTGTATAATATGTTTAGTGTACTATATAATATACAGCTATAAACTAAATTCAGAGCCATGTTTGAATTTTGCCAGGCTTCGAAGAGGTGGTTTGTGATCGCTATCAAAATATAACTACGGCAAGCCGATAAACATATTAATATTATAAACATATTAATATTATTAAAATATGTAAGGAGGTGGAAATAGTCGAAAGGAGGTGTAAAAGGTGGTTACAATAGCCAAACGTGGTGGCAAAAACAAGTATTTTTAAAAAGGGGGTGCGAATAGCCAAGAGGTGGTGAAAGGTCGTGAGAACAGCCATTTCCTTTTTAAAAATCAATCAGAAAAATTAAACTTTTTTGAGTCGTTGTTCTATCGAATTAACTATCTAACTAAGTAATGCTTCAGCCTAACAATGGTAAGCCCGTTTCGTCTTGCACTTAATCTGACCAGAGCCCTAACCCGAGTGCTAACATTAGTTCTAACCAAAGTAAAAATTCGAATGCTGACCTTAGTTTTAACCATAGTATTAACCCGAGTGCTCATGTTAGTGTTGTCGGAAGGCTTTCCTTGAGTGGAAGTGATAATTTATAAATATTTTAGAATTGTTTGTAAGCATGTTTTGGTAGGACGAAAACGGTCCTTGACTTTCATTTTAAACAAAAAACAGTTTTGTAATGCTTCCGTTGCTGATCTGAAGGTGTAACATATGGGAAGTTATCTGAAAAGAGATTCATTTGTGATTTGGCCAAAATAAAACTTAGCACGAACGAGAGAAATTCTTCTTCTATTCTTCTTCATATGCGAGGCGTATCTATATGTCGATATGTGGTACCTTTTACAATTTACAAAATGTTCCACACGCTAGTCAGATTAGAAAATCGGGTATCTGTTATCAGGGTCGATACGTTTTGCGCTTTGCTTTTTAAGCCTTCCTATTGATAGAAACTAAAATTTCTAATTTCAAATAATATTAATTATTTTCGTGCTTGGACTTGCGCTTAGGCACTGAAAAGCAACAACTTCCAATGGATTTTGTGGCAGATTGGATGTGTAAACGCTGCCACTGAGCACGACGCTTAAGTCCATAAAATGAACCGAAGTGCGTGAATAGCACCCATCCAATCCTTCCAGGAGGATTGGATCAGCCGTGATGTTTAGGTCATGTCAGAGACTTGCAGCAGCAAGGCGTGTGACAACAAACGAAGCTACGCCCATTTGGGAGGGTTGCTGCCAGCTGCTAACGGGCTGTCAGCCGCTGTCTACAAGCCTGCTCCATAATAATTTTGACTGCTCCGCGGATCCTATCTTGTGTATCTGTGGGATTTGGAAATCGAAAGAAAATAAAGCGTAACCTGATTGAGAGCTTCACTAATTTTAAAGACCAATCAGTTGTCTGAAGTCCAGGAACTCCAGAGTCAATTGCTCCCTGTCGCTTGAGAAACCAACCAAGCGGGGCGGCGACTTCGTGCGTAAAGTGATCCAGAAGCAGAACTGTAGACTTTCCTGTTCATCTATTTAAGTATTTGGAACATTTTTTAGCGTTTTGGAGTTAGAAAATTGCAGAGGTGCTCAGGTGTTGCTTTTGTTTTCCCATTCTGTTGACTGTTATAAGCGTTACTGTATTTATGCAAACGATTTTATTTTTCGGAAAATGGCTCTCTCAGGAGTGCACCAGATAATCACGAAATACAGGTGCGTAGGGTGAGATGCTTTGGTGAATTGCCGTTTGTGCTTTGGACCGAACTGCAGATTGTTTTGGTTCTTTAAGACTGTGTAGTGGGTACTGTGTACTGTTATTTTCTTCCAGAAACCGTACGAGCGATGAGCTCAACCAGTGCCTGATAAATCTGTGCCGACTCCTTTCTTCGTTTTCTACTATTGACAAACAGACGGACGCAATTGTCGTCTCCTTCCGAGAGCTGTACTTGATATTACTGACGAATCGTTCAGACAAGAGGTACGGCAATTATTCTAAAATATAAATTTACTTATTTTATACGTACAATTATATTTCTATTCGTGGCATTATTTTTTTTCTAACAAGGGATTGTATGGCACATATGTGGAAGAGGGATAGTTACCTGGTGTATTCTGTTATGTACGTGTTGTGATTTCAGAGTTCCTGAAAATGTTATCATCCTTTGTTTGTCGGCTCTGCAAGACCTCAAAGCGATTCATCCACAGCTCCTGACAATTGCCGTTGCCTGCTTAGCTGAAGTCAGTCCTTCGGAGACAGTTAAAATCGATGCAAAGTCGCTGGAATCGCTCGATGTCAGTCGCATTCCAGTTTTTCTGCATCTCTTGCGACAACAGGTAATTTTGGCTTAAGCGCCCATGTGCATGTTTATTTTATTCAGTTGGGAGAGCATTTTATTAGCATTATTAGAAATCTGTTTTGGACGATGTTTAGGACCTGCCAGCTGAATTCGGACGATCAAACTGCGTTTTGTTGGCCAAGTAAGTTTCAGTGCTGCGTTGCCGTCCATGTTTACATTACAAACGCGGAATATAGGCGCGAGCTTTTACGTTTGCAAGAATTGCAAGGTTAAGCTGATTGTGCTAGTATTAAGAGTTGTGCTTTATTTGTAACATGTTTTCAGATATTTAAACGATGCAGTTACCGGGCCTGCAGCAAAACAGTCCGTTCTGGCGTTTTTCGTTAATTTGTTTGCTGCGGAAGATGAGAAAGTTTTATATGAAGGTGGGTGCGTGCGTGCCGTTATAACTACTTGGGATGTTTTGTACAGTAAACGTTTCGCCCTTTGAGAAGAGTTGGGATTCTTGTGGTTGTGACTAGGCTGCGACAGCGGTTGGCGTTGCGGTATTATTTTACCTTTTGAATTCTGTTTTAGATTGCTACGATTTGGTGTGCTGGTCGGTGGCGAATTGGCTCATCAATGCAAGTACATTCGATGAAGCCCAGCACGAAAAAAGCAAACGCACCACCAAATCGGTGGAGCTGTTGTCCGTTACGGAGTTGGATGGCAGTACTCCGTCGGAGGCGTTCACCGTTCTTTGTTTGGCGCGCGCATATGCCGAGGATCAGCAGATGAGCATCACGAGTTTTATGCTCCTGTACGAAATCCTGTTGACATTACCTCTAAAAAACATGATGGAGGTGGTTCAGGATGAAACTCTAGCGATGCCTTTGGCAACTTTGCAAGGGCGTGTACGCTATGTGTCTTTGGAAGAAGTGGCGTTCGATTATTGTTTGCGGTTGCTAAAGCAGTCTGAAGTTCGTAAGTGTTTATGTCTCTTGAATAAATAAATCTATTGCTGTAGCTGATTGCAGCTGCTTGCTGAATTTTCTAGGCCCCCTAAAGTCATCGTACGATTGCGAACTTCAGGATGTGGTAAGGCTGCCAAATTATTTCAGTTTTACGTGTAAACTTTATAGCGTAAGACCAAGTGTGGTAATTGGTTTGAAGGTATTATCGGAAGCTGTTAGAATTATGGATTTGTTGTGCTCGAGAGATAAGAAGCTTGTGCGCAAGGCTTTCCGGAGTGTTCAAGACGTTAACGATCGCGTCGTAAGGAAAATCCATAACATGCAACTTCTGCTGATAACCTTTCGTTTCATGTTGAACCATGGTGCGTAAGCGGTTTTGTATCAATCTTCTAATAATTTTCGGCACTTCAATCTTAGCTGGTGTTCCCCATTAGAAAAAATAGAGGAGAATGAAATTATTTCAGGAGATAGTGCCGATTTCGAATTGGATAACTTGTGCCATTTTATGTGTTGCGACTTCCTGCCAGGCTCTGGATTACTTGACAACATTTTTGCCTCTGAATTCATTGCACTTTTGCGGGATAACCGTTCCTTGGTTCGAAACCGCACGAAAATGTTCTCGCGATATTTTCCTAGTTTATTTAAAGTGCTAGCATGGAATCCTCGGGCCAACATGCATCTGTTTGTTGAACTCCTGGAAGTTATTACTACTAGCACAACTTATTTGGAGGCAAGTTTCAGCTCGCGGTATAAGCATTTTTTGCTGCGAAAAAACTGCAGATCTGTTTTCATAAACCAATAAAATGTTTAACCGTTGCTGTGTTCACAGATTTTCCATATGCTGATTGATCTCCCATGTACATCTGCGGCGTTGGAAGTAGCTTTGTGTGGAGAATCTAGTTTCTTCACGTCCATCCGGCAGTTGGCTACAGATAAATACAAGGATGCTAGGCTAAAATTTTATTTCGAATTTTTCCTTCGCAATGAGGGCGGACGAGGCGAAACACCCGATCAGTGAGTTAAATGCGTTTTGATGGCTTATGGCAGGCTTTAACACGAGTTCTACAATAATAATTTTACTGCTTGCAGTCTGACTGAATTTCATGCCGTCCTGTCAGATGTTACAGCTCATCCAAGGGTTGTTTACTGTTCGCAGGCGATTTCGGCTTTGATGAGGTTAGACTAATGTGCAGGCTGTTATATGTTATTGTCAGATAGTTTTTTTGATTCGCGGTGTGGCCGATTTTTGTTAGCCGATAGGTTTTCTTTCTCCTTTACGTTTGTTGCGCTGTACCTACGTAGCTTGTACTCTTCTAAATATGAGTTTTTCACACTGTTTTAGTATTTACTTTTCGACTTCAACTGTGACCAGACTGGACCGCTTGAATTCCAAAAAGCTGGCTATTGCGATCCTGGATCGTATGCATTCTCTTTACCCCAGCTTTACGGACCTAATGCAGATGCAAATGTTAGTATAATTATACTATACTATTACTATTTTTAATACCTGACACGTATTATGTTAGCTGTGCTGTATTTAACAGCCAACTTTTGAATGATTTCAATTATGTGGCCATTTATTTAAAGGGTCATGGCTGATGGATTCTGCTCCATCATTGCTCGGATGCCGAACCTACTGATAGAGATATACGAAAAGGTCACAGATTATATCCTGAAAAATCACTTCATGTATGCCACATTCTTGACATCTCTGGTAAGTCAAGACATATGAATTAAAATTATTTGGAAACTTTCTAATAGCCTTGAACTTATAATAGCTTATTCATCTTTTTCCCGTTAAGGTTTGGTGTATTGGAGAACGGATTGATGGCCGAGTGGGGTTAGACAATACTATGGCTATGAGCAAATTTTATGATGTTGTGGAACTGTTGACGTACGACATTATTAAAACGCAATCGAAAAGTCTTGTTCATAATCCACAAGCGTGGAGTATGGATCTATTCCAAGCTTCGCTTAATACTATGACAAGGGTAAGGACTTGGGAATAGTGACTGAGCTCTTTTTCTATGACTTCTTTTGTTTATATCACTTTTTATAGTTAGGAGCACTAAGCAAGGATCTGACACGGAGGACTGTGATATGCCTTAATAATATTTGCAAAAAAACGCGAGAGCATCCAGATCAGCAGCGTTTGCTGATAATCGAACAAATTAATTCGCTCATCAAATTGTTGGAGCTCCCTAGCGTTACGGATATTGTGATGAATTTGTCTATTTCGCCAGAACCGGAAGTGCTGGAGGCCATTAAAGGGCTCAAAAGTGTAGCCGACGAATACCAAGAACTTTCGGCTGCACAGTCCCCTTAATGTTTTTGTTAATGCTTTATTCAACCTTTAGTTATGATCATGTGCTATGTTATTTCTTGACACGCTGTGATAAGAAGAGGTATTTTGCTGCTGGAGGTGATTAGAAATCCGGACTGGTTTTTCCTCTCCTGATTTGCTCAACGATGATAACCAATTTTATATTTTGCTAATTTTTTAAAGATAAATTTTGTGATTCCCGTGTGGTTGCTCAAATGCAAAAAATGGGGGTGCCTCTGAATGGCTTTGATCAATTTGTCATTTTCTTTATTGTAGTTTGTACACAGAAATATTTATGTGAAAAATCGGGTTATATAAAATCAATTAACTTCAACTAGTATTGGAATTAAATTGACTACTTTTGTTAGAGAAACTGAAGCTGGCTACTGCAATTAAAAAAAATCTGTTCGTTGCAATCCGTTGATACAAATTATCAATAAGGACTGCTAACAATACTATTTACGGGCTAGTACGTGCAAAGTATGAGTAGCGCCACTTCTCTGTTATTATTATACCCCAGCAAATTTTTAAGGTTTGTTGTCCGAGGTCTAAGACTCTATTTCGTTTTGTTGTTCTTTTGGATCACAGTTCACTGATTTACATAATTTAATTCAAATGCGAAATCTACAGCACAGGAAGTTTCACTGCGGATCGTCTACACGCCATTCGGAAAGTCCTGGACGTATTTCCTGGAATGCTAGTCGCGAAGGAGGAAGACTTGATGCTGCTGGGCGCGCCTTTAACTTCAGCAGCATGCGAAGTGTTCCTGGTCAACAAAACCGAACAGTTGGATCATTTCCTGCGTCGACTGAAAAACATTCCAGCTCACTTTAGCCTATACCTACTGAAAAACTGCCTGTTTATACCAAAACTGCTGTATGGATTTCGCACCGCGAGATGTTATGAACATATGCCGTTAATGGAAAAAATGGATGAGTGTATACGCACTGGTTTGTCATCCATTTTGAACATTCGGGTGAACGATATGCAATGGAGCCAGATGACGCTTCCAGTAAGAGACGGTGGATTAGGACTTCGCGCTACTAAATCGCTAGTTTTTCCTGCCTTCCTGGCATCGGCGTATTCAGTGGTCAGCCTGGTCTCCTCCATCTACCCGTCAACGAACGAAGCGCACCTAGCACCTGTCGTTCAGCAATGGGTAACGCTAACAAGAAGTGAGCCTCCGATTGACGGCGCCAGAAAGTTTCAGACTGCATGGGACCGTCCGGCAATCGATTACGTGGTGTCATCACTGCGTTTAGCCGCTACCAATGAAACGGACAAAGCAGTACTGCTAGCCGCCTTGAATCGTGATTCCGGGGCATGGCTCAACGCTCTCCCTGCACCAAGTCTCCATACATTCTTGCGTGACGATGAAGTAAGAATTGGCGTCGCATTACGGTTCGGACTTCCTGTGGTTGAAGAGCACGACTGTGTCAATTGTGCTAGCCACGTGGAAACTAACGGCCACCACGGGCTGTCATGTTCCAGTAGCAAAGGACGATGGTCCCGGCATCTCGAACTGAACAACATTGCTAAACGCAGCTGGGAAACGGCGGGCTTTCCCTGTCAGAATGAGCCATCGGGATTGTCAGACAAGGATAACAAGCGACCGGACGGCATGACACTGATACCCGTGCGTGACGGAAAGGCGGTAGTGTGGGACGCCACCTGCTGGGACACCGTGGCTACCTCGCACGTAAAAGCCAGCTCAAAGAAGTCAGGTAACGTGGCACGGCTGGCGGAAGACTTTAAGCGCGGGAAGTACGGATTTTTGGAGGATATGGGGTATCTGTTCTACACCCTCGCAGTCGAAACCCTTGGAACTTTTGGTTCGGAATTTGCTGAGATGATACGTTTTGTCGGGAGGAAGATTCGCGATGTGACCGGGGAATCTCGATCTACGGCTTTCCTTAGACAACGTTTTAGTCTCGCTGTTGTTAAAGGAAATGCGGCTGCTGTCTTGGGTACATTAAACGCGCGACCGAAAGTTGGATGTGACAGTAATGACTTTGGTTGTTTTTTCAATGTGTAAATTCAAACTTTTTAATTAGTGTCTTTCGGCGCAGGCTTTTTGTTACGTTTAATTGGCTATTGCCTGAATAAAAATCTTCCATCATTTAATTCAATAATCTACAGTATTTAACATTTATGTGTGGGCAGCATCAGCGAAATAACGAGAAAAAACTGAGTTCGGGATATCTGAAACTGCAAACTGGATTTTGCGGAAACAGCAATGAAGTACTGTAACTGCTAAGCCGTTCCTGGCTGGGTGATTTCTGATTTGGATCTCCCGTCATGGATTATGACTTTGAGATAAGATTAAGTTTTGCAACTGAAAACATCTGGCATTTGCTTTGATGGCGAGCGATAAATGATGGATGGAGTTTGGTTCAGTTATGTTACATGGTGGTCACGGGATCACGAACGGTGCTTGAATGCACAGAATGGTGGATGCTGGAAGACTGGAAGTGGAAGGAAGTCTGCGAACGATTCTCCGATTTTATGGGTTTTGAACATTCCTAATTGAATGGAGCGAATGGGATTGAGTAACGAGTTATGACTGATCGGGATAAAACAACGCTTTCGGTTCTGCCGTTAATTTGTTGCTGATATTAATAACTCGGATCTTAACAATTAACTCAGGTTCAACTGATTGATAATGTGAGCGTGGCTTCGGAATTTATGGAAATAGACTACAATTCAGCGGACATTCTTCGGATTTTCGGAGATATAAATACGTACACCGTCCATGTACAAACATTGATCTTAATTAGGCACTAGACCTTGAAATGGCGCATTATAAACCTGCGCGGCGATTTTCCGACCAGCGAAAGTCGTCGGTTCACAAGAACTTTGTTTTCACCGTAGATGGGGCTCCAGCTACTGGGTAAGCGTAACGCCGTAATATAGGAAAAAACTTGAACGTCCAGTATATATCTGTAAAGTTATTCTATTTTTCGTTGCAATCCTTGTTCTATTTGAAAATTTATCTAAAGGGTGATAATATCCGGCAATGGCTATACATCTTGAAAATAATGCAGAATCAGAATATACCAACCAGCTTTCGTTGCACTGTTCGCGCGCGTGTGTATTCGTGGAAAGGTCAGCTATTATACCCACCATTGTAACCAGTGCGTTGACAACGAGATCCGTACATGATGTGGAATTCTTTCGTTAGGTGGGAAACGGACATCAATCCGCAGAGAAGACGAACGACAGATGATCAAGACGGGTTTATCAAACGGAAAATTCATAATGTTCGCGCCAAATCATTTGGAGACTCCCCGATTGTCCGTCAGAAAGCCACTAATCGGTCACGACTGTTACTGAAATCCGGAATGTACAACATTGTTGGCAAAAACATACCCCGCCTTAGGGAGCGGTACTTTTCGGATTTTTGGAATACCATGATTGATCTTAAATGGAAATACGTTTTGCTTTTGTACGTGCATGCTTTAATACTGCACGATATAATATCCTTCGCAGTCGGCACTAAAAACTGCTCTCTTTTTGTTGCAGTTTTTACAATACTTGTGGGCCATAGCTACAAGTATCGTAAAAACTGCAGCAAAAACGTGTTATTGATATTTGACATTGAAAGCGGTATTATGGGCATTCTTTGTCTTAGTTTCCTTATCTCTTTGGTCTCCTCCTGGCTGCTTTTCGGGTTGATATTTTACTTAATTGCCCTTGTTCATGGAGACATGGAGGAAATCCACGAAGACAGCAAATTTGTGCCGTGTCTGGTCAACATCCACAACTTTGCTTCGGCATTTCTGTACTCGATCGAGACGATGCATACAATCGGATACGGAGCACGATATCCCACTGACTCTTGCACTGTCTCCATTATCGCCATGTATGGGAACAAGGAAATGCACTTGTTGTAGTTCGGTGTTCGTAAAACTTTTTTAAAGTGTGATATCTCAGCATAAAAGATAAATATATTAATAAACTCAGTTGTCGTCCTTGTAGGTGTGTGTCAGCGTTGATAGGATGCGCTTTGGAAGCGTTCATTGTCGGTGTCGTTTTTGCCAAATTTCAGATGCCGGCCCAAAGGGCGCAGACGCTTTTGTTCAGCAAAAACGCGGTCATTTGTACGCGGGACGGACAATTATGCTTGCTATTCAGGATTGGAAATATGCGGCGGAGTTTGATTATCCAACTGGTGGTGAAAGCCCATCTGGTGCACCACCGCATGACCCAGGAATCCGAATTAATGCCTTTTCATCAGCATGAACTGAAAATTCAATTGGATTCCATGAGTGGAAATGCTTTTTCTTCCTGGCCAGTCACTGCTTGTCATCTGATCGATGCTGAAAGTCCGATATACGAATTATCACGGACATCACTGGAACGAGCCAAATTTGAAATAATTGTTGCTCTGGAAGGTTAGTTTCAAGTATTGTTCCGAGTTTTAAAACTCAGCAAACGCAGCTGAGAAATGTAATTAGTATCTTTTTTTGTGACCTTAGATAACGCAAACGTTTGTTGTTGTAATGCATAGGTTATATGCAGCTTGATTGTTGTATGGTGTAGTGTTTCGGAATGATATTTTGAATGCTGCTCAGTTAATATATTGTGTAAATCAGGCATTGTGGAAAACACCGGAGCCGTAGTTCAAGCGCGAACTTCGTACACCCCCGAAGAAATCGTGTGGGGACATGGGTTTACGAGATTGCTGACCTTTCGTAAAGAGCAAGGTGAATACGTGGTGGATTTTAACCATTTCCAAACTTTAGAGGTATAACACAACTTCGGTAATGTTTTCTTACGTTTTATGATATATCTCGATTCATTGGTGAGAGATTTGCTCGACGTAGAGATATCTAATAATAAGCATAGAACACCATGGCTAACTTTGTGCACGGCAATTTTATTCCTGTTTCTTATCGAAGTTTGGCAATACTGTATGCTATCTTTGCCAGTATTTTGTTTAGTGGCGAAATGCCTAATTTGTTTTGATAAATCCGTGTAGCTGCTTCATGCTTGTGACACTGGGCGATTTTGCTTGTAGCCAGTAAGGGGAATGACTGGGCGCTCTGCTCGGGAACTGGACGAACAAAAGTATTTTAGCGCTCCGGAAAGTCCAGCCTTTGATCACAAGAACGGCCCGTTCGAGCCGGCTAGCCCCACTTTACTTAGAGTATTAACTGCGGCGGCTGGTTTGGAAAAAATGGATTTTCATTGTGGATACGATGGTTCCCCGGTAATCGCCGCAGTATCCCTTTTGCTGAGTTCCTTTGTCTGTGTATATGTGTCTTGAATATGCCTAGATTCGCCAACACCAATCAGTGCGGCGTGGTTCCCGATCTGTCCTCGGCCGAGATGCACCACACCCCAAGGAAGTTATCCGACCTCCAAGTCCCAGTTTAGCGGCTGCTATATCAACGCATGTTTTACCCTCTCTTATACAGAGAACGCGAGATCAGTGTGAAGTATGCACATAACTTTTGTTTTATGTTCCATGAGTGACCGAAGTAGACGTGGACAACAGGAGAAAATTATGCTGTTATTTATTCAATAAAACATCAATGTAAAAAATTCCACTTTAATAGTCTTTTACCCTTAACTATATCCTACTGTTATCTTGCTTTCCCTTCAAGTAGTTTACCGTTTTTTTGAAAGACTCGGTTTATATTTGCTGAAATTGTTTTTTTGCAGAGTGATGCGAGACACTTCCCTCATGTATCGCCAGAGAACCACCCGCATCTGACTCCTGTGTCACAACATAGTATGGAGCCGATGTCACGTACATCCAGTATGAGTTCTCTTAAACGACATCCTGTGGTCAATTTCTTTGTCGATGCCATTGAAGAAGATGAAAAAGAGGTGACGAATATACAGCTATTAATACATTACAAAGTGTAATAATTATGGAGCTGGAAGTTTTGAGGTTAAAAACTTGTCTGCTTAATTAATACTCGTTTTGTGTTGTCATGAACTGCTCCGAGTTTACTCACAAGAATGATGCACCTATATGAAGTTGTTCGCACTCACTGTATTCGCAGTCATATGTATTTTTACAGTTTGTGGTTTTTGGCATGTTTTCAGATTACCAAATTCTGAGACCGGGCAGGAACGCAACTGGCAGCAATTGCCGGTGGAAACACTGATAGACACCTTTACACGTTAGCACCTTCCGGTGGCCACTGGAATCTTGTGTGATCGTTGCAGCTGCAGGTTAATAAAATCTTTGCGTACATAAACTGTACAACTTTCAATACCTTTTTATTTGATTTTGAGCGGCTAAAAGACTGTTGTTCTTATGTAAAAGACCATCTGTTCTTATGCTGTTTTTTGCTTTGTTGAAAATCTCAAAATTTCGTATTTACTAACTTTTTGGTTTTGCGTATCTTTCATCGACGGCTTTTTTCATTTCCGGTGATTACTGTTTCACAACATGCGGTATCCAGCGTGTTGCTGAATACCAGTGAATTGATTGCTTTGCGTATACAAGAATACTATTGTCCCGATCACATTGTACTTCCAAGTAAAATTTAGGAACAAATTTTCAGGACAGCTTTACAGCTGTAACGATTTTTCTGTTCGCAGAATCTAGCAAAGTACGGATGTACGTTATGCGATCATATTGACCCTACTCCTACACTGGAATACGCTGCTTCTCTTGATTTTTTCCAGCTCACCAAATGAAATAACCGACCTCATAGAAACATATAATAGTTAACGAAATTGCTTCCACGTGATATAAAATTACAATTATCTCATATTACAATTTTGGTTGGTTTTGCCTGCTTTTGTTTAATCTGAATCGTATTCTTCAATTGAAATCTTGTCACATTATAATGTATTTTGCGTCCAGACCCGTACAGACGTGTCTGCGTCGGGCATAACTGGGGTTTCTGATGACTGATGGTCAAATCTCCCATACAACCGGTTTGACTGTACCTACAGCGCTGCTGTTTCGTTTGAGTACGCTTTGCTTTGTGTCTGATGAAGTTTAACGGCGTGGGCAGGGGTCCACTGGCACCGCATCGGTGTACCGATTCATTCGCGGAGATGTATGTTTTTTGTCGACATACCGGATTAAAATATACAGCAGCAGACGTACGAGCGGCTCGATGTTGACATATTTGTCTCTTACAATATATTGGTGGCTTTTCGTGGTTGATCATGATGCCGCAATGGGCATTATTCAGTAGTCTCGTACGGATGAAAATCTAGACTTTTGATTGTCAGAGAAGCAGTGAGTTTTTATCATTTCACCAGTTGTGCAATAACCGCATCGCATATAAACAGCCGCATGTGTTCGGAATCATTATGCGCTCACATAGCGCAGCATTCAGGAAATTGAATGTCATAATATTACCGGTTATCATTAATCCGTTACAATGTGGTCCATACGCAGTCGCGCCGATCCCGGGGAATCGGCCAGACGGAAATATATGTGGGATAAGACACAGCATGGCACGGGGTCATGGTGGTCGTCGGGGTTTCGTGAGAGTCTAGACGGTTCGGTGGTCTCACGGTCCCGCTCGTCCCGACCGGTCTCCGCCGCCGAATGGCACGCCGAAGGCGCCCTGTACGATGCGACCTTGGCGCAGGAGCGGGATGCGGTGGATAATTGGCTGGGCAACGATGTCAGCCGGGGCGTGATACGGATATACGAAGCGCGGATTAACTGTTCGCAGTCCACATTGGTTCTGTGCAATGTGACCACCACGGCGCAACAGGTGTGCTTAAAAGTGGGACTACCGCCCAATGCACTGCATTATCAACTGAATGGCGACGTTATTCGGCGGATGGATCCCTTTGATTGTCCCCTGGCTCTGCAGAATGATTATCTCCGATGTATCGGATTTGATAAGATTAAGCGAATACAACAGGAAGGAGCGGCGCTGGAACTGGCTGATTTTATTCGGTTTTACGCCGGTAAGTGACGCAATGTTTCGGTAAAAGATATTATTTCTGCGCAATTTGAATGTAAAACGGGTGTGGTGCATGTCCGCGAATGGTCTTTTGTTTGGTAAGTTTCAGTTGAATCTTTTTTTAATTTGCGCCCTTCCAGTAGCGTCTTATCTGACCAGAGGAATAAGATAAAAAATTACGTGAACACCAGAACTGTTACATCAGATTGGGAGTAATGACGGGTAGGGTGTGTTGTACAATTGTGCTTCAAATATAGCAGTGTAATTACCGCTATGTTGTAACGATTAATCGAAATTTAATCGACAGTGAGAGTTGATCGTGGTAATACTTTAAATTTAAAAATGAAGCAAAACTTGCTTTAACTATTCTTCTGTAGTGCAGGCCGGCAAGCAGCGCTAACAGAAAACTATCCATCAAATAAAAATTTGTCCCGGTAAATACTGGACGAGTTAATATTATCTAAACGCTCATCGCATTACCGTGTGTGACGTTGAAAAAAGAAGTGGATCGACTCTCTCTAGTCTGCCAGAATACCGCCCGTTCTTCTCAGACCACTGCAACAAACTTACTGCCGGATTAAAGGACGTTTCAAAACATTCCCGTCTTATTGTTAGCGGCGTAAAAATTGAAAAAAGCTGTCAACGACAGCGCTTTTCTGATCCACAAATAAAATTGTGTTACTTTTGGGCTTTCGCACTTCAGTTTAATTTCCCTAATTTATCGATATGTCCAATCCAGTATTATGCGTTTTATTTTGTAAGAGTTCAAACTGACACCTAAATTTTGGAACAAATAGTAACTGCTTGGAGGAAACTATTGTATAATTGCTACTGTAGGAGATACCGTAGTTGTTGTTTTTCTCGACTTTTTTAAAGGATACGCTAAAAATTGTTAATTTCTACAAATTACGGACAGGCTGAACATTTTCTACGATTTTTTGAAGTGTCTGACATATACTTATTTTGCTAGTTATAGTTCCAAAAATTATAATTATTATTATTATTACGGCACAAGAGCAGACAACCCCAAGGGGACTTCAAGTCTGGTCGAACAAAAAACAATTTTAAATGCAAGTAAAGAAGTGAGCAAATTAGACAGAAGCATATGTTTAGCTAAGTAAATACAGAATTTGTGACTAGCACATGGGATCAGCCGGCTACCGGTACTTTATATTTTTTTGGGTCTCGCAAAAGCGACAGCACAGTAAGACATGTGTTGAAAATTTCCGTAATAATATGTGGTCATTCTGACGAAATTTCCATAGTAGATCATACAATGTCAGCGTGATGACAAATGTAAATCTAGTAGATCAGGTCTCTCTGGCGGCAGGGCATTTAGCTCGCCTGGCTTTACTTATATTGTTTGAGGCTAATAATTAATGGTCAGCAGAGTTTTTGTTTGACCTACATAATCCAATAAAATATGCAATATTTTAGAGATGCACTGGGTTAGAAAGCAGCTGGTAGCGCGTCAAGTGCTCATTACACGTCAGACCGGCGTATTTGTCAATCGGTAGTAAACTGCATCTAGGAATTCTATAGACAACCATTTTTTATCCTTTCCACTCTGCTGCCAGCTGAAAGTTTCGATGTGTGATTTTTCCAGTGCACACTCTCTTTGCAATAACACAATATTCCATATGAAATAGTTTAAACAGAGTAACTGAGCCATTGGCTCGGCTCCGTTTAACTTGATAGACTATTGTCAAGGTTATCGCCGCCGCGCTACTGCAGCGAATAGCCTATGGAAATGTAAAACTGGTCTTGCATCTCATGTTGCACAGTTAGCGTTTGATTATAAGTGAGGTTAGGCCAAATTATGAAAGCCATGATCATCGCCATCCGAATTCATAACGTAATAATATGCCGGCTTTGGCTCATAGTTAAAATCTCTGTAGTAAAATCGGGATTTTTACATTTTGGTTGAGCGTAAAATTTAATGCAATAAAAGAAACAGTGCTTCACTGGAACACAGTTTTTTTTTGCGTAAAAGTATTATTACGTCAGTGAATTTATGGTCGCCATGAACTTGAGGAAAGCGTCTTATTCATAAGGCAATGTTGATTTACGATTATGATTTGAGTGTCTTGATGGTAGCTGGCAGTTATTATGTGGGCCAGTAAAATAAATAACATGTAAACCTTAATTTACTAGTCATAGTTGGGCAGTTTAACAGGTAGTTACTTTGCACACTCTTGGCAGGGGGTAAAATAAAGCAGAGAAATGTGTGTATTTGTTATTGTTGAGAATTTTTTCCAACCTAGCAGTTAAGGTTAGTGTGAATGGGTGCTTTCCGCTGGGGTTTATCACTGTGATTTTTTGTACATTAATCTTGATAGTTGAGCGTAGTTTGTCAATCATGAATACAGTGCTACCGTGTATATCTGTGGTCTACCTCTGGGCCCCTTTTTTTGCCTGTTAAGATAGCAGTGGCTGTATACGGCGATAAAAACTATCTCATTAATCACGCTTGCTTGAAAAGAAATTGTGTGTCAGAGCGTGAAATACGTGTCAAACGCTAACAAAATACTAGTGATCGCTTCTATTCTTGTCGCACGATGTTCATGTGTCAGAACTGATTTGGCGGCGGGTGTTAGGAGTACAATGGAAGCGACTATAAGGTAGGCATTGTTGCGGTGTTAACCGGCAATTAACCATACGTACTACGGCCCAATTAGTTGTTTTGCAGTAAAATCGCTTTCTTGTGGTTTTGTATTACGAGAACTGGGGAAAGAAGGAAAAGCAGCGATTACTAACAATAAAACATCTACTATTGTTGTCCTCTTCGTTAGGCCTAGTCATTTATTTTTGTACTTCACAAATAATAAAAAACAAGTTGTCAGAGTTAAAACCGAATAAAATTTAGTGAATGTGATTAACTAGCAATAGTGGTTAACTATACTTAGGTTTTTATCTTGCGGTGTCTCGTTATACTACTGATGCAGTGATTGAAAAAGGGTGACGTGCAGTTTCATTATTAAGCTTGTAATTTGAAAACAAGATCTGCAACATTACGGGTACCGTTACACTACCATGCCTACAGTAATGCATGTTTCCGGGATAGGCGGTATTAAATTCAGTGCAAACGTTTGTATACAGTAGTGTGAAATGGCAGAAATGCTTTTTTTGTCGTGCAGACCGAGTGTTTGGAATTGTTCACTTTAGAATTTTCAGTTAAACACCTTCAAACAAACTACATAATGACTCGGTAAATTAAAGTATGCGTAACTGCAAAGAACACCGACATAGACCGAGAAAATGGCTTGTTAAGTGTTCTGTTGTGTTTGGGGCATTGAAAAAAGGTTAAACGATGAACTTTAATTGACTGTCCGAGGAATCGGAACTTAATTTTCTCATTGTTCTCCGCAGGTAAGCCGTATTTGGATGCCACATTTTCTCGACAGTCCTTGTGTACGGTTCTACCGGTGCGCAAACAGAAAGGTCTTCTGCATCCGTGGACACGACGTCTGTGCGAAATCTCCGGCACGCGACTGCTCATCTATCCAGGTGAAGAAATGATCACCTTACAGGTTATAGAGTAATCATTTTGTGTAACCTATTGAAGAGTTTGTTTTCGAAAACTGTGGAATAGGGCAGATGCAAATTATACTTCTGACAATGAGCGAAATTCATTGGTAAACACCTGACACACTATGGAGTGTGTATATGGTTTACATAATAATAATAATGTACAAAACAATTTAGGGCACCGTGTTAGTTGTGGATTTACGTTGTGAGTATTACGCAAATTCAAAGTCAATATTCTTCCACTACCGGATTTCGACTGCACTTGCACATAACTCGAGTACAACGTGTGCGTTTTATTTGCATAATTCATATTGCTATTTTTTTCGGAATGCGGGTCCGCTTGTTGCCGTAGAGGAACTCACTTAGCTTTGACCGACTTGTTACGTAATTATCAATTTTGATTATTTGTAGGGACAGGAAGTCATATATTATTGACTGACATAATTAACGCCATTTCAATGAGATCTCGAAAATATCAAAAATTAATAAATTGTTTCTGCTCGTATCCCGTTTAAAGCGATTTCTGCGACCACTGCGATGACAGATAGAGAGATCATAAAGGGGTAACTCTGATGATTTTATGGTTGTCAGTTTTAAGCATTACTTGTTTACTTTATAAATACGATATTCTTGTGTAATCGGCATTGAAATTTTTTCGTATTTTGACACTGGAGTTTTTTAGGTACCGAAAAGACCCAGCCGCAGGATGTGTATCATTTGGTTCGTGGTAAAGTAGAGGAATCGCGCGGTCAACGCCACCACGAATTTTGTCTGAAAATAACCGGCTACACCGCCAACGCGGCTGCCACGGCCAACCCCCACACACCGGCAACAGCCTCAGCCCCCCAAACGGCTAAGTCGGTGTATTTGGCGTTCGAAAATGAGAGCGACCTCATGAAATGGAGTCGTAAATGTAACAAAGCCATCACGAAACAACCGGATGTCGCCGATCTGTCTAATAATCATCTGGAGTTTCTTCCGGAGAACTTGTTCGTCAACGAAAACCTGACGAAGCTCAATCTACGCCATAATGCCCTCAAAGAACGACCCATTGAGGAAGACATCTATACAATTGGATGGATTGATGACTTACCGCGATTTACGCAACTCAGGTTTGATTTTTGCCATTGCTTGGTTGATTTATGCCTTATGGATTTCTCGTACGCTAGAAACAGCATTGTTTGTTTAGTTGGTTTTTATTTATGTCGCATGCTTTTTCGTATTTCGTTAATTAACTGATCGTTACGCTGAAAACAGTATCCCGTATTGTAGTAACAGTAATTTTCCTAAGACGAATATTCTCATAACAGTACAGAAGTAAAAGAAAAGCGGTGTATTTTAGAAGTAAAAGAAAAGCGGTGTATTTTAGCGGACTGAAGATTAGGTGTTTTAAGGTTCAAATGTGATTAAGGTATTAAGTGGCTGGGATCATGTAACCGGCAATCTCTCTCGTATGCATCGGCTCGTCTGACTGATAATCTTGTTTAGGTCATTAAATTTGGCAAACAACGACCTGCGAAATTTTCCCTTGGCTGTGTGCCGAATTCGCACTTTGGTGGAGTTGAACATGGCCAGTAATAAATTGGAGGATCTGCCTAGTCAAATTGCAGATTTAACCAGGTATGTATAACATATACAATATGTCATGTTCGTACACAAATGCCGGCCGCACGGCTACTGATGACAATATTGCACAACGGTGCAGATTATGGTGTTTGATTATATGCCGGTGGATTAGCGGCATAAATCAACATAACTGTCGCAGATTATTTAGACGCAGTGGTTTGTCAACGCAGATTGGACACGTTATGTCCGCTTTTAAGTAGGAATTTGACCATATGCAAAGAGCCAAAAAGAAACGACTGTGCAGTGGGATTTCGCGTGTTCACGGAACACGCTGGGCATGTTCAGTTCGTTAACATCGTGCGCTGAGCCGATTATCAGATTAGAGGACCTACTCGACCACGGTTTTTCGTTTTGTTTTCCCCTGTGCTTATCTTTGTCAATGTGTTTCTGATTTTGAAATTGTTCGCGAAACATAAACATTTTTCTAGTTTTAATGTTTTTTGACTTTCGTAACATTTAACGAAATTTGTAGCATTTCGCATGGTCGTCTTAGGGGTCGAGTGACAATTTAAGCGGCGTGCTGGTCTTTAACATTAGAAGTTAGAAATGAGATACAACACAAGGTCTGGAACTCAAAATGACGCAATACAAACTTGGGCCTGACAGTTTAGACGGTCGGCGATGGTAGAGTTTTTAAATATGCCGAAATGAATGCAACCGTGAATTCATATTAGAAGTGATATTCTATATGAATATACTGTTTTGTGTTTCTACGGCTAATTAATACTTAATTGTCGAACTCTACCGTCGTACTAACCCTGTAGGTGGACAACATTTACAGTGGAATGTTTCAGTATCTTGGTATTAGAAAGGTCACTCTTGATTCGTGAAGTAATTCGATAAAAATTTAGATCAGAGTAGCTTGTTATTTGTTCTAAATTCTGATGGTAGTATACTTCAGTTTGCTGTGATTTCAGTTTAAAGGCTCTCCACTTGCAAGCCAATCATCTCAAAGATTTGCCGCTAGAAATGCGGCAAATGAAAGAACTGAAACTCCTGGTTCTGGCCTTTAACCAGTTCACTTCCGTGCCCGCTGTTATCGCCGAGATGAAGCAGGTCAGTCTCTTGTCTTAACCGCTGTTCTTTTCAGAGTGGTCAACTGACCTAGACTGTTCAAGAGTGATGCATTTGGCACTTGTGTTTTTCTTACATTCTTTTTCTTTGAACCGTCACAGATGGACAGTCTTATTCTGGCCGGCAATTTCATCGCTCATCTGCCGGACACGTTGGCGCTCAACCTCAAGCACATTCACAAACTGGATCTCAGAATGAATCAGCTGGATTTCGGACCGGAAGTGCCGCTGGCCTGGACAGCGGCGCTGCAGAATGTGACTCATATTGACCTGCGGGATAATCATATTCCCATCATGGATCTCAGAGCGTTGGCCAATCTACAGTTCCTTAATTGTCAGCGCAATCAGACGACGCTCATGCACCTTAGCGGTGCAGTTCTGTGTTATTTGAACGTCTCCAATAACTGTGAGTAAAAAAAACTTTTTCGGAAAACTAGGAAAATAATAAATAAAAAATGAATGTACCGGGTGAACAAATACATAGTAACCGAATCCTGTAAACTACAGTGAACTAAGTAGTTGTTGATTTTGATGATTGTTGTTGTTGGGCACTTTGGTTGATTAAAGTTTGTTGTTTTTACAGCACTACAAAAAGTCAACATTTCCCCAATTCCAGCCAACCTGCTACATCTGGATCTGTCGCAGTAAGTGCACTGTCGGCTGATAGAATTTCCGGTCCATCCAGTTGTGTGTGTTGATGGTGATTGTTTTTCTGTACACAAACAGCAACGCACTGACATTATTGCCGGACTGGATTGGCGAGCTGCGGCGGATGGAAACCTTGATTTGTAATTTCAATCACTTGACTTCACTACCGAGCAGGTACGGATTGCGCTGGTGATGATATCCAACTGACAATAAATCAAATTGTGTCTATCAACACACCCATGCAAATTCAAGAAGCTCGACTATCTGCATTTTTTATTGTTAGTGAACATAGTTTTTTTTTCTTACAACAATAATTTACTACAATAACTGTTGCGCTAGGAATGTACGAGCTCGTATAATTGTAATAATAACGAATGATTCTCTGTAATTAAATCAGGTCTGATGTACGATACTTTTGCTATTGTTGGCCGTACTTGGTTTCGTTTTAGTTTGAGAAATGTCATAATTATTTGCTCATAGGTGATTTGTGTTTCGCTGCAATGACTCTTTTGTCAGTGTGTGATCGTGATTCACTGTTAGTATTTATGGAGGGCATTAATTAATAATGCGGTCGCAGTGACATATTTGTTATTTTGTTTATGTTTGTAGAATATTCCAAAACATCTGCTCGCTGAAGACGCTGATTATAGATCATAATCGGCTCACCATGTTACCGGATAGGTTTGGCAGTAAATGTCAACTGGAGACATTGATGGTCGGTGTCACAAATTGTTTTGTAGCGCGTGTAAACTCGGATGACATGATAAATTCACTGATGCATATATTGATGTGTTACTTATAGATGCATCAAAATAAATTAACGTATTTACCGGATCGCTTTCTGTCCACCTGTAACCGATTACGGGTTCTTAATGTCAGCAATAACCGACTCTTCTCCCTGCCCGCACCCAGTGCTTTTACCGATCAGAACCGCATCCAAGAGCTGTATTTGGCAGCTAATCATCTCCAAGATGATGCACTTGATATTGTGACCAAATATCCACGGCTTAAGGTGCTCAATTTGGCATACAACGATATCTGCTCCATTACTGACGAGTAAGTAGCGGTGGTTAGCTAGTACATCTGTGTACGATTCCGGAAATAGCATGACCTGGAATTACTGGCTGCGGATCACTGATGGCACTGTACACGCGTGGGGGTTCTATGTTTCTGCAGATTTTTTCATACACTTGAACTCATTGAGGAGCTTAATCTGTCCGGAAACAAGCTGACATCACTGCCCGCTGCCGTCAAGCAACTGACCAATCTGCAGACACTGAAACTGCATTCCAACCATCTGCGGGCGGTGCCTGACTTTTCGGGATGTACTGCATTACGGGTGAGCCTGTGGTCACTCTGTCATTGTGCCGTGTATTGTATTGATACGGCTTTCCGGCACATATGAGCTGATATTATATTGCATAATGCTTTTGATATGGTTTGGTTGCTTTGACATTTTTTCAACTGCCCCACCTAGGTACTCGATATTGGCGGCAATGAGCTAGACAAGCTGGTACTGGACAGTATTATGGGGGAGAATCTCAAGCATCTCGACGTGTCTTTCAATCTGCATCTCAGAATAGATTATTCGCAATTTGAAAAGCTGAGGTATAAAAGAAATTAAGATAATCCTTCTTACGTATAAATGGCACAAATTGGTATTAATTAAGCTGGATTTGTTGATTTACTGACTGATTGAAACTTTATGTAGTTCGGACAAGAACGTGACCTTAGTGGATATGAAGGACAGATCGCACAACTCAAGCTTCGAAAGGGTGCCACCTCTGGAAAACGAACTTGAGCCGAAATGGAAAATCGGATTTGCTCAAACCTCCGGCAACCGGAACAAGTACATACCTGCTGGTTGTTATCTTAAACAGCTGGCTAAAAATAAAATGCTTATTTCTATAGGCTGTGTATCACTCAGCTGCGCTTATCCGTCTTTGACGGCAATGTTAACGAGGCATTGTTTGGCATTTTTGACGGGGGGTTCAACAACGAAATGCCGCTCATGCTGTGCGAGAATTTCCCGTCCATTCTGCAGCAAGAGAAGTCAAGCAAGAAAGCCACCAACATCCATCATCTGAAATGTGCACTACTGAAAGCTCATCTGGCTGCCGGCTCCACGGGTCAAAAGACGGGCGCTTCCGTGGCTGTGTGCCATGCTGTGCGCCACAACGACGAGACCTGGCTGTACTTTTCCAATGCCGGCCATGCCGAGGCGGTCCTGTCCCGTAATGGCGAACCGGTGCTGTTGTCACGGAAATTCCTAGCGGCCGAAGATGCCGAAGAGTGTGAGCGGATCCGGGCGGTGGATGGGATCATCACCGAGGATTCCTTGGTTAACGGCAGCTGTACGGCCACGCGGATGATCGGGGCCAGCTACATGTTTCCCTATGTCATTCCCGAACCACATTGCATATCCTTCAAATTAGCCCCTTATGACCGGCATGTGATAATAGCCAATAAGGGTTTGTGGGATGTTATAACGCATAAGGAGGCCATCAACGAAATTCGTGGACTGTCCAATACGATTTCTGCCGCCAAGCGGTTAATTGACCTCGCGCAGAGTTACGGTGCCCGGGGAAATCTCAGTGTGATAGTAGTGGCCTGCGACATGCCGCCTTTACGAGAACCTTCACCGGTCGTCAGTGTCCCGACGCCCTCGGCAGAGCCCGCTGCTGCCGAAGAAAATCCCACTGCATCGGATAACGAAAGTGATTCCGAAGGTGATTATTTTCCACAAGAGGTTCGGCCGTCGACGATCCCGAAAAAGTTTCGGTATCCGCGGTCGGCCAGTCAAATTCTCCTCATGGATGAACAAGTGCAGGTGGCGCGTAGTGCGCATAGCCTAACGGAGCACATAGAGGAAGAACAGAACTACTATTTTCAACACCGGCGCGATTCGCTGGCTGAAGAGCTGTCTTCCAGTTCAACGTCACCCGACATGCCATCAGGTTGCGAAAAGACCGTACTGACCAACGGCGATGATTTCGAAGTGCATGTATCATCCTCACGTGCCCGCATTTCTGATTTGTCGGGGAATACGTTGTCCGGACATGGAGACAGCGCGCTGGGTAGTTCGGTGAATCCCAGCGTCAGCGACGGAAATGGTTCACCGGTCAGTCATGACGATAGCTGCGGGATTATTCTCGAGCATCTGGAGAGTCCCGTCAGCGAGGCCAGTTCCCATTACAACGGCAAAAGCCAAGATGACGAAGCCGTGCACTGTAGCGATCCCATGGACGATGAGGAATGCCAGAGCTGGCAGTTTCTCATGAATGAGGCGCTGGACGGTAGCGGCACGGAGGCCGATGAAGTGATGGAAGAGGCCACGCTGACCGATGAGACCGCTCCAGAGGAATCTCCTGATGTGCCGGCGATTGATAAGATCGATATTCCCCGACCACCCACGCCGCCCGTACCACCGGATCCGGCGCTCTTCCTGAAAGCGCCGGTAAAAATACGCGTATCACCGAAAGGCAATCCCGCGGAAAAGGACCCGGATCCCAAACGGAACAAACCACTGATTGATGAATTGGAAAGTGTGCTGAAAAAGCGGTTGTCTATAATGGAAGAGACCGCTGAGCCTGTGGATGGCTCAGTACGAAAGAATGCGGAAGCAGTGGAGAAGGTCATCCGACCGGTAAAAAGTTCCTACCAAATGGTTTTCAAACTGGCTAACCAATCTGGTTCTGTTGCTCAAAGCATTCAAGCGCTGAGTGCCGCTAAGCGTAATCTTTGATACTGCGGTGGTTATGGCAAAGAGATTTTTTAAAATAAATAATTGTTTATATTCGATGTATTTTTTGCTTTTTTGAAAGATAGAATAATTATTTTTAATGTCTGTGTTGCAACGTGCAGTGCACTGACATTTGTATACTGATACTGTGCGATAAATTTTGTTACTTACTTGCTTATTGCACAAGATGCAATAAGATGCAATGTAGATATAGACAAACAGCATAACACGCAATATGCACAGCATTAAGTACAAACACAGCACAAAATTAATATTACTCGTATTTTCAGCCTCTATTAGATATTGGACTTCTCTCGTACTCTGTAGTTACTGTATTGTTAAGGAGGTATGCTTCTTACGAACTATCGTAAGTAATATACTGAGAACAATACTGCTGCTCGTACTGCATTATGCTGCATACTGAATATGCTTACAATACTGCATTATGAAATCATTACTCGTAAGATTGAAATATAACTATAGTTAATAAGAAAGAAACTTGTCATATATGTTCAGTAATATGCATATGGACGATTAGGCAGTGCTCAAGGCGTGAAGATTCAGCAGATGTGCGTCTAGCAGTAAAAAACGCAGCAATCTCCAGACAAGTCCTGCGAAATGAAACTTTTCCGCCGATTGTATTTTGCAATACGGGCAGTATATTTCCGATAACCGAAAAGCAACGTAAATTCTATGTGACTCTAAGGGACGCGTCGACGTGATATCACGTCGACGTGATATTCTTTGGGATTTCATCGTCGGTTTGTTGAATTGGTCGGGAAGAATTTCGACCCTGATGACTGGCCATAAATTCGTGATGTGGCAATCCAATGATATTTCGTGCTGCTGTACATGTGTGTTTATCCCGATTGTGGTGTAGGACCGGGATAGTAAAATTGTAGGTGGTGCTAGCTGTATGGAAAGAAGTCTGTCTGTATATATACTCCGTACTCGTATCATGTGCATTTCTACCAGCCGGCTTCTTTGTCAATATCAATATGCAGAATCATATAACACAAAATACATTCCCGCCAAGGTAAGCATCCGACCTGCACAACCAGTTGTCCCACGTGGTAAACTTTTCAGTTAACGATCGACATACACATCTCGGCATGCTGATGTATGGAAGCACCTTGTGCAGCTACGGCAGATCGAGAATCACGGTAACACATGCAGAAAACTACAGTAGGAGTAAAACTAAAATTGTGCAAACCGTAAGTAACGCGTTAAATTTCAACTTGTAATCGTAACTTGAATGTTTGTTACAGTTATTCCAGATCTAATCCAGGCCATTAATTTGACAAATATCTCTTCGTAGAACTGTTACATTACTACGGTATCTATGAATATGTAATGTTTGATGTACAGTACTAATAGTGATGAGCCGGAACTACATTTTGTGTCTGCCGCTACCGACCATTGGGGAATTTTTTTATCGTACGGCTAGTCTCGTTACTATTATCTTACAAGCGGTTATCCTGGATTGGTACTTGATTTACTACGGCAGCAAGACTTCTTACGGCTGGATTGCGGCGGATTGTATCGTGATAGCAACGTTTGTGGTCTCCTATGTTTATGCAGATCTCTACTTCAAAAGCAAATCAAGCGAAAAACCAGATCCAGTTTCCGTTCCTTTACGTACCGTAACCATCGGCGCGGATGATGCCAACAAAACCGATCCGAATGAACAGGATGAAAATAACCGGAAATTGGCGGAAAACGAAAACGTTGACGATGCGGACGATGAATACCACAAAGAGCAGTATGAGGAAATTTGCCGTATTATCGGAGAAGAAAGTATTACGAACAATAACCGAAATGTTGCCGAAAATATCGCTTTATCTGACCGGCTTAATAAAGCGCGCGATGACAAAAAGATGCAGCATCTCAAAACGGGAAGACTGCGGACTAAATATAATCTGGGAGCACTTCCGCTGGCGTACATCAGCTGGGCAATTTATTCCTCGATACTGATAGCCAAAATGCTAGTTATCCTGTTGCGGCACGGCCACCAGCTGGACGTGAAACTGCTCTTCAAGTCCAACATGCTGGAGCTGGCGTTTGTTAGCACAGCCTGTGTATTTGCATTCGTGGTGTTGGGACATAAGCAGATTCCCCGCGGACAGGAACAGCAAAAAACCGTCATCGATTATCTGACCGGGAGGGTGCTGATGGATATAATTGATTCCATGGAATTACTGGATTTCGTGTATGAATCCGCTATGGATAGTGAGGCCGAGAAGCGTCAAAAGATGGAGCCGGCGGTCAAGTACGCTATACTACTGTTTGTGTCCATCCAGATTTTTCTGCCGACAATTGGCTTATTCCAGTTGAGCGCCACGAATTTCGCGCATGATCGACCGCGGAAAATTTGGACAATGATCCATCAGATGCTGAATTTGTTCCTGGAAAATATTCCTTTTCTTACAATTCGTATTTATCTCTGGTCGATGAACCAGTTTACCGAAAGCACTTTTGTATTTATTGTGAAGAATGTTTTCGAAATTACTATGAATGATTGGGATTTTGTGATATGGCTGAAAACGTGGATTACGACGAAATTATCCAAACGCGAGGGCACACCGCCCGCAGCAACGTAATTAAAATTTTTCTTATACCGTTCCATCTGTGTAATATGTTATATTACGAGAAACATAAAGGTAGAAAAAGATTACTGTAAGTGATCGGGTAACACCAAAACGAAAATCCCGTCGTTTATGCAGTATTTTTCGCTTTTTTAGCAACTCTATCGTTTAATTATGACAGCATACTTCATAGCAGCTGTTCATGCAGCTAACCACATTCTTAGCTTGCCGATAATTAAGATTTCCTAGTTAAATTTTGTTTACCTGAATTTTGTTTGTTTATCCCGATCGATATCGCTTCTCCCGTAAAATGCCATAATGGTCGAAAAACTCTGGAGATATGCGTTACTGCACAGGTATAACAGAGAGATAGGCCGCTTATCTTTGCTACACTGGGCGAAACTTGATGTTTTTAATGCCGTGAAATGACCTCTTTAACGCCCTGCTATCCGCCCATTGGGAATTCAGATAGTGGTCATCGTCGTCTTCCATCAGCTTCTCCACCTCTTGTTGACGCCGGAAGGCTTGTGCCATCATCGCTCTTCTCTGCTCTTCCGAATAGAAGGCTTCACGTCCCGGCGCGCCTGACCCTTTTTGCGTCAGTATAATAACAATCTTAGTTTTTTCGTTTGGACCTATGTAATCACGGAGTAGTTTGTCATCTTGACCTTTGAGTTCTTTTCCCGCCCACCACAGAAGCGCGTTCGGGGGGTCAATGACATCACGGAAACTCCCGTATCCACAGTCCAGATCCGCGACTTCCATCGTGGTGGCTTCGATGTAAAGGGGATCATACAAGGGCAGTCCCATGGGGTAAACAATCATCAGGGCACCTTTTAATTTCAAAAACTGTACTTTCACAAACTCGTAAGTAAGGACTGTGCCTTGTTGGATGATATTTTTGTGAATGGACTGTTTGACTGCTTCACATGTGGTTTTCAGTAGTTTAGCCATTTCTGCGCTAGGGGCGTGGCCGTTGCGCTTCAGATGGGGATCGGGACTGGAGGTAAATCCACCCGACGGGATATGCGTAGCTGCTCCGGGATCAGTCAGTTTCAGTTCCGTGAGTTGATCGGGAAGAAGCCCAACCATGTTTGTGGGAAGATGTACTCCGTGTTCGGCGAGATATTCCATTTCGGCACACATGCGGAGAATCTTTTGACGGCCGTTATGGATTTTGGCTATTTCGATTGTGAGGGATGTAATGGGGATGCTGGCAGAACATTCGTACAGAAAAAGATCGTCATCGTCCTTTTTTACATGTAAGAGCACCATGGTATAATTATGTAAACGTGTTGGAAATACCAAAAGTGTACTACGGGCATAAAAAACACATTAAGGCTGTCCTATCACGAATGACGCAAAAATTGGTCGAGCTCATTAATAACTGGAATGACACTGGAAACTGGAATGGGTTTACTTAATTAGCATCTACTCTAGCATTTGAACAAAAAGAAAGTATCGCAAAAGATATTTCCGAGTTGTCATCCCAGAAAGTAAAGAAAAATAAAATATAAGTACTCTGCTTTCTAATTAAGTTGGCATCCTAGCAATATCTATATCTATCTATCTTCTATCTATCTATCTATCTATCTATCTATCTATCTATCTATCTATCTATCTATCTATCTATCTATCTATCTATCTATCTATCTATCTATCTATCTATCTATCTATCTATCTATCTATCTATCTATCTATCTATCTATCTATCTATCTATCTATCTATCTATCTATCTATCTATCTATCTATCTATCTATCTATCTATCTATCTATCTATCTATCTATCTATCTATCTATCTATCTATCTATCTATCTATCTATCTATCTATCTATCTATCTATCTATCTATCTATCTATCTATCTATCTATCTATCTATCTATCTATCTATCTATCTATCTATATAAAAGAATAAGAAGGTGCACGAAATCTGTGTGTTTCAGGGTCTAAGTCATAGACACGTTCAACCAAACTTGAATGTCTATATACGATTCGATAGCCCTGAATGTGTAGATTTGTACAAAGTTATCAGATTTCAGAAAAACGTAAACAGTTTTGAGAAAAAATTCAAAACTCTAACATGGAAAGTCTACGGGACGTCAAAAACTACTGGGTAGTTAACGAAGCGCAGCAAAGTAAATATGTAGCTGCCACCTTGCGCAGGTTGTGGGGCTGTACTGATTTTACCGTAACTGCGAAGAAGTGCTTACGGCTGCAGCTTGCAACACATTATCCGGTTTGTAGTCGAGTTCGTTTAAATTGCGTTTTAATTGTTGAAGGTAAAAGGCACACGTTTAAGCTTTAAAGTTTGTGCAGTTGCGATTTCTACAGATTATTTAAAAGATACTGTAAAAGAACTACACATAGTAATCTGACAGCTATTCCAGTTATGAAATTTGTGCAGTTGCTGCTGCTGGGCTGCGAAGTTTCGCAATGTACCTAAATCTGCGGAAATTGCTGCAAGCAAAAAACTGAAAAAAACCGGGAAATTTTGTGTTGGTTATGTTCAGTTTTTGTAAACGAGGAAGCTCCTTGCGAGCTATGCCGCCGTTCGGTTTCAAACCTCATGTTACCAAATTTGATAGCTTCGCAGGCAGGTGACACCGGCCGGCACGACACGAGCGGATTCCATGCCACAGTAACAGCCAAATTCCGAATTCACACAAACTAACAATACACAGCAATCCCAATATTGGCGAAAGTCGAAAATTAGATTTGCTTTTAGTGTTTTCGGAATTGCACTTTCAAACCACAAGTAGACGGGGAAAACTGAAAGCCAAAAAGTTTGCGACCACTTCGTTAACAAATTTTAAAACCTTTTGGTTGGTCCCACTACGTTCACCCCGTGCGCTACATTGCGCGCTATTTACACGGTAGACTACCTTTTCGGTTTTCGCCTTTCACCGTCCCTCATGGTCCGACGTGGGAAAGCCCTTTGCATTGTATTTTCTGCACAATAATTTTGCTATGTTTAAAAGACGTACGCGTTATTGTAAACATATCTGAATTCTAGAAATTATTATTTTTATAAATTGCAGCAATAAATTCCTCTGAATTTCGGAAATTATTCCCAATTCTATGTCCAGAAATCCACTGCGCGACAACATAATGGTATTTTGTCCGACTGTTTAAAGTATGTAGCAGCATGTTTCGGACATTTACGAAACATATACCTTAGAAATATCTTGAAAAATGAAGTGAATGTAAAGACAGAAATATTTTAAACAAGCAAGTGTGGTTAAAGAAAATGCAAATATCAGGCAAAGGGAATTTTGTCTTGGACCGTTGGGCAGCCAGTAACGCAATGAATGGAAGGAAACGAGTACCGAATTTGAAAGTTTCAAAATTTTTTGTGTACAGAAATACGAGTACGTCAAATTATTAATTAGTTTTCAAATGTTTTAAACGGTGCAATCGCGCAAGTATTTTTGGTTTCTTGGCTGGCTATTCATTATCACGACTGCTGATAAGTACGTAATTTTTACTATCGAGTTGGTCTCCATACTCCATAGTTCGTGCAGTTATCAGCCGCTAATTTACTTCGCGCAGTTTGCGCGGGGTCCACTAGTTATGTAATATTTTACGAAGGCTGTGCACATTTACTGCCTAAATGGTATACGTTAGGTAAAAACATTTTAGGCCTACTTTGTCTGTTTTTTAATTGATTAACAATTTTGGTTGTCTGGACTGCTCTCAGTTTGAGCTCTGTTTCGATGTTTTCTAATGTCAAGCATCTGATTTTTATTTTTCCTTCCGTTTACAGTACTTGTTAAAACTAATATACAGTGGCTGCATTTGAAATCAAAGGTGCCGCACATAACGCGCAATGACACATTATAAATATTTTTGTGTATCTTGTATGTTGTGAATATATAAATATTTTTTCCATTGTATTGTTGATTGCAGTAAGTAATTATGCGACTCACCAGAAGATCTCGCAGCTACATACATTCACAATATTGAATGACCGTAAGCCGGTATGATCTAATCCCGAACGATGAAGAGACATTTATAAACAGATCGGCGGTTCGAAATAGACACATCCATCTTCGACTATCACTGAGAAAACATGTGTGAATAGCGGCGATTATTTCGCAATCATGATTACTATTAAAAGTCAGATCATGTATCATCTTAAAGTAATTGTGCCCATCAAAATGCATAACTACACAAACACTGTTATCCGCGTAGCTGTTTACAAACAATATAAAGTCTGTACTATGGTAAGCAGTCGGTTCGCTTTCACTGACAAGCAGCCTGTGACTTATCCAAGGCATTTTTATGTCATTTTAGACCGAATTTTGCAGTGGTACTGCAGTTATCATTTTTCATTTACAAGAATTTTTTACTAAAAATGGAATCATGGAAATTTTACGCTATGTTAATTAGCGTTCTGGTGAATGGAATAGCAGTAATTCACTGCGGCAAAGTATTTAGTTTAGATTTATTAAGCCAACCCGCTGGATCATTGTTCGGAGTGTCGCCATTAACGAAAGTTTTATCGGAATCCAATGGAAAGGTCATTTCAACCACCGAGCGACCAAGCTTGCCTCATCTCCCTGTGCCCACGCCTTCGCTACCGGTATTTCCGCCTGAAAGTGTGCTTGGTATGCACTACGCAATGCCTTAAAACTGTTAAATAATGAACTTACATATTATTGGTGGTACTGGTTTCTACCTTTATGTATCCAGTTTTTCGTAGTTTTCTACACAGTAGCTTTGCTACCGTTAGAGACGATTACGGCTATTAACAGGAGACCCACATCTTTTTAGGATCCGACATCGGCGAGGCGCATTTGCTATCTGTCGCACACGATGATCAGATGCCGTTGCCCATGTCCACAGTGCCGCCGCCTCGATTGACCGCAAGTAGTATCGGTATTATTCTTACGACCGGCAAACCATCGGTGACCAGTACGTAAACGTGAATGCTGCAAGCTTACCGAAGGTTGTTTTCAATTAAAAATTTAGTGTGACCAGTGGTTCCGGTAGTACGGTAAACGGTGAGATGACCAACTTAATTGATTGCCATTAATTAATTTGCTTTTGCTTTTACCGTTGCAATTGCTCGAGCATTTCTTGGATTGATTTGTGAAATCCATGTTCCTTGATCGACCTTGCAGAACCATCACTTTCTCACACGGAACTACTGGAACATTACGGTCTCAATCCTGCTGCCAATGTCTTGAGCATATATATGGCTAACTTTTTATCCTCCTTAAATAAGGATCAACTAGTCTCCTTTATGCAGCTTTTTTTCTATCAACAACAAGCTGCTGTTATGGGACTCAGTGACATCTCCAAATTGAATGGGTTTGGTTCAGCCATCGAATCGGCCCGCAGTGTTCCAAGTACGACAAGTTTATAAAATTATTTGTAAATATACAAATAAGTATTGTACTTGTATATTATATGCGGACTATGCAGACTATTCGTAGATCATCCATTTAAAGTCTGAAGATGAATATACGACAATGCAACTTTAGCAAATATAAAGTAAAGCTCAAGCAGTGTGTATAATTATTTATTTCCTATAAAGTCTTAACGTTTCAAATTAGCAAAAACATCAAGTTCGGCCGATAGCATTAACGTTTGCATTTTAATCCATACATAGATCTGAAAGGGAATATGGATGGATTCCAGAAAACCGGCCTTGCACAAATTTTTGGAACTATGTCGCAACAGTTTATAGCTGCTGCACCAGAAAACAGGCAACTATTGCTGAGAGATTTCAGCCAACAAATCCAAAATCTTAAATTATCGGATGGTAAATAGTGTTAGAACGTTGTGATTGACAAAATTCTGCTAGTAGTAAATCGTTGTTTGTTTAGATCTCAAACTAACGCTACGGACAGTACTGCACAACCAAATACGCTCTATGGGAATGCCTAATAATTCAGCACGTGAGCATCCTGCACAGGCGAACTGATAATAAGCGGCTACCACCACCGAAGCGAGCCCAAAAACTGTACCCTACTATGAGAGATTCAGTGATACTGTGCGCAGCCACAAACTGAAAACTTTATTTATATATAATGTTTCGCAGTTGTAGCTAACTAACTGAAGTTGTTAATTATCGAAAAGTTATGAAGATGCATAATTATTGTGAGCGATACTTCCTTACGATTGTTAGTAACCGAGCAAGCTTGTGCCCTGCGACGGCAAAGAAGTTTACTAAACCCGATTAGAATGGCAGATAAATTAATTGCACATGTCCATTTAAATTTTTTTCGTATGCACCCACGACAATAATATCAATAGTTCAATGTAGTCTGTACTGCACATAAACCAAACAACACAACTAATTATTGGCGTAAGAAAATTCGCTGATGCAAACATTACAGCGATCTCAGAATTTATTTATGAAGTGCAGCAATTCAGTAAATGGGCAATACAGTGTAGCGTGCGACGTTTAATTCATGTACATAAAGGTGCAGTCAACAACTTGGCCTTCGTACGAATAATCCGCATTTCAGTCGAGAGCACTTGTGGACTACCCGGACAGAGGCGGTGATGCCAAAATGCAAAAGATAAAAAGGATAGCACACTGCAAGTCACATTATTCTAAAATTGTTTTTACCAACAACTACAGCAACACTCCTATAAGATAATCACAGCAAAACTCCGGCTTATAATATACTAGCAGATGCACTCCGAAAAAATGCCACACTGGAATTTCAAGATAGTTTTCGTGTTGATAATAAGTAATCTGTGCCAGCATCGGATTTTATCACAAACTGCCGGTGCCGGAACGTCGTCCATATTCAGCCTGTCCAATCCATCGTCATTAGGCAGCCTGACATCCGGAGGAACAGCACCAGCCAGTGCACCCGCTGGCACATCCACCGGCTTCATCCCCATTGTGGTCAACAATCCCGCTGGTACGGGAGCGGCCGGCACGGGCATGGCCGGTTCCGGATTCGGCGGTGCAACCAGCCCATTCCAGCCGGCTCCAGCTGCTGGTTTGGGCGGAGGCCTGGGAACGATCGGTGGACCGCCACCAGTTCCGGCACCCAGTCTAAGTAATAACACTTTAAGTAACAATGTAATTTTGCATAGAAAAATATCGTACAAGCCACAAAAGGAAGCTACAATTCTTACTATCAATTCTGCAGTAAAGCATATACAGACTGTATAACCATCGTTAATCATAAAGAATATGAATCTTTTTTTAAGATATTACAGTATTTTGAGCGCCAGATTAAAACCTATCAGCGTACGGATTTAACTTGTGTTACAGTTAACCCTAACCCACTTACTCCGGGAGTGCAGCCACAACCCACGGTCTTCGTACAACCTCAACCTCAACCACAACCACAGCCACAGCCTCAACCGCAACCTCAACCTGGACAACCCCCGAGAACGTATCTGGATTGGATAAGCACATATACGGCAGACTTCCTAGCAACTTTAAACAGGGATCAGTTAGTATCCTTCCTGCGGGTATATTTTATGTCGAGGATGATGGGCTTTTCGGTGCTGGATCCCAGGTCACCGGTGGCCCGTTCCGCTGGACCGTCCGATCGACGAGCTATAGAAACGGCTCGCAGTATTCCCTGTAAGAAGCAATTTCATAGTTATCTCATGCACATTTACAACGTTCCTCGTTATGACCTTTGTTGATTCTGCAGTGTCCGATACACAGTTAGTTCACCTGGATAATACCGGGTTGGGTAAACTCTTAGCTGCGTATGCAAATAAGCTGAACGCGGTTCCGGAATCGCAGAAATCTACAGTCATCAAAGAGTATCAGGACACGGTGGAAAACTTAAAACTACCAAGAGGTGGGAAAGATTGATTATTTATCACAAATACGTCGCACAACTTCGTTATATTTCCTGTCATATGTGCTTTTAGGGATAAAATATGCTTTAAAGCACGTCATTTAACAAACTCTCGATCCTGGAGCACAAAGCCCATGTGGGATAAATGCCTTTCTCGACATTTTGTTTATGGATAGAGTTGTTTTTCTCATTGTCAGCAGTTTGAATGGGTGAATTTCTTTGCATTGTGATATTGTGCAGTGTTACGTATAAATTCGCATTAGACAAAAATTTTTATTAGACAGAAATATGCATGCTATGCATACCGGCATATACTTATGCACGTATAGGGAAACTGATGGAAATCGTAATTTGTTAAGAAAAATGTTTTATAACCAGCTATCCAATAAACGGTGGAAAACGCAAACTTTACCGTAATGAAATAAAAACATTTTAAAACGACTACCACCAATAACAAAAACATTAAAAAGTCGCACAGATCGCATGAATGAAAACTTCTTCACCGGGATAATTATCAGTATGGTGTATACATTAAACTTTCATTCAACAATAAGATTAGTAGTAAATGGTTTAAGCGTTAACGGTATACTTAAACTGTACTGATTAATCGAATTTTTCTTTAATTAGTAAACAAATATGCTTCCAAGCTGAACAAAGGATACAAATAACATGTGGAAAGGAATGTTATTTTGTCAGAGACAGTAATACTTGTACATGTCGTCGATGGCGAGTGTATACGGGAGCTGCTCGCAAATATACCGCGGTTTCCTACGGAATAATGCAGATGGATCATTTTGTTTCCCTGCACTGCTATGGTCCATATAAAAGATCCATACGAGGACTTTGATTGATAACCGTACTGGTCAGCAGAATTCCCTACGGTATCCAAATTGATAATTCCCAAATCCATTAAGTAGCAGCATGTATGGCACAAAACGTCATTTGGATTGCGATATATTTATTGTGAATGTACTCTGTAGTTGAACGGAAATAAGCGGCAGTATTTGCTTAACATTCCGTGTTGTTAACTCATGATCCAGTACCAACTGAGCCGAATAAATCGCTTTAGTCGAAACGCCAACCGCACCTACACGATATAAAAAGGTTATCAAAAGGTAGAGTCGACGATACTATCCATCTACAAATCTGTTAGACGCCTTAGCTGATTTTAACATTAAAAAATTTATCCTACATTAAAATTAACAACTAACACTGGTCCATTTAATTTTTAATTATATAATTATATGTCTGCATCAAGCGATATTAATCATACTGTTTATTGCTATATTTTATAGTAACCGGCACTGTTGGCATGAGCTACGGCGCTAGCTCTACATGTAGCTAGGTACTTTAGTAAGCGCGGCTGTTCTGTATATTATGCGAATAACAATACTGGTGAATATTACTAGACACAATTTATGTTTAAATTTAAAGTTGCAATGATAAATTTTACGGAAACAGAGAAGCGCTTGGGACTTTACGTAATTCTGCCGCTATATACCAAGTTTTTATCGGATATCCTGATTGCACTCTCCAAGATATAAGAGACAGCAGCTGCTGCTGTTCCAGGCAAAACCTTAAATAAGGTTGCGAGATATATTAATATTAAATTACACATATTTAGAGTAAATACCTACTTTTTTATTTTCTCGCATTCAGTCTTTTGGCGCGCCGCAAAGCCAAGGTTTCGACTATAAATAGCACTGGAGATGAATTCATTAACACTATTAAGGAAATTCCATCTTATCTAATCGTGTTGCTTAAGCTTATTCTATCGGAGCGGTAATAGATGGAAACAAGTGCATGCGCAACAATAAAAGTATGACCCTTGATTTCTCCAGTTACGCAAAACATCTATCCATTTGGGCGTTGATTGCATGCGGTGGCGCTGCCTCCCGCGGTGCGTTAATTCCCGCTAGGACACATCAAAGCGAAACTGATCTGTCCGCTGTCAGCACCCTCCTACTAGGATATCAAAATGATCTGGATGTGGGCAGAAATGTGAATGTGTGTAGGTCGATTTTCCTATTCAATGCCGCTCCGGATCACAGCCATATTCCGGCCTGACTCGCGGATAATCGACATTTTATTTAAATTTGTTACCTACGTAATTGTCATCAATAATGCTTGGGTTATTGTACAGCTCGGCCATGCACGAAAGGGACGGTTTATTTGTTAATTAACTCTTCATCAGCACATAAAGCTTTTTTAAATAAATAGAGTGGCACACACATGAGGACGGAAATGAAGAGGCTAGCCAAACACATTTGGCTAGTAAACCACTGCGTGCGTTTTAATACACGATCAGGAACATTTCCGACTGCAAAAGACCACTGATGGATTGCTGGATGTTGAATTAATGAACTAATGGATGGTAAATGACAAAATTGTCCAATAAATTTCAGTAGAAACATTCGACGTACATTCTGTACAAACACCTTTGCACCCTGTTCACAGCAGCCGCGTTGTAGCAAGGAACTATGCAGTACACTGCTACACTGCCTAATGCCTATTATGACAAACTAAAGGCTAGGAGCCCAGCGCAGCGTCATTAATTGTTACGGCATGACCTCGTATGAGATTTGATGTTTTCGATTAGAGGCACTGGCAATATAAAAAATTTTGCTAGAGATAAAACAAATATGCGTTCCATTAACTGTTATAAGCTTTACTCACTGATGAGGTAAAAAACATTGCAGTATAATTTCAGTAAGTAATGATTATAATATAAAATCTGCCGTGCGGATCTCTTTCACAAGCTACTACGTATGTATACTATGGGGATTACGACATCCTTGAAAATTACAAAAATACGACTTTATGGAGGTAGATAATTATTGCATACTATAGTTACTGACTATTGTTAGTGTTTGAACTCTTATACAATATGTTGCACTGGTTACTTTGGAAATTAAATTTGTAACTGGAGTACTTGTATTAAATGGCTCTTACACGACCTTTTTCAGATTTTAAGCAATCCAGGTAAGTTTTAATGAAAATATATTTTGCGGTACATTTTTTGTGCTAATTTTATTCATCACATGACAGTGGTTGCAATGTAACTTAACGCGTTCAAGTTCCCAATGTTTAGCTAAAATCTGCATTAACCGGTGGGTGCTCCTTTTTTTATTTCGTATAACGTAGCACCGAAAACCGCAAAAACAATGGAAGGACATCGAATTTGTAAGTTTCCAACATTGCAAGCGGTGAAACATGGCGTCAGGATAAAAAGCATGCACATCGGCCCATAAATTTCTCGTATAGAAGTATCAGAAATTATTGCATCCGCGTAATGGTTTCGTAATCCTTGTTATTTTTGTAAATCGTGCGATTGTTTATTTAATGGAAGTGTTTTCGGATTAAGTGTTAATTATAAAATAGCACTTAATTAATTAGTGTGCCCCTTATTGTTAGTTACACGCTTCCCGGTGCAACAGGACTGTAGGAGTGACTTGAATATCGTAAATCGATCTGGTGCGTCTGTATCAGCAAAACGTCATCTGGCTTTAGCTGGTCCGCGCTGGCTCTGGATTTGTCGGCGCGGCGGAAAACAGGCGTTCCATTGGTGATATTGTGCAGTCCAGGATGCAAGTACAATTGTCATTGCCGGCGTGCACACAGGCAAAAAGCCATTAAGCCGCCGTTCCCTGTTTAACGACGGGCAACGGAGGCCAGTAAATGTTTCTTAATATGAAATTGTGGCAGCAGTGCGATACTTTATCGGTTGCTCATTTTCCGCAACTGATCAAAATTGGATTAACCATTCACTTCTGTGGGCCACAATATGGATAAAGAGAGGAGAAATTAGTGAAAATGGCATCTAACCACATGGGTCATTTTTCGACAGGTAATAACGGCAGCACGTGTTATATTTAGATGGATCATATAACTTCCTTTTATGGAGCCATGAAGCCTAATTTAATCTTTTATGGAAATTTGCAAACTGTCAGTTTAGCATGGAGGAATTGCAGACCCATCCTGTATTAGTATATACTGTCTTTGCGGGATGGATGCACGCGAGTCGCCGTCGATGTTAATTTAATCTGTTGATATCGTATTTTACTATTGTCTCTCCGATAGTTTTTTCCTGTATCTGTAATCTGTAATTATCATGATCATACAGATGCTTTAGCCATCAGCGTTTTGAATGTTGTTGCAGCATCGGTGAAGGTCGATGTGTTAGCGGCCGGCAAGAATTGTCAGCAACTTGTGAATTCGTCGACGTGTCCTGATAGTGGATTTGATGTTAGTCATACCGACGCTTATCACCATACCAATTCCGTGGATCACTCTAGCACAGCCGGACAGGATGGTGCCTCATCCACAACCGAGAAGCCATCCAAACAAAAGCGCCATCGCACACGCTTCACACCCGCTCAGCTGAATGAACTGGAACGCTGTTTTGCCAAAACGCATTATCCAGATATATTTTATCGTAAGTGTGTGTGTCGTAACACTTTCGATAGACCTCCAACGTAATTATTTTTCCTTTTTTAGGGGAGGAAATCGCCATGAGGATCGCTCTCACAGAATCACGGGTACAGGTACGAGAAATGGTATTTAGTAAATTAAACCTTACAACTGAGTATACTAAAAAGTGAAACATCTAAGCACAGTAGAAAAAACGGGCATGCAACTGCAATCAGCGACGGCTGATTGACATATTAAAGGATTTACATATGGCACAAATAACTTTAAAATGCGGCTGAGGACAGTGAATCGTTGTTTATGCGAAAAATATTTCTGAGATTACGCACGTGGAAAATACATGACGTACTGTAAAAATGATCACCTACGATGATTAGCTGCGCGCAGTTTTCTTTTTCAGTAGCCCTAGAAAAGTATCGACGCGCACTGTAAGAATCGTTTAAGTAATGGCTTTTGAACACGGTGACCTTTCGCATGCAGTACTGTTACTGACGGGACTGTAGTCTTGCTACTGCATTGACAATATTGTTACTGATCTCCCTTACTCGTTTTAAGTTGATTCATGGCGCAGATTCTTGCATATTCGCTAGCTTCGCTTTCCGGCAAATAGCTTGCACGGTTGATTAGCTTCTCACTGTCGCCGATGTGTTAAATTAATCGTGCTGCGACACTATCAATCGTTACAACTTTCAGCTAATTTCACTGTTACCTACGTCATAGCGTGTGCGTTCTGAAATACTGACATCAGAAATTAACACGTTCCCCTAATTCTCTATTAACAACTTTAATGATATGGGTCGATTGAGTAGTATGTGCCAGAGCACCTGCTCGATCAATAAGGGTTTAATGAGCTGGAACCAAGGGAATGCCGATGATACAGTTATCAGCCAATATAGTCAGAAAATTTGCTAAAGTTTAATTAATCAAAGTATACTGTATACATTGCGTGTGCGCCCCACATCAGCGAAGTAACAATGCATAAATTGTTTTAACGGGCGCCCAGGCCAACAATCAGACAAAAGATGGCCTTTGTTCTGCATTATCGACTTATTTTTAAAATTTTATTCCTGTTTTATAAATAAAGCAACTGGCATTTCTTGACCAAGTTCAAGAAATGTCAATCTTTATTTACAAAAAATTTAAAGGAACCAAGATTGTCATATTATACGACATATGACCAAATGCCGTATACGAAACAACAAAGGCATTTGAGCTTCTTGCCAGTGGTGTTTGAGGTCCCGGAAATTTGTCCTATTTCGTTGTATGCCACCGAAATCGTTGCGCTAAAAAGTAAAAACCATTATAGTTCAGCTGCCGTCCATGCGCACAAAATTCTGTTGTATGCAAAAGTTTCCCGGAATAGCCGTGAGTCGACTGTCGGTGTGCCAACTTGCTTGAACCTGAACCGCGGTATACAGATAGTTAGCCACATAATGTCTTGTGATTTGGTTTTGCCTCCGTACCCCAGAAATTTATGCCATATGAAACATACCCACAAATGTTAATACAATTTGATATTTCAAATTCCACATCCACCTGCATCGAGAGTAATATCGCTAGGTGAATGTACTTATTGTTATGCGCACAAAAGGTGAGCGATTACCTCAATCGATGACAAATAAAGAGCATCATCCATTTGTAGGAATTGTATTAATAGGCGAACATTTCGGCACGCGACAGATAATGTCCATCTTCCTACCTTTATGCGGGATATACAAATAGGTGATTGCTCGTACGCAAGGCATACGATATTTGTGAATAAAATCCATTTTCAAGCAGCCAGTAATAAAAAGATTGCATTAATCTAATGCAGCTACACCAGACAGGGATTCTTTAGCAATCGTCTGTAAAAATCTATATTTAGTGTTTATAAACTTTTTGCTGGCTTATGAGCTATAATAATATTTAAAGGTTGAGTATACTGTATGTTTTGCTCATGCAGTACGATGTACAATACAAAATTTGCCATTAGTAACGCGGCCGGTATTTTGTACTTGATGATTGATGCGTGACCCCTAATCGCGGTCCGGTGTACTTGTAGCCGATATACAGTGGATCTTCTACAATATCGAATCTTCCCGTTTTTCCTTTCAAAATGGTTGACCTTTAATTCTCACATGCGCACCGAGCGCGCTTTCTTGTCTTTAAAAAAGTAATGCAAAACTCATGTTACCAATATAAGGGGTTACTACTGCGCATCCTTCCTCGGTTAGTGTCTAATTTACTCATGCAGTACGTACGTGCTGTATTCCTTTTTCAATTGTTGATTTGTACAGACTCTTGCACTGTTTTAATTATGGATTATGATGGATCGTGCTTATTCTTTTCTGGATTTACGGTATCTGCTACGAGTATTATGGCATCATTTATAGTGCGATAATTCTCGTAGCCATTATTACAATACAATACATATGCCATATATGCTGCTGTACAGTACTATCTTAATTGAGAAGGCATCCTATCGACATGACCTTTTGTAATCCGTGTGCAACAACAACGCAAGCACTATTAAAATTAATATAGTATCAAAAACATGCGTCAGAGTTAAAAATGCCTCAGAATATTGTATTAAAAATTATTATATGTGTGTTAAAAATGCTTCAGAATTGCAGTTCTGAATACGAATCTACGAGTACTGTTATTTTATTCATCTTATGAGTGTATAAAGGCTTTTGATTAGGGTTGCATGTTTCTAAATAGTACTGTACTCTGTAACTCGTTTATTTTGATAATTATCTAATTTAAAAACGAACTGCAGAGTAAAAATCAAAAGCTAATATAATATAGTGGAGGACCTCATGGTCTCGGTCGTATATGGATCCCGAAGCCCTGCAATATATTAGCATTAATTTTTGTTTATTTCTTTTTCTGATTACAGTTCTGTTAATTTGATTCCTTCCCTATAACAGCTATCCCGCTTTTTACTGGTTTGTGTTAAATAAATAAACTCAATACTTTGTCTAATGGTAGGTGTGGTTTCAAAACCGACGAGCCAAATGGAAAAAGCGCAAGAAGTCAACCAATGTATTTCGCAACCCAGGTCTGATGGGACCGTCGCACGGCCTGCCGCCCTTCGGCACCACGGACCCCTTTGTAACACCTCCTGCATTTCCCAATCTTGGCAGTGGCAACGGATCTGATGGTAGATGCTGGCCGTCGCAACCATTCACGCAACTCAGTCTCAATTCTGCCAATAAATTCCCCAATCTTGGAGCAGGTACATAATACTCGTATACACTAATGCTGGACGCGCTTGTTACCAATAGCTGTACAAGAACACAAAAGGAGCCGTATGATTATACAATTATGCGTTGTTTGCTACAGTTAGTACTGTATACCGGTAGGCGATAGCAGACCAACTGGTTAAAGCTGTTTTTTTTGTCTGCGGTATCTACTGTACCATTACGTATAGAACGACAAGGGGTCACGCAACACTTGCATTGCTTCAGAATACTCTTGGGCCGGACTTGCAGCCCCTTCGAGCAGCGTTACAAATCAGTCTTCCCTCGATCACAACATGTATGTTGGCTCTAATCCGTTCACATGCACTGGATTTCCCCAGACCGGTGTCGTTGCGTCTAACAATGGATCCGTAAATACATCTGCCGGCCAGGCCGACATCAGCGGTTCATACAGCGAACCCGAAGGATGGAGAGGAACCAGTATTGCCAGTCTGCGTCGGAAAGCCATGGAACACGCAGCAACAATGACCAGTTTCCGTTAATTTGCATATCCATACCGCTAAATATAAGACATGTGGGTTGCACTAATAGCCGAATCTCCAAAATCTACCATCGACACAGCTTCGGTTTCAATTTTCATTTTGAGTATCTCGGTTGCCTGCAGAACTAACAATTATATCGACCTACAGCGTCTACATCTCAGCACTCAAGAAAGATTTGCAAACAGTTATTTATAAATAACTGCGAACATCAAAACTGCTCTTGGAGTACTTCCTACTTGCGGTCCTGAAACTGGGATCATTCGGGTCTTGAGGCCGAAATTAGTAAATCACTATACATTTTGTCTGACGCTAAACAGATATACGCTTTCCGCACATCGTTGAAATACATGGATAAGCATTATATTAATTTTACCGAACTGAAACAATTATGTCTAACAGAAGATTAGGATAGGATGTAAGATTAATCGAAGCTGTATTAGACTTTATTTCCACTAGACAAGCAGCTGCAAAAGATGTGCGCCAAATGCACCCAAATGACCTATCAGACTCACAATCAACGAACGACTAAAAAATGCTAACACGTGCAAATTACTCCAAATATAAAGAAAAATACAACTGTAATAACAACATTTTCCACGACGTTTCCCGCACAAACACAAAATTTTCCCAAAATAACAAACTTCACTGGTAAAAAGGGTAGCTTGTGATCAAAGTGTGAGATAGATAGAGAATGAAATAACAAAAATATAGAAACCAATGGGCAATTTTTCGCAAATAGTAACGCGCGCGCGCAAAAGTGGGTTGATTATTCAAAGGAAAAAAAGACAAGATGACCAATTTGCAGCCAGTTCGAGAGTACAAAGAAGAGACTATCAGTTTCTCATTTTCATGATAAAAATTACCATCATTCGCGCACAATCCATACATTAAGTCATCAGTCGGCGCTTGAAAATGTTGGATGAAATTTCCGGTTGCTGCCTTGGTGATGTGAGAAGTGACAGTTAAATAATCAACCAGTAGCCTCATTAACTTCAGTGACTAGTTTGCCGCGTTTGGTATCCCACTTGGTTTTGAATTGCTCAGGAACAGGATGCTCAGCCTGTACATCAGGATTTGATAATGCTTCATGTATATAATAGGGATTGCAAAGGATCTTGCCACTACTCGACAACTTACATAATCTCCATCAGCTTTGGGCACGGACACGTTCATCTCCGAGGATTTGGCGCTGAAGATCTCACAATCTAACGAATCCTTACTTAAGTAGATCTGTACGCCATCGGATTTGTCAATCTGAACTGTAGGAACTTTGCCCATCACCTACAAAAAAACGAAAACATTACGTTACAATTTCGTAACAGAGTGCAAAAGACCAAACAATAAACATTTGCAATCAGTCGAATGCAAAAATAGCCATTAACTGTTTACAACGCTCTGCTGTTTATATCTTTAAATCCAGGAGAACCCTTAAAACCGCTCATTTTCCAACAAAATTAACAAACTGAACTTCTTTCAACATTCGTGTTCAGTCACTCTTTTACATTAATAGCCAACAGGTACCACTTTTAACTTATTTGTTTTACCTGAATTTGAGTTCTTTGTGAATTGACCACTTCGGCATAAGACACCAAGCTTTCGCAGACCACCGATGTCTTCGAGCAACTATCAACCGTGATCGAGCTAACCTTGCCCTTGACCTGTACCACTGAGTCCGCACAACGGTAGATGTATACGGAATGATTCATTTCTGTCTGATCAATAACAATTTTTTGGTTGCTTTGCTGATTATGCACTTCCCATTTTTTGCCATTCAGCTCAACTTTCGGTGGTCCGTTGGGTCCGATCTTGGAAGCGGCGATGGCACCTGCGGACCGCGTAGGACTATCGGTGACCGTGGCACCTCCACGCAGATTAGGATTTTTATGGGTTTGCATGTCTGCGGTAACTTTCTTCAAGCCTCTGGTGATATCATCACCCTGGTTGATACTTTGAAAGAGGGCAGCGCGCGCATCACTCTGATTGGGTTCCGGTGGAAAATTGCATTTGAACAGTTGAGGTGGAGGGCCTGGAGGTGGTGGACCAGGTGGGGGTGGAGCGCCTCCGGTAGCCAAATTCCGATTGATTGACGAGCTCTGTGGCACTGTGGATAAATCCCCGCCGCGCGGATTCCAAGCCACGCCGGTTGTGTGAGTTTTCTTGACATAGGCTTGCAGTTGTTGCAGCACGTCAATCCAGGCGCGAGCCCATTCAACATGCATCGGTTCCCTGTAGAAAAAAAAAAAATAAAAATTGTGCATGCCATTTTTAAGGCACAGTACATGTAGCTCTTGCTCTAGTGAGCTTTTGTTTTTATTACTACTTCTTAACGTGTTGGTTTGAAACCATTTCTTAACATGTTCGTCAGTTTTTTAACGTGCTGGTTTGAAATGAAGTATTGATCATGCGCATCCAGCAAATTCAGGAAAACATATCTTATATAAGCGCTTATCAGTTTAATTCTATGCACATAACCCAGTCGGCGTACGTTTCATCGATTCAATCTTCCAGCTAGAATCACTTGTGTTTGAAAGGTTTGATGTCGAAAATACGCTCAAAACACGCGAAAAGCGCCAATAAATCACGAATTTCAACAGCGTCGACTGACAAAATTATCCAAATGAAACATTCCAAAAATAACCGTTTTTAAACTTTCTGGTCAAAAATGTCAATTACACACTGTGTTTACAGTAGTGTCCCTTACTTGTCCTTATAATCCTTCAGAACTCGATTCGTGTAGAACTGACCAGCATCAATCATCTCTTTGATGTAGGGCGCCGGAGTGGGTGACTAAAAACAGAGTGAATCAAATATTGACACTGTGTAATTGTGCGCCTCTCAGCACTGTCTACGCCAATGGTAGTAAACATTCGCAACGATAGAAATAACTCCCATCAGCGTGACTATGCGATATGATATGACTACTGAATATGCAATGCATACTTCCATGTGTACAAAATAATCTTCAATAAGGAACTGTGGGACTCTTCTTACCACAGCTATCCACCCAAGTGCCGGGATACTTTCGCTGATGGCAGAAAGATGAGTGAACAGTTTACTGGCACGATTCTTCTCACGAATATCCTGAATAGCCTGAATGCGATTAGCGATGGGTTCCATAAGACTTTTCAGAGTCGCCTAAGAAAGGAAATTATACTTATTATTTTTACAAAATTAATAATTACCACCATGTTGGATTCAACCAAAATGCAATTTTAACAAGCTCAGTATACCTGGAGTTTCATCTTATAAACTATGGCAAACCACAGAATAAAGACAACGTTGGTCAGCCATGCAAAATCCAGAACTTATTTGTGCACGTAGTCACAGGTATTTTGCATATGCTGCCACACTACCCACACGTTCGCATTGTTCAAATGTAACTCAAGCACAGCATAAACGACAGAGTAAATACCAAACTATGAATTACTTGTGTAATTTTCGATTACGATTCAACCTTTGTACTAAACATTTTGTCTGCGAACTGCAAATAGAAGCAGATTTACGATCACATAAAAGTTTTATCACTGTGAAACTGCTGTAGTATAAAATGGAATATTTTCTTTCGAATTAAAAAACAAATCCGCAATATTTTCTTAAGTAGTCCAAATAGTAAGTGATTCTGGACAGCTGTACAATAAACTCACATCTGAGGGCTTCTTGTGGTTAGCAGCAGTAACAAGGAAATCTCGCTCAAGGGCAAACAACCTCTCAACAAAGGCGGCCTGTAACACAAGACAGCCAAGTATATTTATTTGCAAATTTTCAACAATTCACCTAAAGAGAAACACAGTCTTTTCTCTCTCACCTGCGCCTGAACTTCTCCACCGATCTGTCGGCTGAGATTAAAGTAGGTCTGTAAGCTGTTAGAGTTGAAAATCTCATCGTACTCTTGTACAAGAGGGGGAATATCTGCGCATAATTGAAGAAAACAGTTTAAAATAATAAATACACGACGCATGAAATGGCTATAAATGGCGATAAAACACCAACAAACCTCCATATCCTAGAGCCATGTTGTCTTTTTCTAGTGCTTTTGGTGTGGGTGTCGCGTTTCGCGAGTCCGGATAGGGTGTAACGCGTTCAATGTGGAAAAATTCGTCGCGAAGTTCTTTGAGAGTTTTCGAAGGACTTCTGCTGACGGTAGCGATCGTATGCGGTGTCTGGTTAGTGCCAGTGGAAACAACTGCAAACACAAAACCGGCTTTACAACAGAATACGATTTCATGCAGTTTTTTATATCGTTATCGAGCTACCAGACTGTAATTATTTCGTACGATTCGCTACTATTCTACTGTCATTTCTCAACGCCAGACCGACTACACGCAGAATATATGAGGTTACTTTATCAAGATGCTAGTTGGCCCACAGCAGCCAAGACCTCATCAGCGCTGAGTTTCCTATTAGTCTTGAGTTCGCAAGCAGTTAGAGCATGCTGGCTGTATGTATCATATAAAATCTGAATGAACTGCTATCAAACTATCTTAATTAAAATCAATCACACTATGATCATATTAGTTCATCATATAAACCAACTATGTTAACTATCTCAACCATTGTGACAATAACAACATATTCAATCGAACGTTCGTAGCATCACCAACGGTTAACCATAGCAAAAGCCAATTTTATTTCACAAAAATCACGGCATTTCTGCCATGGGCAGCCAGAACAGGAAGCAATACAAAGATCCAGTTAACAAACATGTTATGAATTAGTAACACTTATACGCTCTAGCAGGTATTGGTCTGGCAAGGAGGGCTCAAAATCAATACGTGCGCACACACGATGGTGTCCTCCATTTTCAAAGATTATAAAGAATTTTGAAATTTTAAGCTAACGCTACCATCTAGTGCACACTATGCATATGTGCGCTACAGTACATGTGTCTCGATGATTTAACCCATGACATAACCTCCCCTGTTACGTAACTCGATTACAGCCCAAGTCATTCAGCGAAGTACAATTATCACAATGGATGCCGACCGCCATTCACATCCATCTTTTTAATCACAATGAAACACCACGAAGATCTATCTACCTACGCTGCCGGTCAGCTAAGATTAAATCTTCATATACAAACTACAAAACACTACAGAGGAAACACCATGATGGTCCATTCATTTGAAATTCTGAATTGCGTGCGAACGACGATAGACATTCATAAAACTTACGCGTTTCCTTTTGATGGTTAACATTATTATTGACTAGATGGTGGTCAACCAGGACAGCCGAATCATTATTAGCCCGGTCTTTACTAGCGTGTATTCCGTCACGATCCTTATCATGATCCCGATGGTTGGTTGTGCCATCAACAACCGCATCTGCCGAATCGACTACACCACCAGCACCACTTCCTGAGCCAGCTTTGCCTTTGGACTTTTTGGATTTAGCATTCGGATCTTTCTCACGTGATTTTCCAAAACAACCAAACCAGCGCACCATCGTAACAGTCGGTAATGTTGCCAAAAGCACGAGATAAATATTTCACGCTAGCCAACCGCGACGATAAAAATAGAGAGATGTGAGAGATCCAGTAGGAAAGTAAAAAATATTCCTAATCTATCAGCGACGCACAGCCAGCTGAGCCTGTATAACTCCACATTGCCCAGACACAAGTTCACTAGTTTGTCGGAAAACCACCACCACACCACCACGTTTGACTTTAAACGTTTGGCCGTACTGCTCTCAGCATAACACACCAGTTATCCATACATGTTGGATTGCGCCATGCATTAAATTCACAACTCGCTGATAGTCGCGCACACACACACAAGCGCAGATCTGGTTTTCAACATAATTGCACAGACCGTGCCTGAAAGGCTGACGCTGTCTTCTGACTCAAACTCTCATACGCACGCCAGAAACTAACCAGGCACGTCGATGCTCAATGCAGCCCTACTACTGCCTGCTTAATAATATACTGTTGTCTCCTATGCCGAGAGAAAATGAAATGCTCAGCATGCAGCAGCGGAGGCAGACCCATACGATGAACAGAACCGACCGAGCAGCAGACGTCCCGGCCGATTCGCCTTCTGCCGTGCACAACAGCCGTCAACGTAGCCACTGAAAACTGCCGTCAATGCATATTTACCATCCGCAGACTGCCGCACTGATAGATCGTGTGTACATGTATGAATTCGCTCGCTCTGCCTGTCCGGCCCATCAAACGAATCATACACAACACAATCAGGGATGCGTCTGTGCCAATGAGACAGCCTCACTCATTTCCGCTTCACGCCTGCGCCTAGTCAAGGCCAAATTCGGCATCAACGGTGGGATATGCACTTTGTGCAGTAGCCGGACCAACCACCACGGTAATGCTGGATGTAACTATAGCCACGGTCAGCCAAACCCCGCTTCGTTAGTGTCTTTCGACTTCCGTCGAAACTGCCACAGTAACAGTGAAAAACATTACAACAAGAGCAATTGACCAGCGTCCACTTCTATAATCATTCCTATAAAATTCCGACTGACACTGCAGTGGGTCTGGATAAGACCATAGCAGTATCACATCACCATGAAAAATAATCAGTATTTAGATCTACGCAATTTAAGAAAAACAATAATAATATATTTCTTAAAATCTTTTTTTAACTATTCTCTCCAAACTTTGAAAGATTTTGGAAAACCAAAACGTCTCTTCTATAAATTCACGATTGTCTGCGAAAGCTAATGCCTCACTGAAATGTCTACCAACACCACTTCCTTTAAGTATTTACGACAACTCACAAATCCAAAAGGGAAACACAACGGCAGAATAGTTTTCTTCCCATACACAACTAGCTCCATCCATTGCAAATACTAAACATCGCTTTGGTATTCATGCCCGATTCCCAAGTACGTGTAATTTAACTGTTAAGTTCTGAACTACCGGTAAGTGTTTATGCAAACTTAGATAAAAACGCGGAAAAATCGCACAATACCGTTTTCAGAACCAGTCTGGTGGGACACATTAGTTGTATCATTTGCCTTTCGGATTTTTTGCATATTCCGAATATCCGCGACTTCCGAACTCCCAAACTACGCGGAACAACTATACTCAACATGTACGAAGCGTACCAATCGCAAACTTCGAAAAGATTTTCATGAAAAAAACAACAGCGATAAGCGAAATCTATAGACAAGTATGCCGCCCAAAGATACCCGACTAAACATAATCCAAAATGATTGCCACCTCAAGGTCAAAAAAGCAAAACAAATTCTAAGAGCTATTCAAAGAAGAAAAATGATGACCAATTAACACATCCCATCAGTGCTTTACGTATCAAGCAGAACCATAACCAGCCAAAACTTCAAAGAAAAACGACGACGCGTACCAACTAATGGCAAGCTAAGCTCAAATCAGCCTTCTGTTTCCCACCCACAGAGTGCTTGAAAAATTCTCACTTGTAAGCAGGAGCCAGAATCTCAGTCCATCACAAACGATCTTCGAGATATTCGAAAAAAACAAAACCTAAAAGATTTTAAAAAATGTGTATGTTCGCCCACATTTCCGAATCATTTCCCTGTAACATCCGGTTCATGGCTGCGCATCCAACGATAAGATAAAATTTAAATAAGTAATCGTCACTTCCAGAGTTCCTGCATACCTAAATTCAATTTAGCACCCACCCCTTGGACATGACGTTCAGGGAAAAGGAAAACTCACTGCCTAGTATTATGAACAACGATAAAATGTTATCGCAATTATAAACCGCTATGGTGGTGTCACCTACATTAAACGCAACCGAAGAGACTGCGATAAACATTACACACTCCATGTACACGCTAATTAACGATGCCGATATCTCGCAAATGAAACGAACACGTGTCCAGGGGTAATCCAGCACGCAAAGCGGGTTAACTCCCACCAAAATTATCGTCCTTTTTAACTTTCACGTTCAAAAGCGACAAAACTGACCACGATCCCGAAATCCGCAAAAACAATAACAACTACCGTACCTTTTAGCAATGTGGCTCCGGCGCTTGTAACAGCACTCCACTTTGTATGTCCCTTACTCCAACGAACTCCACAGAGGACAAAGCTATTTGTCAGAGAGCTGCAGCTAACTGAAAACACAGCAAAAACACTGCGTAATGTTCCTGAAAACAAATGATTTGGGCTGCAAAAATAGCATAACAAGCTATTTCGCCAATTACTGCGCTACTAGCCTTGATTCAAGCAAGCTGGTATCCATCCGTTTATAGACAGTGTTTAACTTGGTTCGCAGGAAGAGCGGTGAGTAAACTACTGACGATTCATAAACGATAAATGCAGGCAAGCACAATATTCAAATTTACTTGAGTGAAACACACCGCCTACTTTGTGAGCGATAACCGATATTAGTCATCGACAGTCAGTTGCTGCTTGTTTGAGCAAAATATCGATGTCAAAAATGAATGGATGAGCACGAACTCGATCAAACAAATTAATAAAAGATGGCTAACAAAGCAGCTAATTTGAGTGAACTTGTATTTTTCACAATAGCACTTTAATTCAAATAAGAAAAAACTTTTGTGAACAATAGCAAAATTATCGAGGACGCCGCTCACTGCACGTATCATTCATGTACTGCACAAACGTCCTTGACCAAGAATTTAACTGTATAAAGCGTACAACTGTAACGGGCTGGCTTACAAATTTTCTGTTCAAAGTTGTGGATTTTGCAGAGTCTTTAAACTTTACAGGGTTATAACAGTGTTAGCAGATTTAATTATATAATTCTGAAAATTAAAAATCGGTGCAGCTGTGAGTTGATCGTAATTCATATCTGCTGTTTGTATTCATTTTTTAATCGTAATTGCAGCTGCTAAACTCAATAGGAAGTTACCCTTGATTTTGTCAGTTCTAAACGTTACCGCTAAGCAAGGATGGCCACCTCGAAAGTCGATACTCCACCATAAAACAGTTATTAAACTAGTAATTAGCAGAAACTCGCGCTCAAAAATACATATTGGACAAAATACATACTAGTGGCAAAATTCAGTCTAATAACTTTTCCAGAAGCGGTTCTGAATGCTTTACGGTTTTTCTAGATGTTTTTAGCTGTGATTTTTTGGCCGAAGTGTCTGCTTCAGAGTTCAGACTACTTACCAATGAGAATCATCAGCTGCAAAAAATCGCATGTACGAAAACTCTGTCCAGTACTGCCAACTGCTGGCTCTGAAATAAGAAAAGCAAAAAAGTCAACTGGAGTAACTTTTTAGGTCTATTCGCTTAAATTATTTATACGGCAGCCACAGAGAACATGGATGATGTTCGTCGTTAGGCGCTCATAAGGAATGGTCAGCCACGAGCTGTACTGTGGACCACTGTCTGTGGTAAAGGCTCAGAATCCGGATGGTTACTAGTACTCTATGTTCACTGATTACGAACTTCCTATGTGTTGATTCAACTCATTCGAGTGTTCACAAGTTGTTGCAAAGGTTTTATCAAATATGCTAATATCTCAATAACAACGAATGCGTTGCTACTATTGATCTTATTTCAAAGTACTTACAAAAATCATTTCGTACGCACTGGCATATGCTACGCCTACGGTGTAGTCTAAAAGTGTAACGCGTCGGCGGTGTGCTCGTTTTCGCAAAAGGACCGAGATGCTAGTCACCTCGCGTTAAGGACTCACCACTGTGACTTGGGACCAGTCTTGGGTCGTGATCGTGTATTCTGAGCTGTAAGGTTCGATTCTTTGAGTTGAACGTTGAACTTATAAACCAGCCAGTGAGCCGCCTGAAAAAAAACTGTTTTTTAATGCCAGAAATCCTAAAACAGGAAGCTAAGACTAATAAAGAATCATGAAAAATTTCCTAATCCACAATACCTTTCAGAAGCAGTCAAATACTTACGATTTACTTAAAATCGGATCCACGCCTGCAGAACTGCTGATACTCAGATAAGAAACGGCCCAGAAAATTTTGCTCTTTGCTCTTTCAGATGGACCAAGCAACTGCCTCCTAGGAAGACCAGTGATCAACCAAAGAACTACCCGTGCAGTCACTGCAGCGATGAGCGATCAGCGGTCACATTTTACTGTAGCGTTGTAAGCACTCTATGAAACTGCCGCCCGAAGATAGGTGCTGCAGCTGGGAAAAATGTGAGTGCGTGGAAAACGCGGTACGGACATATAACAGCGTTCCCCCGGAAGAACGGAAAGAAATGGTACGTGACAGTCGCGGACACCGTCGTACATTGCCCAAACCTCGCGGGTAGCCGGAAGTGCAGCCGAAATCAAAAAAGAAAGAAAATAAACAAGTAACAGTACCGCAGCCTAGCAGATCGGTACCTTGTACAAAGAAGGATGTCGATCACAATGGTAAGTTGGTAACCCTCGTTCGTGAGAGATTTTACGTTAGCGAATGTGTTGAAACTAGTCAGTGCCGGTTCTTGGCATGGTTAACGACAGAGGAGATAGTGAAGATGTGTTATTTGTATTTAAACCGCTGATCGTGAGTGTTAAGTTTCTTTTTTAAGAAATTATTTGGTACATTATTATCTGCACAGGATACAACAGAGGTCAGTATAGTTGACTGTTTTGCGCAGTCGACCAGGCTCAAAGAAATTCCCCGGCCGGCTACAGGTAGTTGTTGACATTACAAAATTAGGAAAGTACACGCGCTTAAGCTTATTGCGAACACTGCATTACGGAAGCGTATACGTAGCATGCCTGCAGGGATTAAATACATATGAGACAGCTGATTGTAAATTCACCCCCTCACTCCTCGTATGTAGTAAACAACGTGAATACTTCTATGCTATTCAATATTTCTATGATCATGCATGACATACCAAATTGCTCGGACCACGTTTTTCGCGGGCTTTAGTCCCTTTTTTGAGAAAAAGTTTTGACAATAGGTACTCTTATTTGTTTTCCGTCATGCCGCGCCTTTTCTCTACGGTGACAACGAAGCGATAATAACAAGAGTAGTGCGCCCATCATGCAGATTT